ACTACTACTACTACTACTACTACTACTACTACTACTACTACTACTACTACTACTACTACTACTACTACTACTACTACTACTACTACTACTACTACGGTGGGACATCTGAGGGAGAGATATGATCTACGGGGTTTTAAACAAAACGGGGGTACAAATATCCAAAACGTCCTCGGCACTCTTTTCTTAACAGGCTACAATTGAGGGCAGATTTCTATAAAATCAGAATATTTTCACAACGGAGACACATTCTTGGAAAGTAATTTCTTGGAAACAGCTTTTTCAGTAGGAGAGGATGGAGATGAGGATAGAGATGAGGATAGAGATGATACTGGTATTGCGGTTGTAGCATGGTCCTATGCGAAATCCAATTTCCATTCTCCCCATCGCCGTGAACAATAGTGTTGTCAAAGAATAATGAGGAATACGGGCAAGTAGGAATAGAAACCCTGTCTCTGTGAATGGCTATCCAGAGACCTCTCTCATACTCGTGTTCTAACCTGTTTGAGGTGCCCATCTCATAGGTCAATCTGAATCCAAGCCCAATTCCTGTTCATCCCGAGAATTGAAAGTCCATAAAATTATTCGTCACATCGTCGCTTAGAGTGCGTCGCTTCTTCTTCAATTTTGGTCTCGACACCTCCATCTTTTTCTCGGGTTTTCAGGGTGAGACGGGTGGAGTAGTGAAATGAAAAGCAACCGAGAAAATAAACCGTCCATCCAAACAATCATACACATCGTCAGCGAAGCTTTCTTCGCATAATCTAACAGGTCGTCTGTGACCTCAAGAGACCTTGGCCTACCTGCCAATAATGAACATTCTAATTATTCGTCATATCCCAGTCGAAAAGCTCGTCGTCATTGTAGGACTCGTCGAACATGGGGTCGTTGTCCAGGGCGGCGAAAGCCTCTGGACCACCGGGAAAGAGAGTCGCACTCGCAGCAGCCGGGTTTGAAAACGCATTGCTGTCTTGACCACCGAAAAGAGAAAAGTCCTCGACGGGGAAGTCAAAGTCCTGACCCATCATTGGAGCCTTACCAAAGGGCTGGCCAGATGGTCCTGCAACCATGGGAGAGTGCTCGGAGATTGATGGGTTGCGAGACTGAGGGACCAAGAAGGAGCTTGGAGTGGGAAGACCTTCGTTGAAAACAGTTGGGTTGGTGCAATCCATCATAAGATCCATCGAGGTGTCGTAGGGGGATGGCTCGGTGATGTTGCTGTATGCTGGGGTAATCGGCGTGCCCATCATGTTGACTGCACTCATGGGAGTCGTCGTGGTGGGAGAAATGTAAGCCTGAGCCGGCTGGAAGGTGCTGTTGAATGGGGCATTGTTAAAGTCGAAATCATCAACCCGTTGATTGTACGACATTGACGAAGAGTTCCTGGGGAAAATCGGGTTCGAGTAGCTCACGGGAGCAGGTTGATAAGTATCAAAGTTATTCAGCGGCTGCTCATAGGGAGTGATTACAGCGCTACCAGCAATGCTACCAGAGATAGAGCTCGCATCATCCCAGTGGCTGTGGAGACTGGTCGAGATGGCAGGGCTAGCAGAGTAGTCCATGCTTGGAGTCTGAGGAGTTTGTGCGGGCGTCATCTTGCCGGAGCCGATTGCGGCCTTATCTTTGCCCTTCGCACGTTCGTAATGCCAGCCATGCTTCTTCTCCATGTGTTGTTTGCAATTACTCTCGCGTTTGGTGCGGAATTCGCAGTAGTCGCACTTGTAGAACTGAGGGTTCTTGGAATGCTTGTCATTCCAATGGCGCTCACGTTCCTTCTCGGTTGGAAGACCCATTTCGTGGTATTTACAGCCTTCCTCAGGACATTTGAAAGGACGAGAATGAGTCTTCTCATGCTTAGCCAGGTCACACTTTCGGGTGAAGACCTTGTCGCAAGTCGGGTCCGAACACTTCATCTCGACAATTTCAGGGATATAACCCTTCTTTCTGCGAGCCATAGAGCGTTCAACGTCTTCATCGTGAGCACTGCTGCTCTGCCTCTTGATCCCTGGACTTGGTTCATAGAGTTCACCAGTACGTAGAGAAAGAGGCTTGCCATTCTTCCAACGAACAAGCTCGGCATAGTTGCCAGTCTCACCGAGGCCACCCTCCAAGGTGACATTGTCATCGATGGAGTAAGACATCTCGTCGTTGTCCTCCGCACCTTCAGACTGCGGGTCGCGGCTGGAGGATCCGATGTGAGAGGCGAGTTGGTTTACTTGCTGGACCAAGTCAAGGAAGTAACCGTTGTCGTAAGGTCGGTCAGAGGCACGTCGTTGTTCTGATTCAGAGAGATGTTGATAAGCGTCGACGACGAGCTGGATAGTAAACTCGCCGAAGGCGCGGTAAAGATGCCTCGAGATGGCAAAGGTCTTGTGGGCAGCGTCAGTCTCTGAGAGATCTTGGTCGATCAATGTGCTTACCAGCGGCTGGAAGATGAGGCTCTGTTCCAGATCACGCAAGCATTTAATGTTCTTGTTAGCCTTGGATCCAAGGGCGGTAACAAAAGGATGAAAGTTCTCAAAGCGAGTCTCCTCGAGAATGGGCGAGATTATATGTTTCTTGAGTTTATTGCGGGCGGAGACAGTGAGAGGTGGATGACGGAGGTTCGGTCTGGAAAGGCGAGGTGCGACACTTTCGGTGACGGCAGAAGGAGGAGTAGCGTTGGAGGATCTAGAGGTTGAAGGATCGCCCCGATGCCTGAGGCGGCGGGAGGTCGTTTCTGAAGAGTCAGCTTCTGCGGCAGTTCGGTTAACAACGTCTTCACACATAACAACACAGCGGGCAATCCAACCTTGAATCAAGTCTTGAACAAGACCGTCTTCTTCAGAGGTGTGTCCCACAACTCGCTCGGCTGAGTCACTCTTGATCGAAGACCCCAACCCACTATCCCTGTTCGACAACAAGTCCAAAGCTCTTTCAAAGGACCTAGACAGACCCTTGTCACTGGCGGGGCTAACGGATGTGCCCAAACCTTCGTCGGATGGTAGAGCGGCACGTCGCACCCAGACCTGATGATCAAAGTTCTGAGAGGAGCTGCGCCTGGCCGCAGATCGTTTTCCACGAGCGCCCGAAAAGGTCTCCTCAAAGTCAGCGATAGACTTTGCGACGTCTTCCTTCTCGGATAGCCAGCTAGTCAGAGTAGACTGCGAGCATGTCGGAGAGCGGCGGGTCAAGTGAGGAACGCTCAAGACTGGATCATCGTCCTTTGAGGGAGAAGATGAGCAGTGAAAAGTAGCGCCTTTAGCCAGGGACATTTTACGCAGAATGCATTCTGGTGACTCGGGTGATGCAGGAGGTGACAAAGGATGGCTCTTGTTTATGAGTCGATGGGTTCGTCGATGAGCGAAGGGAGTGGGAGGTGGTGGCATGGTGGTGGAGGCCATGGTGGATATATGAACTCTGGGACCAGCCGGGGGAAGCAAGCAGATGACACGCACGATGCTGCTAACGACTTAGAACGCGGTCGATTGGTCGAGAACAAATAAAACCCAGTGGCTTATGACTCACCCGTTCCAGTAGATATGGAAACCCCAAAAGCTAAGATGTACAAAACCAGATGTCGACTGTACTCACAATATGCTGTTTCGTGTCTGAGACTCCAGTGTGGATAATCCGTGGAGTAGTTTGGTTCAATATTAATCCTGATTGTGGCCTCCGAAGCTTTTCTGTTTTTCTGGTTCAACGAGCAGTGTTTGGATGGCAGAAAGGTGTCGTTGTGGCATCCGTAGAGGATGCAAGTCGATAGCGGCGGGGAAGGAGGAGCGTCTGTGGGCTGTGTCGACGGGCCGAAAGCGTGAACCCTGATGTTGTTAGGAAGGTTGATAGGCTGCTTCGACGTGAAGGTCAAGTGCACAAGTGTTCAGAAGGCAGTTGAAGCAGGCGTTTACCCCGTTTGGAAGACGTCGGTGGAAAAGGTATAGGTGAGGTTGAAGTTGCAAGTGTGATGTGGCCACGGATGGCAGAGAAACACCTGAGGCCAGCGTGGCGACAATCCAGGTGTTTCTGCAAATCTGGACCGTGGTGCCGGGATTGCGAATTGGGTGGACGAGAGGGAGGGAGAGTTGAAAGAGTGTGAAGGGAGAGAGTGAATGGTGATTTGGATGACTGGACGTGCTGATGATGGCACTTGAAGCGAGTGTTGCCTGTTCTCGCCAAGGCACTAGTCGTGAGCCAGTATTAGCAAGGCTTCGTGTCAGTGGAAGAGCGCCGAATGCTACGGATATCGAGGCGCAGCCAGCAAAAAGACCGAACCACATCGGCCGTAACAACCTGGACCATTTCCAAACTCCGTTGAAAGATATCTCTGCTTCACGACTCGTCCATTCTCTTCCTGTTCCTGGTTCTAGTTGTTCTACTTTGCATCAATCCTTGCAGTCCGTCCTTCTACCAACTGTGAATTCACCGCTGATCACGCGACGTCCGGCTGGCCCATGTCGAAGTTTGCACCCGTCCTGTCCTGTATACGAAATACGGCGACGACACATATCGGAGGTCTCAGACTACTGCTTACAAGATGATACAGGACCCTGCGGCGTATTAACAAGCAGCGTCACTGCTGCTTTGGTGGAAACGAATCAGCCTTACCTACAAGCTTGCCTCTTTCAGGTCTAGGCAATCGCATTCGCCAGTCACGTGAAAGCGGGCTCGGGCAAAATTCAGTCCGACGGTCTGGAGAGTTGAGACTATTCTTGTTCAATATTATAACAGAGGCCATTGATGAGAGAACATGCAATGCGCCCAGCCATGGTGCTCACTACATCTTCTCAGCCGACTTGTTTGTGTCTTGACGATTTTGTACGGTACGACTACCATTATTACGATACTGCGACATGGATTTGTCTCTAGACCCACCTACTGTACAGAGTACATGCATTGAGGTACGAAACCGAGGGCACGCCTGATGTTCCTGCAGCCGTTTATTGACCAATCGCGGGTTTCTAGCCCTTGTTCTCCCGTGTCACCGGTCAGGAAGTTAGAAAGCTTGCTTGAGAACTTGCTCGACAGATGACCAGTGCATGCAGGAAGAGGCCAGAGTGGCAAACGTTGACCAAAATACCATGCTCGGTTCTATGTCGTAGGACGCCTATTGGTAACCCAGATGAGTCGACGATACGTGTGGAGAGAGCCATTTGCCATGCTTCCCGTGGCACGACCTCCACCATCTAGGTACCGCACGGAAAAGCCTCATACTGCATCCATCCCGGCACCCACTGGAGCACGTATTTTTGTGCACCGCCTCATGAATTCCCCTTGTGCAACTTTTCGGATGGAAATCAAAGCGCGCTCTATGCACTCGTATCATGCGCGAGACGAGGAAGTCGAACATCATGTCATGATTCGGACCTTAGCCGGTCCTCTCCTATTCTCGGGCGTGACCCAGCATTGTGACCTTTATATTCAAGAAGTATCTCGTATTCACAGCCAATCAAATACGCCTCTCGCACTCCTTGGTGCATTCCCCGGTACGACACGCCTACGCTTCGTGGGAACATGGCGTGTACTGTTCTCCGTTCGTACTGAGGCTGGAAGTTTGTTCCTTGTTATTGTTCTCCATATACGGAGTAGGAAACGCACACTTGTTGACTGTGCACTCGGTGCTTTCCATTGCACCTATGTATCTGCTTACGCAAGAATGGAATTTATTACACATGCCGAGGGTTCTGTAGGATCCAAGCTCCTGCTCCCAGAATGCCACCATCCTCACTTTGTCCATCCATGCTCCATTTCCGAAGAGGGCCACACCCGAGATCTGTCCTGTACCCAGCTTCAAACATCTCCACACCTGTCCAAGCAATCATTGCAGCGTTATCCGTGCAGAGCTCGACCGGCGGGAACACCAAATTCACCTTGTGAAATGATCGCACGTCAAGCATCTGGCGGAGATAGTAGCGCAAGAAGTCGTTCGCAGCGACTCCTCCGCTTACCACCAGCGTCGGAATATGTAGCCCCTGATCTCGAAGCTGTTCAAGCGCGATAATGGTTCGAGAACCTAGATGCTCGAATGCGGTACCTAGAGCAGCTCGAGCCAACAAAGTCCTCTCCTCATCACTTGTATCACAGTGACGGTCAGACACAATTCGTTTTATCTGGCTTGAAATGCCCGAGAAGCTAAAGCATAACTCTCTGTTCTTGGCCATAGGAGTCATGATGCTCCACCCAAAGCTATTCTGTGGCCGAATGATTTCGTCCTGTCGATTTTGGGGCACGCTCCAGGAGTTGAACTCTGCTGAACTTTTAAAGGCATAGGCTGAGAGATATTTACCAAAGCTGGTGTCAGGCGTATTGTGCTGAATTTCTGCAGGTAACAACATGCGCCCACACTTGTCCAACTCATCCCCGATAGCTGTATCGGAAGTCGATGCGAGAATCTCGTGCTCGAGCAAGCTTTTCGAATGTAGAAGCATGGTATGTCCGCCACTGACCAAAAGTGTTAAAAAGGGGAATTCTGGCTGTGAAGAGTCCTGGCCAGCTCCTTTTATGGCAGTGGCAAGCCTGGGGGTGAGGGCATGCGCTTGCATGTGATGGACTCCTAGCAATGGTACTTGCCATGCGGTAGCAAGTCCTTTGGCAGTATTGAGGCCAACAGCCAGGTTCTGGTTCATCCCGGGGCCTCGTGTGACGGAAACGAAATCAGGTTTCTCTTTAATTTGTCCATCTCGGAGCCAAAGTCGCTTTTGCACTGGCAAAGACTGATCGGATCCAGGGAGGAAGGGAAGAGAAGTTTCGATCAATTTGGCAAGGTTCAGTTGGTGGCTGTTCAAGGCCTCTGGAGGCCATATGCCACCCTTGCCAGTGTTCCGAAGCGTAATCTTCTCATTGAAGAGTAGCCGTACTTGGACAGACTCAGGCTGGATGCGAGTCGTAGATTTGGAGAGGATTGAGACGCAGGTATCGTCGCAGGAGGATTCAATCGCCAATGTGAGGAGGCTGCGCCGTCGCGCGGCTGTTGTTTTCGTCGGCAAACATGGTGCAAACCTACGCTTCACCGCACGAATACCATGCAGCATCGACGAAAACAGATAATATTACAGAACAAGACTTCAGAGATGGCCAAACAAGCATAGGATGTCCTGGAGCACTCGTGCAAATGCAGACCGGCGGATTTGCGCTTTGGCGCAAATCGTAAGAAGTTGAGGTCGTTGCTACTGCGAGGCATTGGATGAGCAAACGCCATCTCTTCAGGGCACTTGTTGACAGGATTCTCGAACAACTCTCGAAAGTCATTGTTTTACAAATGAAGAACATTTCGGATTTATCAATCGCACACTTTCTTGCGTGAAGTTCTTTTGAAGATGTGGCATTTATTGTCGAGCTTTTCGCGCCTCAAATCTGCCAATATTCCAGATTCTGAAAGGTGCCTCAGCAACCTTAGCTTTCTGGGGCGATTTTGTGCTACATCTGGATGCAATACAATATATCTTGCTCAAGCTGCAGGTTCATTTGAAATACGACCGGCATCCTTCTAAATTCTGGCCTTCGACACGCATTGCACTTACGCGTTGTTCCAGCTGTCTTTTCAAGAATCGATAGATGTTTCTCGCCAAACTTCGTGCCCCAGCGTCGCCCTCTACCATGTTGGAGTTTCTCTACTGGTAGACACGCCTGGAACGGTTGATCTTCCCGGCGACATCCCAATGACGACTGGCGTTGATTCAACCCAATCTTCTTGGGTGAGCTAATCCCATGCAGAACGCGTCCAGCTGCGGCCAGAAAAAAAACAGAGGTAGGGCCAGACAGTTGTTCTCCTCTTCCTTGCGAGGCTTGAGACCAGTGCTCATAATTGGCTCTCATATCCCGTATTCGTGTCTTTCAATGCCTGATGCGGCATGAATCACGAACTAGGACTTCGTTACAGGTTGAAGTCAGCTCTGGTGACGCGCCATCGATCTGGCTTACGACGTCTGCGCTCTCAATGCGTGGGAAAGGTGATCGCAACAACCCCTTGTGAACTATTTATTCGTGCCTGAATCCTTCTCTGTTCATGGGTCGTGGCACAAGTTCTTTCCTTCTTGTTGTTTTCTTGGGCATCAATACGAGTCGCTTTGTCGACACCACATTCGTTTAGCATCATGCATTATACACTCATTCAGTCTCTCCTTTCCGTCCTCTTTTTCTCCAATTTCTTTTTTGTCAGCAATGTCTACGGCCTCGCGAGCACCGACACAATCACTTGGGGTGGTGCTAATGACAGGACTGGCTATCAGAACAACCACAACATGGACCCGGCGATTGTTGGAAGCGCTCAATTCGGTTTGCTCTACAAGACTCAATTACCCGGAACATACTTGATCAATGGCCAAAATGTGCCTGAACAGATATTCTCGCAACCCCTGGTTTATACTGGCTCTGATGGCGTGCAATATGTCTACATTGCAACAACTCAGAACAATGTCTACAAGATCAATGCGAAAACTGGCGTTATTGTTGCTTCTCGGAATATCCACCGTCCCTTCCTGGTTAGCGATCTGAATGGATGTGTCGATATCAATCCTACCGTTGGAGTCACTGCGACGGGCGTGATCGATCCAGATACAGTATGTATGGCTATTGATCGTCCGACGAAGATGCTAACCGCACAAGGACACCTGGTATTTCACAGCAAAGACATACATTGACCAGACCCTCAATGGTCCAACTGGCCGCCCGAACGGTCGCTATTACATACATGCTATTAGCACCGTGGACCTGAGCGAACGACCAAACTTTCCAGTGAATCTCGAAGGCATGGTTGCCAGCAACAATCCTGTGCGATCTTTTAACGGTGGGATTCATCATCAACGCCCTGGTCTTCTCCACACTGGTGATTATGTCTACGCTGGGTTTGCTAGTCACTGGTAAGTTCAATTTTTCCGAACTCCATCAGAATCTACGATTTCGTCTGAGAAAATAATCTATCTGATAGTGTTCAATGGAATTTTACTGGCTGGATAGTGGGCTGGCACAAACAGACGGGCCAGCTTGTGGAAAGATTCGCGACTGAGGGCGGTGAGTTGCGCTTGCTCATTGTATGGACCCCTTGAGATTGACAATTATAGCCGGTGTTGGGCCCGATGTTCCTGGTGCTGGAGTTTGGATGTCTGGAGGTGGTATTGCAAGCGATGACAAAGGCTCAATGTTCTTCGCGTCTGGCAATGGGTATGCGTCTCAGCTGAATGGCGTGCCGGTAAATGGACGAAACCCTCCAACTGCGCTTGAAGAAGCCGCCGTCCACATGTCGATCAACAGTGACGGTTCCTTGACAATAGTTGACTTCTTCATGCCGTGGGAGAAGGTTCAATTGGACGGTGCAGACAAAGGTGAAAACTACGGACAGCTATGAAGGTATTTGACTAACATGTCTAGACCTTGGCACATCCCCTCTGGAACTTCTTCCTAGCCAATTTTCCTGTGGTAACATCACAAGAATGGGTGTGGTGACTGGCAAGAGTGGTAAGACGTACTGGCTTGATCTTGACAACCTTGGAGGTTATCAGAACGGGCCAAACAAGCTCGACAATGTAATCCAGGTTTATCAGAATGAAAACTCGGTCTACGCTGGGGCAGGTGTTTATCCTCTGGAAGGAGGGTATATCTACATCAATGTCATCCAGTACCAGACACATGTCTTCAAATTTTCTTGTGACAACGGGGTCCCATACTTCAACAAAATAGCCGATTCTCCCGAAAAGAATGCTTATATCCTCGGAGTCGGTCATGGTACTGTCACATCTTTGAATGATCAACCTGGAACTGGGCTGGTCTGGACATCTGATGTCGAAGGCTCAAATCTTCGAATATACAATGCAGTTCCAGAAAATGGCCTCCTCAAGGAAATCAACTCCTTTGTCACTCCAGGGACGACGAAATTCACTCGTCCAGTCTTTGGAGACGGTATCGTCTACCAGGGAACGACTCTTGGATATCTTTATGCCTATGGCGCCCCCGTCAATCTGGCACTGACCTGTACCAGCCCCCAGTTTAACACTACAAATCTCAACACCACGAGCTCGCCTATGCTGATCCAATGTCAGGCCAACACTGGGCTCACAGTCACAGCAGCAACTCTGTCAGGCAATCCGAATTTTGCATTCGCCGGACTGCCCGCCCTTCCCTTCGCTGTAAATCAAGGAAAAAATTTCTCATTCCAGGCAACCTTCACCCCTCAGACCGTCGGTCCACTCTCTTCGTCGGTCATCCTCAACACAACACAGCAGGCAGCAGGCTTCAGCACCAACACTCCAGTCAATCTAAAGGGCACGGGCCAAAGTCAAGCACCACTGCTGATGATTACTCCGAATACTGTATCCTGGAACGGCGTCATTACAGGCCAGGTGGTGGGAGGCGTGAATCAGTCGGTTATTATCAGTAACCTCGGGAATGGTCAACTCAGCGTCACTGGCATTGCTTATTCTGTGGTAGGCGAGACGGGACCATGGATCACCCCGAATGGAACCCAAGCTGCAGCTGTTGTGTCGGCATTCACCTTCTACAATATGCCATCCTCAGTGGCTGCAAACAGTGCTGTGACGATTCCTATCAATTTCAATCCCTCAGTCAGCGGCAATTATGCTGTGTTCGTCAAAGTACAGAGTAACGGAGGCTCCCAGGTATTTGATGTACTTGCCGCTGGCTCAGACCAGCCAAAAGCTGTCCTCGAATTCCAAACTCCTGGTGGAGGATGGATCCAATATCGGAACGGCACACCTTTCAGTTTCGGGAATGTTACAGAAAATACAACCCGATACCTGAAGTTGCGACTTTCGAACAATGGTACAGCGAATGCAGCTCCCATTTCTGTGACAGTCAGTAAACCTCCCTTCGGACTTTCTGGTCTTATTGGAAGCAACAATAATGTCGATCTTGCTGAAGGCACACTGGTCTACGCTGGACAAAATCAGACCGCGACATTATATTGTTCAGTGCCAAAGAGCCAGATCAATGTCGACCCCTACAATGGCACTGCCCAATGGACCATGAACCTCAATGATCCTTCGTTCGGCAAACAATTCATCCAATTCTCTTGCAATGCAGTCGCCGAACAAGCACCACCCCTCAATGCCGTCACGCAACAAGGTATGTACAGATATGCTGGGTGCTTCAAGGAAAATAATCCTGGAAGACAGCTCCAAACCAATATTTACAGTGGGTCTCTCAACACTAACGAGCAATGCATACAACAATGCTCGGCCGCCGGTTATATTTTTGCTGGCACTCAATACACTCAAGGTACGTTTACCGTGCATTCCGTCGCTGTAACTGAGGCCTCGCAGAATGCTGGTGCGGCTACAATCGGCCCAAGCAAGTTGTCGATGATGCAAATTGCAATTTTCCGTGCACTGGAAACGTCAATGAAGTGTGCGGTGGCAATGGACTCGACGGAACTGGCTCCTTCATATCATTGTTTGGAGATATCACTCGCTGGAACGGCAACACCACGGACACACCTGGTCCGTACATCAACCCTGGTTTACTCGGGTTCAACAGTCTAGGTTGCTACACCGAAGGATCTCAAACTCGTGCTTTAAATGTGCAGCCCAACTCGAACAATACGGTGGCCGGTTGTATCCAAGCTTGTCAGGGATATTCGTATGCTGGAGTGGAATACGGAGGCCAATGGTGAGTGTTACTCATGATCTCCATAAATCCATCGCTGACACCAAGGCAGCTTCTGTGGAAACACATTGTCTGTTGGTGCTGTTAGCGCTCCCACGTCTGACTGTGCCATGACTTGCAATAACAACCAGACAGAGCTTTGTGGAGGTAAGTCAAGAGCCCATTCTATTCGCAGCCAAGAAGCTGAACCAAAGCCAGGTCCAAGTCGACTTAATCTGTACAGATATGGCAATGGCACTCTTCCCCCGTCGACGCCGACATCTGCAAATGGCGGAGGCAACAATCCCACCCAACCAACAGGTCTCGCGGTCCCGCCGACAGTTGGAAACTTCAGCTACGTATCTTGCTATACCGAGGCGACTGCGGGCCGAGCACTTAGCAGTGTTGCCCTAGCAGACAACAGTTTTACCATTCAAACTTGTGCCAGTAATTGCACGCAGTACCGATATTTTGGAGTTGAGTATGGACGTGAATGTTACTGCGGGAACTCATTGGCAGCGGGGAGTGTGCCTGCGACAGATGGTCGTTGCAACATGCCTTGTGCAGGCAACTCTACTCTGCTCTGCGGCGGCCCCGGCGGCTTGACCCTGTACAACAATACCAAATGGACTTCAACGACAACTAGTCCTTCCCAACTGACCGGGCCAGTCACAGTGCCAAGTACTGGTCAGTACCAATATGTCGACTGTCATACCGAAGGCAGCAATGGTCGCGCCTTATCTGGATTCGCCACTGCATCAAATGACATGACAATACAGTACTGTGCCGGCAACTGTACCGGCTACACATACTTTGGTGTCGAGTATAGTCGAGAGTGCTACTGCGGAAATACCTTGAACACAGGATCAGTGACGGCTACCGATCAACGATGTTCCATGACTTGTGGTGGAAACTCGTCAACTATTTGTGGCGGACCCAATGGCTTGAGTCTGTACAAGCTCGTCGTAGCATCCTCGAGCTCGAGCATCTCCACGTCAAGCACGAGTAGCACATTGACATCGACGTCAACATCGGCGTCGGTTAGCACAAGTCAGAACGTCAACTCCACAACAACCTCAGCATTGACTACTGCAGCATCACTGTCTTCGAGCACAATCAAGGTAACTAATTCGTCAAGTTTCGCCAGGTTCATTAGTGTCACAAGCTCCTCGACCATCTCAACCAGTTCTGTCAGCGCCATGTCGATGTTGTATTTTTCAAGCATGTCTTCGCCCACGTCGACTCGGATGTTGACGAGCACTGCAGTTTCAAACCCCTCGACATCATCAGTCCGATCCGCCTCGAGCACCAATGCCAGCCTTACTCCTACCGCGGGTATTTCGTCGTCAACACCGACGATTGCTTCACGGACATCATCGTCCTCTTCAAGCGGTATATCAACAAGCAGTGCTTCCGGAATGTTATCTAACAGTCCGACGATGAACACATCCCCTTCAGGATCTTCCGCCTCTGTCTCTTCCAGTGGGTCAAACGCGTATGCCTCTTCAACAAGCTCCGGGCGTACCACTTCAGGATCAAGCACTGCTTCCGCCTCAAGTCTGAGCGTTTACACGACATCGACCGCATCGAAACCTACCACGGCGCCGTCAACAACATCATCGGCCAGCTCCGGCTTCAGTACTGTCTTTGTGGCTCGGATTTCGACGAGCACGAGTTCAACCACAACGAGTACCACCTCGGTTCCGTTCAGCTCAATGTCAAGTCAAACTTCCCAAGCTCGCGTCGGCACTTCTGGTTCTGCTTCGACTTCATCGACATCATTCACCCGTTCTCCATCCCAAGGCAGCGTCAACACCAATTCATCGTCTAAGCTATCGTTGTCGTCGTCGTCGTCGTCGTCATTCAGCACGACCATTCGCACTTCAACCACGAGTATGAGAATGACGACCACCTCTGCCGTAGCAGCATCAACTACGACGTCAACTCTGTCAACGAGCTCGCCCACCGCGAACCCCTTTCTTCCAAATGTCTATGTTGGTTGTGCGGCCGAGCTCACCAACACTCGTCTACTGTCGAGTGCATCCACGACAAACTCTAGCATGACGATCGAGTAAGTTTTCTCTCTCCCCGTGTTTCCCCTTCCGAGTCCCTTTCATCCCACGGGTCCGCCGCGGGCGGCGTATTTCCCAAAGAGAAAAGGAAAAAGAAAACGAAAAGAAAAACAAAATCTGACAGTGGAAATTTAGATCATGCCTCTCGTTCTGCACGTCCCAATCCCTCCCTCTGGCGGGGCTCGAGTACGGCCGGGAGTGTTACTGTGCGTCGTCCCTGCCGCCCAACACGGCCCTGAACCTGACGGGCTGTTCCATGCCGTGCGCGGGCGACGCCACCCAGACCTGCGGCGGCCGGTCCCGGTTGAGCGTCTACAACGACACCCTCTTGAGGCCCCCGGGCCCCAAGCCCGTCGTGGCGCCCGGCTACGCCTACCGGGGCTGCTTCACGGACCCCAGCAGCTCCCAGCGCACCCTGTCCGGTTACAGCACGAGCGACGACGCCATGACCCAGGAACGGTGCGTCGGCGTGTGCGCCGGCCTCGGCTACACCTTCGCGGGCGTCGAGTACTCCCGGGAGTGCTACTGCTCCGGCACCTTGGGCGTCGTGGCCAACGGGGGCAAGGCCAGCCAGGTCGGCGAGGGCGACTGCAACATGATCTGCGCGGGTGACAAATCCGAGGTGTGCGGCGGGAGCAGTAGGATCGGTGTTTGGATGGCTTCTTCCTGATTGGAGTTTCTTGACCCGGCGATGAAATGACGACGATTGCTTTTTTCTTCTTCAATTCAAACTCCCAACGACAACTATACAATTTTGATATACACAGACTACAGAATACTTCTTACCAACTTCCACTTACTACTTATCTACCTCTTTCAATATTCCTCTCTCTCTCTCTCTCCCTCTCTCTCTCTCTCCCTCTCTCTCTCTCTCCCTCTCTCTCTCTCTCCCTCTCTCTCTCTCTCCCTCTCTCTCTCCCTGTCTCTCTCCACCTCGTTTTCTCCCCCAATGTCTATTTGCAAGTGTATTTCGTAGTGTCTAGGTAGTCACACTAGGTAGGTAATGATACCCTGGATTGATTTGCCTTTCAAGAAGATGTCAAGGGCCAACCCGAGACGAAAGAAAAGACTCCCCCGTTACTCAGGAATGTTGTGACATTCGTGACAACAAGAGAGGGGAAAAAGCGACAGAACTGAATACGTTTGCCTCTAACTAAGTCGTACAGTACAGGAGCAACAACTTCTTGCTTGTGTACGGCTGCTGAATTTGGACATTTATAATTGTCCTCACACCTCACCCCATCATCATTGTTGTCCCTCTTCTCTCAACTACAACTTCTCGTGGGTATCGATACATATCTAACGTGATAACGATACTCATGCTGACATGCAATTCATCCTCGTCCCCCTTCAACAAGAAAACAAAAACCCCCAGCATAAACACCCCATATTGACATGTAAGAAATGGTATCTCAATTAAAGCATCAATCAACATCAACCACGTCAACGCCAACATCGAAAATTGTTCTTTTGACAATATGCGAGCATCGTCCTCGTATTCCGAACCCATTTGGGGTTTCAAAAGGGTACACATCACCCAATGTTGCTTTGTCGTCGTTCCGAACACAGAGAAATGGTTTCCTGCCTTCTCACGTGCACGTGTGTGTCATCACCGCCATTTCCATCAATCCTCGAGAGAGAATTTCTCCAAAGACCGGCTCGTCCAGCAATCCTACATTGGAAGTGAATGGAGACCAAAACCCTAAACCTTGAGAGCGGTCTTCTCGTCAATTATGGAGAATGATTGTACTGGTTTGGCGACGGGTCTTTTGACTCGGAAAACGGCATCTTGATCCGACATTCTCCGTCCCAGTGCTCTTTCGACTTTCGCCCCCAGACTCAATTTGCTCAGGTCGTCTGCCTTTTTCTGACTAGGAATAAACCGCTGTTGTTGAAGGCGTTTATTGTCGAGTCTGTCAAGGCCCTGGGTGAGATGGCGTATCTCTGCCATGCCGGTCTCCGGGCTGACCACGTTTGCAGATGCCAGGTTATTCGAGTAGTTGGAGGTGGTGGTGGCAAAGCTTGGGGACGCAGAGTACGTAGAGTAGCGTTTCGAGGCGCGTTTGGAAGTGACCTGGAAGAAAAACATTAGGACTCAAGTTGACGGATTGTGGTTGACCATGAAGGATTTCAAGAACGTACACTTGGAGCCATAATAGGCCTTTGAGACTCAAGCGACCTGCGAGACATTGCCTCTTTTGGGGGCTTGGTTGTTATGGATAGTAACCGTTGTTATGGGCGGCGAGACTGTCAAGTATGGGGTTTCCCGCTGATGTCAAGGCGGCCTTTGCGGTAAGACTAGTAGTCGTTGGTACTCGTAACTCGGATGAGGTGAACCGTGCACTGGAGTGAGAAGCGGTTCCAAATGTTTACCGCACCGCCGGAGTGGTAAGCGCGAACAGGTGGAGTGTAGTATTATTGATATAGCCAGACTCTGCTCGAGTACAAATAGAGCAGAGAGGCACCCAGACAGTTTCGAGCCAAACACCGACACAAAGCAACTTGACACCTCCAATTTTTGGTTTGTGAGAGAGCAGTACTCTTGACACTTTTGCTTTTTTCCCGGACGTTTGGAGCTTTTAGGGGGTTCGTGGACGATGGAGATCTCGAATTTGTATTCGGTAGTACAGATGGAATTGTAGAGGCTAGTAGTACTCGTAGAAGGGAAGAGGATAAGTCGTTGGGCTATACTCCGTATGAAGGGCACGTAAAGGGAGAGGAGAAAAAGAAGAACAGAACGTGCGGTGAGCTGAGAGCGAGGCCGCTGTTTCTAATAGTAGTTTAGGGCTGGAGGAGAAGTATCCGTTGTTTCTGTCAGGCAGAGATGTTTCTTCGGGGTGTTTTAGCGACGTTCGATTCGTCTCGTAGGAGAGAAAGGCTGGCCAGGGTTGGATCTGGATCTGGGAGCCGAGAGGAAAATACAGCCGCAGACACGCACGAGGGAGCGGGAAGAGAAGGTGGACAAGGCGTCAACGACAAGTGATGGATGATGCGAAGGATGGCGTGGGAGTAAGAACTGAGGTGTTACGGAGTAGAGAAGTCGATACCTGACTGGTTGGTGGCAGTGTGTGTTTGATTGATGATGGGCGGCGCTATGGAGTCGGAAGGAAGGAGACACGACACCAGCTCGGAGTTTTATGGCAAGGATTGAACTAGTAACCGACTGAGTAGCTACAAGTAGGTAGCTAGGATTGATTGTATCTACAATGCTCGAGTAGTCCGTACAGGATCCGTATGCGTAGTTGACATCCCAAGAAGCCTCTGTAAAAGTTGTTTTGGTGTCCCCTCCTTTTGTTTGCCGTACAAGTCACTAGTCACTAGTCTCCGGTTGCCTCCATTTCAATTCTCACCATCTCTGTCCTTGTTCGTCGAGTCAAGTTCATCCCAGTGGATTCAATTGTCGTCTTTGGGGGCTGCTTCGGCCCCTGGCAGGTTCCTCGACGGACGACCAGGCCCCTGCCGTCCTTTGGGGCCTTCTTGTTCATTTTTCTTCCCGTAACTGCTCCAGAAACAGCTCCGTATTCTCTGTGACGATACGGAGAAGACAAGGATGTGATTGTTTCCACGTGGCCCCTTCAGCTGCATCTCAGACACTATATCGCCAGCCACAAAAGCCTCCCGGCGGTCCATTCCTGGGCCAGAACGTGTTTGGCAGCATTCATGGGAATAATGTCAAAAGTCAACGAGAACTGGTACCGAGCAATAAACCTGGTGGCGTTGGGTCAGTCCACCGTATTCCAAGAGACGTGAGGCGCGTACCCAGAGGATGTTCAGTAACGTGTACTGTATTGTACATCATCCAAACGGTTTCGATCCGTTGTTCTCGTTATATGTTTAGTATTCCGTTCTACGTCAACCCACAGACGTCATGGGTCGTCAATAATGGGCTGTCCAAGAACCAAATGGCGACACCGATTGGAATAAATCAAAAGGGCGCCTGAAGGACTGCCGCTATCGTCGTTTCACTAGTTGGGGCGAAACCCGGGTTTTGACCTGCATTCTTCCCCTTGCAAACCCAGCCCTGATCGGGCATCGATCGCGTGCCTGGCGTGTTTCACAGCATCAGCTGAGCTCCAGAGAAGCGAGCCTAAGGATTCCCTTCTGATCATGCTGCCTTGACCATGGGGTGAGCCCATGGCGCGTTGCCAGTTGGGTGCACTCCTTGCAGAGACTGGCGGACAATATATTGAACCGAGGAAATGAGCCTGTCAGCCATCAATCCTGTATTTTTAGTAGCAGCAAGGCACGAAACTCGTAGCATTGATAGAATAGGTAATGTCTGTAACCTGTCGAAAAGAACGAGTTGATAATTGTACTCTGTACGAGTACCATCGACTTATCTAAGGCTGAGGCTGTGATGAGCGAAAGAGAGAAAAAGAACGGGACTCTTCCTGACACCAGACTCGCCGACCAGCTTTTGACTCTGTACTCCGTACACTCCCAACGACTGCCAGACCGTCTCGGAATCTTGGATCCATCCAATACTAGGCATCGCATTCTCGTTCTTGCTTCATTATTTCAGTAATCATTTCCGAACCATGCCATATGCCATCCTTGCGCCCAGTCATTGATGCTGGCTGTCAAACCCCAAGTCTTCACAGCCCAGAAAGCAATCCCTCCCACCACGCCAAAACTGCCCATGATCTGAAGAGCAATCCATCCATGCGTGCGCATGCTATCTTGCCAACGCAGCAAGCCCAATGGGTCGTGCATCTGATAGCTGGGGAGTTCATCAAAGATCATTCCAGACTTGCTGCGCTTGTGTACCAGAGCATGCGAGCCGTCTCGTGACAGGATCTGTCCTTCACGGACTTCTTCACCGAGTCGATCGACTAGCCAGATCGCTCGTTCTCCTCGAGCCAACCGCTCATATCTTTCTCGCTCACGTTGAAGACTGAGCTGCAATTCACTTGCCCATTTCGACAGTCGGACTTGAGCCAAACGCTCTTCGCGTTGAGAGTGATCTGCCACTTTGGCCAGAGCCCAGCTATTGGAAGTATTCAGAGACACCTCTGATCCGACTGGTATCAGGACACCCGAGTTGCTTAATGATGTTGGCAGAGGTGATATAAGGGTGGAATTGTGCACGGATGCGAGTGACGGTGATGGCATAGAGGTTAGCCTAGGATGAGCTGCATGCCATGCCACAGACTTGCGTGCCGATGTATGCCGCAGATATGCCACCGTGTCAGGCTCGAACATCTGCTCTACGAGGAGACTCAGCTCCGACGGTAGTAATGGCTGGACATACTCGGGTGACATGAGGAGAGATGCGTCCATAGTGTCAAGGTCCGGACCGTTGATCGATGTGACGGTATACGGAGCCACTGCCATCTCCCTGGCCTCTGGTTCCGACATCAAAGATGTGGGCAAACGCGGTAGAGTGACCGTGCTGAGGTCTATTGATCGTTTGACCAGTTCTTGCTCCTCCGACGTGAGCAGGTCTGATTTTGCTACAAGTGGGACAACGTTGCATAGCTCTGAAAGTTGCCGGATACGGTCGCAGTCGTCCTGTACATGATCTTGGGTACGTCAGTCAATAATCCCAACCGTAGTACTTGGGACAGGGAATACCTTTAGAAACCAAGTACAGAATCACATCGACTTGACACGAGCCACGTCCACTCAACAATCCTGAGAATTCGTGGGTAAACTGATTGACGGACGTCATGACGTTCATCAGCTGTTGCTCGAGATAGTGAACAATCCTGTCCAGTTTGACCGAATCGCTCGTGTCAACGAAGCAGATGTTACGTTCCAGAACAGAATCCCCCATACTCTTCCGTCTCCTTAAGATTCGACTTTCTTCCACGTCCGACCACCAAGCAGGATAAGGCTTGGTACTTGCATAGATCTCTGTCACCAAGTCCGGTGCTCCAGGGTGGTGTCCTGCTGACAATCCAGGTTTCGAGGACGATGGTACCGGATCGACATGGACTATATCGTCGCATAGCTGGACTATCGACTTGATTAGGGACGTCTTGCCCGTCCCTGCTGCGGTTAGAAGATCCCTATCAACACCTGGGTCCGGTCCTACCTTTCCTTCCTGCCACCATGATTTTGAATCTCCCCAAACGCTTGCCTCGTTCAGTGAACGGTCTTCGGCTAGGCATCTTGATGCTCGGCATTATTAGTTCCGGTTGGCTGTCCTGAACGACTGCCGGTGACTCTATCTCGCTATCTTCACTTGACCCGATCACTTGACTCCCAGTCTCATCGTTGGTCAGTTCGTCATCGGATTGGTGAAGCGATCTGGACGAGCCGGACTTCGGACTGCTGGGAAGGGAGACATCACGGGACGGTAGAGGCGAAGGAGTGACCTCTCGAACATGCTGTGAATGGTTTGTCTCCCCATGTGCGACAGAGGAGCCGTGCCTCACGCGGTCCCCATTACCCGGTCTTATAGTAGATCTCCTTCGACTGCCACTTCTCACCTCTGCTGCTGGTCGGCTGGCGAGATGTTTGCCAGATGCGTCCGCCTCTTGTATTGTGTCCTGTAGACTGCTTACGGGATAATGTGTAGGCAGGGCGTTAGTGTTGCTCTCCGATCGTGGTCTGGGACCGTCGGGGTCACGCGAGAGGAAGAATGTAGTTGGTGGAGCGTTGCTGCGCTCACCCGTCATGGAGGGAGATCCGGCAACGGAGGACTTGCGAGGGCGCAGTTCAGCACTCTCGCAACCGAGTCCAGGCCTCATCGTTCTGACACATGCAAGTGATTACAGAAAACCCCGAGAATGATAGAAAGAAGAAGCAGCAGACGATATGCGAGAACGATGTATTTCTAGGTAGATGCCACGATGAGGAAGACCAGGTAGGCTGACCTCCCTGGAAGGGGTAGATACGAGGTGATGATTGAATGGATCTGCAGCCTGGCTTGACCCCGCGGTTATCGCGGAGTATCGCCTTATCGATCGTCGGTTGCGACGCTTACAAAGAGACAAGGATTCAGACATCCGGCATCAACCATTAAAACACTACGAGTACTTCACTTTACCAGTACACATTTCCTGACACTTCCTGAGCATTTCTCAACCATAATATTTGAAAAACAATATCATTAACTCAGGGTTGTCTCATTAAAAATCAAGCCTAATGTACAGTATCATCCCTATTCTTAAGGTCGTCGTCCGAGAACTGGTGAAGTAAACCCGCAGACAGAAAGTACATGACCTCGCTGAAATGATACACTACTCCCGTGGTCCTAAGAACTGCATAAGGCCATTCGGGATTGTCCAAGCCGCTGACCGAATTGTTCCTCATGAGCTGAATGAACATTTTTTCCGAGGAAACTGATGGTTGCTACAATGCAGCCAGTGACACTGACATTTTTGACTGCATTTGATCAATCGGGATAGTCCATGCCGCTGACCGCATGGTTCCTCATGAGGGGACTGAAAACGACCAAGATGAAGAAGAAAAAAAGGACGATGGTGAAGCCAAGATGCTGTGCATCGCTGAAAAATTCCGGCTGCAGGGCAGAAATGTGCCATCAATGTCTGAAACAAATCGGAATCGAGTCGGCCTATTAATCCGAAGCTCGCTATGCCTTGACCTTGCCAGGAAGACATAACGGGAAAACTTTTCGAATGCGCCGTTGCAGAAAGCATTGAAAATCACCCCGTCACTTTTGTAACGCTGTGCAAATCAATCAGATGGAAAGAAACGCCTCCTAAAAGAGGTTTTGGCCCATGCTTCGTGTCGCAGCAGAGTCATGTGTTGATCAAGGTGCCTGAGACTGGCCACGTCCCTTTGGGGTCACCGTGCCAGACTTGCCGCCTCTCTGCTGGAGACCTCCGCGGCCAGCATCCTTAGGAAAGTTGGTTTGACTGCCAGACCGACCGCCCTGCATGCCTCCACGACCGCGCCCAGTCTGGCTACCACCGCGGGTGTAGTTGGCGTTACTACCTCCGTAGGCGTTGGGACGGGGGCGACGCTCTTCAACATAGATTTGTTCACTGCCGACGGTGTGAGGGTTAGCAGCAACCGCTGCAGCGTAACCAGCAGGATCAGCAAATTCGACAAAGGCGCAATTCTGGTACTGGTGAGCATATTTTACTATGAGATAGAGGGATCGCTTACTCTGGGTCGTGAGACATCAAAATATTTGAGTTCACCATGGTTCTCAAGGACCTCTCGTAAGATACGAGCATCGACCTTTTCATTTACATTCTTAATATAAGCAAGTACTGTGCCCTCAGATGCAGCTTTGTTCTGTGGTCGTCCTTTCTTGCCGTGGTCAGCAGTTTGCCAGCCATTGCTCTGTGAGGTGGGAGTGCTCGAGGTGGTATTGGCCGCTGGCGCAGGTTCGGCTGATGCCTTTGATGCTTGGACGGACTGTGAAGCGCGGGCTGCCTTTAGCTGAGTTGTGGGCGTGGTCACAGGCAAAGCTGGAATTGCTGGTGCTTTCGCGCCACCACCAAGCATGCTGGCCCAAGTCTTCTTGGCTGGTGGTGCTTCGACAGAAGTAGAGGGTGCAGCTTCGGCAGTTGTTTCAGGCTGACTCGCCTCGATGGAAGCGGCCTGCTCTGTGGTAGCGCTTGCTGCCTTGTCTTCCGCCGAGACGTCTGCAATAGCTTCGTAACTCTCAGACTTCTCAGTCGTCTCTCCAGTGGCATCAGGAACCAGAGCACCATTGACCTCGGTTGCAGCAGTCTGAGCTTCTTCTTGCTTGTCTTCTTCCAGCTTCTCGTCAACTGCCTCGGCTGCGGCTTCGGTGACGACTGTCTCCTCTTGGTTGCTCTCAGCAGCTGGAATACCTGCGGCAGGTGTCGGTGGCTCTTCAACTGGAACCTCCGGCTGTGGCTGCTCATCCTCTACAATCTCGTCGTCATCGTTGCTCAGGTAGCGGAAAATGTCATTCAGGACGAAGTACCCGTTCGGTTGCTCGGCGAGGATGAAGGTCTGGACGAACTTATGGTGAGGTTCAGATTTGTTTGACATTTCTCCGATGACCTGGACCACTATGTTGTTGAACGAGGACTGAGAATCGACGTTGAGGACACGGACTTTGCAATCTTGGAATTCGAGTGCTTTGATCTTTTCGCTGATAGCCTGCAATTCATCTGTCAGTTAAAATTTCGAGACCATACATCATGTTTTCAAATACCTTTGTGCCTACAGCAGGAACAACTTTTTCGGCTTCAACGCCAGTAACCAGCTGTGATTTCTTCGAGTAAAACAGATGTATTTTTTCCGGGCTCTTCGACAGTGTAGTGTAATACTGCTCAACGAAATACCAACCGATCTCTTGCGGATCTGCCTTCTGAGGATTGGTAGAAGTGGTCGTACTGTGGGAGGCAGTAGAGGTATGGTTTGGCGCAGATGGAGCAGATGCAGCAAGCTCGGCTGGCTGAGTATATTGGTTTGTTCCATAGAGGCCATTTGTGCCAATAGTTTCAGCTGCCATGGTGGAGGATCAGTCTAGAGATGGAGAAGGATGCGAGGGCGAGAATGTTAGGGACTGTCGTAAGGCAAGCGTGGACGAGTTTTATGAGAAGGAGCGAGGTGTCCGTATTGTAAGAAATTCGATTCACTCCAAAGCAGTGAAAAGGTGTCGGCCACGTGCTGTTTGTGCGTGAAGAGAAGGGAGAAAGCTGCCGGTCTTATGGGATTGGAAAGCTTTTCGCAAATCGGAGCAGAGAGTGTCGTAGAACTGGTATCAAAGTGCCGAAAGATTAGGATGCCAATAGCAGTGATTTTGAAATGCAGTGAGATGAATTAATTCAACGTAAGGGAGTCGAGTGATGGGTGCGGCTCGCGAGATAGAAAAATATTGCTGCGGAGAACTAGCCGCTTATTGGCAGACGGCGGAGAGGTTCAACTTCGATGCTAAGTCCGAACTTGATGTAGATCCATCTATAAAGGATGGAGTATTCGGTATTTTTAAGACACTACCGGGATCATTATTCATGGTACTTATCAGGCTTATATCACCTCTAAACGAACCAACTTGAGATTAATTTCATATGATGTTTATCACTCGAAAAATGAAGCATCACCTTTCACGAGTCTGCAAACGGAGACGTGGTAGTAAGGTGGAAGTCGATGCAGGTGTCGCAACTTAACATCAGCATCATAAGAATGCGATAGATGAAGTGAATAAATCTTTATCAATTCTTGATTGATACTGTTGAGAGCATCTGATATTCAGCTAGCCCGTTGGCGCAGGAATTGACCGTGAGAAAAGAGTCCGAAGCACATTCGGATATCCCCAAAAAGGTGTTCTTTCATTCTTTCGTCCTTAAGCCATCGATCTATTGATAAGCCATCAGGCAGGTGATTAAACAATTGGTTGCCCGTTACCAGGTGGTCTCTGTCCCTGACTACTTCTTACTGAGCCGTTAAACAATACCAAAATCGGCGTATGACAGACCGTCGAAGTTCAAATCGTCAAGGCCTCCCTCGAATCGACTGACTGATGGGCACGTTTCTTCGCGTACGAAACGTAACGAAGGCCAGTGTCGGTAAAATAACCTCCATTGCTTCATTCACGTAAAATTAGCTTCTTCGCTCATTATGTCAGTGATACGGCATGGGGTATATAGAAGAGGCTTACAGAAACGGAACACAATGCTGGAGAAACTGCTGCTCGCTTTCAGACGACAGCAATTATCATCTCTAGCTGCAACAGGAGCAAGAAGCTGGAAACCAGTCAACGCGATTTGGATGTTGTGGCTCGCTTGCACGCAATCGTACAAGCTATGATTATAAGGTATAGCTTATAGGTTGGACATTGACCGAGGAGCATTCCTGGTACAGTTTCGTTTGGCTGATCTTGAGGCGATCAGAGAAAAAGGCCAGCAGCAGCCCTGCCGTTAGCTTTAAGGGTGATGTTAGTAGATTCGTCTCACGCAGAAACTTGGTTTGTTGAGCAGATTCGTGCTTCAATAAAAGCCTGGCCGCGAAGGAGGAACGTGTGGCGACATTAGAGAAGTCACTTCTGCGTCCTGTGTTTTGTCCACCGAGTTGCTGATAGGATTGGCGTCCTGTTCTTCTCTTGCAGAACGGTCCCTCTCTTCTCGACTTTTCCTTGCATTATTTTGCCATATACGATCCTGCTCCTGTAGTTCTCGTAGTGCTTCCTCCCACTCTAGCTCTTGTATGTTGTCACCTGTTCCGAGAACCTTTTCCACGTCGACGTCCTGTCCCCTTTGCAGCTTCTCGACGACTTCTCTTAGCTGCGCAATTTTAAGGTCCGCTTTCCGCGTGAATGTTACAAAATCGTTCTTGGTTCCCATAATGCGAATCGCTTGTGATCCGATCAGAATATATATCCAGATAAAATAAGTCGCAGGATTAGTCGGCCTTTTCTTCCCATCTTGTGCAGCTTTGTTTCTGCGGAGACCCTTTGGGATAATCGAGTCCCAAACAGACGATTGAGCCAGGCGTGGGAGATGGCTATCTCGTGAACTTGTATGCTGGAAATGTTGCTGGACGCATCGCTTTGAGAGGGGCAGAGCGTCCGATCGAGCTACATGGCATCGAGGAGAAATGCAAACGGCTCGTGAGATCCATGGTAGGCTCATGCTGCGTATTTAGGTATTTCAAAATTGATCCAACAATCGAAAGAGGTTTTGAACGCTTCACTGATAATAATTAAGGGATTTCTCGGCAACAAAAGCGCCTGTAGCTGTCTGCAGGTACGTAAACGAGACGGGGGATGATGTTGGTAGACAAGCGTGCGAACCGCCATTCTGTTTTTCAAATAATAATATATTCGTTATCAATACTCCGCACCATATAAGCAACCATACTTAACAGGTACCAACATATCTCTCGCTGTGTTCTCTACGGCATTTACGCGCTATTGCATATACATAATCCCTGTCTCCGTTCTTTCTGGCTTCCTCTTGCTATCGGTGTTCTTTGCCGTGTTCTTCACAACAGTTATGCGCAATATTAACTGCTCCCTGCTCCCCGGCACTGCTTCCTGGTCCCTATCGTTTTCGGTCCCTTCCTCTTACAAGCCAGTTTCGGCGGTGTTGTTTTGCTTTGGTTTGGTCTTTGGTTGGATATCCTCTGGCTGATTGTTGGGATCACTTGCCAATGTGCAACCTGGCTACCAGGAAACCGTCACCACAAATGTGATGCAATCTCCTGTTGTCTACACGATGCCAACGACAACCACTGTGTCGAGTATATACTCTGGCCCGTTGTATGGTCTTCACAACCAAGGTAACATTGAGGTGGTTGAGAATGTTGGGGAGAAGAAGATCATAGGGACCTTGTCCACCCAAATAACGACTCTGCTTTGAAAGGCGACAACATTTCGCCATAGGTATTGAAACCGGCAATCTCCTTCTCCTGCTCGTTAGAACAAGCGATCGAATCAGCCGTTGGAGTGCCACAGCTAAGTACTCGTCAAGTCAGACATCAATGCAATGAACGAGTACGATTTGCGCTCCCAAAACACCGGGCATGTCGCTGGTGTCGACCGAGCTGCTTCTACATATCGGGAAGTTGTGCATATTGCATCACAATCGACCAGCTGTGTTGTAGGAGTGCTGCAAAACATATTGAATGCAGGATTAAATAGAGAAACGCCTCGGAACGGAAGATTGCCGCTCTTGCTTGTGCTTGTCTGTATAACCTCGCGACTGATCTCACAGACGGAGCAACGTGGTATATAGCTAGAGTCGCAGCGATCTTGCTGGATAAGTCATCGGGTTTTCGAGCAACGAAAATGGCGGCAAGCATGACGGAACTTAACAGCAGGACGGCATATTGTCGTATAAGTGCGTGAGCTTGCGGAGTATGCGTCCCAATCTGCTTGCTTGGAAAGAAAAAGAAGTTGATACATGCTGGGATTTCGATGAAGATGTGGATCAAAAAACATAGATTATATGGCATGACTGCACCTCCTAGGAGGAACACTTCTAACAGAGAGAACAGAACCAAAACCCGGAGTATGTAGACTTGTTAGAAGTTCCCTAGTGGTTGAGTATTCAAAGATGAAGTCTCGAGGAGGCTCGGCGGGCAAAGCGGAGATTAGCTAATCATGTTTACTTTATGCCCCAATTTGGCTTCAATAACGCGCCCTCATCTACGAAATACATGGTATAGTTGACAGCAAAACTTGCACGAATGCAGTAGAGTCTAAAACTCATATATTGCATGATGCATATTCCGAATATTGTAATGCCACAATGACACTTACCTCAACTTCACGTATGGAGTCCACCGCAAATGCCTTACGCACTGAGCTGAACTCGCCCGCTCCAACGGCACAGACATTGCGCTTCCTGCGCTCCATCCTCTATCAAGCCGATACCGAACTTCAAGAGGTCAATAGCTGTCTGAAGAAAGCTCAAAATGTCACAAAGAAGCCGACGAGGCCTCAACAGCTTGGGAACGCTAGTTCAAAGCCTTCGCGCAAGGCCGAGTCCAGCTTACCCATGCACGCAGCACCGAGCAATAAGACCTCACAGCTATCTCAGACCGAGCGACGGAACCTCGCTACTGAAGCTTTCAACACTACTCTGAGGCAATTAGGACAGGCTGCAAAAGCAGTAGCGACGGCTCAAAAGTCACGCGTGGGAGAGAACTCGCCTTTGAAGCAATCTCAGGATGTCAAGCCGCTCCAAGATCGTTCGCCAAATAAAGGGACGAGCATTAAAAGCGGAATCACCAAGAAAAATATATCTCCCACTGCAGCAGGCGGATTGAAAGTGACGGTTGAGTGCGCCCAGCTGGCGTTACGGTTTCTCCGTGAAGACCCCAAGGCAGCAGAGGAAGGATCTGGAAACGCTTCATTAGATACTGAGAATGCCGCTTTGATTCTGCTAGACAAAACCATCACTCTTGGTCTCCTGCAGGAGGCGCAACATCAACTGAGCAGTATACACAAACGATACTGGGGGAACTTCCAAAGACCCCTACCGCCAGAAACGTCTCTTCCACGATTCTTGCTGGGACGTCCAGATGCGGCAGATCAACCCTCCAAGCTTCGATTCACGACCTCTATGCAAAGCCAAGGACTACGTCTTGCGATCCTGGTCGGTGCAGAGTCTCTCCGCAGTGATGAACTGGTTCAGTCAGTACATTTGAAAACAGTCGGGAGTCCGCCTTGGATTGCACTGCAGGGGTCCAAGAACGGCCTTCACGACGCCGAAGCCACTGGGATGCAGTTGCGGACTATCTCACTTGCATTGTCGAAGCTGTACTCAACTACACTAAAGTCACCTTCAAGCACATGGTCCTCGAGAGGACTGTTCGAGCTATTCTGCACCGCCCTCGATATCAAATTCAGGTCATGGAAATACCTACGCCACGCTATAGATCCGACCAGAGATGTGTGGCGCCCATTTCAGAGCGCTGCAAAGAGAGCTTTATCCAATGCAAAAGACGCTGAAGATTCTATGACCACGATACTGCATTATCTACGTTTGTTTCGAGACTATCTTAGGGATGCAAAGTGTGATGGCAACATTCCTTCCACGGTCATCGATACGCTGGCACAGATTCCCTATGAAGTGCGAGCTCCGTCAGAGCTCTTGTCATTATTAGAGGAGCAAATCCGGACCGCGAGTAACGTGGACGTTCTTCCCTGGCACTGTCAAATTGCCCACTGGCGGCTGAAGGTGTATCCGAAATCAGCAACTTCCGCAATTGAAGCGGTTCGCATAGTCAAAGATGCTTTCGAGAAATACTCCAGCGTGTCAGAATCCAGCCTTGAACGGGTTTTACTATGCGCGGCACACCTTCGCAAAACAGTTATCGAGGCGGTCAGTAGTATCGCTACCTCCTGCACAAAAGACAAAACGCTGGCCTCCTTGCATGAATGTGCACTTCTACTGGTATATTGTTCGTGCACAGTGCTATGCGAAAAGGTAGCTTCGAGAGTGCGTTGCGATGAGGGGAACATGAACGAATCCACTTTGCAAGCATTATTCTCAACTCTAGTCAAGAACATTGAGGCTGTTCTAGATGTTGATAAATATATCACGGCACAAACATCAGATACGGCAAAAGAGACTTTGAGAACATGTTCGACAACATTGGGATGGCTTCAGATCAAAATTTCAAGCGCGGCTGCTTCTGTGTCCTTGTGCCAAATGGTCGATCACTTGCATGTCCGGCTTTCGAATGCTTGGTGGTCTCGTTATCTTGATGCTGTGAAAAGGAAGAACGTTCAAGAACAAATACAGTCCTTGAGGCTGTCAGTAGATGGCCTTTCTACGTTGTCGATCGGCCAACGGAAGGCTGCTTTCCTTGGACTCAAATATGAAAGACTTGGATCATGCCATATTGATCTGAACGAGCCTATTATGGCCAGAGCAGCGATCACGAGCGCCCTGGAGTTCAATCTCAGCGAAGGAGCTCTCGGAGAGATTGTTGATCTAGCTTTAAGAGGACCTTTTGATCGAGCATGGTCGGAATCTCAGACCAACTTCAAAGTTCTGACAAAAATTCTTACTACGTATACTCGCTTGACTCTACAGCTATCCTCTACAGTCGAAAGCTCGGACCTTTTTTGGGATTGCCAGTCATTACCTCCGGTTCATCGTGCTATATTGTTGGAAAAGCAGATGTATACTTTGGCCGAAGCAGATCTGACCGAACGTCAACTCAAATTTTGTGCTGCTCGAGTACAGCTGATTCTAAATCTTCTCAAGCAGGATCAATATCGCGTATGCAGATTGAGACTTGTCAGCAATCTGCTGTATTGGGCATTGAAAAAGAGGCTGTCCCCATCACAGTGTTTTATTGACCCAACAACTATCAAACAGTACCTGCAAATTGAACCATCCCAGAAGGAAGACATTTTTCTACATACATACGAAGTAGGGTTTCGTTGTGTCGTCTCACTTCAGCAAGGACTTTTCCTAGGGGAGCTCACTAGCAAAGAGCTCGAATTATCGCTCAGGAAAATATCACAATTAGTCTTGCAATGCAGCAAGCTCAACGATTTCACCAAGATTTTTGACAACCTGGAAACGGTAGTCTCAGCTGTTCGTTCTTCTGTCGATTATGCGAGTTACTTGGAGTATCATAGAGCGAAGTCTTTAGCTTTAGAGATTCTGAGCTATGTGCGCGACTTTGGCATCCAGAAGCTCGAGTTATCGAAATCGAATATTCTCCTGCAGCTTGCAGAACTCCATGACAAGAAGTTGGATTTGGCGTCTGCTGCTGAGTGCTTCGGTCAAGTTGAAACAGCGTTGGCAGATGACAAAACCGACAATCTGCAGGAGGCAGAATTTGCATTAGGATATGCAGAGCACCATCTCGAGACAGACAATACTGCCCAGTGCTTGCACTGGCTTGAATGCGCTCAGGCGAAATGGAAAGACTCTCGGAAATGTACAGAATCCAGCAGTGTACGTCTTCGCGAACAGACGATTCTCTGTCGTGCTGCCATTATTGCTTCACGGGTCTCTTTTCGTCGAGGACAACTTTTGGATGCAGTTATCAGCGGCAGGCAATCGGTCAAGATTGCGGCAGCTCTTTGGATGTCGCTAGAAAAGGTATGGGATGTCGACGATAATATTGTGAGAGGTTCTTCCAACGACTCAGACCTGCACAATTTGACTGTTGATCTATCGAATCTCAACGTGTCATCGAGACACGCTCCCCGATTGACAATTGATGCAGCACGACTTTGGCGTCAAATTGAGCTACATGCCTCTGCTTTCAGAAACTTGGCCTCGCTTACTGCACATTGCGGTCTTTATCAGGATGCTGTATACTTTTACGAACAGGCATTAAAAGTTGCAAAGAAAACAAATTCATGGTCTCAGATTCATTTGATATCTAGCGAAATTGCCTTGGTGCATGCTCGCGCCGATGATACCAACAAAGCAGAGATGGCAATCCGAGCAACCACGCCTGAATTCTTGGATCAATTGAGCTTTGTTCCGCAGTCACTAGCTGCCGTCAATCGGAGTGAGCTCCACTTGCGTCTGGGGAGTCTCACGATCTGCCATCGGTATCTTGACGATGTGATCCGATCACTAGCGTCGTGGGCAAATGCAATCAACCCACAGATCAAGACCGCTCAAAAGCCCAAGGCGAAAGGCTCGAAAGCACCATCACGGGCCGCTGTCAAGAAGCCAAGTGCACAGCTGAAGGTAAAGAACGCCCATACGTTTGAAATGTGCACTCAGGACAAGCTTCCAACACATGCGCGACCTCAAGCTTTAGAGGAGATAGCCCAACATGCTGCTGGTCTCCAGATGAGGCTGAATTTGGTGGAAAACAATGCAGACCTAAAGGCATTAGATAATGCGGTGACAACGTCCGGCAGCAATAATCAGGCTTGGAACAATGGAACAGTCAAAGCTCTGAGTTTGATTCAATTGGCTTTGAAAAGTTTTGCTCAGGATACAAGGACTAATGTCCTCGCAGAGACTGCGATGGCCCTGCCCGTGAGATATAAGTCTGCTAGAAAGAGTGGAAGAGTTTCCTTTGTGCAGAGTGCTGCAGCTCCAGGCTTGAGGAAAAAGACAGTGCGTGCTACAAAAGGATCCCGCAGTCAAAGTGTACAACAATCAGTGCAAGACGGCAAGGAACTACTGTTGAGAGCTTACGAAAGTCTTGAGCGAATGAAGGACGCTCCTGAGGCTGCAATATCCTCCGACGACATCCATGCAGCTCACAAGCTCATGTCCCAGGTAAGCTTGCTCTCGACATCGCTGGGGCAGTCTCTTGTCAATTCGTCAATGGACCTTATCCTTGACGCGTTGGCCCCAATGGATATTGCAAGGACCCGAGAGCGCTTAATCATGGAGAGTGAACAAGTCACCTCTGGGAGGGCACTTGTTCAGAGTTGGCCGCAGCCCACAAGCTTCGAGAACTCGTGTACGGCAACATATTCGCAATATGATGCTGGCCTCGACACGGGATTGCTTCCGAAGTCCTGGTCGGTTGTCTCTCTGTGCCTGAGTGAAGATAAGAGTGAACTTCTTGTCTCACGCATCAATTCACACCGATCACCATTTGTCATCAGGATTCCTTTGTCAAGACCAGACATGTCCGAAGCAGAAAACGAAGAGCTCGATTTTGCTAGTGCCAAGGCAGAAATGCAACGCATAACAGTGGGAGCAAATGCGTCAGCGCATGATTCTCGTGGAAGCTCACCCGACAAAACAATAAGAAAAGCATGGTATGCCGAACGACAAGCTTTGGATCGACAGCTTGCCCTTCTGCTCGAGAACATTGAGAATGTATGGTTTGGCGGCTTCCGTGGACTGCTGTGCACGTCGGTCGTGGATGAAAAGTTGTTGTCAGACTTCGGCCAAAGCCTTTCCCGTACACTCGACCGGCATCTTCCATCTAGACAGAAGTCGTCTAAAGTTGCAGTCGACAAAGTTGAGCTTCACAATCATGTGATGGAATTGTTTCTTACTCTTGGCAATCCTGAGGAAGTCGAACTGGACGATGCGATAACCGATTTGCTGTACTTTGTGGTGGATATCCTCCAGTTCAACGGCGAGAAGAATGCATACGATGAAATTGATTTCGATGCGATGTTGGTGGAAGTCCTAGATGCACTGCAGACTTATCACAGTCAGAACTCGAAACAAGTGCCAAAGCCTGGTCATACGATAATGATTTTGGATAAGGCACTGCAGCTGTTTCCATGGGAGTCGATGTTGTGTCTGAAGGGGCGAGCAGTGTCACGAATGCCATCTCTGGCCGCCGTTTGGGCGCGGCTTCGACAGATGCGTGAGCAAAAACACAATCGAGATGGCATTGTCATCCCAAGCTCAGACGGTGCATATATACTCAACCCTTCGTCGGACCTCGTGTCGACGCAAAATTCGTTCGAGCAAATCTTCAGAGACCAACTCACAACATTCGAGGCAATAGTCAATCGACCACCAAAGGAACCCGAGTTCGAGAGTGTTTTGCACAACAAATCCTTGATGCTTTACTTTGGACACGGAGGGGCCGCCCAATACATTCGGGGCCGAACCATCCGCAAGTTGGATAAATGTGCGGTCACAATGCTCATGGGTTGCAGCAGCGCAAAGATGACAGAGTGTGGAGTGTACGAGCCACACGGCATGCCATGGAATTACATCAATGGAGGCAGTCCGGCCGTGGTAGGAACGCTCTGGGATGTGACGGATCGTGATATCGATCGATATGCCATGGAGGTCATTGCAGAATGGGGACTGATCGAATGTGATGGTACCACGGATACAAAGCCTGTTACCAAGCAGAGGAAGAAGGTGTCCGACAAGGGCGGCCACAGCACAGCAAAGAGGCGCCAGATCACACAGCAGCGTGGAACAGTATCTTTGGATGAGGCGGTCGCACGCGGACGGGAGGCATGCTTGTTGAAGTACCTGAATGGAGCTGCGCCCGTAATGTATGGTGTTCCAGTCTTTTTAGCATGAGTTGACGAGGACAAATGAATATTCTGCGAACGATTGGTTCTAGCAAAAATGTCGGGTTTGCTTGTTGAAGGAAGAGTACCTTTTATGTGTGAAGCCTCGACAGGCCGCGCCCAGGGTTTCTGGCAAAGAGGTTCATTCGTGAGGCTGCCATCTAATTCATAATCTGTGGCTTTGGACAGTTTGTCGACTCTCATGGCCGAGATAGAATACTCGGAGGACTTGCCTAATAGATCCCAGGTCCCTAATGCAAGGGAGGATTATGCGTTAGCGTACTCAGTCCTCCGTAGCATGTTATGATTGGCTATGGGGATCGTACTGTACATACTGTCACTGTCACCGCCATCCTCGTACCTCGTAATACGTCAGCCTCAATCCCGTCTACAGGTCATCAAGGCAACCAACATTCAGTCATTCACTCATAGCCTTCAGCCTGAAACTCTTCCTCTCTCCCTTGCCTTACTTCCCAACATCCACAACCTCTCACATTCTTTTCATCATCCTCATCTCTCTTCCCATGCAACTCGACTCTCATCGTCGCCAATTCAGCATCACCATGCCTTGCCGTTGGTCTCGCCGCTGTAGAGCAGCAGGTGACGATGTCCCAGCTACCCTCCCTTCCCCCACCTCGGCCCCGGACGTCGAAGACTGGAAAAAGATCCGTAAATACCACTTGAGAAACATGAGGAAGCAGGTCCGGCAGGTCATACTCTTGATGGCGTTGATGGAGGCTATCCGCGTTGGACCCCTGCAGCTGGTCTACGCCGGTACACATGGCTTTCCTGCGAACGGTGCCGATGACTTTGGTGTATGTTTTGGTCCAAACCCACCTCCCCCCCCCAATGATAACCAGTTGGTACCATTGGAAAAGAGCGTCCTTGACCTGTCACTGACAACCAATTCGTCGTACAGATTGCACACGCCGTTGGCTACTTCGTGAGCTGGCTGTACATGTGCGCCTTTACCATCGTCTTCGTTCCCTTCTTCAGCGTAAGTGAACCACCTTTGATCCTTGAGCCTCTTTACAAGAAGTGTTTCGGAGGGTTTCTTTACTAAACATGACAAAACCTTGCGACATATAGTGGTGGCTCCCTAACATGGGCTCGGATGATCCGGAGAACCCCTCGACCGCCGACAACTTCGTCAAAGTCTTGACCAAGATCAACCTTGTCCTCCTGCCCATGTCCGCGGGAATCAGCCTCATCACCTACGCGTACCACGCCGTCTCCGCCTTCATCTACGTCGACTCTCGTACCCGTGACAGCAAGAGATTCCCCAAGAACACCCGCAAGAATTGGCTCGTCCGTTTCTTCATGCTCCTGGGCATTGCCATGGCCACCGCCGGTGGTTACGGTGCCTTCAACATCCTCGCTGCGTGGGACCTCGCCCACGTCAAGCCGATCGAGTACGCCGTCATTGTGGTCCCGGTCCAGATCAACCTGGGCATGCTCTTTGGTACCGTTGCACAGTTCAAGATGGAGAAGAGAATGGCCAGGAAGGAGGCAATGAAGCTCGAGAGTGCCCGGCAAGAGGCAGCAAGCGTCGATGAGAAGGCCAGTCTGTTGCAGGTTTAGAGCGCTGTTTGAGAGATGCCTGGGTAGTATCGAAAAGTCCCCGGCGTGGCCTAGCCGGTCGGTCGGGAGAAGGATCTCTCTAGGTGGGGAGACCAATTGCTACCTGAAGGGCGAGAATGTTATGGGAGTTGAACGGCGCTGTCGTTGGCAATATCCACACGGCCGATCATTGTATCCATGCAAACTCTTTTAGTATCGACACAATACCAACAGTGACAGAGTCAAAATACCTTCTTGGGGTTCGTTTTGCGCCTTCGGGGCATGCGTGGTTTCTTGTTTTCATCTCTATTGATACCCTATTACTTAAACCCTAATTGTGTCAAGGACTTAAGGGGCCCCCTTTGCCCACACAACCCTTCGCCCTTTAGAGGTTCGTCGACAACTTCGAAATTGGCTAGAGTCAATCTTGATCTTACACCAGAGACAAAAAGGCGAGAAGATTACCTAGGTTGACACATAGGTATGGGAGGGAGTTTGATGGTACCTAGGCAGGGATTGAAGATCTTCGACGTTGTGACTTGGCCGGTTGTTTAGTAGGGAAGAAGGAACCTCCTTCGCTCTCTCCCTCCCCAACCTTTTGTTTGGGAGAAATGCGTGTTTATGAGCATTGATTGACACGGAGTGAAAGACTCTCTAATGAAAAAGTATCTCTAGTCTATTACCAAGTCACCACCACTAGCAGAAGTCGTTCCTTTTTTTTGGGGGTTGGCCATCACTCTTTTGAGGGAAACTTGAAGAATCGTGTTCAGCCTCGGCCTCAGCCCAAGCCTTAGTGCAAGACAAGAGTGTCATTACCAAGGTCCTCGGCCGCGTAAAGGTTACCAATGACGGTACCATCGGCTCCCATGATGTTCTCCCCCTTCAAGTAACAGTCAATGTAGACTGCCAGCTGGTTCAGGCACGATTTGGGACTCAGGTTGACGCAGCGGCATTTGGAGTCGCACCAGGAGTCGCGACCGCGGGTGATGAGTCGGCCGAGCGAGTTGCAAGAGTACCCCTTCCTCGTGCAGGCGTTGGTGTAGGATCTGTCGTCTTGACAATTGAGGGCGAAGCTGTGACGGCGGTCCAGTTGGTGAAGTTGATCCGTTGCTGAATCGTGGGTGTCGTTGTCATTGTGGTAGGGGTGTCCCAGGGGTGACTCGAAGTCGGGATGATGATGATGATGATCATGATCATGGGTTTGAGAGGAGGCGGCGGGAGCAGGATGATCTGGGTGGTCGTGGTCGTTCATGGTTCCTAGTTTCCAAACTCGAGGTGACGAGTTGGGGTGATTGGCAAGGATTCCGACAGCATCAACAACGCCAGTAACGGCGGCGGCGACGGGTGAGAAGAAGAAGTTGGGTGCAGCAGCAGCTGCTGCTCCTCCGCCGTTGTCGAGTTCGAATGTCTGCATGGAGGCGTCATCGTCGTCCGGGACCGGAGCTGCGTTGAGCAGAGCAGAGAGCAGACCAAAGATGACAATGACCGAGAGAATGAGATTGACACCTTTTGGTTTTGGAAACGTTAGTTGTGAGCTTGCTTCATATTGTGATGAGTGTGTACCTCTCATCTTGCCCTTTGTCATGCTGAACATCATGGAAATGCCCTTTTGTGGGAGGATAGAATCGAATAGCTTGATTTGTTCTTGCTGAGCACTGTGTGATGGTCAAAGCTCAAGAGTATGTAAAGAACGCTGGGAAGGGAGAAGATAGCAGAGACAGAGGTCGTTTTATGGTAGTGACTGTTGGGAAGAAAAGAAGAAGAAGAAGGAAGAGAGAGGAAAGGAGAGACGGTTGCGTATTGAAATAGGGCTCCCAAGGCCTCGTATCTAGATGAACAGTGAAGTGTTGATGACGGCACACTTGGGAAATGCGGATTGGACCGGAGATGGAGTATTCACTGGGATTTGAGACTTTCCTCACTTGTCCTTCACCTCAACCTCACAGCGTCGAACATGGCCGTTGTGCTTCTTTCCGCTTGTCTCGTGAGGGAAAAGGTAATGATGACCACTCTTTCAAGGTCAACTCAGCCTTCAAGGCAAAGGCTGAATGATTGGACAGTGAGTGTTTCCTTCGTAGCTGGAACCACGATGACGGGAGCTTCACTTTATCCCAAAATTTCATGCAAGCCCACTTGCGTATTTCTCACCGGTAAAGCCATGTTCTTCGTTGTGCATGTGGTGAGTAGGGTACTGTACCTGACTCGAGGTTCACCGTTGTTTTATTTATCTGTGAGTTTGATTGGTTGAATCCGAGTGACGACAACCCGACCGGGGGCATCATCGATGCATCTCCGGCGGGAATGGGCTGATCCTGTTTCAGGTACCCAGATGACGGGTCTTAGATCTGATAAAGCCTCATCTGAAACGTGTCCATTTATACGATGTTGGGCTGGACTTTGGTGTTTGAAGTGATTGTAACTGGTTGTGCCACGTGGGCAATCGTGACAGACCAATGGGGATTCATCCGGCCTTCAAGGGGGTCGAAGGAATATGCAATGTCCATGTCATGGCAATGAGAAGACCCATTGCTGCATCGGGTGCCGTCATCGCGCTGATGCAGGCTCTTTTTTCGATGAGTCAAAAGTTCTCCGTTCAGACACGTATCGTCCTATTGCAATTTTTCCGAGCAGGACTTTTGGTATATCCTCGATTACTCAAAGCATCTGCGAGTCGAGAGATGAGAACAGATTGCTCCAGGCAGACAGATCAAAATCCGGTCCGCCTTGATGCATAGTACTATCCCAAAACTCATCAAAGGAGGGAGGAAACTCTAGACCTGTGCCGTCGGTGTCGGCTCTACTGAGGTCAAGTTGACTCGTTGGCAGTAATCCGTCATCACCCAGGGGGTTCAAGTTCCCCCCGTCGTAAGTAGGATTGCGCAGGGTTTCGTTCGATGATGAAGTTGTACCACATTCCTCCTGCGGATATACCTTATGCTTTGATGTTACGCCACATATGGACTTTAGAAAGCGACCGAGTAATGGAGAGACGTGCTTTGCATCCTCAAACATTTGTAAAGTCGCTTTGACCTCGGCTCGTATCTCTTGCTCATCGACTTGATCTCGATTGAAGCACAAGTCCATTACGAGCACGACTAGAGCAAGATGCACATAGTGTACAGCTATCCCCATGCGTGCCGCCTTGATCCAAGGCATGCCATCCTCCGCAAGATATCTGTGAGACTGGATGACTGCCCGCGCTGATTCAAGACATGCTTGTCGAGAATACGCATACCGAACATCGGAAGATTGTCGGACTAGAAACCGGTGATGAAGCTTGCATCTTCTGCTATGGGCTGCTCTTGTGATACAGTAACGCAGGATAGGGATGTTGGGATATAAAGTCTCGAGGGTTTTCGCACGATGGCGACAGTCTGCGTCGATTCTGAAGAAGAATGGCAGGGTCGAAATGAAATGGACCAACTTCTTGTCTAGGTTTATGACTTGCTCATAGGGCATTGCCTCAAGTTTGGACGAATCCAGGGGCACGCTATCAGCCAACTCGCGACACAAATGGGCCAGACGGATCCTTTCGAGCATGTATGTCATACCGGTCGGGCGCGTTTCCGATGTCGGGCTAGTGCTTTCTCCTAGCACCACCTCGTCGTCGTCACAGTCTTTGGGAAGCTTGACATTGATATGATTAGGGTGAGTGAAATATGTGCCCTCTTGGGGACCCGAAACAGTCGACCATAGCCTGGAACTGTAAGCACATGATCTTTCAAGAAAGACAGACGTACCAATCTGTTGAGGTTATAAACCAAAATACTCTCCGCTTCACCTCGCGGTCAATTAGATCGCGAATACTAGTTTCTTTGCTCGATGAAGATCCCCAATCCGCGTCCAATCGATGGAGGCCGAGATCCCTAGCCATTGTGGCGGCAGATGTCGCCAAGAAACGACCTCTGGCCGAAAAGCCATCTAGATGAATGGTCACCACCGTCATAAAAATGTAAGCTTGAACGTCCTCCAAGGTTCCTGAAGTATTTCGCCGCGAATAGTCGAGGATATCCAGAGCACCTTTGCTAAAGACTTTGGAGAGCTGAAGGAAGTCCTGAGTATTGGTAGACGGCTGTGGGCCGTCTGGAGGCTCGTAGAAAAAAGCGGCCAAAGCAAGAATGGAGAGTAGGAGAGCGGCTTGTCCTATAGGAATGGGATCGCCCTGTTGGAGCTTGAGATAGAGGGTCTTCATGAGTGAGCGCATTGTTGGAATGTGAAGAATGCGAACAAATAAGTCCCCAGCAGCCTCGTGATATTGGAAGAGCATAGCTGCAGTTTTGTAGTCGGGGAAGGTGATGATTCTCTCGTTCCGCTGATCATACCCAGATACTTGGGTCGGCTTGAGAATGTCGGGGACGCTTCTGATTCTGAAAGATAGCTCATTCGATAGCATGTGGAGCTATGCGCGTCAGTGTTGCCCATTTATGTGCCTCTCAAGGACATTCAGGGTTCGGTTCACGTACCACTGAATCCTCCCTCGTCGCTACATTCTCAAGTAACCGTAGTTCAGCGTCTCTCAATTGGTGCACGCTCGAAGGCGTACCGCGCTCAGGTGTGAACATCTGCCGCTTATCAAGATGATAATCGCCTGAACTATATCTCGCCTCAAGTTCATGCTGAAGCAGTTGAGCCTCCAGCTTCTCGATCCGGTCAAGTAATGGTGTATTGCTCAGGGTGGTAAGATTGGAATTCTTGTCTGGATTGTTCCATGGAGGGACCAAGAAATGGCAAGAGATGCCCCTGGCCGAGCAGTTCGAGCATGGCTGAACACGATTGCACTCAAACACAGTCAATTTATTTTTGTGAACAACGTTTTGATTGGTGATCACCTTTAACTTCTTGGTTCTGATGGGAGATCATGGTCAACCAGCTTTAACCCCAGAATCTCAGCTTTAGAGACGGCTTACCTGCAGGATTGACATGACACCGGATCTGGCATACTTATAACGTTAGCAGTCTGAGGTACATGTAGGCGTGACAACTGAGCAGTCTACACTCTGTGGCGTATCTGGGATGCTACACATGTAGTCATTACTCAGCGACAAACAAGAACCTCGACGAGGCTGAAGAAGCCAAGGACGGGCCTGAAGACAAGGCTGTTTACTCCGTACCTGACCTAATTACAGTAGATTTTTTTAAGTGATGTCCCACCTAAGATGCCTCGAAAATCCGGCCTATTTCCGGTTAAGTCCCACTAGTCGCTCACGCTTAATGATGACGTCTCAGCAGTGCTGTAGGTAATTGGAAATGAAACACGATGCTCCGTGAACTTTCGTTGCAGGTGCGTTTGGTGAGAGTCGTGGTCATGAATCCTCCACCAAGACATTTCAAACATCTCAGAAGCTGCCAAAGCCGTGGCTGGTGGTAGTATTCTCCATGATGAGTTCGCGACCATGGCTCCCTAGGAGGCACTACTTTGAAGTAGCTGACCAGTCCTGGTGAGCATGACTCCCTGCGATTGTGCTCTACACGCCTTGTACACGAACTGACCAAACCTCTAGGTTCCCACAAACCCTACGAGAGAAGGTTCAAGACTATCTTACACTCGGATGGATCAATAGATTCCCCGTCATACAGTCCATTGCACCTGCCACCCTGGTCTCCCAAGTCCTTTCAAAAGTCCTCGGCTCTCGAGTCTCTGACTATGTCTACTTCGACTTTGCCTCCGGAGCCGGTGGACCAACACCGTACATCGAGAAACACCTCAACGATCAGCTACACAGAGAAGGCAAGGAGGATGTAAAGTTCGTTCTGACCGACATCAATCCACACGTACAAGCGTGGGAGGCCATTGCGAAGAAGAGCCTAAACATCAGCTACATTGAGCAGAGTGTCGATGCCACGAACGCTCCTAGTGCCGAAACACTCCTACGGAATGTTCCTGGGGTCAAGGACAAGAAGATCATGAGAATGTTCAGTCTATCTTTTCACCATTTCGACGATGATCTCGCAGCTAGGGTGCTGCAGAACGCCGTCGAGACATCAGATGGATTCTGGTAAGTTATTTTCATGTCGGACCTCCCTCATTCTGCAGGTCTGAATTGGTTTATACAGCATCTTCGAACTACAATCACGTCACTTTACTTCCTTTGTCACTGTGAGCCTGCTATGGCCTTTGGCTATGCTCATTGCGCCCATCTATTTCTGGCACTCACCTTGGCATCTCTTCTTCACTTACCTTATGCCTATTGTCCCCTTCATCTGGGTCTATGATGGGTATATCTCGTGCCTAAGGACGAGAACTCCTGAGGAAGTTGAGGCTCTTATGCGAAGTCGTGTGTCAAGGGAGGATTTGGACGGTTGGAAATTTCAATCTGGTCAAATATGTCATACTTGGCCAATAGGTTGGCTATATTGGATCATCTGTTACAAAAGCGATTGACTTCTGAGCGCTGACCAAATTCTTCCTTTCACCTGTCGCCATGTCTCATAGCACTTGTCAACAAAATTCTGTACAGCTCATTGATCAGACCTGCAACGACCTCTGCTTTTCCCTTGACTCTTCGACAATTCCTTCATGCTCTTCTCCTGGCCGAGCCCATACTGGTACAGTGTCTCTCGGGTCTGCAAAAAGAGCTTCAGCTTGCGTCCGCTCTATGGCTTTTCTGGATGATTAATGCCAGGCTTTGGACCAGTGATCGGCTTTGGCTTTTGCCGATTCGAGCGAATTCCTTGCTTGTGCTACACTTTGTTAGCACTTGCAAATCAGACTCAAGAAGTAGATCGGTAAGTCTTACAGCCATGAGTGACAGATGCATTGGACGAGAAGTTTGTAAAGAAGACTTGATCGCGGTCACTGTGAATTGTTTTGAAGAGGTTTGATGATGACCTGCAACGCTGTCATGTTGTTTGCTTATATAGCAATCTAAGCGCCGTCTCTAGCAGATGGACATAGCGCTCGGCAAGCACAACATGCAATGTATGTTCCAGAAAGACTCAGTAATGACACAGCAGACGCCAGCCAATGCGTATAGCCCTGTTCTCGTGCGGAGAGAAGGTGCGGCAAGAAGTCGATCATTATCTACCACTCCCTCGCAGCCAGGCCTCCCATCGTGATACAGAACCCTTCTTCGTCGCGCTGAAGATGCATATATAGAGGTATGGTCTCCAAGAGTTGATATTTAGAAAAGAAGGGGCCGAAGGTCGAGATTCGGGCCCGAGAGGTGCTCTCGTTTCTCCGACCCATAGCATCTATACACCGTAGAAACGATCCTTCTTTCTTTTGATAGGAAGTCCTCTAAGGATACCCAATGAGAGATTGGTATGGGGGTCCTTTATCCCTAGGCGCCTTATAACCAGGAGATAAGACCTCTAGAACGTGTAAAATCCGACTGCAGGGCTCTCAATACAATGTTGAGTCTACTGGCCGTAAGGAGTAGGCAGGCATCGTAAAATCAGGCGACCAGCACACATCCTACAAGTAGACGGCCCTCACCCAGGAACATCACCACTCGATCTTGCATTTGGTAGCAACTCACCATGAAGTACGACAACGTGCTCGTTTTCGGTCCAACAGGGGGCGTCGGAAGCGCTGCAGCGCTCTATGCCCATTCTCTAGGTGCCAAAGTCTGGCTAGCGATGCGAGACACGGACAAGGCAATCTCAGGTCTCACGCCCGAACAAGAACAAAATTCACCCGGTGCGTTCATGCGTGTCCAGGCAGATCTATTGGACGCCACATCCGTTGCGAATGCCGTTCGACAATCGGGTGCCAAAGCGGTGTTCACGTATGCGTCGCGAGATGCGTCCGCCATGCAACTCGCCGCCAAAGCCATGAAGGACGCTGGCCTGGAATACGTGGTCCTGCTCTCCTCATCCAGTCTGCAACGAGTTGGCGATCTTCGAGCGGTCGAGAGGACCGACTTTATTCCATTCATACACGCCCAGGCGGAGCTCGCCATGGAAGATGCCGGGCTTGCTTTGACGGCCGTGCGACCGGGTTACTTTGCCAGTAATCCTGTGAACAATGAGCTAGACCGGTCACAGTCGCCGGCGCGGGTTCGATTGTTTCGAGCAAGGGAGAATCTCTTCGACCCGGTTGACCCTGAGGACATAGGTCGCGTGTGTGGGAGCGTGCTCGTCACGAGGCCTTCTCAGGGCCAGAAGGAGTTGGTGTACGTCCAAGGCCCGGAGATCATGAGCAACAACGACATCTGGAAGACGATTGTCGAGGTCACGGGGGAGAATATTGACATTCAGCATGTGGACAAGGAAAACTATGTGCAGTCGATGGCGACGAAGATGCCGATGCCCCTTGCGCAGTATCTCGCCGGCTTGCAAGAGCAGGACGGGGAAAGGTATGATTTGGCATTGTTGGCACAGACAAGGGGAAATGTGAAGAAGTATACAGGGAGGGAGCCGGCGGTCTTTGCAGACTATGTCGCCAGGCATAAGGATGACTTTAAGTCCCTGAAGAAGTGAAGGGAGGATCTTCCTGCTTCAGTAGGTAGTCTTCCACAATACTCTCTCGTACGATTTGACGCCTAGACGGCGACCTTGATACTCATGTATGGCTGGTTTCGGGGAGTGATAACGAAGGGGGGGAATCCTGGAGTCTTCTCCCGAGGTTCAAATAGTGGCTGCTGTTGTTGTTCTCCAAAGACTCTCGTAAACGTCACTAAAATACTGAAGTGGAGACGATCATGAGCGTCGGCATCTTTGCACAAGTCTGATCTTCTCGTGGGGTGAAGCCACATCTTTCTCTTAGACAGAAATAATCTTGCAAGAGTTGTAGCATCGTCGTGGAATTTATCAAGGATATCTAAACACCAAACCAGCCCATCTTTTTCCTACGTCCTTTCTTTTTTGGAGCTCTCTCAATGGCTTCAGCTGCCTCGTCTCTGAAAGCTGCGTCTGGAAATGACCGCTTCAACGACGAAGCAGCCAAGTGGGACAGTAACCCCTTTGTCCACGAGGCCAGCAAACATGCATTGAAAGCCATAGTGGCCAAGTTCCCCGCGCTGAGACAACCTCCCGGCGAAACCGGTCTAGATGTCCTCGAGATCGGCTGCGGCACAGGCCTCCTCTCGTCCATCATGGCTCCCTATGCGAAAAGGATAGTGGCCGTCGATGCCGCGCCCGGCATGATCGATGTGCTCAAGGCGAAACTACAGAAACCCGACGCGCCCCGCAACATCACCCCCGTGGCTGTCCTTCTCGAAGACCCCGAGGACAAAAGTCTACCGCCTCAGGACGAGCGGGAACCCGACGGACGGCGGCTGAAATTCGACCTGATCACCTCGCACCTGGTGCTGCATCACATTCCGGACCTCAAGGGGGTCTTGACCACCATGCTGGGCTGCCTGAAGAGCAACGGGTGGGTGGCCCTGACCGACTTTGAGGACTACGGTCCAGAAGCGAAGGCCTTCCACGCACAGGCCAAGATGGGGGGCGTCGAGAGACACGGAACCAACGCCGACGCCATGGAAAAGCTCATGAACGAGGTCGGCTTCGTCAACGTTCGAGTGGTGCGGGCATGGAGCATGGACAAATCCGTGGAAAAGTACGAGGGCGAATTCGGTAGTGCGGGCAAACCGACCCAGCCCGGCCAAGGCGAGATCAGGAGTTTCCCCTTTGTCCTCTGCATGGGCGAGAAGAAGTATTGTCAGCCTTGATCGTGATAAAGTTGACTCGGTGGCGACGCGCGATGGCTGGCCTATCGACTCCTCCGACGTCGAAGGCGTTTTGGCATTTTGTTCAGCCACCAAGATGCCACTGTGGACAAAAACAAAAGATGGCTTGACTTTTTGATTGTGGCACTTGTTGCTCCGAGCTTTCTTGGGTAGACGAACGGGTTTGCACCACGCTAAGGTTTTTACATGCCCTATCCACAAAATGATATGCCGGCCACGAAACCCAGACCCTGAGAGAATCATGTCTCCTTTAGCCGTTGAGATGCGGAGGTTAGAACCGCCTCAATCAGGTAAATGGCTAGAAGCCACAGATACGTTCTACCTTACTGATATCGTTGGTTAACTTTTCTTCTGTTTTTTCCTTTCCCCGACGTCTAGAATCAATAACTAGATCGACTAGTTTCTGTTGTGATTGATCTGTGCTCACAGCCTTGCCCGTGAATGGTCGGAAGCGGAGGAAGGCTGGCTTGGAACGATGCGGAGAAACTTTGATCCAGAGTCGACACTACCGAAACTCTCCATCCGCGACTACGAAGTTCTCGTCCTCGTAAACAAAAGCCTCTTTCATTTTTCATCCCATTATGCTCGTCTATTACTTCACGACGGGGCCCTTCGTCCAGATAAGGCGAGTGTCCTCAATCATTGTTGAGCTCTAGAACCTTTCTGCAACAAGACGAATATGGTCTTCAGTAACCTTTCAACACGACCGTACCTGTCAATGGACCTGGCGAACGGACCTGATGATCTGTGCGTGTCACCATGGTTGCCCACGCACCTCGTGTTTGCACACGTTCAATTGCTACAGCAGCCGCAAAGGCCACGGTGAGTGTCCAGCATGGCTTTTGCCAGGCGGATGTTAGTCTTTTGTCGATGCTTTGAGGGTTTTCGTTGTGTTTTTTGGGTCTCTACAGCCTATATTGAGACATTCGTGGCTTTTCAATTTTTACAGTACTTTCGGGTTCGTTCATCTGGCACTACGACTATCCCCGTGCCTTTTTTGTAGACACAAAAGCACCTCTTTTTCTGGCTTGAAATCGTGTTCCCCAAAAAGCAGCAATGTGAACAGAAAAGCAGTATGACTTCTTTCGAATCCGCCGTCGCATCGGCCATTGCGTTGGGGGCATTATCGGGTTGTTTTGTTCTGGTTCGGTTTGTGGCACGTATTGCTTTCGTCAAGCACGTTGGACCCGATGATGGCCTCATCGTACTTGCATGGGGTGCTGCTGTAGCGCTGGCAGTTGTTGCTCATCAACGTAAGTTGATATTGATATCCCTTGTCCTATGTAAAGAAGAGCACTAATGCATTGTGCGACCACCAGAGAGCAACGACAATGTATCTTCGAGATCATCATCATCATCCTCGTCGTCGTCGGAAGCCGGAAGTGGCATGACGACGCTGCTCAAGCAACTGTGGTCGTCGAATCTGACCTACAACCTCGCCGTCTTACTCCTCAAAGACTCCCTTTTATTGCAGTATCTTCGATTTTCAAAGGATATCGGGTACAGGCGAGCGTGCTGGGCGTTGGGCGCCATCATCACCATCTACGGAGTCACGGCCTTCTTCGTCGGCATTTTCTCCTGTCAGCCGATCAACTTCAGCTGGAACAACAAAGTCTCGGGCGGCAGGTGTATCAATTTCCTGGCGTTTTGGCTCTTCAACGCATCTTTCAACTCTGCCACAGACATCATCGTCTTCGTTTTACCTATACCAGTGCTGCGGGCATTGCAACTCCCCAGACAGCAACTATGCATCTTGTCTTGCATCTTTGTCCTTGGGCTCTTGTGAGTTTTCAGATCGAAACGGGTGCTATTCGGAATGACTGACTTTCCCCCTTTCAGTGTCTGTATAGCATCAATCATCCGTCTAACAGCAGTGTACTCGGCCATCGTCACGCAGAAAAACGACCCATCCATAGCAGTCTGGTCGACAGTCGAAGTGAACGTTGGGATCATCTGTGCCTGTCTACCATCGATCCGCCACCTGTTGGCACAGGCTTCGCCTAGGATCCTAGCCGCTTTCCGACCCCGTCTCAACTTTCCTCAGCACCATCCACCACAAACTCCCACCACTGTTAGCAGTAGTTTCCCGCAGACTTCCGAAGAAAAGAAAACAGCCACATTCGAACTAAAGGCGTGCACTTCGGACAGTGACGCCGCATCATCCCACCACAGTCCAACCACTTGGCGTCAATCCGACGAGGAAGCCATCACTCCACGAGAAACACCATCATCTCCGACATCTGTATATGAATCTACCCCTTCCTCGCCCTCCATATCAACCATCAGAGCTGTCGACGATCAGCCCGAAGAGGAAGAAAACGAACGAGAAGACAATGACGACAATACTAAACCCCTTCCTCTCCCACCACAACCTTTCATTCCTGCCCCTGCCACTCGCCCTTCTGGCCCTCGTCCCAACACCTCCTCCTCCCGCCCACAAAAGCCACAACATTCTCGCACCCACTCTCGTTGGCGCTCACGGTCCCGCTCCCGATCTCGCACACGTTTTGACCTGGCCATAATTCCCGAAGCCGACTCTAAGCGGTCGAGCATAGTCCAATTCCCAGACTCTAGCCTCACACGTAATACTACTGCAACTAGTAGTAGTCCAAAGTCACCTCTCCGACCTCAAGGTTCACGACCACAGCCATCCGCCCAGACAGTTCCTCCTGTATCCACCATCACGACTCCCAACACCACCACGCCGTACCACCGCATTGCACCCTGGACTCAGCAACAACACCTGTCGGTGGCGGCGTGGTCTCCTTCATCCCCGCCGTCGTCGCCGGAGAGGACTTCGACCTACAGCTACGAGATCCTCGGCGGACCTCGAGCGCAAGCCCGCAACAATACCGACGACGCAAAGTCACCTTCGTCGCCCTCGCCCCCCTCATCTCCCAACAAAGGGACCGCCACGACGGCCGGAGGCGGTGGTTCCAGACCGAAATTGTTCGGCCCCTCATCCTCCGCCATCACCCCGTCCAAATCCATGCGGGAACGTGCCGCGAGGGAAAAGGAACGAAACCGGCGGAAAGAGAGGGAACGAGAACGAGAGGAAGAACGTTTACAAGAGCGGTCGAGGCAGAAACGGGACGGTGAAAGACCCCGGGGCCCCAGAGAGATGACATGATCACGATATGACACTTTCGACGTAGAATTCCTCCTTCTGTTTCTTTCTTTTTTGGGCCCAATACATTGGACCTAATACATACCCAGGTATCCAGCCGATACGGTGTATATATACATTTATGTTTAATCTAGGGTGATGATGTCTAGGCATTAATATATAACTGCGTGTGCTACATAAGTACAGCTTTATTTCAAAATGCTTTGCGCAAGCATTGTGCATTCTATAGACATACACATACCCACGAACACACACACACACACACACACACACACACACACACACACACACACACACACAGGTCCATAATAGTATCATCACTACCCATACAGAGAGTATTTGTGATTTTTATCATGCTTTTGAGTGTATGATTCTAACCCCAGCCCTTTAAGCTGCAGACAAAAGTAGTGAACACAACGACTTCTACGGAGCGCATTTTCTGGGCACAGAGCGGTGCTTTTGATTCTCTTCGTGTTTCTCCAGATCTAAGGAGTGGTCGAATTGCGCGAGTGTCATGATTGACTAACATGGTGGTAAACGTCCTCTCGTTAGGTATTGTCGATTCTACCCTTGAATCTAGAAACGGTTAAAGAGACAGCGGTTTAACAAACGGAATCGATTGAAGACTTGATATGTGACTAGTTACAATGTGACACTCTCTTGTCTAATACCCACTTCCTTCTTGCCCATCTTGCCACTCTCAGGCCTCAAATTGGTTCAGGTTGTGTTTCTTTTTTTTGACCAAGCCAGGAAAATTGTACAAGCGATTTTGGAACACGTCTGTAGAGCGAATTTGGTCAGTGAATGATCGCACCTAGGATAGATAAAACAACATACCTATGTGAAGCTCTTGGTGAAGCTGACGACGACCTCCTTCAGCTGTTGCTCGAGGTCCTTGCTCAATTGACCCTCCTTGTCAATACTTGCCAAAAGCTCAGCTTGATCAGCCTTCAAGTAGGCGAGGAAATCAGACTCCCATTGAAGGATCTTGCTGACTGGAACGCTGTCCAAGTGTCCGTTGACACCAGCGTAGATAAGAGGAACCATCTCATTGACAGCCATGGGTGAGTATTGCTTCTGCTTCAAGAGCTCGGTAAGACGTTCACCACGGTTGAGGGTCTGCTTAGTGGCAGCATCAAGATCGGAACCAAACTGGGCGAAAGCGGCGACTTCTCGGTATTGGGCCAAGAAAAGCTTCAGAGAACCAGCAACTTGCTTCATGGCTTTGAGCTGTGCAGCTGAACCGACGCGTGAAACAGAAAGTCCGACATTGATAGCAGGCCGAACACCCTTGTAGAAAAGTTCACCTTCCAAAAAGATCTGACCGTCGGTGATTGAGATAACGTTCGTTGGAATGTATGCAGACACATCGCCGCCTTGAGTTTCGATGATAGGCAGAGCTGTCAAGGATCCTCCACCGAGCTTGCTGTTCATCTTCGCCGCACGCTCCAAGAGTCTGGAATGAAGATAAAACACGTCGCCAGGATACGCTTCACGTCCTGGAGGACGGCGAAGAAGCAGGGACATTTGTCTGTATGCAACAGCTTGTTTCGACAGGTCATCATGGATAATTAGGGCATGCTTGCCATTGTCTCTGAACCACTCAGCAATAGATGTCTATAACAAAAGTAGTCAGTAAAGGTTCGTGGAGGTCAAAAAAGTAGGAAAAGTAGGAAAGCGACGACGAGATGGAGGAAATGCAGTGCCAAGAACTAGACAGCCGAGAAAATAGTCGATGGGAAGTAGTCGTGAACAAGTCATTGGTTGAGTTGCTAGATATTAGTTGAAGACGATGCGTGGCTTCAAAAATGGCGAGAGACAATTAGTGGCGAGATAGCAATGGTGGTCCAGTCAGGATCGCCAACATCGGAAGCTGCCAGAAGAAAGGCGTTTTTTCTCGCGGTGCTTCCAATTATCTTCATGATCCTTCAGACTTTCAGAGCAGGTGAGGCGTAGCCGTGAAATATACATGGGGAGGGCGAGCTCCAGAAAGACAACCGATCCAGCTGCAAGGAACAGTAAAATGAGTCCAGGAAGGACACCCTTCCGATCTTCCGAGCGAACAATGTGGTCCTTGCTACAATGAAGGGGAAATGAAAGTGGAAAAAACTTACACCAGTGAAAGGAGCAATGTACTGCAGAGGAGCAGCTTCAGAAGCCGTGGCCGCAACAACGATGCTGTACTTCATAGCATCGTTCTCCTCAAGAGTCTTGACAAGCTGAGCGACAGTAGATCGCTTCTGACCAACAGCCACGTAGACACAGTAGAGCTTCTTGGTCTCGTCATTACCAGAGTTCCATCTCTTCTGGTTCAACATGGCATCAAGAGCGACGGCAGTCTTTCCGGTCTGACGATCACCAATGATCAACTCACGCTGACCACGACCGATCGGCACCATGGCGTCGACAGACTTGAGGCCAGTCTGGACTGGCTGGTTGACAGATTGACGAGGAAGGATACCGGGGGCCTTGATTTGAGCACGACGTCTCTCGGTGGTCTTGATGGGGCCCTTGCCATCGATCGGGTTACCGAGAGCATCGACGACACGACCAAGCATAGCCTCACCAACCGGAACATCGACCTAGTATCATTTAGCTCAACATCTCCCATTGAATCCGGGTGATCCTACAATCTGGCCGGTACGCTTAACAGTTTCTCCTTCTCTGACGAGACGATCGGAACCGAAAAGCACAACACCGACTTGGCCTGCTTCCAAGTTCATGCACATGCCCTTGACACCGGAAGCGAATTCGACCAGCTCTTCGGCCTGGACATTGCTCATGCCATGAACACGGGCGATACCGTCACCGACGGACAAAACACGGCCAGTCTCAGCGAGGCCTGCCTCCTCTTGAACTCCGCGGATTCTTTGCTCGAGGATGGAGGAGACTTCGGTAGGAGAAGCTTTAGCATCGGCAGCGTATGATCGAACCTGTTTTGAGGCGGCATTGAAAGGTGCGGGAGCAGCGACACGGGACTAGCAAAGATTTTGATTAGCCGGGAACTCTCGAATTTGGGATTCGAAGCGGCTGATATTGCGATCTGAAGCTTGGAAAACAGTTTCGCCAGCTAGTCGATGGTCATAGAGATGCTTTCGAAGCTTCCAGGCTCGAACAGAGGAGAATTTGAGCTTACCGCAGCTATTCTTCCCGATGCTGAAATAGCACCGGCAATGCGGCCGGACTGGCGTAGAACGTTCCTCGACATCATCTTGCCTACTCGCGAAGCTTGATATAAAGGACCTCCGAGAAGCAAAAGGCGAAATGAGATGGCTCAAACGAGAGGGGAGAGGAGATTGATACACTGAGGTGAAAGGTGAAGAATACCTTAGCTCTCCTGGACTTCGGGATTGCAAGGCCTGCCAAGCGACTAAAAGTCACGTGAAGAATATTCTGCTTCGAAGCACAAGGGCGCGCACGTCGTACATACGGCGGAGTAGTAATGCTCCATGTGCTCCAACTTTCTTACGAATGGCTCTGTGGCTGAGTGGACTTGACCAGGCAGGATTCAGGAGGTATCTTTTTCTGCATAACGGCTGCGTATCGTCTCATGGAAGTCATCTAAGAGTCAGTATGTTTACATGTACAACGAGAAACCCAAGAAGACCGCGCCATGTCGACCCCCAACCCTCAAAAGTCGTCCCTTCCTCCGCCGTCTAAAGACAAAGCGGCTTCCCCGAAAGTAACCTCTGAAGATGTTGAACTCGAACCAGTACAGAATGGTTCAGCAGAACGAGGTCTCCCTTTGGAGGAGGATATTATGCAATGCGCCCGCATTGGCGCTCTCGAATTCATTCAGAAGATGATCCAGTCTGGGAAATATACTGCGTCGTACAAGGATGAAGAGGGCATCACCCCCCTTCATTGGGCTGCCATCAACAATCAATATGCCGTGTGTAAATACCTACTAGAACAAGGTGCAGACGTCAACGCGAAAGGAGGAGAGTCTAATGCGACGGCTGTTATGTGGGCTTCTCAGAGATGTCATTTCTACATCGTCAATCTCCTGCTGCAAAACGGCGCTGATCCTCTATTGACCGACGGGCAAGGCTACAACATCCTCCATCTGGCAACCATCGACGGGAATGCCCTCCTGATGATTCTCCTGCTGCATCAGAATATACCTGTGGACATTCCGGACCCTCAAGGACACACAAGCTTGATGTGGGCAGGATACAAAGGCTGGCCTGCCTGTGTTGACCTCCTTTTGCGCTGGGGAGCGAACGTGAATGCAAGAGATGATAATGGCTATACCCCTATACACTGGGCTCTGGTCAAGGGCTCCAAAGCCTGCTTGGATAAACTGCTGGAATACGGAGCGGACAGATCTGCAAAGACCAACGAGGGCAAAACACCAAACGTCTGTGCCGATGAGATGAATACGAAACGAGTGTATCATCGTTCGTTAGCCGACCATGGTTATGATGCCTCGGGCAATGTCAAGACTCTCCCACTTGGCCTACACACTGTAGTTCGTGATCGATCTGCGATGGCCAAGTTTTTCTTCCTCTATCCTTTCACAATCATCCCGATCGGTCTTTATATCATTAGTCACCTCAGCATCTTCATTGGTCTCCCGATCTTTTTGGTGGTGTGCTTGGGAATGCAATACATTGCACAACGAATTGCCATGATCAGTCACCTCGAATATCACACCATCCATAAAACACCCTATCTGGCAGGCATTTTTGCTGGCACGTTATTTTGGGTCGGCTTCAACTATCTCACCGCGATACTACCTGCCACATTTTCCTCAAATCTGTTGTCAAATCTCTCGTTTGCGGTTTTCTATGCCGGCACGAGCTACTTCTACTTCCTCTCTATGTTCCAGGATCCCGGTTGGGTTCCTAAGTTGGCCTCACGGAACCAGCAACGCGCCATGATTGAAGAGCTCTTCTCGCTCTGGAAATTTGACGAAGAAAACTTTTGTGTTCAATGCATGGTTCGCAAGCCACTAAGGTCCAAACACTGCCGCCGCTGCCATCGCTGTGTGGCCAAACAAGATCACCATTGCCCATGGATACATAATTGCGTCGGAAATAACAACTTGCGCCACTTCTACATCTACATCCTTTGTTTGGAGGTGGGCATTATCCTTTATGTCCGACTGGTGCTCGCCTACCTCTCTGTGCTCCCCACTCCGAGTGAGGACGCTGTGTCGAAGTGCAACATTCTTGGCCCTGGACTTTGCGGGTTCGTGCTCCGCGATCCCTGGACTGTAGCTCTTGCGTTTTGGGCCGTGCTTCAGCTCGTCTGGGTGACGATGTTGATAGTTGTGCAGTCGGTACAGATATCCAAAAACCAGACAACTTATGAGAACATGAAACGGCATGAGCACTCTCATGAGAACGCACCTTTGCTGCCGCAGCACGTACGACCGGTCACGCAGGGTGTTACGACAGCCACGTCCTCCCTCAACGACACAGCGGCTGCTTCAACACGGATCAACCCTGTCCCACGACGTCCCGAGGGTTGCCTTTCACGCTGGAAGAAGATTATTGGTCTCGATGCGTTCTTAGCCACCGCGTCAGATGCCTCGCATGGCAAACTCCGGTCTCGAAATTCGAATTCCTTCAGTCGCGGTATCATCGGCAACTGCAAGGATTTCTGGTGCGATCCGGCACCGGTTTTTGGCAAGAGGAAGAATGGAGAGGGCTTCCTCGGCGGCGAAGTGGTGGATTACGCACATATGTACGATGTACCTCTGAGACTTCGGAGGGGCGCTGGTGGAATGGCATATACCAGCGTTGCAACGGACGATGATGAGCCATGATTCTTTCGGTTCTGATGGGAATTGGAGCTTGTAAATTTTGATTCTTTCTTTGCCGAACCGAACGTGAAGCTCCCTGGGTGATTCACGCGTGAATTGAGCAAAGGTTCCTGGGGATTCTTATTTTGTGTCTCTTTCGGGATTGATGGATCGACGATCGGCAAGGAGATCCAAACAAGATACCATTTTGTACAGAAATCTTTGGAAACCTCTTTTTTCCTCACCTGGTCTCGCGTAGTCGTGATCATGTTCAACTTGACTGTTTCCTGACCCTGACCCTGCAAGGCAAGCCTCCCTCCATTGGCAAGGTCAGACTGTTCGCACTCACTCTGTCGGGTAGGAGGACGTGTTCGTTTTGGACGTTACCGTTGCTTGTCGCTGCGTACCCGTCGGCGAGGACCTCGTCAAATTCCCATTCCGTACAGATCCTGACCAAGACCCACACGGCCATGACCTCTGCCATCTTCTTGCCCAGACACGCCCTCGGCCCGCCGTTGAAGACAGGAAACTCGAACGGTGACTTGGGTGTGAAGTTGTGCCCGCTGCGGCTGCGGTCGTCGTCGAGCCACCGCCGCGGTCTGAAGAGGTGCGAGTCGTCGCCGAACACCTCTCTCGCCCGGTTGAAGGCGTGGATGCACCAGACCACCACGGCGCCGGGAGGGAGGTAGGTCCCGTCCGGGAGCGTGACGGGTGGTTTGTCCGTCGCCGTCTGTTTGATCTCAAAGGGAACGGGAGGGTGGAGACGGAGGGCCTCGTAAAAGGTGGCGAGCGTCAGCGGGAGGTTCGTGGGTTGCAGGGATGCCACGTCGAGGGCGGCCTCGGCGTCGTTCTCGACAACGTCGGGGATTTTGGTGGTGACCTCGGCCCTGAGGTCCTCGAGGGCGGTCCGGTGGCGCAACAAAGCGTACAAGGTCCAAGTGAGCGACTGGGCCGTGGTGTCGCGGCCCGCGGACAAAAAATTGAGGGCGGCGTCGGCGACCACTAGAGGGTCGGCAAGGGACTCGATGAGCGAGTCGATCAACGTACCACCAAAGGCGTCCTCCGGGATGGGGTCGTCGGTGATGAGGCTCTCGAACGCGGCTCGCGACCGGCGTCGACGTGCGTTGGAAACGATCTGACGACCGAATTGCTTGACAGTGGCCAGGGAGTCGCGGAAGTCGGACCCCGAAAAGACTTCGGTGAGACGGTAGAGGGGGTTTTGAAATCGGAGGCTGATGTGGGACGAGGCGTGGTCAAAGGCTCTGCTGAAGGGAGACGAGGCTGATATTTCCATCTTTGGTACAACAACAGCAGAAGGCAACAAAAAGTCAGATGGTGTTGTGTGAGAATGGTTTCAAGTTTGGGCACCTGGGTTTGGACCAAAAACAAGGGGGATGAGGAGGAAGGGGAGGGTTATGAGAAAGAGGGCAAAAAAGGTCATTATATAGTAACGTAGTCTCTTACATCGTATGCCATGTGTCCGACGACAGTGGTCGTGAGGTCGTGAAAGATTTGTTGTAAATCGACGACGGTGCCGTCCTTCGCTGCCTGCGAGAGTTGTTTCTTCGTCATGTCGTTGTATACTTCGGGCAAGACATGTTCGACGAGAGCGTCCAGGTTGGCTCCACTGAAGAATTTCAGGCCGGCTTTACGTTGAGCTCGCCATAGGTCTCCCGTGGCGTTGATGATGCCGTACCCTGTATACATACATAACATTTGTGAGTAGTTTTATAAAAATATAACAACCAGCTTAGTCTAACGATCTCTCTTCACCCTCACCTCTCCATTTGCCTGGCCCACGCGGCGCCTTGTGTAGGAAACAAACAACAGAACAGAAACGAAGGGATCTTTTGTGGTGCTCTGCTTACTCACCGAACAAGTCCCACGATCTTGATCTGAAGAACTCTCCCTTGGTAATTGTCGATTCGTTCTTCAAGACAAACTCCAGGTTTTCGGGGCTGTTGATGACCACCCCAGGCGGCAACGTAGGGACCGAGATCTCAAAGGTTTCATGGCCAAAAAGCTGCTGGCACTTGACAAACCAGTCGAACAATACGTGACGCGGTTTGAGGAATTGGATTGCATTCCCGACGATGGGAAGAGTATCCGGTGGACGTCTGGGTGTTGTGAAAGTACTTTGAGTTAGAAAGGTAGTAGATGAATGACTTGGGTACCTAGGTAGGGATTGTGCTCCGTAGTATTCCTATCTGTAGGTAGTAAGGATATAACTTGCCTTAATTTTTGACCATTTCGATGAATTCCAGGACTTCTCTTGCTCGAGACGTAGTAGAGGGAACCAAGTGTACACAGCAGTAATGCAACGAGGCTTGTCCAGATCATTTCTTGACCCAAACCGGGGGGAGCGTAACCTGGAAATTGGTTCGAATCGAAGGGATTCTGGAACGTAAAGGCGAGGCCTAGATACTGCAGTCCATGTACTCGTCGTATCCGTATGGCTCATGGACTAAAGTGTCGTCCTTAGGCCGAATAGAGCCGCGTGCACGGGGGACATGCGCCAAGCTATTGTCATTGAAGGGTTCGATGTGTTGGGAAAAGATTACGAGTGCAGATAACTCGTGGCAAGTTGAGTAAACAGGAGAATGAGCCAGTCGGGGCCAGCCTGGACTCCGTACCTTGCTTGGAGCAGTGCGAGGGTCTACGGTATTAGAGTCTGCGAGTCTTTCAATTAGGGGGTTTATGATGGCCCCCACAGCTGTCAGGGCTCAATCTATTGGGTCTTTCGGGGGCGGTACTTAGCCTAGGCTGCCCCCCCGGGGCGATTGTGTGGTGATATCGTCGCCTGTTGATTCGTCGGCATTGCATCCAGCTCACTTGGACACGATCATCATCAATGACCAGTCCAAAAGTCTCTCGCATCTCGCATCTCGCATTCTTGTACTCCGTACGGACTGACCTACCAATTCTCAGTCCCTCGTGTGCCTCGATTTTTGCGGGTTTGGAAGTGGCGCCTCCAGTCATCTGGAAGCTCTCCTTATTGTCGCTCATTACTCGTAACCACCCTCGTTCATGGCTTAAACCTCGGTTTCAGTTGTGTTTCAAGCATTGCGATAGACAAAATAACCCACGTCATCATCATTCGGTGTAAATTGTTGAGTCTCGCTTGATGCTTTGTTGGGCGAGGACCACGACCATCGTGCAGCCCAAAGGACAGCAATGTCGCCCTCTGCAATGCACAATAAGGTCACACCGCCCTACCAGCGACCTAATTTATATATTCACGGTATCGGCGTTGAGTATCCTCCTCACGAGATCAAGCCGGAACAATTGGCCACTCTCGCAAAGCGCCACTATCCCAGTTCTCCAGCGTAAGCGTTTGTCCTACCTGCCTGACTGCCCCCGTGGGATCTTCCAGACGCTGACAGGTCGCAGACTTGACAAAGTGCTGACGATCAACGAATACACCGGCATCGATGCTCGTTCAGCGATTGGGACCATCGACCACCCGATCGCCAACGGGCCTGAAGCCCCTTCAATAGCCGAGTTGTGCGAGGTGTTCCTGGACGAGGGCGTGAAGCTGTCCGTGCAGGCATGCCGCAAAGCTCTGGAACAATGGGGTGGTGATCTGTCAGAGATCACGCACGTTGTTGCCACTACTTGCACCAACTCCGCCAATCCTGGTTATGATCACTATGTCGTCAAGCAGCTCGGCTTGGACCAGAGCATAGAGAAAGTCCTCCTCCATGGAGTCGGCTGCAGTGGAGGACTGGCTGCACTTAGAACCGCTGCCAACATCGCTCTTGGCTCCAGCTTCCGTCGAAAACCAGCGCGCATTCTGGTCTTTGCCTGTGAAGTTTCTAGCACCCTCGTTCGATCTGAACTGGACTCGATACACAAGGATCAGGAGATCAGGATAGGTGTCGCGCTCTTTAGTGACTGCGCGTCCGCTGTGGTCCTGGGAAATGGCTTCAGCGATCGATACGATGAAGAGCCGATTCTAGAGCTTCTGGATTGGGATCACCGAATCATTGAAGACACTGAGAAGGATCTCGGATTCGACGTCGACCCTGTCGGTAGGTTTTGATTTCATCACCACCATCACAGACACAGCTTGCCGTCTGACATTGATCTAGGTTGGAAAGTCGTCTTGACTCAGCGAGTTCCCAAGCTTGCATCGGCAGCAGTGCCGGCCATGTTCGAGGATCTGGTCGGATCGATTCCCGAGTTGGTCGATGCAGGCAAGTTCAAAGCTGCCGATTACGACTGGGCGCTTCATCCTGGTGGTTCCACCATTATCACTGGAGTTGAGAAGACCATGCATCTAAAACCTGAACATCTTCGCGCCAGTTATGAGATATACATTTCGCATGGAAACAGTTCCAGTGCAACCATCTTCAGTGTAATGAAACAGCTACTGAAGGGAGATACCACCGAGCACATTGTCGGATGCGCCTTTGGGCCAGGTATAGCTGTGGAGATGATGATCTTCAAACGTGGCATCTCGGGGTCGAGTTCGGAATCAGCAAGTCCGACAGCATCTCTACCAGAGACACAGAGTCCTCCATAGAGAGAGAGAGAAGGCGTCATGGTACGCCTTACGATGTCACCTACACCTTTGCCAGTGTCCTTAGATACTCCGTAAGAAGAAGAGAATCGGTACGAGGTAGGTAGATGTGCTTCGCCACAGAAATACAGCGAATTAGAAACGGGTCGAATCCGGCTTTTCTCTCTCTCCCTCTCATTCTGTTCTATCTTTTTACACGAACAATGCGATTTCTCATCTGGAACTCTTCTCACTTGCTTCTGCCAAGGGAATGAAACAAGTCATCGAGCATCTCCTTTTTCTCAAGATCTTGTATGAAAGACCAGATGCTCGAAATGGTTTTCTCATCCATGACAGTGCCAGCTAATGTCCGGAACTTCTCTTCAATGTCCCCAGGCTGTGGTGGGTTCTCCCTGGTGCCCCTTCGATGAAGTTCCCTTCGTTTGAACAATCGGCCATCCTTTGTCGTGAGCGTGATCGTACACCCATGACGGAACGAGCGGCCCATGGCATCGATCTCATTGTCAATATGAGCATGCATTCGAGGAACCATGTCAAGAACTCGCCTATCATTCAACCGATCGTTGCTAAATTGATGTATGCCGGCATCTCCATCGATGGCAACCACTGCCAGGCAATAGAATAAATTCATCTGAGCTGAGATCAACCCGAGGGGCTTGTATTCCCAGGCACAGTGACGATAAGTCACCTTGGAGCATCCAACATCGATCTTTTCAATGTCCTCGGCGCTAAGACCGCTATCACGCATAATAACGACCAGCCCGTCGAGCGCCGTGTGTATACTGGCGACCGTGGCATATGGCTTGTAGGCGACATTGAGCGTCTCCCATCTCGATCCGAGGCCAGCAAGGAGATGTTCCGCAGCCGGAGAGCTACTGAATGTCTGGAGGAACCCGCCGAATGACGCTTCCAGAACGTTGTGAATACCAGTGAAGCCTTTGCGGGCAAGCAAAGCTCCGTTGATTCCATTCTGGGCAGCCACTCCTGCATGCATTCGTTTCACCATGGACCCCTCTTGGGCGGCCATCAATCCAGAGGCAAACGAGCCAGCGATTCCCAGTGCATTCTGTGTCTTCTCCGTGTCAAGACCGATGACCTTTGAAGCGGCTGCCGCCGCTGTGAAGACGCCCGTACTCCCTTGGGGATGGTGTCCACGATAAAACAACCCAGAGCCTGTTGCCATGCCGATTCGGAGACCGACCTCGTACGCAGCAACCGTAGAGGTTATGAAATCGCGGCCGCTGCAGGTGCCCTCACTCTCGGCGAGTGCCAGTACGACCGGGATTATGATCGAGCCAGGATGATGTCCTCCGTCAGGGTGAATCTCGTCAAACTCGAAACCATGGCCACCTGTTCCATTGGCTAGAGCCGCTAGTGAGGCAGATGTCTTGTTGCTTCCACCGAATATGGTAGAGCAAGGCTTGCAGTCTTCCTCCATTGCCATTTCCGCGACCATTCTACCCCATGGCGTCTGGTTTCCGAAGATAATAACACCCAGATTATCCAAGATGAGTTCCTTCACGTAAATGACAACGTCCGCAGGGATCTGTTCGTAGGAGAGAGTCGATATAAAGGCCGCGAGGTCGCGAGTTGCTCCTGGCAAAAGATCGGGGGCATCAAGTTCGAGTATAGAAGCCGCCATGGTTCTAAATCTGGCTGACGGAGGTAGTGTTCTTGCCGATGCAATATAGGGAAAAAGATAGGAGAAAAATGATTTAGCTGGGATTCCTTCGAGCAACAGCTTACCTCTGCCAGGTTTGAGCCTTTATATCAGGTTAAGCAATACAAAGTTCCCTTTTCTTACCATTGATAATGCATCTTTGGCCAGGCTGGTATACCGGCGGCAAATCGGTCCGGTACCGGCGAAATTTCACTCCATCATGGCAATGTTGAAGTTGATTATCAAGAGTTGAATCGAAGTCGGAATTCGAAAGTAAATCGGACTCAATGGCCGGTCTCGGATTTGAGACAGTCGCGGACGTTCGAAGCCTGCCCAGCAAGACCCCGGACGACTACCCCATACGGGGGTGTTGCTTGATACAGGCTCCACGCGTAACCTGTCCTCCGAGCGGCTAGTCACGTTATTGGGACTTCTGCATGCCTTGAGTAGCCAGCTGGTATTCTACCTAATCCGCCATACGCATGTTGACTACGATACTCCGTGCACTCTCATCAATTCAAAATACCTACCTTGGTACTCTCACACGGTGAGTCTGAACAGTCAACCAATGATAATTAACCAAGCTAGCTTCCTCTGGGTTAGCGCAGTTTTCTTCCAACATGTTCGAAATTTACAGGCGAAGATGTACGAGTATTCGTATTCGATATGAAGTATGTGCACTTTCAAGACGTTGTGTTTGTACAAAGGTGCTGCCATATATAGTCCCTCGGTATCTTGACTTCACCCAAGAATGGATAAACACGCAATAACTCAGTACCAAAGATGGGAATCCCTCGACTCTCCCAAGATCTGCTTCCTTACGCGGAGCGCACTACACTATCATCAGCCTCGCAGTCTTCTTCACAGCAAGAAACAAAGCCGATTACCTCGTTGATCATTGACGGTCCATCTCTCGTCTATTACATATACAACAAACTCCTAGCTTACAAAATTTCAAACAGTCCCACTCTCATCGCCCAACAGCCGAGCTATGAAGAGATCAACCAATGCATCACTAGGTTCCTCCTTGACCTCGACGCTCGGGGAGTTGAAATCCAAAGACTATTCTTCGATGGCGCCTTGCCGGTATCCAAGCGTGAAGTGCGCCTCGAGCGAATGGAGAAACTTCGCCAACAACTCGATGCGTATCGCAAGACATTTCCGGACTTCCCTTCCCTGCCAACTCTTCCGGACATAAATTACGACAAGGCGCTCTGGAGCACGGCCATAATATCGAGCCGGAAACTGACACTTCCCGCACCTCCATTCATGGTCGCCAGCGTCATCGAATCTCTGCAGAAGAGTGGCAAATGGCGGGACACCGTGCAAGTGGTCAATGGTGAAGCCGACATATTCTGTGCCATGCTCGCAAAGGAATCCGGAGGCTGTGCCATCCTCACCAACGACTCGGACATGGCGGTTCATGACATTGGGTTTGACGGTCGGATTGTGCTACTCCACTCTCTCGAGAAGAGAATTACGTCTTCTTCACAATCGTCGAACGCCGCTGTTGACGGACAGATCACCGCCCTGGCATTCAATCCGCGCCAGGTCGCCGAAAGGCTACAAGTTCCATCACTGCTCAGGTTCGGGTTCGAACGATACCTTGACCCGAGCTTATCAGTCTCCATGGTCAAAGAGCGCGCCAGACAGAGCGATAGACTTGACGATGAGACTCTCGGGGAAGACTACAAGGTATTTTCGGAGCAGTACGAAGAGTTACCTTCTACTCCTACTACGCTTCTTTTGTTCCCACAACAACAACAACAGTCGTGTATTGTATTGAACGATCTAGACCCACGGACGGCCGAAGTGGTTTTGTGTTTTCCTGACTCCTCACCGAATGTATACCTGACTCCTATGAACGAGGATCCTTCGCGTGACTCTTCTTGGTCTTACGGTTCTGATATTCGACATTTGGCATATTCACTACTACTTCTCTTTTTGCGAGTAGTACAACGGTCATCATCATCATCACCACCATCATCGCCAACAACAATGACGAGCGCCACTCCTCCGGACACTTTAGAAGGAGTCACAGAGTACTCCAGAAAGGGGCAACGAATCACTTCGACCACTCTCAAATGTTTAGAGGTGTCACAGATCCAAGAACGAATATCGACACTCTTACAGTCGTTGCCGGGAGGAGGAGACAAGACCACCACTACCACTTTTGTTTCTCATTCGATATCGGAATCGAAATATTCGACAAGACACCCACTACCAGCACCAGCACCATCACCACCACCACTGTTGTTGACTTGGTACACGTTCGCTTTACAGTCCGTAAACGAGCAAAAACTCTCAACAGGCAAGACTCCCTTTTCGACCACTCAAGTCTTTGGCCTCTTTGGTCTCCATGATGATGCTCAAACGACGGCTTCAACGCAACAACCCCCAAAAAAACTGTCGTGGGATGAGATGCATCTGTTAGGAAACATGCATGCAGTACTATACTCTCTACGTATCTTACGGCAACTTACACGGTACGTAATGGTGACAGCAGCAGCATGTTTGTCCCAAAGTGGAGGGAGAGAAGGAGAGAATGGCGGCGGCGGCGGCGGCGGCGGCGACGACGACGACGACAACAACAACATTTCGGACGTGCTCGTGATACTGCCGAATCTTTTGTCCAAACTTGACCAGATGCCAAGTATACAAGATTTGTTTCTTGACATGCACGACCTGAGACGAGTGACGAGTCGGTTGAACTTGAACATTGAGACCCGGAATTTGGCCGTCGTCACAAATCTCAACACTGTGTTGAAGTCTTCGCCGACCGGTAAAAACCCAAGCCAAACTCCAAAAAATAGAGACCAGGTTGCCCAGTCGGAGGGAATGGGGAAACAACCTCTAGTATCGACCTTGACTACGCCAGACGGTGATGATGGTGACGACGACGGCGACTGGGAAGGAGGAGGAACGACGATCACGAAACATGGTAAGCGCAACAAGAGAAAAAGAAGATCAAATCGGGCCGATTCCTCGAACAAAAACAAAAGTCCCAACAACATATTTGATCTCCTGGGTACATTGGTGGATGGATGATGAATTTATCGTTGGAACTATTGAGTCGAACTGACAAAGCACGCAAAAGTTCGCTTGACAGCTTGGTCGTTACAAAGAACTACATTAGCTATTAGACCTAGGGCCAGGAACAGGAGGAATCTTAGAAACTAAACGAGTCTACATCACCACCAAGGAACCCAACCGTGTCGAGGCTCTCCCAGCCCCATCCGTTCAAATCGTGAAACATAAAGTCGTCAACTCCTCCAGACGGGGTGGTGTTGAACTGGCCGATCATAACCTCCATGTCGTCTCCTTCTCCTCTTCCTTGTTCATACCCACTAATACCATTGTCATCCGCATTCGCATCTTTAGAAACTCGTGAACCCTCCTCAGGCATTGTCGGCGGCGGATGGATCAAGTCGTTTATACCACCGCTACGCACAGCTTGATGATGATCACGACCCCCCGAGCCCGGTACGTGCTGCTGCTCCGGCCCCTCTGTGCCATCACCGACAACAGTGCTTCTTGTTGTTGTGTCCACTGCTAGTTGTTGGTGGACATGACCATTCGCCGTCGTCGTCACACCACCCTTTTTACTCGCGACGGTCGTCGTCGCATCCTTCACAGCTCGATCCCTCAACCGGATCAACAATTCATGGTGCCGTCTGGACTGACTACCTTCGGGGGCCAGCTTGGCCAAAAAGTCCTGACAGCGTCTCGCCTTTTCGAGGTACACGTCGACACGGTCAAAGGCTTGCTCCAGGTACCGCGACCGACTCCTCTGGATCAAGAAGACGTACAAGGTGGAGATGGCCACGAGCGCCACGTAAGGCTGGAACCAAAACCCCTGGTATATGGTGCCCTTTTTGTTCAGCTCGTCTATCGTGTTGAGGATCGTCCACACCGAGGCGATGCATTCTTCGATCGGCTTCAGCGCGCCATGATGTCCGTGGCCCTCGGTGGTCGGCCCTCCCCGGCGTTGCCCCCGACCGAGACGGGTAAAGTCCGCCAGGAGACAACGCCGGGTGACCAGGATGCGAAGGTGAGCATAAGCCATTTTGAGCGTGGTGTTTTGCCTCTCAAACGTCCTCTGTCCCGTCAGAGTCTTGTCGCGAGGCTTCAGGAATTCGGGCAACGAGTCCCGCCACGCGTCGAGGGCATCGAGCATCTGATACGTGCGCACAAGAACCTCATCTTCCGTCAATGGTTGAAGCGGATACAGGAGTTGGTTGTTTCGTCCCATCAACCTAGACAAATCAGCGTGCGCAATGAAGGCCTCCAGGTTACCGTGCAATGGAAGATCGTCGGGCGATTCTGAAGGCACCAAGTCGTTGTCGTCGATATTGCGAGGATACTCTTGGTCGATGTCTCCGTCATGGAGAATCCTCGGCTGGCCCAGCATGGCACTCAGATAGCCATCAAGGACGTATGCGCACCAGAACGTACGCTTCCGAGACTCCAATGTCACCAGGTCGAGTTTGTTGGGCGAGAGAGGTTTCCGCTGGAGTCCGATCGAGGTTAGGATCGTGCAGACGAAACTGAAAGAGAAGCGACATTCATTGATCCGAAAGGTGCTCATGAGATATAGACACATCGCCAAGCGTGCTTGTACGCTGACAAGAGTGGCTGGGCCAGGCTCTTGGTTGAGCAGGGATCTTGCCTTGTCAAAGTCTGCACCGGAGAAGTGGTCAATAAAGAGAATGCATTCATGACTGGGGGACAAAACATACATGCTCTGCTTCGGTTGAGCCCTTCGTCCCCTCCATTCTGGTATCTGTCGCCCGCAGTGGTATAAACAAGTGACTGGGAGCAGACTATCAGTGCACAGGCTGTCTCGGCCTTGGACAATTGAGCCCCGTCGCGAAGTTGAGAGATCCATCTTTCCGTCGTTGGTCGATGGAGGAACCGGTATGTGGGCATGGCAAACTGGAAATATCGTTCGACGAGAGTGATGGCTTCCTCTCGCGTGGGTAAGGGTTGGTTTCTGTTGATGGGTGGTTGGGGGATGTCGCCATGACATGTCAACGGTGCTGTCGGTAAGGATACCTCTTCCTCGACCGTACCAGATCGATTCCAGATGTGGTAGAGGAACGAAACACCCGCAGAGGGGCCGATGTGCTGACCCTGGGCGAACGTCTGGGGAGGATCCAAAGATACCGAGGGTGGAGGTACATTCAACGCATCGTATCTTCCAGCACGGACTACTCCTCCTGCATGACCGGGTGTTCTGGTCGAAGAATGGCTTACGACTGCTGTGGGAGACTGAGGCTGAGAATTCCTCCTTCGTGGGGTCACTGGACCCGATCTTGCGAGTTCATCGTTGTACTCGCATCGAACCCCTTCATTGTGGCAGTAGTCGCAAGGCTGAGTCCCCGTACAGCGGACCTTGCGCCTTATGTCTCAATAGGTTAGCAGCGCCCTTTTCTCCCTCAATGCGATAAACAACAATTTGTACAGGCACTGAATGCAATAAATAGGTAAAATGGGACTCACCTTCTGCAAAAGGCACAAGCTCGTGCGGTGCGAGGATGTTTGAGCTTTCGCTTCTTTGGCGGACTGCTCGGTAGTTGATCGTTGTCAAGATGGATCATTGAGCATGCCTTGACAAGGGCGTACAGTGGCCGACAACACTTGACTCGATGAGGTTCCGTAGGGAATTGAGGTCAACGGAGACGGAACATAAAGCACCCAGAACCATCCAGAGGGCTCGAGTGGCGGCTCACGGAGACTTCCGTCGGGATGGGATTCTGGAGGCCGACTAGAGAGATACCTAGGTAAATAGTCACACTCAGTCAAGCGCCGTGCCAACATCTGTTCTCCTCCCTGCCAGAGATCTAGCACAATTTTGCACTGTAGAATTGATCATGAAGTCAAAGACGTCTATGGACTTGAAATACCACCACTACGAGCACTTGCTCGAGACAAGGCTGGATGAAGTTGGAACGCGGACCGAGGATTCTCGTCTAACCTTCCCCATGATCTTTTTCTTTCTCCAAAAATTATCAAGACAGTCCGGACAAAGAATATGCGTCACGGAGTACGGGGATATGACAACGATGAATTGACTCTTTCCCAACCAGGGACCAACAGACATTCGCAACAAGTCTATTGACAAGAACACAATGCCAATCCCAGCATGTCCGTGACCAAACCTCCCTCTAAACCCTCCGATACCGACATATCTACCAACGAGGCCCTTCTGCACCACGCCGAGGCCTCTCGCCTGGCAAAGTCATGGCTCTCCGGTGTATTCGGTGACGAGTCCTCCCCCGCCTCAATCGAGGACGAGCAAGACGACTTTGACAAGAATGTGGCCAAAAAGCCGTTTCTCTACTCGGACACGTATGGCCTCCATTCTACTCGTCCCGGTTTCTTGTTTACTGACAAAACCCCCCGGCCAGTGGTGGAATAGGATACACCGAACCCACAGACGCCGCCTCCTCAGCAGCATCTCGAGCCTCGGATCCAGCAACGGCATTCCTCCGAAAACAAATGCTCGGTCGCGGAGCCAACCAGCACACTTTTACAAGGGGGCTGCCTCCTCCTCGATCAGGACACCCGCTTCGGAGGCGTCGACACGACGACGAAGAAGACGAGGAAGAAGGTAGATCTAGATTGGGAAAGAGCAAAGCCTTGAAACACAAGCTCTCAAATGCCAAGGTTTCGTCGTCGGCAGAGAACATGAATGGCGCAGATGAGATCGTGCCTCCACCAGGACCACCGCAAGCGAGCAGCGACCACCCGGCGGCCTCACACGGTCACCAGCCCAAGACGGCGGCGCAGGAAACGAGAGGCAAAAAGAAGCGCGGGTCCAGCTATCTAGACGAGATATTGGCCTCTCGTGCGTCCAAGAAGAAAAAGAAGAAATCTGGGAAAGGTGACGATGGATGAATGGGTGAACGAAACGACATCTACAATACACTACTACCCCGAGGCAAGAAGAAGAATCAACCACCCTTGCTATTTTCATCGCCTATACAAGAACTCGTACACAGAAGTGGTTCGTTGAAGCGCAGACGCACGCACGTACCGCATCTGAGGACCAACACTATCAAAGGTGACAGTATCCTCGTCACCCTACTTGCCACAACTTGTCGACAACCATTTTTTGGAGGCGGATTTCAGGGTCTCCAAGATATATATACTTGGGCCTCTCTCCGTCTCTTCTCAGTCTCTTACGAAGAACCATACAGTCGGCTGGGGGCGCGTCCCGTTCCGCGTTGCGAATGCCTCGTCCGTAAGAAAAATGTTTCACGCTGCCACGTAACGTAGCGCTTATCCCGGGCAACACCGACATGGGCCACATCAAAGTCTACCGAGACGGATCTTCCTCTGCTGGACTTTCTTCTGTCCACATGGGTCCGGATACAGATCGAGTGTTCGGCGCCCGTCTTGAGACCTCGAGATCTCGGACCCAACATCAACCAGGCTCAGCACATCATCGACGATACGTACTCAACATCAAAGCTTGACCCCGACATCATATCGAGTCTGATGTCACCAAACCCACAGCTGACTGCCGTTACCATCAGACATATTCAGTGTAGATAAAGTTTCATCACCTACAGAAGAAACAAAAGACCATGACAAAGTGAGAAGATGATTTAGGGAAAAGTGAAAAGAATCTTCCTTGCATACGCCGTTCTCATCCTCGTCCTCATCCTCATTAAACTTTAGTAAAGTAAGGCAGAAGAGATGTACAACTACCTTCCTCACCACGTGGACCTCCTAGCTAGCTAGAATATATCATAAACATGGCCCTGTAGAGCCCAGTCTTTTTTGTCTGTACATTGACTCGACGAATCTGGTGACTTCTTCCGTCCAGGGAAGATGCGACTTTCATGGCTGTAACAATTCGCCTTTTGTAGGCAGTTCTCGGTTTGTTGATCCGTAAAAGAATGGCGGGTTGTTTCCTTTCTGAGAAATAACCGTACAAACGCTGGAAACAAAAAGTAAGATGAGGAACGTGGACAGGGAAAAACAACTCCGCCAATGCAAATGTCTGGGACCATTAGGCTGGCTTTTTTGATAACGCGCAAAAGTCAAACCAAAAAAAACAATGTACCTCCCTCTCAGATATATATACACACTCGGGCTCGAGCTCGCGCCCGCCCTGCCATACGTCGTTTCACAAGCATGCCGGCGAGGAATATCGCCGGGTCCCAAAATCCAGTCCAAATATCCACATCATATTCATACCAATCGTTTCCTCTTCCGGTCATCGTTGCCTTCATCCTCGTTCTCTTGTTCCGCCGTCTCGGCAGGGTTGAGCAGTGAATGGAGAGTCGCCATACTGCCTCGACGGGTCGCAGGAGCAGAATGCAGCTCAAAGTTTGGACGCGGAAATTTACCTGAGGCAGGCGTCCACAAGACGTTTTCTACCCCCAAGCCAGCCGGGGGTGCTTCCGACGACGACGACGTTAGCGGCGGAGTGGGTTGATTTGCGGTTGTCGCGTGCCTCTTGGACCCGCTGATCTCGTACCGGGCCAACTGGTCCTGAAGTTGTCGATCTCCTGTCTGTGGACCCTGCTGAGGAGATGATGGCTGCCAATGCACGGACGAATGTCCAGATGCATATGGCGACCCGTTTCCATTGTCAGTAGACGGCGGCCAGCCGTGCTCCCGAATATCAGCTGACGTGTGCCTCCGCGTGAGATTCATAGGTGGGGGTGTGGACACGGAGGCCAAAGGGTGTACGCTGGGAGGCGGCTGTGCGGGCAGTGCAGGTCGACTGAAGCCGGGACTTGGGTGTGGTATGCTCACTGATCCAAATCGCCGGGGTGAAGATGGAAAATGAGGCAGCGGGGGTACCGGAGGTCGCAACCCGACATGCTGTGGTTCAATCTGCATCGATGACCTTCGACTATCAGGATAGTTATACCCTCGAGGAGAGACAGGCGGTTCCAACGCAGCGCCGTTAGGGTAGTGTGATTGCCTGCCAACGTGTAACGAGTCGGGCTGGTTGTCCAAGCCCCTAACGAACTCGAGCTGGCGAGCTATTTCCTTTTGCATGTTGGCAATGTCCGTGTATAATGCGGAATCTGGGGATGGCAAGGTCTGGACAGCGCTGGCCAGGTTTTGAGACAACTGATGCACCCGGACCATTCCTTCTGTCAAGGCCTGGCATCTGTCCTCAGTCCTTTGCAGGCGTGCATGTATGTCCCAATATGTATTTTCAAGCATGGCGAGGCGTTGATCGGTATCTGAGATGATCTCGGCGGGGGTCCCGGGCTGTGATGCACCCGACTTAGCGTTGGAAAAGGAATCTCGATGAATCAAAGTGTGTCTCGAGGCACGTCTCTTTATTTCTCTCAATCCCATTAGGTCACCTTTCTTGAAACTGCCGTTCCCATGCTTAAACTCCCAAAGCGCCGAGTCCGGTGATCCGGTATGAAAGACATCGCTAACTTTGTGGAAGCCATACATATTGAGCTGGCGCACGAAGGAAGAGATGTTTGTGTGCTTGAAATACTGTGCCAATACCTTGGAGAACTCGGTCGAGGGCGACATGACAAAGCTTTCGTTGGTGTTCGACCATGATATCAGATGCTGGATGCTTTTGTCCTCCAACATGCTGTAGAGTTTATGTATAAATGCTGTCTGAACCACCTTGGGGCCCTGTGAAGCTCCGACGGCGCCAGCAGGAGCACTGGATATGCTCAAGCCTACATGTTCTCGGGCGCCGTTGGCGTTGTTACCCTGTTCGACTTCTGGGCTGGTCCCCTGTGCCGGCGGACCCATGTTCGGGGGAGCAGGAGAAGACGCCTGCATCGAATCTTCATGACTCGACTTGGGCGAGGTGTTGTTGTTCTGCGGCAGAATAGCCATGGCTCGTGGTCTCGACAAAGGTTCGAGAGGAGGATCGAAGGGATTTCTCAGGGTCGACTGAAAAAGGGTACTCATGATTATGCGGCGGCTTTAAGAAGTATTCTCGTGAAGCGGGCGCGCGTTCAGCGATGTCCTATTTTCATGTCATGCAAGGCATCAATATTTTGCATCGCCAGTGGAGCGCGCCACACATCTGGGAGACAAGGCGTGACGGACAGGTCGTTTTTTCCCGGTCGAGGCGGTCCTCGAGGTTGGACGTCGGCTCGGAGGCTCAGGCTAGTCGGAACAGGCGTCGCCGGAATATGAGGGCTGCAAGACGAAGAGTTGTCCGGTCAATGATCGGTTCGGAATACCAATGTGTCAAATGTGGATGTAGGGCTTGAGATGAAGGCTCAGGAGGTGTGGAAAGGACTTGAGAAGGGTGGTGCGGGCGCAAGAAGGAGAGGCGGCCTTTGGATTGTTGGGGGGCGAGTTCCAGAAGAGATAAAGGAGCAGGCGCGCGGCGCAGGATCGAGATATAGTAGTGTACGAATACAAGTGGTACTGGTTCTGCGTAATCAGATGCGCAGATACGGAGTGCAGGCGCGTTGTTTTTTTATTCTTCGTTGATGCAACGCGAGTGACCCTCCATGCGTCGGAGCTGCTAGAGCTCACGAGGCGTTTTGTTTTTCGAGGGCCTCGAGGGAGGCTGCAGAGTGTCGAGGGTTCGATCAGAGTTCGAAGGGAATTCGACGACCGAGGGAGGGACAGGATAGAATCAAGTGGACTGTGGCATCGATCGAGGGGGTCAATAAGGTAGCAGACAAAGTGGTTCGTCTGGTCGGAGTCAAACGGAAGAAGCGGATTGGGAGAGGGCAGCAGGGATGGCTGATTGGCAACAAGACGGACGTGCAGCCGATGTGCAAATCCTGTAGCTGCGCAGGGAGTACGAGAGGACGACAGGAGGAGCAGGAGACCCTTACTTGGTACAGTAATAGGTACAGTACTTGGCTGCAGACACGACAGATCGATCGCAGGCTGATGGTGGAGAGGTGGAGATGGCCCTGTCAGTTCGGACCAAGGAAAACAGGAGGATCAGGGATGCTCGAGTGTTACTGTACGGAGTCGAGATAAGGAGGCGAGAAGCGAGGCGCGAACGATGGGGGGTTTTGAGAGGTTAAAGGAGGGTAAAGGAGGGATGGGTTATCACTCTGAGGCTAGAATGGTGAGAAAAGGATATATCGAGTCAAGGGCAAAATCTCGATACAGTTAAAGGGGATGTTTAGCCACGCTGAGGTGCAACGTGGATGAGGGTCTTGTTCGATGGAAGCGAGAAAAGGAATGACATTACTCCGTATACTCGTACAGGGTTGCAATAGGTATCTACCTTACTTTTGCGCGGATACGTACTCGACCAAATACGTGTAGCAATCCATGTTTCCAAGTGCTCTTTAGGTTTGTACTATCCTTACAAGTACCAGAGTGGTTCGAGTCTGGGTCAACAAAAAAACACTTCCGAGGTTCCAACGTTACGACACTAAAAGGACATCCGCATTTTCTCAACAGAAGTCTGGCTAACAATACGGAGATGAGGGACGAGAGGTACAGTAATACTTGTAACAAATAGATAGTGGTGTCCTCGTAGATCCTCCGTATTCTAGTTATTATTATATATCTACCTCTAGTAGACTGTTTGACTCGTGGCAGTCTTGACGAAAGTGGAGTGATGATGATGATGATGGCCCATGACAGGACCCTAATGAGCTACTGTACCTTTACGCCCATTTTAGGCTCATTAGGCCTGTGCTCTCCTCCTTCTGGGCCACTTGAAACCTAGTCAGACTGCCTAAGCGTTCAATTTCTCGGCATGCTCCGGGTTATTACTCGGTCTTTAACATGCCCAAGACCGAACAAGATGGGGTATCTCAGGTAGCCAGGTAGCCAGGTAGCTAGGTCTTCGTACCCAAGGGAGCAAAAGACCAACCCTTTTTGCAATACCACCATCATCACCATCCTTCGTTTTGGTTCGTGATTGAAAACATAACGGTTCTCGTATCAGGTCGAGACCTTGGATCTTTCATCCAACCATTGTCTTGCATTTTCACCTAGCCCTCGCATACATGTCCCCAGACAATGCTGTACCATGATCTGCTTACCGAACCAAATAATTGATCGCTGTCTCCTCCATCATTGACCCTCCCTGCCAGACCCATGGACATGGCTGACCCGGGGTTTTGGCGTGACTTGACGGCTGGCCCACACGCCGGTCACAATGACACTCTTGACAGCGGACTCTTGTACCTATTCAAGGTTGCCTACCGCCTTCATATCGGTCTTTGCCAGTGATGTGCGACATTGCTGCTCCAGCATGCTTGTCAACCTCGGATTTACCGTGAACGATCAGCAAGAGCTGGAGAGGCCGGCATCATACTTCACGGACCTCGTCATCAGATAACAAAGCAGCATTAAGATTGACGAGGAGTGGCGACCTGCATTGTGTGTCTGGCCACGTTCAAAATCAGACCCCTGTTGCTCAAACTTGTACCACACTGATAGACGACCTTCTCGCCAAATGCAGGTCAATGGCTGATCTCCTCCTGAACCTCGACACCCGTCCGCCAGGCATCCCCGGCGCCGTCTGTTTATATCTGGGATTCAGGAAATTTGAATCTTCCAATACGGGATTGACGTTGCCCGACCGTCCAATACTCGTAGAATGTCATGTCCGTCTATGTACTGGTGACCGAAAACGGCGTCCGAGCATGCCAGCCGCCAGGTGGATAACTTGCCTTGCTACCTCAATGGGATAGGGGTAGTCATCAAGAAGGAGAATTTTCAGTGTGCTTCTTGTCCCAAAACAAGAATGATTGAACTCTCTCACATTGGCTCAGGATCTTCACCACCAGAATATGAATTGTCGATAATTGACCAAGAACATTAACTACTACTGTACCTCTGTTTGACCGCCTTCCCAGCCAGTCTGGAACTTGCGTCCACCCAAGAGGCCAAATTTCTGAAAAAAAGAACCAAAAAAAGGAAGAACAAAAAGTTTATTGGAGCCTCGAAGCCCGGACCGAGCTTCTCCTATACTCATCCCGACTATGATCACTGTTATCCCCTATTACCGTGGTCAAGAGTACCCAGTGATCATGGAAACCTGCTGACTCCCAGTTTAATCCACTAAGCTGGTTTCCAAGGATAAGCCCACCTCCAAACCACTTTACACAAAGTCGCAGTTCGACGTGGTGAGTCTTAGTGGCCATCAAGGCATTCTTTGTTGACAGAAATTTGACGACTTAACAATATATATGGTATATCTCTAGTGATCACTGGTGAGTGGGGTCTGGCAAATATATTCACTGAGTCGATTCTAACGAAGGCAGGTGGCAGTCTTTCGGAGCTTCACTGTTCTATGGCTAAGAGCCTCTCGACAGAGACCTAGAACAAGCAAGAATATCAGCTGATGCGCGAGGTGAAAACTACCACATCAGCCCAAGTGCCCCATGGGCAGATTCTCGTCACTGAGGCTGTTTCAACTATAGTTTTCGTTTCCAAAACTCTGCGAACGAAGAATCGATCATGTCCTGTCTACACCGCGATGTCAGACAAACTACTCTGAACATAACTATGACCTGGTTACTAGAGACAGGTTAGTTATATAGCCTCTGTCTAGTCACATTCGCAATTCTCATTCACACGTGGCCAATTGCACTCGACGTGGTAGTCGCCAGAAGCAACGAACAGGTTGATGCTCTACTACTGTTTCAATGGTCTTGTGTAGGTCCTTGATCTCGGTTGTAGTTAAAGCGAAAAAAGGCAAGAACAGCCGATGATGACTAAGCCATCTACCCGTGTAAAACTGCCCTCCACCTGTGGATAATTTTCCGCATCTAAACATTTTTTGTTCGCCCAACATATCAGTCTTCATGATACATTTAAACCCTTGAGCATGCCCTGATACACTACTCTTCGAACATCTTGTCAAAATCCGAACTTTAAACCCACAATGTCCAAATTCGCCATGGCCCGCCACCACAACCCTTTGGAAGATGATATTACCGCTGCGGGCGGCCGTCTACGGACTAAGTCTGTCACCGGGAAGAGAAAGTCGAGGACCGATGAGAATAGTCAAGGAGATGGGTATATTGATGCTCAATCTTCGAGAAAGATTTTGGCTATTGCACAAGACCTGGCGGACGAAGAAGCTCGAGATCGCAGCGCCGCAGGAGTGAAGGCCACATCACCATCGAACGCCGCCTTTGCCTTTGACTCGCGATTCACCGCCGATGACGATGAAGATCGAGGTGTAGAGGCACAATATGACGACGACAACGACTGGATGCCGGAGGAAGAAGAAATCGTGGTTGAAGAAGATATGGACCCGGAAGACATGGCTGTCTACAAGAAATTTCTCCAGAGTGGTGAAGAGCTGGCAGATTTTGCACCCTCCATAGCGAAGCTAACCACAGGGGATCGACAGTCGAAAGATGCGTCCGAGAGAGAAGATGAACCAGAAGGCCCGCCCACGAATCTCACAGAACTCATCCTGCAGCGAATCGCTGAAAAAGAGGCGCTGGAAGCAGCACGGGGGGCTGGCTCTCAACGACAGACATTTATGGGATCAGGGCCACCTGACGAAGCCGTAGAAATCCCCATGAGAGTGGCTGAGACGTTCACAAAAGTCGGTCAACTACTCTCTCGCTATAAATCCGGGCCTCTACCCAAGCCTTTCAAAGTGCTGCCTACCCTGCCCCAGTGGCCTGACCTACTATCGATAACCCGACCCGAAAATTGGAGTCCACATGCCGTCTACAGAGCCACCAAGATCTTTATCTCTGCCCCTGCTGCTACCGGGCAATACTTCTGTGAGACCATCCTGCTTGACCGTGTTCGCGAAGATATTCAAGAGAACAAGAAACTCAACGTGCACCTGTACAACGCTCTCAAAGCCGCCTTTTATCGACCCTCGGCCTTTTTCAAGGGCTTCCTCTTCAATCTTGTGCAATCATCCTGCACTCTCAGGGAGGCTCAGATCATCTCATCGGTGCTGGCCAAGATCAAGATCCCCGTCTTGCACTCTGCCGCCGCTCTACTGCGTCTATGCGAGATCTCAGCCGAGCAAACGTCAGACGTCAACAGCGAAGCTGCCGGGGCCGCCAACATCTTTATTCGAGTTTTACTAGCGAAGAAATACGCTCTGCCTTACAAAGTTGTCGATGCGCTGGTATTCCACTTCCTTCGGTTCAGAGCGTCCAAGGAGGATTCAGCCGATGCGGGATTGGCAAGTAAAGAGGCGAAGCTACCTGTTCTGTGGCACCAGAGCCTGCTCATTTTCGCTCAAACTTACAGGCATGAGATCACCGAAGATCAGCGTGAAGCATTGCTGGACCTTTTGCTTGTTCGTGGCCATAAAGATATCGGTCCAGAAGTGAGACGTGAGCTCCTTGCAGGCCGAAATCGAGCTGCAGAAGGCCAGGACGGTACAGCCATGGCTGTTGACCAGGAATTCCGAGATGATGGTGACGATACCATGGACATTGCTTGAATCTGCCGGACTTCGGCGTTAGATATTGACGAATGATACGATTTGATGTGGTCAGATTCATAGATATTTGTTTTGCCATGTAGCTACATGTTCTAATTGTTGACTATGGCTTTTGGATGGGTCCATCGTTCGTAGGAATCGCAGCATCCTATTTTAACGATGTGCAACGATCTGCGCGTCTACCGTTTGGGGGCCAAAATTATGCCGGCGACTTTGATGGATTTCAAGCCAAAAAGTCCAAGTCAGAGTCCAAGTCAGAGTCCAAGTCAGAGTCCAAGTCAGAGTTTAAGTCATCACAACTCCATCGCACCAAACTCTAGCGAAATCGTGTGGTAGACTGATAAAATTCCAACGGCCGTCGTCTGATATCGGCAGTATATCGCCACCGAGTGAAGAAAATGCCCGCTTGAAAATGTTCATCTGGTCGTTATGAGGAGGACTGTGTACGAGGTACACGCGCATGGATCTTCAGTTGAGACCGTTCTACTTCCTCCATCATCATGAGTACATCTGGACACTTTCAACACTCTCGACTCTCACTCTCAGGGAAGTTTATGCGCCTCTTGCAAATCCAAGGCTCGACCACAGCATCTATTTCCAGTAACACGAGTAGCAGTGTTAGTAGCAAAAGGGAAGCCCCTATCTCGCTCCGCATCACACAGTATGCTCTACACCGCCGGCCGCCGTACGTCGCAATAAGCTACACTTGGGGGAATGCAGTGCGCACGCACGAGATCCGCGTCAACGGCCGACCGTTCTTGGTGAGAGCCAACCTGTACAATCTCCTCTGGCACCTGAGACAACGTGGCGAAAGTCGCTTCCTCTGGATCGACGCCCTGTGCATCGACCAAGCCAATCTCGAGGAGAGAAATTTCCATGTCCAATTGATGGGAAGCATCTACGATAGCGCCGACAGAACCATAGTATGGCTGGGTCTACCAAGCGAGGACAGACGACAAGCCAGGGCGCTTGAATTCGTGGCAGAACTGGCATCCGCAATGTCCCCGACCTCGACCTCTCATCCCGGCGGCAACAAGATCGAGCGAAGATCACATGCGGCCAACCAGGACAATTGGGAACGATTGTACATCACTGGTAGAGGCAGCGGGAATGCCGCCTCCGCCAATGTGAACACGAGCGCGACAAGTACAATTGCCAAACTCGAAGGGCGATGGCGTAACCTTCTCGACCTGTGCCGCGGTGTCTACTGGACACGCACATGGATCATTCAAGAATTCCTCCGGTCGCCATCTCTAGAAGTACTCGTCGGCACAGCAAGCCTGGACTGGAAACTATTCGAGGTGGTCGTGGGTACACTCAAATCCACGTCCCTACTGTGGTCCCCTACGGCCACCACCACCACCATCATCACAACACTGGTTGACCAATTCATGCACACCCTCCCCGTGCGCCTCACCCTCCGTCGAACACACCATTCCCATTCTACACTCTCCGACCTCGTGGCCGAGTTCTACGATTCCAGATGCGCCGAACGCCGCGACAAAATCTACGGCATCCTCGGCATCGCAGACGACTGTGACGACACTCGAGGCCCGCAGCCGGACTACTCCAAACACATCGTCGAAGTATACTTTGAAGTCTACAGATATCTCTGTGCGTGTCTCGAAGCGACAACTTCTCCTTCTGCCTACCAGAAGGTGTTGTTTGCACAGACCATATCTCTCACGATTCGAGCTCTGAACATAACGCAGGCCGACGTAGAAAGTTATCTCTCTGCCACCTCTTTGACCTCGACCTCAACTGCGAACGATGATGATGATGGCAAAGCCACCGCCAACACGACGCTTGAAAGTCTCGTCTTCAACTTGAGACCAGACTACGTCAACACCATCGACGAAGTCCTCCCCGGATGGACTAGTATTCGTGATCTACGGCAACGCCTCGATCAAGTTCCCTGGGAGAAATACGTAGGTCACGAAGTCGTGAGAAGAAAGACGTCACGACATCCATCTACTTCAAATACCTCGACATCAACCTCGACACCGTTACTTACGCCTACATCTACGCCGACACAGACAACCCAGCCGTCGAGCAATGCTGGTAGCACTACAAGCAACACCACCACCCCCCCTTCCTCGGCAAAAGGAACAGAATACGTTAGGGCCCCTTTACCTCCCGACCTCCTCACGACCATCATCGCGGCCGCCTCAACAACACACAACGTCGCCCTGGCCAATCTCTACAACTACGAAACTTGTCGAACGAGACAAACGCAACCGACAATGAAACCGACATGTCGAATCCCACACGAAACAATCTTGAGTCACGAACAAGATAAACGACTCGCCGACAACACCAAGTTGGCCAAACCGAGCGTCATCATCGAATCGAACCCGAACCCGGGGTCCGCCGCCGCCGGTGGCAACATATCTGACCCCTTCCTCCGCTTGGGGTTCGCGTGCACCAACGTCAAGAGGGGCGACCTGATATGTCAGTTTCGCGGCGTCGACGTTGCCGTCGTCGCCAGACGTGTCTCGACCGGAGGCGGGTTGAGTCTCGTCGGTCTGGCTCGCATGGTCGGTCATTCTGCCCTCAGAGAGCGTGGTGTACACGCCGGATGTGAGACCACTGCCCAGCAAGCCTCGCAATCGCAATCGCAACAGCAATCACGATCAGCAAAAGGTAAAGACAACGACAACGACAAAAACAAAGACAAGTCGTGGTGGTGGTCTGGTATTGTCCTCCCTCCGGGTGTCGACGAGAAGAACGTTCATACAAACACAAACACGCATAATCGTACGCATGATCATCATGATTATATCATCGAGACGGATCCGCTTAGTCTTTGGGAACTATTTAGACCGAGATACGAATAGATTTCTTTTTTTCTTCTTTATTTCAAGAAACGCAACACTCGAAATCAATGCAGGAATGAACAAGTTCATCTTTCATTTTTTTTGGATATTCATGACTCTCATCAAAAAATGTGATCTGACGATAGACAGAATGCATCTAGGTTACCTGTGGACCGGGTCGAAGAGATCTATATGTTAGAGTAGGTATTCAGGTATAGAACCCATGCCAATGACTCTCTCTCTCTCGCTCTGATTTATTGTACAGTGTTGGCTCGACTTGTTTACATGTGCTTGCCATAGCGGACCCTCACCACACCCTTGTGGAAATTCGTCAACTCGTCATTCGCCATCTTGAGGACGTTAAAGTCGTCTCCGTATTGGCCAATCAGTTGCATGCCGACGGCGACTTCTGGACGCCACGGGTAATCCGGGTGACGTGGGCCTGGAACCGAGATCGCCGGCAGACCGGCCAAGCTCGCAGGGACCGTAAAGACGTCGTTGATATAAGACTCGAGGGGTGTGGCATTTCTGACATATTTGAGTCGCGGCGGTGGAGTTGGGGCCGTGGGCACGACGATAAAGTCGACGCCTTGCTTGTTGACTTTCGTGTTGTCCCTCAGCGGGTTCGGCATCCTGAAGACGGAGTCGAAATCCTGTTGCACCATCCTCCGGATCTTCTGTGCCTGGATGAAATAATTGTCCATGGCGCCAGCACTTAGACTAAAAGTCCCCAACAGGATTCGTCTCTGAACTTCGGGCCCAAAGTTTTGACCTCGGAATCGTGAATAGAGGGTAGTACCATTTGCGGCGTCGTCATCTACATGGTCGTGCCGGCTGTTGCCGTACCGGACACCGTCGTACTTGGCGAGGTTGGAGGACGCCTCGGCCGGGGCGAGGATGTAGTACGAGGACAATGCGTGCTTGGTAGACGGAAGAGATATGGGGACGATCTCACAGCCCGCCTTCTCCAAGTGACTCAGGGTGGCCATCCAGGACCAGCGAACAAGGGGATGCATTTCCTGAATGTTGTATTCAAGAGGTACGCCAATGCGCTTTGGCACTCCTTTGCTGGTCGGAAGAGGATGCCTTCTCGGATGGTAACGTCCTGGAGTCTCCGTTGGAGCAGCCGGACCAAATCTCGGTCCGTTCAATATGACCGGGAGAATCTTATTGCCTTGCAACGCAGCGTCGCGAGCATAGGTTGCGTAATGCACTCGTGAGCGAGATGAGGAAGACAGACACGTCGGGTCATTGTCGTCCGGTTTCTTCAAAATGTCTTGTCACAAAAATCAATAAGCACAGAACTCCCAACCACTCGGGGAAACAAATCGTACCGTATGTCAGCCAAACATCCTGCACAGACTTTGCGACCAAGCCGACAGTGTCCAAAGAGTTTGCGTATGGAACAACGCCTTTGCGTGATATCATCCCATACGAAGGTTTGAAGCCTACCAAGCTCATGTACGCGGCTGGTAGTCGTATTGAACCCCCCGTATCAGTGCCGATCCCGACATTGGCCAGGTTCGCAGCCACAGCGAGAGCACTTCCGCCAGAGCTTCCTCCGACGGACAGCGCGGTTCCGCCCTGAGGTCCATCAACAGTTCCGTTGTGTACCTCGCCGTATGCAGAATTGATTGAATGTGATCCCATGCCGAATTCATCCATGTTTGTTTTTGCAAGCATTATCTGTCCACCCCTTCGAAGAAGATCTGCAACCGTCGAGGTCTGCGGGGGCAGGAAGCCCTTGAGGGTGTTCGAAGCACATGTCGTCGGCAATTCAGGTGTCACGATGTTGTCTTTGATCACTACCGTGTAGCCATGGTTTGCTGATTTGATTCCATCTGCGGAAAAACGTGTTAGCCATCATCGGCGTCCAATGCAATTTCGTATGATTCTCACAGTAATTCTTGAAATCCTTTGTAAGCGTGTGTGCTCCATGTGCCTTAGCCGTGTCAAGTAGAAGAGATTCGGGGTCTCGCAACACCTGGCTCAATGAAATAAACGGGTTTCCATAGTCTCGAGGGTTCAGAGACTGGCCCAGGACACTGTACACATTACGCAGGAGTTGAATATCCTGGTGGTGACGATAGCCCCGACCAATGCGATGCGGCATTCAGTCTCTGGACAAAGTGACAGTCCTGCATGTGGTGGTCGGAGTGATGAGATCGAACAATCTACTCGGAAATAAAACATTCAGACGGTGCGGGAAAAGAATGTTCCGAATTTGACGTCTCGAAACGTGCCATACCAGATGATACATTTCGTCTGACAGAGTAAAAGAGACAGAATTCAACCATGTTGATGGTAATCTCGTCGTCAGACAGTCCCACTAACCTCGTCCGATAGATACCGCGGCACGATGCTCGTAGATTTATGCTCGATACTCTCTACAAGCACATTCTTATATTGCTTCCGGGCAGTCGAATCCGGCGACAATGATGTAGTATTTAGAAAACATGACCTCGATCCCGGATATCGTCAAAGGTACACGCATAAAAGCCTGCACGGAGTGCCGGCAGCAGAAGGTATGGAGATACATTAGTTTCTAGAGTGGGCAACGATTGTTCTGACAGATGTGGTAGCTGAGATGCGATGCTTCTAACGACTATTCACAACCATGCTCCCGATGCAGGAAGTTTGGTTTAGAATGTGTTGTTTCGAGGAACTTTCGAAGAGTTAAGCGTCGAACGTAAGTGGGTAATTGGCACATTGGTTGAATATTGACTTATGTCCCTAGCAAATCCGAATTGCAAGCGGAACTCGATCAGCTGAAGCGACGTGTTGCCGTAGACTCAGTGAGACCACCTCCGGCACATTCAGTCCAAGGCTCGGAGGTGGATCTGGCACAGACCTCAGGCGTGGTTCCAGAGACGATGACCTCCTCTCAGGGCCTTGCAAATGGGGAGAGCACGAGGCTTCAAAGAAGGACCTTTTCCCCGACAGTCACAGAGCATGCAGAAATGCCTCCGCCGACGCCGGATCAAGCAACATCGTCGACCCTGTCACAAAGTATACAAGGGATGTCTGTTGATGCTCACGATATTGACGAATGTTTCACGTTGTAAGTTCTTTGAAACATGTCGACTTTGTCCCTCTACTGACACGTTCAGATTCTTTGACAAGAATTTACCCTATGTCCCTATATTCGATACAAAAGTCAATCCTGATGATTGCTATAGAGCTTCGCCGTTCCTCTTCTGGGCAATCGTCACCACCGGTGCCAGGAAATCCGAAAACCCTACCTTAATACTGACGTTAGCTCCCAAAGTTATGGACCTCGCCAAGCTGGCAATATTTGCTTCTGAGAGGTATCTACCCACGATCCAGGCCTTAATTCTCATGTGTACCTGGCCGATACCGATCGACACCTTGCAAAAGGACAAGGTACCTATGCTAGCTGGGGCAATGCTCCAAATCGCCACCAACATGGGCTTGCATGTTTATGGCACTGCTCAAGACTTTACACGTGTTGCCTCTCGCCACGATAGGCGACAGAGGGATTTTCGAACGAGACTGTGGGCTCTTTGTCTGATAACATGTCAGAGGTGAGAAAGCATACATCCAACAATGCTGCACGGTGCTGAACCAATTGCAAAGGGTCAATAACCTTCGTGGCCTTCCGCCCCTCCTGATCTCCGATACTTATAGTTACGAAGGCTATAGGGAAAGTCCTTTCATCGACATTTCTGCAACTATCCAATTCCAACGGAAGCTCAATCGGATACAGACCGAAGCCACCCTCCTCATTGAGTAGGAGGCATTGTCCAAGAGCCCAGAAATCCGAAATGTCAGTCTTGGTCGTGCGGTTGATCAAGGTTTGACACGCCTCGCCTCTCTAAGCGACGAATGTACATCTCACAGTGGTGAGTATTTTTCTCTTCTCGTTTCTAGCTCAAGGAAGCTAATTGTCAAAGACCGTATCTGGCTACTCAGTGCGCAGCTACAGCTACAAGCATGTCTTCTCCTTGCCCACTCGTCGGCGATTCAGGATATGGAACTCAGCGACTTGTACGGCAACGCATGCACAATGATTGAATTTGTAGAAGAGCTTGACAAGCAAGAACAGTTCGCTTCATTTGGGCCGACCCTGTTGCTCCCAGCTCTTCACCTCGCAGCGCTACTTATCCTTCGCATCGGGAAGTCTCATGTCTCTCATATGTTAGAGTTGCAACGAGGACGCAGGTGCTTCTTCGTCGTGATCGACCTCAACAAAAAGATGAGTGTAAGGGCTGATGACCTAGCGGCTCGAGGCACCATAATTTTGGCCCAGTTATGGACCAGCAAGGTACCGTTTAAACTGCCTGACGGTACAGTAGACCCCCTCTGGCTTCGGTGTAGAAGCAGATTAGGCATGAGCATATGCTTTGATTGTTACTGGTTATGGCGGCAAGAGTTTGGGGGCCTACCAAATCCTTACGACGGCGTTGAAGGTAGGTAGTTGGATCCCTCCTCGGCAGGCATTGCGCTAATCAACGTACAGACGTTTTGAGAAATGCCTCGGGCAAGCTTACCTCACTCTCAGTTCTCGACCCAGGCATGAATATGGGCATTGGCTGGTCCCCTGAAACACCATTCACAGACTGTTGGTGGCCACAGTTTGACGAGCTTGTCTATGACAATACTTGGCAGCAAAACGGAGAGGGCATGCAAGATGACATGCCCCGGTGAGCAGAGTCCGGACTTATCAATGCAATCCTAAAGCTCGAATATCCGCACTTGGCTTCTTGCCCTGCAGCATTTCGCTCACAACCAGGCCCGATCCAAGGCTCAAACTGATACCCCAAGGCCCATGACCGCTCGCGATCCAAACACCACCGTCGCCCATGCAGACTCCGCCCAGGTCCTTCTCCGGTACCTGCCCTATAATGGGGGTTCCACTGGTGCTGACCGGCCTGAAACACAAGCCATCTCTGACGGTCTCGAGATCATCTTGATTCAAGTCATCACCTTCTCTTGCCAAGCCTGTAAGCTGCACCGTGGTCGCTCGAAGACTTTCGAAGCTCTTTGGATTCATCGATTTCTTCACATCGGTTGCCAACTCTGGTAATGAAAGAGAGCTGTCATTCACACCGCCAACCCAGACCTCTGTTTGACCACCACGCGCCAGCCGAGCATACGCCTCTGGAGAATACGACCAGTGTCGACCTGGTGCGCAATATATCGCGTAGCAAAGCCAATTGTCTTCACCTCCACCAATATTTCGTTTCTCGACATCAAGAAAGGGATGAGTGTAGCGAGGAGACTTTACCGTCAAACTGTACCCGGCCAACGGGCTGATGGGTATGCGGGTGTGGCTCTGCGGGAACAGCGTTTTGAAGACCCTTGGTGTCCAGGCCCCAGCTGTGAACACAATTTTGTCGCATTCAATCTCTCTCTTTTCATTCCCTCCGTCGCCGCCCGATGACTCCAATCTCAGGCGGGTCAGAACCCCATCGCTGTTGGTCAGAACCGAGGTGGCTGTCGTGGAAAGATGGATATGAACCCCACGGCTCTTGCTCTCTTCGCAGAGGAATTCGCACAGTTCTTTAGGTTCGATCTGTGCACATTCCTCCGGGTCTGCAATTGTGTTCAGAGTTCCTCCGACTTGGGGGGTAAACACGGCCGGAGAACCATCTTGGTTGACCATGCTATTCTTATGATCTGACCTTCCTTCGACCAGGCCGGCACGACTGGTTCCGTCTAACAGCCAGTCCCCTCGTCGGCCGGATTTTGCTTTTTCGCTGACGCCATATTCGTCGACGCTCAGACTATAGATGTGGCTCCCTGCGTAACCCCATTTTCGCGAACCGTTGTGCTTCTCCGCCAATTCGCGATGCAGTCTGAAGGAGAGAGCTCCCAGACTCGAAACAGCTGGACTGAACCAATCCGATGCTAGGAAACCTCCGGCGTAGCCGCTGGCAGAGGCGAGCAACATCGGCGAAGAGTCGATGATATGGATAGGCGCGTCGTCTGTCGCTGGCCTCGATAATGAAAGATAGTATGCGGTGGACAGGCCAATGATGCCTCCGCCGATGATTACCGTGCCCATGGTTTGCTCAGGATTGACTTGTCCGGTATCCACCTAAAACCACTGGAAAATACTCAAATATGGCTGTTCTTCAAGGGTCACGAAGTATTCCGCACATTTCTTACAACCTTGATTGATCTCTATGTCGACATTGTGTTTGGTGTCATTGTTGTAAGTGTGGGTGGCGACCATTCTGATTCTTCCCAGGCGCATTTCTCCGCGACGACGTCAAAGATCCACGAATTCCGGCCATCGTGAGTTCTATCGCGAGATCTTTGTGTTCTTCATCCCACACAAACACACATTACGAACTGGAATCTACAGTTGTCCTTGGAAAACGAGGTCTCCTGTGGAATCGAGAACACATCGCTATTGAACAGGCTCATGCTCCTATTTCGTTTCTTTATGCTGTACCGGAGTTCTCAAACAAGGGTCCATCTCAATGAAATGCCCCCTCCTTCGGTGCGGCCAGCCAAAGACATGTCTTTTCCATCTTTTCCGTCAAGGACTCAAGGCAGATGGGTATGAGTAGGAGCAACAGATATCCCGTAACCATGGACCGCTGGTATCCTAAGTCGTTTGTACAAAGACAAACCTACCTACGAAGTAAAAGCATACAGAGTCAAGTCGCCACGTATAATAGATACTTCCGGCCCCCAAATTCCCGCATTCCGCAATAATTCCGGCCTGAAATGGAAAAACTCCCCAACTCCGACCTCACCGAACAGTATGCAGCACCCCCCCGGACACGTGGAAAACAACCCTGGGAGGAAGAAGTCGATCATGATTTCTTACAGTAGCACCGTAAAGTCCGGAGTCTCCAGGTTTTGGCTCACCAGGGTATAAACGGAAGCATGTTTTTCGTTGATGATTGATTGATATATTATTCTATCGGACTATATCACCAGTCGGACGGTTTTCTCATACCAATCCTTGATTTTTCGTTGGAACTTCCTCCACCTCCTCCTCCTCAGTAAAACACAAACATGCCAGGACAGTTCGATACCACGATATGGCCACCGACGCCGATCCCAGCGTCGACCAAGAAATTGATCGCTCGACTCTTTGACCTTTGCGACACCAACGACTCTACCAACGGCGTCAATCTGGCCGAAGAAGTTTTTACCGCCGACGGACAATTTCTCACGGCCAATGGTGGTTTTGAGGGCAAGGATGGTAAGTCTGTCTGTCTTGTCTGGCACTGGTTTTGCCCTGCTCGGAGCCAACGAGTGTTCCGCGGACCGTTAAAAAGGTTACCCCCTTTTTCTGAGATTGTTTCAAGCTGATCTGACATGCATTGGAACTGCTTTTTTTTTCGTAAAGAAATCTCCAAAAGTCGATCTGCTGCTTGGGATGTCGTCACTTACCGTCGTCACATCGTCGACAGGGTTTACCCAGGCGACAAAGAAGGAAACGACTTGATCCTGACGGGTAAATTGGAGACTCGGACAAAGGACTCCGGTCAAGGAACGACCGTCGTCGAGTTCGCCGCCAGAGGAATCGTCCGAGGACAAAAGTTGAAGTTGTGGCATGCGTACGTAGGAAATAGTACCAAGGCTTGATCGAGCTCAACGCACGGCTTGGAGAACAACAACAATACCATGCAGCTTGTAAAGGCTAGAGAAATTCAAAGAGTAGCACTCCCCGAAACATGAATATTACTATGATATTGTATTTTTCAAATCCTGAAGGGGTCTGGAAAGGTCTTGCAAAAAGACATATTCATATACCTAGGTAAACAATCTCTATCTACCTAGCATCAGGAAGCCATTCCGTCTCTAGTATTCGGTCGTTGGCATGTTTTCCATGATCAAAAATGTTACCTAAATCCTCTTCATTTCTTTCTCACTCAAACACCATCTTATTCGCAATCTTTCCAATCTTTTCAATCTCAATCTCGACCAAATCTCCATCCTTGAGAAACTGAGGTGGTTTCATGAAAGCAGCAACTCCGCTGTACGAGAGTTTACCGGGTTAGCTACATCACCTTTGAGAAAGAACAAAAACGAGACGTACCTAGGTGTCCCTGTCATAATCACCGTCCCCGTTCTCAGAGTCTTGCCGTGACTCAAGAACCTCACAATCTCCTTGACTCCAAAGATCAAGTCGTCGGTGGCCCCGTCCTGTCTGATCTCGCCGTTGACCCAGGTCTTGAGGTGGAGTCTCTCCGCGTCGCCCACGGCCTTGCCGGAAGCCACCACCGGACCTATGGGTCCGAACTTGTCAAAGGACTTTGCCGGGCCGTGTTGTGAGCCCGACCTCGCCGCGTTCTGCCAGTACCGACTCGACACGTCGTTGCCGACGGTGAAGCCGAGGATGTAGTCCAAAGGGTCGTCGGATTCCTTGAGGTTCTTGGCGTCCTTGCCGATGACGATGGACAATTCACCTTCGTAATCCAGTTCGTGGGCCTCGGGGTTGATGGGGATGGATTCGTATGGTCCGGCGAGTACATCTTTTGAGACACAAGTCGTCGAGAGTTAGCATTGATCTGATTACATGGAAGAGGGAAAACAAAGGCGAACCCCCCCCCGGAAAAAAACCGAAAGGAGGAAATGTTGATGGAAAAAAGAGGGGTCAAGGGGGAAAAAGGAAGAGACGGTAAAGGTCAACGTACCTGGGTACTTTGTGAATACGACTGGGAAAGTCGGTATCTTAAACTACAATACCCAGAAAATGAAACTTGATTAGCTTTTTCAAAGGGGTTCTTTGGTGTTTCCGATATTGACGAAACAAGAATGGGATGGTAGGTGAAAAGGCGGAAAGAAAAAGACAGCAAACAAAAACATCCATACCCCTGCTTCCTCTGCGTGTTTTCTATAATTCAATCCGATACCGAGCATGAGTGGTACACTCTCAAATGGGCACAAGACCTACAGTATGTCGTAGGGTACGGTCAGTATTCCGTGTCAATACTGTCGTAATGACTTCCAAGGTTGCAAGTATGGCTTGGGTATTTGGGTCGTCAAAACTCACCTCGGAAACGACAGCCTTGTCACTAGACGATCGAAGAGTAAACGGATCGTTTCCCGAAAAGGTACTCAAAGTCTTCCCGACGAGATCACCTTTCCACTCATCCCCCGCTTCACCATAGACGACATCGCCACCGGGGGTCTTGAATCGAACCAGACGAGTGAATGGGACTTCCATCTTGTGCTGAGTACGGAGTACTGAGTGGTGATGTCAAGTTGAAGAACGGAAATGACTTTTGCGTGAGTGACGATGAAAAGATATAAACCGAAAAACTAAACAGATGTTTCTTTTTGATTCGAAACTCCGAGCACTGTTTATTTACCTACCTAGTACTTACTGGAAAGTAAAAGTGATGGAGGACAATACCTAACCTGGGTCGACCTGCCACCCGCCGATGATGATCCGTACCCGTAAGGCTTCGAACCACCCCCGCAGGGGGAAAATCGATGGGTGCCAAAAAAAAACATGTCCGGGGTTCAGCGTCTTCACCGAGAACACCGTGCCTCCGAAGAATCATGGCACTACTCCGTGACCGCCATTGCGCTATACCCATTGTCACAATCCCGAATCAGACAAATCTTTACCTATTTGTCAGTTACTGTCCACTACTCCGGCACGGGGATGAAATCTCCCCTCCATCATCAACATACCAAATGGGGACAGGTCAATCATAAATCCTAAGTCCGACTCGTGAGATCTCCCATCTTTCGATCAATGCTGAAATTAGGTCTACCATTCTCGACTTTTGACCTCTTTGGCCCTCACCTTCTTGGAAAGAACAAACAAGACCGTCCATACTTCGTGTTCCGTAGTCCTGACTATGACTTCAGCCTTGTAGACCTCGGCAGTTGTCGTTTTCTTGGCGCTGACATAAGCCATCTCAGATCGCGAGCTATCGATTGGCTACGTGGAAAAACGAACAAGGCTGTCATGACGTCGAGATGTCTCAATAAAGTCCACGATTCCAGGTTTTGGCAATTGTCAAAAGTAGAAAAAGTTGCGCACGTCGCATCGTCACGAATTGTTAAAAACTGATGACCCTTTGATGGGCTTCTTGCGTCGGCCGAGACTTTTTTCTAGAAGACAATAATCCCAGCACCCGAGTAACAGTCTCGTAGAAATCATGGATAGAATCACTACTTGCCGGAGCTGATATTTCGTCTACTTTCAATTTTCCTTCCCTGACGTTGTGTGTCGAGAACAATACCGATGAGTTCCCCCATGGATACGGGGGTCGTAAAACCCGGCAGAACACCTACACGTCAGACGAAGCCGTCGACCCTCTCTGGCCGTGCACGACCTGTCAAGCACATCGAGACTTTGCAGCCTGTGTCGACCGTCGATAGCAACAATCCTTCAGCCAGCTCAAGTGACTCGACCGTGGCTCGCCCGAAGGACCTCAAGTCCGAAAAGTTCACCCACTTGGCACACGGGGACAGAAGACGACGTCTAGACACTCCTCCGCCTCTACCATTCGACCTTCGTGACCACAAACTATCCATAGGCATTTTCACCTTACTGGCATTGGCGGAGTGCTGTTTTCTCCCGATCGGCCTGTACTATGGCTTGATCTATGGGTCAGATTTGCGAATAGGTAAGTTTGTCAGCGTAACTGGCACAGAAACCAAATTTTGACGCGCGACAATAGGTCTCATTTTTGCGATCATCACCAGCCTTTTCGGATTTGTGAGTGGTTATGAATTTGCCCTGCGATCCTGGCGCATCATGCGGTACGGCGACGATTTCCGACCATTGTATGGCAGCCAATATTTCCGAGGATTCGACGCCACTCAATATGTGCTGTTGACACCTTTCACGGTCATGACCATCATCTTGATCATCTTCAGTATTCCCCATAATCCATCGGTCAAGCCATTGGCACTGCCGATGCCTGTTGGTATGATCAACCTGGGCTTGATGTTTCTGATTAATGGAATAGCAGCCCAGCGGCGGTGGAGATTGATGCATTTCAGGCTCAGCTCCCACGTCAGAAACACCGTGTGTCCACCACTGACCTTCGTTTTCATGGAGGATATTTGTGCTGTGGATGGTAAGGGTGGCAAAAAATACAGGAAAGCAGCTCTAGCAAGGTACAACGCTTCTCCGCGGTTCAGAACCTTGCTCATGCAAGTGCTTTGGTTTTGGTCAATTTCCGCAGTGGTGATTGGAGGAGCTTTGGCGACCGTGATATGGTTCGTTAGCGATCATGTCGCTTGGAGCCTCGGATGGGGTGTGCCTACTGTGTGGGCTTTGCTAGGGACCTGGTTGACAATTCTTTGGGTCCAAAGAGGACTTCGTATTGAGAAAGTGACCTGGATACCAGCCCAGGGAAACCGAGTATAAGATCCAGACTTTTGTAAAGCTTCGATAGTGTTCAAGTATTGTGATTGATTGAATTTGATGTTTCACTCTTGGTAAATTGCCCAGCATCAACCTGTTGAATCCACTCCAACGCTCTTTGGACATACCTGTCCTCTTTAGACTCTTTTGAAGTGGCATTTTCATGTTGAGACGTTGGTTTCAATACTGACTCGACGACTTCTATCGTCACAGCACGAGCCTCCCCGGCCTTTTTGAGGCAGATTTCAGGGTCCCCAAGATACATACCCTCTGCCGACTCGTCGATGAGTTCAGATACCTGACGATTCCGCTTGAGTATCGTGTCCAGCTGCTTTACCTGAGAATTCGATACTTCATTCGACAGCTCCATCTTTTCGAGTCTTTGTTTGATGACAACGTGAATGCTTTGAGGAATTCGGTTGAGAACCTTGAGGGCTTGCTCTTTGAGTCCGGCCGAGATAGCAATTCTGTCACGTTCATTATCCTCCTCCAAGTCTTCGGGTTCCTCGTCATCGCTCAGTCGCTCTCCAAATGGGTCGTCATCATCAATATTCTCTGCCGGGTCCCACTCTTCAAATTCCCTGACGGCGTCCTTCATCAGATCAAGCCATTCCTTGGACTTTCTAATCACGTAACCAGGCAATCCTCCCTTTGCCAAGCGAACTAATTTGTCACAATCATCCCAGACACGACCGGTGGCTTCCGTGAAAGCCTTCTTTTGCGCTTCGGACAGTTCAGCCTTTGGGTTCCCATCTTGACTTCGTGTTTCAATTAATTGTAACAGTGCCTGCGTATCGCGGAGAGCGGTAGCGGTAAGGGAACGGCACTCTGCAGAGAACGAAGCGGTAAATGACTCGGGGGTGGTCAGAAGTGCCGCTGTTACTAGGGATGTCAAGATCGACTCGTTCAGTGGTTTGAGGCAGGTTGCGACTGCAGACGGTGTGAAGGGAGTGGTGATGGCCAGCAAGGATAGCTTGGTCACTTGTGATTTTAACGACGCAGCAGCTGCATCGGCTAGAATGAGCGGAGATGGTGAGTCCGGGTTCGTGGGAGGCAAGTCGATCTGAGCCCCCGGCGTAAGAGAGGATGCGAATCGTTCACAAAGTGCGATGGAAGTTTTCAAAATGGCAGAGTGGCTGCCAATGTTTGGCGTGCTCATGTCTGGCTGGCTCGTCCTCTTACGGTCAAGTTAACGAGGGACCAGCCTTTGGACATATAAGATCTGGGTTGTTGGCGAAAACCGCACACTCTTACAGCAGTCAGGGCCCTCATGAATTTCTGCGGATACGGATAAACTCCGGGTCGTTATCTGCCACGTGACTACAACGCCCGCCAGCCTTGCATGTCCCCCCCTTGCTTAAAGCAGCCACCATTGCCGTCATGGTCGTTTACACGCCAAAATAAAACCAAAAAAGTTTCGCTTCCCCAGATGTCGATGTAGGCGCGAGAACTGAGAATTGAAGTCAGCAACAACCTGATGATGACTCGGTAACAACGTTCCAAAAGGGACTGCTATTCCATTTTGATCTCTTACACCCGGATGTTCACGATGATTGTTCGGTGCTTAGCCGATCCTTCTGACGCTGTACCGCGTTCTCCGTTTCCATCCTTTTGTCCCACCAAGTAACAACAAACGACCATGCCATTCCACGACCTCAACATCACCTACACGCCATCCCAGCCGACACCGGAGATCAATCAGACGCTTTTGTTCGCATCCGAACTGGGATACAGAACGATCGCTCTGAACCTGACGCTGTCCGGGAAATTGCCTCCGTCTCCCCCCCCGATCCCCGTTTCGACCCTCGACGTTCCACCAACGCTCAAGATCCTCACGCGCCTCACGGTGACGATATCCGACGCCTCTCAGAACCACCGTCTGTCGGCATACTCCCCGGCCTACGACATCCTCGCCCTGCGCCCGACGAACGAAAAGAACCTCCAACTCTGCTGCGGCAGCCTGGAGTGTGACCTCATATCCCTCGACTTCTCACAACGCCTGCAGTTCCCGTTGAGGTTCAAGACCGTCTCGTCGGCGCTGCAGCGCGGCCTGCGCTTCGAGGTCTGTTACTCTCCGGGGGTATCCTCCTCCGGGTCGTCCCCCGACGCGCGCCGGAACCTGATCGGAGGCGCGACCGCCCTCATCCGCGCGACGAGAGGGCGGGGCATCGTGTTCAGCAGCGAGGCGCGAAGCGCCCTCGGCCTCAGGGGCCCACATGACGTGATCAACCTCGCCTCCTTGTGGGGATTGGGCCAGGAAAGGGGGAAAGAAGCACTGTGTGAAGAGGCCGACAAAGTGGTCAGGCTGGCAGGTATAAAAAGGTCGAGCTTCCGCGTCGTGGTCGATGTCATTGACGGAGGAGGTGGCCCTGTTGCCGTCGCGGAACCCACCAAATCCCAGCCACGCAGACCACCTGCTCCCGGACAAACACAACCACAAACGGAAAAAGGTGTCGTAAAGGGTCAAGACGACAGACGAGGGAAACAAAAGGCAACGACAGACGAGGTTCGGATGCAAAAAGGCACCACCGCCACCACCGACGAGAGCATCGTGTCCAACGGTCTCAAGCGTAAAGCATCGACGACCACTCCCCAAAATCAACCGGGAGGTGACCAGCAGCCGGCATCATTGTCGAATCGTGAAAAGAAAAGACGTGCAAGGAAACAAGCCAGAATGGAAAGTTGAGGCAGGGTCCGACGGCACCCCGTTCCACAAAATAATATGGATCGGCAGCATTCAGAGCACGACTGCTGCTACTGCGCCCTCTGGAACCTCTATCGGACAAGAAGCACCGGCCGACAACGAAGCGTGAGTAGGTAGCCAAGTGGTCTGAGAAAATGGGGTGATGCGAACATGTGGTGTGGAAGTAAAAATATAAAACAAATATGCACCCGGAGAGAAGAAAACACAAGGCCAGTCTCAGTTTCTAAAAAAAGTACTGTAAGGTTTTGTTCTCTGGACCATTCCTTTTTCCCCACATGAATACAAGCTGTTTAGAATATATATATATAAAAGATTCTTTGATATCTTTGGTATCATCCAAAAACCCTCCGGGTTTCCCCCAAGAAAGTGTGTCCATGGCCCAGGCCTTGCGTACAGAAAAGGCGGGCGTCCTATGTAATAAAAAAAACGACATCAAACCATCACCCATTTGTTCTTTTATACTCGATTTTTTGTTTTTTTGTTTCATGATACCCCCGTCGGCGCCGGCGCTCGTTTCCCAATACCGAGCGTGAGAGCGTTCTTGAGAGTCAAGCTCGCCGGATCGATGGTGCTAAACGCCCCTGCGGCACCACCGCCACCAGCACCATCTTGCTGGGCAGCAGAAGAAACCACCGTCGTTGTTGGTGATGATGAAGGAGAAGAAGAAGAAGCGGGAGACCCTTTTGACGTGGCTGTGGAGGTGGTCGTGGGGGAATCAGAAGATGAAGAATCAGGTTGTGAAATTGCTTTGGCGGTATTGAAAGTCGCATCGGTTCTGGATATCGTCGTAGTGGTCGACGACGACACCGATGCTGCTGCTGGTTTTGTGGACGTGGACGTCGTGGCTTCTGTTTTAGTAGCCTCCCCTGCCTTAGCCTCGGAAGTGTTAGATGAAGGGACGCTGCTAGAACCAGAAGTCACCGTACCAGACATTGTCGCCGTAGAAGCGCCTATTACAAGAAAACATTCGAGTCAGCTCAGGCGGTTTTGGAGAACTTTTGGTCGAGGAACAAAACAAATAAAAGGCTGTGAGAGGTTGGGAGGAGCTACGTACTGTTTGCCGAACCAAAGAAGCCACCTGGAGAGACGGCGGCGGCGGGAGTAGGTGCTGGAGGTGGTGCTGCGGCGGCTGCGGCGCCACCTGCCATCGTAACTCCGGTCTGTACAGCCTCGGAGGCTGGGATGGAAGACAGACCTGGGGTCAAGGCACCAGCAACAGTGGTGGCGACTGGTGCGTTTCCCAAGGGCTGGTTGCCCGAACCACCAACAGCAGCGGCGGCGGCGGCGGTCATCATCCAAGCTGGGGGACTTCCAGAGCCGCAGAAGCAGCCGGGCGGTGCGTTCATCCATTGAGTCACGTATGCGGTCACTGCTGAGGAGCAAGGAGAGGCCGCGGTGACAGTAACCTACAACACACACACGCAGGGTTAGTTGGTCGGGACTTCTCGCTGATGGTCTTCTTTCAATCTCGACTTACTGTCTCCGTCATGGCTCCAGCTGCTGGTGGGCACATCGTTTCTGGACAACTCGGTGCAGGAGGCACTGCAGGGCATGCAGGACAGCTCTGTTGTGGTGGACAACTCTGTCCGCCACCCTTGCCGGCACCACCGGCGCCACCCCAGCTACCCATGCCTCCTCCCATGCCTCCTCCCATGCCGCCTCCCTGACCTCCGCTCATACCTCCTCCGGAGCCGTAGTTACCACCACCGCCGCCACCACTCCAAGAACCCTGGTCACCAGCACCACCACCAGCACCACCTGAGTAGTCACCGGCATATACCTATCGAGAAGGAACGAATCAGTAAGATCCCATCGCGTGTACTGGAGATGTTCGGTATCATACTTGCGCCAGGCAAGCTGCCAAAACAGTGAGGGTGTAAAAGGAACGGATTGCCGGCATCTTGATTTTGAACTGATGTTCTTCTAGAGAACACAAACAAACAAAAAGGAGTGAAAATTGGACAGAGAATGAATTAGGGTGATGGCCTGCAACAACGAAGGAATGACCAGGAGATGGGGAAAGGAACAAAAACAAAGAGAGATTTTTTCGCGAGAAAGACGAGGTTCTAAATGCACATTCTGGCCTTCCGTACAAGGGATGCATCACAGATTTCCAGATTGAAGGGCGATCGCTCTTTTCGGTGCGAGGCACATCCGGACAGCGGCTTCAGACGACGAGTGCCGAACAGTCGACAGGGAGTGTAAGCCGCGGCATGGACAGATGGGTTTTCACGCCCTGGCCTTTCGGTCGCGATTGGACAGACCCAGATTCTCAAACATGAGATGCGACGCGGAGGTCTTCATCGCGGTCTCGAAGCTTGGCCCATTTGTGGCTGGAGAGTATCATGTTGAGGACAACTGTGACAGAAGCTGGTGGTTGATACGCGGGACGTTTCACCCTCGGCGCTTGGGGTAAGACTGGCGCGTCACAACCAGATCTAAGATGGGTCAGGGAGACTCTCTGCCAAGAGGGAACATATCAACCCTGATAGGTGTCGGGTCATGAAGCGAAGAGATCTCGCTTGGACAAGACCAAGTCCATTATGTGGCATTACTTTCCTGGATAAGGAAGAGAGAAGATGAGAAGGAGGAAGAAGGGGGTCCTTGGGTAAGAGCCTCATTGACGAAAACGGTTAGCCGAGCCTTGGCTCCTGTGCGTCGACAAGGCTCGCTCTGGCCCCTGTGGCGTAGGCGAGGCTACACCCCTCCCCAGACCCGCCGTCAACATAATAGGGATAGAGATCGTAAACAGCACGAACAGCGACTCTGCAACAGTGAAGATCTTGTCTGTTTGATAGAAGATTGGGTTTGTCTGAACCGAAGCAAATCTATCGGGACACAGCTACCCGAGCATCTAGGTGCCTTGGTGGACTATCCTGCTTGGGCTGCTCGTTCAGCATGTTGGCCTATTGCCGAGGAGACCAAGAGCCTCAAAGAATTCTCGTGGTGCTCCGTAGGGAGTAATCCTCCGAGAGTTCCCCAAGTCCTTGGAAGCTGTTCCGGTCTGGAACAATGGCGCAGAACTTGGGGCGCTCTGCTTCGACGCCATTCTCGACCCTACGCTTGGCCTAGTTGAGCGGAAATCTTAGGGTCGATGACCGTGGCGAGCAATACTGGACCACGAGTGCTGGAGCTACATCCTTGCTTTCAACTCACGCTCATGCTTTCGGTCTTTGCGACCATGCTTTTGTCATTCACGCGTCTGGACACTTCAGCGCCTAGTTCTGCTATCTTGACGAGGACACCTTCTTTCTCACTATGATCAAGTCAGCCAGAGTACCATAAAAAGCATGCAGGTTGACAAGGTTGACAACTCACGGATGGCCATCAGGCAGACCCATTTCCTTCACTCGCACCTCTCCTTTGGCTTGCTCGTCCTCCCCAAGAATGACTGCAAAAGGCGCCCCAGCGTTCTCCGCATTCTTGAATTGCACTTGTGGCTTTGGTTTCTTTTTGTACGTAAACTCGACCTTTAGGCCGGCATCCAGTAAGATCTTTGTGATCTGAATCCGTTGCTTGGGCATTCCATCGAATCCGCCGCCTCCAAATGCCATCACATACACATCGGGGGCATTGGAGGAGACATAGCTGAAAGTTTCACCTTTGGCTATCCTCGCTTTGGTGATGCTGAATATTCGATCAACACCGAAACTGATCCCCACACATGGGATATCAGCGTTTGGTCTGAATCGTTCCACAAGATGGTCATACCGACCACCAGCCGCGACTGAGCCGACACCAACTGAAGGATCGTTCGAACGGTCCTCGTCCTCGCCGAGTGCTTTCTTTTCTTTTCTGCCTTGTTTCTGGGCTTCTTTGGCCACGCTGTTGCCATCGGCAATCACCGGAGCAGAGCCTTCGGTTACGACTTCGTAGATAACACCAGTGTAATAATCCAGGCCACGGGCCAGTGACAGGTCAAAGGAGATCTTGTCAAGTGCGCCCCATGCCTCCAGGTAATCCATCAACGTGTTCATCTCTTCGATACCCTGTTTCGCTTTGGCATTTGCCATCATGGCTTCGTCCTTCTTCAATTCTTCGAGGAGATCTCTGCCACCTTTCCTCGTCACGTAGGTTTTGATCTTGTCTGCGACAGCCTCGTCGAGTCCTTTCGTCTCAACCATTTCGGTCTTGACTTCTTCCCAGGGCATCTTATCCAACTTGTCAACTGCACTCGAAATCGTTCTGATCTTCTCTTCTGGCACACCGCACACTTCAAAGAGGCCGTCTAAGATTCTCCGGTCATTTAGTTTAATGGTGTATCGGCCAGTCCATTCAAGCGACTCAAAGACCTCTACAATGATGGCAATAACCTCGCTGTCGGCCATCATTGGGTCACTTGCTCCTGCAAAATCGATGTCGCATTGGTAAAACTCTCGCATACGTCCTTTGGCGATTGCAGGCTGATCTCTCCGATAGACTTTACTGATCGCAAATCGTTTGTAGTTCTTGATGTTTGAATTCATGGCCAACCACCGAGCGAATGGAACGGTAAGATCATATCGCAAGGACAACAGTTCACCGCCTTGGTCTTTCAGATCATATATGAGCTTCGAGTCTTCTCCGTATTTCCCTTTGAGAACCTCCTCTCGTTCAAAGACGGGTGTGTCGAGCTTCTTTCCTGCATGACGACGGAAAACTCTGGAAATCTGGGCAAGGATATCTTCCAGGAGATCAACGTCTTCACCCGACCAGTCCCTTGTTCCCTTTGGGTTTTTGATCAGCTCTTGCTTTTTATCCTTGTCTTTTGCCATAATCGAGTAGGTCCGACAGAATGGGGGAGCGCGGGATGTAGGGTATGGGAACCGAGGAATATGTAGGAATGATCTTTTGCTGTAGCATACACTGAGGCGAAGGAATGGCCGCATGCGAGAGAACGCAGCAGGAAGGAATGAGGCAGTCAGATGGGTTATAGCGTCCAACAACACAAAAATAAATCCAGGACTGGAGATTCGGAGTCACAGCGCACTTATGACGAATGAGTACGGCAATTGGTATAGATCAGCTGCCAAGACCGAGCCTTGGACACGCTCAATGCCTCTGAACAGGTGCTGGGATACGGAGCACCAATATTACGCCTGCGAGTACGGAGTAGTCAATAAACATAGCAGAGGCCAAGTCGTTCTCTAGAAGCAAGCACAACGTCACATTCGGCTACACTTTGTTGCAAACTAACTCGACACCTCCAATGTTGGTTTGTGGGAGGATGATGCCAACGACAACAGGTACAACCAGCAGGGCGGCCACAAGAACAACAAACGTGGACAAACGTGCAAAAGGCTCCCGGAATGCCATCTTTATCAACCCATACACGTACAATCAGCTACTATGACCTGATTCAATAAGGAATCTCGATCCTCCTTTGCAATGCAGAATCACCAAGTTATTGAACCTGGCACATGTCCTGGACTATAGCTGCCTCGCGGAGGGCTGCGCAACTCACCAATGACGCCAGCCGCGGGACTGCCACTATTCTGGCCTCGACTGCTACCACTACCCTTGCGTCCGATCACCTCGTACTCGACCGGAGGAATTGGATCGGCGTCCTCGAAATCGGCGGAGAAATTACTATGTCCACCCGCTGATCGGTTTGTATCAGACCTGGGCCGCCGCTGGTCGGTAGTAGGCAGAGTTTTAGCATAGGCCAGAAAAGGCGAACTCTGTGCTTCAGGAATGACAGGGCTGTTGGGGAAAGCTTGAAAGCTACCGAAGGCGTATGGCCGAGCATGCTGGGGTGTTGGCCGGGTGCCAGGGAGTTCACCTTCCGGCGTCAGAGGGCCGCTGTTGTTAAGCATCGTCTGCCGAGCATCTTCTTCCTGAAGAAGGCGAAGTTCTTGCTGGTTGGAGTCGAACTTCATCCTCATGTTCCTGACCTCAGCCTCCATGTAATGGATCTGCTGCAACACCTCGTTCTCGCGTCTCTGTTGCTCAATATCCTTGGCATTCGATTCGGCAGCCCTTCTCTCTCGCTCGTTGAGACCTTGAACATTAGCTTGAGTGATCCGATCATACTGCTCAGTTAATTTTGTGTTGCGAGTTGTCAGCCGCTCTTTGCGAGAGATCATTCCATTCAATTCGTTCTCGGCACAGGTCTTTTCAGATTCTGCTGCATTCTTCGCCTTCTTCAGACCCTTAGTCGCGTCTGTCAGCTGCTTGGACTGTCCCTCGAAAGCTTGTTGAGAGGTGCTGTGATCCTCGATATCATCGTCGGGCGTCGATGTCAGACTTTCCAAAGCAACCTCGAGCTCTTGAGTAGCGTCTTCAGTTTGGCGGATGGTGCGCTCTGCTTGCAGAAGCTTTTGTCGTTGTTTGGTGTCGTCACTGGCTGTCTTGAGACGGGTGTTGAAGCTATCGACCTCCTTTTCGACCTTGGCAAGGGTGGTGCGATGCTGGCGTCGAACCTTGGTCAGTCGATTGCGGGCTTCGTTTAGCTTCGCTTCCGTAGTGGAGATTGAGTTCTTGAGGGTGGTAGTTGGTGATGATGGCCGAGTAGATTGACGCACAGGTACAGGCGTCAAGGATCCTGGAAGGTCTTTGTCGAGCAACGCAGGTGTCTTGACCATGACGGACGCATATTCTTCGTCGCCATCGGTGGAAATAAATGTGCAGGTATAGGTACAGTTCGGCGCCAGGCCAGAGATTGTTCCAGTCCAGCGAGCGCCTGAGCCTTCCGGCGGTGATGGATTGTCTGCTGCTTCGAGGTTCACAGAGTGCCACTTCGCACCATTGATCCGCACATAAAAGGGCCTAGGCTCATCTGGATCCTCTAATTCCTCCTGTGTTGCAACAAAATTTGACTCAAAGGAGATAGAGGACGGATCCACATTGGTCACCCATACTAGATCTTGGTGGGCAGCTTCAAAGGGTGTCCCTTGATTGTTGGCGACTGAAGGAAGAGCTTTGTTGTGCTGGATCTCTCTCCCAATTTGCACCTTTGTACTCGCTAAGGCCGCCCAGAATGGTTGTTTGCTTCTAACGTGATTCGCTTGACGTCGTCTTTTCTTAGCACTCATACCCTTCTCCTTGCCCTCACGCAGGCCAGGTGTAGGTGGCTGATAATCGACGGAAGAGGATATGGCAGTTGACGAGGAGCCGTCGGGAACCGAAAAATCCGACACAGACCCTGCAGAGGCTTCCATGTCTACCCGCTTCGTCTTCGTAGGCGTCGGGGACTGAAGGCTATGCAGCCAGCGCCGGATAACAGCCAAAACAGCCTGACTGATGATGTGGATTGCGAAAAGACTTCGAATCTGCGACGGTGGCCGCGGGCTCTCTCCGAAATCTGTGTCCGACGGCAGATACTTCAGATAGTCAGAGAGACCAAACTGAGAACGCAAGTCTATAGGTATCAGATTCGTAAGAAGAAACCGACGGACACCCTGACTTCTCAACAAATGCAACGCCAATACTCCTGCAACACAAAACACATTAACTCGCCCATTGCGTCCCGAGCTCCCATTTCCTAGAGTCATAGCGATCTGTATTTGCGCGAGATCGAGGGTAAAATTTTGAGCCCACGGCCAGAGACACATCCACAATGCAAAGCATATGACATCCACGACCATCCTGGTAGTTGGGCTTGGTGCACCAGCCGACCCATAGAACATGTCTGCAGCAGTACGAAACGACGGACCACCGCCAGGCCAGATAGTCAGCGAAGCAAAAAATGCTTGCACCATTGTCAGTATCATGGACGGCAAGGCCAGGAGGACAATGAGGAGAGACACTGTATCACAGGCGGGGCGAGACCGCAGAATAGTCGAGGCGATCTGCAGAACGCTCACGTCCTGCGTTGCTTTGGACCTGCCTCCGGTCATATCACCACGTCGCTGCTGTAGCATCGCCGATCCATTCGATTCTTTGGCGGGCTCCTTCTCTTTGCTTTCACTGGCTTCCGAGTCCCCCGATTTGGAGGCCGCGGCCTTGGAAGGGTACGCAGTATCCGAGGAAACAGTGCTGGATGGACCGTTGACTGAGCCGGTTACAGAGTGGTCAATGGGAGTTTGTTGTGGTAAAGGCTCGGAGGCAACAGGGCCCTTAGCAGCGCCATTGAGGTGACCATTCGATTTCTGCTTGGTGACACGTTTTCCGGGACCTACAAGGCCATTCTCGTGGCGGTTGTTATGCTGATGTTTTTTCGCCGCAGGGTTTCGCGGCATGAAGATGTGGGAGGCGAGGGGCAGAACCAAAACCAGTCAGCTCGGCGACTCTTCTTAGGTCAACAAGCCAACTGGACGAGGGTTTGGAAGTTCGCGGCGGACTGATGGGATCCAGGGCGAAATTGCGGAAGGAATGGCGGAGGATTCGCGGGCGCACACGGTCGGTCAATGGCGATCCCAGCTGGTAGAGGTCGTGTATAGGGATGCAAATGAAGAAAGGATGCGGAAGGTATGGTTGCGAAGTATGAGTGACGGTGCAGATGGAAAGGTGAGTACGTGGTGGAAGAATGAGAAACCGAGATGCGGATTGCCAAGTGGGTGGAAGTGCTACGAGGTTCAGTTCAATTCTGGTGTTCGGAGAGTACTGTAGGTTTCGTAGGGGGGCAAGTCAGGCACGAAAACACATACGGTACGGAGTACAGTAACATAATATCCCTACCTGGACTGCACCTAGTGGCACCAGGCCTAGAGCAACAAGTCACCAGCCTTACCTAAGAAGCCCACAGAAGCCCTGACCTCACAACAACAAGCCTGCCAACAGCCTACATCAGCCTATTACTTACTCCGTACAACTAGCCGCACAGGCTCATTAGGCGTCGTGGGGGCCCATCCAGGCTGAACTACCGCAGCGTGATTGGTACGCCGCCCTACAGCATCCCAGCAAATGCCACTTACTCATCTGACTGATGGGGGTCCTCATCATTATTGACCATTTTTTCCCTTGCCAACCATTCATTGATCGACGCCGCAGGGAAGCAACCTCCATGTCTTGCACGCACCACAGACGAAACCGACAACAAGGGGTTCATGGGCATGGGAAGGGAATGCCTCCTGTTGATGCTCTATGAAGTCTCCCATTCATTTCCACCAAGGTAGCATACGAGTCCAGCAGGTCACCACTCACTTTACATTGACAGATCATCACTCGCTGCAACGAACACGATCCTGTGGAGCCTCCTACAGCATTTTTTTCCCTGTATTCCCCAGCCAGACCTTCGACGCCTCCAATCGCACCACTTTTCACCAGCGATCCTCCTCCGAAACAGGGTATTTCGCAGAGCACAAAAACTTTGCTTCGAAGCCTGTGCTCCCATCTCACCCATACCCAGACCCTTGTCTTTCCCTGACCGGTGTTATCAAGCGACGATACAAGGTACTAGGCCAAGAACCTTTCTATCCACTGCAATGTGCCGAAGAGAGTGCGCAATAACGTCAAAATGTCATCCCCTTTTTTGACCTGTTGCGATGTTGCCAACGTCATCCGGATCAAGGCAAACTCAAGCATCCGGTGAAGCCTCGGATGTCATGCGCAATAAAAATGTCCACGGCCTTGAGGGAGAAAAATTTCTGAAACACGACGAAGAGTACTCCACCAGCCCAGGCTCTGGCAAATCAACGTTGTCCTTGATAGCCATTGCTTTCCTGAGCCCTGGCGACGTGGAGAGCGGAGGATGGAGTACCAAGCGACTACTCTTAAAAAGGCCACCGCTAGCAGGCGAGTGGATGGGTTTGTTTGGCTCCAAATGAAGCTTCTTACAGGCGGCACCCTCGGCATCAAGCCTTCCATTAGGTGCAGCCATATGCAACCTTCCTGCTGTGAAAACAAGCCTAGCGAGTTCGAGAGGCTCCGATACCGACAGAAGCCCGGCGCCTTTGACGTTCGTGATGTGCCCTCTGACCTTCTACAGCCTCCCGAAGCAGGGCGCTAAGCGTCGATCATTGAACGGTGTCTGGTGGTGATTATTCCCCTCGCCCGGCAATTCACTTCGAGGAATTGCAATTGCGCAACCTGGGAAATGAATGCGAAGGGAACGACCACGCTTTGCTTATCTCCTCGTTCAGATAATCTCATCACAGTGGACCTGAGAAGGCCGCCGACTTCGCCATCTCTGCCAGAGTTCTTTTGTGAAAAGGTTCTGTGCAGATTGCGGAGGAAGATGATACGAACCATCTGCTTGTCAGCACATCATCGATGTTTACCTATCTGTCAGATGCCGATTATATCCTCCATCCCAATGGAGAATTCCGTGTCCGAAAGCTACTGCACTATTCCTTGCTCGTGAATAACGCAATGGAAATCGACCTCTCTGGTACCCTGTGCTACCAGAAATCTTTGATCATGTGAATAATATCCCTGGCCTTCATCTCGTACACACCGCAACTCTCGTTCGATACCAGACGCTAGAGGGCCATTTGCCTGATCGCGGAACACTCACTCTCTCATGTAGCAAAACATGATCCCTGCTAGTGTTGTGCAAGGAAAGTCGACATGTTCCGTGCAGCAAGGGAGCCTGCCACCAGATGCATATCGTTGACACGATCAATTCGTGAGGTTTTACTCGTGCTCGCTCGGCCCATATCGCAGAGGCTAAACACACCAAGGTAAGTATCCCTGTCAAGGATCAACAGCGCCGCGTTCTGAGTTCTTAACACACAGAACTCCCCACATGATCACAATGTCAATCGTGGGATGATTCCGTCCTCTCCATCTTTTATGGTCGAAGACACATTGGTGAGATACCACAGATGCCGGATGAGGGCAAAGGTTTTCAGACAATGTTTGAGCGTGCGTGGTACATTGACCCGCGTGAGGCACACACGGTATGGTTGACACAACTATCAGTGATCCTCACACAAGGCATTGCTGCACCACAGCTCAACTGAACGCGCAGAAGTTCAAAAGACTCGAGCGTTAAAAATAACCAATTTGCTCAATCCTCGGGCTTAGAGCCATCACAGTCAGGTATAGAATTGTGGTACGGTCCACGGATATTGTTGCCGTCAAAGTCTCATTGTGTGATATGGGGTATCCAAAGTTCCAAACACCGATGCCAGTGGGACAGACGAATACCGCGAAGCTAGGAATACCGTACGCATCCTCAAGACAAATCGATCTGCCTGGCGAAATTTGTCTCGACATGTTTCTCCGGTTTGTCTGACTGTCTGTCACTCACAGAGGTGTATTAATTCCACTTGTCTTCCTTCTTTTCTTCCTGCCTCCCTCCCTCATCCTGAAGCAAGTTGGCATTGCACACCACACGTTTTTGGTGTTTCAAAATTCTTACTCTTTTTCTACCTAGGTGAGGTAGTTGACTGCAGAGACTGGATGTTGCTGTCTCACTCGGATTACCTCGGTATTCGCCAACTCCCTTTTTTGAAAAATTTGCTGCTTGTAGAGCATGAAAAACCACCCGGGGAAGGGGACAACTCGATGTGGCTTGTCAAGTATTCCAACATCTCCGGACGCATAAGAGGACGAATGTGCTAACTAGTGTATCTTACCGAGGATAAGGGAGAGGGAGAAGAAAATGGAGATCGAAACCCATTTTGGTCGATTGGAAGCTGTCATTAATGGACTACCTAACGAGGTTTTCGTGTTCCAAGCGCATGAAATGTGGAAAACGTGCCAGGTATATTCGAAACTCATTTCTGTCATGACACCGACCACTTCTTCATCAAGGGTCGTTTCCTCTTTGATTGGTAATTGATTGGTGAGTCACGTACAATGGGCCGCCGTCTGACCAACCGGCTTGGTTCCGGCGAGGACCTTCGATACCAATCTCTTGCATCGCCATCATCAAAGCGGAAATGAACTTGTTTCTTCGTCGGAGACGGATCAGCTCGTTTTGCCAATTTGATTTGAAGAAGAAGACAATATTCAGTGTCAGCGAGTACGCCTCGTTGACTTCGCGTATCTCAGTCAAGACGTTGTCTCTGAATTCACGCTTCTCAGATTTGACAAAGTTCAGAAGCGAGGCTCTTAACGCGTCTATCTGACTGATAGTCGTACCAAACCGTATGACTATCGGAACGGCTTCGGCGAGTGGTCCAGAGCGGCGTTGATTCAGAATGAACAAGGTGTTGAGGTAGGAGTTGGGTGCTGTCACCACATGCCCTTCTAACTTCTTGAATTCAGTGTAAAGGAGAGACATCTTGTTGACAAAGTAGTCAGTGCCCTTCGGCCCAATATCTCTATAGATAGTCACTCGATCTCCAATGTCGAAAGGATGCTTGACGAAGACGAAGACGCAGGATTGCAGGAGTTCCTGGGCTGTAGGTGCGAAAGCCCACGAAAGGCCCAGAAAGAAGCCGCCGACCGTCATCAAAAAACTTGCCGCTGAAGCCGAGGAGATAGATAAAAAGACGACAATCATGCCCACAAAGACCAGGGAGGAGAGCAGGGCGTCAAGCTTGTTGGTGATGGAATTGAAGTCTTTGAGGGAGTTTGTGAGAAATTTCCGTTCTTGTCCAATTTCGAGACAAAGAGCTCCTAATTCATCCATGGTAATATCGCCGTTCGTGTCCCTGTCAAACATGTCGAACGCCACTGCGGCTTCTTCTTCATTGTCGAAGGCAGATCTCAGATCTTTTGGGGTGATAAGGTCGTAGCCCTCGCGGACGAAAGTTCCGTGCAAACGGCGCGATAGGGCCTGGCAGCCGCTTTCCGTCTGAAGGAGACTCGACACGACCTGAGAAGGATGGTCTCTGTTTTCCATCTTCCTGCTGGCGAAATCGCCTAGAACCTGGCCTGCTACATTTCCCACTCTTGCAAAGGCCCTGGCTACAGCCTGCTGAGCCCTAACAGCATACAAGGCAGGGGCATGCGTCCGGAGATGTGACATCCTTTTCACGAATTCGTCGTCTTCTTTTGCGGTTTTCTTTTGACAGAAGGTATACACCTTGACCAAGAGACCGATTTGAAACTTGTTGATCGCTATACGAGCTGCATACGCTCGCTGATGAAAGGCGACAGCAATGAGCTGTATAACCGTTTTCTCGACGAGATTGATGCTCGCCGAGACGCAACCAGTGACAACGATGGCCTTAGCTGTATTTAGCCATTCGAGATGACTGCCACTGTTGAGCGTATGATCTCTCAAGAGAGGAAACAAAGAGACCAAGACGAAGCAAGAAAACAGGACCATGGTGAGTGGTAATTCCAGCCTGCTCCCAACCTCCTTCCACCTCTCTGGGTGTTTGGTGAAGGCAGTGGCGAGCAGGCCCACCGACCGAGAAACCAAAAAGGCGAACAGGGAGGCAGCCCAGACCGCACACCAGACAGTTTCGAGCCAAATTCCGACCCAAAGGAGCTCAACACCTCCCACGTAGGTCTGTGGGTGGGCCACACCAACAGCAACAGGCACAACGAGAAGAGCGGCAATCAAGAAGAAAAACAAGCACTTACGTGCGAGCGGCAAACAGGAAGTCATTGTTGTTGTTAGTGGTGTTGACACTAGATACCTAGGTAGAAGAGAATACGAGAGATCTCTGAGGTATCCGCCCGTACCAGCGCCTGCCTCTGGGGGCACCAATGAAGGCGCAGGTGGTAATATAACGCTTACCATGACACCCCTTCTCTCCTAGGTACTTAAGACACAGGGACAAGGGCGCAGGTGACAGCGTGAGCATACCACGATACCGTTTCTCTCTGGGGCCGACGCCTTTTCAAGCAATACTATTCCGCTTCAAGATATTCGAAACCTCAATGCGTACCGTTGACTGTAGCCTGGACCTGGCCAAAATTCTCATCAAACACCTCCTCGGCATGGTTTTCGGCATCGTGGAAATGAATCCAGTCTTCACGTGGAAATTGAACAGATTCAGGATTCTCCTTGACCTTGTCCCAGTCGGCCTTGTGCCACATGTCACGCGTGGTCTCTCCAGTCTTTTGCACAGCTCTTACACGGTCATATCTGATATTGGAATTAGCAGCCACTCCGATGGGTCAGTATATGCAGTGCTGATTTACCTTATGCTTTGATATGTCCGAACAGCATCCGGGACGTCTTTCTTTCCAGCTCGCCTGAGGCAAACTGCAATTGTAACGCCATCTTCCATTGCCTGTGTCGCACCTTGAGCTGAAGTCGGCAAAAATGGATGGGCGGAGTCTCCGAGCAGGGCAATGCGACCGCCCTTGCTAATCCACGTTGGCAAAGGGTCGCGGTACACAAGCTTCCAGTCGACGAGGTGGCTTTCGGGCGTCTTTTCCACGATGGCCTTGCACATCGGGTCCCATCCCTCGAATACTTTGTACACGTCCTCTAGCTTGCCGGGAAATGACCACGACTCATCAATATCTGCCTCATCCTATGATATGTGGATTAGCTTGACAACTGCGCAAAAGATCCACAACATACCTTGTGCGTCAAAACCCAACAGCAATCGCTGCCGTTTTTGATGGTCGAGAACAGGAAATGTACATCCTGCCCGATCCAGCCATTGAACGTGTCACCGTTCTCGCAGAATTGCTTTGTTCTTGGGTCCTTGATCATATCTGTGTTTGGGAACCTAGGACGAGTCAGACTTGGTTCGTCATGCAATGCGAGAATATCATACCATGCTCGGAAAACCGCATAGCCACTGCTCTTTGGCTTGTCGAAATAACCCAGGACCAATTCACGTGCCTTCGATCTCACGCCATCAGATCCGACAACCACATCGCCCCAGACCTGCAGAACATGAGCAGTTGAGCAACGGCACAATCAACCTGATGCTGTCATACCTGTTCTCCATTTGAAAGCTCGATTCCAGCCCTATCAGGCTCCTCAATATACTTCTCAACTCTCTGGTTAAGATGAATGGGGATTCCAAGGTCGTCTTTGGCATAGTTGAAAACAATTTCATGCAGCTCTCCACGATGGCCGTTGAAGACTGGAGCGTCGGGGTTTTGAGGTGGTGTAGCTTGGTTGATGATGAGTTCTCCTGTATATTTGTGGATGTTGAAGCCGTAGCCGGTCAAGTCAATACTGAGCTCTCGCATTTTCTTTGCTATCGAACCGTCGACTCCCCATCGTCGGAAAATCCTGCCAGCATTGGAGCCGAATGAGATGATATCACCCAGTGGCTTCAGCTCGGGGAATGATTCATATACTTCAACATCGTGGCCTTGACGATGGCATTCAATGGCCGCAGTGAGACCTCCGAAACCTACTCAAGTCAGTCAATGACCTTGAGGTCTTCTGGAACGCAACAGGAAACACACACCGGCTCCTACAATGATCACCTTGACGCCGGTTTTGGACTTTGCAAACGGTTCTGCCGCTGACATGATCATTTTGGCAAGCTGTGCTTTGAGATGACTCGGTGACTGATTAGTAGCAATCGCGGTTCCGGTCAGGAATACGGTGTGATCAGCCGGAAGTGCTTCTATCTGGGGCTAGGTATCCCGCCGTTGGCATTTCCCCGTGGTTGTGAGTCCTTGACAAAACAAAGGCGAACACAGCTCCTTTTGAACAAGACGGGAACAAGTCGTCCAAGCCCCACGGATATACCGGTCCATTCCTTCAACAGGCGAGCAAACCTGAAGAAAGATCCCGACGCGTCGGAGAGGTCAGGGATTCTCCAATAGAACTGCCGATTTATGCATTGTACCAAAATGGACAATGGACGACCTGAAGCCCTAGGATGATTGGGCAAAGCAAGGACGATGGATATCCACCCCACACTTACACCCCCATTTTTCCCCTCGTCGAGGGATGCGATATCACCTTCTCTGGGCTCCGTCGCTCAAGGAGGTGGAGTAGGGAATGTGGTGTGCGACCTTCAACATCACGTCTAGAACCCGTGGGGTCTTAATTGGCCCGGCGCTCAACCACCGTGTCGACTATCTACGTGCGAGTCTGTACTGCTTCATCGCCTCTGTCTTTAACTCCGGTTCAGATAAGACCATACCGATCTCCGCCAGATCTCCTCAATGGCTTTGCCTGTTCTTGGAAGTGCATCATCCGCATTTTAGTCTGGCTATTTGTTGCACGTGGCTTTCTACCTCTGGCCAAAAATCTGTGTCCGAGTGGTGGCCTTTGTGCAGGCTGCTCATTTATGATTTTCTAGACACCGGAGGCTATTGCAGGAGCACTTCCTGATAAATCATATTGTGTGGCCTATTCATCACAGCGAGTGCTTATCACAGGACAGTCTTCCAGCATCCAACTCTGGAAGGACGTGGACTGACCACTATCCCAACATGACTTCTAATCCTACCTTCAACCAGGAGACGGGCGCCGCCGAAGTCGCCAAAGCGTACAGCGATGCAGTACGCGACAAGACAGGTAAGACACCAGTGCAAACATCCATCATGGCCATGGTGGCTTAATTGACCATCGTGAATAGTTGTCATCGTTGGAGTATCGCCACAAAGCTTGGGCGAGTCCATGGCAATGGCGCTAGCCTCGCAGTCGCCTGGCCTCCTCGTGTTGGCGTCCCGAACCATGCTCAAGATTAATGCCGTTGCTTCGAAGGTCAAGGATCAATATCCGGACGTGCGACTTGAGATGGTTGAGGTAGATCTAGCATCGCTTGCATCAGTCCGAGAGGCTGCAGACAGAATCGACAAAGTGGTCGACAAGATTGATATCCTGATCAACAATGCGGCCGTTGTCATGCAAACACATGAACGCACCAAAGAAGGCCTCGAAATGCAGTTTGGCACAAATCACGTTGGGCCCTTCCTATTGACTAACCTTTTGATGCCCAGAATCATCCAGGCAGCAGACAAGTCGCAATCGAAGGGGACCACTCGAATTGTCAACCTGACCAGTGCCGGTCACATCATCTCACCGGTTCGATTTAGCGACCATAACTTCACCAAGAGGCCAGAAGACCTTCCCGAGGATGAACGGCCAATGTCGCGCCCAGGTCTCTCATTTGACCCGCCACCAGGGAAGACGTACGTACCTTTTGTCGCGTATGGCCAGTCCAAGACAGCAAATGTCTTGATGTCTCTCTCCATCTCCGAGAAGCTGGCGCAAGAAGGGGTCAGGTCGATAGCAACTCATCCAGGCTCTATTTGGACGGACCTGTCTCGCGATCTGGATGAGGAACACCAGACTCTGGTCAGCAAGACAGCCAATTTTTGGAAGACCTTGGACCAAGGAAGTGCCACCACGCTGGTAGCCGCGCTTGATCCTAAACTCAGCGAAGATACGAGCGTGATCTACTTGAACGATTGTCAAGTTGCCGAGCCCGCCGCGCATGCTAAGGATCCCACTACCGCGGAGAGACTGTGGAAATTAAGCGAAGAGATTGTTGGCCAAGCATTTGACTATGGCAGCACAGGTCGACTGTAGTAGGTCATCCACCGGCCACTCCATGACACATCATCACGCTGCTCAAGGACGAGAAACGTCTGCATCTTCGTTGTTTACAGGTCGGGATGGCTATGTTGGAGCATCTCAAATGAATACAGATAGATGGATATTCAAAACATTACGCCCTTACTTCCCAGCACGCCGAGGGCTTCTCGATCTGCTTCGGCTTTGCTCACTTTCTTTAGCTGCCGGTATTCCGCTTTCCACATCTGTTCTCTGACCCAAGCATCCAGCTCTCCATCATCGGTCGGAATATTGGTCTCTTGTGCTAGGTCATCCTGAACCGCTTGCTTTATCACCGCAGCCGCGATCTTGACACTGATCTCGCGAACATTCGTCACGTCGGGCAAGAGCCCGGCATCGGGATCCTTGAGTGCTGGTGCTTGTGCAGCCAGCGCTTTCACCGCAGCGACCAGCATCTCGGGTGTGATGAGCTTGGCCCGACTGAGGACGGTTCCAAGACCGATTCCTGGAAACACTACACTGTTGTTACACTCTGCGATATCACGTCCCTTGCCATTAACATCCACAGGATCAAAAGGACTCCCGGTCGCAGTCAGAACCTTCCCATTCGTCCAGTGGACCAAGTCTTCAGGCACGGCTTCGTGCAAGCGCGTGGGGTTTGACAACGGGAAGATTATCGGCCGCCCGAGCCGCCCGACGTGCTTTGCCGTTTCCTGTACGATTTCCTTGGTGAATGCCCCTGGTCTGGTGCTGGTTCCAATGAGCACGTGTGGCTTTATCTGCCGGACAACATCCAGCAACGAGTTGTGTTTTTTGTCGGGCCATTCGCTGTCCGGTCTGGCATAGTCATGTTGAGCCGAAGTAAGGATGTCACCGTGACTCCGTAGAAGTAGTCCTGGTTTGTCGACACACCAAATTTGTTTCATTGCCTCTTCTCTTGACTTTCCGCTCTCGACGGCGATTGCATCCCGAATCTGGTCCGAGATACCTATGCCGGCAGTTCCTGCGCCAAACATGACCACTCGGAGATCTTTCAGAGAGTACCCGGCAACATGAATGGCGGCGAACAGGGCCGCCAGAGTCACGCAGCCCGTCCCTTGGACATCGTCGTTGAAGCAAGGGATCGTTTGGTTGTACTTATCCAGGATACGTCTCGCGTTTCGAAGGCCAAAGTCTTCAAAGTGAATGTACGCTCTGGGATAGCGTTTTCTGCAGGCTTTGATGAAGCGGTCTATGAAGGCGTCATACTCTGGGCCTCTGGCTCTTGGTTGACGTACGCCCAGATAGAGTTCATCGTCCAGCAGTTCCTGGTTGTCGGTTCCCACGTCGAGAACGACAGGCAATGTGCGATTGGGATGAATGCCGGCACACAAAGTGTAGATGACCAGCTTTGCGATACTAATGAGCACTGCGCCGACGCCTTGATCTCCGATGCCTAAATTTCCAAAAAGAAAAAAAAAACATTGGGTTCAGCCTTTCTGCTTTACCAGTCGCAACGAATATGCTGTGCCCCGCGGGAGAGTTCAGTTACTGACCTAGTATTTGCTCGCCGTCACTACAAGCGATAATATCCACATCTTCCGGCGAACCCCACTGCTCCAAGGCAGCTTCGATATCGTCGGGATCGGTGATTTTGAGGAAGCAGCCTTCGGGCCGGCGGAACAGTCTGCTGTATCTCGCGATCGCCTCCCCTTCCGTCGGCGTGTAAATGATGGGGAACATCTCCTTCAGATGATCTTGTATGAGGCGGTAGTAGAGAACCTCGTTTTGGTCTTTCAGGCTTGTCATGAAGGTGTTTTTGCCTAGAGCCGTGCGCCGGGCTTGGAACTGCTCGTAAGCCCGTTTGACCTGTTCGTCCAGCGTGTTGACCCGAGCGGGGACCAAACTGCTCAGGCCGAATTCCTTGCGTTCCTCGTTTGTGAAGGCCGTACCTTTGTTCATGTACGGAGTCTGGAGCAATGCTGTGCCCGTCAATGCACAATCCTGAGGGCCGGAAGTGGCCAGAGGGAGATGTGAGAATTTTGATGGAGCCATCGTCTTGTGGGTTGAGCTGTAGAGTCGTCTCTGGATACTTGTTGGGCCCTGTTGTCCTCTCAACCTAGATCGACATCGACATCTATATATCGGTCGCAAGAGATGATGGGACATTTATCTTCTTCCGCCGGGGATTTTCGGTTCTGTGCTTTGACTTTTTTTTAACTATTTATATGTCTCCCAACGAGTTTTATCGACATGTGGTTGATCGACGTTGATAACGGTTAAACAAATACGTCATTCTTGCGAAAACGAATCGATCTTTCGTATCAAGCATCATCAAGCTTTTCTCTCCTCCGTCCCTGACTAAGACCTACTCTTTTTCTTAGGGTAAAACTCTCATCAACTTCAAAACGACGTGACGACGACGACGGACGCGTGGCTCACTTAGGCATCTCACAAATCATTTGATACGGAGTAGTTCATCCTCCTTATTGTGGACAAATGTCGAGAGTTTCCGACGTCGTAGTTTTGTGTTATCAGCAACGTCTTTCCGTGTTTTCCCGAAGGCAGGTTTTGGATGACTACAATATGCATATTCGACTCATCCCTGGTCACTAACGTTTGTTCTCGTCAAAGTCACTCGTCACCATCAATCCCGTCATTTCCCTACGGAGTACATACCACAAAGTTGGTTTGTTGTTGGCTCTTTGTCGGTGTCGATATTGGCTGTCTCCCCCCCTCCCCGGCATTTCACGGCTTACATAACGACGCAAAAGGAGCGTGCCTTGAACCTACCTATTGAGGCCGAGCATCCGTTCACATAGTAACTAACCCCCAAGGAGACAGAAATGTGGCTGCGAGACTCATCGAACACGGTGGGTGGTCTTGTCGAACACACACCCACACGTCATTCTGGGAAGGGGGGAGGCACCGACACAGGTAGGTAGGCAAATCAAGCACACATACTATATAAAGACAAACATGGATGGTCGTGGTAAGGAAAAGACACTGATAAAGGGAGTATGTCCGTTGGAAACAACCCCCTCTCCCCTCGCGAAATTGTATGGTACAACCACCACCGACCAACGATCCCCGAGATATCTTACTTTGGTAACCAACAACAAAGATCGTTGACCTGACAAGAAATTCGTCTCCAACATGACTCTGACTCCAGCAATATCACCACCACCACTCAAGGACAAGACCTTGTTGAAGAACCAAGGTTGTATCGACGGCGAATGGACAGACGGCAAATCAGGAGAGACGTTTCAACTCCACGACCCGGCGTCTGGTGACCTCCTGGGGACGATGCCGGACATGGACGAGGAAGACACGCAGAGGGCCATCGGCGCCGCCGCCGCCGCGCTGCCATTGTTCCGTAGGACCACCGCCCGGGAACGCGCCCGCCTCCTGCGTAGGTGGTACGACCTGGTGGTGGCCAACGCCTCGGACCTCGCGACCCTGATCACGTACGAGAACGGCAAGACCCTGACCGAGGCCCGGAACGAAGTCGAATACGCCGCCGATTTTTTGGAGTGGTTCAGCGAAGAGGCCCCCCGCGCGTACGGAGAGACCATCTCGGCGTCGGTCGCAGGTCGTCGCGTCTACACCCTCAAAGAATCCGTCGGGGTCTGTGGTCTCATCACCCCTTGGAACTGGCCGGCCGGGATGATCACCCGGAAAGTGGGAGCCGCCCTGGCCGCGGGGTGTACCGTCGTCCTCAAATCGCCTGGCGAGACCCCCCTGACGGCCGCCGCTCTGGCGGAGTTGGCCCACCGAGCCGGTGTGCCCGCGGGTGCCTTCGACGTGGTGACGGCACTCTCCAACACACCCCGGGTAGGATTGACCCTCACCACGTCGCCCACGGTGAAGAAAATCTCGTTTACTGGATCCACCCGAGTCGGCAAGATCTTGATGTCTCAATCGGCGTCGACACTCCAAAAAACTCTCCTTCGAACTCGGTGGGAATGCCCCCTTTGTCGTCTTTGACGACGTCGAGGACCTCGACGCCGCCGCCGCCGGTGCCATACAGTGCAAGTTTAAAGGTTCGGGACAGACTTGTACCTGCGCCAATCGGATTTACGTTCACGAAAAGATTTATGCCGCATTCGTCGAGGCTTTTGTGGCCGAGGTGAAAAAGTTTCGAGTCGGTCCCGGACACGAACGAGGCGTCACCCACCCACGGTCCTTTGATCCATGGTCGCGCCGTGACAAAGGCCGAAGGACACATCGAGGACGCGACCGGGAAAGGTGCGACGTTGCTGGTCGGTGGGAAAAGGTTGCCCGAATTGGGGCCCAACTTTTTCGAACCCACCGTCCTTTCCGGCATGACGTCCGGTACGTTGTTGGCCAGAGAGGAAACCTTTGGACCCGTGGCTGGACTGTTTTCGTTCGGGTCGGAATCAGAGGTCATCGAGCTGGCCAACGATTCCGACGTGGGCTTGACCGGATACTCTTACTCTCGGGACGTCGCTCGGTGCCACAGGGTCGCAGAGGCACTCGACGTGGGCATGGTGGGCGTCAACACGGGAGCCGTGTGTCGGACGTCGCCATGCCTTTCGGCGGCGTCAAACAGTCCGGGTTCGGCAGAGAGGGCAGCAGGTACGGAATCGACGAGTACATGGTCGTCAAGTCGGTCACGTACGGGTGAAGTTGGCCAAAGCAAGCCAGTCGGCCGTTCTGCATGTTCATCTATCAGTCTATCAATGACCTATTGAATCTTTTCACCAAAAAAGGAGGGGGGACGCTTCCTACGGTATTCTTGCAAATTGGACGAAGTTGAGAGACGAAGGATCGAGGTCATCTATTCTACAAGATACGAGAGAAACGACAAAGAGACGGAGAATCGAAACGTGTTCATCTAATACATACAACTCACGAGTAGTCTTTTCATAGTCTCATGACATCCCTACCGAACAAGAAATTCATCACCATCGCCCACATTATGAGCACCCAATTCCTCCACGTCCTCGTCCACGTGAAACTGCCGGATCTCCAGCTCAGCCAGGCCTTCTGGCCCGACCACCGCTCATCGACGGCCGACCCTTCGATGATGCCGTCGTGCGCCCCGATATACGTGACCAGTCTCTTGTTGCTGAACGCGAACGGTCTCTCTCGACCGAACCGTGAATTCAGGCGTCGCACGAGGTATTTTGACTTTTGCACCGCGACCTCGGCCGTGGTCGGGAGAGGTTGACCGTCAATGTCCGCCGCGTCACCCAGAGCAAAGACGTTTCGATAAACGCCGTTCCCGTCGCCGACCTTCTTGACGCGGAGCGTCGAATCGGTCACGATCCGCACGAGGCCCTGGCTGGTCTTCTTCACGCCCAGGTTGTCCACGAAGGGGATGGACTTGTTCCCCGCCACCCACAGCAGCATGCCGTACGGAACAGGATCCGATCCCTTGACGTGCAAGTGCGTCCGGTCGACTTGGAGAATGGTGGTGTTGGTGGCGACCCTCACCCCCCGTTTGGCCATCTGCTCCGTCGCGTACTCGTAGAGCCTCTTGTCGTAGGCCCCTAAAATGTTGGACGCCACGTCGAAAATGGTGATGTGGATCAGTGGTGCCACGGCAGGGTAGAAGTCCTTGAGTTCATTCTGAGCCAGGTCAGACAGTTCGGCTGTGATTTCGACGCCTGATGACGAAAAAAGCCAGTGTTAGTTGTCGCTCTTTCTTTCCGAGTTACAAGTACTGAATCATGTCAACCAAGAACGAGGGTGACTTACCTGTTGGGCCGCCACCGACAATGGCAACGTGAAGCAGAGCGGATGCTTCCTCTGCCGTCGTACACGGGAGACTAGCTTTTTCCAACTGATCAAAAAGTTTCTTTCGTAGTGACATCGCATCGGAGACATGCTTCATGAACAAGGCGTGTTCAGAGACGCCTGGGGTGTTGAATGTGTTTGTTTGACCTAGACCCATGTGAGTGATCAATCTCAAGAAAAGGACGGTGTAGAGATTGATGACGGGGGTAAAGGAGAGCAGCATACATCCCGGACAGATGATCAACTGATCATATTCCAGATAAAACTCTCGACTTGGAAAGCCATCTTCGTCTTCGTCAAAGGCTGCCTCGCATTGCACTCGGTTGGTGTCGAAATCGATGCTTAGAGCATTGGCTTTGGCGAAGTTGCAGTTCCGACCCTTTGCTCGCACCGATTCTTCAGCACAACTGAATGGGAACAGGCCGCATGCAGCAGATGCCAGTAGCGGAGTGTACGCGCTCGTTCGTCTCGGTGATACAATTGAGACTGCGTAGTGACTTGTATCGATATACTGGGCAATGTACAAGCCTGCCCAACCAGACCCGATTATGACTAGGTGTTCTCGACCGTCGACTGCCATCTTTTGACTGGAAATGGTTTGAGCTGCCGATCTTCGATCAGACTGGACTGGCCGCCGGAACTGGCAGCCTGGCAAGGGTTACAGCTTTATATCGCGCTTCCAATCTGAGGACGTGCTAGAGAAATATTGCAAGTCCCGCCGGTGGACTGTCTATTGCCGATGATGTCCTTTCCGAATGATAACAAGCATTTCCAAACGTCAACCAAGGTTGTGTTCATAAGTATTCGGTTGCTGACTACTCTGGTTGAACAATGAGATAAGCAGGTTTCAGGGCTGGGCAGCGATGAAGCCGAATGCTCGACGTCATCAATGTTTGTGTCAGCCGAGTTATTGCTTGCCTAATACGACATTAACCCCGACGCTGATTGACCAGGTATAAGAACTAAACCAAAGAATAGCAGAAAGTCATGGTCTCGATATTTCGGTTCGTTGCTGGTCCCGGGGTTCAATTTCCGGGCGCATGACTCCTTTAGGCCTAAAGAAAGGCACCGGGTGGATTACTCCGCTCAACTATGGTATGCAAGCATGAGTTCCGGTGTACCTCGAGCGGGACAACTTACCAAATCATCACAAAGTCCCAAGCAATGAGAGAGATAGACAAGCACGATAAAGTTCCGAATCGCCAGCATGAATCCGGACCTGCCGGTAACGCCTCACAAATGTCCAGGACGCCAGGACGCCAGGACGCCAGGACGCCAGGACGCCAGGACACCTGCTCAAATGATTGCTTCCTGCGGCGAATTGAAAGGTGTTAACGCCTTGCAAACTCCCAACATCGTCCCAGACCTTCAGGTCAGTTGGTGGCTTGACTTTATCCAATTCAAGACCTCTGTCGCTGTTTGTTTGTGCTCCGCCGAGGTAAACCGTGCTCTTTGGACGATGCTCAATGAGAAGAGAGAGAAGTATCTGCCAGCCATCTTCCCTTGAGGTAGGGCATGCGGTGGCTGGACGTCTCCGTGTACAAATCCGAGGAGTTGGGGAAACGATCGAATGATTGACGATGATAGTCGCTGCACACCTTGATGCTGAGCCCTGATCAATTCCTCGTCTTCCGTACTGCTCTCCCGCATCTCCAGGTCGTTCTTGAACTGGACAGTATCCACCAAGGACTCCCTCAGGACTATTTGACTCGCAGCGTGGAAGTTCCAAGTGTACGCCAGCCATATGTCACTATAATTCAGCATGCGAGGGCATAGAAAGTCCGGCAGCGAGGGATGCGATGGGGAATCCTGATCCGATTCTTGCAAAGCACAGTTTCCTGCGACTACCTTTGGTCTCCATTTCTCCCCAACATCTGCAATCCATTGTTCAATCGAGGCTACAAGGTTCTGGCTTGAATGTATGAGTTTATCAGCCTCTTCCCTCCTTTTAGTGACAGTTGGTTTGATACCTTGCTCACTCTGAATGAGCTTGGTGACAGCGGCAGCAATAGTATTGATTTGGTGAATGTTAGAAGAAATACGCAAGTAAGTAATTCCATGGTCGAGCCTGTTCAGCCATTCGATTTGTTCTGGGTCAGGCTCCTCTCGGAGTAGGATCTGTCGGGCTTGAATACGTTCGTGTGCCATCCGCCACAAGCAGAAACTTGATCGATCAAGAAACTGAGGATAGCCTCTTTCGCGCAAAATGAGTCTCACTGCGTTACTATGAGGTCCGAGCGGTTCAGTTCGTCCAAGATACATCGACTGTACCATAAGTCAGCGCAACTCCGAAAGAACTGTAATCAGAGTAGCGTCACCATACCTCAAAATTGTCAATCAGCAAGAACACGGTCATTGGCCAGGTCTTGCTCGTCAGCAGCCAGGGTCCTGAGGCGGCGTAGAAACGCTCCATAATGTTGCAAGGCCATTGTAGCAAATGACACATTATCTGTGGTTCTATATTGTCTCATGTCGGCGAATGCGGTAGCACGAACAATGAGCCACAAAATCGAATCCGGGGGAGCTCCCTGAAACAGTCTAAGAAGATCATGCATGTAACCAGCGGACATTCCCTCGTTGCAGGGATACAAAGTCCAATTGACAAAAAGCCGGTCTACGGCTCGACTTTCGATATCTCTCCGTAAGGGTTCGGAAGCCTCATGGAGAGCGCTGTCGTTCAACCAAGGGTAAAGTCTTTGGTAATAGGTGAGTTTCGGGATGCCTGGACTCGTTCGACTTCTTCGTTGCTGGAACACCTCCAGATCTACGGGCGTGGTCAGTGCTCGACTGCCTCTGCCAGCCCTCGCACGCCTTGAGTTTCTTTCCGCAGCTTCATTTTCGTTCCGAAAGATAAAATCAAACTCGTCTGCATAGCCCGTGCAGACCAAGCCACGCTGCATACATCGGCCACAACTCGGACGGATAAAGTCGCACTGTGCAATTCGTAGCTATGAGTCAGCATGGGAAAGTGAAGTCTTGTGGTGAGAAGACCATACCTTGGCTTTCGCTGTTCTGCAAGACACACAGGACCTAGCAACACTCATGCTGGTACGATGATTAGAGATGTACTGGGCCTCAAAGACGGAATGTCAATCTCTAATCACCAAGTCCCATCTTGAAGCCTGGCGGGTCACAGTCATCCTGAATGAACTTATACCCGGTTCGAGTAGAGGTATTTGATGTGCCATAACGCATACAACATCATTTCAGATCAGAAGTTGATGATCTTCTCCGTCAAAAGACAAGACCAGCCTTGGAAAATCCATGTCTATCCAGTCATTTCCCAGACAAAAGGTCAAAATGAATCTAGCACGCGGTTGAAACCTCGAGGAGGCGTTCAGAACTCGATTCCTCATAGCGGAGAAGAATTCTATTGGTGGTGCAATAACCCATCAGGAGCTCCTGAATTTCTGAGTGGTATGAACTCGATTTGTCTCGGGAACCTAGGAGTAGACCTCGCAGCCGCTAGTATACCTGGAGACTATTGTACCAATTATTCCATGATTGGTTTAACATGAATTGGTTGGGCTCTGACTTTGAGGCAAGCAGGGTTGACGGTAGGAAAGATCATGGACAGAGGGTCATTTGTTGTTTCGGATGAGTGCGTTTCGTTTGCACATCAACCACCTCAGATGTCTGTAGCTCATAGAGCTATAGTTTCCAGAATGCAAAAACTATGGTCCAAGAGCCCTCCTCTTGTCCTTGAACCATTTCCTTCATGGGGGCTCACAAAACCGTGGCATCGATCCAATCCGCCTTGAAGGGAGGGTGAATTGTAACGTCGCCGACCGGGAAAACAACGGCCGCCCTGACGAGCAACTTGTCTTGTAGTGCCGAGGCGTATGGTCCGTCCTTGATCAACAAATCTTGAAGGTACCGTCTTAGTCGTGATCGAATGTCGGCGGGTAAAGCCGCAAACGAGTCGAGGTCGGATTCGTCAAAGACTTGAAGATGAGATTTTGTAGACTCTTCCAACAAACAGAAACCGTCCCATTTCTTCAACAGACTCAAATTCAGGACGCGGTCCCCGACGACAATGGCAGGTCTGGGGTCTGGATAAGTAGGGGATGACATGATGCCGAATCTGATCACGGTTGTCGGCGTCGTCCGACAGTCCGGTGTCGACGGGGACGACGGTAACCACGTCGGTTTAGACTCTTCCTCTTGTTGTGGCATTGTCAGATCGGAGAAATCGAGCCCCCCTCCCTTGTGGTGAGACCGTGTAAAGTTGTCGAGGTGCGAGTACAAGTGATGTTTTTTGGTTTGCCGCTGCTTACAGTAAAGTGTCTCCGGTCCTGGCCTGCTCGGCAAATACTTTTTGTTCTCTTGTCCCTTATTAGTCAGCGACGAAATCCCGATGGCCGATACGTGCGACGTATACTCCTTCCTCCGTTTAAATGAATAGGGCAACGTGATAGATGAATGAGACGGCAGCCGTCAATGGTTGGATCCCGAAAGATACAAAATGACCCGGTTGTACATCCTAGGATTTCCAAGGTATACTCGGAACTCGAGTCGTGTCGAGTACTGTACGAATGTGGACACGCAACGGCTTTCATTCTTTTGTGGCTATATGTGTGGACTTTTACATGCGTATTTTGAACGAGGCAAACCCAGCCCAATTCTTGATCGTCTCTGCATGAGCTTGCACATCTCCCAGAGGTCACCATGAGCATGTACCTTTGTACCCAGGTCCATCACTCGTCCAATTCAGGGTAATGTCGATAGATACCCATGCTGTACTTTTGTCTCCGGTCACTTTCGAGATAGGCCTTGACCTTGTCGAGACCCTTGACGCGGTCGTACAGGGCAAACACTTTTTCGTACTCGCCTCCCTCCTTCATCTTCGCGACGCACTTGGGGAAGGCGTACGAGACGCCGTCGACGGTCTGGAAGAGCACCAGGTCCGCGTAGGTCAGTTTGTCCCCGTAGAGGTAATCCCCGCCCCCGCTGGCGGGGCTCGAGAGGACACGGTCGAAGTACTCGAAGAACTTGGGCAGGCGGACCTCCCGGTAGTCCTTGGCCTTGCGGAGCGCCTCGTCCTTTTGGTCCTCGTAGTACAGGCTGGAGGCGATGGGGTGGTGGACGTCGTGGGCCTCGTTGGACAGGCCGTCCAGGGCGGTCAAGGTCAGGGAGTTGACGTGGTAGTACCCGTTGACGTCGTCCTCGGGGGACGGGGCCAGACCGAGCCGACCACCCAGATACAACAGGATGTTGGGCGTCTGGGAGATTTTGACGTCTCCGTGTTCCAGGACCGGAGGGGCGAACAGGGGAGGGTTGTGAGGGTCTCCCCGGTTCTTCTTGTCGATCCTGGTCAAGAGAGCTTGGATGCCTTCGTCGGTCTGGTTGGTCACGTCGACGTAGGGGGTTCCCGTGGCCTCGAACGCGAGACGGACGTGTTCGCCGCGGCCGGGCATGCCGGGCCAGTAGATCAGACGGTAGGGGGACTCGGTCATCTTTTGACGCTTGCTGGCGCGGGTCGACATGGCGGCGGTGGCAGTCGCAAGGTGAAGGTGAAGGCGAAGGACTCGACGGTTAGTGGTGGTGGGGAGGACTCGGATGTGGTTCGGGTAAGATCCGACGAGTGGTGTGAGGTTGGAAAAGTGGTGGAGGTCAATGGCAGAGGAAGAGTTGGCGTAGAGTGTTGTTCTTCTCGCTGTAACAAAAAGGAGAGAATGTCTCATTGAACAACTAGAGAAATAAGAGGAAAGAGGAGAAGTGGTTTAAAGCATCCGATGGACAAAGTGACTTGGATCAAGGTACCTGGTTCAACGTCATTTATATGTACTTCGAGGTACGTGGAATGGAGTATTATGGGAGGACCACGTAAACATGAAGTGGGGGGTGGGAAAATCGGAGTTGGAAGAATATCCTTCCGGAATCTGTGAGCATGTACGAAAACGAGAGGAAAAGCAGGGAAAAGCCGATTCGGAGTCTTTGTGGTTCCGAATGAAACAATTCCTGGGGGGGGAGGGGGGGCTTATGTAATTATCCCCCCGGGTACGCGCAGGACCAGAAGATACGAGTAGGTGTCGACTGTGGGTGGGATGCGGGATGCCCACAAACTATCCCTCCCTTATCATAGGTACGGAGTAGATATCTGGTATACAAGGGATATCAGAGGAAACCCTGTAAGAACCTCAGATACTCTCCCCATCCAACTAAGCCAGTCGTCGGTCTTTGTACTCGAAGGAATGACCAAGTAGCTAGATGTATATTATTCCTTGCCCGAAGAACATCTGCCGAGCCAGTCTTTGTGATAGACGACTTGTCACCGACATCTGCAAACGTGTATTATCTAAGCTGCGTCATTGATCTCATCTATTTTCCATGGTACTTTGTACTACGAAATAATGAACTACCTACCTGAGGTCTAGGAAGGTGAGATTTATTGGACCAAGGTACCTCTATTTTGTACGTGATTGAACATCACCAATCCACGTTTAGGCGCGACACCACCACACGACAAAAACAGCCGGGCATCAGCCGAATTGAGCCAGAAATCTCACACACTTATTAGGCACACGACACGAGTCCGTACGTACATACATACAACCCACGAGACGAAACCCACCTGTACCACCATCCTTTTGTCGCCATTGATTTTTCGAACGATACATTCCCTGAATGTTGTGACAATCCCGGATATTATAATCCAACAATGACTTCGGTACAAGATTCCCTCATCTTTGGCAACATCCTCTCGACCCGGGAATCCGCCGCCGTCTGGTCCGACAAGACGCGCACGCAATGTTACCTCGCCTTCGAGGGGGCCCTGGCCAAGGCCCAGGCGCGCCTGGGCATCATCCCGCAGAGGGCCGCCGACGAGATCATCAAGTTCTGCCTCGACATCAGGAACGTCGACTTTGACGAACTCCGGGCCCAGACCGAACTCATCGGGTACCCGGTGCTCGGCGTGGTCAAGCAGCTCGTCGCGCACGTCAACGCCGTCGAGCCGGGCCTGGGCGAGTGGGCGCACTGGGGGGCGACGACCCAGGACGTCACCGACACCGCGACGGTGATCCAGCTGTGGGACACCATGTCCCTGTTCGAGAAGGCCCTCGACCGCATCGTCTCGTCTCTCCGCGCCCTCGCCGACCGGCACAGGGCCACGCCCATGGCGGCGCGGTCGAACCTGCAGCAGGCGGTCCCCATGTCGTTCGGGTTCAAGCTGGCCCGCCTGTTGGCCACCTTCCTCCGGCACCGGGAGAGGCTCAAGGACGTCGAGGCCCGGCTGACCGTCCTCGAGTTCTCGGGCGCGGCGGGCACCCTGGCCACGCTCCCGCCCACCCCCGGCCACCCCCACCTCGGCCTGGAGTGCCAGCGCGAACTGGCGCGGGACCTCAACCTGAAGGTGCCCGAGATCGCGTGGCACACGGAGCGCGACCGGATCGCCGAGTTCGGCTCGCTGTGCGCCATGCTCTCGTCGACCTGCGCCAAGTTCGCGCTGGACGTGAAACTGCTGGCGCAGACCGAGGTGGCCGAGGTCTCCGAGCCGTACGTGCCTCACCGCGGGTCGAGCAGCACCATGCCCCAGAAACGCAACCCGATCTCCTGCGCCTACATCACCGCCATGTCGGCCACGGCCCGGCAGCTCGCCACCTCCCTGTTCGAGGCCATGGTCGAGGACCACGAACGCAGCACCGGACCCTGGGAGGTGGAGTGGATCGTGTTGCCCCAGATCTCGACCCTGACCCACGCCACGCTGAAACAGACCGCCGACCTCGTCGAGGGGCTCGAGGTTCACGAGGACGCCATGATGGCCAACCTCGGCGTGTCCAACGGGGCCATCGTCTCCGAGGCGGTCATGATGGGTTTGGGCGCCGAGTTGGGAAGGCAGCACGCCCACGACCTCGTCTACGACCTCTGTCGGCGGTCGCAGATCGAAAAGAGGCCGTTGTTGGATCTGTTGTGCGAGAATGAAGAAGTCGCAAACAAAATGACCAGGGAACAATTGGCCAGGCTGTGTGACCCGGCCAATTATCTAGGTTACAGCGAGGAAATGGTCGAGAGGGTTCTGAAGATGGCCGATGAGCCTAGACCTGAGAGGAAAGCGAGTCTCGTATGAAATGATACCCACCAAAAAGAAGTCAATTTTTCTTCATCTCATCACTCGAGACCTATTATTATATCGTAATGACGGCGTACTGTTTAATAGGTTCGCCCACTGAGCATTGTGCTAAGTCCAAGGAAGAATAAGAATACTGGTTTTGCAACAAGTTTATCTCAACATTGTCATCATGAAAATTTCGTCATCAACGTCAAACGTAAAAATACTTATATGTACAAGTGAAAAGAAAAAAATAGACCAACAGGGAACAACAAAAAATGAGAACAAATGCTCAACTGCTCAGACGAGACTGAAATCACATATCCAAGGTGTGAGACGAATCGAGGATATCCAGTTACCTCTGCACAGGAATTCGGAAACCAATCCCAGAGATTCACCGAGTACAATCCTGTTCTTGTCCCTCCCCGTCGATAATAGTCTGTCCGTCCATGATCAACCATGAGGCTGTTATGACCGGTCGAAAATATGAGACACACTAGTCACTATCCCATCCGGTCCACCCAATGACCAAAAATGGCCAATAATGGAAGAAAACGTGCCATGAGATGATGATGGTGGTGGTGGTGATGGTGGCAATCGATCTCGGTCGTTTGACGTCTCATAAACATCGTGTCCTTGAATTTCTTCCCGAATGTTGATCGACTCATAATCGGTCAAATCACGTCCGTGGTTCTGATTGTCATGATAAGTTGAGATTGTTGTTTCTGTGGTTGCATGTCGTCGACCGTGGTCTTGGTTCAATTGGTACGGTGCTACTACTACCACCGCCGCCGCCTCGTGCCCCCGACCGTGGGTTTGGGCATAGTGACGTTGAAGATGATGATCATGCAAAGGTCTGGCGGTGACAGTCATGTCGAGACCAGCGGCAAGAAAGAGAGACACGTATATTGTTGGTTTCATTTTGGTTGGCTTGGACCGAAAGGAGAGGAAGGAAGAGTTTGTCAGTTTGATCTCGTACTCCTTGAACAGATTCGTTGAATTCCGAATGACACTCTTTGGTGAAAATCTTTTGCTGTCGAAGAGATCTCTGAATATATCATTTGACGGTGACGAGTGTGATGAGATATGGGTAAATAGCAGTGACAACGATGGTGGTGGTTGTCTCAAGAATAAAAATCCGTTCACCACGACCAAGGTAGGTATGAAACCACAAATATATCGGGAATGGTTAAAAGAGTGACGAAGGCAACAGTAGAACAAGATTAATGAACCTGTGTGCTTGTACCTAGGCAAGGGGCCAAACAACAACCACAAATGGACATAGACCACGAGGGAGAGGTAAGGGAGAGGGAGATGGGTAGAGAGGAAGAGAGAGGGATGAGACAATTTTGTATCCCCAGTCTGACCAGAATACCTGAGGTGTATACCTATTCTTGGACTTCCGTACAAACAAAACCATTTACAGTACCTGCCAGTCAGCTGAAGCCTACCGTTCAACTCTTAGTCCAGACACGCAAAAAAGATACCTAGGTAGTTTCGATTATTTGGGAGGAGGACGCCGCTCGGTCTCGTGTTGTGGCTCTCTAGAAAATTCACGCAAAAACAAAAGAGAGCCCCCCCCCTAAAATGTGTCGTGAAAGGAATCCGTCCCGGAGTAACTTTGTATAGCTTGTCTCATCATCGTCGAACCTTGGACAAACTCCAGAATTGACGGTTGAGTTTTGATCGAAGAAGGGGGGAATGGGGGCCGACAAGTCAGGTGCTGTCTTGTGTGTATATCTAGTTTTGTCTCATGTACGGAGTAAACATACCTACAGTACCTACAGTAGGTAATGTAAGGTAGCGTCTAATTCATTAGACTCCGTAAGCAGAGAAGGATACGGAGTACCTGGGTCAAAATTGAACGGACGGATGAGGATTGAATGAAGATGAATCAAAAACCAGGAGGTGAATTGTTTTGGCGTGCCTTGTCGTCTGTCGCAGCCGTTGTCGCCTACAATACGATGACCCCTCCAGGCCCCCGGGGAAGATCGAGTATTAGAGGATATACAAAGCCCACAACCGTGGACAAACACAGACCAGACTCCGGTTAGAATTGAAGTTGTACGAGTACACTCGTTAAAATCTTTCAAGGGGGAAATCCAATCCCATGAAGGCTACTCTGCTGCAAGGGGTTCAAGAGAAGCCCTCATTAAACCCTTCTTAACACATAAAACCCTCTCGAGGTAACTTTCATCGTGCTGCAAAGTCGCCTTCAGATTATCATCAATCTGAAACAATGGCGGCCCCGATGCCCAAGGGCGAAAACAACAGACCCAAGTGGCTTGATGCGAGGTACCGAGTATTAATTTACAAACTCTCTGTACGGTCACTCTGTACGGATATGCATTAGATGATTTGATCCTGTGTAGGTGTTTGTCGTTGACCTCGTCCGAGTACAACTCAATCTGTCCTACTCAATTGGCAAGACAGACACACTCGAAGATCAATCTCTTACTCCATCCACTGACTATTCCTCAACACTCCATACCACTCAGAATAGTATCCCCGGATTCCAAGCAGACACGCACACAAGTACTCCGTACTTGACACTGATCAATCAAGCCCTTCTCTCCCCCTTGCTTCATAAAAGTCGTATAACACACAAAAGCAACCAAGTCGTGGGAATCATATCCAATGTTTGCATCTCACCAGCCTCTCCTTGCAGCTTGAAATGCGAGACAATTAATAGGTCAACACAATCATCTACCGCCGGCGCCCATGCGTGCAATGCCTTCCATGATGCCACCACTTCGACCGCCGCCATACCCTCCTCCAATCTTAGACGAAGGTGCCTTCAATCCCGTACTTCCCGGAGCTGGAATACCAGAGAATTTACCCGCCGTCGGCTTCTGAAGCATGCTCATCGGTCGTGGCCGACTGGGTAACCCTGTCGCTCCACCATTCATGCTATTCCTGAATTTGTTCGGACTGGCAACTGCTGCCGCAGAATTTGGTCGACCATTTCCATCCTCACTCCTCGGAGGACTAACAGGATGGCGCTGTGCATCAATGTTGCGTTGTTCGTCCTGCTGTGCACTCATGCTCAAGAACAAATCCACTTGAGCCACCAGGTCTCCCTTTTCGATTCTTTCTTGTTCGACATCCTTCCGCAGCGAGTCGGTCTCTGCAGTAAGGGAATCCACTTGGCTACGAAGGCCTGCAGTTTCTGCCTCGAGGAGTTTCTTCTCGGCCATGGTCTCTTCGTTCCATCGGCGCAACTCCTCAATTTGCCCTTCCATCTTCGACATGGCCTCACTTTGGCCGGGGATGACGCCACTCATGGTAGCCTCTTTCTCCGTCTGTAGCTTGAGAACTTCGTCCTGTGTTGCTTTGAGGTCGGCTCGCAACTGTTCCACTTGCTTGATCCAACGCTTTTCGTAACTGACCTTGAGGTCCGACACTTTTCGTTCATGTTTGCTCTTGTAAAGAGCGTGCAGCTCCCGAGCAACCTTTTCAGTGGCATCTTTGACGGCAAAATCAATGTCTGCAGATACACCTGGCGTGGCCGGGGTGTTGTTTTTGTCCGGGCTAGGGGTAGCTCGTATTCGGTCGGACCGGAGGGTGTCGAGTGACGCCTGTAGTTCAAGTATACGCACTTCGAGCTCTTCTGTTCTTCGATCTGCCTCTTCGTTTTGGCGTCGGAGTTTCTCTTTCTCTCGTTCCTCAAGAAAGATGTTTTGCTTAATCTCCCGAAGTACCTCCTCCATTTCACGCGATCGCCGTGCAAGGTCTTCCTTCTCGTGCTCCATCTCTTCCCTCTGGGCACGTTCATTCCGAAGCTCTTCACTAGTTTTGCCCACTCTAACTTCCGCATCCGTCACAGCGCGCTTGAGAGCCATCACCTCGGCTTCCTTACCGGACAAAGTAGCTTCGAGCCCTGAAATGCGAGACTGTAATTCCGAGCGCAAAGTTTCCAACTCTCTCGGAGTGATTGTTGGTATTGAGCGAGGGGTGGCCATAGGTTCGAGATCGATATCCAGTAAATCCATGCCCAAACCAGTAGCAGAAAACATACTGTGCCGTTGACCTGCAGGAGTGGCAGGCACAGTTCTGTCACCAGACGGAGCTTGATGCTGCTTTTGTGGTGATCTCCCCCCCGCTCTCTCACGATCCACAGAAGCCTGTGACCGGTGCATCGGACTAGGGTTAATCTTGATTGGGAAGCCTCCCCTTCCTGAGGGACTTCGTCGCACACTACGCGGCGCCGAGGAAGGTGGAGGAATCACAATATTGGTCTGCCCCGTAAAATTCAAAAGATCAGTTGTGGCGTCACCAGAAGCCGATGGTTTTCGAGGAGTAGGGTCGTCATCTTCATTTGACGAGGTACTTCGACGGGACGTAGACAACAACCGCAGTGGTCGCTGAGCTGTCCCAGGTGTACTAGTAATGACGGAGGTGCGTCGTTGTTGTTTACTGGGTGACCAGGGTTCGCAGGGAGGTTTGGAAGGAGAGTTGCGTAGATTAGAGAAGCGAGTCATGTCTGTAGGGATGGCCGAGATGGTGCTAAGATCGCCGACGGTTTCATCATTGATAGTTTTGTCGTCGAGGGTCAGCGTCAAGGTCAAATCATCCAGTTCATCTCTGGGAACGTCTTCTGTTCGTTGCTGCTCTTGCTCTGGCGACGCAACGGCAGCAGTGTCATGTGTTGAGTGTGTGAATGACTCGTGGACATTGTTATTTTGTACCTCCTGTAAGGAGTCAATCGCCCTTGTCAGCCCTTCGTTGAACCGAACCGTAGGTTCAGCAGGAGAGCCGGGAGGGGAGTCGTCCCTTGAATCATCTTGCAAGCGGTATTTTATCGGCGAGAACGCTTTTCGAGGGCTCGTCTGTGGACTGGGGAGGTCGCGAGGAGAGTGAGGACTTTCCATGGTCGATAACTGTAGATTCAAGGTATCAGTGGTAGAAGATCGCGCGACAGCCACTGTGGACATGGTAGCAGGGGAACGTGGAGGTGTTGGTGTTGTTGTTGACGGAGTGGGATCGAGTTTCTGGGAAAGGTCGAGCTTGATAGGAGACGATCTGGAGTTCTGCTTGGCAGGCGACAGGGTAGACAAAGGCTCAGGCATCTTGTCGGTGAGCAGCAGTTCCTGCTAGAGGCGGTGTGATGGTGGTTCTGGTTCTGGTACAGAAGGAAAAGTTGTAAGCAGCCATCCAAACCATATGTTTCATAACGAAGGAGATCTTTTTCCCGGAGAATAACGACTGACAGCGTCCTATTGACCGTATGATGATGATTGTGTCAAAAGCGTCAGTCATGCCCTGTTGCGGAGGCGACGGTGGACAGGAGAACAGCAAAGGACCAGCAGGAAAAGAGATTCCACACCCCTGCATGTCATTTAGGCGTCGTGTCGGTAAACAATCGAATGCGCACTAGCTGCATTCTAGTCGAGTCACTAGACCATCTGTGGCTAGCTCAGACAACTAATCTCGTTAGCGTAAATTGTACCTTGCGTCTAAAATGTCCCAGTCAAATTGAACGGGTTTTGACCCTGCATCTCGCATCTCACTATAGAAACATCTTCAATCACAATTGCATCTCGTTCAAATCTCCTGCATAATACATGATCTATTCTGGACAGATTACTTCAAATCTCACAGGTCATTCGTCATCGCATCCCTGGTTTTCTCATGCTTTTCAACGTGAGACTAGCCCCGGATCAGCTCGAGGTCCAAAAATGGACAGAAGAGATGCTAGAATGTTCGGTCGTATGGAATTAGGGCTTGTATGTGATATTGAGAGCAAGGAGTGCCTGATATGCGTCGCCAAAGGACTGAGCCAAAGATGACGTTGATGATCTCAATGCAGCCGCCAACTACAGCGGTTGTAATTCAGTCTCTCTTATCGCGTGTGAGCATCGATCACTTCATACTATGGTAAAGGAGGCGTTCTCGGAAAGCCTACCGTCAACAGCAGTTGCCATGTAGAACGCTCTGCTTCAAATGAGTGCCGATGTACTTGGCCAATACATCTCAATGCGAAAGTGTTGTTACCCATGGATAGGCGCTACATACAAACTTGACTTCAGCCTCGTCGAATATAATTGTGGCAATCTATCCGCCAGCCTGTCAATAGCATCTTTTGAGTCTTAGCAACGACTCTTGCGCCCACAAGAAGCCCAACTGTACAGCGTCTTCCCAGAGTAATGGTACTTCTGAACCGCTTCAGTATTAGGAACCACATATCACTGCTTCAAAGATATGACCGAAATGTTGACATTTTGATATACAAAAGCTCTGTCAAATGCTAATAGCTCATTCACCAAATTTCAGTAATAAGTCTACAATTCATCCTTTCTACCTTCCCCTTCCTCAGATGCAGAAGCTTTGCTCTTATTGCCCGACGAAGGTTGCTCGCATGCCGCTGCAGTGCCTACCTCCATGCGATATACGCATTTTTCGCTTTCACTGACCTTCCAAATCTCATCCTTTTCCGCACACGCAAGGATGACCCTAGTCGATCTCGATGGACCGTTCCAGCAGTGCTGACCATTCTCATATTTCATGACTAGCCGTTCACCTGTGCCGAGCCCTTTCCCATCGGCGCTAATCCTTTCGTCAACGTACTCCGTGTCAAATCCCACAAAATTGCCCATTCCAGTTTGCGCGCCGCCCTTTCTAGACTTTTGTTTCGTTTGGCCCATGAAACAGACCTCGTATTCGTACTCGCCGCTATCTCGAGAGATACAAGTATCTTTGAGAGCACGGAAGATGCCGTTGTCAGGGCCATAGTCCTTCTCTAGGTCTTCTTGATGCCGCTTCATGTCGTTTTCCGTATTTCGAACGTCACGCTCTGCATCCTCGAGCGCCTTCTTTGCATCTTGCACAGCCCTGCTTTCCGTAGCCTGAGATGTAGAACCAGAGTTGTCGGCGAGGATACCGTTTTCGACCAGAATCTTTCGTATAGATGTGAGCGTGTCGTCTAGCCAGATTCTCATTCCATCGGGCAGATATCCGCTGAATTTATACAGGGCTGCAACATCAGACTCTGGCTCTGATGGCTCGTTCTCAAACTCGGCCCAGTTGATCCCGTTTGATTCGCCATCCTCCTGAAGCACGGCTGTTAGGTCTCGATCTTCAGCCTCGGTCCAGCTGTCGTCAGTCTCACGAGCTGCATAGTCTTCCCAGCCTCGAACAGCTCTTTTGACCCCTTCGTCGTTGAAGTTGGGGTTGTGCTCATCTTTCAGGGCGGAAAGAAGGCTCTCGAGTTCTGTAACTCTTCCTGACATAGCGTCTCTCTGAGTCTTTGTCTTCTCAAGCTGTGATCGTAGTTCGTTGATTCGATTCTGGGACAGACCGACCAAAACACCCAATTTGCCGCTTCCTCTCCCAGTGGCTTCTCCACGGACGACTCTCAGCTTTTCTCTGCGTTCAACATCCTTCAGCATATCGCTAGCATCTTTGACTCTGAGTTGCTGGGCTTGAAGCTGAGTTTCGAGGGTACCTATGCGGTCTTCCACTTCTTTCCTCAATCTCTCGGCCTCGGCAATCAAAGAGCTCTTCCTCTTCAACGCAGCTCTGAGGGCTTTCTGCCTGACTTCCTCGGTCTTCTTGTACTCTCTCCCAGTCTCTTTGCATCTATCCTCACATTTCAGTCCACCAACGTGAGCCCATTCATCTGAGCCATCGCAACATAATTCATAGTCACATTTGCCATCGTTGACGCTTTCGAATTGAATATAGGACGGGATGTGGCCCTTGTTCTTGCAGTAGAATCCTGGCAATGCTAGTGTGGTGTTCAAACTGGCTGCGGCCGTGTCTGGGCCAGGATGGTAATGTGGAGGCGACAGAGGAGAGAGGTAAGAGCATGCTGCCGTTCCTGGCTCGTCTGAACCATCTGGGCAGTCACAGAACTCGTCGTTGACACGGGAGAATGGTATGGTGATGGAAGGATTAGAGATGCATGTGAACGTGTCCGTGGGGGACTTTTTGTAGAACTTAGCAACTAGAACGCAAGGTCAGTCACTGCTTTCCATGGTGCGAGAATACAAGAGGTGTGTTCGACGCAGAGGCATTGAGCCAGGGTGGTCAGGGAGGTATTCTCACATTCTGGTCCGACGCCTCGGGGGCGAGAGGACTCTGAGGCTCGAGTTTCTGCTGCCCATGCCGATAGGCCGAGCAGTGGGCTCAGAAGCAGTAACTGCATCCAGAGAATCATGGCTATGGAGCGTTAGAGATCCTGCCCATCAGCTCAAGATTCTGTTCTGCGTGAATGTCGAACATGAAACTTGTCCGCAACTGACATGCACCCCACAGCCTTACACGTGACGAGGCTACTATTGTGAGGTTAGGTTTCGGATTTCGAGAACCATAGGAAACCCTTGACTTGGAATCTAGGAATCTAGGCGATTTGGAGCGTATTCGTTTTGAAAGGTCATGCTATTTTGTAAACAAGATGCGAGGGTCATAGCTCTGTTCTTGTATCACAATCTGGAAGGTACACAACATCATCCCGACTTTCACTCCCCCATTTTCTCCCTTCGCTTTTCGAGCGAGCTTGACGCATCGATGTGTGGTCCCGCTGCTTGGGAACCTCGATCTTGAAGGCCGAGCCACTCTTGGCTGTAGCCTTTGAGGCCTGAATTGTCTCTGCAATCGTGAAAGCCACCGAGTGCACCTTTCAGGATCTGATCTGATCGTCATTTCGTTCGGAATTCGTGTCGTCAATGGTCAATGCATTTCTGTTCTGTAAGTTTACTTCATATCTTGCGATTTGGGAAAGAACAAGCAATCAGATCGAACTTTCGAATTGACAAATCATATATTGCCAGGTCGACCTGGACCACTCCCTTTTCTTATGCTTATATACACTTTCGAGAACAACCGACCTAGAGTCCATTTAAAAACTCATTCGCCAGGATTCGGTTAATATCATCTGGCCCAGCATGCAACGAACTACTGGCCTCCCTTCGACAACCGCTCAGCTTCGAGTTCCCGTTCTGCCTGTTGGTAGTACTTTGCTGTATCAACACCGTGCTTCACAAACGTCGTTAGTATTTATAGAGTCGTACGACACCTGGGAATTGTCTTCTTCCTTACCTGGTTGTGGTTGACAAAGTTTGCCCAAGGGACAACATTGGCCATAAGAGCGCTGAATCTGCTGTTTCGCGCCGCGACACCCTGCATGTAAGGAGTGAGGTCGGTGTTGCCGTATAGAGGCTCGCCCTTCTTGACTTTGTCGACCATTTCTCTCATGTCCAGCTTGACTTCTCTTTCGTTCTCCGACCAGCCGTAAAATCTCACTGTTGTAAAGTCACATCAGCCCACTATTCCAGCCATTTTCTCGTTTCCGCAACAGTCGAAAAGACCTACAGCAACTTCTCTGATAGACCAATCCGGCACCTGCTATTAAACCGATGGCGCAACTGAGTCTGAAGACAGGGCCGAAGGCACCTTTGCCTGAAAACGAGGGAGCGTATCGTTCGGTGACCATCATGAAGGCTGGTCCTACCGCGGCCATACCGGCGCCATATGTCCAATCTTCAGGTCTCGCATATCGGAACGCTCTCCTCCAGTGTCTACATTGTTCAAGTTGTCAGTGGGATGGTTCTCGAATGGCGTGATTCTCGTGGGGATCGAAGACGTACGGATCTGTGTCAATAACCTGTTGGAGTTATGTTGTTAGCTTTCGGTTTCTTTGTATGGTTCGTTTCGAAACTCACTGGGTAATCAGTGTTCACCCGCTTAGGCGGGATAAACACTTTATGCTCATCCGCCATACCTGCAGCTTTGGGAGTTTCTCTCTTCTAGACACACCTCATTCATTCATGGGATCTGAAAGAGGTTCCCGCGGAGCTTCACCTGCCAAGCCTCAAAACCACGCTTGCTTGTTTCGGGTATAGCCTGTCAAGGAGGTTCAAATGACGTAGCCAGTCGGAGCATTTCAATTACAGACGCCAACGCCAAACGCGTCCGCATTTCTCCAGACGCGTCTTCCTCGATATCAAGGCAAGCATTGCAATTACTACTTACCCTAAAGGATTGACCTGGAGATTTAGGATCAGGATCGGGTCAGGTATCACCCTACACCAAAATTCATCATGGCAACAGACACTACGACGGAGGCGGCTATCGATGATATCTTCAATTTTGATAGCACAGACGACGAAGACCCATTCAAAGACACCAACACCAACAACAAGTCTTCACGCAGTAACGGAGACGACAACAACAAGCCAGGATCAAGTCCTGACCGTAAACGCAAGGCAGAAGATGGCGAGGGCTCCGATTCAGATCTGGGTATCAACAAGGAAGTGAAGATCACCAAGAAGCGCAAACCCATAGCCAAACTCGATGAAGCACGGTAAGGTCTATTCAAAGCTCTTGCCCATGGACACTTGGAACTCATTTGTACCCCCCAGACTACTTTCAGCACCAGGAATACCTAAACTCCGTGCTCTTGCGCGATCAGGCAAATTCTCCAAAAAGTTACGCCTCAAGGGCAAAGGCCACGAATTCTCAGACGTTGCTCGACTGTTGAACTATTACCAATTATGGCTGGATAATCTGTATCCGCGGGCGAAGTTTGCCGACGGCCTGCAGATGGTCGAGAAAGTTGGACACAGCAAGCGCATGCAGATCATGAGGAAGGAGTGGATCGACGAAGGAAAGCCAGGCTACGCTCGCAAATGGGGTCGAAAGGATGACGAGCTTGACGACCAAGACGGTCAAGCAGTGGCGGATGATTGGTTCGGTGGGAGCGGCAAGCCGGTTGAGAACTCCTCGAAGCCGACGCCATCGGCAAATGCCACCACTGCTGTCGACGCGGGGACTGGAGGAGGTGATTCATCGCTCTTTATTCCTGACTCGCGAAGCGGCAACAACGATCCACCACAAGGCGAGGACACGCTACCGGACGATGACGAACTGGAGGCCCTCCTCGCCGAACAGGACGCAATCACGACGGCCGTAGGACAGCAAAAAGTCGCATCAACTAAGCCGACCGCGGACGTAGACTCTGAAGGCGAAGACGATCTCGACGCACTCCTGGCGGAACAAGAGTCTCGTCGCACAGTCGTTAAATCTTCAAATCCACCAGCTGCAAAGATACATCAGTCGCCTTTCGACGATGGCGACGACGAGGAAGGTATGATCGATGACGATGACGATCTCGACGCCCTCCTTGCCGAGCAGGAAGTTCGCCATCAACCTAGTTCATCGAAGGCGGCAAATCAAACACCACCACAGACCTCGAGTAAGCCGCCCGAGCCTGCAGAAGTGGACGATGAGGAAGACGACTTGGAAGCACTATTGGCTGAACAAGAGGCTCGACAAAGTACTTCTCGAGCGCATGCTTCCGTCGAAAACAGCATGGACAACCTCGAGACTCTGCCTGGTACTACGCACGACAACGACGTCAATGAGGAAGACGGCGGCGGTGAAGCGATGTTTTTGTCGTCACCTGTGCGCACCACACAGCGTTCTCGTGCAGGAGGGGACTCTACGAGTAATTCAGATCGCGCTGCAACGCTACCAGAGCAAGCCAGAGCTCAAGAGGACACAGAAGACTTGGAGGCAGGAGACATGTTTTCTTCGTCACCTGTCAAGGGCTAGTACGGATACGATATATATCGAGTATCAATTTCATGCGAGTCAACCTAAACCTTCATAGCTATGATGATGTCAATGCGATGGAGCGTTTGAATTTTCGACGCGTAGACCTTGCAAAAGCAAGCCCACCGGGCACAAATTTCAAGGCACCGGGCCAGAGACGTGGTCGCAACTTTTGCTCAAAAGAACGCACACCACCCGATATACATCTTGGACAGGTTCTTCATGTCGGTGGCGCGCGTGATCATCTCCTGGACGTAGCCGCCCACACTAAGCGGCACGCTCTCGCCGGGCAACATGCCCCTGACTTTCCCCCTGACCCCGTCCAGCACCTCGACGGGAGTGCTCGGCACGCCGTTGACGCTCTTCTTCTTCCGCCCGACCTTGTCGATGAAGTCGGTGGTGGGGTCGTGCAGGAAAGTCTCCAGGATCGTCATCAGGGCGTCCTCGTTCCCACGCAGCAGGCCCAGCGTGATTTCGCAGCACCGCCGGAAGGGCCCCTCGTAGCGGTACGTGCCCATGGCGTCGACCATGTTGTGGGTCAGGCGGAACGGGACCATCTCGGGCTTTTCGAACGTGAGGCCCTTGTCGAAGAGACAGTTGAAGTCGACGTGCATGACGCCGCCGTTGTCCTCCTCAAAGAGGATGTTCTCGCCGTGTCGGTCGCCCAACCCCAACACGTGGCCGACGATGGACATGACGGCCGCGCTGCGCGTGTACCGCAACCTCGCGTCGAACCAGGCGCTCGGGTCCGGGAAGCTCTCCACGAACCACTCGTGGAAGACGGGCGGGAATTTCGTCAGGACCTTTGTCGGGAAGATCTTGACCTTGTCCGGGTCGCCGGAGGACGCCTCGTCCAAGAGACCGCGGATGTCGACGTAGTTGGGCTGGATGGATTTGTCCTTGTACAGCTTGAGGACGATGTCGCGGAACGTCTTCAGGTTGTCGACCCATTCGATCAGACCGCACTCTTCGTTCAGGGGGATGACGGCGTACGTCCGGATGTAGAGACGTCGTTTCGCCGCGTCGACGTCGCGCTTCAGGAATCGGTTGATCATCGTGTTAAACTCCATCAGCCGTTGGTCCTTGCGGAGATCATCCTTTGGTTTCGCGAGGACATTGTATAGAATCCCGTCTGAGCCTCTGATGGTGAGTTTTCGTGGTTTCTGGAGGGAGGAAAGGACCAAGGCTTCGTCCACGAACGATGAGATCGTAATGGGCTCTTTTGAGAACGGTCTGAACGCCTTGAGAGCGGCGGATTCGAAGTTGGTCGGCATACTGGGTATCAGACAGGCTTGGATGGGCACCACGAGCTTCGATGGGGCAATCTTGCTGTTGAAGCCCAGATCTCGTGCGAGACTGACCTTCGACACCTTGCCTTCGATGGGGAACTCTGCGATGCGAAGCAGCTCCTTCACAAACTTCTGTCCGCTGTTGAACATGCTTCGAAGCTCGCTGGGAGAAAGCACTCTCTTGTCCCGGTCCTTGTCATCCTTCTTCTCCGAACAAATCTTTCGAACGAGCTCGAGCCCCTTCAGAGCCCGTTCCTTCTGCTGAGATTCAACCACGGCCAGAAGTGACCAATATGCTTGTTGCGGAAAGGCTCTTACCACCTTTACGATGATCGTGCCGAGCAGTTCAGAGACGGCCTTGTTTCCGTGGCAGATTCTTGCCACAACCTGAGGGAGCACGGTGTAGAAAAGTACTGCCTGTATAACGCCAATGTATTTCTTGATTTGGGTATTTGTTTCGTCAATAACTCGCTTTCGTTGGGTTGCATTGTGTGTGTGGAATTGGGCGTTTCCACGTCGAGGATCATGAGGTATTTCCGCACCGTCGACCAGCTCTAGCCACAAGGTCAGAACTTTAGGCAGTGTCTGAAAGACGTACTTGCTGCCGTTTCCCAAGGACCGGAGATAGTTCTCTATGACGAGTTTCGCAGTTTCACCGGTAAGGAATGCCTGACTCTCCTTGCCCGGGGGCATGGTCTTCTCTGAATCCAGAATTTTGTTGTAGAAGCGCCCGAGGTGATAGTAAGCGCCCTGTGATTTCCTGAACTGATTTATGGCCTCGCGGAATGTCAGTCTAATGACATCTGACTGCGTTTGCCCAGCCTGATCAAGCCACTTTCCCAGCAACACATACGCCTTGGCCTTGATCTGGTTCTGAGGACGCTGTGTGACCGAGCCATTCTCAATGACATAGTCATCGCCGGAAAATGTGCCTGATTCGATCGCTCCTTCAAGCATTTGAATTGCTTTCCTATGGTGGCCTTCGGTCCACATAAGTTTGGCTTGCTGTATTGACGCCGCCTTATCGCCCAGTGCAGATGCTTTCAGCACCGCGTTAAAAGCTTGTCCATTCAACCTCGCCTTGCGTGCCAGCTGGGCAGTGTTGAGCCAGGCAGCAGCAACGTCTCCTGTAGTGAACATATCAGGACGCAAAGACATCACGGCACGCCGGATGCCGAGGAGGTATTGTTTGTCGACCACATTTGATCCCAGAATGTCTAGACGACCTCTCAAGTTCTCCAAGACTGCTGTGCGGTCTTCTGGGAGACTTCCCGCGATGACTTGGACTTCGCTTAGCACATGCAGCCTCAGAAGGGTATCATGCCCAGCTTGGAATGAGGCTATGGAACTAGGCGTGAGCTCAGCTGCTGTTGCGCCATACAACTCGTCAACAAGGCCAAGAGCCCTCATTTTATCATTCTCATGAATTGACACCATGATCTCACCGAGATGTGAGGCAAAGTCGTGACCAGTGAGAGAGGAAATGTAGCTAGAGAGTCGCGTCCACTGCCCGCTGGACCAAGCCGCCTCCATTGCATATGGAGTGAGCGCCTCTGGGGTTGTCTTGCTACGGTTTCTGATTTCATCGAAATGATGGAGCAGGATATCATATTGTCCGGATTCTTTAAGGCAGTCCATGAGGTTTTTCTGCACTTCGGTGTCATCAGGGTGAGTGACCAATTGCATCTCATACCAGCTTTGGGCAGCCGTCCATCGCCCTGCTTTCTTATGTTCCAGCACTTGCTGATCGATATCGAGTACGTGCATGCGGGACGAAATGCCTTCTATTCCGTCTGGTTCGTCAATCTGAGCATAGATCTCTTGCAGCCTCTGAAGCTCATATTGCATGTCATCAGTTTTTAGTTTGCGGATGTGCTGTTCCCAATGGAAAAGTGCTCTAGCATAGGATCTACACTCCAGAGCTCTTCTGGCTAAGATATCGGGAGGGATCTGTTCCAACACTCGTTCGATGCTTCGAATTTGTTCTGCCGCAGCTCCGAGTAATAAGTCTGTCTGGCCACGTTGTGCCTTGGCTAGTCCGACAGAATATCGCTTTCGTTTCTGCTGATGCCAGGTAGACATGTAATCAAGGATTTCAAACACTGTTTGACTACAGAGCTTGATGTCATCTTGCACGCGCCGGTCTTGAGTCTCCAGGGGTATACTGAGAATTGAGGTGATTTCAGAAACGATGTCACGGCTGTTTTGTTCGATACCGCTGACGATCAGGTTAACAACGGTATATGGTAGTAGGAAGGCTGGGATCGACGTGTCTTGGCCGTGGATGATGCGACAGGCAATTCCGAAAACTATGTCAATGTTCTCTCCAGACCCCCGGTGGAGAAAGTCTAGGGTGATCGTACGCAGCCAGTCTCGGTGCTTCATACCTGGTGCGTATAATGGGTACTGGCTCTTCTCGGGCGGGCGGACTTCTTGGACAAGGTATTTGGAATTGAGAAATGGTGTCAACGTGTTCTGTACAGAATCTGGGAGCTCATCCCAAAGACGCGAGGCGAGATTACCGGGTCCAGCATGGGAAGGATTTTCTTGTTCGCAAGACTTGAGATATTCCTGCATCGCCCAGCCCAAAAAGCCCTGTGCTCTTGTGGTAGTTGCGGATAAGAATGCCTTGACCAGTACATGCTGTAGGAAGGAGAATATCCAACCAATGACCTCGTCAGCCTTCCCAAAATTAGCCAAAACAATGATAGGTGTGCGATCTACCACATTCTCAATCTTGCTTGGGTCGAAACAGCCTATACGACTCAGACACCGACCACATTGTCTTGTCACTTCAGTGCTCGTGCTGTATCTGACACAGCAGTTGAGGAGTGCTCGAGTCAAATTCGCAACCAATTCATCCGGTTGTTCTCTTAGTATTGAGCGTTGCAGCAGATCTTGTTTTTCGGCCAAAAGTGGTGTCAATTCATCCAAAGCTTGTTCAACAACCGCGACATTTTCGTCTTGTAATCTGTCGACATAGGCACTAAGTTGATGTCTTTCATCCATTTGTCGTTTCAAAGCCATGATCTCGCTTTCGAATTTCGCCATGAGCGGTATCGATGCCAAGGATGGCATGGTAGCGAAGCGCTCACGGACCAGGTCAGTGTGATCTTTGAGCAAATGGCCGACCAGATCATATGCTTGTTGCTGCGAAGAATCGTCGAGAATGTTCCACTTCTGAACAATGATGGCTAAAGTCTGATCAACTAGTGATTCAAGAACATCTCTTTTCAGTGATTTTATCATGACAGCCCAGGAAGAGAATGCAGCATCGCATAAATCTCGGTCGTCAAGCCCAGATCGCAGGCAAGCACAGATTTGGGGAAGCCCACGAACAACTCGACCCTTTCCAAGCTTAACAACCTCTCCCAGCGCAGAAAGACATCTGCGTTTCTCAACTTTGGACTCCTTGGCTTCTAGGTCGTTCAAGAGAACGGTGAAGTGAGTGACGATTGCAAGAACATTATTCTCCAGGAACGTGCCAATATTGTCATTTCGTCGCGACCCGGAGGACTGTCCACGTTGGCGCGCCACTAGTTGTGCCAGGAGCTGAAGAGCCTGGTAGATTCGGGACGACTTGCCTTGGCCACTATCTCCGATAGCTTTGAGTAGCTCGCACGTAATGTGGATTGGGTCATGAGCCACCCAGTCCGCAAGGTCTGTCTTTTCGAACTCGTCAGAAACTCGGGACAGTGTCGAAACGATAGATTGTTCTGCATCTGGAAAAGGTTGGATAAGCAGAAACGAGAGGATGGCGACTAGGTTTTTCCTCTGGGTACACAGCTCGAAGATGGTGGTTGATGGTCCACTCGCAGCTGCGAATCGTCTGATCGTCTCGATATCTCCATGTAATGTCAAGTATGGCAAAGCGTATTCAGTGGTGTGGCTCATTAATCCAGTGATATCCATCCCCAGTAGATCGCACAAATGACGGGCCATGTTTGGTCTGGATGACAATGATTTTGCAAAGACTACTCCCAATGTACGCCAGAACGGCCTAAAGAGTACCCACACAGATATCTGCATAGACTGTGACAGGTGCTGAATTTCCGTATACACAACACCAGTGATATAGGGGTTGGCGTGACCCAGATAGTCAACGAGTCGGACAAGGATGATGTTCAACTCTTCGTCACCAACGACTTGAGCGAGACGGCGGAGTGCAAGAACGCATGTCTCTTGTAGAGCAATTTCACCCTTTTGCCAAATTGCCTGCAGGAAATCGAGAGCCGTAATTCTGTTGTCGCGCGTTATCGCCGCGTCCACCATCTTCATTCTCATGAGATAGGCTTGAAGTGTTTTAGTCGCAACAATCCGAAGATCTCGAGAAGAACTTTTGAGAGATTGTAAGCACCAGTCACCAGCAGGTGTTTCCCGTAACTTTAAGTCTGCAGCGTTGTCTGTGTGTATCAAAATCCGACGAAGGGCAGACATTGCCACTATTCGAGCCTTTGACTGGCGGGGAATTACTTGAACGAGGGCGACTAGAGTCTTCAGTAACTCTTCGCCAGAACACGTAGGGATCTCGACAATCGAATCGGCAGGAGAGCTGTCTTCGTCGCAGAGAGAGCACCACGCTTCCACACCGGCCAGCTTACAGGCACCGGCGCCCAATAACTCCAGTCCGGAACACATCTCGGCTTCTGAAAGTTGTTGGAAATGACCTGAGGCCGTCTTGCTCATGCCGTCCAGGTCTGATTGTGCACGTCCGGTCAAGTGCAACGTAACACTGCGAGCAGCACTCCGATGAGCCGTGTCTGTAAGGTCATCTTCATTCTCTGTTGATAGCCGAGGGCGCTTCCTGGCGCGATCAGTGTCTGGCCAAGCTTCCGACAACGGCGGAGTTGGTGATCGGAGTGGGTGCACGCTCAGCGCGCGTATCTCGTGCGATAGTATGTCCGTCTGGTTCTCCTCCAAGAGAAGATCTTGAACATCGTCAACAAAATCACGGAATCGAGCAATGAGCTTGCGGGATTGGAACCGGCGCTGAAGTGAGTTCGATTGAGTCGACAGCAATCGCAGGAGTCGGGCTATGCATGTGAGAAGATGGTAGAAAGAGGGAAACTTGAGGTTCGGAACAATGTTAAGAAATGAGAATATCGTAGTGCTCGTGGCATCAACATCGTCTGTGGTAATGAAAATAGGCCTTTGAGGATGGATGTTCCCCGTAGTCGCAATCGCAAGAAGGCCTAACAACGTGAGCTAAGGCTGATCAGTTCTTCCGATGATAGGACTTACCAGCAGCGACGCTCCTCATGTACTCCCAGATCTGGCGCCATACATCAGTGGTGGTGCATTTGCGATCACCCTCGAGCATGACATTAAAAAGTTGTAGAACCGGGTCTTGAAGCTCATCATGGTTGATCAAAGGGAAAAGTCTGGGAATGAGCCAAGTATACAACAGGGCTTCTTGCCCTGGGATACCGCTGTCTTGTGACTTGACGAAGAGCACGTGTGGAGATCTCTCGATTGCGAGTTGAAGGACTTCGAGACATGTTTTGAGCTGAGAGGTGGCCTTACCTCCAGCGACTGCAGACTGAAACGGATTCTCGTCAAGAGTTTGCTCGATACCAACTTGGAATATGATTCGTATCAACTTGTGGTTGACAGCGACGTCTGCTCCAAGGTTGGGTTGGCCATGTTCGTCTGATCCGAGCGCCTCTGCCAGCAGTTGATTGAAACTGTCCAAGTCAAAATCAGGAACTCCATTGCCGTGAACCACATGTGTGGCCAGCATCGAGGATGGCGGTGGCTCGAAGGCATTTGTTTGCCGTGCAGGTAGCACTGGCGCCACCATCTCTTTTCCGTGGCATTGAGACGTCGTTGACGCGAAAATTCAAGGCGTGTCAAAACATTGTACTGTATGAAAGTCTTCGGTTCGACGTCGATAGTGAATCCACTCCGCCGTATTGACAGACTAAGTCTCACTAGCAGCCAGACGCTATTCTGTTCTAGGGATAGTTAATGACTGGGAATTCTGGTCACTATGCGGCCCCCTACACGGTACTCGTATTCATACAGAGTGCTAGTACGGAGTACGTGACTTCACAACATCAAACTCTCCTATTATGTGGTCGACAAATACAAGTCTACTAATGGAACAGGCGACATTTCTTTGGCAACACAGTCAAGTGGATGTGGAACTACCTTGTCGCCTACCTTACAGGAGATAACACGTGCCATTTATATTTCAAGGGCATTAAAATATCTCTTCCATTTTTTGATCCTCATCAATCACCTCCTCTATCCTTGGTGCTTGCTCTTCGTCCCTCATAACGATTTGGACCAGCCTATCACACGCCTGTTTCACTGCCTCATCATCGACGTGAAGGTGTGTCTCTCGGACCAACGGGTAGACCTGAACACTCCTCAACTTGTCTCTGCCCTCTCTTGTACTGCTCAGCAACAGTAGGGTTTCCAAATGTGTCGTTAAGATCTCGTTGTCTTTGTCTCTTTCCTTGTCTGGTGGCAGTAATTGCAAGTCTGGCAGCATGGCCGCCGACTCCTCTTCTGAGTATTCTTCCGAGCCCGCAAGAGGCAGCAAAATGTATGGCAGCAAGTTGACTCCTGGAACACCCTCAACCATCTCATAATCATCGGCGAGAAGCAAAGGGTGTTTCTCCACCTCGAACGCAACATTCTTGATAGTACTTGCGACTCCTCTTCTTCTGACATCACTTTTATGCTCCGTAAAGACGGTCAACTTGCTAATAGGCACCACGCCGTCATATTCACGCTTGCTCAGGAAGTGATCACGTCCAGCTTTGTACTTGGACATGTCTGCAAGAAGATATGCTAGGTAATCGAAACTGGCGTCCTTGTTGAGATTGCCATCCGCTCCTTTGACGAAACAGTCGAACAGTTGGTCTAAAGCGTATGGAGATGTCGATACCGATTTATCTGGCTTCTGTCTTTCGAGGCTGATTAATCGCTCCAGGCGTTCGGATTTGGCGAGATTTGAGAGAAGCATGGCAACCTCATCTGCAGCCCTTTCTTTCGGATTCTAAGCATCGACTTAGCATCTATCGCAGCCCCAGATAGTGGAAGTTTTCGGCATGGGTAGACGTACTGTTATCTTCTTTAACAACGTCTCGACAAATGCATCATCTGATGCCAGGTTCTCGAGCACCTCTCCATCGTGGCTGACGTTGACGAGAATTGTGAGTGCGTTTTTGGCGATAGGCTGGACATCGAAGGAGATTGTAATCAGTCTCTCAGGGTTCGTGAACTCAGTGTTATCATGCACTTACGGGATAGTCGCGAACGAGCAATTTCAGGTCCTGGATAGGAACCAGTTGCGGGTTCTTGAACACGGCGGGATCCGACGAGTGTCCTACTAGATGCTCACAGGCTGAACATGGCTCAGTCAGAATTGGTCTCATCAAGGGTTTTGGGGGGAGTGATCTGGCCCATCTCTGTGTCCTGGGATTTCCGCGACAAGAATCCGGTTGTACTCACCAAGTTGTCTAATCTGGGTATTACCGTGGTGGAGGAACTCGACCAGCTGGTGCGTTGTCAGTTATGGACCTGAGCTTAAGTAATAGTAGATTTCCTCTTACTTCCTCCAGTTCGCTCGGCATCTCTTGAAGCGGTTTTATCTGCTGCAGTTGATACAAGTCGTGGATCTGATTCTTTGCTTGAGAAAAATAACTTTTGATAATTCGAAAAGAGTCTAGCGTCGGCTGGATGGCGAATGACGTCGATTTTTGTTCGACTGCATCTTGATGACTAAGGGGTGGCTTATACATCCGCTTCAAGAAAATTCGGTTGGCGGCTTGACGAACGCGAGTACCATGTTTCCAGGCATAAGTCAACTACAAGGCCAGAACGATCGTGATTTCAATGTCCACAGCCGTAGTGAAACGGCCATCTCATTCTGAGTACTGGGACGAGCGTTATGCAAAAGTCGGGGCGGACGAGCAGGTCCACCAGTGGTTTCAATCTTTTAAGGACCTTGTACCATCCTTTAACCAACGTCTATTCAAGGTACGAACGTCGGAAACAAACCCACGGATTCTTCCTCTAGAATCCGGAGATAGTGTCAGTCTTTTGGGTCGCTCTGGATGAACCTTCGTCACAAGGCTACAATAAGTGAACTCAATTGCCCCAGACCATCCCCAAAGATTATTCAAGAAGAGGTTACAAGAACCAATAATGCGCCAATTTCTCGACGGTCGTTGTGCAAACCATATCTCTTCGGCATAGAGATGTTGGTGGCATCACCTAGGAGCAAGCCGACGTCCGTTACATGGATCAAATCCCATCTGGGTCGATAGATTTTACCTTTGGTAAAGTAACACTCGATGTTATGATATACGGTAGCCCTTGGGACCCGCCTGAGGAGGTTTTCGAAAGCACTCGTTGGTATATACAACAGATATGTACATATCTTCGGCTGGGAATGGCCCGTCATGAACGTAGTGTCTAACTCACAAACTAGATCTTCCGTGTACTCAAAATTCGATGGCGATTTTATTTATGTTACATATCGACAACCTCACTCTATCGAGCCTCTTCTCAACTGTGAAGATTTGAACTGGGATATCCAGTTAGACATCCCCGGTGGATCCGAAAGCTCCTTTGACTATTCAGGGTTTGTCCTGAAGAATATCTCTCCTCCGACGGAGAGCTCCGCCCAAGTTGAGAAAGAGAAAGAAACTCGCAGCTAATCATTGGCGTCAGAATCACCGTGGCTTGGATATAAACTTCTAAGACATTTGACTCGAAACCAAGAGGCTCACTTCAAAGCATCGACGCAACGACGAAGCATAGAGAAGCAACGACTATGTCCTCGCAGCCTACATTACCAAAGCGATCTTGATTCTGCCCCCACATCACCGCCACAGAGGGAGCCTCCGATGTTATTTCGGTTTCTCGATACCTGATGGAGCGCTTTTGAGCCTAGCCTTAGGCTACTTAAAGATGCGAAAGATAAAGCGGCGTTTAGAGTCCCTTGGACTGCCTACTAATCAGACTTCACCTACCCTCTTGGCGATCCATTTCACTGCACATTACTATCTGAAGACTAAGACATATCTATACTTAGTTGGAAATATACAGTTGATCCCTGGATTTCTGTTCGATGTTTGACTATTGCAGTTCTGTTGGTCTAATCAGTTTGGGCATCGCTAGCTCAGGTTGATGAGATCAATAGTTCACACTTTCTATGCTTCGGAGAGGTGTTTTGTCGAATGTCGGTCTTTTCGATACAACCAGACACGATACATCATCTGCGGGAAGTGGGTCTTCCGCAGATGAAGAGTACTGTAAAGAGTCTACGAATGCTTTTGCTATATCAGGAATTAAGATTTTGCCGACTTGGGCAAAGCGCATTCAAACACTCGCTTCGTCTCGTCGAGTTCTAATTCCTGGCTGATCAATCCCTCCCGACAAACCTATATCTGAGTCCCCATACGGATAAAACTGGCTCTGCGAGAGCGCCTTGATCGAGTAGGTAGGTACTCTTTTCCCGAACGGGATATTTCTCTCCCCTTCGGTCTGATTACCGTTGTTCACGTTGTTCGATCGGAACGCCGAATCTCGTCGACAAGAAATTCAAGCAACCCCCTATCTTGGGTTGCAGTCTCCTAATCCCGCAGCATGTAGATTGGCCACTGAAGTCCCACGCTGACAAAAGGCCCGCTCTTGCCCTCGACTGTGACAGTGCTGTTGTGGTTCGGAATTTGCGCGAGATGTACCTTGGCTGCAGCAAATTTATCGACCGGCTATCACATTTTAGGGGGGTCTGTCGGTCGACCTCACGGTTCAAGACCATAGCCGTCTTGTACATATATAAAGACTTGGTTTTCTTTCGGAACCCGTAGGTTCTCCTATACATTACGCTTACTTCTACTTACGAGGTTGTTGGTCCTTATATTGAAGAATTAAGAATAGCCATTTGAATCGAACAAACTTGAACGATCTGCCTATCGACGAAGTTAGGCACTGTTGCCAGCACAGATTGACATCCCTAGCTCTTTGAGTCTCCTTTCCACACCCAACCAACTAGCGGAGATGAAAGACCTCATCCGAGAAGCACCTCTAGGCAAGGTCATCCGATATATTACGAACAATACATGGTTGCTCTACCCCGAGGAAGAAGCCAACTTTGCACTACCTCCGGAATACCAAGCTGCACTCGATCATGCCGAGAAGAAAGATCAGGGTTCTCCCAATACTTCGTTAAATGGGTTTACTGCCACTCTCGATGGAAATCGCGCCACTCGCCCCGACGTCGAGAACACACTGGAACATCTGGAGCCGGTGCTTTCCTTTACCCAGAGCATGAAATCGCTCAAGTACGACAAAGAGCGTATCGAGGCTGAGGGTCAGCTCGACATGAGTCGTACCAAATCTATCCCCATCCGTCCTGTCGAGACCGATTCCGGCGTTATCCTCATCGACTGGTATACCACCGATGATCAATCCAACCCTCAAAACTGGTCCGCTCTGAAGCGTGGATGGGTCGTCTTCATCATCTGTGCGTACAATTGGGTTACCTACATCGCTGGCTCTCTATGGGTCCCCGCACAGCCGGGAATCCAAGAGCACTTTGGAGTCGATATCCAAGTTGGCTCGCTCGGTCTGTCCATGTTCGTTGTAGGCTACGGCCTTGGCCCTCTGCTCTTTGGTCCCATCACCGAAATTCCCGTCGTTGGCCGCCACTCAGTCTACCTCCTGACCTTTTTCGTCTACTTCATCCTCACCATACCGACCGCCTCAATCAACAGCTACGCTGCTATCATCGTGCTACGATTCCTCTCGGGTTTCTTTGGCTCTCCGGCGATTGGCATCGGAGGCGCCTCGATCGGAGATGTTATGAGCTTCACCTACTTCCCATACGGGCTGGGCTGGTGGATCTTGTCATTCTGGGCTGGCCCATCGCTGGGCCCCACCGTCGGCGGATTTGCTGCCATGGCTAAAGGCTGGCGATGGCCCCTGTGGGAAGTTGTCTGGGTTTCCGCGCCCATGTTGGCGCTCTTGTTCTTTTGTACCCCGGAGACACTGGCTTCCAACATCCTGATGCGGCGGGCCAAGCGTCTGCGCAAACTCACCGGCAATGACCGCCTACGATCTCAAGGTGAGATCGATCAAGACGGCCTCTCAATGACCAATATTGTGAAGGAAACTCTACTCCGCCCCCTTGAGATCATGGCCAAAGACCCGTCGGTCTTCTTTACAAACCTATACACCGCCTATTTCTACGCAACCTATTACACATTTTTCTCGGTCTTCGACGTGGTCTTTCCGAGGTTTTATGGTTTCAACCTGGGCGAGACCGGCAACGCATTTCTAGCGTGCGAGATTGGCTCCGTGCTTGGTCACATCATATACTTCAGCTACCTGTATTTTTACATGGTACCCGACAACAAAAAGAACGGCTTTCGCGAACAGGAACACCGCCTCCACCCGGCCGTGTTGGGCTCCCTGGGCCTGCCTATCGGCTTATATATCTTTGCCTGGACCGCCGACTCCAACATCCACTGGGTGGTGCCTCTTGTTGGTGTCGTCATCTTCACTGTCGGCGGCTTCCTCGTTATCCAGGGTCTTTTTGTCTACATCCCCATTTCATACCCGAATTACGCCGCCTCCCTCTTCACTGGCAATGATTTTTTCCGCTCTGCAATGGCCGCCGGCTCAGTTCACTTCGCTAAGCCCCTTTTCAAAAACCTTGGCGTTCACAATGGCGTCACTGTCCTCGCTTCTGTCGGCTGTCTAGGTGTGGTGGGTTGTTGGGCGCTGTGGTATTTTGGCGCCCGTCTGCGCGCAGCTTCCAAATTTGCTCAAAGCTGAACGTGCCGGCGACCCATCTTCCCCAAAGCTGGTTTGGTATTCACTCCTCGCGACACCGTTAATCATATGTACTTGGGTTCCGCTGGTGCCCATGCTGTGGCGACTTGCAATTTTTCAAGAGCGGCAAAGATGAAGAGCAGTGCACCTCGAACTGGGTTGAATCCGTAAGGTGGAATGAACAAGCGCGAGTGCGTACTTCGAGAAATTTAGAATAGCGATTGAGAGCTCAAATTTATAAGCTGGTCGAGGTCTCAACAAGAAAATTTGATATGATACAGATAAGACGATTCAAATGCTGGGGTGCGCATCGTTCCCTGCGGCGTCTTGAGTTGCAGAGAAGACAGGTCATGTCGCTGCACAATCAGCGAGACTATCTCTTCCTCCGTCGACCTTCGGTACGTCTTTCGACAAGAGCGTGAGAAAGAAAAGTCCGGGCCGGGCTGATGGAAAGGAAATGAAAGGCATCGAGGGCATTCGAGCGTGTCTGCAAGAGCTCGTCCTTCGGACTACGCGAAAACTGGGGCTGTTCGATAAGTGGATCCCGCGGACGAGCGAGCATGACTGGGAATGGAAGAGTAGAATGGAGCAAGTCAGGACGAAATTCCAGCTGTGAGAGCGCACAATTTACAAGGATGAGACAATACTCCGAGATTCCTTCACTTCCACGTTTCAAATTCTCTGACCACGTTTTTTGTCATGGAACGTATCTATATTGACTTTTTCTTGTGCAATCACCCCGGAGTCCCTTGAGATATGATGAGTTGCGGCGTTGCGAGTCCCCTAGGCGATCTTGATCGCGACCTTGCCCACATGTTTCTGAGTAGTCTGCACACGTCTGCCATCAGCATGCAAGAAGCGACATTTGAAGAACGACAATGCAGCAAGTTACGGTGAAAGATACTCACCAGATATTCCAAACTCTCGCGCAGCTCTTCGAGGGCAAAAATCTTCTTATCAACAACGGGCTGGATCTTGTTCGCTTCCATGCACGCCATCATTTCCTCCATCTGCACCTTTGATCCGACGTGGATGCCACGCAGGGTGAATACCCTCTTGAGAGTCTCCATGATGCTTTCTGGAGGGTCAAAGCCCGTGACCAGCCCGATGACGGTGATGGTTCCTTCGATCTTGATCGCCTGAATACTATGGCCCATGGTGTCTGTTCCGCCGACTTCGATGATGTTGTCAAAGCCGGCCTGACCAGGGGTCAGGCTCCGCGCCGTCAATCCCCAGCTCTGGTCATCGTTGTAGTTGATGACATGATCAGCGCCGAGGCGTTTCAGGACGTCGAATTTCGCGGGGGACGAGGTCGTGGCGACAACGCGGGCACCACCGGCTTTGGCAAACTGTGCGACACACGAAACGGTCAGCGTCTTGCTTGATATTTTCTGTCGGCATCAATGAGTCTTACGGCCAGCTCACCTGCACTGCAAAGAGGCTCACGCCGCTCGTCCCCTGCACCAACACCCAGTCGCCAGGCTTGAGCGGTTTGCCACCGTAAAGCGCATTCCACGCCGTGACAGCCGCGTCTGAGAGAGTTGCGCCTTCGATATACGATAGGTTGCTGGCAAGCCGTACCACGCCTGTCTCGTCATAGACACCATATTCCTGAAACGTCCCGTCCTCAGTCCCGCCAACTCCACCTCTCAGCATGGCCACAGCATCGAGTGACCCGAACTGATGCCCTGGGTTGAACAACGCCGCCACGCGATCTCCGACCTTGAACTTGGTCACCTTGTCGCCAACCTGCACGATCTCGCCGGCTCCGTCTGAGCCGCCCACGACCGGTAAGTTGAGGGAGTATGGGAATTCGCCCTGTTCGGGCCGTGGGATTAGAATTGGGTTTCAACGGAAGGTGGCTCTGCAGACCTACTCTTGGAATCATGATGTCGCGAAAGTTGATGGCCGCGGCGTGCAGCTTGACCAGAACCTGATGCCCATCTGGCTTTGCCACAGGGCCTTGTTCAAGCTTGTACTCATCAAGCCCTCTTTTAGTGCCGTGGATGACCCATTTCTTTTGTACTGATGGGGCAGTCATCTTCAATCGACCTCTACAGATCCTGTAGCCGGATATTTGCTGCCGAGATATTTAATTACTTTAGAAATTTGGAAGTGTTGGAAGATGCGACCGGTAACAGTGTACTCGACAGCTTTATATCGCCTTGAGCTTCAGTCAGCGAGAAATTTGTCGTCTTGAATGACCCATGCAGCATCATGACTCACAGAGTGTTTGCATTTCCTCGGTTTAGACTTGAATGGAAAGCTTTACATTCCATCTTTGGGCGCAGGTAGACTTATTTTGATCATGAATCTGCACCATATCGAGACTAGGTCGAAAGTGGATGTAATTAAAGTATCTCCTTAAAGGGAAATAGGAAGGGGTACAACTACTCGCACAACGAAATCTCGTAGCTGAAAGCATAGGAGTAAGAAGCCACTTTTCGAGACTGTGGGATTCGTGTTGACATGATAGAAGGGAGTCTCCCTGCTCCCAGTCCTTATATTTTGTATAGACTGATCAGAATTGTTTATATGAAGTTTAAAGAAAAGTTAGTCACTTGTCTTCGGTAGATCGCTCCCTACCATATCATACTCCTGTGGCTACGTAGTCATTCTGTAGTTCGTCAAGCGCTTCAGATAAGCTCAGTTCTCGGTTAAAAGGCTGGTGGTCAGAGTCATAATCTAGGCCTAAAGATTCCACTGGCACTCTTTTCGGCAGAATATCATTTATTTGGCTACAAGAGCGCGTATCAAACAGTCAGAGCAGGTCACAGTGGGAGTGCAATCTTTGACCCTTGCTCATGACACTGATTTCTCACTTTCTGAATGATTGTACCTCCTCCCAGAACATTTGGATCAGTGGAGAAATGGCTTTTTCTGACCAGATGAACTGCTCCATAATTGCGACCAGGTCACTCCATGAGCGAATCAGTGTTGCCAGTTTGGAGGCATGCTGACGTCGAATTAGCAGTATGTAGTCTTTGCGAACGATACCCGGGGCAGCAAGAGCGCCTCCCAGGTAAAGCAGCCACGCCAGCAAGTCAAAATGCCCCGTCCAGATGGAATCGTCGACTTGACGACCGGCTTGCAACATTTGTGCTGAAACATGGTTCGGAACCAATGACAGCCGCCAGATCTTACAGCAAAGCAGGCTTGCAGTAAGATACCCTGCTAGTCGACACAATTCTGCAAGTGGGGAAAGACCTGGCAGGCCGCACAGTCTCGACTGTACTGAAGCTTGCTGGTTGTCCATATCGACCATCGACGCTGTGTCCTCGGGATCGTAAACGGCGGAATCACGGATCATCTTTAAGGCGTGGATATCCTCGAAAACTCTGGTGAGTTCCTCTCCGAGTACATCCACCCTGGACTGGAAGCCGGAAGGAAGCACGAAGATTTCGGGAGCAAGAGCATCTCGGTGCCAGAGCATCTCGTGAAAGGTATGGTGGTTGACAGCACGAGTGGTCGACGTGACAAGATGAGCATACAAGTCTTGCCTATTCTCTGCGTCAGTCGTCGGTAAGCTGTGACCAGCCTCGTTTGCTACTTACCAGAAAATAGCACGCTTGATACCATCTGTCAGAAGCAGTCGCTCCGAGCTCGTTGATCGGAGCAGTGTCATCACGGCTGTAAGGTGTATTTCAGTTTCTGACCTCATACCTAGACGAATCTGGCAATCTCACAAAGTCAGTCATGCTCTGCGAAGTTAAGCTTGGCTTGACTCTGACCTCGATCCCTGCAAGCAGAAGAATGGCACCTATTGTCGACACGATAGAAGTCGAGTCATGATCACTAATGCGCCGTCTTAGTGCTTTGAAAGTTTCCGCTTGATGGTGTAGACTTTGGCCACCCAGCCTGTTGCCCGAGGTTGCGAAAGTAGTTGTCAACAAGACAGCGTTCAACAAAGCGAGGTCGTCGACGCCCGCTCGGAAAACTGAGCGAAAAGTTTGGAAGTTTGCATCATCTCCGAGTCCGAAAACAGGCTCAATAGCCTCCTTGGCTTTTTCTGAGCCATTGGTAAGCACTGTACGGCCTCGTTCAAGGATACGAGGACTTGCCGTTTCCCAACAATCTTTGCAAATATAGATGATTGGGGAATGAGGTCGTAGGTGGCAGCCGCAGTGCTCTGAAAATGACCGCTGGTGATGAGACCAGAGGATCGGTCTGCACCGCTCGTTCCTGCGTGGATGCTGTTCTGAAATTCTGATTGGCGGCTTGTTCTTGTCGCCTTTTCTTTTGCAAGGCCTGCTTGACGGCATGAGAGCGTACAGAACGCTGAATAGCACGGCTTTGGGCTTCACCGGGATCCTGGATAGAGACAAAACGAAAAGCTTCGTCCCCTTTGGACGTGGCATCAATCGATGGACTTACTTCCGGCGAAGGCACCATCTCAGACTGTGACCTCTCGGTGTCCCGAATGTCGACACATACAAGCGGGTTGAGTTCTTGTGTAAGAAACATATATATTTTTCCAAACCCGGTATAGTAAGGGCTCTCGATATAATGACGTTGTGATTTGTCAGGAGCAGTAGATTGGCTCTGTACGACTAGGTTAGATCTAGATAACTCGGCGAATTTGTCATCATTGTACGGAGTACTTGTAGGCTATTAAATGGCTGGTGGATGCGTTTATCAGGGGTAGATCCCAAGGGGGAATACAATATGAACGAGCTGACATCTTCCCTCCACTTCCTACTGCCGCCCATACTGGAAGGACTGCGATGATATGATGGCGTCCTTCGAATACTGTTAAGAAACTGTGGTCTCGTGCTCTTGAGTTTCTGTCCAATTCGTCTCCCTTCATTCAGCCCCTTCGCCTGAGGCTAGACTCCATGATCCTCAGCAGACTTCCGTCACCGCGGGTGCGTACAACGCGTTGGGCTTTTCGCGTGCCCATTTTTGGTACAGCTCGTACAGCCGTTCCGCTAGCGCTCGCAATTCACATGTCGTGATGCTTTTAAGAACTCGGCTCGTGGCTCTGCTCGGTCACTGGCGCCGGCGGATATTTCTCTAACAGCTTGGCCGGGCGAATGGGCCGAGTCGTGAGATTGCCACAACAGTTGGGGCATGTCCGATTTTCGAAGTTGTTGGCGCAATCCGGGCACCATGTACATTCGAAAGAGCAAATATATGTCTCTGCCTCAGGAGGAAGACTTTTGTGACAACGTTCACACTGAGACTTCAGAAGAAGCATCTTCAATGTTGCTGTAAGCGCAAATGTTCTTAAGGACGAAATGATTATTGTCAGATAAGAGTCAAGACGCTCCAGGTTGTGCATAAATAAGAAAGTGAACCCCGGTAGCAGCCTGGCAGTCGCCTTATGAGGTCACATATAAGGTCACATGTAAGGTCACATATGTGATTCTAGCGTGAGGGGTCGGAGACACTTAATTCTGATCGCTACATTTGCTTACATACTTTTACGTATATATAGCGGCCAGCCTCTCTTTCACTTGTAGTTAGTCAATTCAATTCTCTTCGCGCCGCTACAACCACACATATGAGGTCACATATAACCTGTCATCCTTCTCCTCGAGTGTCCGTCTGAATGGCCAGGAGAAGGTGATAGGCAGCTAGCGAGACCGTAGTCTCTGACAGCCTGTGTGGTTGGTATGGCCCTCCTCCGTCCCCGCTCGAAATTAAAATTGGCTTATTACTAGATGAGTAAAATGTAGTTCTTTCCGAAAACGAAGTAGTTCGGAGTTCCGTATCCCACTATTCATGTTTCGTCATCAGGACTGACGTGCGTAGTATAGAAGTGGATTTCCCCGACTCATGATGATCGGCTAGTCAGCCAAATAAAGCGGCGTCGAGCCCAGGGCGTACATTGGTGTCAGCCTGTCCCTATTGACCTATTGCGGCTTACGTCTGTGTAGCTGAGCCGTTTGATCGATGCAGTTGATGACAGTCCGGTAGAGCAGTCGACGGCTGCCCAACACGGTAACTCAAACCTCCATTGTATCAATCCAGAGCTTGTACTAGGGGCCTCCCTTGACACCTTTGGCCATGCTAGTTACTGTAACCACTATAAGGGATGAGTAACAATGACAAGACCTGAAGAGCGGCAGGCACCAGTTGGCCGGACCATGAGTACTATAAAGTTGGCGTGAGCTCCCTCCTCCAGACCATACATGTACTGCAGACGACCCAATTAGGCACTGATCACTAACACCAACTACTGTACTCACAGTAATCGTCCTAGCCTGAACGCCTCAACACCTTGCTCGCAATAAGACAGGCCCCTTACGCCATGGTCGATTCTCGCCTGTTTAAGCCCATGAGGATTGGGAATCTTGAGATCCAACATCGTATTGTGATGCCGGGTGTTAGCCGAATGCGAGCCACCGTCGATCATGTACCGACAGATATGATGATGGAATACTACACTCAAAGAGCTGCCGTCCCCGGAACTCTCATTATTGCAGAGGCCAACATTCTCTCAGCCGAGCACAGCGGATACACAAATGCTCCCGGTATCTGGAAGCCCGAACAGATTACGGCCTGGAAAAAAATCACCGACGCCGTTCACCAAAGGGGCTGCTTCATGTTTATGCAGGTGATGGCAATGGGTCGTATGGCTGACCCATCCGAGGCCGAGAAAGAAGGATTCACTATTGTTGGAGCCAGCGCGATCCCGTTCATGGAAGGCGCAACTGTTCCCCAAGTCATGACTGTCGAAGATATCAAGCGAACCATTGGGCAATTTCACCAAGCAGCAAAGAATGCCATGTCAGCGGGGTTTGATGGTATTGAACTTCTGGCTGGCAATGGAATGCTAGTTGAGCAGTTCCTTCAGGATGTCACCAACCACCGAAATGATGAATACGGCGGTAGTGTTGAAAATCGGTCTCGATTTGCTGTCGAAGCCCTCCAAGCTATGGTGGATGCTGTTGGTCCAAAGCGAGTCGCTGTGCGCCTGAGTCCCTGGAGTCAGTTTCTCGGCATGGGCATGGAAGATCCCGTTCCGCAGTACTGTGATCTCGTCAGCAAAGTCGATCAGATGGATCTGGCCTACCTGCACGTCATCGAGTCGCGCGTCAAAGGTGGCGACGATGTCGTAAGTTCGGACAAACTTGACTTTGTTTATCAGCGATGGAATGGACCCGTGCTGGTCGCTGGTGGGTATAACGGTGACTTGGCACGTAAGCTTCTGGACGAAGACTATCCAGCTCGGGATTTTGCCGTCTCTTTCGGCCGCCATTTCATCGCAAATCCCGATCTAGTATTTCGGATCAAGGAAAACTTACCTCTGAATCCATATGACAGGAACTACTTCTACACGCACGAAACGAAAGGGTACCTTGATTATCCTTTTACCAAAAAGTATCTGGCCACGGTTAAGAACTAGCGGGCCTCCCACGCCGCTGTAGACAGTTGACCTACAAATTTAGAATACACTTGAGAGGATGAATACGCTACATATCTGGAATGGTTCTATCTTAGTTTGAGATAGATCTCTATTCATTCTAGCTGAGGATGGATTTATGAATCCTATTTGTGGGGACCTGTTTCCAGGAGCGGATCGAAGCCATACACTGCAGTGTCGAGAGCAACAAACTCAAGATGAGGAGCTAATACTGTATGCTCCAAAAGATCAAGCCCGTAGAACTCCATCCTCATGCTGTATCGGTAGCATTATAGATGTTTTTGACAGCACTAGCCTTTCCTGCCCGTATTGCCAATCCGGTCTCTATTCCGTTTAGGCGACCAGGTATGAAGTACTAGAAAACTCTTAGACTTCATGCTACACGGGTTTTGCCATAATGTTGTATACGATCAATCGGCGCATCCACACGCCAACTCCAAGATTCATAGGCCACGTTTCCCGAGAGCTCGTCTGTCTTGTTCCATTCCCTCCAGAATCCAAGTAGTATTATGCTGTGCGTATGCTTCGAGAGCTTTGGGGTCATTACTCTTGACTGCCAAGGGTTTGGGCACATGAAAACCTCTTTGTATACCAGGCCTTTCGCTCATCATAGATTCCCATCTCTCCAGACTCGGAAAGTCGTCCATATCAACCTCGACATATTTTCCATAAATCACCCACGACAATGCCGCGACGTCCGCGATGGACACATGATCGCCGACTAGGAATCCGGAGATTGACTTTTCGAGTTGTGTGTCGAGTACCTTGTAGAGACGCTTCGTTTCTGTGACGTACCTGTCGACCGCGTACGGGATTTTGGTGGGCGCATAACGCAAGAAGTGTGCCGCTTGTCCTTGCATCGGCCCGATACCTGGTACAAGAGGTGTCAGCAAAGTTTCAAGAATGAACTTCCAGCGTAGCCTTACCTCCGTGCTGAAAGAACAACCAGCTCTTACACTCCCAATACTCTGCAGTTCCTGGCGGGAACGACAACTTGTACTCGCAATCATAACGTTCAGTCAAATATTGTAAGATGCTTCCACCTTCGAAGATTCTAATCTGCTTGCCGTCCTCGAGTGTGTCGACTATTGCAGGAATCCGGCCATTGGGATTGATCTCGAGAAACCAGGGCTCTTTCTGCCGGCGACTACTTATGTCGATGTGTTCCACGTCGTAAGGAAGCCCTAATTCTTCCAAAGCCATGCTCACTTTGATCCCATTCGGAGTAGAGTCGGTGTAGAGTTTCATTTGTGCTGTGGGCGTTGATCTTTGAATCTCAGGCAGCTATCAATATCTCAGGCTCAACGGATACTCATGAGCCAGAACTTTACTGGCGCCGCTCGGCTGTTCGCTACTTGGCTGGCGGTTCGAATGTATTTAACTCTCTCGATTTTATTCCTTGCGCACATCCCAAAGTAGGGACCAACAGAACCTAGTCACAGACCTATGTATACTTTCCATAGAGTCCAAGCGCCAGGCCTGAAGTGATGCGTGGTTATGCATATGACCAGGCAAAGTGGAGTGACACCCGCGAAGGCCGACATCGTCAGAACTTGTACATGATCATTTTCGGCAAGATCTAACAATTAGCCGAATATGGCAAAGGCCAAAAGCTTCTTGAACTTCAGCAGAGGATTCAAAATGAGACACCCCCGACTGGAGCACGCTAGAGTAACATGCAGCTCGAACAGTTGCTGCATGAACGCCATGACGGTGGAACAGTTTTCGGAACTTAGCTGTATACGACCACAGGAGAACTGGAAAATTCATTCGAGGCAGACGGTGCGGATTGTACAAGGTCTAGAGCTGCAGGGTGCTTTGTCATCGCCACTGACCGCATGTTCGTATTCCCACTTTGACTTCACTGTCACCACCCCCCCTGCTGTGCAACGCCAGTATGCCGTTACCCCAACGAAGACTTGAAGACGGTCACGATTATAGAATCGAATGTCAAGCGCCCAAGCTTCGATGAGCGTCCTCTACCGTAAGTGGTTCGGGGTAGTGAGTGAAAAAGGAAATGTCTTCTACTTTCAGTTTCAGGCGGATAGTGGCTCGAAATGACCGAGACTAGAGCCTGGTTTTCGTTCTTTGTCTCGGCTGAACTACCTGATGGTGGAGACGGGCATAGAATTTCTGATCTGCAGAGCCCATGGGACGGACAAGGCCATGCCCTCTGCGACTAGGATTGGGTGGTGCGAGTACTGGACATTGGACAATTCGCAATTGACTGTCCTGTAGGAAAGGGTAGGGAAAAATGACTGCACGAGTTATGATTTTCATTTTAAGATCGCATGCGTTTAGGTATATCTATATAGCGGCCAGCCTCTCTCTCACTTGTAGTTAGTCAATTAGTTCTTTTCGCGCCGCTACAACCACACAGTGAGAGTCCCTCATGTGACTTTAGTCACGTGGTGAGCGCGGAGGCTGTGTGCTTAGTCAGCTCCATCACTGCCTCGTGACTCTTCACATTCTCGAGATCATCAATCGAGCGAAGCGCCAGGCACACAGCCTCCCTGGTCGCACAGATTCGTCTTTCATCCAGGATGAACTTCTCACTTATGCAAGGTATGCTAAATTCCGTGCCCACGACTCGACAGGTCTATTGCCTCGGGCAAGACCAGTACTGACCTACGACAGCGCTGAGCACTTGTTATTATGATGCTGGCGTGATCGTTAGCCATAGCCATGGCGCTCGTTCCCGATCTCGTGGATTTACCTCCACCTCCGGAACCCATCACGCCTCGACAGGCCATTGATGACCTTTTGCTTATCATGGCTAGAATTCGCCATAAGCTGAGAACGATGATCGACTGGTACATCTATCCGGATATCGTCCCGAATGAAATTCAAGCGTACGATCCTCGACTCCTGATCCTGCGAGCCCGCCTGGAATCCCTGGCTTCCCTGTCTTATGAACACTTGCCATACATCACAGACGAGGCCGACGCTAGATCTGGATACTATCTAGGTCTGGCGGTCGATCAGATGCTCAACTCCGTGCTTGGGATTCAAAAGATTTTCAATAACCATTACGACCGGGATCTCGATGACAAACGGCCTTTTGCTGCCATATGGGAAACCCTGGACTACCGTTCTCTCCAGCTCAAGGAGATGTCCAAGCTTGCGCCCAGCAACCCACGGCGATTGCGACCAGAAGACCTAAGACCGAACGAATTGGGACAGTTCTGCCGTGGGGCTCTACAGATCAGCAACAAGAGGGACAAGGGGCGCATTTCTTTTGTCGAGAGAAAGGATCTTTCCGAAGAGAATCGACAGAAATTGAAGGCTTTCGGCGGAGCATTCCTCAACTGGCAATGCCCCGAATGCTCGTTCAAAGTCAGATATCATGTCGCGAGTAGCGCAACCTCCAACATTCACAGCACTGATGAGGTTCGCGAACACAGTGGAGTGAAAGTTCAATACCGCAGCTCCTTTTTGGCAAAGTGCCACTTGTACCTGCCGTTGTCAGATAAAAAGGCTGCTTTACCTTCAGCGATCAAATATGGCTGCGTCTTCTGTTTCGCTTACGGGAAGGGACTGGACCGAGACAAGTCGGCATTCAGCAATCCGCAGGCTTTTGCTGAACACCTCGAGCACAAACATAGGAAGGCCCTTCCTCCCGCCTTGATGCTGCACCGATACGACGTCGCTGTTGGAGGCAGAACAGAAGATCCGAAGAAAAGGTGGGACCTCAACCTCGTCTGAAGTGCATGAGGCAGGCGTCCAGGTCAAGGGATGAGTTCCCGATCCATTTAATGACAAGTATCCGGCTTCGTTATGGGGTTTTGTTTTGAACCCAGCATTTTTTCCGTCACTTTCATAACGGCCTCTGAAACTACGATGTGTTGATGTGAAGACGACCAGTAAATGAACACAGAAATGACTATGAAATGAACCAGCTCTTTGTTTTGGGTTGAGTTATGATGATACACATCAATGTCAGCGAGAGCACAGTTGTGCTATTTATCTCGTGAGGTATTCGATATGTGATTTCGCCACGGTAATGAGTTTAATCTATTCATCTTAAATCAGACCAGAGATCCATTATTTTGAGGAGAAATGTCTGATAGCCGACTTGTTGATCGTGACCCTCGGCATTATGCCGTGACTCCAAATATTTGTATATATATTTGCTCCGGATTTCCACGCTTTCGACTCCGGTGTCGGTGAGGGGAATCCGACTCGTTTGTACAACATCAGATCAAATACACTATCCAGCAGTTCTCGTAGAACGAACTCACGAAGAGTCAACCAGCCGGTGGAAAGCATAGAGGCTCATATACTCATTCCCCGCTGTAGGGACTAGACCACCACTCTTGTTATATGGTCAAATGATATTTCAGTAACGACGCAGAAGATAGCGAGGCAGATTTGGGAGGGACAACTACAATCATGGCGCTCAACACATCATGTCGAGCTGCTGCGACTCGTATCAAGGACGTCTTCGTCCCAGGACTGTTGGCGCATCCCCTACGGCGGCAAAGTGCGTTGTCAAACGCCTCTGCATCGAGGTCAACCAAGCTACCGACCTCATTACAACTGTCAGCATGCTCGAGTAGTCTGCCTTTACGACATGCACAAGCCCGACGAAGAAGATATATGAGCAGTTGTTCTGCCCGCCCATCCCCCGCATCGTCAGATGATTCTTTCACCTACAACTCTCCCTCGAACAGACCGCTGGAAGGCATCACCATCGTCGCGCTCGAGCAAGTTATATCCATGCCTCTCGCCACGCGACACCTCGCCGACCTGGGGGCACGTGTGATCAAGATCGAACGGCCCGGCAGCGGTGATTTTGTGCGTCATCACGACTCTCGTGTCCGCGGTAAGCTATGCAGCCACTTCGTATGGACGAACCGCAACAAGGAGTCGTTAGCCTTGGACATCAAGAACGAGCGAGACATGGGGATCCTCAAGAAGCTCGTCTGCGAGAAAGCCGACGTGTTTGTACAGAACCTCCGACCTGGCGATGCCGAGAAAATGGGCCTGGGCTACGAGGCCCTCAAGACGGCGATGAATGAGTACGACCCAGAACGCCGGCGCGGTGACGCGTTGATATACGCATCAGTCAGCGGGTACGGGTCCGACGGGCCCTACGCGCACAAGAAGGCCTACGACCTGCTGATTCAAGCCGAGGCTGGGGTGCTGAGTATCACGGGCACGGAGGGTGACGACGGTATGGCCAAGGTGGGCTGTTCGATTGCCGACATCGCGGCGGGCATGTATGCGTACTCCAACATTCTAGGTGCCATCATCCAGCGGCAGAAGACCGGCAAGGGCTGTGAATTGGACATATCGATGCTCGAGTCGCTGGTCGAGTGGATGAGTTTCCCGATGTACTACGCGCACGAAGGTCAAGCGGGCCCCAAACGTGCGGGCGCAAGTCACGCGAGTATCTACCCTTACGGACCCTTTTCGACCGGGGGCGGTGGCAAGGTCATGCTTGGTGTACAGAATGAGAGGGAATGGAATATACTCGCCACGAAGGTGCTGCAGCGCGATGATCTGGTCCAGAACCCCAAGTTCAGCAACACGGCGTCGAGGAGTGAAAATCGAGCCGAGCTGGAAGCGGTGATTAGTGGAATCTTCGGCCAGTGGAATGCGGACGAGGTGACGAGAAGGCTTGAAGCGGCCGGAATCGCGAATGCGAAGGTGAACGATATGCAGGGTGTTTGGGAGCATCCACAACTCGAGGCACGGAGGAGATGGAGAGACGTTGACACGGAGGTTGGGAAGATCAAGGCCTTGATGGCGCCGGGCATGAACGCCGATGTTGATGCGAGGATGGACAAGGTGCCGGCGGTTGGGGAGCATAATGAGGGTATCTTGAAGGAGCTGGGAATGTCGTGAGCAGCACGGAGTAGTCAGTTGCGTTCGCGCAATCTCCAGAAGCAAGGAAATAAGTAGGTACTACCTGGTGACCATAGAGAATGCACCCCGGTGCTTCTTCCTACTGTACAATGGATGGCCAGCTCGATCGAAACTTCCTTGCTTGTACTTCGTTTTTACCAGACAACACAACAACATGTCTTGTTGTTAGCTTCAGCTTCAGGGGTTTTCCTCATCAAAGTGGACATTGAGTGCCTTGAAGTGTGAAGTCGCTGCTGCTGCTGGCAAAATTCGAGATACCGCTGCCAACTTCTCTTGAGTCTTACGTGGACATGGACGAGTCGGCGAGCACCAATAAATCGAGGAAGGTGATCCCGTTGTCTCTGCAATACGACTTTATAATCGTGTGATGACGAATACATGCATGAACAATTGAGATTGTCGAGTCTTGAGAATGAGCTGCATTACGCCAATGATGTGTGCAATGAGCGCCATGCAAAAGAAGCCTGCGAAAAACAATATTGACGACTTTCTCGCTTGAGTGACCGTGATCTCGACGCCGCAAGAATAGCCAGCCAGTCAAATGCAAGAACCGGGGGTTTTCAATAAGAATGCCATCTAGGGTGACAATATCCATTCCAGGATTTCACCGGCGGCAGCGAAAAGCGTATGCGAGGCCGTTTGTTTCAGAGGACGATAAAAAGGCATGTCAACAGGCAAAGGATTGAAATTGCAGGGGTCACCACAAGTCAGTCTGACACCACTACCGAGTTCTACGAGAACTAACAAACAAGTATGATCTTTGTCAGCAGCAGAGGAGGGACTCGTCGGCACTATCAATCTGTATGTGCGAATATCCCAGATGTCCACTTGGTCGTCGGCAACAATGACCACCTATCTTCACTCTACCGGTACAATGGCGAGGATGCTATCAGCAACACCTGGTCCGTGTGCCTCTCTCCCTGTCCGATTATTCTCTACTACCCCCTCCAGTCGGGGGTGTCAGACTTCTGCCCTGTCGGAAGATTTCAAGCCCATCTTAAGCTGCGACAGGACGCCACGCGAGGCGCTAAAGAGAATCTGAAGCACGCCAGTCGGTCATCCCTCGCAAGCGTCCGGGCCCATGAGTGGTTGTTTCAACGTCCCCTACTCCATGTCTCCATTGTGGTCCCCATGCCGTCTGTTTCCACGAAGAAAGACTCTGGCAGGCCAACAAGTGGTTGACTCGACGGACTTCAGTTGTTGGCCATGGGTTCCTTGTATCTCATGCTACCTTTTGGCTTTTTTCCAACGAATGCCTGTTCTGACAGTGGGAATAAACCCGACCATGATTTGCTTGACCATGGATGCCTCGGGTTCTCGTGGCCACTGAGAATCTAATATCCCAGCAGAACCTCATTCCATATTCCATGCAAGTTATGGCAGGAAACCACTACGGGTACAGTATCCTTCTTATCGAGGCACAAGCCCCGGTTTTCGCTAAGCACAAAGTTGCATCTGGCCACCTCCGCCGACTTACTTTGTTGCAATCTTTGCTTCGGACTTGGCTCGTTCTTCCCATCTCTGACAATCCCCCTCCCTTCTCCGTCTCGCGCGCAAGACGTACAGTAAGTGGCGTCCAGAAAGCTGTGTGACAGTTTGGCTTGCCTTGCTCCGGCACGTATGTCAATTCTGTGACGGGTTCCACGCTCACTGTGCGCGCAGACAGCTCTCAGCCGTTCTCGTCATCGACCTGCCCTTCCTGTCACTCATTTGTCAACCACTGGTTCTGCTTGTCATCCTCTTCCCGCCTGGCTGGTCCAGCTTTGTTTTGAAAGAAGAAAATGTTGACTCGATGGTATTCTCTTCGACATCGAGAAACACCTCCGCAACAAAACACTTCAGATCCCCGAACGCTCGCAAGGCCGTCCGATTTTGACTTTGCTTTCCCCGAGACAACGGCTACCACAACTGTTCTGAGTCCCACCGGCAAGACTGTGCTGAGCGCACGACCTGTCCCTCACCGTCCTACGACATCCGGCGGTCCTACCGGGAAGAGAAAACCACGAACTGACGCTCCGCCGCTGAGACCGCGAACCTCGGAGAATCACAATCACTCGAAGGATGCTCATGCCGATGTACGAAACCAAGATCCCTCGATAGGCCTTGCTTTCGGTAGCCCAACTCACCCTCCCGCGAACTTCAACATGGCGGAGGAAAACAACCGCAATAACGATCATGAATATTCCGCCCTGCAGCGCTTTATACGTGCTGACCGCTCGCTTCAAATGCAGAGCAAGAAATGGAAGAAGATTGGCACCTTGTTCAAGTCGCGCCAAATCGCTCTCAGGAGGGAAGAAATTCCGTCTGGGCCAACGATAGGACTTCCGACCGGGTTCACCGTGCTGGACAAGAGCCCTACAAGTCAAAGCGTGGAATTTGCAGAGCATAAACTACAGCCGATCGGGGAGGTAGGGAAGTCTTATCAGCAGCAGCAGGCCCCGGTGCCGCCGAACGAGAACGATCCGGGCTGTGCTTACAAAAAGTCTTCTTTGGAAAGGTCCCATCACCACAAGTCTGACGACGATGCGATCTCTCGACCTTCTACCGCGACCGACGCCAGCTTATGGAGTGAACCGGACTCGCGGCCGCCCCTTCCGAAACTTGAGCTCGACATACCGACTCCTCCTCTCGACCGCTATAGTGTAATGTTTCGCAACCTCCCAGCCGCAACACGATCGTCGTCGCTTCTCGCAAGGCGCAGTAGAACCCTAGAAAGTCTGAGGTCTTCTGATGACACCCGACCAGGTACCAGGGCCGGCGAAGAGGAAGGTTGTTTGAAGACATACTACGACCCTGAAACGCCTCTTATGCCTCCGCAGCGCCTCGACAGCCCGACAAACCGGTCCCCTGCTGCGAGCAAATACTCTTTGTTCCCAAACACATCTCCGGCGCCTAGCAAGATCCAGGCTCGGGTCATGGATGATGGCCACCACCAGTTGAAACGAACCGCGAGCTCACCGGCACGGTTAACGCCCATGAAGGATCGCTTTTTGGTCGCCAAACCGGAGCCCTTGAACCCGAAGAGGATCGAGGTGAATGAACAGCTGATCAGTAGCCCCGAGGACAACACCGCCTCGACCGATCGTTCGGCGCCTTGGAGTGCAGCTCACTCGTTCCAATCGTCCATCTCGTCCGTCGCGACCGGTGAAGAGATATTCTTCGACATCAAGTCATTCCGAGACTCAAAGGGAGTAGAAGACGGGCATTTTGTCATGACGAGACCGGACTCGGTCGCAGTAGAATTAGCACGGACAAGGTCCAAGAAGGTCGCAGGGGCGAGTAACCTCCGAGAGGCCAAATCAGCTGCACGACCTGACCAACAAGAAACGGTGGTCGAGCAGGAGGAGCCACGGACACCGATACCACCACCCCCGGCACCATTGTCTGAGATGACATCCGCAGCAACGACAAAGCACACGTCGGTCAACACGGCATATTTCGACGAAGCCATCGCCGCAGTCGAGAGGCTCACTTCACCCACGTCTATGAGTCAGGAGAAGCTACCACCCATCACGTTTACCGTGCCGACACTCACGATTCCACCACCACCACCTCCTCCTCCTCCTCAGCCTGAGGAGTCCCCGGCCCAGCCATACAACTCGTCTAGTAGACCTTCAGACTCTGGCGTCATCAATCGCACGATGAGCAAAACACGAGAAGATATTGGCCTGCTGATACCATCTCCTGTCGCCGAAGTCAAAGAAGACCTCTCTCCCAAATCCGACGCCACAATCACAAAACCGCCTTCTCTCGCGTCGTCAGCGTCAGTGGTGTCAACAAACTCTACTTCGAAACTTTCGTCAAAACCCAAACCCGTTCAGATCCTCTCGCCTCGCGTCGTAGCCATCAGACGCGTTGACAAACCTATTGACGATTCACCAACCATCCCACAGGGGCCACCGAGTCCGCCGCGACGAGCTCCTGTTGCCCTCAAACCTCAAACAACCGCACATGCACCACCACGACTCGCCACTGGTCCCGCGGACGATAAACCTCCTCCCGTCCCTCGAAAGGATTCCAAGTTCATTCCTCTGTCGAAATACGCGACCAAAAGCACCGTGACCAAGATCGAACAAGCGGGCATAAAACCCACACGACCGGGTCGGTCTAACACTGACTCACTATCCCAATCACACACCTCGTCGACCAGTAACAGTCCGCTTCCCGCCCGTTCCGCCTCGACTCTGGTGCGTGGTTCCCGATCCACGACACTTCCGTCTTCGTTACAAGGGTTGGAAAAGACGGTGCCACCGGCATCCAGACCCAAACCGAACCCGATGGCCATGAACCCGCCGACGTCGACGAGCCACACCGCAGCCCCTGAAGTGGCAGTCGCCCGGACCGTGTCGTTGTCTCGAAAACAGAGCGCGAGGGTCAACGTGACGGGACCGAGACTTGCCGCTCGTCGAACCGAAGCTGCGGTGCAGGCGCAAATGTCGAAAGTGTCGAAAACCTCATCGACATCGTCGACATCCCCATCATCAATAGCCGCGACCGTGGGATCCAGCCTGGAGCGCTCCGGGAGTAAATCCGGGATGGGCATCCTGGGCCACCGCCGCAGACAAAGCGGGTCCAAGTCATCGCAGTCGCAGTCGACAAGAGACCGGATCAAGATCATCAAGCGCGAACCGGACTCGAAAAAGGTCAGGGACGCCGAAAAACAAATGGTCAAGGAGGCCAAAAAGTGGGAGATTCTGGAACAAAAGGCCTACTCGCCCGTCGTGGTACAGGCGGAAAGAGGTCACAAACCTGGTTTGAGTGTCGGGTTGGTCGTTGAGAGTATTTGATGCCTCTCTTTGGTTTTATTTTTTCGGGTTTTGGGTTGCAAGGGGTGGTGTGGATGTGATCAGTTAACGATATTCATGTGAAAACTTTTCCCTGTTATATTTTGTGTGTTTTGAGTGTTTCCGTCCTTTGTGAGTGCATTCTATCGCCCATTTCGGGACTTGGGTTGGTAGAGGAAAATGAGGAGTGCAATGGCATATACCTAGTCATGGTATGGTACGTCAAAGGCATATGTACGGAGTAGGTAGTATGTGATACATGGGGTATATGATATGATACGGAAGGAATTTGAGGACAAGGTGCTGCCCAAACCTTGTCGTCGTCGACCCTTTTCTTTTTCCCCTCCATGATCGAAGTTCCGACCTCGGGTGGCCTGGGTAACATTGTATACCTAGCCATCCCTAGTGAGCATGCTGACATTTTGTGTTTTTTGGGGCAATAGGTAACAAACACGCGAGGCTTGTTCACAATGTCGAATGGAGAAGATGATTCAGAGGAAAGGATCCAAAAAAAGGCAACAAGGAACGCATCGTAGGGGATTGAGTGAATCTATCCGTACCACATACCACGCAACAACAACACTGGCCAGTCCTGAGTGATGAAATGTCAAGTAACTGGATAAGTATGTTTAATTGTTGAAGTAAACAGGGGGAAAACTGGCGAGTCTTGAGTCATGATTGTTGACCAGTTGCAGGAAGATTGTTGAGTGAACAAGGGGGGGGTGTTCACGTGTTTAGTGTTGATTGTCGAGCGGTCGGTGATGATTGTCGAGTGATTGGTGATGAATGTTGAGCGTTTGGTGATGATTGTCGAGTGCTCAGGGAAGATTTTCGAGGGTCGAGTGACGAACGTTGAGCGGTTGGTGATGAATTGTTGACCATTGTAGGAAGAATGTCGAGCAGTGAAGGGAGGATCGTCGAGGATCTCGTGCTCATTCAGTAGCCTCCAACTACTACTACTACTTCTTCTTCTTACTCAATCCTTCATCGACATTGACTTCGACGGTCTGAACACCTCCCCGGACGTCCTTGGGCTCGGCCACCGGTACAGCGACATTCTCCAACCACCATTCCATACCTGGATACGCATCACTCATGACCAAAATGTCGACCTTGACCTGTCGTCCACCACCGTTCCGGATCCCACCATCATCCAACACGGGCACCTTGAGCTTCGTGTGACTTATATCCAACGCACGACTTCGTCCCGACTTGTCTCTGTCCTTGTTCGTCATGGCCCAATTCGCCCTCTTGAGTGCGAGGATGTCGATTTTGCTCTGCACATCCCCTGTCGACGCGGCGACCTGCTTCGAACCGACGGGCAACACGAGTACAAAGTACCCTTCTGTTTGTGGTTTGGGGAATTTGGGAGCGTAGATCCTCGCCTCGGGATTCTGTAGTCTGTTTCCTCTCTTCAACGTCACCTGCAACGCATCCGTGTCCCCACCCGCACTCACGGTGATATCAGGCAACATATTGACAGCCTTGACGAACTGCGACCGCACCCCGCCACCTTGTCCTTGTCCCCCACGCAAATCGAACAGGTTCATCAACCCATCGATCGTCTTGGCCCCGTGACGCGTCGCCAAAGTGGCTGTCGTGACGAGATCCGTGGGTACTTTGCCTTGGAGCTTCGGATCAAACACCTCTCGCACACCGGGGAGGATGCTCAGCGGGTATTCCTCGGGCCACCTCGCGCTCTTGATGCACTGTAACAACCTGACCATTTGAACGACCGCGTCAAGTCGGTTCAACTCCGTCATGACATCGATGCCGGCCTGGATGATTCGAATGCCCTGATCGAGCACCGACGTCTGATCGCCCACGTAGTCACTGATGGGCAACTCGATCCTGCTCATAAACGCCTGGAGGAGCAAGAAGGACTTGACGTGAGGGTCCCACATCGGTAAACCGTCGAGGACGCCACCCTCGACGCCGAGCGGGAGGTTATTTGCCAGCTCCGCGTTGATCAAGTCCTCGTTGTGGCGGACGGGGAGGTCGTCGAATTCCGTGGCGGCGCTGACCCAGCTCAACGCGTCTGCGAAAGTCGCCCCCGTGCTTGTGTTTGTCGTCTTGCGCGCACTGCTCAAAAATTTACGCACCGTGAGATGACTGAGATAGTAGTAACTCATGATCTTGCCAAAGGGCGTGGCGTCCACGTCGCCATTGCTGTGAACGAGGACGCAGTCACTCTCGGCGAGGTCGTCAAGACTCTTGTCCACGAGCGTGATCATGTACTCGCTCGCCAGTTGGCGCGCGACGAGCTGAGACTCGCGGTGCTCTTCCGCGCTGATCTCCAATCCGTAGTAAGTCGGGTTCTTGTGCAGGCGGCGAAAGAAGAAGGTCCAAGTGAGGTAGTCGAGAGCGTCTTGTTTCGTGGTGATGACACCCGCGTTGACTTCGGCACCCAGATGGTTGTCGAGGACTTTGTGGAGGGACGATTCGACCGGGAACCCCGTGTGCAAGAAGTGTTTGTAGAATGCTTTTTTGGCATCTTGGGTGAAGATCCTCGCGATGCCGGAGGTGTCGAATTGAGGACGGCCCGCTCGCCCGAGCATCTGCAGGACGTCTGTGAGGTCCATGTCCTTGTATCCTTCGATTTTGGCGTCGAAGAATTGCGTCCCTTTGACGACGACGAGGTGGGCGGGAAGATTGATCCCCCACGCTAGCGTGGAAGTTGCGACGAGAATTTGGATCTTGTTGGCCGCGAAGAGTTGCTCGGACAAGGTGCGGTCGCTCTCGACGAGACCGGCGTGGTGCAGACCGATGCCGAAGCTGAGTGCTTCTTTGAGCGCGGCGTCCTTGACGGCAGACAATGTGGCCTCTAAATCTTCCTCGGAGTCAAAGTGTAAAAACCGACGCGGGTCTTCCTCCATACCACAAAAGTTGATCAGGTCTTTTGCCGTCAGTCGGGTTTGGCGACGGGATGCGACAAAAACAATCACGGGCTTGTCGGGGGAGTGATTTTTGATGGCGAGGTACGTGGGCCGGTTCATGCTTTGCATCAGTGGACAGAAGCCGCGTTGTTCTGGGAATCCATCAATGTATATCTCGAGAGGTACTGGTCGGACACTGTGGCGGAAGTTGAACAGGCCTTGGTTGTTGCCTGGCTTGACTCCCAGCCAGTTTCCCAGGTCAGTTGCATTGGCGCACGCGGTGGACATTCCGACCAGGCGGATGGAACCCGCTTCTGCTTGACTTGCGATGTAGTTCATTCGAGAAACGATGATTTCGAGGATGGGGCCACGGTCGCTACCGAGGAGATGGATTTCGTCAATGATAACAAGAGACACTTGTCGCACGTATGATCTTGTCTGCCAGGATCTGGAGATACCGTCCCACTTTTCAGGAGTTGTGATGATGATATCTGCGTCACGGATAGTCCGTGTATCTGGAGTGTTGTCACCAGTAAGCTCGACCAGTTTCAAACCCATAGGGCCAGTGAGGCGTTTGCGCCAATCTTGAACTCTTTCTCGCACGAGCGCTTTCATGGGTGCGATGTATACCACTTTGCTACCAGGATGTTCACGGAACGCCCACCACATGGCCAACTCAGCCGCGACAGTCTTGCCTGAGCCTGTTGGGGATCCTAGGAGGACATTGTTCGAGGTATGGTACAGCGTGTGGAAGATTTGTGTTTGCATGGGGTTGAAGAATTGGAATCTTTGGCCGTACAGTTCTTCCAGCAACGGGTTCTTCAACGCAGTAATGGGAAGAGGTTGCAAATCGAGAAGATCGGTATACACACTCTCCGTATCTGGGCGGATGAGATGTTGGAACGATACTGGTTGAACTGTTTCGGCACCAAGCCATCGATCGGAGATGACCCGAACATATATTTGCGAAGGCAACGGGTCTGATAGAGGGATGGTGAAGTTGAGTTCGTGACTATCATGCATCTTCTTTCTGCTCAGAATGAAATACTCATGGTGGTAGATTTCTGAAGTATCTGAGTTTTCCACCCATACCCAGTATGATTCAGAGGTGCCGTGGTGGCGATCGTTCCAGTTGAACTCGGGATACAGGAACAGTTGCATCCTGAGCACGTCACGGTTGAGAGGAGCAATTTCTGCCTTGACTGACAATGTCGGAAAGTTGTCGAGCAATCTCGATATCGTGTTGCCCATCTTCTGGTTGTGGACAAGGTTGCCAATTTCGGCCGGCTCCATCTCTCTAAGACTTTCAATGTTTGACGAAGGTGCCTTGTCATCGAGATTTTTGAGCACAGGAAGAGGGAGATCGAATTGATGGAAGGGATGCTGGAACGGCCAGATTTGCTTCTCAATCGCTTTGCATAATGACAGCAACACCTGACATTGGTAGCCCCAGCCTCGATTCAGCGCAATCATGAATAGCGCTCGACAAATTCTGGCGGAGTTCTGTGCCACATACGCCAAATCCGAGACAAGTGCAAAATCTTCCAGCTTGGCTCGAGAGATGTGTGACTGTAACAGAATGTTTGTCTTTGCATGATTCTCGATGACCTTCTGTTCTTTCTCATCTTCTGAGTTCTTCGGTGCTCCCTTCGCCTCTTCGACTTGGCATGCAACAGCTTCTTGACGGAGGCGACGCAATTCTTGCGCCTCATTTTCTCGAGACTGAATGTTATCGAATTCGCCAGACATACTAATGATTTTTAATACATCCGCGTCGCTTGCTCGTGGTCTCATCATAGTGTTGAAGATCTCAATACTGTTCTGTAGTACATAGTACTGACTGGCGATGCGTCCAACATCTTTGGACCGAAGTTCATCTGTTCGTTCATTGAAGATGATCATCTGACTTCTGTGCAAGGTCCTTGCGGCGTCAACGATCAATTTTCGTCTCCGCTGACCAAGTTGAGGGTCGTCTAAGTATTCTTGTACATCGATGCCGTAAGCCTCTGGGTTCTTTCGCATGCGAACGAATAAATATGAATAACCTAGCCAGGTTACAGCTTCGGCAACGGTCGTCACTGTTCCCAAGCTGATCTCGGCGTTGAGATTATCAACCAATCGATGCGAAAATCTTGACTCAATGGGCTTTTGTTGAGTTACAGCAGACAGATAGAACTGTAATTTGTCCTGGGTTGTGCAGATGTAACCAATACCACTGTCTTGGAATTGCGGTCGACCAGCACGACCAAAGATCTGCAGGACATCTAGAATTCCTAAGTCGACGAACTTACCAGCTTCAGCACTATAAAGCTGGGTTCCCTTGATGATGACGGCTGCAGCCGGTAGATTGACACCCCATGCAAGAGTTGCTGTACAGCAGAGGACTTTGATAGCACCTTCAGAGAAGACTCTTTCAACAAAATTTCGATCAGTGCGAGGCATGCCGGCATTGTGACAACCGAACCCTTTGGGAACAATGTCACGAAGCTCTCGACCTCGAGTCGTTTTCAAGCCAGATAACGCTTTGATGTAAGCTGGGTGATCTGGCTCGGGCATGAAAAGAGAATCACAACCGTCATCCATTGCCATCTGGTAGAGTGTCCGAGCAGCCAACACAGTGTCTTTCCTCGAATGAACAAATACCATAACTTGCTTGTCCTGCTTCAAAAGCTCTTTGATTTTCTCGAAGGTGACATGATCGAGGTTCTCTCGTTGAGTTTTGCTGCCTACTTTACCCTTGACCCCAATGAAGTGCTGTTCAAGAGGTACTGGTCGGAACGATCCGTCGAAATAGAAGAGACCATTGTTACGATTGACCTTGAGAAAGTCTGCCACATCAACATAATTCGGGAGAGTGGCAGACAACCCAACAATCCGAATGGGTGACTGGGTACTTTCGACCTGCCTCTGCGTTCGGGCGACTAACGATTCAATGACAGCGCCACGATCATCATGAAGCATGTGAACTTCATCGATGATCAGAAGACGAACTTTTTGGACTAATTCGGTATCTCCAGTGCTTTTTCGTGTGACCACGTCCCATTTTTCGGGCGTTGTCACAATGATCTGAGTGGCTGCAATCTCTCGTTTCGTCAACTGCATGTCGCCAGTCAATTCACGCACCTGTACTCCGAGCCAAGAAAGCCGTTTGCCCAGCTTCTCCGTGACCTCGGCGGCAAGAGCCTTCATTGGGGCAACATAGACAATTTTGAAGTCATCAGCCATCAGTACAAAGTCGGTTGCGTCGGGTTCGTCTATGGGGTTCGGCTGGACATTTTTTGAGATTGTTTGAAGAATGGTGAGCATGGCAGCATCAGTTTTACCGGCACCTGTGGGTGCGCAGATCAGCATATTCTCCGATGTGGTGTACGCGACCGGGTACAGTAAACTCTGCATTCGATTGAGCGATTGATATCCTTTAAAGGTGCGTTGGCATAATCCATCCATATCAGCGATATTGACCAGTTTCTGCCCCACCCCCAGTGAGCCAACCTTTGTCGCAGGCACACTATACTCCTCATATTTCGCATAATCATTTCTTGTACTGCCAACAGGAAGACCATATCGTTTTCCAGACACGTCCAGCATGTTCCCAGAAGCAGCCGCATCAGACTTATAAACATGTGCATACTTGGGAGTGCTTCGATCGAATGCCGGAGCAAGAGCAGCATGCTTGTGTTCGTAGTCCTGCTGCCTAAGAGCCGCTTCTCGCTCTTGTCGAGTCTGTAATTGCGAGAAAAGTCCATCGGTTTGACGAGTTGTTGATCTAGGCGGGGCTAGGATGTCCTTGCGGTGGGAGATGAGCTCGATAACGAAATCCAAATCGTCAAAGCCAATGACCTCAGCAAGTGACATCTGTAGCTCTTCATCCGAGCTGTCGGATGCAAGCAGAGCAATTATTTGCTGCTCAAAGTCTTCGGCTTCCATGCCATGCCGTGAACGGGCGAAAGTTGTGCATTTGCTGTGCAACCAAGATCTGTCGAAGTGGCCCTTGGAGGATGGATCAGGAGTCTTGAGGCCATGAATATCATCATCATTTGTCTCGCTCGGAGGGCTCTCAACGGCTTCACCCTCCACGTCCCAGATATCATCATCGACATCGTCACTCAATTCGTCGTCTAGGTCTATATCTGCGCCATACATTTGGAACCCCTCGTTTGACGGCGGCAATTTCAACTCGACAATTGCCTGCCGCATAGCTTCCATTTGAGCCAACCATTGTGACTCTCCTCGAAAAGTGGTTTCTGCCATACTGACGCCTTGTTCGGTAATTGTCGACGATTCCCAAGGTGTCCAAAATGAGTGTGCAAGTAATGTATGACGGCAGTATTAAGCAGAACTGAAAAAGGTGATGGAAGTGCACTCGCTATGACTCAGCTGCCAAGACACCGACATTTTAAGTACGCCAGCCTTGTTTTCCCTTCCTATTTCCACTTCTACAGCTTCAGTATCCATTGATGGGTACCAGATCGATTATATTAATTTTACTTCATAGCTCGGTCATCTACCTACCCGTGGTACCTCACACTGCAGGTCCCGCTCCGATCCATGTCCTGTAACTCCGAAACGGACCTCTTCTGTTGTCCGTATTATTGTATTGAAAGCGAGGACCGAGCTCGAGCTGATTTGTACAGAAATAGAGCCATCCATCCAGGATTGCTGCACTGTCAGCGTGTTGGATCAGACCGCTTCTCGCCAGTGTTTTCACCACATAGTTTTCTGCCGTCACAGGTACCTTTGCGGTACCACCAGGAGGGGTTCCATTGACCGTCTCATTCACCTGACTCTGCAGGGTATCGACGTAGAAAATGGCATTGTGTTCACTTGCAAGGATGTACACGCGACCATTGTCATCGGCGGTAAAGCCAGCCTGCTCAGTACCGCATTGCCCTGGATTCTGGACTGCAGCAAAGACTTCTTCGTCGGTCTTGGATTTGTCAATCACCCCTTCCTGGCTCACATAATAGAAGCGACGGCTAGATAAAACGCCCCAATAGACGTTACCGCTGGCAAGAGCAATGCCATCGCTGCCAATCGAGCCGGAGTTCCTGTCTGTGCCATTCCAGGCATAAATTGGTTGGCCATCATATACTCCAACGTAGCTTTGATCTGGCTTGACAACACTCGTGTTGAACAAGCGTCGATTTGTGGATCCGTCGGTCAAGTTGATACTCAAGATACTACCGTATTTGCTCTCGTCGGTGAGAAATGCGTATCCTTTCCCCCCTCCCACAGTGTTATTGATTCGAACATCGTTGGCATTCATGTTATCATGAAGAAGGTCGGTAGGGATGACATATGTCCGCAAGTGATTACCTTTTAGGTCAAAGCTCATGATTTTCGCGCCGCCAGGAGTTGCACTTTGGTTCCCTGGAATTATCCCAGAGTCGACGATCCACAGTTGATTCACACTATCCAGGACCACATTCTGTACATTGATAAAGCATGTGCTAGGGTCTTGTGTCGCCGTACAATTCTGGATGGTCGCATTAGGCCACGGCTTTTCATCTGTGAATGAAGTGGCGATGACCACGTTATTGGCGGTTGGGCCAGAATTTCGAGGGTAAGTTAGGTAGATGTTTAGCGACGGGTCGACAGCAAGCCCAGTCGGTGCCTGAGCCGATTCATGAACTGGCTGCAGCGTTGTACCGATGATGGTGAAATCCTGTGGACAGATCCCCAATGGACCACCTGGTCCAGAACTCACAGCTGCTGGGCAAGTCGAAGGAAATTGCGCCAACCCAGTGGATAGCAGCGTGAAGAGAGCAAAAAGATAGCAGAACATGTTCGCCGTGATCAACCCAAGACACAAGAAAGAATTCAAGATGCCTCTCTCTTCTTTTTACGGAATCCTTCAGATCTGTCTAACACTCTGCAACTGTGACTAAACTGACAGATGCACAGCGAAGGGCAAGGGATGGCAGTATACATGCATGAGAGGCTCAACATAGCCTGCCACGGCTATGCATCAGCAGATATATACCTAACGTACTCACCTGATGAGTTCCTGCATCTTGTAACCTTCTCCGCATTTCCAGCACGTCATGAGGTTGATGTGCAACGCTCGGGCACGACGGCAATTGACCGGTCAAGGTGATGAGGTTTCGTCTGCAGGGTAGAGAGTACAAACCGATAGCCGAATCTGGGGGATTCGCCAAAAGTGTGTAATTGCCGGCAACTGGTCTTCAATGGTTTCCCCGCTCGTGATATATTGCCTAGAAGAAACCATATTGATAAAGCAGGGGAGATGCCGCAAGATGCATGTAGACAGTGGTTGTGAGTGTGAGTGAAGATCAAGAATCCCCCCGAAAGCAATGCGCCCGGCAAAGCTGGGGTTAGGCGGCTTCTTATTAATGATTGGACGGTTGACATAGGCCTGAAAACAGCCGTGTTTAGGTAAGCTTAGGGCCAGTTTAACTGTGTTTCCCCCGCCACGACAAAGAAAGAAGGATAATCGAAGGCGCCTGGATTCCCGGGCCAACACATGTGACGCTTCCCATACAAAATGAGATCAAGTCACCACCTCCTTACTCGCTCAAGTATTGTTTCATATCGACCATTTGCTTCTGTAACCCCTTGAAAGTTGAATCTCTCACCGGACGACACTGGTATTGTTCAGCCATCCTACTCAGCCGGCCGTCAAACTTTACACCCATTCTCGTCATGAAGATCTTCTACATCGGAGTAAGCCCAGCGAAAGGACCATTTGAATTCAAACCACCACGAGAACAATAACTATTAACACCTGCGCTTCCCAGGTTCTACGGAACGACCCAGTCCCTGCCACTGAACTTGCCGTCGAGCGAGACCTGTCATCATTTTCCCGCTTCACCCGCGACAGGTCAGTCCCATCATCCACGGACACAAGAAACCCCCTCCCCCAGACCGACACAGACGTGACGAACTGACACATACCTTCCCACAAAACAGCTATGGCGAATTCATGACCATGTTCGCCAAGACGGTAGCCGAACGTACCAAGCCGGGCGTGCGTCAAGACATTGAAGAAAAATCCTACACATTCCACGCCTACGGATCGAGTCAGGGTGTGGCAGGCATCATCATCAGCGACGCCGAGTACCCCGCCCTGGTGGCCCATCAACTCCTCTCCAAGATCGTCGACGAATTCACCTCCCAGAACCCGCGGTCGAGCTACTCCAGTCCGAGCGTGTCGAGTCGACCGTTCCCGCAGTTGAAGGAGTACATTGTGAAATACCAGAACCCGAACGAGGCGGACAGCATAATGAAGGTCCAGCGGGAACTCGACGAGACCAAGATCGTCCTGCACAAGACCATCGAGAGTGTGCTGGAGCGAGGCGAGAAGATTGACAGTTTGGTCGCCAAGTCGGACGGGTTGAGTGCTCAGAGCAAGATGTTTTATCAACAAGCCAAAAAGCAAAACTCTTGCTGTGTGGTAATGTGATGATGGGGGAACGTGAAATCGGCAATATATTTGTGTGTGCATGTCTGTGTGTGTGGGTGTTGCAGGATCAGAATATCAACGATTGGGCATTGAGCAGGCTAGGATACTTTATGATATGATACCTAAGAATTGCCGCCGCATACTACAGTCCTTTTCGCTGGTCAAGGGCAAGCAGGCGTTATCAGGCGTTGACCAAGTACTCCGTACTCGAGACGATAGGTATATATACCTATGGAAGAAACATGTCCAGCTACATGCCATGACCCCGTGATGACTCCTTGGGTTTACGTTCTCCAGTTTCGTAGCTGTCTCTACTCTTTTTCCTCTTTCTATCCTGTCAGCAGCGATGATGTGTCGAGGAGGACTTTGGGTATAGTATGTATGCAGATGCAACTCCAGTCCAGTACAACTGTCTCTACTTTTGAATCTCTCTCTTCAGTTTCATTCGTTTTCGATTTCGATTCCCTTTTTAGTAGTTTTTTTTCCGACGTCTTTTCACTTTCGATCCGCCAGTTTCCCCAATCCATCCCCGTCTACCCTCATACCCATCCATTCACTCATCCGTTTCGCGCCCACACCTTCACCCTCGTAGAACTTGATGCTGGGTTCGTTCCACTTCAAGACGCTCCAATCCAGTCTCTTACAACCCAGCCGCAAACACTCTCTGGCCAAAGCCGACAGCAAAGCCCCCCCGAAACCTCGACCTCTGTACGTAGGTCTCACGTAGAGATCCTCCAGATAGATCCCGGGGGCGGAAGTCCAGGTACTGTAATTGTGAAAAAACAGAGCCATCCCTGCAACCCTTTCGGTATCGTCGCTGGGGACGACGAGGATGGTCTTGGCGTAACCTCTCGTGAAACCACTCCCGTCGGCGGCTTTGGGGTCCGGGAAGGACAAGGTGTCCGTCAGCGACTTTTCGGTGGCCAAGACTTCGTGCAAGGCCTTTTCGTACGAAGCCAATTCCTGGATCAATTCCAGAATCACCGGGACGTCCGACTCGGTGGCGAACCGGATCGTGTAAGTCGACGTTGTTATTTCTGCCATATTTTTTCCCCTTCCTTGGTACTTGGGGGGAGGGGCGTGTATGTGCTCCAAAAACACGGAACGTATTCTTCTCGTAGTGGTTGTACTTGGCGCAGAGTATAGAGTATTAGAAAATATATTCAAAGATCAAGAAGGCGATTGTTTTTGGTCAAGGTGGTGGTCGAATTGAGTTTTATATTCGCCCAAATCTGGAATTGTCGTGTTGTTGAACGGAGTGTCTGCTTCTTATACCTCCGAAAAATGTTCCTTGGCTGTGGAGGCTTTTGTTTTTTCCCTCCTTCAATAAGACTAAAAGTTCTCTAGAAAAAGAAAGAAACAAAAACGTTAGTAACAGTTGCACTGAATGCTACATTGTCCATCGAAGGGCGTGGAGAGCATGACCGGAATATCAGGTATCCAGTTCGGAACAAGGCTGAGCAAGGCTACGCTGGCACGGACTCCAGAAGCATTAAGATGATTTAGACATTTCACCAGGTTGACATTCTGGCACGCGCACTGTATTCTAATTGAAATAACCTCAGTTCTTTGATTTAATAGCATGATCGCAATGTGTGTCCTGGACGATAACGTCTCAGCTCTCCAAGGGTCACTCATCCAATGCCATCATCGCACGCAAATAATTCAACAACATTAAATCATCACGGGTCATCAATATACAGCCTTCTTTTCCGGACTCCTACTCCGTGCTCGATGTTCCTTGCTGGGGCTTCGCTGATACTCTATCTGTTGTTGCCCGCCAAATCCCTGGTCGCCATGCCAACCTACATAAGGTTGACCAAATGGTGTTCCTGGAGGCAAAGCATAAGGCATTGAGCCGTCTTGCTGTCCAGGATGCATATACGATCCTGAAGGAGGTCGATAAATGCCTGCATGCTGATTCTCTTGTTGCCGACGGTAAAGGGTAAACGTCGCGTTATTGACGACCAACCCGACAATTACAAGTGTAATTGTAAAGATCCTGCAAAAGTTAGTTTCTCATTGTAGAACCAGGGCCTCTATACTCACATCGTTTTCAGGCTGATAGGTTCAACGAAGCTGTTGAAGATCTCGGCAAATGTGTGTGCACTCAGCCTGGCTCTTTTGACTGCCTTTGGGTCGCGGTTCATGCATAATTCCCAATTACTGCAGACTGTTTCCAATGCTGGCAAGCGGGTATCGGCACCACAGCGGTTCTCGATGTAATTCTTTGAGCATGCTGCCATCTCTGCCAGCACCTCTGCCATGGCATCTTCGCTAGCTCGATCGACATCTGCTCGAATGGTGGCGTAGAATGACCAGAACATATAGAGACAGCCACCTAGAATAGCCGCATTGAAAAACACCTGCAAATATTTTGCAATGATCGAAGGCGCGTCGGGATAGGTATGTATGAACGTGAACAGCCCAGTAATCCATCCCACCTCCTCAACTCTCGGCTTCTGTGTCCCAGTAGGGCTGGGTATAGGCTCATCGTCGCTGTCGTCTGTGGCGTCTCTTCTACTAACGATCAATTGCTTGTCGAACTTTTGTGCTCTCCTCCGCTTCTTGTGTATTCTTCTGGCGATGGAGTCGCTATGCGGTTTTCGAATCTCTCCTCGCCCAGGGCTCGATGCAAATCTACCATAGAGGCCGAATAACGAGCTCCTCTTGTTTTCTGTTCGCTGCGGGCTGCTCTTGAATTCTATTGGGATTGGTTTTCCATCAGGTGTATCATCGTTGTCGGTCTGTTCTAGCGGTGACGAATTTTCTGGCCCAGACGAGAAGTCAATTTCGAAAGGTTTTCGGGGAGTTGTGAAGGAGGGAGCACGGAAAGGTGAGGATAATGGCGTTGAAGGCGCATTTGAGAAGAAAAAGGGTTGGTTGTTTGGTTCGCGTAGAGATGGCAAGACCGACTTCTTTGGCGAGTTAAATTCGCTGTGGTTTCCTGCTATTGTTCAGTATATGCTCTTGTCAAAAAAATGACTGCTCAAACGTACGTTTCTTCGCTTGGGCATCCATGATGTGTTTATGGAAAGGCGAAGTAGGATCAACAGGACCGTGACCTTGCCATTCAAAGTCCATAGGACTTTCCGTACCGCGAAATGCCATTTCCAAAAAGAAGTGACGAGCAGCAACCAGAGAAGGAATTATTTTGCTGTCGTCATGGGCGCAGGCAGTGAAGGGAAAATCAATGGGCAACAGTGAATACGGAAAAAAACAAGTAAACAATGCACGATGCACGATGCACCCCGGATTTAAGCGGATTTGATCTCCACAACTACACAATGTCTAGACTCTCTAAATACTCCCTACTCCTTACCAACAACAGCAGTACCAACGATAAACAATCATTCCTTATATCGCAACCTCATTAGGATACATCAACTCAAAGAGCTCTTTGCCAGGAACATCATAAACAAAGCCAACCCACAAGAAGGACCTCAGAACCTGCTGCATGTCACTCCAACTGCTCACGCCGCATTGCTCAATGTCCATTCTGAGCCTAGGTAGAAGCCATTTCATACTCTCTGATTCATGAGACATTGACAAAGCGCCAACCATAAAGAGCCAAAGACGCTCTCGGGGCGCTATGTCTGCTCCAACCAGAGTCATCGTAGCCAAGGCTTCTCGATACGCGGACGTAAATCGACGGTCTGGTAGTTCGACTCTGTTCCAGTGAAGAAACAGAGGTGAAGAGAAGGCCAGCAGCCCCAAACGAACCGCTTCCTCCAAGCTTCCGATTTGATAGTGTTGGTGAAGCAGAGGATACATGATGGACATCATGTTCTGCAGAAACGTCTCTTCAGTGACCTTGGGCCCGTCATCCTCTGCAGCTGCATTGACCTGAGCACAGAAATGGGACATGGTGACCCACGCCGCAGCCAATTGAGCGTTTAGCTTGCTCAAAAATTCAATCACCTCAGGTTGAAAGTGAGGATGACGGACGACGTTTTGACTAGGTGCTGCCGTAAATCTGGACGTATTTGCAAGACTACCCTTATCATCACACAGAACCGGCTTCAAGTTTGTGTCGACAGCCATGGCCAAGTCACAACTAGAGCAGGCCGTTGGTTTAGTGTCAAAGTTCGCTAATCACGCACCAAAGACTTACCGAATGATCTCGATTGACATTTTGGTTTTCTGGAGGAAGGTGTCTATACCTCTCATACTAACGAGTTTCAGAAGGCCGCTAATATGATTATGCGCTGACTCATAATCACCCGTCGTATATGCGTGGCCGGACAAAACCAAGACGGTCATGATGGTGGAATCCGAAAGCCTCAGATTATCGTCATCAAGTGAGAGTCGCTCTTGAAGGATTCTGATGGTCTTCGCAAAGTACAGACGATCTCTTCGTTCCGCTGCGATACCGCGGGTCCTGCCAAAGAACCCGTCAAAGTAGCACTGTATGGTGAAGCACATCGCATTCAGATAGGCCACGTCGCTCAGCATTGCGCTAAACCACTCTTGTACGTTGTCACCCTTCCGGGCCACAATGTGTGGATCCAGCAAGAACATTGCTTTGGAGGACATGGATGAAACTGAAGGCAAGTCTCGGTCAGTAATGGATCGTGGTTGTTTGTAATTGGCTGCTCACACAAGAGGACATCTGCAATCAGAGCGGGCTCCACGGTATCAGGAAATGGAATAATGGCAAGGTCTGAGCATAGCGATCTCGGGACCTTTGGAGGGTAAAGGGGGCCGTGGGAAATCTGAGAGTTTTTCTTTGGTATGTCTTGATGTGCAAGGTGTTGACCTTTTCTCCGCGGTTTGATTCGATTCTTTCCTCGCATTACATGACTTCTAATGACCTTTCGGGTGTCGGAGTCTTTGTTCTCAACATCAGTTGATAGGATGAACCGAAAATTCCCTAGAGACTCAATATGAGCAAATCGTTCACAGGGGACGATATCATGTTGTCAGGCTCACGCAATGTCTGCTGTGGGCCCATATTTCCAATATGAATACAAATCAGAAGAGGTCGTTTTGTACAACTCTTGGAACCTTCACCGCACCGTGGTCGCCGTGCTCAACGTATGGTCGGTCCTTGCAATCTAGCTGCGTAGCACCTCAGAAGTATCGTCCGGGAAGGCCGATGAGAGTAGTTTGTGGCATCATTGCCTCTCAGAGGTGCCGAGACATCCTTGATTGATTTCCCAACGCAGTTTTCAATTGAGATTTCGCCTTGTTCCAAAGTCAGAAAGTGATGCAGAGGCAAAAGTCCAGCAAGCGAGGGATGGCCATAGCGAGCGTCCAATCCAGTAAAGTCAATCGCCAAGACTTCAATTGTTTACCGTTCTCGGTGTAGCTTGAATGGTTTCTATCCACTTTGTCTCGATGCTGTCAGGACACTCCATCCTCCCCTGAGCGGAAAACAACTCGAGACAGAAGAATCTGTGAAATAGGTGAGCGATACCGCAGGTGAGATGGATAATACAAATACAGCTTCGACCTGCTGCATTTGCCTGCTGAACATGGACTTGTTCACCTATCAGACACCCGAAGCATCATGGCGTCGTCTAAGAACATGCAGCCCGTTACCTCTCCATTCTTCCCTCACATCTTCATTAAGAATCAATTTCGTACCAGGCCTGTATGGCCTTCAGCAGACACCGACCTCAGCGGCAAGGTCGCCATCGTGACCGGTGCCAATCAAGGTCTTGGTCTCGAGGCCTCGGCTCAGCTTCTCTCGCTCAGACTCTCGCATTTGATCATTGCCGTCCGATCTGTCACCAAAGGCGAGGGAGCCGCCGACGTTCTTCGTACGAAGTACCCCAAGGCGACTGTTCAAGTATTTCAGCTGGACATGACGTCTTATGATTCGATCCGAAGCTTCGTCACGCAGGTCGAGCAACTGGTACGAGTCGACATAGTCATTCTGAACGCTGGCGTGAGAAAGACGAAGCCCAAGCTCGTGGCTGGCACCGGCCACGAAGAAACCATCCAAGTCAACTACATCTCGACTGCGTTACTGTGTATCCTCCTCCTTCCGGTCCTCAAGCGCAGGTCCGCACCAGGAGGACCCGGTCGGATCTCGATCGTCGGCTCTGGCCTCGCCTTCCAAGCCAAGTTCCGCAGCCGAATGGACTCTCCACTCCTGGCTTCGTTGGACGATGCCAAAAACTTTGACGTCTTGGATCAGTACAACATTTCCAAAGTTCTCCCCATGATGTTCCTCTACAAAGTGGCTGACTATGTCTCTGCGGATGATGTGGTGGTCAATATTGTCGACCCGGGCTACGTCAGGGGCACAGGTTTGACCCGCGACCTGGGGTTTGCAGGATCGGCCTTTATGGCGTTCTGGGGCCACGTTGCTGCGAGGTCCCTGGGGGTTGGCGCTTCGACTTACGTTGATGCTACGGTGACGAAGGGCAAGGAGTCACATGGGTGTTATATCATGGGATGGAAAATATGGCCGTGAGTATATGCGACCCTTGCTGGAGCTCACTGACTCAAACGTTATTTCTAGGTTTGTGCAGCTAATGTATACCCCAGAGGGTAAACGGATCATCGAAAAGTTGTGGCAGGAGACGCTTGAAGAGCTAAGGTTCGCAAACGTCCAGGGTATCTTAGAAGACATGAAGAGGATGTAGGGAGGTTGTTGGTGAGTCGTCGTTTGAGTGAAGCTGGAGCACCGTAGATCGTTAGGTATTCAAGAACTCGCCGTGGATCGTTATCTGCACAAGTCAGGTAGTAGTGTAGTAATCCTGTTGGATGGTTTCATGGAGCGTGTACAGAATGAAGACTAAACCATTACCATGTCCCGTATTTTGATAAACATTTGTGATTTCTCATCCAGTTCTTCCCCACATTATTTACTGATGATTATCAGCATCGTGGTTTTTTTTTCGGTCACCGCTCATTCCTAGATCTATGCTCTAGCACATTTTAGAAGAGCCATACATCTCTGTGCTCACTGGAAGCCCATTGTTGCTGTACCCGGTGTTCAACAGTGAGTGATAACAACGGTGGACCATCTCGTATACGCGCGAAGATTAGGAAAGGAAGAGTTTAAAACCGAAAATGCCACGGGAACAATCAGACGAAGCCCAATGGTGGTTCCAAGCCGTCTACTCGGCCGTCCAACAGATCCCCTTTGGCAAATGCACGAGTTACGGTCATATTGCGATATTGTTGGGGTTCCCGAAACGCGCGCGTCAGGTTGGGGTGTGTCTGAAGCATCTGCCTACCTTTGACCCCGCCGAGCCGGACAAGTGGTTCTACCACGACAACAACGTGCCTTGGCAGAGGGTGGTCAATTCGAAAGGTGGGATCAGTCCGAGGGGGGACGGGGGCGAGGCGGCCATGAGGCAGGCGGAAAGGTTGAGGGCCGAAGGGGTCGTGGTTGGCGACGCGAGGGGAGTGGAGGAGATGAGTGTGGATTTGGGCCGGTTTGGATGGTTTCCGAAACGGTTGGAAGGGGAGGATGATAGCGAGGGTGAGAGTGACGACGAAAGGGAAGAGTGAGTGAACAAGTGAGTCAGGAACACTGTTGTGTCAGGCAAAGACTTGGAGTTCGACCCTTGGATAATGAGACGATACACGACTACCTATCAAATATTGCTGTTACTGAACGAACCGACCGAGATATCACCATGTCACGCCGGAAAGGTACATTTTGAGTATCGAATGAAGCTCAGGAACGGATGCTTCCATGGAGAGCTTCATGGAGCTAAGCACTACTTGACTCACAGGCAAATGCCTACACCTTCCGACTGGTGTGCCGGGGTTTGATGAGTCATTCTCAATAATGCAGGTCTGGGGCAATATGGTACTGGGTTACTCGTACGCGGTGTTTTTGTGGAGTTGAGTCGTCTCTAGTTCAGATAGAGTCATACGAAAAGATGGAGGAAGCAAATGCATAGAATTGAGTGGTTGAGGATACTATGGAAAGGCGATCTTGGGGATCTTGAGTCATCACATTTGTACCGAGTACAAGGAGTTCGATGATTCGAGATAATATTGGGGCACAAATACGGAGTATGAGGACGTCATAAAAAGATGATATCGATGAGGGAACGGATGGAGATGATGGAGATAACGAAGTGGCTGTACAGAGTAGTGCTCGCAATGATCAGGCGGACGAGTAGAGATCCTAGGAGGATGTAGGATGTCAGCGGCAACTCGGATTCCAAGAGCATCAACTCGAAACATCAGCCTCATTGCCTTTGAATGAATGAGGTCATTTAATTCTTTAGATAGAACAAGAGAAGCCTGCCTTGAATCCTGCCTGAATCACTGATTCCTGTTTTGCTCCAATCAACCCGTCGGGCTCCGTGCGTGACAATGACAATAATGAACCCAAGGAAGCTCGGATCTCAAGCCACCGACAAGGAGGTGGCAGATGACTCGCCATAGTCCCACGTTTCTCATCTCCTACATTTCCCTATCTCTTGTCTACGATACATAGCGTGGGTGACTCAAGGCGCCTGGACTCCTTTCACATCAACCTCGTCCAACCAATCGCCATCATCATCCAACGCAGCTGTACCTCCGTACTCGTAGTGGTTCATCATCTTTCCCCCCCTCCCTCCATCATCTCCACATGCGATACCGAGGGACGAGTATCTACAGTACGTACATTGACGAGTTGTAATACATCTAATAATTGTACCAAACCATCCGAACCCGTGCCTTGTCTAGAACTCGTATCATTCGGCCGACTCATCCCTACGCGCCGTGTGACAAGTTATTACTCACTGTACATACGTGTTATGGGTATCGCAGGAGAGTTGATTTACAGTCAAACTCCTCCTTCTCATAAACCCCGTCCTTGTCCTCCTCAATACGCGTTCTCTACCTTCCTCTCCTTCTTATCTCTTTCTCAATAATACCAACAACAGCTCTCTGTCTCCCCGGGTTGTTCTTGTACTTTCTTTGTTTTATCTACCACCAACACACTTCGAACACTTGTCCTCGTCCTCGTCCTCGTCCTCGTCCATACATACCACCGATCTCTTTGTTTCTTTCACCCTCTCGGATCTGTCTGTCTCGAGAACCTTCCTGAACACGTCATTTCTCGTCGTACTATAACCTTCTTGCGTGCTCTCTCCCCCAACCCTTCGCCACCACCACCACCACCACCTTAATATCCATACGAAACCCTCCGTCTCTTCCACTACCTTTCTCTCACACACACCATGTCAGACCTACGCAGCGAAGCCAAACCATACCAACGAGACAAGAACCACAACCGCAAGTGGGCAAGAGGTGGAAAGGGCCAGGTGACCCAGCCCTGCACTCAGCACGATGAACCCACGGCCAACTGCTACAAATGTATCGGCCGTCCCAAGGGTCAACACCTGACCGCCAGCGAGGCGAGACACAAACAGCACCACAAGAACCGAGTCACTTCCCAGACTGCCACCCTCGCCCGCAAGGTCTTTCGGAACGAAGTCGTCGACGCCCTCGACGGCCCCCTGGCCCACGTCTCCGACAACTCCGAGGAGGAAGATGTCTCGGACGCATCTGCGGCACCCATCCCCTCCGAGGCGGATTTCTTGTACAGCTACGACTCTCGCACCGGCCCTCGTGCCGGCTCGGACCTTCTCAGCAACGCCGTCTCCCAGGCCCTACGACGTTTTGAAAACAACGAGACCGACAAACTCATCAAGAAGGAATACGATGTCGTCGATGGCAAAGAAATGGCCGAAATCTCAACCGACGAGGACGAATCCCTTGACCTTGAATTTGAGATGATTGACCACACTCACTTGAATTGAGTGTGTTGCGATGGGGCCTCAAGGCGCTTGGTTCACCAACTTTGTGTGTGTGGTTTTCGATTCTAATAATGCCACTACTTTCCTTTTCCTTTCTTTTTCTTCTCTGTTAGCATCAAAGATACCCCCGAGGAAACATCATTAGGGAAGCCGGAATTTTGCTCCTCATCATAACGCATTACGAGGAAATTGGGAAATCGGCGCTTCTTGAGGATATGAGAACTTCTTCCTTTTGGGACTATACAGTCAGTACACAGTACTGGTATGGGACACAATGTTCCCTTGGGTTGGCTTGTTGGCGTTTATTCTGGTAAACGAGGAATTCCTACGAATTCTTAGGAGCAGTATGCGTGCCTGGGTTATGATTATGCAGTACTCCGTACAGAGATTATTATTATTATTATCATTTGAGAATGACTAATGTTCTTTTGAAGCTCGATGATTGAGCTGTCAGTTGATCAATAAATCTGATGCACTTTTCGTCTCGTCTGGTCTCATCTCATCTCATACGAGTACCTGATGGGTTATCGCAGGCAGGACTGGCATGTGACGCGTTCAGCGACTTGACGCGGGGTGGCGTACAACAACAATGACGCACGCCAAGTGAACCTTTTGCCCGTTTCTTCATCTCCTTTTTCGTATCCGTACTCGTACTCGTGTCCGTTTTCTCGTATCCCATTTTCCCTCAGGTACGGTAGGGGATTTCAGTTACTCCATCTTGGGTACTCTACTCTACCTATTCCTCCACAATACTCTATAGTTCCTGGTTTCAACGTGCCGATGGTGTTGGACCGTTGGGTACATGGTTACTTCAGGTTTATACAGAAAAAAATCTCATCATCATAATTCATAATTCGTCAGTCATAAGTCGTCCACCCTTTCCCCCTATCCATCACCAACATGTTTGCTTCCTTCCATATCCTTGTCCACGACCGAGAGTCGAATTCATCTCTAGAATGGCAAGATTCGATGCCAAAAAGAAGAAGAAGGAGAAGAAGAAGAAGAAGAAGAAGAAGAAGAAGAAGAAGAAGAAGAAGAAGAAGAAGAAGAAGAAGAAGAAGAAGAAGAAGAAGGAGATGATGAGGAAGATGACTTGGTGGTTGGCGCCGTAGGATCAGTCAACCTTCGTTTGGTACCATTCGCAAAAGCCAGGTGCGAACCTTGACTGCTGGACCTGGTGGTTCGGCTGGTGCTGTTGGTACTCATCTTGCGCTCGTCGTCAACGTCGTTTTCGGAAGACTCCTTGACGGCGCGACCACGGGATCCTAGGCGAGACACAAAGTCCTCGGGTTCTTCCCATATGGGTTCGCGTTCGTCATTGTACTCGCACGCCCCGCAGGGTTTGCGTGCTGGGTGTACGGTGACTTTGTTTGTCGTTGTCGTAGTCCTTGAGGAGGAAGGCGTTGATAGTGGTCTTGGGCTCATCGGGCACGCACATGACCTCGAGGGTTCTTTGACCAGGTCGGCACTGCTGTTGTCGGAACGGTCGGGGGAGAAGGAAAATTTTGACAACGACAAGGAAGGTTGGTTCTTCTCCTTGGCTGGGACATTTGCTGTTGTTGTTGTCGCTGCTGTTGGCCCAGTGCTCTTGGCCATTTTCAAAGGTTCAAAAGAGTGTTTGAGAGATTGTTATTGTGTAAGTGTGTTGTTTGGTCGTTGACAAGTGTCACAGAGAGAGATATCGCGGTGGTTTGTAATCGTTCGGTCCAAGGAGTTCGAAGATCTCAAGTCGCTTTCAAAAGGCGCTGTGAAAAGAGTATTGTGGACGATTCCACCTACAGAGACTGGGAAGAATGAAGAAGACGGGGGACTTTATAACAGAAGCACCCAGAGAAGGTCCTCACAACCCTTTGGATGAAACTTTGTAAAATGGAGGACCCGGTATAGCAAAGTTTTTGAGGGCACACAGTACCAACGAACGTACTTGTTTTCAAGAGCCTCATAGCATGGTTCGATGGTGTACCGATGAGTAGTAACTCTGAAATGACTGGGCGCGCAGGTCTCTCGGGCGGAACTCTCACGAGGCTGGATGTCTATGTGTGGACACAAGTAAATGGTTGAAAATGGTTGTTTCTTTCGAAGTCGAATTGGCCCTCACGCCAAAAAAAAGCCACACAAAGTCCCGCCTTCGACTCTGGTTGGAGAAAAACAAAATAAAATGAAGATGACCTACCTCGTTTGACGGCAATAGTCGACGAAGAAGACATGATGTACCTTGGAAAGAGATCCCATCTGCAAGAGTAGACCAGCTATACTTTCTCAAAAATTGGAAGCCCAGATAAAAGTGTAGTGATATGGGGCGGAGGCGGCTCCTTTGTCCGTCTGAGATGATCAAAGGTCCCTCTGCAAAAAGCTTGTCGAAACGCTGGGTGGGCCATGGTGTTGAGCAACTCTGCGTCGTCCAGAAAATTTGAGAGCTCCATCGAGAGTCATACAATGCAGGCAGTACCATATGTAGTGTGCTGTTCTGTGGATATTGCTGTCAGCCTGAAAACACTGATCGGTGATATGGACGTGTGTGTGGATTCGAACCAGAAATCCTTGGGTCTTTTCTGGCACTGAGTTTCGTCTCAAGGATGAGGTTCTGATTGGCTCCCTCATTCATAACTTGATTCCTCGAGAGCTCTCATGTTCTTGAGCGTCGACTGCTGCCTTACTTGTTGCGTCAAGTCGTATGGGAGGGAGAGCCTTCTATCAAGGCGAGCAAGAGTGGGAGTAGGAAGCATAGCAAGGCTGCACTAGTCCCCGCATAGTTAGCGCAGCCTTCCTGGTCTTTTTCTCCAGATCAAATGTCCCTGCGGAGTTTGAACAACAGAAAAGATTGTGTAGGGACACAATATTGGCGTGCTCTCTTTATATCTCGCTCGACAAATTCGACAGTCCACCTCGTACCATATCGTCCTCAATCCACCGTCGAGGATTCGTCACTTGGGCCTCGCAATCACTGTACAGCTCTCCTTTCTAACTCCCGAAGATGAGGGCTCGCTCTATGCACTGATGATTGACATCCAACTATCCGCCCTACGCTGTCACGAAACTACGTCTTCCACTGAGCCCAGAGCTCCTCCCTTCTCGTCGAGATGCCTTCCTCCAACCTTGCAGCCTACCTCGCAAAGAATTATCTAACAGCCTCCAACTCGTCCGACCAGCATGGGTCGGGCGATTTTCAAGACTCGACCCGTCCGAAGAAGAAACGACGCAGGAACAAAGACCCTTCCGCCGAATCTGGGCTCGTTATAGCGGACGATGACGAGTCTCTCACGCTCAAGGGCTCTTCCTTACGGCCTCGGGACGACGAGGACGGCGACATGCCCATCTACGACACGAACGTCAAGTCCGCCGAATTCAGAAAGAAGAAAGGCGGCGGCGGATGGAAAGTGATAGCACAACCCGACACGACAAACACCACATCGGCACCGGCAGAGGAGGATGAGGAAGCAGACCGTATCCTCGCCGCGGCGGCCGAAGAAGCCGATGCACGAAGACGGGAGATCGAAGACGAAGACGCCCCCGCCGTCGTCGACGACGGCAGAACACCACGCATGTCCTCGGGCGCCAAGGCAGGTCTCCAGACGGCAGCCGATACCGCACGACTCGTCGAGCGCGAAGAACGAGAACGCGAACGCGAGCTCGCTCGCGAACAACAACGCAAAAAGAATTCGTCGTCGTCCCGCAAAGAGGGCGGCGGCCACGACGATGAAGAAACCGAGGCCGCAGAGGAAACCATCTACCGAGACGCCACCGGTCGTCGGATAGACATCAGCATGAAACGCGCCGAGGCCCGTGCCGCCGAGGAAGAGAAACGCCGCGCGGAGCGTCAAGCGCGAGAGGACGCCATGGGCGACGTGCAGCGTCGCGAAAAGGAGGCCCGGAAGCAGGACCTCGAGGAGGCCAAGTTCCTCACGCTGGCCCGCGGCGCCGAGGACGAAGACATGAACGAGGACCTCAAGCGTGCAGTGCGCTGGGACGACCCGATGGCGGCGTACATGGCACAGAAACAGGCCGAAGAACACGACGCTGTGGTTGCCTCCGACCCCAAGGCAGCGGCTGCGGCGGTGGCAGGCAAAACAGGCCAAACGAGGAAAAAAGTCTACGTGGGCGCCGCCCCGCCGAATCGATATGGCATATCACCCGGGTGGCGATGGGACGGCGTCGATCGCAGCAACGGCTTCGAAAAGGAATGGTTTCAAGCGCGCAGTCGCAAGGGCCGGAATGCAGACCTAGAGTATCAGTGGCAGATGGACGAATAAAAGTATCACTGACGACAGATCTGTTCGTGCACACATGGATAGAAGAAATTACAAAGTCTAGCAAGACGTATACGCTATGACAAAACTTCAAGTTTCTGAATAGTGAAAAGTATCTTTTGTTGACAATAATATATGTAAATCTAGCCGTGCCCTCCTTTCTTCTTCATTTCCCACGTACCCATATGTGTGAGGTTGATAGAGCAACACTAAGTAAACAAGCAAAGTCGCCTCGGTTACTACCTAGACGACACCGAGTATCCTTCCATCGCCATCCCATTGAAACAAAGACGGCATCCATGCAACTATTATAAAAACAGAAAGAAAAGCTGCCTTTTCAAAAAACACTCTTTATGTCGGATCTTTTTTCGTCCATAATGAAAGTTTATACAATCCACGTGCCGGGATCTTAAAATGCTGAAACAGCAACGGCGATAGCTTGACTTTCACTGTGACTGATGCTGACATTGACGTTCTTGACGCCAGCCTCCTTGGCAGCTTGCAATGCGGCTCCACGCAAGGACACCTTGGGTGCGCCAGTTTCATCACTCAAGATCTCAATGTCTTGAAGAGGAGCACCCGCTCCTTTGCTGCAGACACCCAGTGATTTGAAGACGGCTTCTTTGGCGCTCCAGCGACCAGCATAAGATGCCTGAGGAGAAGGAGCCTTGTTGCAATAGGCCTGCTCGGCATCGGTGAAGTTCCTCTTCACAAAGGTGTCATTTTCGATGTTGATAGCTCGAATGTCCTCAACATCAACACCGACTTTGGATCCCTCCTTAGCACTTGCTTGCGTGAGGGACTCGAGCATAGCCTTTGTCTCTTGAGCGTTGGTGCTCAACGCCTTCTGAGGCAGAGTCGAATTGTAGGTCAGCTCGCCAGACTTCTTGTCAGCAATGACTCGCTGATCAGGGTTTAAGAAAACTGTCTGCATCAACTCATCAGGGTATGGTGCATGGGTCTTGGCCACGAAGAGGGTGTTGTTGATCATGCCATTGTGGAAGAATCGGTAGGCTTTCTTTTGACGAGCCTCAACCTTGAGTTTGTACCTCTGGAATTCTGATTGATCCAGTGCGGCGTACAGGTACTTGGGGTGAATACCGATAGCTTGGGCACCCTTTTGACCAAAACCAAACGAGGTCACAGAGAATGCCTTGACACCATCAGTTTGCATTGACCGGCTGGGGTAGACAATGTAGTCGAATTTCTCCATAACTTGGTCCACGTTGTCTGCATTCCGGTTACCTGGCACAATACCACTGTTCAAAACTTGCAAGCAACCGTTGAACATCCAAGCACCAGCAGCACCTTTGGGGTGACCAGTGAGATATTTCTGGAAAATACCAAGCAGAGCATTTCCCTTCTTACGACCCAAATGTTCCATCTGTTTACAGATGACTTCGGATTCGTTCTTGTCATTTGCCACAGTGGAAGTACCGTGGAAGGAGGCAACGTCCAGGTCGTCGATGGTCAGACCCCAGGTAGCAAGAGCACCTCGGAGGGGAGCGATAGCAGGATCCTGCTTCCAGAAATTGTTACCCAAGCTGTTTTGGGCCTCCTTCTCTTGTCGGACAGCCTCCCGCTCGATGTGGGCGGCACGTTCTTCTAGGTATGTCTTCTCGTCGAAGCCAAAGCCGGCTTGAGATTTCATAGCTGCAACCTCCTCGTGAAGATACAGAAGTTCAGATTCTTGCCAGTTCTTGATGGCGCGTCGTCGGTGCTCAAGTTGCCTTCTGCGGTAGTTGATATCGAGCAATGGAGACGGGAATTTGCCAGCATTCTCGCGGGCGTTCGTCAACACACCTTGTCCAGGAGCAGGAACGGATCGACCAATCTTGTCAGTGGCTGTAGAGACCAGGCCGAGAATGCCGTAGATTGGAGTTCCCATGTCCAAAGCTAGGCGAGCGGTCATGATGATTTGCATACCGCAACCTTGAGACTCCATGAAACCATTTCTGGTGGTGGTAGTAGGCCGAGACATCTCCTTGGGTGTACGGCCGTGGGCGAATTCGTCTTCGGCATTACTGGTAGCCTTCATATTGGCGAATTCGTATGAGCCTTCCTCCTGGAAATCATCGAAGCCACCAACGAAGCAGACACGGGCCTTGCCTTCAACAATAGTCTCGTAGCCAATGTCGATAGACTCGACAGCAGTGGCACAGGCACCGACAGGAGTCTTGATCGGACCAGTTGACGATAAGAGCAGCATGTTAACCCAAGCGGCCATGGTATTGATGAAGGATTCTTGCAGAATATCCTTCTGAACGGGCTTGTCCATGAATCTGTCCTTGTACATGCCACGAAGTGCAGTAGTACCACCGATACCAGAACCGACACAGTTTCCGACCTCAGAAAGATGGACATACTTGTAGAACTCATAAGGATCGGTAATACCGGACGCAAGGAGTGCTTCGACGGTACACACGAGCACGAAAAGCGTGACTGGGTCGACTTGGGAGATGATATCATCTGGAACACCATAATGCTTTGCATTCCAGCCGCTCGGGATCTGGCCAGCAACCAGTCGATCGAATCGGAGAGCCTTAGGGATCAGAAGGGTAGCGCCCTTCCTCAGGCGAACAGTGTATTCGCCAGATTCGAGTTCGAAAATTTCAACCTTCTCACCGTGTTGTCGCTTGAACTCCTCAGCGGTCTCCTTGGAAGCCTCAAACGGATCGAGATCTTCCTCGATCTGGATTTCCTGCAGCAGTTGCTTCTTCTTCGGATCGTAGCCATTGAACAACTCGGGCTCGATGAGTCGGATACCCGAGTGCTCCAGGATTTGCTTCTCGTATTTGGCCTTGACGTCCTTGTCATCAACAGGCTCGCTTGTCTTTGAATCAACCCATCCTGAGTAGGACTTGCCCTTGAGAGGACCGTTGTGGTTCTTGATGAGACCGGTCATCCAGGCCATCTCTACGCAACCTTCCAGAGAGAACTCGCCGAACGCTTCCATCTCCCAACGAGTGCGCGAGTTACCCCAGGGGCCAACCTCGGAAAAGCCGGTAACGACGACAACCTTATCAAGGTCAACCATACCCTTAAGTTTGTCATTGTGGGGGGCAATGTCTTGTTTCCAATCGGGCAACGTAGGAAAGTCAAATTTGATATTGGCACGAGGTTCGATGGTGACCTTCTTGTAGAGAGCTTCGCTGTCTTCGCCGTTGACAACCTGATTCTCGATAGCAGTCTCTTTAGTGACAGCCTGTCGGATTGCGCTTGTCTCCATGATCTCCGCTCGTAGACGAGTCATGAGGTCTTTGAGGTCGGGCAAGAATTGAAGACCTCCATTGAGATCTGCCCAGACAGGTTCAGTCTGGCAGAGATCAACAATGGCAGGGGACATAAGACCTAACAGGTTGAAGGCCATTTCCTGCTGCGAGAAGGTTCGGACACCAAGCTTCTCAACACCATCTGCAACAATGTTGTTGCCGCTCATGAGGCCAGTTCCACGAGTCCAGCCAATGACGGCACCGCAGATGGTGAGATAGTCAGCCCAGCTTTCTGAGTACCATCGGTTGAACAAAGTCTCCAAGGCCAGTTTAGACTCAGAGTAGAGGCCGTCATTGCCAAATGTACCGTGGTTGGGCGAGAGAGGAAGGATGACTTGAGCAGGTCGAGTGTTAAATCCGCTTTCAAACTTCTTGGCTTTGACAGAGCCTAGGAGACGGACTAGGTTGGTCAACATAATACGGTGCGCCAACTCAGACTTGGAGTCGATGCTGTCAATCTCACGGCCATTCTCTGGGATAGCGGCGAAGGGCACGATGTAGTCCAAGTCCCAACCGAGACCCTTCTTGCTGTCATAGATGTAATCAACCAGAGCCTCAACGTCCTGCTTACTGCCTTGGTTGAATGGAACAACCACAAGCTGAGCACCACGAGCGCCGAAGCGAGCGTACATCGACTGATAGTACTCGGTGACCTCACGTGAGTAGCGGCTCGTGGTAACAACGACTTTGGCACCACCGCTGATAAGACCTTGTAGCACCTCGGCGCCGATAGATCCAGCGCCAGCGCCAGTCATGAGCGCCATTTTGCCTTGGAAGGTAATACCGGCCCGAGCGGCATTCTCAAGGCCATCAAGGTAGATGCCCGTGAGCTTCTTACTATAATCCCATCCGTGCTCTTGCTTTTTCTTGAGATGAAGGAATGGAATGGTTTCGGTCTTTCCTTGCTTGAGCGTACCGTTCATCGTTGCACGGGTTAGCGATCCATTTTTGCCAGGTCTCTTCACATCCCCATTCTCCTGAGGCATGATCTGAGACTCATTCATGGCGAGAGCACGCACAACATCCTTGTACAAGCTGTTGAATTGCAGCTGGGAAGTTTTGGACAGTTTGTGCTGCTTCCGGATCAACTTGTATACATTGCGAAGGTCATTCTGAACCTTGGTGCGGTTACTGTATTCTGAGATCTTGCCGCCGTCGGCCATCTCGCGGACGTACTGCTCAAGTTTGCGGGCACTTTGTCGGGGAACCTCTTTGTAGTCAAGGTTACCACGAGCGTCAATTGTTGTCTGAGGACCAGTAGGAATTGCAACGTCTTTGTACACAGGTGCCTCGTTGAGGACATCCTTACAGTTCTCAATGAGCTGCTGACCCAGCTCTTTGGCAAGTTGATAGGTCTCGCCTCGATCTGTTGGGCAGTTGTCGATGTGATACTGCATGTACTCGATGAGGGTTGGATTTGATCTGTTCATGATGCGGATGCACTGGCTGACGATTTCGCGGTCAACAGCTTGTAGACGACCAAAGATGATATCGTAGTACATGCTCAGGGCATCTTGGCGAGCCCAATTCCAGGATGAGTCGTAGATACGAGCTTTCAATGCGCTGAAGGATGGCTCAATTCCAGAGGCATAGAACTCTCCGTGCTCGGTGTTCCACAAATCGAGTTGAGCTTGAAGGGCCTTGTTGTTCTCCTGCGAACCAAGGAAAGCCTTGTCGCCTGATCGAAGATCCATCTTCAGATATCGGGCGAACAATTCAAGTTGTTGCTTGAAAAGCGCACGTTGGTCTTTGGTTAGGGCATCGATCGCCGCAGGGTCCATCATCATCCCAGCACCAGCGCCAGCTGCAGCTGCACCACCTGCGGATGCAGAAGAGAGACTAATGCCCGCTGTCGAAGCATACTTCTGCGCGACATCGCCGAGATAGGTCTTCGCATCGTTCTCAGAGCCCAGACGAGCTGCTGGCTCCATTGTCAATGCGAGCAACAGTACACCGTCTTGTCGACCAGGGCCTAGGCCAAAAGTGGTCTCAAGGTGCTTTCTCACGGCCGTGATGTTGAAGCCACCCGGCATCTTGGACGACACCAGGCGAGCAATCAGAGATGATGACTGCTTGCCCAGCTGGCCGTTGAATGTCGATTGCATAGCAGCACCCAGTTCGTCCAAAGGGGTATCCTCGGGCTTCTCTGGAGTTGAGCCAAACTCTTTGCCCAAATCACCGAGGATTTCATTCTGTAGTGTGGACTTTCCACCGACCAAATCTTTGATGGCTTTGCTCAGAGGGATATCTGCGAGTGACTTCTTCAGCTTCTGGGCAACAAGGGCTCTGAGGATGTCGACAGCAGCGACTGGGGCATCAGCGACGGCCGCAGCAGGGCCGGCAGAGGAGGCGGGAGGTGCTGCTGCTGCTGGTGCGGCCGCGGGTGCGGGAGCTGCTGGAGCTGAGGAAGAAGCGGCGGGCGCAGCAGCAGCCGGAGCAGGTTCCTCTTCAATGGGGTCAACATCGTAGTAAATCTCTTTCTGATCTTTGTTGTATGCCAAAACCTGCCGTGAGACAGAGGTAGCTGCGTCGTATGCTTCGTATTTGGATGCTAACGTTCTCTTTGCCATACCACCCAGTGTGTCTGCGGGGCCGATCTCGACGATCCTCTCTGTTCTATTCGTCTCAAGGATAACATCTTGAGTCTCAATCCACCTCACTGGAGAGGCAAATTGATATGCGAGGAGCTCAACGAGCAGGGTGTGGGCGAGCTCTTGCTCGACGTCAGGACGCATGATGGCGGGATGCGGTTATGACGATTTTGAGGAAAATAGCTTCGTGGTAGTTGTGTTTTTGAGGTCGAGAGAAGATTATGTACTCGACCAGAAGTGCCCAAGCTGAATGAAATGAATCAGAGCAAAGGCTGGGTATCAAAGCACAGGTATTAAGGAAGGGGCAATTGTGCTTGCACACAGTCAGTAGTGGTGGTCAATGGAGGAGTGTTGAATGAGGTATTGATCGAGAGTAGTATGGAACGAGGATGGAGGTGGAGGACAATAGAGGGATGAAGTGTCCCGATACCTTCGTGTGTGATCGGAGAAGAAGAGTAATCAATGTACACACGGACAAGAGGGTTGAGATAGGTGTTGCTACGAGAAAAGTTGGTTGGGATCGAAGGTGCAACAATGTCCGTCCGAATTTTCCGCTACGATGTCAAGCTGCAGCAGGATGAGGCTTGACGAGATGGCCAGCAGCACCACCAACAGCCTTCCCCGGCCGGCTTGAAGCGTTGGTTGAGAATTTCAGTGGACCCTGAGCAGCCTGAAAGACTCCCAAAAGACAGCCATCATCAGTCCACCCATGTCACCCATGGCCACCTAGAGCATGCCCTGGACCCCCCGCCAATTCTCTTTAGGCATGGCGCCCTCGACAGTTGGAGAAGCCAGTCTGGTCGGGGCCTTACCTCGTATCCGTATAGCCTCCACAGCCAGGTACCTTCAGGACACCTGGAGAACACATCTCTACAATTGTGTTGGGAAGTGAGAATACTAATCATGTACATTTACGAAATACACAGAGGATCATCTTCATCGTTGCCCAGGCATTGAGACAGCAAGCACAATGGGCTCAATGGACAGCCTGGTCTCTTTCAGTATGATACTCGTTCAATGCCACTTTTTTGGTGGTTGGGAAGAGTATCGATGACGCCGCTTCTTTTTTGCCCGATGTCCCTGCAGAAGCTCGCTCGGTGGCACTTTGCCCACCAATTTGTTGTCTTCCCATTGGCTATATTCCCTGTCCGAGAGCTCGGCAATCCGACGGGGAAAACTTCTTTGGCTTCTCAACGCTCCATGTTCGTAGAAGCCACCAACAAGTCCACTGTTTGTCCACCATTTTTTGCGACGCTGCTAGAATCCATTGAGGTTGTCAAGAAATCAGCGAAACACCTCCGTTGCTCCAGAGGCAATAACTAATCCTTTCCGACTCTTCATCTCTGACCACTTTGCAATCTCACTATCTTCCCATATCCCACCATCAACGTCAGTTTCTTGCCGCGAAACGACTGTCCTTAATACCTGCCTATTTATCTACCTGCAGCAGAGCTCTCATACCTTAGAGCTCTTCTCAAAATCTCGTCGTTTTTATACATCAAGTGGCATTAGGTTGCTCACCTTGAACACCATTACCTACAAGTTTGTGTCCAACACACCCACACTCGACAGCCTTCGCAACCATGTATTCCGGAGGTGCGACCGGCACTCACACTCCTCGATCCTCCCAGAACCTCCGTCCTCTCATTCTCACCCATGGCTCCCTCGAATACTCCTTCTTAATACCGACCGCTCTCCATTTCCAAGCTTCCCAGCTCCAAGAGACGTTCAAAGCCTCTCTGCCCGAACCCACAGACGAACTAGCTCAAGATGACGAGCCCTCCTCGAGTGCCGAGCTTGTCGCCCGTTTCATTGGTTTCATTGCCGCTGAAGTTGATGATGACGAGGAAGCAACCGGCTTTTCTGAAGTGCTCAAAGTGGTTCTCAACGAGTTCGAAAGATCTTTCATGCACGCCAATGACGTGCACGCTCTCGCAGCCACTCTGCCGGGGATCACAGCGAAGAAATTAGTGCTTGTCCAGTGCTACTACGCAGGCCGTGCAGCAGTCGCAAGGCCAATCAAGCCACATGACTCTGCTCTGCTCAGAGCTGCTGATGACGAGGAAGCGAGCATTTTCACCGTTTTCGGTGGTCAAGGGAACATCGAAGAGTACTTCGATGAGCTAAGAGAAGTCTACAACACATATCCTTCATTCACGAAAGATTTGATCGAATCTGCCGCCGACCTGCTACAGGCCCTTGCTAGGAATCCCAAGGCAGACAAATTCTACTCCAAAGGGCTGGATATCATGCGTTGGTTGGCCGACCCAGAAGCCCAGCCAGACACAGACTATCTGGTCTCAGCGCCTGTTAGCCTGCCTCTGATCGGCCTCGTCCAGCTTGCCCATTACCAGGTTACTTGCAAGGTCCTGGGGAAAACACCGGGAGAGGTCAATGAACGACTGAACGGCACGACTGGTCACTCTCAAGGTGTGGTGACCGCAGCCGCCATCGCTACCGCGACGTCGTGGGAGAGCTTCGCAAAGGCCGCCAAAGATGCCATCACGATGCTGTTCTGGATCGGCATGAGGAGCCAACAAGCCTATCCTCGCACTAGTATTGCTCCTTCGATTCTCCAAGACTCACTGGAGGCTGGAGAAGGCATTCCTACCCCCATGTTGTCAGTGCGAGATCTCTCGCGGAAGCAAGTCCAGGAGCACATTGATGCTACAAACGAGCATCTGCCTCAAGATCGCCATATTGCCATTTCGCTGATCAACAGCGCGAGGAATTTCGTGGTCACCGGTGCACCCATTTCCCTGCACGGTCTCAACCTGCGCCTGCGAAAAGTGAAGGCTCCAACTGGTCTTGATCAGAATCGCATCCCCTACACCGAACGTAAAGTGCGCTTCGTGAATCGATTTCTGCCTATCACTGCGCCCTTCCACAGCCCACTGCTCAGTGAGGCATTCAAGAATATTCAAGAAGACCTCAGCGATATTCGAATTCCTGCTGGCCGTCTCGTCATTCCCGTCTTCGACACCAACACTGGCGAAGACCTCCGCTTACACCAAGACAAGGATATCGTGCCGTCTCTTGTCCGCATGATCACCCAGGACCCCGTACACTGGGAGCAGGCTACTGTCTTTGAGGGAGCAACTCATATCGTTGACTTTGGTCCTGGAGGCATCTCTGGCCTAGGCGTATTGACAAACCGCAACAAGGAAGGTACCGGAGTTCGCGTCATTCTGGCGGGTGCGATGGATGGCACCAATGCTGAAGTTGGGTACAAGCCAGAGTTATTCGACCGTGATGAAGAAAATGCAGTCAAGTATGCCACAAACTGGATCAGAGAACATGGACCCCGGTTGGTCAAGACCTCTGTCGGCCAAACCTACGTCGACACCAAGATGTCCCGCTTGCTGGGTGTGCCACCTCTGATGGTTGCTGGTATGACACCTTGCACCGTGCCTTGGGATTTTGTTGCCGCCACCATGAATGCCGGCTATCACATTGAGCTTGCAGGTGGCGGTTACTATAATGCAAAGAGTATGACCGAGGCATTGACCAAAATTGAAAAGAATATCCCTCCTGGGCGCGGTATCACAGTCAACTTGATCTATGTCAACCCTCGTGCCATGGGGTGGCAGATCCCTCTCCTGGCCCAACTCCGTGCCGATGGTGTTCCAATCGAGGGCCTTACCATTGGTGCCGGCGTCCCGTCGATTGAAGTTGCTCAAGAGTATATCGACACACTGGGCATCAAGCATATTGCTTTCAAGCCCGGTTCCATGGACGCCATCCAAGCTGTCATCAACATTGCGAAAGCCAACCCGACGTTCCCTGTTTTGATGCAATGGACTGGTGGTCGTGGTGGTGGTCACCACTCCTTCGAAGATTTCCATCAACCTATCCTCCAGATGTATGGTCGCATCCGAAAATGCCAGAACATCATTTTGGTGGCTGGTAGCGGTTTCGGCGGGTCTGAAGATACTTATCCCTACTTGACTGGTTCGTGGGCACGTAAATTCGGATACCCTCCCATGCCATTCGATGGTGTTTTGTTTGGTAGTCGTTTAATGACCGCAAAAGAAGCACACACGTCCCTCAACGCTAAAAAGGCCATTGCAGAAGCCGAGGGTGTTGATGATAGTCAGTGGGAGAAGACATACAAAGGCCCAGCTGGAGGTGTCATTACTGTTCGATCTGAGATGGGTGAGCCGATCCACAAGTTGGCTACACGCGGTGTCAAGTTCTGGGCTGAGATGGACCAAAAGATCTTCAGTCTGGACAAGAAAAAGCGAGTCGCCGAGCTTAAGAAGCAACGCGAGTACATTATCAAAAAGTTGAACGATGACTTCCAGAAAGTTTGGTTTGGCAAGAACTCTGCTGGCCAGACTGTTGACTTGGAGGACATGACTTACGCCGAAGTTGTTCGACGCATGGTGGAGCTCATGTATGTGAAGCATCAATCTCGTTGGATTGAGGTTACTCTCCGCAATCTGACTGTTGACTTCATTCGACGAGTCGAAGAGCGCTTCACCGTCGGTCCTGGCAAACCGTCCCTCATTCAAAGCTACGCTGATTTCGAAAACCCATACCCAGTTGTCGAGAAGGTTTTGGCTGCGTACCCTGACGCAGAGACTCAATTGATCAACGCACAAGACGTGCAGCATTTCTTGCTCCTCTGCCAACGACGGGGTCAGAAGCCTGTTCCTTTTGTCCCTTCGCTCGACGAAAACTTCGAGTTTTGGTTCAAGAAGGATTCATTGTGGCAGTCCGAAGATCTTGATGCCGTCGTTGATCAGGATGTTGGCAGAACCTGTATTCTTCAAGGTCCTATGGCTGCCAAATACTCGACCAAAGTTGATGAACCTGTCAAAGACATTCTGGACGGCATCCACCATGACCATATCAAGGGCCTCATCCAGGAAGTCTACCATGGCCGAGAGTCCGAAGTTCCTGTCGTGGAATATTTCGGTGGAAAGATCATCAGCTCTCCGGATAGTGTGGTCGAGCTCGACGGAGTCACTGTGATCCCAGATGGGTCACGAGTTACCTACAGATTATCCTCAGCTCCCGCCGCACCTCTCCCAAGTGCCGAAGACTGGCTGCAACTGTTGGCTGGAAAGACTTATTCGTGGCGCCATGCCATCTTCACAACTGATATCTTCGTCCAGGGCGCTCGGTACCAGAACAACCCTCTGAAGCGCGTTCTGGCACCCGTTCGCGGCATGTCAGTCGAAATTGCCCACCCCAAGGATCCTGCTAGGACCACGATCATTGTTAAGGAGCCAAGTCAGTCAGGCAAGGTTGTGAAGACACTTGACATCAGCTTAGTGGGCAAGAATGAAATTCTAATGAACATGTGGGAGGAAAGAACCGCTGAGGGTGAGGCAGTAGCCTTGCCGTTCCGTTTCATCTACCACCCAGAGACCGGTTATGCTCCAATTCACGAAGTCATGGAAGGCCGCAATGACCGCATCAAAGAATTCTACTACCGAATCTGGTTTGCAGAGAAAGACGTCCCATTCAACACTCCCACGACCAGTACTTTCGATGGTGGTAAGGCCACAGTTATTACACAAGATATTGCAGACTTTGTGCACGCTGTCGGCAATACGGGTGAAGCCTTTGTTGACCGTCCAGGTAAGGAGGTTTTTGCCCCTATGGACTTTGCTATCGTCGTTGGATGGAAAGCCATCACGAAGCCCATATTCCCTCGTTCAATTGATGGCGATCTTCTGAAGCTCGTCCACCTATCGAATGGTTTCCGCATGGTTCCTGGTGCTGAGCCCCTGAAGGTCGGAGATGAGCTCCACACCTCTGCTCGGATCAATGCTGTCATCAACCAAGATGCTGGCAAGATGGTGGAAGTTTGCGGAACCATCACTCGCAAAGGTCAGCCAGTCATGGAAGTGACAAGCCAGTTTTTGTATAGAGGCACTTACGACGACTTCGAGAACACCTTCCAACGGAAGGAAGAAACGCCCATGCAAGTCACGCTGGCTACCTCCAAAGATATCGCAGTTTTGCGCTCCAAAGAATGGTTCCACTTGGATGAACCTGATATTGACCTGCTCGGCCAGACCTTGACGTTCCGTCTTTCCAGTTTGGTCCGATTCAAGAACAAGACTGTTTTCCAGAATGTTGAGACTGTTGGTCAGGTCCTGCTGGAACTCCCTACCAAAGAACTTATCCAGGTTGCTTCCGTCGAGTACGAAGCTGGCGCTTCTCACGGCAATCCTGTGGTTGATTATTTGCAGCGACATGGCTCATCGATTGAGCAACCAGTCAACTTCGAGAATGCTATTCCTTTGAGCGGCAAGACTCCTTTGTCGCTCAAGGCGCCAGCGTCCAACGAGACATACGCCCGCGTCTCTGGCGACTATAACCCTATCCACGTCTCCCGCATCTTTGCCAGCTATGCCAACCTACCTGGTACCATCACTCACGGCATGTACTCCAGCGCTGCCGTCCGTAGTCTCGTCGAGACATGGGCTGCCGAAAACAATATCGGCCGTGTCAGAAGCTACCACGTATCTTTGGTTGGCATGGTCTTGCCAAACGACGACTTGGAAGTCAAGCTCGAACACGTTGGTATGGTTGCTGGTCGCAAGATCATCAAAATCGAGACCAGCAACAAGGAGACAGGTGACAAGGTACTTCTCGCTGAAGCTGAGGTTGAACAGCCCGTATCTTCGTACGTCTTCACTGGGCAAGGTTCGCAAGAGCAGGGCATGGGTATGGATCTCTATGGAAAGAGTCCTGTCGCGAAGGAAGTCTGGGATCGTGCAGACCGTCACTTCATGGATAACTACGGTCTTTCCATTATCAACATTGTCAAGAACAATCCTAAGGAGCTCACCATCCACTTCGGTGGACCCCGCGGCAAAGCCATTCGTCAGAACTATATGGCTATGACCTTCGAGTCCATCAATGCTGATGGATCGGTCAAGTCGGAGAAGATCTTCAAGGAGATCAATGAGAACACCTCTTCGTACACCTACCGTTCGCCGACTGGTTTGCTTTCGGCAACCCAATTCACCCAACCGGCTTTGACGCTGATGGAGAAGGCAGCTTTCGAAGACATGCGTTCCAAGGGTCTGGTTCAGCGCGACAGCAGTTTCGCTGGACACTCGCTGGGTGAATACTCTGCTCTAGCCTCTATCGCTGAGGTTATGCCCATTGAGAGCCTGGTGTCGGTTGTGTTTTACCGAGGTTTGACGATGCAGGTGGCGGTCGAACGGGATGAACAAGGCAGAAGCAATTACTCCATGTGCGCCGTCAACCCCAGCCGCATCTCCAAGACTTTCAACGAGCAAGCGCTGCAGTACGTGGTGGAGAACATTGCAGAGACTACCGGCTGGCTCGTGGAAATTGTAAATTACAACGTTGCCAACATGCAATACGTATGTGCCGGTGACTTGCGCGCGCTAGATTGCATGACCAATGTTCTCAACGTGCTCAAGATGCAGAAGATCGACATCCAAGCATTGATGCAGACGATGTCGCTAGACGATGTCAAGGCCCATTTGGTTGAAATCATCGGCGAATGTGCGAAGAAGACTGAAGCCAAACCACAGCCGATTGAGCTGGAACGTGGCTTTGCTGTGATCCCTCTCAAGGGCATCGATGTCCCCTTCCACAGCACGTTCCTTCGATCTGGTGTAAAGCCATTCCGATCCTTCTTGCTCAAGAAGATCAACAAGACCAGCATCGACCCAGCCAAGTTGATTGGCAAGTACATTCCCAATGTTACAGCCAAGCCATTCGAGATCAGCAAAGAGTACTTCGAGGAAGTGTACCGACTGACCAACTCGCCACGGTTGGCAAAGATCTTGGAGGACTGGGACTCTTTTGAGAATGCAGGAGATGCGGCAGGCGTCCACCGTCTTTCTTCTGTGGCATAAACAAAGTATGGATGTGTTGGAAGGTGTTTGCTTTTGCTGTGTGTTTCCACCGCTCCTTGATGTGGCCAAAGGAAAAGACTGTTTTGGGAAATGGGGTGCATCAATATACCACGTGGGCGTTTGGTAGATTTCTTTGCTTTTTTGTACAGCCTTTGGCGGTGTATCAAGTAAAATTACTTTGTTCGGTAACTAGTCCTACAGATATTGAGATAGCGAAGAGCGGCAACCTTGCTATCTCAAATAAAATAGAGAATTGTAGATTTTTTCACACATTTCTGATTATTTTTTCCATCTGCAATTGTTGTAAGAACTTCATACCAGCCAAAATCGCCTCTTGCACATGGCAAGATTAGCCTCGGCTGTTTTCTTTCTACCAGGGTTGGAACCATTCTATCTCGCAAGGATCAAAGGATTGCAACGTTGAGTTTGGGAAGAGGCACGCGGTGGTTTGAGATCTTCAAGTGCCAATCTGCAACCTTTTGAGGGCCGATAACGCTTAGAGACCCCGGAAAGGCCTTGCTGGATCGTACCACCAGGGGTGATGGAGTCTGGAGTAGTTAGTGATGTAACTCGGCAGATCGTCGATGATGGGATGAGGGCTTTACTCCGGACGAGTACTCTGTGAGGATATAGAATACTCGCAGAAGATCAGGGACTGGTCACTTTGGGTCAGGGTCAGCAAGAGGCTTGATCGTTCAGGGGAAGACATGAACAAGAGAGAGGCGTCGGTGGGTTTTTTTGTGGTTATAAGAATTAAATTCGTAGACCGCCGTCGACGTCTATCTATGTGTGATGTGTGTCTTGTGTTGAATGCGCCGAAGAAAACATCCTGGCACGACTAATGCAACTCGAAGCGTATCATCTCCTCTCCAGCTCCACGCTCTCTCTTCCATTGCCCAACCATTTCTTCTTGACGGTGTCCATCTCGCTGTGCCACTGTGATAATCACTCCAATCCACCTCCAATCCTGTGCCGTACGAGCGTAGTCTTGTGAGAGGCATTCGGCATCGAAAAAGGCCACCATGTGTCCAGGATGTTTGCCTTATTCTGCCTCAACGGCGGACTGGGGGCTGCGAACCTCAGTCTTTCCCTTCGCGACGCAGGTATATGGTCCATGACATTTTGTACACTTTCTTGTTCCAGGCAACCCACACTTGTCCCGTTACGAGGGTGGCCGCAGTCGAGTATGCACGACCATGTGTCTTGCGTAGACATCAGAAAAGAGTCCTTTTGACGAGCCTTGGACAGCAGACTTACCGCCTCAGGCTACCATGGACGTCTCTTCTCTGGTCCACGCTGGCAAGTACCGAAGATATTTGAGATTGAAGCCCTTTGCTGACCTCCGATAGTGATCGCGGCGTTTGAAGATGCTGTCAAGCTCGTCCAGCGCATACGAGACCAGCGAGAGACTGGCAATGGCGGCGTGCGACTACCTGAAGAACCGACACGCGACCTTATCGAGTCGCTGTCTCTGGGACCGGCGATAGTCCGTGGTCACTATGAACACGACCTCAAGCGGTTCGGCGAACAGTACGCCTGTGGGGATATACAAGCGAGAGAAGGCATGAAAGATATCCTCATAAATCTACAGATGACGTTGATCATCACCCTGCGGACCGTGTACATGGACAACATGGATCTCGATTTCAATGCCCTCCAGACAACCTCGGACGACTGTCGTGTGAATGCCGGGGTGTGTCTAGGACAGTTGTCACAGCGGCTGTCCGGGGCTGCGAGAGCCCAAGCACACCATCCTGCTTCCAGCATGATGACCTCCTCGAACACATCCTCTGGCTTGATACCGCCGCTCTCTCCGTCCCTAGGGTATTCCAGTAGCAGGAGTACCTTTTCCTCTACAGGACTTCGAGATCCTCAAACACCACCACCACCACCACCACCACTCTCGATGGGAGACCAGTTTGGCAATCTGAGCATTTCCAAAACAAACCACCCTTCTTTCCTCGTCGAGCGCAAAATCTCTGCGGGTTCTTCTTCCGACTCTCAGGAACGCTGTCGTCGACAACAGCAACCAGTTCGTCATCCGAATCCGATTGCGGAGCAACAGCAGCATCCCGCAGTAGTAGCACCTCGTGTCGATGTTCTCCAAGTGGGCAACGACGATGCCGATGAAATGGAAATGCGAAGACGATCGTCGCAAGCTCTGCCTTCGGACGATAACATTCTAATGCTCTTCCCTGCACCTGGGGGCCAACCCAAGAGTGGTGGTTCTTCGTCACCGGGAGCGGACAAGGATTCAACTGCCAAAGCCACCATCATGCACTCACCAAACACGTCACGCGGATCGAGCAGTAGCCACAGGAGCCAGAACTCGCGAGAACGTTATGGCCCAGATGATTACGATGAGCACTTTGACCATGGCGCCGCCGGCAGGAACGATGACCGCCAGTACAGCAACTGCACAGTTTACGACATGTACAACCCACCCATCTCGCCCTCACAAGACCGAGATCGATTCTCGTCCACTGGGTCGGGTTCGAATTCACATTCGTACGCATCACGAGCACAAGCTAGCAACCACAGCACCTGGCAACACGTTCAGTATCTACAAGAGAATAGTCGTCCACCACGTATGCAGGTGCCACAGACAGATTCTCTCGATGCACATGCACATTCACAATCTGGTCAGCGCGAGACAATAATGTACGAGTACGACCAATACCAGTCTCAGCAATACATGCATATACCACAATCGCAGGCCTCCTCTGTTGTTTCAGTGGATCCACCACTCTTACCACGACGATTGAGGCCCATAGGCCCCGGTACGAACATTGTACCACCAAGCGGTGCTCTTCCTACCGTGTCGTTATCTGCTCGGCCACCACCCACACAGGAAACTCCTCAGACAATGCCATCACAACACCACCACCACCAGCAACCTTTTATGTCGTCCGCTCTTCTCAGTCCTAGCACAAGCCACAGTTCCGCCAGATCTATCCACTCATCCATCTATGGTGACCACCAACGCTCTACCTCGACCTCGACGGGACCATCATCAATCGGTCTCTCTGTACCTAGTAGCGGGCCCCTCATCCTCCCCACGGACAAAGACACACTTGGGTTTTGCAAAGGTGCATTCCGTTTACAGGCCGGCCTGGAACGCAAGGCTTTCAGTCTGGCCAACCGACCCCTGGGGTTCACCGGGACGGAGACCTACTGGCGCTGCGAAAAGTGCAATTTCGAAGGTCCCCAGTACACCCAGGTCAACGTGTCGTCGGACAACAGACGCAAAGGGAAACCGGAAAGGAAATTCGACCCGAGAATTCGCACTTCGGAGAGCGGAGGAATCAGGTACAGATGGGCGTTCTTGGCAAGGTGTCACGTCCAACTCAAGGGCATGGTTCCCGTGGGTGAGACCAAGGATGGCAGTTTCGGAAGTTTCGGTTGCATCTTTTGTTGTGCCGAAGGGAAGCATCGTGGGTGGATTGACGATGGCCATCATCAGAATTCTTCGGCTGTGGGAAGAGACAACAGCAATGCTAGGATCAAGACTGTCTCTGTTTCTGTCGGTGGTGGGAGGCATCACGGACTCGGAATTTTTGGTTCAGGAGGAGGAGGAGGAGGTAGTAAAGACAAGGGAAAGGACAAGAAAAAGTCGGGAAAGTCCAAACACGTTCAACCAAACTCGGGTGTGAAAGTTGTCGTCGATGGTGACGATGATGGCCAAGGTGGAGCCCAAAGCAAAAATCTCACAAAGTCGAACAACAACACACCCATCTTCGGCAACGTCTCGAGCTTCATGGAACATCTCGACCTCGTCCACCGGCCACAGGAAGGTTGGCCCAACGCGGAAATGCTGGGTCGGTTCAAGGTCGTCGTGGGTCGGTTGGCGGGAGTGCACGAGGACGGGTGGGATGTCAATTTTGTTCCATTCCCATCATGATCGTGATGTGTTTTCGGAGCTCTTAACAACCACAGCGAGACTCGAGAGGATTCAAGAATCACGATTTTCTTGTCCATTTGATAATTACTAGATACCTAAACCTATGTTAGACTTCAAACTCGGCGAGTCTCTAATGATCCCTGAAAAACATGATAAACTTTGTCCTAACGTTGTATACCATTAGAATTAATTACCTATTCATCCTGTAACAATACACACACACCGTATCCGAATGACACAGTCGTCTTCCGGAGATCTAATTACTGCACCTCAGTCCCCGTCATCGTGCAACGAGTAGACGACAAATTTTGACCTTCTCTTGCATTAGCAGACAGGCTTGTGGTCGATAAATCCCTGCTCCACGGCGATCCAACCCCATGAGTGCTCCCGCATACGACATCCCATCATATCCATCAAACGATGCTCTCATCCAAACCGATCCCGTGCATCTAACACCCCCGGAAGTGGCTACCCTTATTCTTCACGACTCGCCAATATCTTGGATGCCTTGGACACAATGGGCTGCTGGGTAAGTGTTCCGGTATGGTAACGTCACAGTGTTTTTCATCGTGGCCTTGAAAAGACGCCTTGAACAGACCAGGCGAGTTCAGTCTCTTTTCGCCACATTTAGGCTCGATGATGCGTGAAGGGTCTTGTCCAACATCAACCTGTTGAAGTTTGACATCGAACCAGTCGCCGCTCACCACCCTTTTGATCCGGTTGCTCTTGGTCCTTCCCAGACCCTTGGGAAGTGACGATGTTCTGCTGAGACCTTCACCCTCGTTGGTCGCTGAACTTTCGCTTCCGTTAGTTATATGCCCAGACATTGGGAGGTAGGGGGTGGATTGAGGTGCGTTGTAGTCGAAGAAGAACCCTCTCCATCTTCCGTCAGCACCTTCTTCGGGGAGAGGAGGTGTATGAATACGTCGTGCTTCGCTTGGCAAATAGCTGGTCTTGCCTCGGACACTGATGTCTATCTTCATAAACTCCTCGGTCTCTGCACTTGCCCTTCTCTTGACTTTGTATGTGGCCTGTTCTTCTGGTGTATTGGTCGGCTGAATACCCATTCGCAGATTGAGTTGACTTGAAGTATCAGACGCGAAATCAGGAAAGTGCTCGATACTCTTTTGCTGCTGATATATCGTAGACTGAGAAACAATCCCTTGTGTTGTCCGTGGACTTCTCCGTGCCTTCTGTGTCGCTGACTTGTCTGAAAGAGTTCTGCTCCTTAGAGGTTTCAACAGTGGACTTGGTCCTTCCGACGAATTAGATTGATTGACTTTTGTGCTTTGCTTGGCCAGATCATGGAGGACAGCACTGACCCGCTTGAGAGTATTAGAAGTATAATGCATCTTCATCGTGGTCGCGTGATCTTCAAGTCGTGTAGAATGTCTGCTGATAGGAGAAGGTGACTCAAAAGGAGTCTGGGTTTGTTTATCCTGCCCTCTCGTATGAATGATTTTCTGGACTAATTGCAGTGGAGCTGAGAAGAGACGTCTAGGATTCAATGAGCTTTTGCGAGATGATGAATCGACGGTAGGTTCTGAGATGATTCCTGTCCCCTGTGCGTTCTGATTCTGCTCGGAGAATGGGGTCTCGACGACAATGGAGGACCTTTGCCTTTGGCTAGAGGCCACCCTTTGTGGTACTGGTGGTTTCAAAGGTGTTTGCTCGGTACGTATTGTGAGTGTAGGCGTCTCGGGTGTCTTTCGTAGGGAATTGTTCGTGCCATCTGTCTCGAAGGAGGAAGACGTCTTCTGGTGAAGCCAAGCGTTGCCCGAGGAAGTCCTTATCCAGTGCGGTCGTCGCAGAGAAATAGAACGGCTCTCCTTTGGGATTTGAAAGCCAGCATCCGAAGATGAAGTACCAGAGATTGAATGAGGTCCTCTTCGGCATGCCTGAAGCTCGCATTCGAGATAACCTTCAGTCCCGCTTTGTTCGTGCCCTTCCTCGGATCGGAACATTTCAGGCTGAGGCGCAGACGCTGGACGGGGTTCGATTTCGGCGGGAAGAAGTTCGTCTATAACCTGGACACGATTTCGTTTGAGGACAGCACCAAAATCCGACTGCGTGCGATGGCTTTCCTGGACCAGTGGTGGCCGACGGGGGGTGCGACGAATGTTACTGACGGCAGTACTGGGAGAGATGGAGGTACTCGCTTCTGACGATGGAGTCCGCCTCCGGAGGGGAAGATCAAAATATGAAGGAACATCTTTCCGAGTGTTATTCATCGTTATAATATTCCGTATCGTTAATGGAGAAGTCCCAAAAGCTTGTCTTGATAGAGGTTGAGTGAAATGGCGAGTAGTCCAGTCACCATGACTTGAGGGTAGTCGTTGTCACGGAAAGGGCTAGGGGGTGCTTAAAAGCAGGAAGTTCAGCATTCAGAGCAGGTGCAATGTGGTGATCTGGTGCAGTAGGGCATCTCACCCTGACAGTGACATCGGCGTAACATCTAGTCAGTCGCTTCAAATGGCTGTGCAGCTATCTTACCAAGTGTCGTCGACACATGGGACACTATTCATTCAACTTCATATTCTTGATGTCCTCCTCGACGGACAGTAGTCCAAGAGCCCAATGAACCCTTGTGGAATTAGAGCGGTCGATCAAACTCCGGTCGTGAACTACAAAAGCAGATTCGTGATCCTTCAGAGCGTTTGAGGAGTCTCCGGCCATGGGAGAAGCATCAGGCCCCCTTGGACCCAGACCTGTTTGTCGGTCGTCGTGGTTGCGAGGATCTAGCTTTCGTTCATAGGGTGGAGCTCTACCTGCTTGGCCCATCCGTTCCCAGGTAGTTTCACAGGCGGCCGCAACAGCAGCAGATGTATGCCATCCGCACCTCTGAGAAATGTCTCGTAATTTGCTGATGGTCCAGCCGCGTTGTCCGGGATCCGTATACTGTACTCCAGCGAAGAGCAGGTAAAAGGTGCTCTCCATGCAAGCACCAGCAAAGGTGGGATCCAACGCCCCGGACTGGTTGTACTGCTGTGTCGCATATAGACCAGCACAGATCTTCCCAATTGCCTGGGCATGATCCCGAGTCAGATGGGCCGTAACGCTGGCCGCTACCATCGCGGCTGGAGGCATCTCTGGATGAGAACGGCATAGAAGTATTCTGCCAACATGGTAGAATGCCCAGATACATGCGATTCCCGGGTTTCTATAGACTAAAGCAGGCCCGAAAGGGGTCGCTATTGGAGTATCGGTGTATGGAAGGGGGTCGAAGTCTGGACCCAAAGACCTGGCAAAAAGATCAAATGCACTTGTAATATCCTCATGCTCCTTGAAAGCTCTGGAGGTTTCGTCTTCGAGGTTTCGAGGCTGCGTTGGCTTATTGTCGCGTGTCGTTCCTGTGAAAGCAGGATCCTTCAGATTTGCATCCATAGTCTTGAATGCAGAGTGCATTTGGATGGGAGCTTCAGGTGGAGGAATCATGCCCATCGTTGGAAGTCGATCTGGTGGACTCGTGCCCTTGGGAGCGGGTTTACTCTGACGGGCTCTACCTTCATTAGCACTGGGTGCTGTCGTAGCTTTGGAAGCATTCGTGCCCGCAGACATGTTTGAACCGCCAGATTTTCCAGGATGAGGACTAGCAGAAAAGGTTCCCAGGCCTGGGCTTTTGGATCCTTCGCTTTTGCCGCTTGCTGGCCCCTGAGGTCCGAACAACCATGTTGGAGGTCTCCATTCACCTCCGGCTGCTGCCAAAGCGCGTTGCTTTCGAACTCGATCTTTTCCACTGTAATCTGCTATGCGCGCCATGATCAAACAAAGATGGTCCAGGGTTGCGTAGGGATTCGCTGATCGTCCGAGCTGACCTCGAGGCGGACAGTACTTCCAGTCTTCGAATGGTAACATGAGCCGATCACCTCCGATGCAGCTTTGGAACACATCTTGCTTGCAATACCACCATCTCAGATCCATCTTGGCCTTGAAATCCTCGATATCCTTGTCCGTAAGACTCGCTGCCAGGCTTTGTGTTGGGAATTGAGGCTGAACTTGATGGTCATAATTCACCGAGAGTCCGGTCAGCCGGGAGATCAAGGCGGAATCGACATCCCAATCAATATCATCAAGGAGAGCCAGTGGTATCCCCGCAACACGAGCATAGTTCTCTTCTGTGAGAGCAAAGCGAGCCATCCATTGGTTGACCCTTGCTTTTGCACCGTTCCGCATGCGCCTTGCGTTGCGAGTCATCCCTGCGTAATCATGTTCAAGGACTAGGCTAGTGGCACCAGATAAGTGTAGATTCCAGCGAGAATGATCCCCGCTCATGACTTCATAGAAACCAAGAACTAGGACGGTCGCCAATGTGGCAATCTCGAGACGCCTCATAGGTAACCCTAAAAGCCGCCCTACCCTTCGCACCGCATATGTGAAGTGCTTAACAGCAGTTGCGTCCGAAGCTTTTTGTAATTTCGAGAGGTGTAAGGCGCCCAGTGCTAGAATTCCATGTGCGAGAGCAGGGTGAGACATAGCCATGGACGGGAGTGTGAAGTTCCACAGGGTTCTCGCCGGCCCAGCAATGGAACTGAAGTGATGTCGCTCGAACACGGAAATACACTGGCTAGTCACTTCCACAAAATGACGGAAGAGATGTTGATTGCGCTCCTCCCGGAGTGGTGAGATCGTAGTAGATGGTCGAAAGTTTGTCAGAGTTTGACTCGCTCGACGAGAAGCATTGAGCCGAAACATTCTCCTTTTGTGCTGCTCAGACTGGTCGAGTGCATGTGTTAAGTTCTCCGCGGCAGCTTGGTATGACAGATTCTCTTCCTCTGAGTCCACGTCAAATGGGTCATCAGGGTCATCATAATAGCCAGAGCCTGCAGATATCGGGGCGGTCGAATTTGGGAATGAAGCTCCTCCAGAGGATGGGGTGAATTGACGCGAACTATCCCCATGGTATTGCCGACCAGCATGAGGTTCTTCTAGAGGGGTTTAGCCAGAGCCGACCGGTAGAATGGAGTAGAATTGCAGTGTGTTCGTACCTTGCAGGTCACCATGGCGAAAGGGGTTTCGAGCGAATTGCGACGGATCTTGTGGATAATCACTTGCGCTCTGACTGTGGTCCTGGAACATCATCTCGCCTGGAAAAGGTGGTGTTGGATACGGCATTTGAGGAGAGATCGACCATGGTCCCAGTGGCCCCCAGCTATTCGTGTGCTGGCCATATTGATCATAGTTGGGCTCCGTGCGTGCGGCGTAGTAATTATGGTCAATCACTCTCGATGGCCCAACCAAACCCGGCGAGCTGAGCATGTTCAGGGCGGGCTGATCAACTGAATTCTGGACACTTTGCCATTCTGACTGGCTTGTGGGTCCGAGTGGTATCTGGCCCTCGGCGAAGGTGGGAGTGTACGCATGATAACTTGCGCTAAAGGGAAGGTGCTGGTAGGACGAAGATCCTGATGGATCAAAAGTTTGATATGGCGCTGTGTTCTGGGTCTCCGACAGAAACGATGGGTTAGGAAAAGATCCGGAAACGAAGGTTCTGAATTGATTCGAGCCCATTGATTCATCTTGGTCAAATCGTGGATTGTGTGGCTCCTGACTCTGTTGTCTGTAGACTACAGGTTGAGCATATCCAAGACATTCGCGTTTGGACTTGGTGCAATTTCTGCATATCTAGGACAATGGACATCAGAGATGAAACTCAACACTTTGAGTCAAGACATACCGGCTTCTCTTCTCCGCATTTTATACGTCTCTTCCGGCATGCTGAAAACTGTGAGCGAGAGACTAGCTTAGTCGGCCTGATAAAAACATAGTAGACTTACTCAGACATCCAGTTTTAGTCCGTCTCTTGGCTGATGATTGTTGTTTCTGAGCTGTGTCATTCTCTGGCGAATCGTCTGGCTTATTTGGAGCCTCCTCCGCATCAATAGAGTCGTCATCTCTGGGTGAGGGAGACATGGGGTCTTAATGGCCAGCGTGGGCGAGTTCTATATAGAATGTGCCGACGGTGAACGCGAGAGTCGAGGGTCGAATGTACCACGCTTCGGAGCAATCAAGAACTGGTAATAGGGGTCAACCGAATGTCGATGATGACAGCAAACTCCGGTTTGTGATGTTGCGTTCAGAACAAACATTGGTCTATTGCAAAGTGACAGATTTGTGAGGCTGACAACAAGAGTCTGAAATATGGACACAGAAGGGTACCAGGTATATACATCAGATTCAAGCATCTCCAGAATACCGATTCAAGGGCTGGCGCGGAGATCTCATGCTGCTGCCGGCTCCAACCACAATGCGTGCCAGGGGAAAAGCCTGGATTATAGTGACGGAAAGGAGGAGCCGGATACTAGCTTCTGACAGAAACTGGTGTATGCCCAAGGGTATATGGGTAGCTGATGTGATATTCTCAAGAATAGGAATGGTTAGATGCTGAGACTGTCTAGGCAATGTGCATTAGCCAGATAGCTTTGGTGGTGATTGGCCGGTTCGTTACAATCAAACAGAAGGCCAAAAGGGTTATCAAACAACTAGACCCCTGCAAGGTGCACAGGACAATACACGCTCCTGTGAAGGTAGGACGAGTGCTCCTCTTTGAAGTAGGAGAGGCACAAGAACCAACGGAGGGCAGGATGCACTGACGGAGCGTCTTTAGCCCATGTCATGCCACCCTGATCGCAACAACAGACTTGAATGGCGGGTGTCAAAAGGAAACATTAGCCCTGAGACCGGATCTCCAGTGGCTCACACAGAGGTTCGGGAAACATACATACTGATAGGGCTGATTTGGATAAGAAGCCTTCTCATCTTCTCTCGTTGTGACCTCGATGCAGCCTGTCATGTCTGTGAAGTGAGAAGAAATGGGGCCAGGGTGCCCTTTCCAGGGTAGCTGTGGAGCCCCTTAGGCTGTGAGCTTGCCCAATTTGGTGAGAGGTTTATTGAACGCCCAGGCTGGTGCTCAACATTCCGGGCGACACTGTGGTACAGTACCGTCACTAGGCACAACCAGCCGGGATGATTTCACTGCTATCATTCCGTGCGGTTCGGTCAACAATAATGGCCGTAGCCGTTGGTCCTCGGACCTGGCAGACTGTAGATCACAGCCCCACCACCTGCAAACTGTGCATCTTTCGAGAGGCGCCGAGGTACAGAGTCTAGCCTGGGTGTATCTAGGATTGCGATCGTTCATGCGGTATGAATATTGACATGTCTATGTGTACATTGACAAGATGCGAATCCCTGAAGGAATGGTATGTCCTCGTAGTGTGCAGTAGTCGATCAGGCTTGAAACCCTCCACGAGGGTCGTCAATCTGAGAAACATTGGGGAAACAACGCGAGAGCGGATTCGCTGTCAAAGGTCTTGGGAGAACGTGGTGTCCGGAACCTCCACCCGCTGTCAAAAATAGGGGAGCCAGCTTCAAGGTCCATTTCTTGAAAGAAAGACTTGTCACGGCGATCGTGTGACAAAGGTTTACTGGATAGCACGGCGGGAGATTGAGAAGGCTGGATGCATGATGCCGGTCGCCCGGGAACTGCCACGGCGTTCAACAGCTAGTTACTGTAGGTTGATCTGAGAGACAATTGTAGTCAAAAAGGCCACGAATGACCAGGATGATGCTGCCCAGTGATGGCGGCTCTCTGAGTATCTGGATTGATGAACCGTTGTGGGCTCAAACCATGTCAGATACTTGACCCAACTATTTTTAACGTGCAAGCCCTTCTGAGCCCGGTGCAGACCATAGTTCGTGTTGTCATCATCTTTGGGTCGATGGAAGGCAGGCGATTCGCTATAAGGAGGATCTAGGCTCTCAATCGGGCTAGTCTTTGCTGCACGATCCGAGCTGCAGCGGTTCCGGTTTACTGTCAAGAGCCTCAGGGCGCTGGAAAGAGATTGATGGGGTCTAGTCAAGCAACCTGTGCCGGGAATAAGCACATGAAGCTGCGCGAGAATCGGCCGATCAGTGTGCTCGACTGCTCCAGTGCGGAATCTCAAGTTGGCGGACTTTTTAACGGAGGAACATTATTGTGGTGGGAAAGACAGGGATGTGAAAATGGAGGAGGAGAACGATGTACGATGAGGAACAGGGGAGGAGAAAATCGAGGCGCTGAGGCACGACGGTAAACTTCCCCACCTGAGATGCCACTGTATAGTGAGCCCAACTCACCCCTGTAGCTTGACCTTAGTGCCCCTCAGACCTTCCCCCCAGGAACCTCTGTTAGGCTGCGCAAAGCCTAGCAAGGCCGCTAATCCTGGCCTGCCACTTTCCCACGGTACGGCAACTTCCCTTCCGTCTTTGGCAAGTGCAAAACTGAAGTACAATTTTTTTTGGTGACGCTATATCGATTGTGCACCATCTGCACCGAAAACACACGCCAAATTTTTGCCCAAGCCATACTTTATGCGACTCTCCTGTATCAGCTGAGATCTACACCCGCACTAGCATCCTGATAATTCCTTCTGCAGCGTCCCCATGTTCGCTACTCCAGGGTGGAATATCTCCCCAGCCTCACTGGTGCAGCAGAAGCAAAATCACAAGTCAAACCAGGCTCAGTCCACACGAAGTGAACCCTCGGTGAACAAGAAGAGGAAGAGGGACGTTCCACAAGATGGTCAAGCCTCGAAAATCAGCGGTTCCGATCTAGAAAGACTCTGGAGTCAGCGCAAGGATGCAAAGCCGTCACAGAAGCCTGCCACGGCGAAATCGCAGCCAAGGCCTCAGTCACAACCGAAGGCCGTCACAACTAAGCCTGATGCCAATAAGGCTGTCGCAGAAGACGTGAGAGACAAGGCTCCGCCGAAAGTCGGGAAGAGGGACAAAGGGGCAAGAAAGCACACGGGGAGTGGCAGCAAACATCAAGAGTCTCTGCCGCGCAAAGAAAGCCCTGAGCAAAGAGGTAGGAATGGCATTGATAACACCAATGAGCAGGGCGATGTCTTCCCTCGCGGGTCTTCCGCAAAGAATCTCGTTGCATCTGCTCCTTCATCACAACCGACAGCCAAGCTCACACCTCTTCAACTCAAGATGCGTTCCAAACTGACGTCGGCCCGCTTCCGCCATCTCAATGAAACGCTGTATACCACCTCATCTTCAGATGCCATGTCCCTTTTCACGAACTCCCCGGACCTCTTCACCGAATACCATGCTGGTTTCTCTCAGCAAGTCAAAGATTCATGGCCGCAAAACCCGGTAGACAATTATGTCCGCACGATCAAAACTCGCGGGCCTCTCAACTCGTCCCAAGGAAATCTCCTCCCGCTCCCCAGGCGCAAGACAGAATCCTGTACAATTGCCGACCTGGGATGTGGCGACGCTCCCCTCGCACGTGGCTGTCAGTCTCTTGTCAAGAAGTTACACCTCAAATTCCACAACTACGACCTCCATGCGCCCAATACTTTTGTCACAAAGGCAGACATATCCTCTCTCCCCCTCCGTGAGGGTGAGGCAGACATTGCTATTTTTTGTCTGAGTTTAATGGGCACGAATTGGCTCTCATTTGTTGAAGAGGCATGGCGCATTCTTCGTGGTGACGGCAAGGGAGAGGTGTGGGTGGCGGAAGTGAAGTCGCGGTTCGGACGAGTCACACGGGGTCCAGGACGTGTTGTCGAGAACAGTGTTGGCAAAAGGCGAAAGCAGCAGAAATCTAGGAAGAATGTCGACGATGATGGAGAGGAGATGGGCAACGAGGCCTTTGTGGAAGAAGCTGATGGCAATACTGACGATGAGACGGACATTTCGGCTTTTGTCAAAGTATTCTCACGACGTGGCTTCGTCCTTCGTGAAGATTCCGTTGACAAGGGCAACAAGATGTTTGTCAGTATGGTATTTGTCAAGTCTGGTGTTCCTACAGCAGGAAAACACAAGGGTCTCAAATGGAACGGGCATGAGTATCAGCGGTTACAAGACGGGAAGATGAAGTTTGTAGCTGGCCATGGAGACGACGAAGATATCCCTCCCGAGAATGAGGCAAAAGTTCTGAAGCCATGTGTCTACAAGACTCGATGAGCTCGATGGGGACTTGAAACGTACATGTACATGGATAGATTAATGGTCACGGGCGTGGGGTCTGGGACTTTCTGCAAATCAATCATAAAGTCTGTTGTTAGCCACCATCGTGGTGGACAAAGACTGTTCATGATCGCGACCGATGGCCGATGTATTTGTCTACTGACTCGAGAGACTACCTACCTACGATGGGTATTGTTGTCTGTGGGCGTTTGGGCTGACTTTGTAAGTCTGTTATATATGCATTGTATACATGCACTTCTGAACGCTCCAGAACACACAAAACAAAAGAGTGTTGTAGGCCAGTGGTTGACAAATGAATATATGCTTTGCTCGATTCTTTCAGGACTCGGCCTTGAATTTCTCGACACCATCACCAATAACCTCATCGAGATGCTTTCCTAGCACGTCCTGCCACAGAGGCTTGTTCTTGTACCGCGCGAGTTCCGGACCGTAGCTGTCGACGCTCGTCCTCAGCGCCATCGCGACGTCTCCATCCTTGGTTACCTCCGTGATGGGCGTGACGTACGTTCGTATCGAAAACACGATGGCCCTCGTCTTGGGCAGCCGTTGCAGGACCTGTCGTTCAACCCGCAGAAACAGCTGGTCCAGCTCGACGGGATCCAGGTCGTCCGGGTTCAAGTTGTGGTGGGAGTTGATGTGGAAAAGTTCCGGACTGTTGTCGATGGCGTAGTTGAACCGCATGACGGGCGATTCGACGCGCAGCCGTTGGAAGAAGCGGTCCATCGAGACGGCGAGTTTCTGCTCGTACTGCGGAACCTTGCCGGCGTGGATTTCCCAGAGGCTGTGGCCGATACGTTCTTGGATCTTCCAACCAGCTGGTGGTGAAAACAACGCGCCAACCCGATGTTAGCTTACTTCTTTGTGCTCTTAAACATGCCCTGAACGGCTTGCCCCCGGGGGGGGAAGGGGAAGAAAAACTTGCCAGGGAAACAATTTGCGCCGGCCCTCAGCCGCGTCACACTCGGATCTTTCTCGTCGTGCTGCATGATGAACCAGTCCTCCGTGGACAAGAGACCCATGACCTGCAGAGGGTGGTGGTCCTTCCATGTATCGGATCCCCTCCGCAGATCCCAGTCGTCGCCGGTAATTAGATTCTTGATGCCAACCTCGGTCGTCTGGAACATGGTAGGGTAACGGCGCGGGAGTATATCGACGAGAAGGTATAGTGCTTCGAAGGACGCTTCTTCGCTACCGGGGAGGTTCTGGATTGTCTTTTCGGGATGCTGCGTAAACAGTTGGAGTTTGTACCTGTATCGCTCGAGGTACTTGTGGTCGAATTCAACCCAGTTCTCTAGGGATGTGCGTTTGATGCCCATCGTGACATGGTGCGGGCCGTTGTGCCATGGTCGATATGGCTGCTCAGGTTGTGTTTTCCAGTCAAAGTTCTCTCTGGGCTGGAAATGTTCGACATGTATTGACGTCCAGTCTATGTCACAACGTCATCAGTACCTTATGGACTTTCGGCTTCGTTAAAAGATCTCGTATGAGGTTATCGTTTCCAACATACCTGGTTTCTCGACATTCTCAGTTTTGTCCACAGACTTTGTGTCCGCACCGGCAAACGTGGCGACCTTGGTGGCTGTCTTCTGAAAGCGACGGCTGTAAAGGAAACTGGTTGTGACGTAGCTGCAGAGCAACAGAGCGACCCATGGAAGACATGACAGTACGAATACACTCACTGGCTTGTCCTGCCAACTGGCGAGGCTGAAGTCTCTCGCCATGGTCAAGGCTGCGAGCAGCAGATCGAAGCGAGGACTCTGAGATAGCCGAAAGAGCTGTGATGATGACTTGATATCCTTCCGATCGTGTGTGAAATAGCAATCAGTCCTACTTTTCGTCAATCTTCCAATCTCCTTATACCCATATTACGCTGCCACACAACGACCTCAGCGGCTGCTAACGTGATCCAGTTGGTAGCCCCAGAGAGCCTCTCGCGGCCCATTCTCGACAATTCGCGTGGGAAAATTGCCACGTCGCCATCTTGATGTGGTTTGTATTCACTGACTCACGCGAACATTGCGGAGATCCCCAGCAGTTTTACCTCGGGCTCGGAATTGCATACCGAATTCGCATGCTTATCTGTTTGTGATCCTGGTAGAAGTAGATGGAGTAAATGGCGAAGATCAGAGCACGGCCCACATGTTCGGTGCGAGATATGTGGCTAGCGAAGACCTGCCGAGCTTACACACAACTGCCCAAGAGGATCGCCAGATAATGTCAACTCGCTGGAAACAGGTATTTCGAGACATGTTGTTGTTGTATATTTTCGTAGCAAACTAAAACCCACGACTATGAAAGTTCCAGGTGAGTTCTGTGTCAGATCATGTGGCATGCTAAACGGAACATCATCGAGCAGCGGCCCTGGCGGCTTTTAGATATTTTGGTGTGCTGTAAGTCGTCTAGTCGTAGAGAGATGCTCAATTCACCTTCTTGACGGCTACAGCTGTCACGACGTTCCCAATGACGAAGACTACATCTTGCTGTCATGTGGAAGACTCAACTCAATCCGGACGGGTTCTGTGCAAGGCTCTGACCCCTGAGTCCCAAGAGTCTGCCCACTCAGTTCTGGTGAAAGGCATCTACCCAGTGCCGTTGTTTAATTAGTGAACGGCCTTGGGATTCCTGTAGAAATGAGTTAACATTTCTTTCGTGGAAGGAATGATCGGTAGGCCTTTTCAGGCACAAGTGAGCGAGTCTGCAGGAACGAACCATTGGACACAGGTCGGACATTCCAGAGCCGGATTGACAATTAGGGTGCTCCCAGGCTATACGGTTGTGCGAGGTTCGTAGACACAGTACCGAGGCGTAGTAGACAGGAGAACATTATCGAGTATTGAAACAAAAAGAGAGCGTTGGGAGATTCCCGGTGCAATATGTTAAGGCCCGGTAAAACTTCGGCACGTGACTGGACCAACGCGTTGACGCAGGACGTTCGTGTTCTTGATGGTTGATGGTTGATGGTTGATTGCGCCCACAACAATACTGCGCTTCCGCTGTACAACGTCGTGAATTACTTGGACTAGCAAAATGGTGAGAGGCTGGCATAATGGCCTCATTGCACTATAGAAGTGCATCAGCCACGGATCGACGAGGCACACAGTTTTCTAGCGGCCCTGCACGCGTCAACTCCGCCAAATATCAAGACTACGAACGAGCGTCAGCGCGAGATACAGCCTCCCCGATATTTCCAGATGGCTACAGCGAGGCGCCGGACGGGAGACATAAACACACAAAAAGCGAGAACCGTTTCAGTGGGCTAGATCGGCGAAAAGAGAAGTCTACCATCACAACAACCGAAACCTTCATTACAAGAACAAGTCCCAAGAAGGGGGCCAAGGTCGCTGAAAGCAATCATGGCCGCCATACGAGCACAGCAAGTCCAATACAGAATCGACCAAACAAGGAGGAGAACGCTTTGCCGTGGGGCCCAGTTGTGTCCTTGATTCCGCACTCATCAGCACCACTTGCGACCCGAATAACCTCACCACCTCTATCGCGAACTGCACCAGCAGACCTCGACCCAATTCCACTTGTGGGCATGACCATGCAAGATCAGGAAAAGGCGATACTCGACGACTTGTTATATGTGTTTATGGGGTTCGAAGGGCAATACGTTAGATTTCGTGACTCGTACAACCCGAACGAGGAAAAGGAACGACTCAATGGCCCAGCATTTGATCCTCTACCGGGCCTTGACCCAAGCCTAAAAGATCTTACATCATCTATGCTCTCCATGGCGACGCATCATTGCGCTATTGAGGCTTTTATTGAGGTACAAAGTCAAGAGGAGTTTGGCTCGGTCAATCATGCTCTTTGCGCGGCAATCCGAAAGTTGCTCAAAGACTACCTTATCTTGATTGCACAGCTCGAAATGAAAGTGTTGACAGATGTCAACTTTACACTCCATCAAATGCATATTGCGATTATCCCCACCGCGCAATGTCTGGCCCAATTATATTCCCTCGCACAAGAGCTTCTGAAGAAGAACTCACTTCTCGAAGAAGACCTGGACGATTCATTGGACGATTTTGACCCGGATAACATCATTGAGCGTCTCAAAGAAGGTGGAGATTTGCTGCCGGGAAGTCTGAGCAAGAAGCGCTGCATTGGGGGTAACGTCTTGGGGCTATTGTCAAATCGTTTGTCCACATTTTCGGGAGATCCAGCTGCAAGGGCAATCCTTGAGATGCTGTTGCGAGAGTCAAGTCGTCCATACATGGTGATGCTTAATGAGTGGTTGCACCGTGGTGGTATCAACGACCCTCACTCGGAATTTCTCATTGGTGAAAGGGCAAGCATCAAACGGGAGCGCCTGGATGAAGACTATACTGATGAGTATTGGGAAAAGAGATATTATATTCGGGATAAGGAAGTCCCTCCTCAATTGGAGACCGTCAAGGAAAAGGTGTTACTGGCTGGGAAGTACCTCAATGTTGTCAGAGAATGCGGTGGGGTGAACATCAGCAGTAAGATTGTGGACACACCTGCGACATTCGACGACCCTCGTTTCCTCGACAATGTCAACAATGCATACTCGTTCGCCAATAAAGAGTTGCTGCATCTTCTTCTAACCAAGAACTCACTCAGAAGCCGCCTGCGGTCGATGAAGCATTACTTCTTTCTTGACAGAGCCGAATTCTTCCTCTACTTTCTCGAATTGAGTGATTCAGAGTTGCGGAAAAAGCAGCGTGATATTAACATTGGGAAGTTGCAGTCTTTACTTGACTTAGTACTGCATCAGCCTGGCAGCATCGCAGTGGCAGACCCATTCAAAGAGGATGTCAACGTCAGGATGAACTCTGTGGGGTTGACTCAGTGGCTTATCAAGGTGGTTAATGTCCAAGGAATCGATCAGGACAATCCAGATTCGATAGCGGATCAATACAAGACACCGGCTCAGAATTCCTCCGCCGATAAACAAAGCAAGGACAAGAGAGAAGATGAGAAGGACATCATCGGATTCGATGCGCTTGAGCTGGACTATGCTGTTCCCTTTCCTCTGTCGCTAATCATCAGTCGAAAGACTGTGATGCGCTACCAGCTGATTTTCCGATATACCTTGGCACTACGACATCTCGAAACACAACTAGTTGGCTGTTGGTCTACACATACCAAAGAAAAGGCATGGATTCACAAATCTTCGGACAAGAGATTCGAAATGTGGAAACGTCGGGTATGGACCTTGCGCTCACGAATGCTGGTTTTCGTCCAGCAAATGCTCTTCTTCGCAACTGCGGAAGTGATTGAGCCTAATTGGCAAAAGTTGATGGTCAAGGTAGATGATGCAGAACGGGACGACACTGAAGACATCAAATCTGGTCTAAACACGAAATCAAAGCCAACGGTGGATGAATTGATGCAGGATCATGTCGACATGCTGGATTCATGCATGAAAGACCTCGGACTTACGCAAGCCAAATTGCTCAAACTGCACGCCAAACTGATGACGGGCTGTGGCATGTTTGCTTCATATGTGGAGTACATCACTAAGTCCATCTACGAAGCCGATCCTAGTATTCAGGCCGGCAAAGGTGTCCCTGCTGGGCCCACGGACCCGGCGCGGATGAAGAGGATTGAAGAGTCAATCAAGAAATACGAGGAGCATTTCAATCGGCACTTGAAGATTCTCATCGATGCTCTGAACTGGTTTGCCACCACTGAAACAGTGTCATTGCTGAGCCTCTGCGGACGATTGACAAACGCCGAGGTGCAGAAACGGGATGACTTGTTCGTCTAAGCTAAAGGCCAAGGCATTTGATGTGTTTCGAATAAAGTGTTGTGTTTGTGAAGCTGTCTCCTATTTAGGGGAGTGCTCTTCTGGGTTTGATCGCCTCATCATTGGCCATTGTGTAATGAAATGACCTTGACGATATGTATGATTAGATTTTACGAAGGTTCCCAATGTTTACAGATCTGGAAACAATTGAAGAACACTCAAACGAAGAACTTGGATCACGAATCCTTTGTAGTTGGTCGCCTACTACGTAGAGTCCTGAAGTTATCGTGGTGCTACATCGACCAAAAGTTCGCGCCGAAAATCAGTTTCGGTTCCACCATGGTGGTGGTGGATCAACCGACCTGACGGACAACACAACGACCACCGCAGAGTCTGCAGCAGAACATGGTGGTCTTTCCCACGGTCATGAAATTATAACAGCTTGCTTTTGTGTGGCTTTTGTGGGATCAAAAGGATCCTTGAAAACCTGCAAGGCCAGAACAACACACGACAACCCATTGACCGGTGCTCGTGTCTATTCGACCTCGTTACAAAGCCGGGACCAATATCAAAATGTCATTACCTACAAGTTCCACGCTTGGTGCCTTTACAGGACCGACATTCAACAATCACGACTTTGTAAGTCACCTACCTTACCCCCAGTAGGTATTTACTTTCCAGGCTGGCCATTCATGTCAGTGGCACACGCGAAGGGAAAAGCAGAGCTGACCTGTCTTTCACAAATGATCAACTGATCTAGACGTCATATGCTCCCGATACTCCTGAACGAGCTCTATTGTCACAAGCACTACAAGACCTGAAAAAGTCCGGTCCACAAGAAGTGCATCCGTACATAAACGGTAAAGAAGTAAAGACTCCCCTCCCCCCCTGTATGTAAATGTGTTGTCCAGATCTAAAAAGGGCCAGATCACTGGCCAATTGACGGCGACTCAGAAATGCCCATTCGACCACGGCACGGCGGTGGCTCGGTACTCGGAAGCCACTCCTGAGATCGTTTCGGACGCCATCGCCGGTGCCCTCGAGGCCAAGAAGTCATGGCCAAAGACTTCGCTCGTCGACCGTGCGGCCATTTTCTACAGGGCTGCCGCCTTGATCGAGGGCCCGTACAAGTATAAGATGATGGCGGCGACGATGCTCGGACAGGGCAAGAACGCTTATCAAGCCGACATTGATTGCGTCGCCGAGGTTCGTGGAGGCCCAATTTCCGCGCGAAGATTTCTTGTGATCTGAGGCATAACTGACACTTATATGCGTTGCTTTTTTTTGTAGTCTGTTGATTTTTTAAAAATGTTCCCATCTCTCGCCGAGACCTTATACAAGGCACAACCACCGATCAACGGGTACGGGGTTTGGAAGTAAGTTGGATGCCTTGTACACTTTTTTTTCGATCGACTAAACGAAATGTCACAGCCGAACTGAAGTTCGACCCATTGACGGATTCGTATATGCCATTTGTCCCTTCAACTTCACCGCTCTGGCGGTCAATCTTGTCATGGCACCGATCATCGTCGGAAACGTTGTGGTATGGAAACCAAGTCCCGGTGCCGTGTACTCCAGTTGGCTTTTCAACCAGATCATGATAGACGCAGGACTCCCCACCGGTGTTTTACAATTTGTGCCCGGTGACGCTGAAATGGTCACCGATGCTGCCTTTTCGAGTCGGGACCTCGGCGGGTTGCATTTCACGGGCAGCACCGCTGTTTTCAGAGGATTGCTCGCCCGGATAGGCAGTAAGATGGATACGTGGAAGTCGTATCCTCGTGTTGTGGGAGAGACTGGTAAGTGGGATTGATATTCCATAAACCAAATGGTTTCACTTTAGCCGGAATCAATGCTCACAAGCATCCGAAATATAGGGGGAAAGAACTTCCATTTGATTCACCCCTCGGCAGACATCAGACACGCTGCGTTAAAGACTATACGAGCGGCATTCGAATATCAAGGACAGAAATGTAGCGCGTTATCCCGTGTATACGTCGCCGCATCGGTGGCGGACAAGTTCAGATCGATTCTGGTGGCCGAGACGAATGCTCTCTCCATGGGCGAAGCGTTTCCAGATTTCATCGGCCCCGTGATTAGCGAATCGGCTTTCAAGCGGGTGTCGGGGTACATTCGAGATGCGAAGGATGCCTCTGACATCGAGGTGCTTGCGGGCGGCGAATATGACGATTCCAAGGGTTGGTTTGTTCGACCTACCGTGGTTGAGACCAAGGATCCGAGGAGCAAGTTCATGAGAGAAGAAATCTTTGGACCCTTCCTGTGCATGTATGTTTATGACGACAAGGATTTCGGACCCGAACTCTTCAAACTCATCGACGAGACTTCTGAGTATGCACTTACGGGAGCCGTCTTCGCCAACGACCGGGCGGCAATCATCGAAGCCACGGAAGAGCTCAGATTTTCTGCCGGAAACTTCTACATCAAGTGAGTTGAACATTTTGCGGATGATATGACGACGGATCTGCTAAACATTAAACAGTGATCAATGCACCGGCGCCATGCCTGGTCAACAACCTTTTGGAGGATCGCGATCAAGTGGGACGAATGATAAAGCGGGGTCGCTGGGTTTGTTGACTCGATTTGTGTCTCAAAGAACAATCAAGGAGAACTTTCATACCATTGATAGCGTTCTCTACCCATCGAATTTATCATGAAGGAGGGAGACTGTTCGGGATGGTCAGGGCAATAGCGCGCTATGACACGTTGCTTAGACAGTAGGGTCCTCAAAGAAGGTGTACCGTTATTATGGATAGAGTGTGTCGTAATCGTATGTATCGTAGTATTTCTGCAATACAGGACATAACAACGGGCATTCGTCGATCTGAGAGAGTCCGAGCGACGGCGGACGTTGGAGGTAAACTTCGCGTTCTCGAGTTCTCAATGAGGCTCTGATGGCGAGGCTGACCAATTATTGTTTGATGGATCTTGGCGTGTTTGCCGGACTTTTGGAGAGCATTGCGCATGCATGAGCTTGCCTGGGCCTGTCGTTACTGTATTGGGCGGATACACCGACTGAAAGACACAACCACCAAGTTGACGAAGTCACACATTTTCCCTCTCCTTTACACCGCGACCTGTTACAACAGTGATCCATAAGCCTATCTCTACTGTGAAGACCCCCCTGAGAAATCCATCAAGATGTTTATCGCTCGGTCAGAATACGGTGAGTGCAGCATACTTTGGGCCCGGGCCAATACAATACTAACCATACTCTCGCCCAGATCGAGGAATCAAGTGAGTTTGGCGAGGAACTGCGAAGCGTGGAGCATCAAAAGAAGAAGGTTCCATTAACATCTCAAACAGCACCTTCTCTCCTGAAGGTCGTCTCTTCCAGGTCGAATACTCACTCGAAGCCATCAAACTAGGGTCAACAGCCATCGGGGTACGCATTGCAGAACCACGAGGTCCCAATGTCGCACTCTGGCTAACTCGCACAGGTCGCGACTTCACATGGCGTCCTCCTCGGCGTCGAAAAGCGCGTAACGTCCCCCCTCCTCGTTTCGTCGAGCATCGAAAAGATTGTCGAGATCGACAGACACATAGGCTGTGCCATGTCAGGTCTCCAGGCAGACGCGCGGAGCATGATCGAGCACGCACGGATCGAGTCGCAGAACCACCAATTCAACTACAACGAGAAGCTGGGCGTCGAGAGCTGTACACAGGCCATTTGCGACCTCGCCTTACGGTTCGGTGAAGGTGCGCAGGGAGAAGAGTCTATAATGAGTCGACCGTTCGGTGTGGCGTTGTTGATCGCAGGTTGGGATGAAGATAATGGACCGCAACTGTAAGCAGACCTCGAGACCTTGGGAGTTTATAGCGTCCTCACACAAACCACAGATATCACGCGGAACCGTCCGGGACGTTCTACAGATACGATGCAAAGGCCATTGGGTCTGGCAGCGAAGGAGCCCAGGCCGAATTACAATCAGAGTACCACCGATCGTTGACACTGGAGGAGGCCGAGACGTTGGTGCTGAAGACACTCAAGCAGGTCATGGAGGAAAAGCTGGACTCGAAGAATGTGCAACTCGCCAGCGTCACGCGAGAGGGCGGGTTTAGAATCTACGGTGATGAAGAGATGAGCAACGTTGTTGCAAGACTGGAGGGTGAATAGGCGGCTGTGTCTCAAGTCACACTTTTTCCAGCCATTGTACATCAAAGTTACGAGCATCAATTGGAGTCGGGAGTGCCAACGAGCATAAAGGTCTGGGCCGGCAGTGTATACCGCCCCAGGGTCAAAATGAATGGATTTGCCCCATATCGCTCTTCTCGATATCTTTTACATCCAGTGTACAATTGCTGCTAATGTCGATAGAAATCTTTTATATACTCGCTTAACCCTCGCCTGTGTATTGAATGGGATGTAATGTTTGGGCAGAGACTACGATTCCACCATCCATCAAAACTTCACACATCCTTACTCTGTGGGACGCTCGGCCTGTGGGGTTATGCGTGCTATGTGTCGGCGCTGGCCATCTTGCCAGTCAACGAGAGCAGAGTGTGCTAATCAGTGTTAGGAGGATTTTTCAGCTTGTTTCCTCGAAGAAACTTACCAGTTACTCTGTTGTCCCAAACAACCACGGTATTGGGCTTCCACCTGACTCTGGCTTGAAGATCTTGACTGAGAGCGATGTGGTCATAAAGGAACTTCAATAAATAGTCGCTTTCTTCTTGCTTGAAGCCAACGATATATCTAGTGAATTGGGGATTGACGTAAAGCGCCTTCTCGCCGGTCGCGGGATGGGTCCTCACGACAGGGTGAACTGACCTGAGGAATATCAGTGGCTGAGTCTAAAGGGGTGTCTCACCATCACAATGCTTACGAGATAGGGTTTCTTCTCACGATTCCGCCTCTGTTGAGTGCGCTGGTTGCCTGCTCATGACCCGAGTGAACGGCTTGCAGACCAGCCAGACGCTCTCGGAATGCAGGTGAGAGCCTTTCGTATGCCTTTGCCTGGTTGACGAACAAGGTGTCACCTCCGGCATCGGGCACGTCGAGGGCGTACAAGAAGGTGGTTCCTGCGAGAAAAGTCAGGACGGATAAAGTCATTCAGAACAGCTGACGGGCAATATACCAGGGGGTTGAATCTCATACGTGACATCGCTGTGCCATGCGATCGAGTTGGTGCGACTGTTCAAAAGATCGATGAAGGACTTGTCATCAGCACCACGGTGGACTAGGTGGACTTCGGGGAAGCCTGCTGGTGCACCACTACATTGGAGGTCAGATGTCAAGTCACCTGGTGTTCCTGAGATGTAACCACCACACTCACCTGGCTGGATGGATATGCAGTCTGCCAAAGTAACGGCCAAAATCAAGGGCCTTCTCAATTGGCAGAGTAGCGAAATCTTGGTCTCTGAATGCGACCACTTTCTTCTGGGCTACCAGGAGAGCTAGTTCGTCCTTGCCCTTGTCATTCAACTGGGACAGCTGTACTCCCGTGACTTCGGCGCCGATCGAGGCTGTGAGATCCTCTAGATGGGTACCTTCCTTGAGGAGGTTCGGGAAAGTAGGGTCGGCGTCTTTGCCATGCTCATAATGTTCAAATGGCTGTAAGGGAGGGTATCTACAAGGATAGAATAATATGTCAGTTTGTCCGGTGGACCACTGGGACTGAGGATGGGGAAGACTGGATATCATGTTTTCCAAGACTTACTTTTCTCCCTTCTCATTGTCCCATACTGGCAAATAGCTGGTATACCGTGAGCAAATTGACTCTTGATGACCTCGAATGTCTCCCTTGCTTACTTGGGATAGGAGGCCGGGGCGAATTTTCCAGTGCCTTTCAACTCTTTCTCCAGTTGAAGTTTAGTGGGCAGGATATCCTTGTATGCACCGACCGAGTGTTTATGCTGATCCGTAACGGATGTTGAAGAAAGTACTGCCGCCATGCTTGCTCTGTTCAATTCCCGTCTGTTTATCTACGGAATACAAGCCTTGAATTCACTTGGCCAAGATACCGTGAGGGGGCCCATGGTCACTTTTATATCACAGACTCGGAATTCGGCATGGGATGGTGATTGCATCTCCAACGAACGACCTCTTCCCGCAGCACGACACCAGCATGCTCACTGGCGCAATCGAAATCGCACCCCGCAGGATTTGTTGTCAATCTAAGCAGAGATGAAAATATCATCTAGCAATGGGTCGGCAAGTAAGTGAACTTCATTGCGATGATGATTAGTTGGGTGGAGAGAAACATTGCGTCTTCTTTTTTGAAATTGCGTGATCCTCGACATCAACCCAACATGGAAGGTACATGTTTTTCACACGCAACGTGCATGCTGTGTGTAAGGACAATGAATGGCCCGGTCGGGTGCGTACTCGACAAGGTATTCTGATAAGCATCATGTCCAATCAAGCTTGCTGACCGTCGAGCTTCGTGGCATTGAGGCATGGCTATCAGCTTGCCCATGCCGTTCCCATAAATCACGAGAGCACGCAATATCTTTGCTATCTATCATGGATACAGTATGGCTATGGACCACGTCATACCTCTGTGGGGATACTGCCATTCTCCGTCAATATCAAGTCAGGATGCTGTACAAGATGATAAATGGATAAGGTGTGAAACGGAGCGAACGTCGCCTCGACTTCCTCCCAGAGTTCTTGCAGTATTCATTCAGCCCAAAAGGTCTCTTTGTGGCGGTCTGTATCCATGGCACGAGGTTCTTTTAACGCTGATCCTTCGGGGTTGAAGCTCGACTCCGTTTCCAAGAACGAGACAGTACGAAATACTGTTCCAGTCGAAGACGCTTCCAGTTCGGAAAGTAGTTCCTACACCGAGGACAAAACTTTCATTCGTGTCGATGGTGAAAACGCATATGTCCCTATTGACAGATACGAAGGTCGCCATCGCTGGGACCCTGAATTTGAATGGGATCCGGCGGAAGAAAAGAAGCTCGTACGCAAGATAGACTGGAAGATCTGTACATGGGTCTGTCTTACTTTTTTTGCGCTTCAACTGGACAGAGCGAACATCGTCCAGGCCCTGACCGACAACATGCTGGAAGATCTCAACCTGAACACAAATGATTACAACTATGGGCAGACTATCTTTTATGTGTGCTTCTTGGCGGCAGAACTGCCGTCGCAGTTGATATCGAAGAAGTTAGGCCCTGACCGCTGGATACCGGTTCAGATGATCAGCTGGAGCATTGTGGCCAGTTGCCAGGCTTTCTTGAGTGGGAAGTCGTCATTCTACGCCTGTCGTGCATTGTTGGGATTGATTGAAGGGGGCTTCGTGGGTCAACGATCTTCCATACTTTCTTCTCTGATCAACCTTTACAAGGTGCTGTGGCTGACTTGCCTATAGATCCCTGATACAATTCTATACCTCAGTTATTGGTACAAGGGGAGGGAACTTCCTGCTCGACTGGCATGGTTTTGGACGTCCTATCAAGCAACGAGCATTATTGGTGCATTTTTGGCAGCTGCCATTCTCACCATGCGCGGAGTCAATGGTCTCGCCGGGTAAGTACTATACGGTGTTTCTTGTGGTAGATGTGGTGCCAGGTCCTGACTTTTGGTACCTTTTTTTACAAACAGATGGCGATGGTTGTTCGCGTTGGAAGGGACAGTGACTGGCCTTATTGGTATCGCCACGTATTTCTATATGCCACCGTCACCCTGTCAGACGGCTTCCAGGTTTCGCGGAAAAGACGGTTGGTTCTCGGTGCGAGAGGAGAAAATCATGGTCAACCGTATCCTTCGTGACGACCCTTCAAAAGGAGACATGCACAATCGACAAGCCGTCACTCCCAAGCTACTGTACCATGCCCTGTGCGACTGGGAAATGTGGCCAATCTACCTGATTGGTCTCTCGTTCCTCATTGTCAATTACCCGGCGACGCAGTATCTATCTCTCATCCTCAAGCAATCCTTTGGTCGATTCGAAGTCAACATGCTCACGATCCCATCATACGTTCTCTTCATAATCAATCTGCTTTTTTGGACTTGGGTCTCGGAGAAGACGAACCAGCGCTTCTTGACCGGTCTCGTCAGTCAGTTCTGGGCTATGCCATTGCTCATTGCTTCGGAATTGCTCCCTGCTGACGCCTCCCGGTGGGTCAAGTATACCTTGGTGACACTCCTTGTTGGTACACCGTATGTGCATGCTATCAATGTGGCGATTACCAGTCGCAATGCCGGTTCAGTAAGGACCAGAACTGTTGCGTCGGCCTTGTACAACATGTTTGTCCAGGCGAGTAACATCATTGGGTCGAATGTGGGTTTGATTCTGAATTGGTATTGCTGTGAAAAGAGACATCGTTGACACGAATCTACAGATCTACCGCAACAACGACAAGCCAATGTATCGGACAGGTAACAAGATTCTTATCGCCATTTGTGCCTACAACATTGTGTTGTTTCTGGGAGCCAAATCCTTCTATGTCTGGAGGAACAAGTACGTTGGAAGATGTATCCTTGAAGTTTACGTTCTGTTCTAATACAGTATCAATAGAGTTCGAGATCGCAAGTGGAATTCGATGACGGATGCTGAGAGGAGAGAATATCTTGCGACGACGACCGACAAAGGTAATAAGATGTTGACCTTCCGGTTCGCACATTAAGAAATAGGGCGCCGGCAAGCATAAAAACACACCACCATCAGCTCCTTCTCTTGAAGTATTGATGTTATGCGTCGTGGCGAATGTCCCAAGTTGTGCCTCTTTATTCCTTTAAGACCTTCGACGGCATCAGATGCTGATCAGACATTCGAAGTGATACATATCGGCCGCGTAGATATCAGTATTCAGGTCCAAAGCTACAAAGAGCATTCAGCCTTTTAATAAATCCACAGATCTGTATCAGATCAACCAGCGCGCAGAGTTACTTCAGGCGCCTAAAAGAGGTTCAGGCTGAATCGGATGATTGAAGGTGCCATACGGAGTACAAGTACTTGGATCCTCATGAACTTGGACTATTACGGACTTACCGTACTGAGCATCTCGTCGTATCTCGTCGTCGTACTCGGTAGTTACTGTACTCGTACTCCGTACTCAGTACTTGCTCCGTACTTATGATTGACGATGCGGGGAAAATAATCACGCCGCGCTTCTCTCCACCGTTGATGGCTTCGTCCTTGTCCGAAGTAGTTTGAATCCTCTTCCAGCCGCTTAGACAAAGTCGATCATCCGCCCGTCAGTTCAATTAAAATCGATCATCTTCACGTGGGGAACAAATGGCCGAGCACGAGGACGTGCCCCCGACTTGACACTTCTCTGTGCGATATCAACTCTCTGAGAACATCGTATTAGATGATACGAGTACGCAAGATTGTGATTCGTCCAAGACCATGACCGACACCAAAGATTATGCGAATCAACACCATCACCAACATCAACCTCCGCCCCAATCAAGTCCTTCGTTACTGGGCCGCCATCCGACTCGTGCGAGTGACGCATCTTGGTCATCTTCCATCGACATGGACGGGATGACGAGTGGTTCGGCGGCGGCGGGGGCGACCGCAGCACACGGTCGCAAACGCTCCGCCGACCACCTCCCCCCGGAACCACACGTCTCGCGCAAAGGTCGAGCTTGTCTGGCGTGCCGCAAGCTCAAGGTCAAGTGTGACAGCCTCGAGCGAGGCGACGCGGGGTGTTCACGGTGCCACCGTCTCGGGATCGACTGTATCACTTCCAAACGCATGCGTTACAGTCTCGAGGACGAAGATGGACGTCTCCATCCTCACATTGTCCGTCTGGACAGGGCGGTCGAGGATATCCTCTCTCACCTCAAGATGCCATCTCTCCACTCGTACTCGCCCATTCTCGAAAACTCTCAACCACAACAACAACAATCTCAAGTTCAGTCAGGTTCCTCGGATTCACAATCTCAACAGCAGCCCTCAATCCAACCGAATCAACAACGACAACATCATTATCTGGCACCGCCACAACCACCCGAACCACCATCACATTCACAAACCACCCGCGAAAACTCCAGGGAACCACCCGGCGCCGTCGACCCGGAGAACCCGTCCTCGGAGATGGCCCCGGCTCCCATGGGATCCCTGTACGAGGTCACCCAACTCACGTCGCTGAGGAGCCGGCTGAAGTACGGGGCACCCGCCCGCCGCAACTCCAAGAAGAACATGGAAAACGACATGATCTCGTTGGGCCTTCTCGGCGTCGAAGAGGCCGAGGACATGCTCTCCTTGTTCAAGACCACCCTGTCCCGGTACCTCTTCGACGCCCCCATCCACGAGTCCCGTTCGTTGTTGTCGGTCCGGGAGTCTTCCACCTTGTTCTTCACCGCCATCGTCACCGTCACCAGCCTCCACATCCCCGGCCGGGAGAAGACTTACGCCCTGGCCCACAAGCACCTCCGGGACCTGATCGCCACCAGCTTCTTCGACCGTTTCCACACCCTCGAGGACATTCGGGCCTTGTGTATTGCCGCGTTTTGGTTGCCGGACCTGTCGTGGAAGTTGTCGGGTCACTGCGTCCGTATGGCGACGGAACTCAACCTACACCAGGCCTTTTACAAAGCTTTTTATTCTTCTTCTTCTACCACTACCACCACAACCACCACGTCGACGCGCCACCCGAAACTAGGTTTCGGTGATGGTAACAACGCCACCACCACCACCACCACCACCAAATCATCATCAGAACCCCTCGAGCCCGACCGTCCTGCTCAACTGGAACGTGCGAGACTATGGTACTTACTATACGTCCTGGATCACCATTTTAGTATAGCTTACGGCCGCCCTCCCGTGACCGCCGAATTGCAGGCCATCAAGGAATACCACGTCTTTCTCAACGCCCCCGAGTGTACCCCGAGTGACCGCCGGGTCTTGTCGCAGGTCACCCTCTTCATCATCCTCAGCCAGGCCTATGGACACTTCGGCCTCGAGGCCGAGAGGTTGATGGACGGGGACGAAGTGTCGTTGCGCACCCACGCGCGTTTCATCGAGGACCTGGATACCTGGAGGTACCAGTTTCGCCACGCCCTCAACAGAGATGCCCATATCGGGGACTATCCCGCCGTCGGTACGTACAGTATTTTGTTATTGATTACTATCGCGGGAGGAAAAAATTGCATGCAACGACAAGAAAGAGTGAAAACAAGCTGACTGACTGTCGGGAAATTTTAGGCGTCGATTTACATTACTATTTCGCGTCCATGATGCTCAATTCCCTCGCTCTACGGGGGCGGTCGTTGTTCAACATCTCCTCGACATCAACTCTCCCAACAAGTCTTCGACCACTTGCCTCTCAGGCCATCAATTCGGCCCATCAGATCTTGATCATAGTCCTCGACGAACCTTCGATACGAGACTCCATGGTCGGTGTGCCTTTGTATCTGCATACCGTTATCGCTTTCGCTGTGGTCTTTTTGATCAAGATGTCTTCTCGCTGGGCGGGCATTGGCGTCACGATCGACCCCGAGCAGAAAACGAAACCGCTGATCGAAGCTGTAATCGACTTGTTTAGAAGTTGTAGAGCCGGCAAGGATCACATCTTATATGCGATGGCTGATGGGTTCGAAAGATTGCTCAAGAGTAACATGGGACAGGCGGGGCCTGGGAAGGCCGAGAATGGTAATGTTCATGCTCAAGCCCCTACGACCGCACGAGCCAACGGTCAACAAGCGGGCAGATTCGCACATCCCACACATTCCATGCCGCAACAGCCTCATTCAGAATTGTATGGCTCTGGGACACCCACTATTCTCGCAGCGCAGCACAATACACTGTCCCCAACAGCATACACTCCTCAATCCCAATCCCACCCAAATGCCGGGGGTAGTTATGATACATATTTATCGCCACATAGCCAGCCTACATCGACTGGGACATTTGCAGGATGGCAGACCGAAGATGATATGCTCTGGAGTATGGGTATGGGCTATGATCTGCTGGCGACGGCGCCTGATGTGAATGCTCAGGGATTTCCAGGCTGGCCTGGAAGTGGGTCTGGTGATATGACAGGTGTCGGCTATGGGGTTTGAGAGAGTGGTGGTCGGTAAGAAAGAGTCCCTTGGGCGTTTCGCAGTTTCGTAGTCGAAAATGGCTCCTCCTGCTGTCCTTCGTCTCCAGTATGATACCCAGAAATTTTGGAAATTTTGCTTGATCTTGTCATAGACGTGCCACAGGCGGTAATGAAATAATGATCTGCTCATGAGACTCTGCTTCATCCATATCTTCAGTGTCGATTTGGTAGGAGTTGTTCCATTCCCTCATACGGGCAACTCTGCATTTCTCCTGCCCGACGATATCTTTTGCAGAAACATTTGGATATACGGACCCACGATAGGGATGTTGCCGGCGAATGATGCGATCGTGGCAAAGAAGTCTCCAAATAGGACGAATATGCCGTAAAGTTCAACCAGAAATCCAGTCAGTGGCCAGCGGATCAGGATGAGAAGAATGCCGGCCATAAAGGCCGCTGTTCCCTTCAATTTCTGTCGCCTTGCGAAGAAGATAAACGTCTTCTGAATTCCGATGATGAGAGTGAGACCGATGAGGAATAAGATCTAGAGTACCGTCAGGCAAGAGATCGCTAAGGAAGAAACCGGTACACCTACGTTGCCCATTGCCAGCCTGCGGAACTTGTTAGCATGGTTCTTATGACGATGATGACGTGGAAGGAGACATACATAGAACGATCAAAGAACATGATGACACCTCCAGTCAGGAACAATCCACCTAATGCAATCAGTTGAGGTCTATCTGAAGAGTCGCATGTTGCGCTTTACCTCCCGAACAAAAGGCGACCCCGATTTCTGTACAGCGATTAGTTCATATCCTTCTTCAGCGAAAACAGAGCATGCGCATAGCTTGCTAGTGCTAGGCATGGGAGAGACGTACTCTGCACATCTGTGAGCCACATGCTAGGCATTGCGACTGCTGAGCTGCGAAAGCGCTGTTAAGGAATGGAAGTTGGGCAGTTTTTGAGCAAGTGAAAGCGACGAGGCGAAGAAGAAGACCGTGACAATGACTTGCGAAATTCGTGGTCTGTACGGAGGGACTGAAGGATGAGTTCGATGTTGGAAAACAGCATAACTGTCCTCTGGAAATCGGTCATGCAGGGGTCGAAATAAAAAATACGCGTTCTCGTGGCTTTCTCCAGATTGACGGACGACGGCAGGAATGACGCAGCCTGCGCTACTCACACTTTACTGTGCTCCGTACCACTTTGTAAATCGAACATTCCAGTTTCCTGGCGCCTGTCTCGACCTTCGCACTCGGCCATGATCTCGGATTCGACGTTCTGGTGACAGGCTATCTTGATTGTCATTGGCGAGGGTTTCAATGTCGACCACTTGGCAGCGATGAGGAAAGCCAGCATGTCATGGCTCTGGAGGGTAAGAAACAATGCAAACCACCATTGAACCCCAAACTGATTGCCTCAGAGCGATGCAAACTCTCCTGCTTCCTTTGAGAAAGCTCTCTCCAAGCTGTCCGCCCAGATTGCCGATGCGAATCTTGCCCTTGACACTACGAGATCTCGAGCCCGGCGAGCGAAGGCACTATGGACACTTTATACAACATTAACCTACCTCCTGTATACACTTGTCGTGGTTCTTGTGCTCGGGCCCGACGCTTGGTTCTGGTATCATTACGCGGGCTTAGTCGGAGCACCGGCCATTATTTATGCAGTGCGCAAACTGCTGACTGCGTTCTTTGACTGGAGGGTGAATCGGCAACAATCATACCTGGATCATCTACAGAAACAGCGCGAGTCCAAGATTGCGGATTTGAAGAAGGCTACAAAGTACGACAGCACACAGGAGCTGCTGCAGAAATATGGAGGCGCACCACCAGCAAAAACACCATCAAAACAACCACAACAAGGCCCGAAACGAAAGGTCAATCGGCGTCCAGAGCAAGCCCAACAAAGGACTGGAATAGCACCACCCCCGACGGCAAATATACCTGGACGAAATGTCCAACCGCCTTCCGAGATACCACCGCAAAGTGGACCTCATTTTGCTTCTCCGGCGCATGGCGAGATGCCACCAGCTGCTCAAACGCTCAGCAGCCCTGTAGATATGAGTCCCGACGTTCCTGGTTTTGCTCCTAACGCTTTTGCAAACCCTCCGCCTCCAACCAGTGCATATGAAAACACGCACCACTGGTATGATCGCATACTCGACGTGATGCTAGGGGAAGACGAGACAGCAGCTAAGAATAGGCTGGTTCTACTGTGCTCAAATTGTCGCCTTGTCAATGGTCAAGCCCCTGCGGGTGTCAAGACGCTCGAAGAACTCGGTCGATGGAGATGCAGTGCCTGTGGGAGTTGGAATGGTGTGGAGAGTGAAGGTGCAAAGGTAGTCAAAGAGATTACAGCTACATCGAATCTGCATGATGGTGAGGACTGGGAGAGGGTGCCAGGCATGCCCGATGCTCAGGAAGTATCTGAGGAAGATCAGCACGAAGAGTCGAAGACTGATCATGAAGCAGTCGATGGTGCCCAGGGAGCTACAGGTCGCGATGCCGCCGATGACAGTGGTATCTCCAAGCGAGTGACCCGAAGTGTGGGCAAAAAGGCTTCCTTTGACTCACTTGAATGAGAGCAGTTCATGTCCGTAGCCAGTTATTGATTCCTCATATGTTTGAAATTACCACATGATAGTCATCGAATTATCACAGCCTTGCGCAAAGTAAAAACAATTTTTTGTCTGACACTGCTCTTGAGTGATAGTAGCGCAATTTTTGCGTGGCTCTCGCATTGTCAGACAGCCTGTATGCACGTGCCAAGTTATACAATGTCCATAATCCCATCGCCATGAGAATTTCGATATTTGCTTTGCACTTGAAACTACAGCATTATACACATTGGACCTTCCTGCTGCTTACAGGCACTGATGGATATGAGTCAGGATGTCGACCTTCATTGTCCGCCCTTCCAATTCGGACAAGGATCCTTTTCGTGTCCGGTTGACTGCCGTGTCAATGCTATCGCTAAAATTGAAACCCGGCGACATATGTGAGTTGCGCAAGATTGACGACAGCGACACGGGTCGCAAGAAGTTGGCAATAGCCTGGGAGGCTTCTGGTGCTGGGATGAAGGACACGGTCGTGCAGACGTCGAAGTTGCTCCAGGAGGTCTTCAGCTTCAAATTGTCCGACAGGATCACGATCGGAAGGTCGTCACGGTCAATACAGGACGCCAGCACGTTCGTCTTGCAATGTTGCGATGGGGAACTCAACGAAGCAGAGGCCCAAGATTATTCGGTCTACGCAAAGCTCACCCTTCGAGGCAAAGACGCTTTCTTGGTGTTGGACCAAAAGATCCTGTTCCAACTTGGCGATCACGACAGAGGGTTTATTGTCAAAGATATATCGATAAACGACGACATGATTGCTAGAGTTACTCAACGGACTCGATTCCAAATCACCAACGCTGACAGCTCCCCAGGAAGTATTCAAGGGCCCAAGATCGAGTTTCAGGCCAAGAGTATGGGAGGTTTGGACAAAGAGATTCGTCAAATTCAAGATATTGTCCAAGACCTGTGTTCGCCGAGTGAGAAGGACCATCTACCGGCGTACGAACCTATACAGGGTATTCTTCTGTACGGAGCAAAAGGCACCGGCAAGACGGAGTTGATCTCCTTATTGGCTTCTGCAGAATGGTCAACGGTCACATACTGGGAGCCCGGGACTCAAATCCAGATATCAACACAGCCTCAACTTGTCATCATCCGGCCTGAATATCTTCTTCAGAACGTAGCTGGGTCGGTCAGCGTAACAGGAAAGCTCGACAATTTGTTTCAGCGGATTCGGGGCAGCCCAACACTCATAGTCGGAGAAGCGCGGCATCCAAACGACATCAATCAGTCACTCCGGTCGGCCAAGAGGTTGGGATGTGAAATCGAACTCCCAATCCCTTCAGCTATTCAAAGAAAAGAGATCTTACAGGCATTTCATGAGGGTGCATCTGCTCTTAATGATAACATCTTACAGGAGATGGCGGACAGGACACACGGCTATGTCGGCGATGATCTCTACGCTCTTATGCGACAAACAATCAAGTTGACTTATGATCGGCTTGGCCTGAGGGAACTATCTCTTCAAGACATCCCGGATACCAACCGCGCAGTTTCAGATGATACATTGTTAAAGCCTAAAGGCCCAATTGTGACACTCGAGGATCTCACCGAAGCATTCAAGTATGTTCGGCCTTCCGCTCTCCAAGAAATTTTTCTTGAGAAACCTAAGGTCCGATGGTCAGATATAGGCGGGCAGCACTCTACTAAACGCCAACTACAAAACGCTGTTCAGCGACCACTCAAACAAGCAAGCCGGATGGCGGAGTTTGGTCTCCATCCGAAAAAAGGCTTACTCCTATATGGGCCACCAGGTTGTTCGAAAACCCTCTTAGTCCGTGCTCTTGCAACAGAAGCTGGGACAAACTTCCTGGCAGTCAAGGGAGCCGAGTTGATATCCATGTATGTCGGTGAAAGCGAACGAGCCACTCGAGAAGTGTTCCGAAAAGCCCGCGCAGCAAGCCCCAGCATCATCTTTTTCGACGAGATCGATGCAATTGCCTCTCGGGGCCGGCATGGGAGCGATCTGAACGTGCTCACAACGCTACTCAATGAAATGGATGGGTTTGAGGAGTTGAGAAATGTGTTTGTTGTCGGCGCGACAAACAAGCCGGAAAACATTGATCCTGCCTTGATGCGACCGGGGAGATTTGATAATGTGGTGTATATTGGCCCACCAGACTATGAGGCGAGAATAGAGATATTCCATAAGCGCCTAAGTGTGATACAGTACAGGCCTGATACGGACCTGGCAGAAGAGGTGGAGGAGTTTGCCAAAGCCACAGAAGGATTTTCTGGGGCGGAGGTGGTTGCCATATGTCAGGAGGCAGGAGAGGTTGCATTCGACACCGACCGGGACAGTATCATTGCCGACGATGTCAGAGTAGCTATCAAGACTACCCCGAAGAGCATTACCAAGGAGATGATCAACCAATACGAAAGGTGGAACGCTGCGAGAATGCGGTGAAGGGATTCTTTTTTGAAGCGGATACCCTGATTACTGAGACTTCAGTGTCCATCCACCTTGAGGATCTCGAGATATCAAGATGATAAAATATTGAGAAGCATCCTATCAGCGTTGAGGACCTACCTGACCGTGCTTACCCTGTTTCGAGATTTGGTAAGAACGACACACCGGTTACGACCAGATCAGCTCGAAGAACACTTTCAGAGCCTCATGCATTTACCCAGGACATCATCATACATGTGCGTTTAGGCAACCAATTGAGATGGAATGATCCTTCCAGTAACACCATTCTCTTCTTCTGAGACTTGCTGTTACCATCCTCTAACTTCGACTTGAGGGATTTTGTGGCCATCCAGAGCTTGTTTAGCACCACCTTGAGTTCAACGGCATCTTGGACTGCAGCTACTCCTGGCTCATAGCATACAACCTCCACAGATAGTCAATGCACGCGAAGCGCGTGTGCGCATCAAGTGCCTCGCTTACAAGGCCGACCTCATTGCTTGGAGAGTTGAAAGCGTAAGCGATCGTCCATGCTAATCGCTCTTTCCTTGAAGACAATTGACCGTCATCAGATGCATTCTGCAGCTGACAGCGCATTCTTGCATCGTGAGGGGGAAGAAAGCTCCAATTGCTGCTCACAAGCTTGTCGCAATCAAGATGGCTCGCAGCTCGCAGATAATCTGGTCATCGCTGTGGTGGTCGATGCTACAGCCGCTACCACGACATTTTTGTCCTTTGCACGAACTACAGTTTACAGCTGAGCCAGTTGCGGCTGCAGGCAGCAACATAAACCCAGTCGCCGGGGGTTGAATACAACCTGGAGAGCTTTTTCTCGATCCTGTGTGCCACCCCCCTTTACAAGAAGATGGATATGAACCCTGTCTTTCAAACATATTCTAAACCATCACCATTCACTCATGTTTGGACACGTTGGAGGGGCTGCCGTGTGGTCATGCCACTATTGCCGCATGAGTCTTTGTGGAAAGAACCCTGACCTTTGAAAGGCGCTACTGTCGAAGTACAAGTTCGCATCTTCCTGCAGAAAGCAAGCATAATCTCTCTCTTCTCCAGGCATCACAGATTCCACTGGGGATATGCCACATTGGCCTGTGGTTCAGAAGCCTTGCAACAAATTGCCCAACTACCGATTTTCTGTGCTCGGGAATTGCGAATGCTCACTATTCGAAGCCCAAGCAATCAAAATTTTGCACAGATTTCCTTTCTTGCGGTCGAGTAAGAAAAGGACATTCCAAGCATGTCGTCACCTCACTGTCCCTACCGAGGAGCTGTGCTGACCTACTGGCAATGGTGGTAATACAGGATCACCGGACAAGAATGTCATCATCAGTGGTTGATCAATCTTCGCGCATGAATGGTGCTGCAACTCAAAATGGAAATGCAGCGAATGGTAATGGGTCTAGTTCCATACATCCTGAACAACATCCCCTGGATGTAACCGATTTTGGAATTTTTGACGATGAGATTCAAAACGAAATGGTGAACCTTAAAAGGGGGTGGTCAGGCATTGACCAGACCTTCGACCGGTTACACAAGATCTTCGACAAGCATGGAAGGATCGTATCCACGGTTAAAGAACGTTATGGAGATGACAATGATTTGGTGCAAAAGATCAAGGTTCTTGAGGAACAGAAGAGGGGATTCGCCGATGTTCTCATGGGTAGAATCCACGACCATGGAGTGGAGGTTGACGAGCTGAAAAGCCAGCACAATACTGAAATTGGAGCCCTCAAGAAGAAACATGACAAAGAGATCTCCAAATGGAAGGAAGAGGCAGCAGCAGGTGACCAGAAGAAGAAGTATTATGAAGAGCTTGAGAAAAAATCGAGGGCCGACCTTGCCCAAGAAAGGTCGAAGATGGAAATGGAGTTCAGAGAAAAGGAGAAGAAAATGAAGGAAGAAATCATAGGACTCAAGAAATCCAACGAGGTATTCGAAGGCCAACTCAAGTCGGCTACTTACAATCTTGCTCGAGCAAGAGAAGAGTGCCAATACCTCAATGAGCAGAATAATGATCTACGAGCTCCGTACCTCACGGTGCCAGAACCGGTTCAACACTAGTAAGTCACCCTGCTAATCAATTTTGCCCTATATGCTACAAACAGAAAACTGATCTAATTTTTTGCTTGGGATTCCAGTGCGGAGCAATACGAGTCCCTTTTTGCGAAAATCGAAGAGATCGCAAGGACCTATTTCGAAAACCTCCCTGAAGAAGCTCTGAATGTAGGTTGAAAGTCTCCGTGCACGCATCTCAGCACCATGACCTCGATAACTCAATACCCCTACTGGGATGGGTTTGCTAACATAATCTGAACGTACATAGCAACCTGCCTTTACATCCATGAACTTGATCAAACTACACAATCTCTTGGTCTTTAAAGGTATACCGATCACGCCAGATCTCTGTTCAAAACATCTCCGCCTTGCAGCGGTTCAAAATGTCATCTACGAGGCCATCAACAACACCCTATGGAAGCCATGGTTCTGTGGCTATCTGCGTCAGAACAATGAAGACCAAGAGCTTGTGCCAAAGATGTTTGAGTGTCTGAAAGATCGCGGAGAGAACGAAAGGCAAAACTGGAAGATTTCCACCTTGAGGATCCTGGAGCGCCTCGACGATACTGTGGACATGGTGGAAATCGTTACGATTCCGGTCAAAGAGATCGTCAGACGTTTGAAGCCCTTGTTGAATGAGAATCAAAGCGAAAGCCTCCGAACAGATTTGATCGACACGTTCATCAAAGCCATTGAACTCGGCAAAAAGTCACAACGTGAAAAAGACCCGATACTTATCAGCATGGAACCCACTGAGGCAGACAGCGAGGGATGGCAAGAATACTTGAAAGACTACGAAAGGTCTTCGTTCGTCGATTCGTCTTTCGGATCCCCTGTCGAGCCCTTCCATCAACGACTACTTGTGAGCCCACTGGTGTATCGCGAGGCCAATAAACCTATTGGGTCGATGACAAGACAGAAGATGTCGAATGATAAGAGAGATAGCAGGACAGGTGATGTGCAAGTCATTTGCGCTGGCATGGCTCTTTTCTCGGACACTGGCATCCTACGGGACGGCGCGGCTCAATCGAAAGAAATCAATAACGCTGCGAGAGAAAAAGTTTCTACATTCGGCACTGGTGGGAACAGGAACGGCGGGTCTTCGGCAGCTTCATCACCCACGATGAGAAGACGTGTTGGAAGTATACCCGCCAGTGTGACTGCGTCGGCAGCACCCTCGACGTTGTGGGGAGCCGGATTGGGGATAGCGACAGAATCAACGTATGGTTAGCTTATGTAGTTGTTGCCAATGCTCTTCCCTTATGCTGGGGATATACGCGATAATGACATGTATTGTTTTTTTTTCCAAGACTTGGTATCATGGTCGTCAGCCTAAGAGGGGAGTGAGATGGGATATAATACGGGTATCCTCCGCTCCGATGCCACCGCCAGCATCTAATGATCCCCGTGAGGTTCCTCAAGATTGAGTTGACCCAGCGGGGAGGCGAAGATCAAATATGCGTATCAAGGTGAGTGAGTGGTACCTGACGAGATGGTTTTTTGATATAACCTCAACAATATATCCTATCCGTCCATTGGTCGGGCGGGTCCCCTTTTTCCATCTCAGCCTCATTTCATAAATCCGTGAACTCCCGACCCATTTAAAACGACCAACATTTCAAGCACACCCTTTTGTGACCCTTGGGGATCTGATCCGTTGATCTTGTCGGTCTTGTTTGACAAGTCGAGCTCTCGTCTTGGAATGAATACATGTAATCTGACCACTCAAAAACTTCCCACGAGCCCTGGTTAGATATTCTCAGAGCTAGCCGGCCGTCATGACAATGGATGTTTTCTGGTCCCGGCGCGACCGTCTCTTGCCTCAGCTTTTGAACAAGGCCGACCGCTCTCCTCGTCCAAACATGACCTCCGCCTCCTCTACCCTTCCCTGGTGCAGATATAATCGAGCGAGTTTACTGCAAACACTTCCGCCGCAAGTGGTGGTCCAACGGTCGTCGTTCACTCCTGATGTCATCCCTTCCCTCTCCGCCATCGCCATTTCGAACATCCGCTCTGCCGTGTCCAGTTTCCCTTCAGAGACGTACATACCCCCGAGTTCGTCGAGAGTCTCGAAAATCGACGAGGACCGGTCCACTCCTGGCGCCTTCTCCCGTCTCTTTCCGACCAGCACCCGCTCATACAACTTCCCCGCGAGTTTCAACCTGCCCTCCATGTTGTACAAGAGGCCGAGGATGGCTTGACTGTCGAGCGTCGATGGGTCGTCCGTTCCCAAGGTCATCCCCTTCATCGTCAGAACCCGCCTTTGTATTCTCTTGGCCGGACTGTAATGTCCTCGACCTCCAAGGAACAATGACAGGCGGGTCATCGAGGTCGTCCGCATCATCACGGCCTCTTCTCGCCACAGCGCGTCGTCAAACCGTTCGTGAGCAAGCCGTAACACGTGACCCGTAAAATGTTGATATCTGGGAGCCGATAGTTGAATCGACCGGCAGTCCTCCTCCTTGTCGGTAAAATGACTCGTGAGGAGATCAAAAGCTAGCCAGTATAGCCTGGTATCGATAATACGATTCAGCCCGTTTAGCGTCCAGTCGTGTACGCAGGTGTGTAGTCGGTATGATGATGATGATGATGATGATGATGATGATGATGATGATGATGATGATGATGATGATGATGATGATGATGATGATGATGGCGACTCCTCGTCATGCTGCTGTGTCTCTTCTACCACCAGACAATGGCAAACCAGAACGCGCATGGTATCGTCAAATATGGACGCGTCGTCACCACCCACAAGCTGTTGAAACCACGTCGGTGGAGGAGGAGTATCTCCAGGCCTCCCGCCTTGGAACAATTCGAACCAGATATCCTGGTGGTCCAGATAGGCAAGGAATCGCAACAGATGGGCGGCACGTGGGTTCTCCTGCTCAATCAATTTGAAGGACACATCACATGCGGTGTAGAGCGTGCGTGAGGGACGGTCGGACGGCTCTTCCATTGAATCCATCACTTTCCACCGCTCTTCGTAGCGCTGAAGATACTGGCCGAAACTGATCTTGGACTGGCTTAGATATGCTCCGGCAGTGGCCAACGCAAAAGGGAAGCCATCTAACCGCGAAGCCAGCTTTCGAGCCTCCGGATCTGTTCACCATTAGTGATGGATAATTAGCTACAACTATCGGGATATCTCACCTGAATATATATCACCACGTTCAGAACGAGTAGCTAGAATAGCAAGGCTATCGTCCATATCTTTCAGCGACTTCACGAAAACCCTGTATTCATGTATAGACGCTGTCAGATTGTCGGGGTGTCACAATTAATATCGAACGCCGTGAAAGCGGGTGGGTAACCGCGATGAAGATCCATATGTATCCTTTGGCTCATCATGAGTTGTCAACTATAAGCAGCCGACATCATTGGTTGTTATCTCAGACAGCAATTCCCGGATATTTCTATGTGCCCACTCGTGATCCACCTGATCGTTCTCGATAAACGGCAAACGACAAAGTCATTTGCTCTAGACTACTGGCGTTGAAGCTGGCTTCCGAAATGTCATTGAGCCAGAAGATGGACGTGGAGGAGGACCAGGTATCGTTCTGTCCCAAGCAATGGCCAGTTGGTTCTTTCCGACTTCGCCATTACCACCGATCCTCCGCGTCTTTCCATTGCAGTCAATTCTCTCGGACTTGGATAGCAAGATCGCTTTCCTCCTTGCGGCCAATATCGAATTCCTCACCAGCTAGGTCAGGAGAATCCTGAACGTTTAGACCAAGGTAGTAGTCTACTGCCCAATTAGCATCTCAATACATGTTCGACCACCTTCAATTCATGGACCGTTGAAGCCAGCAGATGATACCGGATTGTCCTTTATCTCGTTGAACTTATGCCGAGCTGCCTATGTCGTGATTTAACTATGTTCAGTACAGTCAGGAGCAATGTCGAGGATCCGGTAGATTTTCCCTTCGCTCAAACACTCCATTTCGTAAATGCTTTCGATAATCATGCCGCATGACGCCGCCGTACTTCCAATCAGGTGGTCAAACTTTACACCAATCCACGAAGTAGGACGTCTTCAACATGTCTTTAGCGGCAGTCGCCGCGGAGACCGTGCCATATACCCTTGCAGGCAAGTACGCCAACACCGCATTGTTGTCCTTGCATCCATCCCGGCACGTAGGTATTGTCATCGTCCGACACTTGTCTTGCGTCTGGCTGATTTTCGTCCTCCAACATGGCTTTGGCGGCTGGGAGCTGCTCCGGGAGGGCACACACCAAGCCAACTCAATGACTATCAATTGGAAGAGCCGGCATAGACGGAGAAGGGTAGCCGAAGGACTTGGATGAGAACTCATGCATTGCGACGAGGCTGAGCGTGATTCTTGAGGCCCAGTGTTGTATCAGCGAGATGAAACTGAGGGCATTCGCAACGTGCAGATCATGTGCTGAAATAGAAAGGCGATACGATAGGGAAGAGGGTGAGTGTTATTAAAAGCGTGATCAAGGTGGGCGTGGGGTTTGGAAATCTGAATGCAGCTGAAGCATTTTGGGCAGCAATTGACCAACGCATGATGTTGGCACGAACTATCCTTTCTCGTTCTGGCGGTGCTTCATATTCTGAAATCCGCTGCTCGCTATCGTCATCATGCATATAGCATGGAGAGGTACCGAAACATTGTTGGTACAGGGAAGTTATGTACATGAGAACACCGCATCTGCAAAATCGTAGGGACTATCCAAAGTGCAAATGGTCAGCGAGTCACAAGTTCTTGCGCCGAAGGAACATGTGCATGCGCATACGCGGGCACATTCGACCATATGATCAGCTTCCAGTGTATGGTCCTCGTTTCCCTTTGTTGGAAAACGGACTAAGACCGGCTCAGACAGTACAGGTCATCAGGTGTTACGCTTCCGACCGGTCGGAAAACGGCGCGCCACTGATCCTCAGGCTTGACTCGCGACCAGTCCACATTGACGATGTACTCTGCCTCGGCCTCGACGACGGGAAGCAAAGCTTTTTTCAGTTCTTGCGAGTCCACATCGATCGGTAAGCCCTTGCGTGCTTGGTCACTTAAATACTGTGTCGAGCTGCGGAGACCGTAATTGAGACTCCATAGAAAGACCTCTCGGGGTGAGAGTTTGGCGAAGCCACCTTCCCTTTGGATGAGGACAGTATCACAGATGATATGAGAGCAGTGCTTGCGTAGACGAGGGAGAGCGTACATGTTGTGCCAGAGTGAGCCGAGGAGTGGAAGAGGAGTGAGAAACGGGTTCAGATGTAGTCGGTAAGCATAGATGAACTCGTGCCGCCAGTCCCACTTCAGATCGAGGGCGGATTCCCGTTGGGTGTCCCCAGACCGACGAGTCGGGTCAGAAAATCGGGCGAGAGCTTTCTCAACAGCGGATTCAGTCTTTGAAGGTCTCAAAAAGTCCTTTCGTTCTTGCTGAGGAATCCGACACGGGTATGGAACCACCGCAGAGCCAATGGCCAGGATGATGAGAGGTGTGAACTCGCCACAGATGGCGAATATCAAAGAGAAAGGGACAAGTTTGAGCAAGTCGTGCCGTGTCCGGAGTGCGAGTTGATACTCTCGTCTCGTCAGTACAGGTGCCGCTTGGCCATCTTGCTTGACACCTTGTCTTCGAAATTCGGAGCCTTGTCCTTCTCTTGAAGCAACACCCGATCTGCCATACTTGATCAAGTCTTCAAACTTGTCCGTGCGCAGTCTAGCACGAATCGTCCTCAATTCTTTGTAGTTACCCCATACGTTCTTGAAGCCAGTCTTGTAGAACTGCAAATACGCTTTTCCAACCTTGAAGAGGCGATAGACTTTATCACTCAGGGGGATCTGGCCGTCGTCATAGTCTGTTCGTTTGAGAGGTGGAGGAGTGCTCAGCGGCGCTGGATGTGTGCTTGAAAGGTCTCGATGAATACTGCGTTGCACGTGGGCTGGGTAAGGTTTCAGGGATATTCGGGGATGCTTTTGGTCGGAGTCGTAGAATAAGGTTACAGGATTAGGAGTCGTCTGGTCGAGAAGGGACTTTGATTGAGCAGCAAGAGGTGAGGGAAGTGTGGTTGACTTGTTTCGACGCTGAACGGCGACGGCAGGAAGAAGCCATCGTGGTGAAGTCGAGTCAAGAGCTCCGAAGGTTTGGATCGAGTGTGAGCCGCATTTGTGTGCGCTCAGTAGTTGCACTCTCATCGGAGTCTGGAGCTCAAGGAGTGTGGTGCTCGTCTATGTGGCCGTAGAAATCGTCTTATGGGAATCAAGATTCTGCCTCCGTTTGCGGATATTCTGGCAATCGCATGAAAAATTTATGTGGAGAAAACACGCGGGTGCTAAGTCGAGGCGCGTCATAGACGATCGGGACATGAACAACGAGGCTGCACAAGGCTGAGCATGTCTCTTGTCGACGGTATTTCACCCGTACAGTATCTTTCAAAAACCACAAGCCCCGACCTTATTACAGCGGTGCGGACGTCATTATATCATTTATCTCATCTGAGTTACGCCTATCTGCGATTCCTCAATTATACGAAATTCTGGAGGAATAATGCGGCACTGGACGCCGAAGTGGATGCGCCTCAGTGTTCAAAACATAATCATCAAGATTGATGAGATCAGATTCAGAAAAGATCAAGTAGAAATACTTGAGCGTTTCGGCAAGCCAGAAACTCTACAATTTGGTCAGCCGTTACTTCTTCACATTGACAGGGTCGAACATACCTCCATGGAGTTTTTCTGTTGAATCTTACCATTGACGGCATTAACGTCTTCAATACCAGCATTACCGTACGGTGTTTCCGTGGCCTTCTGAATGGACTGAAACATTCTCCATGCCAGGTCTTGCAGGGTTTTGTCTCCCGTAGTGCGATACAGGATGAAGATGCTCTCGATGGCCTCGGGACGAAGGATGTAGGATGGGGATTGTACGCGGGCAAACCCACGTGGTAGGTCGAGATTGCCTTGATTCTGCCATCGCTGTTCGTCCCATTCACAGCCATCAAGCGACGCACAGTGCATCATGTCGAATATCTCCGGCATGATCCCTGTCGGGAACGCTTCATAGGCATAGGCACAGCCATGAGTAAGTTTTGCACCAATGTCGAGATGGTCAGGGCGGGAGAAGAGCTTCCCTCCAAGAATGAACATCCCTCCAGCGAAGCAACTCAAATGTTGTCCTTCATGACCTAGCGTGACAACACCTTGACTGACGGTGGCAGAGCCAGAGAAGAGTATATCTTTGTTGTCCGGGGTCGTGGGTCGAAAGAGTAAATGCTTCTTGACGGCATCCATGGCATCCAGGTACATCTTTTCGTATATCTTCTCTTGGCCGCCAACCAGAGAGTACATCTTGGGCAGATATTCATAAAGAGAGTCGGCCAAGGCTCCTAGTGTGAAGCTATTCTCATCGAACCGGGCATTTCGGGCATCGATGAACGTAGGCCACATCCCAGGCATGGCCGTGGAGTTTTGAGACTCCTCAAAGACTGAGGTCAGATGTGCAACGGCCGAGTAGTACTTGGGGTCGCCTGTGATCTGTGATAAACGAGTGAACTCCAAAGAGAATGACCCGACAGACGCCGAGATCTGATGCGTCTCTGCAATCAGGGACCCCTGTTTCGCCTGCTCAAAGTTGAGCCAAAAAGGAGGGATCCTGTTGGGAGTGTCAAAGCCGGCATACAGCATGTCGCCGAGCTCGACGGCTTTGGCCAAGAGAACCGGCTCTTGACTCAAATCAAAGGCCGCGAGCAGGCCCCCGAGGTAACGAATGTTGGTTTCAAACATGTTGCAGGCCGTTCCCGTAGTGTTGGCCCAGTCGAGGACAGAGACGGCTTTGACCGCCTCGCGGAAGTCAGACTGGAGGTCCATGATCCAGAGGGTGTCCAAGGAGTCGACCAATGTGGCTGCCCAGCCTCCATACGTATCTTTTCCCGATCCAGACAACGGTTCCAACTCGTCTCTCAGCCACGCGTGGGCTTTGTAATTTTTCCAGCATTTGTCGAACGCAGATTTGACGGCCGTTCGACGCGACAAGCGTTTCGAGGAGTCGGACGGGGACTCGGGTTCAAATTCATGTTGAACGGCGAAAGAATGGAATTTACCCGACGGCAAGGGTGTGATAGACTTTGGGGGATTGTGAGGGATTAGGGATGTCCAGTTGAAGCCGCTTGGAATGACCGTGGTGGTGGTAGGTAAGGGATTGTCGATGTTTAGAGGTAGAACGAAGGTGACGATGGGACGGAAAAGAAGGAGCGTGGTCACAGAAACAGCAATGAGTGTGATACAGTTGCAAAGTCGTCTTCCACCGGTGGCACGCGCAGGGCCAGCCATTCTCGCAGACAAAAGGAGGGAAGTCAACCTTGAAAAAAAAGCAATGGAAGAGAATAAGATGAGAAAATCAATGACCGTATGTGAGGCTCATCAGAAAAGTCCGGGGTATAGGATTTTTAGGCGCCGGGAGCGACAGTTTAGGGAGCGGGCGTGGCTGCGGGCGGTAGAGGATCCGGGCGCAGAGTCCTTTTCAGGGGCCGCCCACTAAGCCCATGACTAACATCCAGAGCAGTCTAGTCCAGGTACCGATCTGCAGCCCGCACGGGCACCAGGCCAGAACAGGATGGTGAACGAACAGGTGGGAATGACAATTGCCATGCTCTTCAGGTATGGAGTGTTGAGTATCCCCGTGTACTCTCGCGAGCACCTTCATCTTCATCCTACTCATCCCGTGATACCATGCAGAAGCCATAAGAAGGGCAACAAAAACAAAATATCATCTATTGATGCTGATAGGAGCCAAGTTCCCCCCGTCTCTGATATCTGAGAAAATCGTTGTTTTTGCTGTGGTCGTACTTAGCAACGCCTCAAACTCGCTCTCGAAAGCGCAATGCTCAACAAGTCCTCTGATTCCCACACCCTGAAAAAATATTACTGCCACAAGCCTATCCCGAATGTAAATCATCCTCTTCTGCTTCCGGCCTTGCTCCCAGCCTTCTCAGACCTTCTGCTGCGAGCGGACTGCACACTAATCTGACTCACGCTGTCCTCAGGTCTGACCTCACGATCCGGGATGTCCAGTTTCGCCAGATCTTTCTGCTTCGAAACCGTCGACATAGTATCGTCCACCTCACGTCTGTCCGCAAAATCCTTGACGCGCAAAGGGTTCAACTTGCCGATGATGGTCCTGGGGGCGCTCACAACATGGCCTGGACTGGGTCGAGACCGAGCAGACACAAAACTCCCACCAGCGCCACTTCCACCTGCTTCACTGCCTGCACCACCGGCCCAAGTTGCGGCTCGCGACGGAGGAAGAGGATACTCGTGAGGTTGTCTGGACTTGGACGAGGCGCGGGAGACTCTCGATCCACCACCTCCCTGGCCGCGGCTGATTGAATGCGTTCGACTGACCACACGTTTCAACGATTCTGACACGTGCAGTACTGTCCTCGCGCCATCGCCATCTCCTCCATCAACATCTTCTCGTCTGCTGTGTCTACTCTCGTGACTCACTCGAGACCTGGAGCGACTGCGACCCCTACTCTCCTCTCCAGCGGCCGGGCCATCAGCCTCGCTCCCACCGATGCGGCACATAAGCCTACTCACGCTCCCTGACCGCGTCTTCGACTTTGAAGATGACCTCGACTTAGACTTGGAGCCACTGGCCTGCGTATCTGCAGTGGTCAAAACTGTTGGTGCACGATAACTCGTCGGCGGGGTCGCCGTCATTCCACTCTTCTTACTCTGCCTACTCATCTTCGAAGTCGCACTGGCCTTGCTTCCCTTGCTCGCCACCGAAATCACACTCTTCTCCCCAGCGAGTACATCTTTAGGACCAGGTCCAAACCCGGAATCGATACTCATTCTGCGCGATCTGCTCGCTGGACGCACAGTCGACGCATATTCTGATCCGGCACGAGATCCTGCTTTCGACCCAGAACGTGACGGTGCCGGCAATGCGAGATGTGAGGAGCGTGCGTCGTTGTCGTGCATCTCTATCACCCTGTGCCCAATACCTTCACTGTAGGCAGACGGGGCGGGCTCGATGGCTCTGTACATACGGACCACTCGTCCATTGGGCCCTTCGTAGCACGCCGCACTGCCTCCCGATGAGTATGCATATTCGTATTCGTACTCAGGATGCATCATCAGTGCCGCCGGCTCGGTCTTGCTGCGTCCAATCACGGACGGACGCTGCTCAGCGTCAGCATTGTCATTATTCTGGCTCTCCTTGGATCGATTACTGAATGCGTAGTGGAGTGCAGCCCCAGCTGCGACACCTAAGATCGTGGCGCCGACAATTGCTTCACCTGCACCGTTTCCTGTGGAAGTACCGCCCGTGGACTCCGGTGTATTGAGATTCGGGCGGACTGAATTTACCAGGTCACGAGCGACAGTTGCTGCATTACGAGCTTCTTGCATGAGTGTATCCAGGACATCGCCTTGTTTGGGCTTCGGGGCTGCTTGCTCGGCGGGTTTGGCGGTTGTGGTGGAGATGCGAGATGGTGCGGTGACACTGCGAGCTTGTGATGGTGCTTTGCTCTGTGCTTGCGAGACCACCGTGGGTGCTGCACCTGGTCGGCTGTGTGCCTGTGAAACAACTGTAGGTGCTTTGGCGAAGGACACAGTGCTTTTCGCAGGTGCAACGGTCGAGGGTGCTTTGGCTGATGCAGCAACGGACATGGCCTTTCGTGAAACAGTGGTCTTTAAATCACCTGGTAAATTCTCCTTGTTTGCTTCGTCAAGAGCAGGACGATAAACTGCTTCGATGGAGTTCCCATCGAAATCGATCACGGCGGCAGAGTAGTATCCCGAAGCATCACGCTGGCATGGTTCACCGTGAATCTTGCCGCCAGCTTTGAGAGCCGCGAAGAAGAAGTCCTGAACCTTCTCGCGAGATGTGGCAGGGAAAGCCACATGAGCGGCCCCAGCTGGCACGCCGGGGATTTCTTGTGTGATCCAGAAATCTGCAAGTGCAGTAGGTGGATCCTTGGGACCAAAGCCAATTGTCTGTTCTTGTCTCCCGCGAAACACGTAGTTCAGTGGTTGCAGTGCGGAGAGGAAGAAGGATGTCGACGTTGGAAGATGGCTGACGGTAAGCGTGATGGAGGAGGGCATGGTAGGTAGGATTTTTGAGGTGAGGATGGCGGTGATCAAGGATCAAAATCTCCTCCGGGACCAGGTGAGGCTTTTTATGCTTGAGCAACTATTGTCAGTCGACAATAGCCTCTGCGTTTTTATGTCCTTCTGGGTCTTGTTGTCAGGCGCGAGCCTTGGTGTTCTGGTTCACGGATTGGGTGGACTGGAGCCGGCGAGACTGTTCCTCGCAAAAGCTCCGGAACACAAGCTTGTTATCTCAGACTGTGGATCGCAGGTCGTCTCTGGACGATGGAAAGGTCGAGAGCTGAATGACAGTGAGTAGCACAAAGGCCTGGATCGTGAAGGTCGAAGCAAATCACCGACCAGGACAGGATGGCGAGGTATATTTAAGTAGTAGTATGAACAATAAGCACACAACAAGTGGTGATTGACAATTGGAGTGTCCGAGACGAGCTTCTCGTATGGGTTTTCGTCCACCTGCTTTAATATTGCTGCTGATTGTAGCATTGATTTGCAGGCACCAGCACCACAACACCGTCAGGATGATCACCTCGTTGATATCGTCAAGAGCAGAACTCCGAAGTCTGGAAAAGTACGGTACCTGCACCGACGCCATCGGACAGAAATACCTCGAAGCGAGTGGTTATGACCAGGTCAGGATGTGGCAGAAGGAGCCTGAGTGGAAAGCTAATGCAGAAGCACGAACTACGTAGGTACGAGTAGGAAGCCATCCACAGGGTTGAGGCGAAGGAGTTTGTTTTGCTGCATTGGGTGAGGCGAGAAGATCAGCCAGCTATTACTGGAGGCGGCGAATGAGAAAAGTCGGCGAAGAACGCTCGACAGGGTGCCACGTTGAAGTCACCTACCCTGACAGCACCGGGGCGCAGAAATAGTCGGCATAGTCCCAAATCATGGGTCTGGTGTAGTGGTCGAATTGGGCGGTGGTTGTGGTGAGGCTGCATACACGCAGGTGGTTTGAAGGAAAGTATCCGCATCCCGTACTCCCTACTCGGCACAAGGAATAGGAGGGTGGTTGGTGAGGCATCAGCCGTGCTTTACCGAAGCCTCCCGACGCCGACATACAAGCACCAGTCCTTGTATTCTACAGTACCTGCCGAGTGCTTAGTCGGTCATTCACTCACTGAAGGCTCATCGTGAATCGGTCGGGCGCAAATGCACAAGATCACATGCCTCCTCATTCGGGGAAAGTGATGCTCACCGCGCCTATTCTAGTTGGAAACACGTCCACATATGTTGGATTTGGGCGGCGAAAGAAAGGATCAATGCGCTTGGCGTGGGTTGATAGGTATTGTAAGCTACGCTGCATAATCTCATCTGGCCACTGGCATCAGCTACACGGTGCTGGGGTGACAGTGGGACAATCTAGCGTAACGAATTCCAACCCGACGCTGTCATACATCGAAACGAGGCTCCTCCTAATTTTGGTTCGTACTGGATGTAGCAGGAATGCTGGCCTCTCTTCTCCGTGGCCTTATCACAAAGGGGCATGGGAGCTGGCTATCGATGTACCTGTGTCCATTCCTATATGATGTCCAGTCATGATAATTTCTCGCACAAGACAACAAGTCTTGTCATCAAATCTGTCCTCCGTAGATTCTACCATATTGGCTTTTAAGATGTAGGGCAGGTTGACATGCACCTACGATTCACCGACGAAAGGAATCGCCTTGAGGTATGTTGAACCAAGTATGTCTTGTTGTGAAAACAAACGCCAGATCCAACTCCCCCAATGCAAAGCAGGCAATGTTTCGTGCAACGTGGCCCAGATGTTGTGATCCAGGTCGTGCAGAAGTGCCGCTGAGATGAGAAATATCTGGTAGGTGAGAGAAATTAGTAGAACATACCGATGCGTCATCAAATGATGTCCCAGGAGTCTTCGCAGGCGTGACAAAATTTGCTACACGTCACACTGGCACTGAGACTGTAGTTGCTGATACTGATGGACTCGTCTTTGAAGGCATCGGCGAAGTCGTCTTTTCCCTTGGCCATAGCACCGACGAAAACGCAGATGCTTTCGGTGGGAGCAAGCTTGTCAACATAGTCTCTGACACGGACCACGTCTGCATCGAAACTCAGCGTCACTTTCCGGCAATTGGGTGGTAAATGGTCCGTGATGGGGTTTTTGATGACCTTGAGCAATTTTTCTTGAGAGTTGACTGATCGGATTGAAAGCCGGTGTAGTAGTTGAACCATGAGACCGGCGAATCGTTTAAAGGTTCGCGGGATACGCACGCTTGGGTTGACTTCGATCAAGACGCCTTTAGCAGTGTGGATGAAGATCTGCAGTCTTCCGGCCTTGTTGATGGGCGAATCCAGGAGCGTAAGCAGGCACTGAACGTTGAAGTCAGCTCGCCACTAGCATCGAAGTGGGATATATAGCCACCTGATGTGTGATATCCGGTCTCGCATCACTAATATCACGGCCCATCTTGCGCATCACGCCAATGTGTTCGTCACTGTTCAACAGCGAATACTTCTCTTCTTTGCCGGACTTCCCGCTATGGGCCGCCTTGTAAGTTTCGAGGCTTGCATTGGACAAGACGACGATTAATCGCTTTGTGTCTTTATCGCTGGCCGAGATAGGCACGTGTTGTTCGGCCACAAGCCGCGGGAGTTCGGGTGGGGGAAGAGACTGCGTTCCTATGGAGGTAGAATACAATGAGTCAAATATCTCTTCGACAAACTTGTCAAACGAATCGTCGTCGGGCATCTTCGAGCTGCACTAAAACAACTTCTGGTATGAGGGAACATACTGGAACGCTTCCTCTTGACTCCGAGGGTAGAGGCTTCGGGCATGATGACTGTGTTGGCCGTGGGGGGTGATGAGTGGCTAAGGAATAGTCTGTGTAACAGTGCTTGACTGGATGCAGGAAATAGAAGGAAGCTGGATGAGAAGAGTGAGCAGGAACTTCGAAGGCTGTATAGGTAGGAGAGGTAAGAAGGAATTCGTGAAATTCGGCGTCGGTCAAATGCTGGGATTTGATTTCCTCACCGCACCAAAAGTCCCCGAGTGTTTTTCCTCCCCGCTATCGGAAACGAAAATTTGCACGAGCTAAAGAGGGTAGGTAAAGCGAGTACGATAACGGGCATGCATCCGACTCCCCAATACTCCGCAGTACGGTCAGCCAACGCCTCACTCCAAGTCTCTCAGAAACAGGCTCATTTGTATATACCTCGTTCAGAAATCGCCGAACATTCACTAGAGCACCTATCACGAGTAGTATGATCTTTTACCCTGATGTACAAATGCCTCCAAGGATTAGGTAGATACCTAGTAGGGTAGTCTGGTCTACCAGATCGAAATAGCTTTTATGGGCTGGCATGAATTCACCGCTCCCAACTCCTACCCCATAACAAACGCTCTCTATAACCAGAATGCTGAAGTCCCTTTTTGCTCGATAAGGCTGTTCAAACTCTCTCTCTATGACTTTGCGGAATCGTGCACACCCAAAGCTGAACAAAAGATATCCATGTGCGATAAGGAGTAGGAAAGAAGAGAAAAAGGAAATAACCCTTGTCACTGCGGGCATCAAGTTCATTTCAAGACAACATGGGAAAAAATGCTCTTTGCTTTCTTCGCGGGCTTGGATCGGTGCTCTACACCGAGTGCAGATCATACATGAAAGGAAAAATAAATTGTGTCAGTCATCGTTTGGCCCCAGACTCTGCCAAAACCAATCAAATATATACCATTGGTCGACCTGGTTGGGACAGCGCAGTCGCAATGCATGTCAAAAGCCCTTTGCTCGATGCGAGACTTCATTCACACGGGTGGTTCACTGAGTCTTCGGCTCCATACGCTCCTGCATCGACTGTAAAAGACCATCACCAAAAGGTGACTGAGGCTGTATCAAGTCACTGGCAATGCGAGGAGGCTTCTTGCCCAAAACATTGTCGACACCTTTTTCACGCTCCTCTGGTTGGCATGGATCGGCAAAGTCAACCACGTCCGGGCTCGATATACTGGTATCATCGGCGATGTCAGTCGCAGTCGCTACTGTTGATGGTGAGACTCTGCGCAGTCCGGGTATCGATGGTGCAATAGGTTCTGGCGAGGCCGAAAGCGGCCCTTTACACTCTGATCTTTCATCTGGAGCATTCAAGAGTCGTTTCTCGTTGTGATCCCCATTCTCACCCGCTTCTGAGACCACTGGGAGTAACGTCGGCCCCTTAGACTCTTCGGTTGTTCTTAATATTCGCTCGGGCTTTTCCTCTTCGCTTCCACGCCGGCCTTTGTCAGCCGGAGTAGATTTATCTGTCTGCTTCTGCGCTTTACGCATGGTCTTTTCCACAGCCCCAGGGCTCATGGGTGGAGAATGTACAGAGGCTTCTCTGTCGCTTCCGTGACTCTCTCTTGGGAGTTGTCGTTGGCTATCTATTGAGAAATTCTGAGTCTGGGTTCCAGAAGGCCGGCTGTCTTGCGCTCTCCTTCGATCAGCCTCCTCTTGGGTCATGGTAATGCCGGTAACGAAGTTAAGAAACCGGTCGCCATATGCTTGAGGAGGAATGGGAGAAATCTGCGTCCGAGGGGCCGAAAGGCCCTTCCAGAAATGCTCAATACGCTTGATTATACCATACTGTCACCAGTTAGTTACCGCCATCTAGACGTGAAAGGTGGACTTACGTGTGTCAAGCAATCGATGACACCAAGATAGTAAACGGAATCTCCCCCTTGACCATCTTCATGCGTACCCCTGATACCCCCATCATAATTGTAGAATATGCGAAATTGTCTTTCATCCCCCGAAGACATCTCAGACGGCATCTTTCTTTGTACCATGCCCATAGGTACAGGCTTCTCCTTCTTGAGCGTCAGCCTCAACTCTCGTGCCTTTCGTGCACTTTCAAGTCGAGATGGAGTTCTAATCAGCATTGAAGGAGTTTGATCGTCTTCTTCTCCTCCTGGCTGGAAAACTTGCAGTGTAGCTTCGCGCAGGTTCTCCTCATTGCCTTTCGCAAGGTCATGAATTCCAACCAGAAGGGAATAGTCCATTATCTGAAGCCTTTGCAACAGTGAAACGTCTCGCTTTAACTGTTCCAGGAAAATCTGACGTATCCGTGCATCGAATTCGAGGTGCTTGTCCCTACGTAGCCAGTTCAAGTCTTTCAGAGTTGCCCTAGGGTTGCTTGCCAGATCCTCTTCCCTAAAGTCTCTCCCTATTGTCGAGCCTTTCAAGTCGAACATTTGATGAATATCCCGATGGGGTGGGAATAGGTTGTTCATCACAACAAAGTGAATCTTGCGACCATAAGGTATCTTGACTCTGTGCAAACCGTAAAACTGGCTGATGAGCGTGTTCGGGTTGTCCACAACATGTCGATAATAATCTCGTAAGATCCTCCTCAGCAACTTATGCTCGGCGTGGTGAATAGTCTTGATGATGTATTTATAGTCTCGCGAGAAATAAAAGAATGATCCAGATTTCCCTGGACTGCCCAGCTCTGAAAGGATATACTTGCTAGTCAGACTGACTAGGTAATCCGCTGGATCAAGACCGAAAATGGCACGCAGGTGTCGAAATACCCACGGCGCATAGTCCTTGAACTTGAAGTCGTATTTTGCGCTAGGTGTCAGTTCATTCCCGGTGATATCGAAACTGAACTTGTGTTTTGCATCGAAATCGGCATCCGTCAATTCACGGTCCATCTTTGCATTTGTTCTCGACACAGTAAATCGAATTCCTGTCAGCATATTGTACGCGGTGACCCAATTGACGTGACCTTCTTCAACTTTCTTCCCAACCACCACACGATCGTCGTCTTCCTCTTCCCTCTTTTTCCTCTTGCTTGCTCTTTTTTGCTTGATCAGTTCCGTCCATCGCGCCGCATCCTCATCTGGGGCCACCTCGTCTAAATGAGCGTCGGACTGCATTGACCGGGTCGTCCTACGCACAAGACCCAGCGACGCTCTCCTATGCCTGACCGTAGAGTCATGGTGGTCTCTCGTGGGGGAGAAGCGGCCGGTGGTGGACAAGGCTTCTTCTGAAGGGCCCGCGGCGAAGGAGAAATCTCGTGAGTTCCGTCCGATCGGAATGGTAGGTTTCGGGACTTGGAGAGTATGGCGGTGGCTGAGTTTCGGTAATTCAGAATTCGAGGATTGGTCTACAGTTCGATCTTGTAGTGCTGCTGACGGAGGCATTGCAGGCGGGGAGGAAAAACGAGCGAGAGTCGGGCCCGAAGCGCGAGGCGGTTGTAGAAACAATGCCTGGCCATCGGATCGCGCAGTATCGGGGACCGTCGAGGCTGTTACCATATGGTATGGATCGTATTCAGGCTTCGCGGGGGGAAGGCTTGTGTCCAGTTTACCCAACTCAGGCGTGTGGCCCCCTAGCTGAACAGGAGCACCTGTAGCTTCTTCATTCAACCCATTCTCAACGCTAGACAGTCTGCTCAGGCCCTCGACTGAGGGCGGACTTCTGAACAAGGTGTCGGTCTGTTTCCCTGCTGCGCTTCCTATTGAATGTGTGCTGCTCGCCTTGGATTGTGACCTGTCCCGGGATGCCTTGATATTTCCATTCGGCAGCCCATTAGTCAGCGAGTGATGGCTGCCGTTCCTGAAATTTTTAAGCTGATCCAGCCTGTGATCTGGATAGCCCGTCTCTACATCAGACCCGCCCGTGTATGTAAAGACACCGCCGATTGTTTTGTCGTGAGACTTGCGAGCAGTACCATCGATGGAAGAGGTATTGGCGCTGTTAGGGACAAGGGGTAGAGCGGGTTCGGGTGCCCCAGGACGCATCGCAGACACAGCGGAATTGTCAGGAAAGGAATGTGAGGGTTGGCATGGAGTTTGGAGGTTACCGACACCCTGCCTGGTGAGAGTGCATGTCTCGAGGTGATTTCGAGGAGGCTTCGGGTCCGTGGTTTGTTTGGTCGACGGTGCGAAGTAGGTGCGCAAATGTGAGTGACGATGTAGAGAACTACAATATGCGGTCAAGGCGAATAGACATTGGTATCTGGTGTGACGTTATGGGAGAATACAGGGGGTGTCATCCTCGACTGATGTTGGTGTTTTCCAGTTTAGATGCTGCTGGCCGGACACAAGCGCAGCCTGAACCAAGAGCCTGAGACTGAGCCGGAGCCCAGCGCCAGATGCCGCCGGTGCCAAGCCACAGTCACTAGCCGGACCGGAACTAATTTCAACTCCCTACAGCGTCTTCTCCCAGCCACTCTTGTCTACGTCAATCATGTCCATCTCGTTCGGATACGAGTACTCGTTACCCGTTTTATGCACCAGTCTACACTCGCCTCGGCCTGCTGACCCGCTGTCCCGAAAACGCGAGTCTATATGGAGTAATGGCAAGTTACATGCGAGCTTTCGTTATGATCATCCAACCCTGGCAACGTGTATAGAACATGCCATGGCTCATATCCGTACGGAGACGATCAGCCAGGTTTCAGCCTCGAAACGCCTGTTTCCCGCAAAACCGCTAATTTTAACATACTCGTGGTTGGTGATGATCATGACAAGGCTGTGATATGACAGTGGCACCGCCGCCACTCAAGGGTTCAGCTCTCGAAGTGAAATTGCTGTTACCAGCGATTTCCGATTTGGCCTGGAACTAACGATGGAACATGTCCAGCAAAATTTTCACTGCCAATACGCTATTCACCTTCCAGGTCATACAATGTCATGCAACCAGGCATTACTCTACTTCGGGTAGGTCGTACTCGAACGCCCAGAAAGAGGGAATTGGCCAGAATTTGGTTGCCTTGGCTATTCATGCAAGTATCACCAAGTACCATTTAGGCAGGGAGCATCTGCGTGTCGATGTTTGTTGATTTGAAAGTTGCGATTGTCTTTCTACTGTGAAACAATCCCTCGATCCGAGGGCTAGGCCATTACAAGATTGCGATCCCACAGACGATATCTGTGTACGCTCGTTGGCCATACTAAGCCTGCTATCCTCAACGCACAATTACGCAACACATGAATACTGCTGGATTGGTGGCAGAACAGATCTGACCATTGTGGAAACAACCAGCTCGTGCTCTTCAGGACAAGTCTCCAAACAGACCCATAACTTCATCTACGATTATATAGCACCGGCAGCTCGATGTCAAGGGTACGCTCGCCTATCTCAACCCATCTCCTTCCCCTGTCAACGCTGAAGTCGTCAACAAAATCCGATGACATGCCGATCCTGCATCACTCATTGCCGGGGATCATCGGCCACTCGCCGTGTGAGACTCTCTCAATGTGGCATGCTCGTTCACATAACCAGCACCCTGACCAATCTCGGATGCGCAATCGCTATACACCTTCAAGCCAACCTTTGGTCAAGGCCATAGCCGAGGAAGTCTCCTGAATTCTGGCTAATAGCCAAATACATGGGACGTGCGGGGGGCGAATCCTTGTTGGCCAGCGCGGAGTAATGGTAAAAACCATGAGTGGACTGATGAACATTTCCCCAGGTTTTTGGGACGTTCAAGTTGGGGTTGATCGACTTTCTTCTTTGTCGAGCCCAGAACTAACTTCCACGGGCCACAGTTACAATGGGTGCTGTTTTGGGTGCTTTAGGCTAATTACCCAATTGTGGCGGGCGAGCCTCTTTACCTTTTGAACCTTTTCTGAACGGAGAGTGCCCGGTACTCGCTTTCTCGTCCAAGGGTAATGTCTGACAGAACAGACGGCAATTACATTGATGGAGAGTCTGGACCTAACTATGTTGAAGAGTCTACTGGACATACACCAAGGCTTCACATCGCCTATGCAACGTCAGACGATGATTTTACGAGTTAGGTAGGCGGTTGCAATTCCCAGCCCTAGGCTATTGACATCTGGACGGACAATCCCCTGGACATGTATATCAAGTCTACTACCCTCGGGGGAAACACAAGTACATTTGTCACTGCGTGTATCTTTTGGAACGTCCTAGTTTTAAAACCAACAGCTCTTCTTGGACGCACCAGCAATGGCGCCACTGGAGAACCAGATTGTCATCGGTACCCAACGAGGCGACACCACCATCGACGTACAGAAACTCCTCGACCAGCCATGGTACAAGTACAAACACCTACGAAAGTTGTACGGATGGATGTGCGTGGTGCTCATCGTCCAAGCCACCAACGGTCTCGACGGTTCGATCATGAACGGCATGCAGACCCTCACGTACTGGCAGTCGTACTTCCACCACCCCACCGGCGCTCAACTCGGAATCTTCAACGGCACCCAAGGTCTGGGCGGAGTCATATCACAATTCTTCCTCTGGTGGCTGGTTGAAAAGATCGGACGCAAGCTCATCATCATCTCCGGGGCCGTCATCATCATCATCGGCGTCTTCTTGCAGTCCTTTGCCCAAGGCATCGCCATGTTCGCCGTGGCACGATGCGTCATCGGGTTAGGACTCAGCTTCGAATACACCGCCGCACCCATGCTCGTGTCCGAACTGGCACACCCGACCCACCGAGCTCAGTTGTCCACATTGCTCAACACTTTGTACTACTTTGGTAAGTTTTCTTCTTCATTCGCGGAGATCGCAACATCTCTTTCGAAAACCCTATCGTGTGAAAGCACATGTGCTGATCCTCTTTCTTTTTTTTTCGAATCGAAACAGGAGCCACCCTCGCAGCCTGGATCACTCTCGGCACACTATCAATCAAGAGCGACTGGAGCTGGCGCAGCGTGTCGTTGATCCAGATGTTCCCTTCCCTCATCTCCCTGTCCCTGACGTGGTGGGTGCCCGAGTCGCCACGGTGGCTCGTCAGCCGAGGCCGCAACGAAGAGGCGCTCAAGACCCTCGTCGACATCCACTGCGGGGGCAACGAGGCCGACCCGCTCGCGCGGTTCGAGTACAACGAGATCGTCCAGGCGCTGGCCTACGAGAGGGAGAACGGCAGCCGGAGCTGGCTCGACCTCGTGCGCACCCCGGGCAACCGGCACCGCACCTGGGTCGTGGTGACGTGTTCGGTCGCGAGCCAGGCCACGGGCCAGACCATCATCGGGTACTACCTGGTGGTGATCCTCGACGGCATCGGCATCACGGACCCCCGCACCCAGAGCATCATCAACGGGTGCCTGACCATGTGGAACATGGGTTGGGCCTTTTGGGGCGCCTACGTGATTGACCGGTTCGGCCGCCGGCCCATGATGTTGACGTCCCTCTGCGGGATGCTCGTCGCGGGTTTCCTGCCGTGGACCATCTGCAGCGCCCTGTACGTCCAGGACGGGGTCAGAAACGCCGGCCCGCCGGTCATCGCCTTCATCTTCGTCTTCAACGCCTTTTACGCCTCGACCTGGAACGGCATCCTCACCGGCTACACGGTCGAGTGCATGAGCTACGACGTCCGGCCCAAGCTCATCTGCACCCAGAACCTCCTGGTCCAGGCCACCATCACCGGCTTCAACTACCTCAACCCGGTCGCCCTCAAGGACATTGGCTGGAGGTACTACCTGGTCGTCAACATCATCATCGTCCTGGTCATCGCCCTGGTCTACTTCACCTACCCCGAAACCTCCAAAATCACCCTCGAGGAGGTCGGCGTCATCTTCGACGGCAAGAGGGCCGTGCCCAACGACATCCTGGCCAAGCAGGACCTCAACGTCGGGGAAGAAGACGCCGTCGGCGGGGACGAGGACCCCAAATCCGTAGAGGTGGTGGAACATTGGGAAAAGTAAGGCGAGCGGGGGATATTTTTCCGGATCCTGTCCGTCCGGGATTGATTACCTGACGATGAAACACTGGGTCAACCGATGCGACAAACTGTCATGATACTACATGGGAAAAAAAAAGTCCAATGACAGTGACATTGGAGTTGTATCATCGAGGGGTAGAGGACTCGGGATCAAAATCGATGCTCGTATAGTCATGGACATGAAAAGACACTCCGTCCACTTCTATGTTGCTTCTGTAACTCTGTGTCAAGGCGTGACTGTTTCATACCACTATTTTGGTCTTTATTGTGCTCGCTCATACATTGATACAAAAGATATAAGCCAACGTCAATAATTGCATTTCGATAATTGCATTCAAGCACGACAGCCCTTGACGACTTCATTATCATGCTAAACTACAAACAAGCACTAAACAGCTCTCGAATGCATGTTACCAAAAGACAAATCACTGCACCAGCACCATGACACCTCGCTTGGATATTCATACTCGGACATAACATGCTGTCAACATAACGTATCCTATGTCTCGGCGGCCTCGATCAAACCAGGAATATCTAAGTCATCAACATCTTCGCAGCTTGTAACAACGCTTCGGTTCCTTCGCCACCACTTTCCGTCGCAGGTGTCCGACCATTCGAAGTGGTCAATTCCGCATTAGGATAATACCAGGCCGTCAAGGCAATGATGATGTACACCATCTACATCCGTAACATGTCAGTAAAAGCATTCATCAATGGAAACAAACATCCCACCACAGAATACTTACCACCAAAAGCGATCCTTCCAGATAGTCCGACGACCCATCTCGGAGGAAATTACCAACCACGAGGATGGCGAGCACGAGCAAGACTATCTGAAAGATCTCAAAGTTCAAGTCCATTGGCTTCTTCAGACCCCAACCGACAATCACCACGAGAGGAGCATTGAACAAGGCCGTCTGGATAGAAGGCCCTAGACAGTGATAGAGAGCGAAATTCTGTAGAACACGAGTCAGCAAATACAAACAGATCTAAAACACTATTTGCACACGACTTACAATCTGGTTATCATATGCCTCATCAATGGCAGTGAGGTGTTCGGCGGCCTTTTCCACCAGAGGAACCAAAATCAAACCAAGAAAGTTGTCCGGGACGCCATGCTCCACGACATATTCAATCTCCTCGACCAGGAAAACAGCCAGCAAGGAGATGATGGTCAAGGAGAGAACAATCGCAAGAACACATTCGGTCATGGTCAGCTTGGCCTTTCGAAGATCTGAGTGCCTGTCTCGGTCGGCCTGTTCGTCGGCCTCGAGGACTTCCTCAAAGATGTTATCGTGTGAAAAGCAATTGTAAATCAGGTACAAGAGAAAGGCGACGATGAGAATGATCGAGACGCCGTGGCTGATGCTAAGAGTGTCGTTGCGGAGTCTGGATTCCGTGTAGCCCTCTCCACTGGTGACTGTACTGCCGCTCAATGACGAGAAGAATGCCGACGGGATCAGCAGAGCAAACCCAGCCACGAGGATCAGACCCGAACCGACTTCGCTGACGATAGGGTGGAACTTTTGTGCCTTGTGCTTGATGCCGCCGACCAGGAAACAACACCCCAGGCAGAGAAGAAGGTTCGTTAGAATGGACCCGAGGATGGCGGCCTGTATGACCGCAATTTTATTGCCATGACCGGCCTCCCCGGTTCCATTATCCTTTGCAATGAGGACCATGAACAGGACAATCTCGACGATGCCCCCCAGAGTAGTCTCGATAAAGATCCCTGCCACCTTGGGCATCTTTCGGGCGAACTCTTGTCCTGCGAAACCCAACAAGTTTGCGGCCGGTACCATGGCAATGTAGTTGACGGCAAACGTCCAGAGGTGATGATCGCCGTGGATGAAATGGAGAGCAATTGCGGCGGGCACAAAGGGCCAGAGAATATTGACCCAGCTGGAGACGGTGCATGACGATGTCCATATGATTTTGAAGAATTTGCCCGGCTCAACCCCTCTTCGACCACTCTCCCCCTCTGGTTGAACCCCAGGTGTGACCATGTGACCGTTGTGGTTGTATTGAGGGAGAGTGGTCGTGCCAGTTGACGCAGTAGCCGACGGGGGCTCCTCTGCCTTTTCCCTGCGACCATTGTCTGCAGCCGTGGCTGGGCTAGCTTTGGCTTTTCGGTTGAACAGTCCCATTGTGAGAAATTAGACGGTGAGGCTGAAAGGTACACGGCAGCAGTAAGAACTCGAGGATTCACTAGGGATACTGTAGAAGGGGTGTGGGATAATCGACAGGGCGTCGAGGTTAATATCTTGGAGGTCAAGGTTGCATGACGGAAGAGCAAACGACAAGCAGAAATAAGAGGATTGTCAGTGTCAGTGTCACTGTCAGCGTCAATCGAGTAGAATAAAAGAAAAGTTGACGCGAGTTGGAAAAAACGCAGGCCAAAGAAGGGGAGTGAGTAGCGAGAGAGTGAAGTGGGAAGAGAAAGAACAGCAAAGCAAAGCAGTTGCAAGCAGAAGCAGTGAGTGACTGCATGAAGGAGGCTGTACAAGTCACAGGCCAAGATTGACCAAGAACCATCATGAAACTTGGACAAGAGAATTGAATGGATGCTTGGCTTCTTGTCAAGCTTGTTTGATCAAGGTTGAAGTCTTGTCGATGCTAAAAGTGATGAGAAGGAGGAATCATGGGCGTTTGTTTTTACTGGAGACAAAAACTCCAGACTCCATCTTATTTAACGCAACATGCCAATCATCGCTATTTCCACACAGATCCCCCGTTATGGAGGGAGCTGAGAAAAGCCAACGCCGTCATCATTGTGAAGCCACCAGGCTCGGCACGACACGCCAGGGGCAGTACCAGGAAAACACCTTAGGTACTCCGTAGAGTATGTTGGAAAAGGGAATTCATACAGGAGAAGAGTTGACGCCATTGTGTTTCCCTTTGCCCTCCTTCGGTAGGTTACCTTGCCTCGAGGCGAATCAATTGGTAAACGTACCATCCCGTATATACCCAACTTGTAATCAGGGAGGTATATATTCTACATACAAGGGTACTCCGTACTGTACGGAATACCACAAAATCCCAAGGACTCGCAGCACCACCAATCAATATTTAAAAAGAAAAGCAATACCTACTTTGTACCCTTCCTGGTCAAATCAATGGCGCCTTTTGTTTTTCCCGTCGTTGATCGCCTCGTCACTTCGCCATTATCCATACCTACCTGGATTGTTCCAGCTGGCTATCGTTACAGACATTTCCCACGTCCCATGTCGCGTTCCTTTCCCCATCTTCAGTCAATCTCGTTTCGGGGCATCAATCACACACACACACACACACACACACATACCATCCCACTCGCCTTCTCCCCTCATCATTTCGTCATTGCTTTCAGAACTCCAAGTTCAAACATCACTTCACTTCTTGTCACTCATCACGGTCCACTTCCAGCTCGGGATGCCACCGGGCTGCGGCGTAGAAACCCCCATAAACACTTCGCCGCTGTCATTTTCGTTGTTGGACGGACTCGTAGAGTTCACGGTCAGGTTCGGCATCTGATCATTCGACTTGGTGTCGGTGGATCCGCTCAACACGCTACTGATCGTGTTTGTAGGGTAGAAATTCGAACCACCCAGGCCAAAAGACACGTCGTTGGCAGCGTCGGGGGACTGTGTGAACAGATTATTGCTCGGTGAATTGCTCGACCACAAGTTTGCAGCCGGGTCCAGGCTCAGACTCTGAGGCTGCATATATTGATCCCATGCTTCCTGTACAAAACATCAGTAACCACCAATGATAGGCCGCGTCATTCCACATCAACTTACCCAGTCTAGATTCATGTTCTGACCAAAGTCGCCCATGCCGTTGAAAAATGCCGCCGGGAATGGACTCGCCGCGTTCGCAGCTCCTGTGCCAAAGATACCCGCGCCGGTCGGATCGTTGTTGGCGCCGAGGACCCCATTGAAGCCCATCTTATCAAATTGACCACCTGGGGAAGGTGCTTGCGACATACCGCCACTTTGACCGGACGCTGGACCTCCGGCCTGAAGCATGCCCAAAGTCATGGCGGCATTTTGTTCATCGTTGTTCGACCCCGGTGTCGGCTGCGTGGTGGTCGGAAGTTGTGAAGCTGCAGGATTGCTGGGAGAGGAGGAGGATTTGATATGGTACAGCAGCACATTCAAGAGCTCGCTTGCCTTGTAAGCTTCCATGCTCAAGTCACGGTTGGCCATCCACACATCGCGACTCTCTTCCAGTGCGCGGATCAGATCTTCCCGGCTATAGTTCAGCCCGGGCACATATGCACCACCATCCGACATATTACTGCCCTGGCTGATGCTTCCGCCACTAACGGATGTGCTCGGCGTGCTGACATCATTATCGCTGCGTTCACGGTGGTTATACAGATCCATGCATACCACCGTGGCCGCCAAGAGGTAATCGTGTGCAGTCAAAGAGTTGACGTGGTTTCGCAGGCTTCTCAGCCGTCCACGTTCTCGACTCTGTTGGTGCTGGATAGATTGGAAACTAAGCAGCTGCATGGCCGAGTCCAGACACGTTCTTCTCGAGTGCGCATATCGATTTCCTGGTCGTGCCAGGCGCATATATCTTCGGTGCAACACACACTGGGATTTGTGGTATACACTCGCCAGGCCAAATCTGGCCACAATCAGGGATATGGGTGCCATATTTTGTTCCGGCATAGGGCGAATTTTGAGATGCTCTGGAGTGCTTTCGTAGATATCTCTCAACCCACGATCAATCTTGAGCACCTCGTCATATCCTTTCCTATTGACTCCATTTATTTCTTCCAGGACACGACCAAATCCAAGTGACAGTCTGCCTTTAGCAATCATGTACGAAATCGGCGTTGCTTCACTTGCTGGTCGCGCTGGGGGAAGTGAAGTCGAATCCTCATCAAACTCATCGTCATAGATATTTCGCGGCAGGTCTGTATCTGAGTCGCCAATCCGAATCATCGATGGTAAGGCAACTTGGAAAGAGAACAACAAGTCCGCGCTTCGTACGAACGTCCAGATACGGCGGCGCATTTCTCCCTGGAAAGGGGTCAGGTTAGGGAATAGTTTGGCATCTCGGTGGTATCCCATTCGCATTGCGAGGCGCGCAATCATGCCAACCAGCACCCAAACACTGGCCTCCGCATCTCGATTGGACGTGTACTCAGCATGCAGATGGAATATCAACGTTTCGATGATATAGTTGTGTGGTTTCGTGTAGTCGGCCGTGATCAGGCAGTGTGCCATCTGGGTGCGGAAGTTGGCGGAATAATCCTGACATTTGCCCCGGAACTCAGGGGGCTCATCGCCTTCTCTACCGTACGAGAGCATGGCCAATCGCATCATAGCGAACAACATGGCCACCCAAACAATCGAGCTTTTTGATGGATCTTGCCAATGCTGATTGTAGTGTCTCTGAAACGTTGGGCCGTGCAAGATATGAGTCGCTGGGTCGAAGGTGTTGAAATATCGTCCGATAAGAATATCAGACATATATCGTGAAGGTATTTGAGCCAGGATTTCGGCACGACTGGGAGGTACAGTCGATCCAAACAAGAGAGCAGGGCCTGCCCCAGCATCGGTCCCCATGGCCTTTCTTGCTTGCTCGACCTTTTCCATCTGTGCTTCGTACTCCTTTTTATGGGCATTAAAATAATTCTTGACTTCGCCGATCTCACTCAACAGCGCAGCCCAATGTGCCTCACCCACGTAAAAAGTCTTTTGCTTCTCAGCGTCGACTTTGAGTATTCCAAAGCTCTGCGTCACACCGTCCGTTTCACTCTCAGCCTCCTGATTGTCGCCGTCGTCCATCATCGTCGTCTCGTCGAGTTCATTGTCCAAGGGCGGACCCAAGGAACCGCTTCCAGCCACGCTCGTTCCGGCAGATAGTGCCTGCTGAACCGCTGCCGGGCCTACAGACTGCGACCCGTTTGTCATCAGGGACAACACTAGTCCCTCGAGCCGATCTATCCGATTCTGCATATCATCCGGTGTGGAATTCGAGGCTCCGTGACTTGAACTGCCCTTCTTTCTTGTCGCAGGAGCGGCATAAGTACACGAAGAGTTATCTCCGCGCTTTGTACAATTATCACATGGTTGTTGTCGGTTGCATTTCAGCTTTCGGTGCCGACACGGCGCGCATGATAATGGGATTCGATTTCGTTTTCGCACTACTCGGAACTGGTCCGGTGAAGCGCCCGAGTGCGACGAGTGTGCTGAGGGAGGAGTAGGAGTCATGTTGAGGCCTTGTTGCGCAGGATCTTAACACCGTCAACCCCGCGAACTTTGCGAACAATCGTCGTCGTCGAAGATGGCTGCGCTGTATTCACGCTTCTCTTCGCGACGGGGAGGTGCGCGACACAGGAAGAAGAGGGATAGTGATATATGCGCCTCGATTGCACCTGCTGCTGCGTGTCGGTCAGGGCGTTGAAGAAAGTTTGGTTCAGGTTGGTCGGCGCAGTGCGTCAGTTGGTGCCTGGCGTAAAATGTTGCTTCGCCCGGACTTAAGGGTTAACCGCGCCTTGGGTTTTCCTTGACTCGAGTAGTTTGTTGGCGATTTAGATCTGCTCAAAAGTCAATGGCGTAGTTTACCGATGGCTTAATTTTAGTCACTACCGCTGTCGCAGTGATTTGCTTGTAGGAAACAAGAGAAAAAGGAAATGGCTGTTGGTGAGGGAATTGAGGGACGTGAGAGAGCGAGGCCAAGATCTAAGGTCATTTAGGTAGTATTATGGAACTAAATAATTAAATAGTTTGAATACAACAGGCTTTGGGGGCGGCAGGTTATTAATGACGCGTCTGGCAACCACTAAAAAGACAAGGGGCACATGCTCTACGGTGGAACATGATATAGTACGGTGGACCAAATGCACAGTCATTACAGATAAATTACCTCGACATGAATCCCATGTTCAGTTACAGCAACGAGTACGGAGAGGCACCTTACCATCAATTCTCTACTCGTACACTGTATGCCAGATGGTGCTCCTACGTAACATCACTGCCTCTCGCAGTCTGAACCATTAATCATCACGAAGCTAGCGTTAGTCCAAATGATGCTGTCGCAATTGATACGCTGGACGGACCGCAATTTAGCGAGAGCCTCTGACTCACACAAGACACTTCTGCACTTCGGAAGAGCTACTAGTTGCATATCATTGAACCCCAAGAGGACGCCTTAACTCCGCGTGGGCCTGTGCCTTTTCTGCTCATGCCTGTGGAATCCAGATAAAGTAGGGGGGAGGGGGGGGGGGATTTTACGGTCGCCAATCACTTCCAGACGATCTTGACTCCTTGTGTGTGAAGGCGCTGCCATAGTGATGTCAACATGCAGAAGACACTACAAGACAGTCCCTTATCTGATTCCCTGAGCCAGGCATCGCCTCGTCTGACCATGTCTGACATGTATACATTGAAAATACGTACGGTCACTATCATCAGAATGCCATGAGCACCAAACAACGGAAGTCTGCCTCCATAATCATTCTTGTAATTTCATACCAATCCACCCTCATATACCTCTAACAATGCAACGGGGACCAGTCGAGATGATCATCTAAGGGCCTGGTTCTCTTTAAAAGTCCCAAAAACCCTTCGGGGCTTTAGTTTGAGCCTTTGTTGGTCCTGGCTGGCTGTTGTCGTCCCCGATGCTCCAATGGCTGTCCATCTGAGAAGGTTTCTTTCGATGTCCAGCAGCACGATTGTTCTCATTGTTGGGTTTCTCGGTAGCAGGCGACACATCTGACATGGACCAATGGCTGTCAAAGTCATTCTTTCGGTTGGTGTTGTTGGTAATCGTGGACAACGGGGCCTTTTCTTGTGGTCGACCAGCATCCTCTTCGTCGAATATGTTACTCGAGTACAGGCCTTGTCGGCCTGAACTAGTGGGCCTGTCCGAAGCACGATTTGGAACAGGCGTCGCTGTATCTCTGAATTCAAAGTGTGTCTCCGCGTCCTTGCGGGGCTTGGGCACAACGTGTCGTTCGACTGGAGGGCCGTCGTCCTGGAATTCAAAGTGAGCTTCGTTGTCGCGACGTGGTTTAGTCGCGATTTTCTGAGCAGCAGGTGTTGCGAATTCGCTTGATTTACTGTCGAGACTGAAGTGGACCACGTCTTGGTCTCGAACCTTTTGCGGAACCTTGGCTGGTGTATAGAAGTCATCGAAATCCCACTGCGAACCATGCTTGTCTGTCTTGGGACGCAAAGGGACGTTGCGGTTTCTGTTGGGTCCGTGGTATTGCATGGGGTCGTTTTCAATTGCGTCGCCCAGGTCAAAGTGGTTGTATTTGGATGGATCCGATTTGTAACCTATCGCACCAGGCTCATTCGGATCGTCCCCAAACAGACGAGGTGGCGCAAATTTCTGACTTGCGCCACCCTTGGGGGCAACAACGACCTGTACAGGAGGCTTTTTGGGCGATCCAGGCTCATGATCTTCGTGACCTGCTGCGAAGAGTTCGCTCATTTCACGTGGAGGAGGTCTTGCCGAAGCACGCGGTGCGACTGCATTCGGGCTGGCGATAGATTCAGGCTCATCGACTGGCTTTGGTGAGAAGAGGTCCAAACTTGCATGTGGGTCTTTGAGATGCTTCTTGCCGGGTGACACGTTTCGAGATGAAGCAATGCTCTGATTTTCGGAACGCCCACGAGGGCTCGTAGGAAGTTCGGATGCTACCTTCGGCGCGGCATTGAAACTGGCAGTGATGAGTCTGACTTGATCCTTGCCATCGGTCACAGGCCAGTTCCTTCCCCTTGATCCAATTACATCGGTCTGTTTCAAAAGTGAAGCTTGATCCCAGGAGAGTCTGACTTGAGTAATCTTCCGTTCTGCGTCGAAGAGGACAAAATGGGTCTGACATATTTAGCACACACAACTTTAACCCCATGAGCTGAGTTATTCTTACCACAGGGATAATGGCTATCTTGTCCACGACAAAGTTCTCTAGACCTGGCAAATACGATCCACCTCCTGAGATGAATTCGAGAACAGTCTCGACTTCCAAAGCAATCGAATTTGGTCCCTCTACCATTGAAATAACCTTTGCATGTTTCGTTGACACCAGCTTTTTATTCTGAGTTTCGAGGTGTCGAATGATCTGTGCAGGCTGCGAAAAGGTGGTCAAGGTCGTAATGTAGTGGAGAGAGGCATTGTCGGAGAGGCTGATGGGATTGGGGAGGTCGAGAAAGCGTTGGTACGTGTCTTTGAGCGTCATCTTGGTAGAGATGCTCGATAACTGAGACGGTGTTTGGTTGGTAGAAAGATGAGTACGTTGTTCAGGAGCGCAACGACACTGTGAGGCGGTTGTGGAGTGAGCAAGGCAATGTAAACAAAAAGTGACCGCCGCCCAACCCTGTAATGGGGAAGTTGCGAGAGGCGCAGAAGTGCTACTCTGAATGTGTTATAAAGCGCAGCAGGAAGGAGGAAAGAATCAACAGGGGAGTAGGCAGGAGGGCAATGTTGTTTATCCAGAAAAAAGCGCAACAATGGTACAAGGAATAAACAGGATCTATTTGGACAGTTGCAGTTAAGTTGATGTCCCTGACAGTTGCATGAAGTACCCTGTAGACGCGTTTTTTGTTGCCCCGCCATTATCGCGCCGCCCACAACACTCAAAGTTCAGGACAGCGCGGAGCTTTAGCGGTGTTTCAAGTCCGCCAACTCTGCTCAACGGTCCGTGGGGGCTGATAATGAACATCATATCAATCATGTCTTGACTTCCTCCGAGTCGTTGTGGACTATATTCGAATGGCAATAACCCAGCTGAATGCCGTGAACATCACCACGGCCCATGTCCACATATCACTGGTCTTGCATTCTCTTCAAAGAGCTTGGCTCTAATAGTCCTGGCCCGCGAAACGAAATGGACAGTCATGATACCAACACTGATCCAAAGCGATGTATCTAGGTCATCAAAATGGAGTCTCGGGGCTTGTCTCGCATATCTGGTAGCCATGTTGGCTCAGCAGCCGGCTGTATTGGCCACTTCTGGTCTGAAAGCACTATTGCAGATTTCCAAAACTCATTCCAAAATTCATCCAGATCAAATGCGCATCACAACGGGCTATACCAGGTTAGTACTCTTTCGACTCTTGATCTCCTGTCTAGAGCGCCTACCCGAACCATTGTGCTGACATCTTGCCAACGGCATACATGTTGCCGACATCGCTTCGCAAACCGATGAGCTGGACTCTGACAGCAGACCCCTTCTCGATCACATCTCCAGCATTGTTGGAATATTGTGGTGGAGTTGCGTCTGGGTTATGTCGCATGTCTGGTGGTAAGTGCTGGAAAGCGTCAGTCTCGAGGCCTTTGCATGCTCTAACGAACCTACCATCTTCGAAACGAAAACCGTCAATGGTCCTGCTTCACAGAAGACTCCTTGAGGCTTGACCGAGGTGACGGCGCAGTCAATCTGATGATATCGCGTCAGTAGACCTGGTGCTGCACCATTGAATCCGTGTACTCACCGTCTCTCCCTTGAAAGGTTTCCATAGAATCGCACGATAGAGAATTGTAAAATGCGCCTCGCCCGAACCCGGCCTGACTTTTCCAGGAGATATGTTGTGTATGTCCATTATGCATACAATGTAATATTCTCCATTGCAACTACCCTCAAGATCCGCATAAAGCTGGTCTCTCAGTCTGTCATGGACGCTGTTCCCAAAGAAGGACGGATGTATGCTAATTTCTCTTTCGAGATAGCGGAGGAAGAACATTGCAGCGGCAGTCCCAAGCTGGGATTACGGTCAACGAACTGTAGTCGAGCTGTGCTCGTCGAAGGCTGGGGTCTGGCCTCGCTTGTAACCTCAATTCATCGTCTTCCAGAGCCCTTGGAATATTGCTTCCCTTTGCTCATGCAAGCCTCGCCCGCGCGATGAAAGCGCTTCGGTTTGGCGCGTCGGTGGGCGTGGAGAGGGGACCTATAATAGGTGGACGAGCAGGGAGGATAGGCTTGAGGATGCTTTGTGCGACTTGCGTGGGATCGTATGGTATGCGACAGACATCAGGCTATAAACCGCGAAAGAATAAAAGAATATCACGAAGCGCAGCCGACAGCGAATACGGTGAAATTTTGAAGGGTTGAAGCGTAAGACTGTGGATCATTTAGACAAAACATGCAATCCTGTTCACTGCGCTGTGATGACACTCAGGTATAGGCAAACCCGAGACCCTCCGGCTGGAGCAATTATGGTAAGATCCTCGCATCAGCAGAAGACGACTGCGTTATCACAGTATCTCTCACAACACCTGTCCATCTTTTCTTTGGGATTCTTCAACAACGACTCCTTCGATTCGGGTACAATGCAATCATCTTCAATGTATTGAGGCCGCCTTACATCTTGCCTGGTGCTGTGCACACTCAAGATATTTCCAAAATGGCACTCAATTTGGAGAACCAACTTCGCTTTGTAGGTCCAAGCCCACGTCTATGCTTCCTGACGCTGCTCTAATTCACAACAGTACGGCGCATACCATCATGATCCAGTAGGCTCAGAGGAATATTGAACAAAAGGAAGAGTTGGCTTATGATCCTTCAGGTAAACATTGCTATACATATCGTGGGAGTACCCATCATTCTCTGGACAACTTTCTTATTGGTATACTTAATCATATGCTCCCCAGAACTACTCGTGCTGACTTTTGGGCAAGGGTACAAACACACCAGCGATAGTCAACCTGCCGTCCTCAATAGCAATCCCGTACCTTGAGCTTAACGCTGGCACGATTTTCTGCCTTTGCTATTGCGCATTATACATCTTACTTGAGCCTGTGGCTGGAACGGGTTTGGCAGCCTTACTTTTGGCGGGAACAGCTTTCGGGAAATACCTCACAGTCACCCATGGAATGGCGGCCAACTTCTGGGCGTCTGCCGGGTTCGTCGCCTCCTGGATTGCACAATTCCTTGGTCATGGAGTTTTTGAGGGCCGAGCACCTGCTCTTCTGGATAACCTCTTCCAGGCCTTCTTTCTAGCCCCCCTCTTCGTTTGGCTTGAAATCCTGTTTGCTTTAGGATACAGGCCAGAATTGAAGAACCGTGTGGAAAAGATGGTCCAGCAAGATATCGCCAAGTACAGGCAGTCCAGAACGGAGAAGGTCAATGGCAAGACTAATGGAGCTGCGCTGGATGGACATACGAAACAGTCTTGATCCAGTCTGTTGTTGTGGCCAAAGACTCGCACTTATGAAGACATCCAGCATACTGACTAGGTCACTGGGGGTTTGATATTGAGGCAGGAAATTATACCTTGCCACTCTTTATATCTCAAGCCTGAAGTCAATACGTTGGTCTCTCAGATCCAGAGTTCGAGATGGCAGGACAGGAAACACTCGTTGACACTTCATGAAGGTTCATCAACAGGGCCTTTCGATATCGATACCTTCTCCTCTCGCATACGGACAGCTCGATATCCCCATAACTTTGAGTTGTAGCGGAATCTCCAAACACCAAGCCTCTTTCGTCCTTTTTTCCGTCGACACTGTAAACAGTCACTTCAGACAGGAAATGCCAAAATCATCACCTTACCAACATGGACGAATTCCTTTCGAAGAATCAATGTGTATTTACAAGAGTGAAGAATATGACGATCTAGTGTGTTTCTGCAATGGGAACTTCAGGACTCGGCAAATATCTGAATTTGGTAATACCTGACAAATGCATCAAGCCATACCGAACCACATCAACTATCTCGCCCATCGGTTCAAAATCGTAAACAAGGAATCAAGTCTCGTTGCCTTCGTACTCCCTTGGTCTCACCCAAGCACCCAAAACTTACTCGTCGTTCCCGGCCTCCAAAATTCCAATATGCCTTCCAAAGCAGTACTCGTTACAGGAGCCAACGGGTTCATCGGATACGCAGTGTGCAGGGCCTTTGCATTGGCTGGCTGGACAACGTACGGCCTCATGCGCAGCGACAGGAGCATCCCTGAACTGGTGAAGGAGGAGATCATTCCCATCGTCGGAAGTGCCGCCGACCCTGCGTCGTTTGTCGCGGATCTACCTCCAATTGACGTTGTCATCTGCTGCTCGGGGGACCCTTCCAACTTTGGCGCCCACTTCAAAGAGATTACCTCTTTGATCCGATCTCTCAGCAAGATCGCACGGAGCAAAGGTCACGGCAAACCACTGGCGATCATCAGCTCGGGTTGCAAAGACTACGGCATGACTCCGAGGCACGGGGACCCAGACCTGGCTCCACACACCGAGGAAAGCCCTCTGAACTTCCCGCCTGTGTTGGGCGAACGGGCGAATGGTGCACTGGATATGATGACAAAGTACACAAAAGATTTCGACTGTGTCATAACGCGTCCGACTACCTTGTACGGCCGCTCGAGTAGCTTCTACGGATTGATATTCTTGCTCGCTGAACAGGCCAAGAGTGAGACCGACGGTGTGTTGGCCGTCACGTCCGACGCTGACGCCATCTGTCACGGCACCCACGTCGACGATGTCGCCGCAGCTTATCTCGCCATCGCCGAGGCCCCGAGGGACGTGGTCGCGGGTCAGGCTTACAACATCTCCAGCCACCGGTACGAGACGTTGGGCGAGATTGTCGAGGTCGTGGAAAAAGCACACGGCATCAAGGTCGAATACGTCGACGCGGACGGAGTCGACAAGGACTCGTACGCCACCAATGCTCTGTTCAACTTTCCACAATGGGTCGATTCGGAGAAGATTCGAAAACATACGGGCTGGAGAGACAAGAAACCCTTGTTCCACGAAGGGTACAACGTGTACCGGAAAGCGTACGAAGCGGCAGCTCAGGCCAAGACGGAGCAGCATGAAAGAGTGATGCGTATGGTGGAAGGGAGGTTTGGAATAAAGGACTAACTAGGTAGTTGTTGGACTGTTACACATATCTACGATGAATAAAAACTAGATCTCATGGAGGGAGTATACTGCACTTTATACATGAGTAGTAATGTTCTGTTGATAAATGTCCAAACTCATGGTTATAGCACGGCTGTGGGCCGCTAATTGCATGGCTATCTACGGAATAATCATTCCTCCGGCTCCCTCACTCCCCTAGGCGCCGGATCATATATCATACCGCTTTCCCTTTCGACTCACATGTTCAGATCAGTGTTGCGTTATCTTGTGAGTTGAGCCCGATTCACAGATGGCTCTGAATAGTTCAAATTTGGAATAATACCGTGCAACATGCAAGAAAATCTACAGAGTACTGTAGGTTGCCGTGATGGCCCCGGGATGCATGTTGTTCCGCTCTCCGGCTGCTTCGAGCCCGCGGACCACACTGACCGTCTTTGCCAGGCCCCAGCAGTGCCATGTTGTATGTATGCCGAAGCAGTCAGTCTCTCGATTCGTGCTTCGACGAGTGGTCCATTGGTCAGCTAGACGGTATCGAACCGGTGCAGTCGTGTCAAGCCGGGTTGCGCCGAGTACCCTTTACACGAATAAATAAAGTTGAGAGAGCATGAGGCACGTTTCGGTCTTCGGTCCTCTGCCAGGCGAGACTTGGTGTCAGGTTTGAGTACCACCACAACTTTCGGGAAATTTCGCAGAAGACACACTCTTCTCTTATCTGCCTGTATCCAAGACAACCCCCTGAAAAGCTGTAACACAATCTCTGTCTGCCTGTACCCCCCAAGATCAGTGATATCTTCGAGTACGACGACAACAGCGACACAACAATGTCGTCGAAGCCCAGAACGACGGTCCTCATAACGGGTTGTTCAGATGGAGGTCTGGGATCGACACTCGCCCTCGCCCTTCACGCCACCAACCACTTCCGGGTCTTCGCCACGGGTCGGAACTTGACCAAACTCTCCAGGGTCAGCGACGCTGGCATCGAGACGCTCGCTCTCGACGTGGTTTCGGCGAGTTCCGTGTCGGCGTGCGTGTCGGAGGTCCTCGACAACCTCACCCCCACGCTCGACGTCCTGGTCAACAACGCGGGTGCCGGCCACATCGGCGCCCTGACCGACGTCCCCCTCGAGTCCGCCCGGGACCTGTTCGAGCTCAACGTGATCTCGTGCCTCGGCCTCGTTCAGGCGTTCATGCCACTCCTCTTGCGGTCCACCCGACCCGGGGGGGCCGTCATCGTCAACCACACCTCCGTCGCGTCCGTCTTGTGCACCCCCTTTGTGGGACTCTACGGGTCGACGAAGGCCGCGATGGCCACGCTGACCACGGCGCTGCGGGCGGAGATGAGGCCGTTTGGTCTCCGGGTCGTGGAACTCAAATCCGGCAGCATCAAGAGCAACATCAACCAGAACAGTGTGAACGGCGGCGTCGGCGTGCCCGAGAACAGTCTGTACCACGCGGCGAGGGCCTGGTTGAACACCCTGTTCACCGGCGAGACGTTTGAAGAACAGGCCATGGCTCCGGCGGCGTGGGCGGCCAGAGTGGTCAAGGAACTCGAAAAGAGGTCACCCCCCGACGAGATCTGGGTGGGAGCGTTTGTCAACTTGGTCTGGTTCGCGGCGAACTTCCTGCCCAAAAGCATGGCCGAAAAGTTGGCGCGGGACACGGTCGGCCTGGGCAAGGTGGAGAAGAGTATCGCAGATTATGGACGTGACAAGGCCGTCGAGGATGTTTATGGCAAGATGTGAGAGTGTCGAGCATGTTTCACTGCGCCGGGCAACATAAACGAGTGCTCTGGGACGGGTTAGGTTCGGATTTAGACTCTTGTTGCTGTCATAATTTGGCGTTCATGTTCATGTGGGGTTTCGGTGGTAGTTCATGATACCGAGCCGGCGATGTTCGCAAGTTGGATCCTGGCAGAAGAGATTTGTCGTTCCAGGGTTTGAATGTCTTGGTTCTGCGAGGTCGAGGACGACGATGAAAGTGCCCGTGAAACATCCGTCAGGGCCGATTGCGTCGATTTTGGGGCGTCCCGGGAAATTTGAAGCATCTGTTCCATGTTTGCGTGGGCTTGATTTGTGTATTTGGATTCCAGCTGCTCAATCTGGCCGTCTATCTGGTCGAGTCCAGTGTCTGATAACCCAAGATGCTGCATCAACGAGAGAAGAGCAGGGGGTTCGGCCTGTGTTGGTGATTCGGCTCGGTGTAATTTTGATCGAGTAGAGCTTCGACGTTCCGAGCCGACGTTTTTGTATTCGTTGGCCAATGTATCCAAGGCGACCCTTTGGGCCTGGAGATTCTCAAGTCTGGTCGCCGTGTGTTGTAAGTGTTGGCTCATGGAGAGTAACTCGTCATGAGTCTACCACAGAGAAATTTAGCATAAAGAGCCCCTTGCATCATTTAGACGTGTACAAACTCACTTGAGTGATGCGTGCTCGACCAGCTTGGTCCTTGAGCCGCTCCATGGTCTTGACGGTGGAGTCGAATGGATTCCCAAATTCTTGGGACACCGCCATGGTGACCACATCGTCAATCTCTGCGTACAGCGATGCTAGATCGGTTTGAACTTCGGTGGCCGAGGCGTCAGAAAAATCATTCGAATCGTCACCATTGGTCGATCGGTCAAGACTCTCCAGGTAGATACGGTCGAGTCGGTCTTTGAGAGCTTGTTGGCGGAAATGGCACAGTGCAGCGGTGAGCTTCGCGGTCCGAGTACGCAACGAGTCGATATCCGGCGCGGTCGTCGACGGAGATGGCTTGACCACGTCGTCGACGTCGTTCAAGTCGGCGAGAGTACGGTCGTCGGAATTGAACGTCTCGGAGACGATGGCGTGGACAGGTCTGATGTTCTTTGCGACATTGTCGCTTTCGTTTTGTAGTTCTGTGTTTAGTGTCTGGGAGAGATCCTCATTCTATTCCGTGTCAGGGGTCAGACCTAGGAGCACTGTTTGGTTTGTAGGATTTTTGGACAGGACACGCACCGCAAACTTGACATGTTGGGTTTGTGCATTTTCTCTCTGGGCAAAGTGCCATGCATGACCTTTGCTTTGGGTGCTCTCGGCAGTAGTAGTAGTAGCAGCAGCAGCAGCAGGAAAGAGGTTCAACTTGTCAGCCAAAGAGCTCTGAGCCTCGAGGAGTGTCGTTTGTCGCTCAATGGCGCGAGTCGATGTTTTTAGTGACTCGATGGCAGACCGCAATTCTTCTGAGATGTTCACCTGCGCACCGGGCCTGCAATCCTGTCGACCACGATCCATCGCTCTGGAATGATCTGTCTCAAACACAACATTACGAAGCTTCACCGACTCGCACGTAATGTAGTATAGTCATGTAGAACGGACAACGAAGGTGTAAGAGATGGATTATGCATGTTCCCAATATCGTGTTGCTATTTACAGTCGGCTGAATTCCGGAGAATTACAATTTATGTAGTGCAAGAAATATACCAGATCTAAGATTCTGAAAGTTATTGATAGTATTGAAGTGTATAAGTTGTTGTCTTTGTACGTATCTCGATGGGACGACTCTACTCATCATACGTACGGTACAGTAGATATCAACCAAGGTAAGACTCGTCCGATTCTTACGGCCGGAGTTGGTTTCTGGAAAATAAAAAAACGAGGCACTCCATCACATTATTGATGACCGGCGAAAGTGGCCGGGAAGGGGGATCCACCGGGCACCTTGCAGAACTGAATTTCCCCCTTCCAAGTCCACAAACATTGTAGGACTCCCTCTTATGACCTCTAGTACTCGTACGGAGGAGTCATGATTGCTCTCTGTGGAGATGGTAGATTCTAAGCATGGCACGTCACTCCTGGTGAGGTTACTGGATACTCTCGTTGTTTGCTTACATAGATCACCGGCCAAAGTGGCCAGGATAAATGAAGTAACAAGGCAAAGTATTGTAGGTCTCAAGGCTCACCATGAAGGTAAAATGAGTATAAGACCTCCCTCGTGTGGCCAACTGGTTCATCACTTCAGCACTTAAATATCCAACCTGCCCTATTAAATCAAACTCATCATTTCCAACACCGTCGGAAAAGTCCAAAATTCAACCGTCATGGCCATCACCCCTGAAACTCCCGTCGTGCTCATCTCTGGTGCGAACCAAGGTATTGGTCTGGCGGCCGCAAAGATCCTCGCGGTCAAACACAAATACCACGTCGTGATCGGTTCTCGTAATGTCGCCGCAGGAGAAGCCGCCGCAAAGACCATTTCGTCTGAAGGTGGTTCAGCGAGTCGCGTCCAACTCGACTTGACATCCGACGACACAATCGCCACAACAGTCAAGTACATCTCCGACACTTACGGTCGGCTGGACGTCCTGATCAACAACGGCGGTGTACTTATGGACGTCGACCACGCCTCCCACCTCAGCACCCGGGAACTATTCACTCGTACCTTCAACACCAACGTCATCGGCACCGCCTGTCTCACCGAAGCCTGTCTCCCTCTTTTAAGGAAATCATCATCACACCCACGGATCGTGTTCGTCTCTTCGACCATGGGTTCCCTCAAAGTTGCCACCGACAAGGACGCCATGTTTTATTCCATGGACTTCAAGGCATACGACTCGAGTAAAGCCGCCTTCAACATGCTGGCCTTGAATTACGCCCGCATGTTGAGTGACGTTGGTGGATTGGTCAATTGTGTCTGTCCGGGAGTCGTGCAGACAAACTTGACCTCGTACAACCAGGAAAACGGACACACTCCGGAAGTCGGTGCGAAGAGGATCGTGGAACTCGCCACGCTTCCCAAGGGGGGTGAAACTGCGACTTTCTCGGACATGAATGGTCCTATACCTTGGTAAGTGTTTCGGGTTCGGATGGCTTGAAGAGTAGGCGAGAAGTTGGGAATCTGGATTGAAAATCGCTAGAGTTCCAAGAACCCCGGTATGTTCAGATCGATAAAAACATAGAGCAGTCGGATTTAGTCAACCTCGATTTGATAGACAAAAAGATCAAAATCTTACACCACAAGATCGGCGGCAGATTCCAAAATCAATCCAAGGTAGTCGATACTGCAATGCCACTCGTCCAATCTTTTCGTGGAGAAACGTGTCTCCTTTACCAAGTCACCAAACGTCATTAGTCTGTCTGTCTCGAACGAGTCTGCATAGGCCGCGCTCCAAACCGAGTCCGACCGGGCTTCCCAGGCATGTCTTGGCGAGGGCAGTGGCAGTGCCATGAAATTATTCGTTAGAGGACAATCATGACCAATGAAGATGTTGAAAACACGATTGATGAGGTAGTAAATCAATAGAGATCTGTAAGTCAACAGTCAGTTTCTAGTTTGTAGCCAAGTATTTATCGTGGATACGAACCGTCGTCGACCCTCCTTGAAAGCCCAGAGACTCCATGTTGTAGTACGGTCATTTCGAGATTCTGGAACCAAGTCTTCAATGCCACAATGGTCGAGATATACAGCGCAAAGAGCCTGTTGGTGATGATGGTGAGTAATTTTTTTTCTAACGGAGAGGTGGGGAGAGGCAAGAAGGACAGAAGGAGGAAGAGGGAGAAGAAACAAGAGATCGCAATCACATATGAAAGACATACATACCTTCATTGACGAAATCATTTCTACATCCCGAGATGTATACCCGGTATCATCCTCGGCCCGCATGATCATGTAAACAAAGTAAGCTTGAAGTGCGGCAAGGAGGTCTTTAGCCGAGAATCTATGCATCTCCCGTACCAGACGATCCTGTTCCGCTCGTATCGTCCGCCACACGAACGCACCGTTGACGGTATTTCTCGAACAAAAAATCTGAGCGATTGACATGCAGTTTGCAATCGGCTCGGGAAGGTCGTGACCCTGGTGTGTATGGATGAAGGGAGGGAATGTCTCTCGTCGCAACATCATGCGAGGGAACGAGCGAAGCATCCGCACCACCCTCGACGCGTGGGTCTGTGACACGGAACTGGGCATGTAGATGGGTTGCATCACCCATTTTTCCGCGTCGCCATAGACAGACCACGAAGCATAAGGGTCCGAAGGGAAGAAAAACTTGGACCACAACCGATCGTCGTACGTGTTCCTCCCTTGGATCTCGTGCATGAGTCGTTGTTGCGAGGAGGAGGAAGTGGCGCTTGGCTCCAAAGACAGCTGCTGCTGCTGAGAAAGTTGTTGGCTCGACATGATGTGGGCGTCGTCGTCGTCGTCGAGAGATGATACGAGAGTGCTACCTATCAGAGTACCATCGATACCCAGCAAGTCTGATACCTCGTCATTGAACACCGAGTCTCGGAAGGCATCATCGTCGTCGCCCAGGGTCGCTGCTGGAGGATGCGCAGTGGTACAAGAGTTTCTTGTTTCTTTTTGTAAATCATCGATGATCGGTTCCGCACTTTCAAACTCGGTAGCCACATCTTCTTGTTCCGCTGCAGTCGTACCCGGTATTTCGGCTGGCCTTGAATTTGCTATAGGAGCAATCTTTTTGCTGCCGTAAATGCAAGACAGCCCGTGCTTTTTACATCGCTGGCATTGTTCTTCAAAACTACATTTGGCTTTGGCAGAACGACATGCAGCGCAGGCCTGAGAGCGACGTTTGTGACGACCTTGGGCTTTTCGACAATAAGTAGTGTGTCGAGTGTATGCGTTTTCTATTGCATGGACTTAGCATAACGTCCAAGAGTAATTAAGACGGTGTACCTTGATATGAGGAGGGACCCACCTGTAGTGAATGGCTTTTCACAAATGTGACAGAATTGTATTCTTGCACTTTGTGACATTTTTGCCAATATCGGTCAGTTTGGTTAATCAGAGACAATAAAATTATATTGATCCAAGAAGCTTGCTCGATGCTCACACGAATACGAGTACTGACTGACTGCCATGTCGTGGTTGGAATTCTGCGACTCGGAATGGTTCTTGTTACGGCCGAAACCGCTGACAAATAACACTCACATCCTCAAAGGGTCACTTCTGTAGAAACATATTGGCGTCTGCTCGACCGTAAAATTAAAACAACGTGTATCTAAATATGTCAGGCCTGACATGGTCTTCCAGGGTCTTCTTACCTGGAGAATAGGACTATGGCAAGACTACGGGAATTCTCGTTGCGAGCCCAACACTTCATCAGCGAGAAGTTGCACCATGTTCCCGCGTACTATGGCAGACGACAAGACAGGTGACCTGCCATGGCACATTGTCGAGAACATGCCATTGTCCACAATGACATGCCATGCTACCAACGCATCACATACTAGCAGATGACGCTGGGAGCTTCGGGGTTCGGAATGAGAGAGGATGAAAGGCGAGAACGAGGTCACGTGCAAGGCTGTCCCCCTGCATATACGATACATGACGACGGTGATAGATTTTGAGGACCTTAAACATTCCCTCGACTGGGAGCTGCCATCCAAGAACTGTTGGTCCAAGAGACCTACAAGCCTTCTTCGTAAACCATCCTCTGTTTTAGTCCTCTGCTGTTCTATACTTCTCAAAAGTGCTCGCTCAAGCATGATCTACGACGTCGCCATCATCGGGGCTGGGCCATGCGGACTAGCAACCGCAGCCAGGTTGCGTGAGTCAACGCCCTCAGCTCTCTTCACCGACGATGAGCACGAGAGATATTGGCGGAGGTTCAAACGTACAGAGACGATTGAGACCGAGAAGAAACGCCAGCGAAAAGCAAGCAGCGCATCCACTTCGTCAAAACCCGAGCCGCCATCAAGGTCGATGATTGTGCTCGATGCACATTCAAATCAATGGATGTCTGCATGGAAAGAGAGGTTTAAGCACTTGCAAATTGAACACCTTCGGAGTCCTCTGTTTTTCCATCCAGATCCCCGAGATCGAGACGGACTTTTAGGCTACTCGCATTTCCATGATCGTGCTGAAGAGTTGCACGAAATCCATAATGTTGTTGGCAGGGAGCTCAGCAAGCACCGAACAAAGAAGAAGCGCGATAAGTATGAAGATTGCTATTGATAGAATTTTCGCTCGACTGAATGTACTTAGGAAGGTTGCTCGACATCTCCGTATCGATGATAGAGACCGTGTCGACTACTTCACACCGTCCACCCAATTGTTTGACGACTTTTGCGAGGATATTATCGATCGTTACCAGCTCCACAACATGATAGTGCAAGCACGGGTTCAGCACATAGATTATGGAGATCTTGGAAGTGTGACAAACCCCAAAGTGTTTGCATTGACAACAGATCAAGGCACGATCTTTTCAAAAACGGTCGTATTGGCAGTCGGGCCAGGTGCCAAGCCACAGATTCCACTTGACTGCCACCTTCGTCTTGACATGCACCAGGGTAGTGTGTGCCATTGTTTCGAAGAGGTCGGATCCTCTTGTGTACCGGATCATGTATCATGCAAGATAAAGGAGAGACAACCTACATCGGTGGTTGTAGTTGGAGGAGGGTTGACCAGCGCGCAAATTGCTGATCTACTTCTCTCACGAGGAGTTACGAAGGTATTCCTGCTATTGCGAGGCAAGTACAAGTTGAAACATTTCGACGTGGATCTCGAGTGGGTGTCAAAGGTCCGCAACCAGCAGATGTCAGTATTCTGGTCCGCAGATAGTGATGAGGGTACGTTGTGGAGTCAGAATGGCTTTCTGAAGTGGCTAACTGGGGGATTAGAGAGATTCGAAATGCTGAAAATGGCTCGGAACGGAGGAAGCATCACACCTTCCTATGACAAGATCTTGAAGAGACATGTTGCAAATGGCCGACTTCGCATTCTTCCATATACGTGTATCGAAGATGGCACTTGGTGTGGCACAAGTCAAACTTGGACTCTTTGGCTCTCATCAATATCGAACTCCGAAAACGTTCTGTCGGGGATCGATCATGTTATATATGCTACAGGGTCGGCTCCGAATATTTGCAATGTTCCCTGCATGCAACGAATGTTGACGGAATACCCTCTTGAATCCATCAATGGGCTGGCAAGAATTACTGAAGACTTGATGTGGCAAGACGACGTTCCATTGTTTCTCACCGGTGGTCTTGCTGGTTTGCGGCTTGGACCAGGAGCTGCGAACTTGGCAGGTGCAAGGCAAGGTGCTGAGAGGATTGCTTGGAAGATTGACGAAATACTGGGAAGACCAGAGGTGGATGTGGATGGTTCGGAGTCCGGGAGTACTCCAACAGCAGAAGAGGCACTTTTACTGAGCCCAAGCAAAATCTCTCTGAGTCGAGACAGGAGCGAGTTTACTGGATCTTTCAACAACCAATTTGAGGCTCTCAGTATACAGCCTGATCGAATTTAAGATGGCGGACAGCTGCGATATAGAGTCTTCAACCCCCTCAAACAAGCAAATAACATTGCAAATGTCCCTAGATGTGAAAGAATAGCTCGGTAAATCTTTGTCGATCTTTGTCGATCTTTGTACAGCCAACGAAGGATCAGGTGCGCGTTGGCCGGCGCCGGCTTCAGGGAGATGAGAATGTAATAGTTGATTTTTGGTGCGTCGATTCGCTAGTCCTGTTGCTTTTGGGATCCGCCATACCCTGGGCACCATATGGTGTCACATCCCAATCCATGACACCATGATCCTCGGGATAGATAAAGCTTCCACAATATGTTTCTCTAGATCGACGGCTGATCTTTAAGAGGAAGATAGCATCGCAAATAAGCCATGGAATGCTCTTGCAGGAGCAACGATGCTTTGATTACCGAAGCTGAAGTTCTTCAAGAACGCGTCCTTGCGTGTGATCGTATTTCATGGCCGCTGCGAGACGTTATTGTCTGACTTCCACCGCCAAACGCACCATTCGATCAAGCATTCGTCGTCCCAGTCCTTGACATCTGCCTGCTCTTTGCCTTCTTCAATAGCCTCCAATCCTCCCGCTTCTAGAAGCTGCCATAACTCACGAAGGTGATCCAGGTAAGCAACGCGCAAGGGATAAGCTATGATCACTCTAGCCAACGGCCCCGGAGTGAGCCATCGCAGGATTGTCCTCGACAGAAGTTCAGGATGTTCTTCGCTATAAATCGTGTCCGCTGCCAAGATCACCGAGGCAGGGTCTTTGGCTGGGGTGAGAGTGCTTCCGTCCTCGAGGCTGAGCAGCTCCGGTGAGTCCCAATCAAGTGAGCCACAGTTGACACGATTCCCGGTGCATTTCAAATTCAGGGCGATGTTTGCAGCAATGCCAGGGAGAAGTGGTGCCAAGTCTGTCAAACAGACTGGTGTCTCCCACACCGTGGCGGCGGTCAACCCGACAAGTCCAGTCCCAGAGCCAAGCTCCAGGATCGGCAATGAGCTCGAGCGAGATGGTTGCACATCAAGTGTATGGAGCTGCCTGGCAAGGACAAAGGAACTGGTCCATGTTTGCAAGCTCAATTGTTGGGCTCGTAGTTCAGGCTCGGTTATTCTGATCGACACTGTCTGGCCGTGTCCAATAGGGACCTCGAAAGCCCGTGACATCGGACTCTTGCTCTTGGAATGCCAGCGTCAGTACTGTAGGTCTGCAGTAACGAGGAAAATATCATTCATCTTTAGAATTTCGAACGTTTGGAACAGCCCTGCCAAGACCTGTGGGAAAAAGATGGATGACTAAGCACTTTCAATATCGACCATATCGACGACCATCGCCATCACCCTGGTACAGTATTGTTCAGTTCGATGAGGGAATCTAGTCCGTTCTGTGTTGTAGACGAGACCATTTTGCTGTGCTTATTGGTTGAATTCAGATGATATTGCACACCAGCTTACTTCCTTGTCGAGATTCGAGTCTGTCTTCTACTTGTCCTTTTTGATCTCTCATATTCGCTTATCTACTGGATCCTTTGCCCTGCATCATCAGTGCGGCCTCAAAGCACGTGCCCAATATCCAGCACGTAGGACAATCCCTGTAGGTATCTACCGTACCATTACTCCATGCTCCGTACTATCTTCCCATATCAGCATGGAGTGCCACGGCAGAGAGCGACTGACAGCCAGACTGATCTCGGCTCGTCCTTGGGGCCACTGTACATACTCGGAAACCCGATAAACCTCCGCCCACCTCTACTGTATCCTTGTACCTTTATCTATCCCGCCAAATTCCAGAATACGAGCGGTCTGCTGCTGGGGCCCCCCACATTATCTCCGCTGATCCTGTATCGCGTGGCGTCTTTCAGGGGTGGGCGAAGGGTCATGGGCCACGGATAGGGAACCTGGGCGTTCGGCTTTTCGCGCCGCACAGAGGGCACGATACGCAGATTGCCGAAAATACTCGACACCCGCCGTAGTCGACATCAATCGACCTCTCGGAGGTTGCAGCACGAATCCAGGCCACTGTAAGTCGATGACCGATAACGAGGCCATCATGATGGTTGCGAGCTAGGCGTATCCGTTCGCATATCGGCACCCAGCTACTCCATACAAGCTCGAGACATCATATATATAATGCAATGGAGGCAGTGTTCTCACGGTATAGCTGACCTCCATACTTTTGTTTTCGCCACTCCACCTCTCGGAAAGGAAAATGTCTGTCGAAAACACCCAAAAGTCCCTCGCCGGCGACGTCGTCGCCCGCCCAGAGAAAGAATTTGATGTCGACGAAAAGCAAACCGGGCATGACTTCGACACAGGGGATATAATTGACACTGCCGGTAAGCCCTCGCGTCCCTGGTCCAGCAAATGCGTATTGCTCTTTTGACACTGACGAAATATTTTTCCGGGTCTAGATTATACCCCCGAGCAGTACAAGAAGATCAGATGGAAGGCAGACCTTTACCTGATGCCTTTGCTGTAAGTTCGCCCCCATGAACTTGACCCGCTCATGTCGTTCCGTGGCTAATTGGTGCTTAATCAAGTTTCTTCGTCGATGGTATCCAAATCGTTGACAAGAACGCCATCAGTATCCAGGCCGTGTTTGGCATGCGCCAGGACACCAACCTCCACGGCCAACAGTACCAGTGGCTGACGACCATTTTCTACTTGATATACCTGGTGGCCGAATTCCCGTCGGTTTACATCCTGCAGAGGTGGAAGGTCGGCTGGACCTTGAGCTTCTACATGCTGGGCTGGGGCGTGTGCGTCATCTGCATCAGCGCCGCCCAGAACTTCGCCACCCTGATTGCCCTGCGTGCCCTCCAGGGTATGTTCGAGAGTGCCGTCAAGCCCGGCTTCCTGCAAATCACCCAGGCCTGGTACAAGACCGAAGAGCACTCCAGCCGTTCCCTCCTGTGGCAGTCGTCCGAAGGTGTCATCGCCGTCATCTGTAACTTGATCCTGTACGGCATCGCCCGACACGCCGAACACCACTCTGGCCTCGCCGCCTGGCGATGCGTCTCGCTGTTCCTGGGTGCCCTCACCATCGTCGGTTCGGTCTGGAGTTTCTTCATTCTCGGAACGCCCCACGAAGTGCGATGGTTGAGCAACGAGGAGAAGCGTATCGCGTATGTTCTATTCCAACTTCCAAGACTCTCCATACCCATGGAGTGGACTCGCACTGACTGAAGACATAAACAGGACTGCCCGTGTTATTGAGAACGGCGCTGGTCAAGACACCACCGGTAAACGATGGGATTGGGACCAAGTTTGGGAGGCGCTGCGCGACCCTCAATTCTACTTTTCGTTCCTCAACACCTTCATCACTTGCATTCCCAACGGGTGAGTGATTCCCGACTCTACATGCTTATCTTTTGTCCTTGAGCTATAACTAACCGACGTCGTTCGTAACAGTGGCATCACTTCGTTCGCATACCTCATGTACGAATCCTTTGGGTTTGACTCATATCAGTCCATGTTGTACGGTCTGCCTCGTATCTCGGTCTACACCTTCCTCTTCATCGGTGTGGCGTGGTACACACAAAAGGTCCAGAACCAACGTCTCTGGATTACCTTGCCCTGCTGTCTTATCCCTTTTGCGGGCATGCTGGCCATGTCTCTACTACCAAACGACCCACAGTACAAGTGGATCAAATGGGGAATGTTCATGTTGACGATCGTTTTTAACCTCGCCACCTTTGTGGCCTGGAGTTTGCGTAAGTTTCTCGGTGTCCCCTCTCCTCATTTGCCGCGACCACGCGGTTCAACCCCCGTCAAGCCCACCAAACGTACTGACATGTCTACAACAGTACCCTCCAACTTTCTCGGCAAGACAAAATACTCCTTCTCCTCCGGCATGACCTTGGTCGCTTACTGCACGGGCAACATGGTCGGCTCTCAGGTCTTCCGGACCAAGGACGCCCCTCGGTACACCCTGGGGACCATCGTCTGTTCCGCCTGTTTCGGGTTGCAGTTCTTCGTCCTCCTCTGCTGGCGTCTGTACTACATGTGGGAGAACAAGCGCCGTGACCGCCTCATGGTCGAGATGGGCGTTTCCGAGGAAGACCGCGTGCGCCTGGCCAGGGAGCTGGGTCAACAGGACAAGACCGATCGCCAGAACATTTACATTCGGTACGCCATGTAAAAATAAAGAGAAAAAGAGTTGGGAAAGAGATTGGATAACCCAGGACACACATGGCCAGGTGGAAACAAATGGGTTGGGTTTTTTTGTGTAAACTTGACGACACATGGCGAGAATTTGTCTGACTGATGAGATGGTGACAATCGATCGGATCATCAACAAAGCTGGTATTTATTATTGAATAGCTGTTTCTCGACAATGTGATTCTGCCCACCATACAATCGCTTCCCACGGCTTTTAAGAAGTTCTGTTATTGAACTTTGAGTTCTAAAATCTAGCGGGTGATTCCCTTCGTACCGACTCAGGAGCAGGCGGAGGGCTTTCGGTGTAAGAGAGATGATCAATAACCCTTCGACCATCCGTCGAAGTAGGAATGGGGTTTGGAGCAGAGTTCACGTCTGTCGTATGTCGAGTACAACTCTGTAAGGAAAGGCCGAGCCGACCGCCTCCCACTGTAAGTCGGACTGGCTTAGTCATCGCCTCTCAGGCCCAAATGGCGACATCTTGCTGAGGTTCTAGATTATCGAACCGGGTTCTGGAGAGGCCCAGATTGGCAGCCGAGTTCAATGAGACCCATAGAAAGATAGGCAGCACTTTGGGTTGTTATCAATGGACTCAGAATCCAATCACGCCGTGCTCAAGTGGCTATTGACCAACGACATGTTGAGGAAACGGGCGCAGTTCACACAAAGTAATATTCAATGTGGTCGTTTTCACACAATGTAGTTGATCATTCTATCCTGTGTGAACTTTTCGTGTTCAATGACAACAAAATGGGCTCAAAACAGCTGTACCAGTATATGCGAAAACAACCATTCAGAAAAGGATGTCAAGCTTCCGAACCAGCTTCCGCTCGAGATTGATTCGTCCTCGTCCGCTGCACGGGTTTGAAGCCTCCCTCGGTCTTGTCCTCTCCCTTTTCGGGCCACAAGACCTGTTTCTTGACGATGGCCCTGACCATGCACGCGACCACCATGGCCCAGGCCAAGATCAGGGCGACGGTCATGACGCAACCGATGACCCTGATGGCGTCGACGTCGAACGCCTCGGCCACGGCGAAGGTGGCTGTGGTCAAGGCCGTCTGGGGGAAGATGAAGCTGAACCACGTCATGGCGAACGGCATGTGGTGGTCGGTGTGCAGGCACTGCGCGTTGGACAACAGACTGATGAAAAAGAACCACCACGCCAGACCCCACAACCAGAGTGACATCCAGTTCGCGCAGAGCCGGAGGATGCGCGCGGCCAACAGGCCCGGCACGGCCATGAACTCGTAGGTCGGGTTGGAGCCGATGACCTTCTGGAGGTTCTGGGCCATGCCGATGGTGCCGCTGACCGTAAAGGCCGACGGTCCCACGGACACGAACATCCCCGGCCGGAGAGGTTCAGCGGGCAACTTCTGCGTCATGAGTCGATAGACGAACGCCGAGTAGATGGTCAGGGAGACCAGGAACCCGATTCCCTGGATGGTGAACCCTGCAATGATGATCCGGATGGCGTGAGACATGTTGCTGATCTTCTCGGAAAGGTTCGCGGCGTGCGGGCCTACGATCAGTAAGGGGTACGCAGGGAAGATCCAGACGGGAGTCATCCGCGCAATGGTAAACGTCAACGTCGACCACAGGATGAAGTAGATGAGGATGCTGAGGCCGATGGCGACACCGCAGTCGAACCAAAAGAGTACGACGACGGTGTGTTGGAGCCAAGCACCGACCGAACCGGCGCCGTATTCGACGATGTTGATGAGGATCGTCCCGAACGACACGGCGAACGCGGGGACGAAAAGTGACTCGGTGGGATGGGTCAGACTTGCTTTGAAAGTCCAAGGGTACAGCACGAAGCGGGTGATGATCATGGCCCAGATGATGAGGTAGCAGACAATGTTTAACAGGAAGAAGATGAGGCCGATGGTATACAGGCCTTTGAATCTGTATGGTACTATTTGGCATCAATTTTTTCCAAGTCAGTCTCAAACAATTGTCCGCGTCAAAAAGTAGTCAAAAAGAAAACAAAAACAACAAACGTAGAAACCTTACCATCGTGCAGCACATTGGCTATACCACCGGTGGCCATGGTCAGAGTGAACCATGCCCAAGTGACGTGTTGCATCCTTTGCTTCCAGGACAGGTTCTTGGGTTTTTCGGCCTCATCGTCGCCACCGTCGTCGTCGCACTGGACCTCTGTCTCTCTATCATCATCGTCGTCATTGTCGTTGTCGCCCCGGCCGGTGGCGGTTCGTGCCATGGTCTCACGGTGATGCGTCGTCGTCACCGGGTCATATTGGGAATATTCGCGGATCAACTGGGAGTGGACCGGTGGTAGATCTGAGTCTTCTTCGATGGTGGGAGTCCGCCAACCCTCGTGGCCCAGATATGGCCTCGCAGTTATATCGAGGCAGCCGTCTTCGTCACCTGGATGATGGTGGTGGTGCAGCTCTCCGGTGCCAGTTCTTTGCATCACGTATCCATGGACATTGGGAGGAAGTGTAGCCCGACGGACTACGGGCGACATGCCGTGGGCACCGTGGTTATAATGTTCTCCCTATTTTTCTCTTGCCCTTAAAAAAAAGACTGCCCGCCCATTAGATGCCCCGAGAGAGAGCGAGGGAGAAAGCTGCACCGCCGCAGATCACGGATCGTCGGGTACAACTGTACTCGTACGCAACACGCGGCGTTTCTGGAATACTCGGCCTATCTCCAAATCCATCCGGGGAAGACCAAGGTCGCTAATAAACTAATAGAACTTGCAGCAACCAGGTGCACGACAAAAGAAAGAGCCCATGGTCGGCAACCAAGGGAATGGGCGATTTGCATTCTTGGGAAAAAAAAGGAGGGGCCGGCTTCCCGCAATCCACCATCCATCATCATTATTGTCACGCTTATTTCACCCTCGTCGTCGTCGTTGACGGAAGCGATTAATCACCCCATTGAAGGACCAGGCACTGCGGTGTGACACGATGCCGGGAATCCGTGAAGAAAAAAATCAATTGGATGGAAGGGAGTTTTGCCCCACGCTCCAGGCTTCTCCTTTCCGAATCTCGGGAACAACGGCAAGTGGCTTGGAAGAGTGGATGATGTAATCTTCGTGGAGTCCACAATCTGAAAGTATAATAATTTTCGAGCCCTGAACATGGCCTAGAATTGCACTCCGAGTTGCAACATGGGCGCATGGTCTAGGGGTATGATTTTCGCTTCGCATTTCCTACACAAGGATGTGACTGTGAAAGGTCCGGGGTTCAAATGTAGGTTGACCTCCTCTAAAGTTGTATTGTATGTATCGTCATCTAACAATTATCTCAGCCCCGTACGTCCAACCAGAAACTCGTTTCTTTTTTTGCTGCTTTGGGACAACGTTACTTTCGTTTTTATCTTTTTTTTCGGGCCATAAATCATTCGTCCTCTAGACATCTTCTGTACTTTGCTGGAGGAGATGTTTTATCGCCGTCGTGTCAGTCAGCAAGGCTCATATCTAAAAACCGCCCCTCCGAACCATTTCTCTCTGGCTTCTAAATTACTCTGACCTTTTGTCTGAGGTTGGAATCAAAGGTTGAATGACACAGCCATCCCGATATGGCCTTTGCCAATTACAACACGGCTTCATTCGTGTAACCATTCCATAACAGGCTGGGTTTAGTGCCTTGCCTAAATCTTCATCTAACAAACACGAAGAGCCAGTTTTGTTTTGGCCAACATCAATATGTCTGATGGCAATCTTTGCAAGGAGAGAAAAACCTGGCATCTGGAAACCCCTCCCCCCGGTCGCATAACTAATTACCACCGCAGGGCGATTGGCAAGATATTCAGGTGAGGTAGGTGAGTTAGATGATGGGGAGGGGAAAATCGCCTCTGATGTCTCTCAGGTTGCCGGAGTTGGCATCACGATGAGTTTTGTGTATGCCGTATGAAAGCCCGTACCTTTTTTCGCTGCCCATCCGGTCTCCTCTCTCATGGACAATACTCCTCAACCCGGTCGTTCAATCACTATACGGTACTTCGTTGGATCTTTGTCGGATACTCACGTATATCACAAGCCCTGCCCCCTTCCCTCCCCCTTTCAACTCAACCAACATCATGTCTGATAAAGCACAAGAGGAGATGGGATAGTCGAAGAAGGAATGCCGTGGTCTACCAGTCTCCGAACAACGCGAATGTCTGCAAGCAGATTCTCCAGAATCAGTCCGTCAGCTGGAACCTGCAAAGCCTCCCAACAATGCTGTCACCCCAGCGCTTTCGTCGGCAGTGGTGCCCTCCGAGGACCCTTCTCTCCTTTCCGAACCCCTGCCACATTCCACAGCCATGTCGGGTGGAGGTGCTCCTCGTACAATAATGCCAGGATCAGGGTCGGAATGTGAGATCGGCGCTGCCGTTGTTGCCAAACCCGCTGAGCTGGAATGCCAGGTCACCCCGGTGACCGGACTTGCTCCAAGCGACCCAAATTGTTCTTCTTCTTTTTCTTCTTTCCAAGATACTCCGGACTCAGAGATGCTGCCTATGCCTCATGCGCATGACATGGCCAAGGGAAAAGGTAGTTACCACCCCAACAGCAGCCCTTGCCCGTCTCTGGAGACCTTCAAGAATCGGTCCTCGGCGGTGGCGGTAGCAGCAACAGCTGCTGCTGCTCCCACTACGCAGAAAACTGTTCAGTCAAGCAAAGCCTCCGGCTCTGTCTCGGGAAACTCTACTCCGAAGGCGTCTTCGTTGTCGTTGTTGTCGTTGTTGTCGTCGTTCTCAGAGAATTGCTGCGCCTTGCTCTTACGCTTGATCAACGTCCTACTCACTGCGGCCGAGAACCTCGCAAAGGACAAGTATCTCATCTTCTTGTTGATAATATTGGCACTGGGAGCCGTAGTCTGGTATTGCCTCGCGTGGGTCGATGGTTGGGCTGCGTCGTCTGTGAGGCCTGCAAGATTAGCTTGGGCAGGAGTTTCGACTACCTTTGGCTTTCTGGTCAACCACATCACCAAGCTTGGCGACATAGTCCCACTACGAAATGTCTTCAGCCCCATTGCTACCTTCACACAGACTCTTGGCAGCTCGGCCGAGCGTGGAGGACTGATTAGCACGGTTCTCAGCCTCGGAGAACTCGTGACGGATCCATCCACGTACAAAGACCTTCTCTGTGCAAGCCAGGTTGCTTTGTGTCTCGCTCCGTGGCTATCCTTCTGCTCCCACCCGAAATACAGTCCAAATTCAAGCTCAGCCTCTGAAACTACTACTACTACTACTGCTCCTACTACGAGTCTTGTTGTATTCAATGAAACAGGCGTCGAGCTTGGAGAATTCGCTGGTGTGGCGGTCTCCTTGTACCCATACATCGCCGACTTTCAGTTGTCAAGTGTTCCGCTCACACGGGAACGGTTCCTCCTCAGATATTACGAGGGCGTCCAATTTGCAGGGAGGACACCCCTTCTTTCGAATATGCTCCTATATCGGGATGAACTTTACAACAGCAACCAATGCTTATGGAACATTACCGTCCACACGAACCGCATACTCAGGGTCATGATTGCCAATTTCGAAACGGTCGCGGAAGTTGTGACCAAAGCCGAGGAACTGGACCGAAAATCGTGGTGGGGATTGTCAAGAGCGCACAAGTCTCAGGTGATTGACAGGATCGTCGGTCTTCTCGAGGTCCTTGACCAGCAATTGCTCCATCTCATTGAAAACATCGATGGATGTCAAAATACTCTGGTTTTGACGGCCGACCTCAGCCAGGAGGTAGAGGGTGGCCTAATGACTGCGAGCAGAGACGTGGGGCAACAGATCCAGAAGGCAAGTGGCCTTTTCAAGAAACCCGACGGGGACCTGCTCGCAATCAGCCGAGTTCTCTCGGAAACCACGCGTTACGCGGCATCCGAGGCCCGGGAAATCCTAGAAGTGGCAAGAATCAAATTGGGAGACCATCGGAGAGACGTGCTCAACGCCAAAGAAACTCTCGACCTCTCTTTGATCCTGTCCAGCAAAAATGGACTGGTCCAGTTAGCGTCCATGTTGCAAGCCGTCCTGGGCGATCTCAGCAACGACCAGGGCAAAGTCCAGCTAGCTCAGAAGAGGCACAGAGAGGGTTTCGATAAGAAGTCGCGGCCGCGTCGGAAGCTTTTCCCACACTGACGTGGTGGAGTTTTCGAGCACTCACGGGCCGGGAAATCTTGTACACGATCGAAGAGGTTTTTACCTGTCGAACCTCGAGGCCGAGAGTACCAACGTCTTCTGGTCCATTGTGGGCTCCTTGCTTTTTCTTTCTCTCATCACGTATGCAGAGCGGATCAGAAGGTCAGACATTTCTTTCGAGGCTTTGCTTTTTCTTCTTCCTTGGACAATTTAATGACGGTGATTAGTCGCTCGGTATGGTTTCCTGTCTTCCAGTCCGTCGACGAAAGCGCCACATTGACATTTCAATCTTTTTTTTTTGGATCCTCTCTTCTTTCTTCCCTGGGCCCACATTTGGAAGAAGGGTAGATTTCTCCATTACAACAACTTGTGACCGATCCAGACAGCTCAAGATAGAAAAGAAGGAAGATGAAAGACGGAAGAAACAACAGGATGTTGAGCTAAATTCATGGTGATGTAGCAAGAAATAGACGACGAGTATCAGGAAAGAAAGGAAAAGCAAGTAACAAACAAAAGAAAATGGACATGAGACGTAGCCGGGACAGCAAAAGTGCCTGCCTTTGGAAGTATCCAGGAAGTGAAGCATGAGTTTTAGACTTGTATTACCGTCGTGCCGGACCAAGTATTTATAGCAAATGATGAGCGGGTCAGGATGTAATAAATCAAATCATTCTGAAGAAAAAAGGGACACGGACAAAGTAGAGGAAAGTAGGTAGAGAGAGAGAGCTTTCTGAAAGTAAGTCACTGACAGAATCGAGTACATTTCCGGAAGTGTTACAGGATATCTGATACCCTTAGGCATATGGGAGTTGAAGTCATATTCTCACAGTTACTTTGACAGAAAGAATCTTCCAACATAGGTACCGAATGAGCTTCCGCACATGTATAATCATACTCAGTACTCCCGTACAAACTACCTAGGGTAAAACAAAACTACAACGATTGCCCAGTCCTTCGGGTGAGAAAATCCACCGAGATATATACCCTTCTTTCTTCGACCCGATCGTTCTTGTTGTCTTGTGTAGAAGGGAGCCGTTGAAGTCGAGGGGGGAGGATTAGGAGGACCAAGAGGTGGATTGCATAGTAGAGTAAGAAAAAGAATGTACGGAACACTCCGTATAAATTGTAGAATTGACTCGTGAAATCAAATATATTGGCATGGTATTGGTATTTTTGGTGATATTGTTAACAAGAGAGTTACAAAGAAGCTGGCTAGGTAGGTGACCCTGAAGACTATCAATTCACTTCGAGAACGAGAAGAAAAGACCTGAACCGGGACTCAGATACCGAGGGTAAACTCAACGCCGACATCAATGTCTCTTGCCATCTTCACAATCTTGGAAAAGTCCACGGCCTTGGCCGCAGCATCTTGAAGGTCGGTGATGGAAAAGATCTTGAGTCCGGAGTTGTTGACCTGTGTTGGATGACAACAGCGTATCAGTGGACTGCAGTGCATATACAGGGCGTCAAAAAGGACGAAGAGAGAGTACTTACCAATTCAGCTGCCTTCTCCATGTTTGTGCCTTGCAGACGGCATACGATGGGTAGTCGTAAGTTCATCTGTTGTACAACGTGGATCAAGCCCTGTGCAATAGCGTCACACCTGACAATACCTCCAAAGATGTTGACAAAGATCGCCGTGACCTTGGGGTCGCTGGTGATCAACTCAAAGGCTTCCTTGATGGCTTCGGGGGTGGCACCACCTCCAACATCCAAGAAGTTGGCGGGTGAGCCACCGTTCAGCTTGATGATGTCCATAGTCGCCATGGCGAGACCAGCACCATTGACAAGACATCCAATGTCACCGTCTAACTTGATAAAGTTAAGACCTTGCCTTTAAGCCCAATATTAGCATCTGCCCTCAACAAGAGCGCACGGAGACGACCTACTCTGCAGCCTTGACCTCATCAGGATCCTCTTGTGTTGTATCTCTCCACGAGAAGACCTCCTTTTGACGGAACTCGGCATTATCATCAAAGCCCAATTTGGCATCCATAGCTAGAACCTGGTGATCGCTCGTCTCGCTCAAGGGATTGATCTCGATCTGTGTGGCGTCCTTGTCCATGAAAACCTTGTACAGTCTCTGAATGGTATTCTTTGCATCCTCGATGCATTGCTCGCTGAATCCGAGCTGCGTTGCAATGTTCCTGGCCATCTCGTCGGTCACACCCGTGTTGATGTCGACGGGCGTGGTGATGATGGCATCTGGAGTTTCTTTTGCTACGGTCTCGATGTCCATACCACCTTGGGACGAGGCGACAATGACGGGAGATTGGGTTGAACGGTCCATGAGGATAGCAAGGTAGAATTCTCGACGGGCGAATTTACGCTCGCAAATGTACACCGAGTTGCAGATGCGGCCTCGAGCACCGGTTTGTTTAGTGATGAGTTTGTGTCCGATCATCTGCTCAGCAAACATTTTTGCTTCTGTAGGACTGTCGTGCAGGGTCAGCATCGAAACAAAGGCAGTACTGCCCATGGGGGTCACGTACGAGTAAATGACTCTGACACCACCTTTCAAGCCATTATCGAAAGAGCCCTTGCCTCGACCACCTGCGAGGACTTGAGCTTTGATGACCATATCATCTCCGTCTGCAATCATCAGTATACATTCCCAGAACTTCGCGCCAGACATCAGTACCAATCTTCTTCGCAATTGTCTCGGCCTCTTGGGCTGTCTTTGCAACCTCTCCATCTGGAACGCCAATGCCGTACTATTTAAGAAGGGTATATTAGCACAACTCAATTGCCCTCTTCCGCTGGTTATGATGGGTTTTCGTACCGATTTCAGCAGTCTTGCCGAGAGGTATTCGTGGATACTGAGGTTTCGTCGTTGCTGGATCGAGCTGCGGACAGGTGCATTCTTGTAGTTACTTATCAGCATGTAATTCCTGGCCAGTTCCAAGACCCAAAACGTACCCTGACAGCCTTCAAGGCCGGGCCCAAGCTACGGCGACCCAATTTGTACATATTTGTCCACGATAGAAGCGAGGTGAGCCGTGGACAGGAAAAAAGGACGTGGATAGCGAGATAATGCAATCGGGGCTCTGGCGCAGCTTCGCCAGGTTCGTCAGGATTAGCGACCCCAGAGGAGCCGACAAGAGCTCGTACCTTCCGCGGGTGCAACTCGGGGCAATTCTTGCCGGTCTTGGCATTTTACATACCATCAGTACGGAGTACATACGGACTACCTCACTTATATCTGGCATGTTCTCTTGGATATTCTAACCTCTACTCTGGTATATTATCGAAACCCGCCTGTTCTATCTACCTAGGCACTTGTAGGAAACGTGGCCAATGCCGTCGTCACCGGCGCGGCACTCTTTGGACAAATGCAGCCTTTAGCCGTTCCTGTGCTGATACTCGTGACCGGAGCTGTGGTGCAGTGCGCGCTCGTCGACCACGGAGGCGCAGAGACGGTGCTCGTTGCTTCCCACGGACTGAACTTTTCAGCTTTGACCAATACAGGAATCACGGCGCCGGTGTTCAACGAGAACGATCTGTGCTTGAGCACCCTCAATATCGAACCAATCTCACCCGAGTGACTCGTGAAGCTGAGCCAGGTCGAACAGTCGTTCGAGAAAATGTCGTCCAGCACCTGCTTCGATCGGAAATCCTGGGCGGCGTCGGTCTCCTCCGTGACGCCATTCCAGAGCTCATCGTACTCGGCAAACCCGGGCTCGAAGTTCCAAGACGGGAACATGTTGTGGATGTAGGTCTTGTTGCTGCGGTGGTCGCACGTGTGTTCCGAGATGCTCTCTCGGAGTTTCTCCTTGATGGTGGGCAGGAAGGGATACTTGGCCGGCAGCGGGAGACCGCTGAATGTGTAATTTGCCGTCTCGAGGCATCGGCTCAATGGGGAGACGTAGTAGCTCTGCGGCAAAGGTATCTTTTGCGTTTGGATGTGCGACAACCAAAACGCATTCGCCTTGAGAGCTTGCTCGATACCCGCTTCCGTCAAATGTGCGTCCGCCCAGGTCACCGAAGCGTTACCTTTCAGGAGAGCCCAATAGCAGTTCCAGGCTGGCGTACCAAAGTACGACTCGGCAGCGTTGTGATACCCTTCTCCGTGACGACCCATGAAGAGTACCTTGTACTCGACATTCTTGGCCGCATTGTCATTGAGGGACGAGACGAATGTGGCAAACCTCTCCCACTGTGTCAATGACTTTGCACTCTGCGGGTCATCGCTGGGGTATGTCTGATTGATGAGACCAAAGTTGGACGCGGTCTTGCGGTTTCACGCTTTTTGTCAGCATATGGGAATTCGCGAAAAAGATTCCAGTGCCTGCCGATGGTAATACACTTGGGCACTTACATAGTCAAAGGCGGTGGCATTGGTAGAATTGTCGTCTTGAAGGAAATAACCCGTCACCGTCGAATACTGGATGTATGTCTGCCCGAGAGCAGCAGCAGTGGCACCGACAACCACACTGCTCAACAAGAGAGGAATGGTAAAGCGAACCATGGTCTTGGAGTTATGCCGGCAAAGCAAGGAAGGTACTTATGCTAGGATCTCGAGGATTGCTGTTAATGAGAAGTAGAAGTTCAGGCGAAGTTGTCATGCCTTTTATATCTATCTCCAACCGAGTAGGAACAACACAACAATGGAATAGCTTCAAAAGTCTTTCCTTTCCAAAAGCCAATGTTACGTTACGACGACGCAGTTGTGTCTCGCGGTCTTCGTATAGCGCGGACATTAGTACTACTGGCAGCAGTGAACCAATGAGGCATTCGCCAAGGACCGCGTGCATACCGAACCCGTACTTCTGAGCCAGTTGTATCATTGGTCGCAACCACAAGGGTATCTTAGACAGTATACTATAGCAAGAGCGATTACGTCTTCCCACTATACCATCATGCGATGGTCCTGCGATTGTGGATGTCAGGGTATCTACTCGGTACAACGGGGTGGACTAGCATGCCGCGTCGTAGAGAGAAAGAGGAATAAATAGGCACTTCGGCGCAAACCAGGTCCTAAACGACTCAATTACGGGTAGAGCGTTGAAAGATGATGTGATTCAGGTATTCCTTTCATGGATCAAACGTTGGAAAACGTGCCGATTTATTTACACCACGTGTACCATATACTTCCGTGCTAAAAAGAGCTTATACCGGACAAGCCCTGATGTTATGATAATTCCAATCAAAGGCGACCCAAACGCCGTAAAGGTGTACCTGGCTAGCAACCACCACGAGCACGTGGAAGAGTTGGTGTGAGGAGAGCCAGATGTCGAATGATCCAGGCCAGATGGACTCGGGTATGCGCGTCAGAAAGAAGAAGGCACCGACGCCATACACGAGACCCTCCAACAGGTAATACTGCATACCCGATCTGACCAACATCTCGTTCCACCCGTACAGAAAAAGTCCGTGGATTATGGGGGCGAATCCCGAAAGGGCCGTCAATATAAACGCCCAAGATCGATGGGCGCGGTACTTCAACCCCTGCAATTGAGGGTGCAAGACGAGCACCGACGTGACGACGCTGAGGGTGATGATCATGGTCCAATACGTCCAGCACAGTCGGGGCTCACACCTGTAACCGACATATATACCCGAGAAGAAAGACCCCAAGATGAGAGCCAATATACCGACGTAGTCGACCCGCAACATGAAGCTGGACATGTGCATCGAGTGATTGATCAAAGTGTGATAGGCGGCCGATAAAGTCATGGTGATCATGGCCGCCGCTACGTTGCACCCAAAGACGAAATGATCCAGGACGGACGCCTCGGGGTAAAGATTGTATATCCATCGATATATAATGGCCTGACTCAAGATGAAGGCGACACCGGGGACCAGGTGGGTGTATATGTTGATCGTCTCATTGTGCAGGTGGCCCAGCGAGTAGGCACAGATCAACCACGACTCAGAAACTGGACGGTACCCCGACCTCAAAAAGTGATTGTCCTGGTACCAGCCGGGGAGCTCTTCGAAGGCCAGGAGCTTTCTGTGGGCGAGGATCGATCTTGGAGATGGTCGTTCCTCCTGTGAAGTGCTTGGGGCTCGCGCAAGCTTTGCTCGTGGTTTTCGGTACGCGAGTATAAATGACATATTGTTGATCTTCTCCTCGAAAAGCCCGGGCTATCCTTGATAGTCGTCGTCGTCGTTTCAAGACTCACGGATATAAGTCAATTAATTCCTTCCACGAGTTGCGACAAGCTCACAGGAACACCGGCAAAGAAGAGCAGCTGCAGAAACCACGGGTAGTCACTCCAGGCTTTTGAGAGGCACTCGAGCGAAAGAATAGACGCCCGTAGTGCTTCATTTATGCGAAGAAGAGGCTCATGATATTGGCTCAACGTTGGGGAGCATCGAGGTTAACAACAAACACTGGCGGAAAATAGCTAGAAATTTCACCGGGGACATTCAAGCCGCTAATTTGCCGATTGAACCGTTTAGACGACGAGCGGCCGCACTGTTGTCCATCGGTTGAGGATCGGAGAAAGTCTGTATAGAGACAAATCGGTATGCAAGGAGTTGACATCATCAATGAGGGTCGCCTATGGCACTCTCTTTCTTGGGTAGCTCCGTCGAGTTGATTTAGGGATGACTTGCTCTTCCGATTGATCCTCTAGCGGGATTGGCGGATGCTTAGTCAAACCGCTGTGCCGATTCTGCTCGGCAAGAAACTCTCAAAAGTACGTGGCAGTATAATGGTACTTGGTCGCCTTGTGACCCTAGATGAAAGAGGTGAACAAGCATTGGAAAAGGCGTTCTCACTGGTAGTGAACGCCCACCTTCGTTTGGCGCTTGCTTGCAAGTCCCTCATATCCGGCCTCGATACTCAGCAAGCCTCAGCAGCAGAAGTCACCTGCGTCATGAGTTCACAGGACAAACACTTTTGGGGCGCATCTCAAGGTTGATGCGTGGCAGTGGATAGCTTCCTGGTGTATGAAAATCCACGAGGGCATGCTGATTGCTCTGGGTAGATTAAGATTCAGGAAGATGGCGAGAAGAGAGGTCAACCTGCAGAATGAGCAAGTTATCCAAAGGAAATGCTTTGGCAGGTGAGCAAGTTATAGATACCTACCTAGGCAAGTTTGCCTCATACGTTTTAGTGTAATGCGGGAGTTGTCCTCCTCCCGTCAGTTCACAGCCTGAGAGCACTCTCATTTATGTGCTCACATAGACGAGGTATCAGAGGGTACCGTAGCATGGTACTCCAGAGCATGTTCAGCCCTTACTGCACAGATTCCGCGCCCAATGATATGTACAGCATGAGATGGCGATGGGCTTTCAAGCAGAAAGTTTCCTTTTAGGGGACCTTTCAAGAGATTCGAGTCGTCGGTGATGACTGGATATTAAAACATTCCGGGCCTCCTCCTGTTGACAGTCGATTTACTTCCAGATATCGATCGGTGCTTTGTCTCTGTTGACATTGTTTTGGACTCTTTCCTCGTTTTGCTATGCGCGATAAGTCCTGGCAACCTCCTCCCAACCAAACCATGGCAATTCAGGAACAACAACCAGTCGAGGCTGCCGAAGTAACCCTAATCGAAGCTGAACCCCCCAGCGGAGTGAATTATGAAAATGAGGTTTCAGATAAGAATGTCCAAGCCAGTGTCCAAGCCGGTGTCCAAGCCGGTGTCCAAGCTATCGAAGCCACGACCATCGCCTGGACGACAAAGGCTTTGATATTTGCCTATGTCATGCTCTGGATCACCTACTTTGTGGAGGGAATGCTTGGGGGCGTTGTGGCCGCCTTGAACCCCTATGTCACTTCAGCCTTTGCGCTACACTCGCTGACACCGACTGTGAGCGTGTTGAGCAGCGTTATTGGCGGTGTTACCAACCTTACTCTCGCCAAAATCCTCGACGTATTCGGCCGACCCCACGGGTATCTCTTCTGTGTCTCTATCGCCACAATCGGACTCGTGATGATGGCGGCTTGCGACAACGTCGAATCTTATGCGGCTGCACAGGTATTCTATACCGTCGGCAACAACGGTCTCCAGTACAGTTTGTCCGTCTTTGTCGCCGACACATCCAATCTCCGCAATAGGGGTCTTATGCAAGCCATTGTTAGTACACCAAACCTGATCACCTGTTGGTTAGGTGGTCCAATATCAACGGGTTTCCTCAATGGTCCCGGTTGGCGTTGGGCGTTTGCCATGTTTACGATACTCGTACCGGCGGTGGCGCTTCCGCTCTGGGGCCTCCTTTTGAAGAATTACTTCAAGGCAAAGAAGCAGGGACTCATGCCGAAGAGCAACAACGAACGAAACATGTTACAGTCACTTCTCCACTACTGTCGCGAATTTGATGCCATGGGTCTGCTTCTGGTATCTGCAGGCTTTGCGCTTTTCCTGTTGTCCTTTGACCTTTATACTTTTCAAGCAAAGGGCTGGGACTCTGCTCTTGTCATCAGCATGCTAGCTGCTGGAGTGTCTCTGATTGTTGCATTCGCGGTTTGGGAAAAGTTCTTTGCCCCGATCACACTGCTGCCCTATTCCCTTCTGTTGGATAGGACCGCCTTCGGGGCATGTGTTCTGTCCGCCATCCTATTCTTGAGCTACTACTGTTGGTCAAGCTTTCTCGGTTCCTTCTTGCAAGTTGTGAATGGCCTGAGTATCACACACGCGAGCTATATCCAGCAAACATATACAGTTGGTTCTGTCTTATGCTCTGTGGGCGTGGGAGCTCTGATACATTATACCGGACATTTCAAGCCTGTTTGTTTGTACATTGGAGTCCCCCTGAACATTCTGGGCGTGGGTCTAATGATCAACTTTCTCGGACCCAGCGCCAACATAGGCTTCATTGTCATGTGTCAGATATTCCTCTCAATTGGCTCCGGTGTGGTCGTCATATGCGATGAGATTGCTATTCTAGCGGCAGCTTCACACCAACATACTGCTGTCTGCATAGCCGTTTTGTCAATGTTTGCAAGTGTTGGCGGTGCCGTTGGCTTGACGATCGCCTCGGCTATTTGGCAAGACATCCTTCCCAAGAAGTTGGCCGCTTACCTGCCGGCGAAAGAGCTGGAAAATCTACCTCTGATATACGCAGACCTCAAGACGCAATTATCGTATCCGATAGGTTCAGAAACTCGCACCGCAATCCAGCACGCGTATGCGGATACACAAAAGATGTTGTTGACTGCTGGGACCGCTGTATGGGCTGCTGGTGTTATTGGGGTATTGTTGTGGCGAAATATCAATGTGATTGGAATCAAGCAGACCAAGGGCCATGTTTGGTGAGCTTGATGCTCTCGTGAGCATCAAATGTAGTCGAGGAGAAAGGAGACTAGTAAGGATTGAGTGGTATTCGATACTCCGTAGAGTGAAGTGCATTCGGTTATTTACAAGTCGCTAATGGCCCGAGAATGACGCGCTGTGACTGTCAATTTTCTGGGGACATAAACCCAACAGTCTCGAAGACATTTAACTGTTTGCACTTGCACTCTTCCCAACCTCTATGGTCGCATTACTCCATCCTTCAAAAAGAAATAGATCGTTATTTTCTTAGTGTGGCCATTCCCTGTTCGCGTGCGGAACTCTTATTAAAGCCGCAACATGGCCTCGCCGTCGCCTCCTCGAGGCCGTTCACCTGCGCGCTCTGCCACTCCTACATCTGCACGGCGAGTCCCATCAAGCCACCACAGTCGTTCGCCTACTGCTCGCCGGTCCCCCTCGCCGAGATCAGGCTCGCGATCCTATTCGAGATCACCGCCACTCAGAGATGGACGCAATGGTCATGGGCGAGCCAGAAGCAACGGTGTCAGTACATCTCGGAGTAGAAGTCCAAGTCGAGGTGACAGAAGGTCATATCGCGATCGCAGCTACACGCGCAGCCCGAGCAGAGAGAGCCGTCGAGCCCAGAGCTCTAAAATCGTGGTGGAAAAATTGACAAAGAACGTCACCGAAGCACACCTGCGCGAGATCTTTGGGTCGTATGGCCGCATCGAGTCAATAGACCTCCCCCTGAACAAGCAATGTATGTATAATGCCGATCTGGAAATGGCAAGATTGAAATTGACCAGCAATAGTCATGACAAATCGCGGTACAGCTTATATTCTCTACGATCATCCAACTGGATCAGAAGCTGCAATAGCACACATGCACGAAGCACAGTTGGATGGCATGGTCATCTCGGTCAGCATTGTTCTACCCCGTCGTGCCTTTTCTCGATCTCCTCCACCAGCCCGGTCCTCAAGACCAGCTCCACCACCTCCGAGCTACAGACCTCCTCCACGGGGACCACCTGGTGCACGATATCGCAGCCCACCACCAAGAAGAGGAGGCTTTGGAGGAGGTAGGAGAGGCCCAGATGACGACAGCTACATGCCACGGACGGCATATTCCAGGTCACCTTCGCCACCGAGACGACGGAGGCGGTCTCCGTCCTATTCAAGATCACCATCGAGAAGCCCTCCAAGACGTCGCCAACCATCGGGTCGGAGTCCACCACGCAGAAGGAGAAGAAGTCCAAGCTACAGTTCCAGGAGCAGCTATAGTCGAAGCCCAAGCAGATCGAGGAGTCGGCCAAGATATCGAGGACGGAGGTAAAGCCGAGATGCATCTGGAGGCTGGCGGACGATACCCCAAGAGAGCCTAGTATGCGCCACGAAGCTAAGGGAAGGGAGGAAAGCGAGGTTGATGGATATCAATTGGGCACCAAGGGCAGACACACGCGTCACTGCTACTTATCCTCGTTTATGCCGTCAAAGAAGTGTGTGGTTATCACGGAATGGATGCTGCCTGAGATACTTACCCAGGGCTGGATTCGCAGCTAGACGCCTTCTTGCAATCTTCGCCTCTTGAGATTATTCATAGTATTGTACGAATAAGAAATAACCCTACGCATGAAGAGTCTATACGAGTACTTGTCCCGCATCCGTGGAGAGGGATCTAGGTGGAATCGCTCCATCCACTCACTCCAATACCGAGGGTTCGTTAGTGACAGTGTCCCTTGCATGCCGCAATCTTGGCGGAGATGTCGATCGAATACGATGGCCCTGTAGCTGGTGATATATAGTACGGAGAACTCAGATGTAGCTCGGGACGATACAGTATGGAGTAGCCTATGTTTACTCCGTAGATAGGTACCTAATGGCTGGTAGATATTAGCTTGATTCGTGGACTTGTAGCTTATTATTATTCTCCGGAGCTTGAGTACCTATCTGGGTATCTCTACTGCCCAAAGAACAATGCTTTCCAGGGACTAAAATAATAAAAGGAATTTAGTGGACGTCGGCACGCGCATCGACACTTTCCTCGATACTGTCTTCACCCAAATTTCAGGCTGACCGCGACTGCAAAACATTTCTCAATTTCTTCTACTGATTGTTCCGTAATCTTTGAGCGTTCTCACACGACTTGCGCCTGTCTTTGTCTTTGGACAGACAGTGTCTTACCAGCCTCTCACACAGTTCCCACTCTTAGACCTAAAAGTGCATCCTCCTCCCATGACCAGCGCGTCTGCGCCGAACTTTTTTCTCCTCGGAGCATCCCTTGGGTCACAGTTTGGCTACTTCCTTGCGCCTGCATGTCCAGAGTTGATCACCACCTCTTCTGTTACCGCAGGTTACCATGAGTAGTGGCCCACAAACCCCAATGACCCCCGATGGCACAGGCACAGACCGTCCTGAGGATGACCAACTTGAGACTGAAGATGAAGGTCAAAATGACACTACAATGCAAGATGGTGAAGATGGAGGCGAACAACGAACCTTGCAGAATGGAAAGTCATACACCATGTCCGACGAGCCTACAGATTACAGTATCTTCTCAAATCCTCCAGATCTTGGTCAGATGAGACAAAGACTTCACGACCTGGAAGAGCCCATTGAGATCCCAGCTGCAGACTTCGAGACATACTTCCCCTTCGTCGATAATATCTGGCGCAAAATGAGAACTGGCGAACAGCCTGAGACCAGTATTAGAACCGAGTACTATGCTTGCCGACTACGTAAGGTTGCCAATCAGAAACCTCACGTTCCTCGTCCCACACCCGAGGGAAAACAGTCGAGGAAGAAAAGAATCCGAGATGACAAGACCTGCTCGATGACTATGAAGGTTGTCTATAATTCGGGCCCAGTGGATTCTTGCACAATTTCGAGAGTTGCCGACGTCTTTCAGAAACACACACACGACCTGGACTACATCGATTCTACCAAACGCAACTCTGGCATCATGGATACTGCTCGTCGAGAGGCGGCTCGAGGGTTTTTGCCGGCTTCGATCTACTGGAAAATGTGGGAAGAACCTGAGAAGATGTACGCTGCCGGAGGAAAATTCATGAAGGTCTCAGACGTCAGAAATGTCCAATATGCTTGGAGACAGAATAATCAGCAGCTGGTGCTCAAGGCACATACTGGTTTTAATCCCACTCGCGTTCCGCGGCAGCATCATGCCACACCACCAAAGCCACTCCCACCTCCTCCTGCTCAACCTGGTGTTTTTGGTAGACTGGAACCGAGCAACACGGACCTCCCCAGACCTGATGCCCCTCTAGCGCCCATGGACACATTGCAATATCCCCAACACGCGAGGTCTTTTCTGGAGCGATACATTCCAGATCAAAATGCCATTGCAAATCGAGCCCGTCCTCACGTTACCCTCACCTGGGCAAGCAGCCTTGACAGTAAGATCACCCAGGCAGTCGGCACTTCAACCGCCATTTCTGGTCCAGAAACCAAGGCTATGACGCACTATCTCCGAAGTCAGCATGATGCCATTCTCGTTGGAGTCACCACTGCCATAGTCGATGATCCTGCCTTGAATTGTCGACTCGCCAGTCCCAACGGATATGGTGGTCTACCCCGGGAGCAGCAGCCTAGACCTATCATCATCGACCCACATGCTCGTCTGATCATTCGCCCTGAACTCAAGGTCCTGAAAACAGCGTCTGAGGGTCGAGGCAAAGCACCTTGGGTTGTAGTAGCTCCAGGAGCGATGCTACATCCTGTGGCTGTTAGCACTTTGAAAGCTCATGGTGGTGAGTACCTCATGATCAACGATTACAGTCCTCAAGCTGGTGGTTTGAATTGGGAAGGACTCTTCAATGTGCTCTACCGCGAGGGCATCAGGAGTGTGATGATAGAAGGTGGTGGAATCGTCCTTTCCGAACTTTTAAAAGTGCGATATTCTCACCTGATCGATTCAGTCATTATGACCATCGCACCCACATTCTTTGGCAAGGGAGGAGTGCCAGTCTCGCCTGATCCCACGTTTGACTACTCTGGCAGACCTATTGCGACACGGCTAAGAAATGTTCGATGGCAGCCCATGGGTGAATCTGACGTTGTCCTCTGTGGTCAGATGGCGCTGGATCGACCCGGTAATGGCATCTTACCCGGTATTGAGGAATTCTCCAGGGCTACGCCGGATGGGCCGAATCAACATCAGAAACATCCACCAATCCAAGCTCAACCACCGCCATCGCAACAGAATCCACCACCAAACCAGCAGATTCAGCAGCCGCCACAGCCGGGAGTGCCTCACACTCTTGCGCAACAAGCTCTTCCTCCCCAGCCACAGGGACCTTCACCACAACCCGGCCCGACACCGTCCACCCCATCCCTAGCCTCACCTGCTCGGTAGACGCTTGATTATGACTGCAGGCATGAGTCTGGAAAGAATTACATGTGACGATGTAGACGCAACGAATCAACCCACAGATCTTAACGCACCCAGAGATACCACATGTTAACGGCCGAACGGAAAGGCTTTGCGATTGGGGCTCAGCAAGCAGTAATAACTCGACGAGTTACGATTATCACGAATGAAATTAATAGCACAAAATGGGATTCAGCCTTAGACGATGTTTTGCTAGCGACGGAGCAGGAAAAAATATTGGGCTGCGGAAAACGCGGGCAGTAAAAGTTGATGCATGAAGAGGAGATGATTTTCAGATTTGCAGGTGAGGACTGGTGTTTGCTCTCGCAATCTGCCAGCTACCATTTTGGGAGGATGGACCAGCTCACCTGAAATGTTCTTAGACGATTGCTAGCGTCCTATGAAGTGGTCTATCGGGTCGAGGCATAGATATGAGCTGAGCCCTAAAATCATGTTAGGGCCTAGAACGCCTCTCTTTTTCTGACATATGAGTCTTGTGAGGCTCTCTTTACTGGCCTTAGAATATCAGAAATGACTTTGATACTCAAATTGGAACAAGATGCCACGTGATGCTTTCTACAGACTAGGTAGGAATTTCGTCCACTTTCGAATCTGATGGTCGACATTCGCCCCAGGCACCAACGTCATCTGCAGGATGAATGGGTTACAACGTTGACAATCCCACGACGGAACAGCCTTTCCGGGTGAATGGTGCATAGGCTGGTAAATTGTCTCGTCGCCGATCACGTCGCTTCCCCGCAAGGATGTGTTGGTACAACACGGGGATTCTGCGACAATGGAGCGGCCAAAGATGTGCCGAATGTTACATGGACGCGGAGTGCTGGACTGAGATAGAGTGACGATGGACGATATATCGATCATCAAGAGCTAAAACGCCTGTCGACTCAATAAGCACTCTTCTCAGGTCAAGTCAAGGTGGTTGTAACTCTCACGATGTTGACTCTCTTCGCGGTCCTGTGCTTGCTGCTCGTTCGACGGGCTAACTGCTCCATCACCGTGTCTTTGACGCCGCCTTCCAATGCCAGTAAACAAATCCTCGAATCCTTTGTTTCATACTCGATTGAATTTTCTTCGTTTCCAGAGTTTGCCGGTAGGTAATGAGTAATGAGATTTTCGAGCCTGGGTGAGATGAATAATGGATGGTTCCAGGCAATTCAAGCAATCCGAACTCGTTCTCTTATCATCTCCTGGAGAATCTCAATCAACTTCAAGGTTCATATCCTATCATTCGAGTTGGAGGAAACACACAGTGAGTAAGTCCTTGTTGGGTTCTAAGGCCGAAGCTAAACATGATGAGGGACTATGCTACATTCGACGCCTCACAAAAGATAGCATTGATAGGGTCCTTCAACTTCAACAGGTCTAAAGACTACCCGACAACAATATCGATAGGGCCATCTTATTTCGATTCATACTCGACGTGGCCAAATGTTACGTTTCTCCATGGCTTCAACCTGGGAAAGAACGGTACCATTGGACATGACACGCTTGTCGGTACTGTACCACTGGCCTGCAAAGCATTGAGCAATAGTAAACTTGCCTATTGGCAACTAGGCAATGAACCAGATCTCTACAAGACAAGCTCTCAAGGTCCAGTCAGGCCGAGCTGGTGGAATGAAACGGATTATGTCGAAGAATGGCTTAACAAGACTCGGACCATGAAACAGGTGATCCAGCAGAACTGTCCAGAGGTAATCACCCAGAACAAATTTCAATTCTATGCGCCTTCTTTCGGAGGCACGGGTAACAGTCTCAACCTGATCAGAACATGGGCCGCTGGTTTGGACACGGACAGGGACATTGCCTTTATCGACAGTCATAAGTAAGTCAGCTCCCTCACCGTACACGATCTTTGCTGATCAGTACCAGTTACATTGGTGGCGCAACACAACCCGGGGTTACGCTCCAAGGAACCCTCATGAACCACACGTCGACCGTCTTGTCCGTGGCCAAGCATCTGAACGAATCGAATCTGCTCGCCGCCAAAACCGACCTCCCATATATCCTCGGCGAAACGAACAGTCTGTACAACGAAGGCGCTCCCGGTCTGTCCAATTCCTTTGGCGCGGCGCTCTGGGGTGTCGATTTCAACTTGTACTGTGCGGCTACCGGCATTAGGCGAGTGCACATGCACCAGGGTACAAATTACAGGTACGCATCGTGGCAACCGGTGCAGACCGCGAACGAGACCTTGGGGACCAAAGCACCTTATTACGGCAACATCATGGTTGCCACGTTCCTCGGCGACCTCACTTCGAACAATGTGAGTGTGTCGGATATCGAGCTGGGAAGTACATATCAAAATGCTTACGCTGCATACGTCAATGGTCTTCTGCAACGTATTGCCATTATTCAAATGAGAGCATTCAACAGTACGACAGGAACGACAACGAGTGGACCTAGGCCAAGCGAGACCTTCAGCTTTAGACTGCCTTCGAATCAGAACGCCAATGTCAAGGGAGTCAGTGTCCAGCGATTGATGGCGAATGGAAGCGACGCCATTACCGGCATCACTTTTGACGGATACTCTTATAATTGGGAGCTCGAGCAGGGGAAACCAGTTTTGCTACAGAACGTTACCAGAAATGAAGTTGTTCAAGTGACTCAGAATGGGGAGGTGTCGGTGGATGTTCCATGGTCGAGTGCCGCAATACTGAACCTGGAATGGTGATGTGTTTGGTTGGTTCCTCTACTACTTCTTACGGAATGGTCGCAAAAGGCCCGTCAAGTATTGTGCTTTGCAAAATTCCGTAAAAACCTTATTTTTTTGCAAGTTGTATGAAATCTGCACACCGCCATATGGCCTGTATCAACAAACTCATCCTGCAGCCGCAATAGCCCTAGATAGCACTGTAATTTACTGCAATATATCGTAACTACATACAAACATGATGTCGAATCGTACAAGGCGCACAATAACTCTATCCCGTTGACTCCAGGAGTCATTGGCCTCTCAATCACTCCGCGAGACCCTTATTACTCGTAACGCTCGCATGAAGCGCAAAAGCGACGGCGATAGCCTTACAACGAGGGCTAATAGGGCAAGTTCAAAGCGTCGCGCTGTGTCTCTAAGCCCTCGTCCCTCTCGAACGGCTAGTCCTGACCTGCCAGAGTCATCAGAGTCGCCAGAGTTACCGCCGAGACTAAGTATTGAGGAGGACATTATGTCGCAAGCACAGGAAGCGTTAAATCTTCTTAATGAGGATAATAAAGTCTTATCTATATCTAGCAATGCTAGAGAAGACAATAAAGAGAAGAGAGAGATATTAATGTAAGCCCCTCTATTAGCGCAACCTAGTTATCAATCAAATACTTCGCTATATACTGCAGAGAATAACTTAAGCCTAACTAATATAGACTCTATTAAATTAGTATTTAAGATTAATAAACTTTTCTATAATATCGCTATAGAAATCTTTATTAAGAAGGTTAAGATTCTTAGTATAGAAGTATTATGTTAGGGTTTTAATATTGTTAACACACTCCTTAAGTATAAAGGTTAACTTAAGTATTAATATAATGACTATAATCGAAAGACTCATAAATTACGCCCCCCTATCTTTAGGGGCGAGTTCACAATTAAACAAGGTAATAAAAAGCTTTATTCCTTAACTATAAAGACTTAGGAACACTTTAAGAAGGCCTGTTAAAAGTGGTAGAAGCTTTATTATGCTCGAAAAGATAGCTGTAAGAGTAGGACTAAACTTAATGCGCATTTAGCACTAGTATACTTGATTATTAAGAAGCTAAAACGATGTTAACTAACTAGTTAATATAGCTTATTTAGTGAGAACATTTTAATATCGTCATTATCTTATAATAATGTCTCCTTAAGCCGTTATCTTAACTTAACCTAAATATATCATTATCGTAAGGAAAAGACTAGAAATAAAAGGTTAAAGGGTAAGGTAATCTCTATAACATAATAATAGCGAGAAGAAAAATAACTCTAGGCATAAAAAGAGGCCGCCACTAAAGTAAGCTTCCTTAATATCTTAAAGAGACATTATTATAAGTTAAAGAATTATAAGAATTACTCTTATCTATGCGTTAATTATAGAGAATAGCATTTTCCTCTATTCACGCTATTAGTTTAGCGTTAGAGCGATATAATTGTAAAGAAGGCTCCTAGTGTGACGGCTAACTAAGTACTGGACGCGATCATGGTGGCCCTTCTCTTAGAATGGAATAGGAACGAGAAACGCTATAATGCTATATATTAACCTCCGCCTATTTACCCGCTAAACTATATACATCCGTTCGTGCTTAATATTGGAGGAATCCCATTAACGAGTTACCTAGCACAATCTCCCGTACATATCTATTAATCTCTGCCGTTAATAGCTGCCGCCGCCATCACTATCACTAGGCCTTGATTAAGCCCTTCATAACAAGAGGGTGACGATAATCAGAATATGCAGAAGTACTTTAATTGGCTAGCGACTAAATATTCTATTTATGCGTCCAAGTTACTAAAGATTAAGCTCTCTATTGCGGATCATGGATAGGGCTTCTCTAATCTATAAACATGTACAGATGAATATTAGAAGGCTATAACTATTCCGGCTAGTTTTGTAACTAAAATCTGTAATAACCTTAAGGAATTTGCGCGTTTAGCTATAATAAGTGGAGACGGTTTTAATGATAGTATAAATGGACGTTTAGTGAGTGTTATATCGTTAGGAAATAGCAGTCAATAAGGGCTTATTACATAACTTAATGTGGTATTAGAATTATTTTGCGTGTTGCTATCTCACACTATACCTATTATAGCATATGGCTTAGCTAATTATAGTTAGCGTAATCACGTAATAGCTATATTTATATAATCTTAAGAATAAACAGATTAAGGTATATAGACTAGGCTTATTATTGCAGGATAAAATATTTATAGCCCCTTCTTTTTTTATCTATTCTCTACTAGTTACTATGCCTTATTAAATATAGCCATATCTACGGAAGTAATTATGAGCTATCTTAGCCTCATAGACACTAGTTATTACTAGATAAATGAAGGTATTAAAGTTATTCTTATAACAATAGCTTAGTTCTCTATTCTTTTGTATTCACTCCTTTAACTCGTGAAATGATATCTCAATTGGATTAAGCTCTGAAGTATATGGAGGTAAGTACTTAAGAATGACGCCCTGCTCCTCACATATTCGCTTGACTCTATCAGATCAGTGAATAGTTACATTGTTCATGATCAGAACGGAATAATCTCCTGGGAAGGGGTTTATCTTATTAAGCACTCCTTAGAGAAATGTTTCGAATTGTTTAGCGTTAAAAGAGCCTTAATAGATCTCATAAGTAAGCTACTTGTCTATTATTATCGTAGGTAAAATGCTTTAACTGGTAGATTAGCCACCTAGTAGTTACACTCGGCATGGAGTGTTGTAGGCTAACCAGCTAAACTTTCTATCCATAGTTCTATTGTTTGCGGCGCTTTTATTAAGTGTTACTAGCTAGTTACTGGTGTAATTAGCTATCTATGCTATATAGGAAGCGACAAGTTTATTGTCTCACCTAGTATTAACTTTAGTTACCCGTTTATACATAACATTCATAGAGTTAAGTGCCCGGGAGACTATTAATATATAAGCGTTAATACCAAACTCATCGCGGAGAAAATCGCAGCACTCATCCAGTCGCGCTGTTAGCTAATCTAGCATAAAATCATGAAGTCCTTCCATTGCGGCATGATGAATTAACTTTGAACGACCTTTAATAGGTGCTATATCATTTGTTTTGATATCTTAATAGTGTAGATCCCGTCGAACTTTGGAAATATAGACATTAGAAACCCCTTAAGCCTTTATAATGGCTGTGCCTTTCACTCCTACCTAAAGTGTAATTGACACAGCCACTTTTACCGCAGGATTAAACTTCAGCTGTGATAGCATCACAATCACACCTTTTTATATAGTAAAATTTAGATACTTAGATAGAGAATTTGCTCCGGAGTAAGATTATTATATAATATTTATAAAATTATAGGGTAATTATTAAGAAATATGGCGTTATATTCTCACCGCTTTTATGATTATTAAATGTTTTGCATGTTGCAAAAAAATAAGGTTTTTACAGAATTTTGCAAAGCACAATATTATGCTTTGCAAAATTCCGTAAAAACCTTATTTTTTTGTAAGTTATATGAAATCTGCACACCGCTATATGGCCTATATTAATAAACTTATCCTGTAGCCGTAATAGCCCTAGATAGCACTGTAATTTACTGCAATATATCGTAACTACATATAAACATGATGTTGAATCGTATAAGGCGCATAATAACTCCATCCTGTTAACTCTAGGAGTCATTAGCCTCTTAATCACTCCGCGAGACCCTTATTACTTATAACGCTTATATAAAGCGTAAAAGCGATAGTGATAGCCTTATAACGAGGGCTAATAAGGCAAGTTTAAAGCGTCGCGCTATGTCTCTAAGCCCTTATCCCTCTTAAATAGCTAGTCCTAACCTACTAGAGTTATTAGAGTTGCCAGAGTTACTACCAAGACTAAGTATTAAGGAGAACATTATGTTGTAAGTATAGAAAGTGTTAAATCTTCTTAATAAGGATAATAAAGTCTTATCTATATTTAGTAATGCTAAAGAAAATAATAAAGAGAAGGGGAAGACATTAATATAAGCCCCTTTATTAGTGTAATCTAGTTATTAATTAAATACTTTACTGTATACTACAGAGAATAACTTAAGCCTAACTAATATAGACTCTATTAAATTAGTATTTAAGATTAATAAACTTTTCTATGATATCACTATAGAAATCTTTATTAAAAAGGTTAAGATCCTTAGTACGGAAGTATTATATTAGGGTTTTAATATTATTAATATACTCCTTAAGTATAAAGGTTAACTTAAGTATTAATATAATAACTATAATTAAAAGACTTATGAATTACGCCCCCCTATCTTTAGGAGTGAGTTCATAATTAAATAAGGTAATAAAAAGCTTTATTCCTTAATTATAAAGACTTAAAAACACTTTAAGAAGGCCTATTAAAAGTGATAGAAGCTTTATTATGCTTAAAAAGATGGCTATAAGAGTAGGACTAAACTTAGTGCGCATTTAGTACTAGTATACTTAATTATTAAGAAGCTAAAACGATATTAACTAACTAGTTAATATAACTTATTTAGTGAGAATGTTTTAATATTGTTATTATCTTATAATAATGTCTCCTTAAGTCATTATCTTAACTTAACCTAAATATATCATTATCGTAAGGAAAAGACTAGAAATAAAAGGTTAAAGGGTAAGGTAATCTCTATAACATAATAATAGCGAGAAGAAAAATAACTCTAGGCATAAAAAGAGGCCGCCACTAAAGTAAGCTTCCTTAATATCTTAAAGAGACATTATTATAAGTTAAAGAATTATAAGAATTACTCTTATCTATACGTTAATTATGGAGGATAGTATTTTTCTCTATTTACGTTATTAGTTTAGTGTTAGAGCGATATAATTATAAAGAAGGCTCTTAGTGTGATAGTTAACTAGGTACTAAATATAATTATGGTGACCCTTCTCTCAGAATGGAATAGGAATAAGAAACGCTATAATACTATGTATTAATCTCCGCCTATTTACTCACTAAACTATATGTATTTATTTATGCTTAATATTAGAGGAATCCTATTAATAAGTTACTTAGTATAACCTTCCGCACACATTTATTAACCTTTACTGTTAATAGCTACTATCGCTATCGCCATCACTAGACCTTAATTAAGCCCTTCATAATAAGAGGGTAACAATAATCAGAATATGTAGGAGTACTTTAATTAGCTAGTGACTAAATATTTTATTTATGCGTTTAAGTTACTAGAGATTAAGCTCTCTATTACGGATTATAGATAGGGCTTCTCTAATCTATAAATATATATAAATAAACATTAAAAGGCTATAACTATTCTGGCTAGTTTTGTGACTAAAATCCATAATAATCTTAAGGAATTTGCGCGTTTAGCTATAATAAGTAAAGATAGTTTTAATGATAGTATAAATAAATATCTAGTGAGTATTATATTATTAGGGAATAGCAGTTAATAAGGGCTTATTATATAACTTAATATGGTGTTAAAATTATTTTATGTATTACTATCTCACACTATATTTATTATGATATATAGCTTAACTAATTATAGTTAGCATGATTATGTGATAGCTATATTTATATAACCTTAAGAATAAATAGATTAAGGTATATAGACTAGGCTTATTATTATAGGATAAAATACCTATAGCCCCTTCTTTTTTTATCTATTCTCTACTAGTTACTATGTCTCATTAAATATAGTTATATCTATAGAAGTAATTATGAGCTATCTTAACCTTATAGACACTAGTTATTACTAAATAAATAAAGGTATTAAAGCTATTCTTATAATAATAGCTTAGTTCTCTATTCTTTTACATTCACTCCTTTAACTTATAAAATAATATCTTAATTAGATTGAGCTCTAGAGTATATAGAGATAAGTACTTAAGAATAATACTCTACTCCTCGCATATTCGCTTAACTCTATTAAATCAGTAAATAGTTACATTATTTATGATTAGAACGGAATGATTTCCTAGGAAGGGGTTTATCTTATTAAGCACTCCTTAAAGAAATGTTTTAAATCGTTTAGTGTTAAAAGAGCCTTAATAGATCTTATAAGTGAGTTATCTATCTATTATTATCGTAGATAAAATGCTTTAATTAGTAGATTAGTTACCTAGTAGTTACACTTAGTATGAAGTATTATAGGCTAACTAGCTAAACTTTCTATCCATAGTTCTATTATTTATAGTGCTTTTATTAAGTGTTACTAGCTAGTTACTAGTGTAATTAGCTATCTATACTATATAGAAAGCGATAAGTTTATTGTCTCACCTAGTGTTAACTTTAGTTACCTGTTTATACGTAATATTTATAGAGTTAAGTGCCTAAGGGACTATTAATATATAAGCGTTAATACTAAACTTATCGCGGAGAAAATTGTAGCACTTATCTAGTTATATTATTAGTTAATCTAGTATAAAATCATAAAGTCCTTTCATTATAGCATAATGAATTAACTTTAGATAACCTTTAATAGGTACTATATCATTTGTTTTAATGTCTTAATAGTGTAAATCCCGTTAAACTTTAGAAATATAGGCATTAGAAACCCCTTAAGCCTTTATAATGGCTATGCCTTTCACTTCTACCCGAAGTGCAATTAACATAGTCACTTTTACCGCAGGATTAAACTTTAGCTATGACGGCATCATAATCACGCCTTTTTATATAGTAAAATTTAGATACTTAGATAGAGAATTTGCTCTGGAGTAAGATTATCATATAATATTTATGAAATTATAGGGTGGTTGTTGAGAAATATGGCGTTGTGTTCTCACCGCTTTTATGATTGTTGAATGTTTTGCATGTTGCAAAAAAATAAGGTTTTTACGGAATTTTGCAAAGCACAATACTGGATGCCGATCATACGTTTTCTGTGAGCAGCCGACAGAGAGTTCGATAAGTGCGAGCAGTGGATCAACAGATCAGGTCGTACTATTTGATATGGGATGCTGTCGATATTGGGCATTATGGAGCTTTGCAACCTCCTCCTACTTTTGGCTGGCCCATTAAAAAACACACAGGATACTCGTCGATCACTTACGACTCGCAATCCAAATCCTCGCATGAATACAATCGCGGCTCTTCTCTTCTTGAGGTGATTATGGTGGTGATGACGACCACTTTTACACACGCCTCTCTCTCATTTCACAAAAAGTCTCCGAATATTCCCCCTTTTCTCGGAGACATTTCTGAATACAAAAGGTCGCCTTAAAAAATTTCCGTTGGATTGGATCGCAAGGCCTTCCACACTACGCACGCGCATTCGTATTACGGGGAGTAATAAACGAGGGTATCTCGCATAGCGAATGACTTCAGTGTACTTCTTCATTCTTACGAAAGTACGAAACGTACGTATTCCTTGTTCTTACTTGTTCCGTGGATTCCTTTGGATCATCACAACGATACCAGTCCTTGGTCTATGTTATAAGTAGGCAGAGGTGAGTCTTACGGTAAGCTGCTGCCACCTTCGGATTCCATTGACTCTTCTTTTTCCCCGTTCATACACATATCGCATATCGTTACGACGTGTCTCTGGGATCTACACATTGTCAGAAATGCTCGTCGAATCTCTACAACCTCGAAACTGGGATGTCTCAGCTCTTGGAGCTTTTCTGTTGTTGTTCCTTGCATGGTTTACATCGCAAGCTCTTTTGTTCCTCTATCGTATAACGATACATCCTCTCGCAAGGTTTCCTGGACCCATCATCGCCGGACTTACTTATTGGTATGAATACTATTACGACGTGAGTAAGGAAGGTCGCTATTTGTGGAAGATAATTGAACTACACGAGAAGTATGGTACGTTTTGTATATACTTGACACGACGCCCTCACTACATCACTCCCCATTGTTCCAGAGGCTCTTTTCGAAGGGCTTTTCAAGCAACGGCCAGTCACCCTCGTCGTCAACGCAAGAACGAATGGCTTATCACTGACCTGACTGGCGCTCCTGTCGAGGAAGTACCGACTAACAGATCTCGTCGACATAGGTCCCATAGTCCGAATCAACCCCAATGAGATACACGCGAGCGACCCTTCCTGGTTTGCCGAAATCTACCACGGTACCAACACCGTCACCGATCGTGATGGATGGTACAATTTGGATTTTCTGGGTGACGGGCTGGCTTTCACGCTCGGCCATGAACTCCACGCGACCCGCCGGGCACCTCTCGCCCCGTACTTTAGTGCTCAGTCGATCAGGGCACTCGAACCTCGAATCACCGGCGTCGTGGCTCGTATGGTGCGACGTCTCGAAGAATTCCACGCCTCCGGACACATTGTCAATCTGTACCACATGTTCGCCGCCTACGCTCTTGACATCGTGTCCGAATACGCCCTCGGCGAAGACGGTTCGACAAATCTCATGGGGCTCCCCGAGATGGGTCGTGCTTGGAGTGAAATGACCACGGCCCAGATCCGAAACAACCCGTTGGGTCGACACTTTAAGAGCACGATGAGGGTCATGCTTTTCATGCCGGAGTGGGTCCTCGTCAGGCTCGTACCCGGCCTGGACGGGTTCGTCAAGTATCAAGACTCTCTGTTGAGACAGACGCAGCGGGTGTTGACGCAGAACGACACGGGGGAGGGCGTCTTGCCCGACAAACGCACCATCTTGCACGAGTTGGCGGCCAGTCCGACCTTGCCTCCCCGCGAAAAGTCCCTGGTGAGACTCAAGGACGAGATGAACATGGTGATCGGGGCCGGAGGGGAGACCACCGCCCAAACTCTCACCAGGACATGTTATCACCTGGTCACCACCCCGGATGTGCTGGCGAGGTTGAAACGCGAGTTGACCACCACGCTCAAAGATCCGGACAAGATTCCATCCATCGACCTTTTGCAGAACCTGCGATACTTGACGGCCGTGGTGGAAGAAGGACTGAGGATTTCGTTCCCCGTCCTGGCGAGGAGCCCCAGGGTGTTTAGACGTCACGCGTTGCAGTTGGGCGATTGGACCGTACCGGCTGGGGTGAGTCGCCATTTGCACTTTTCCCAATCCTTCAACCCTCTTGTGTCCTTCTTAGCTCGTACCTACCCGTCTCCTTAACGCCGTGTCCTGCCCCTGCTTCCTGTATTTCCGGAATACTTTTGCTCACTTTTGTTGTCGTCTATAACTCGTAGTCCGCAATATCAATGTCACCTTATATCGTTCTGACGAACCCAGAAATCTTTCCGGACCCGTTCAAATTCAACCCGGACCGATGGATCGATAACCCGGACATACAAAAGTACAGAGTCACATTCGGTAGAGGGAAAAGAGGTTGTTTGGGAAAGACGTGAGTATACAAGCCCTTTGCACACTTCCTGGGATTCTTATCTCAGTCCTTTATCATATGGAAACATTCTGCCCTACCGCTACCGTCTGAGAATTACTGGGACTGAGGCGTTGATCCGAAAACAGTCTGGCGTATACTGAATTATACTTCGCCATCGCCATGATATTTAGAAAGTTCGAACTCGAATTGTTCGACACGACAAGCGAGGATGTCGAGGTTGTGCACGACTTTTTCATGGGGACGGCAAGGAACGAATCGAAAGGCGTCAGGGCCAGGGTTGTCGGGTCGGTGTGAAAAGTGAACACTCTGAGCGCGCACCCCCCCCGAGATAGATCAAATCATCAGCGTACCATGTATGTTTGGGATTGAGAAATTAATGAATTTGTATCGTTTCACATCACCGACGTGTGTGATTCATCGGGAACACTGGAAAGATACCTGAAAGATGAAAACTTGTTTGTGATTGTATTCAATGTCTGTAATAATCTTCAATGTCGGAACGTCCCAATTGGAAAGTTCGACTCCGCGAACTTGAGCGGTTCAGCCCCTAGGATGCCTGTAGAGGACTTTCCAACCTTTTCACCTGGGTGGCTATTTAAACTTGAACAGTCGGTCATCGACCAGAGGTTAAATAAAGGCTCTCAGTGCCTTTCGCCATCCGCTCTGTCGTGGCTGCAAGGCAATGTCCAAACTACCTCTTCTGATTCCAGTGGTGACGTTCATGTCACGCGCCCGGATGAACATCTTCCAGTCCCTCGACCAGAGTTTCCAAGAGATGTACAGACCCAACACTATCGGGGCCGCGAGGTAGTTTTCGAAAAACACCTCTGCGTCGGGACTCGCGCCCAGCGGGAAGAGGGAGGTGTAAAAGGTGGCGATCATGGCGAGGGCGTTCAAAGTGACTCCGATGTACGAGCCGGCGACACCGAACGCGGCGCGGTAGGGGAGTTGGTCCTTGGTGAAGCCGTGGGCGGCCCATCCGCGTCGGAAGCGAATGTGAGCCAGGTTGATGCTGAACCACACGAAGAAGAAACTCAACCCGGACAGCGCGAGGAGCCACGCGAAGATTTCCCCGGACGCGTGAGCTTCCCCGATGTAGGCGAGACAGCCAAACAACAGCTGGATCACGATGCACCAGACCGGACGACCTTTCTTGTCCACGTACATCAGGAACCTCGGCCCCATGCCTCTCGCGGCGAGCGCCTGCATGGTCCTCGAAGATCCATAGGTGCAGCTGTTCGCCACGCTGATGACGGAGATGGTGATGACGGCGTTCATCACACTCGGCAGACCTTTCACACCCGCGTACTTGATGGCGAGGACAAAAGGCGAAGCTTTTGTGTTGGCACCGCTCGCTCCGAGAAGGTCCGGGCTGTCGGAGGGGACGATCAGGCCGACGATGAACAAGGACAGGATGTAGAAGGTCGCGATGCGCCAAAAGACTTGTCGGGTCGCCTTGGGGAGAGAACGATGTGGGTCTTCTGCTTCAGCTGCGGCGAGACCGACGAGTTCTGTGCCTCCGAAGGCGAAAGCGGCCGTGACAAACACCGAGCAGAAACCCTTGAACCCGTTTCGAAAAGCGCCAGGGTCCTGAGGGAGAGAGACGTGTTAGCCCACCCAGAAACCCCTGGACAGAATAAGAACAAAAAGAAAGTACTTACATGCCAATAATGAGCACCGATATAGCCACGATTGTCGGAAGGAACACCACCGCAATCAACGACGATGCCAAATATGATGAAGCCGACACAAGCCAGGATCTTGATCAAGGCGAGGACAAATTCCACTTCACCATAGCCTCGAACACCGAAGATTTGTATTCCCGCGAGAAAGACCAGGAAAATGGAGATCCAGACGCTGACGTGAATGTCGTCTCTCCAGTACTCGATAGTGATCGACGCGGCTGTGAGTTCGAACGGCAATACTGTCAACCAGCCAATGGCATAGTCCCAGCCGACAGCGAAGCCCCAGGAGGGATCGACGAATCGGACAATGTAAGTGTAAAAGGCACCGTTGACGGGGTAGAGGACAGTGAGTTCACCGAGGGCTTGCATGGTGCAGAGTAACATGAAGCCGACAATGAGGAAGCCGAGGAGAACGCTTGCAGGACCACCAGTTCGCAGTGCGCCGCCAGAGCCGACGAAAAGACCTGCACCTATAGAACCGCCTGGGCGAAGGTTAGCAGCTGTCTATCACCACCGGGTGTTCTTTGTGTAACGTGTTGCAAGTGAGGCCAGAGTCAATGTCATCATGCCCATGTTGTCCGATGGTGAACAACCCACTGGAAGTACAACAGCAAAAGGTAGCCACTCACCAATTGCAATCATCTGCATATGACGCGAACGCAGCTTCTGCGCCAAAGGGTTGTGCTGTCTATTGACCGGATCTTCCTCGTCGGCATACGACACTTCTTGAGCTAGATGTTGAAGTTTTGGGTCGCCAGAGAAGTTCTCTGGGTCGGAAGAACGAGGAGAGGCGGCATCACGGGCAACTCCCTCGCTAGCTTTGAGGTGTTTCTCGCCGACTGGCGGCTCATTCCGGGGGCCAGCCATCGTGTCAAGGTTGCGAGGGTGTCAAGATGTTTGGAAGGTGGAAGTTGGAAGAGAAAAAGATGGGAAGAGCGAGAAGTGACGGGGTTATATGAAGCAGAGGCAGTGCAAAGTACCGTGAATGGGCACGAGCAGTGAAGTCAAGGATTTCTGTCCGGACAGCACTTCCATTTTTGACTGGCACATGCAGTGACCATCACTGCAATGGGCTCCTTTGTCTCGTTACCTGTGATATGTCATGGTGACTGCCACAACGTCGCTAGTGAAGCGGATCGATGCACACAACATTCTTTTCAGACGGTGGATCGCCACAAGCCAGCAGCAGGTGGACAATGGAGAGGGAGCCAAGAGACGAAGGAGGCCAAGATGACACACATGATCTGAAAATCCATGGCCTGATGCAGGGGGGTAGCAGAGATTTTTCTGTTTTCTTCCAGCGGAGGATTCATGAACCCATACAGAACATCACACGATGAGCTGGAGAATTGGTGGAGGAGTCGAGACACTGCGGGGGAAGGGCAGGGGATGTTGTTGGTGTTGCCACTGAAACAAGATCAACAAGACAAGGCATTGAGAAGCTGGTGAAGAATAAGACCAATTGTGGCGTTCGATTCTTCCTGGCCTCCGCGTCGTGAAAGTCGATTGTTCACCGTGGTCGAACTGCAGTGTAACATTAATGCTGGTCGTTTTCAACGCCGGTTACGTAACTGGCCCCTTTTACAAGCATGGAAATGATCCAGAAGCAATCAATAGCTTCTATGGATACGAGAAAATCTGGGGAGATTTGCTGGAAGCCATCGGTTATTCCAGGATGTCTTCGGGCAGACTGTATCCCATCGGGAGTTTGCGTGGGTTTTGTTCGGTCGCTCTGACGGAGAATTTCTTGAAGCCCATGAAAGGGAAGCAAAGAGACACACACACAATGTCCGCCCTGAGACACGAAGATTGGCGTCGGAAGAAGCACCATGACACCAAAGATATCAGAAGATGAAGAAAAGAAACCAAGAAAAGAATTTGGCTCGGCCAAGTCTTTTTAGCTTGAGAGGCACTTGAATCCTTGGATCAACATCCTCGACTGGGTATCTCAAAATACAGGGATCAATTTAAAGACAGTAAATTATGGCAAGCATCTACATTCGACTCGAACAAAGCATCAAAACATCAAAACATCAAAACATCTGGTCGGCCGTAAATAATTGTATTCGTTCTTCTCGCTATCAAAATCGTAAGTCTGGGTCTGAGTTGCTCTCCTTGATATACAATACACTGCGAGTTCAAAGCACGCAAAAGATCTTCCATTTCACAAATCCCAATTGCTGCATTTCAGCATCCAGAGAGAACCATATCAGAGTAACTCCCAAACACCATGCAGACCTCAATTCCGCAGTCCAGTATCAGCCCTCAAAACCCAGCGATGCTCCAACGCCAACAATGCACGGGTTCTCTGACACATCAACAACATCGTCCTTTTCGCCGTGCTTCCTCGGGATCACGAGTCCCATATCCCGGACCACCGCTATCAGATTCACCTATACCCAATCCTACGCTGGGCAGACCCAACCAGCTTCGTCTCTTATCTCCATAGCCAACCCTGAAGCTCCCGTTGTGTCCATGAAGTCCTCCGAAATAATCATCACCAGTCTCACTGCGAGATTTGGAACCTTGCAGTTTGGTGAACTCGGCAGCGTCCCTCTGGTGTTTCTGCTCAACCAGCTTGCGCGCAATAACTCGAAACACCTCTTCCACGCCTTCTCCGTCCTTTGCGTTGACTTCATGGCAGCTATCCCAACCGATGTCTTGGTTCCAAAATCCCGAGCTGCGTTTCGAGTCCGGACTTTGAACGTTATGACCAGATCTCATGGCCAAAGGAGGGGTTGAGGCAGTACTCTCAGCAGCCACGGCTCCTAATTGCTGTGCCACATAGGTAATGGTACGCTCAAAGGTGACCTGCCGGCATGATGGATCGTCCGCAACAATATCGCTCTTGGTGCCCACCACGTGTATTATTGGCATGGCCTCGCCATCCTCGCAATTCTCCTTCATTTCTTCCAGCCATGTCTTCATCTCTTCGAAACTTTGTTCATTTGTGATATCATAGCATAGCAGCCCAGCATTTGCTCCTCGGTAGTAGAGTCGAGATATGCTTCTGAACCGCTCCTGCCCCGCCGTGTCCCATATCTGTAACCGAACGGTTGTAGATGTGTCAGGGTCGGTAATCCGTTTCGTGACAAAAGAAGCGCCAATCGTTGATTGAATATTCTTTGACAACTGTGCAGATGGATTGATAAAGCGTGATACCAGGGATGTTTTCCCCACGCCTTGCGCACCAAGAACTACCAACTTTGCCTCGATCGAGGTAGCCGGGATCGGCTGAGGAGCTGTGGTCGTGATTAGAGGAGGAGCCGTATTCATTTTGACCCAGATCCAAAGTAGAATAGGAAGCAGAGAGAATGTGGGAGGGGAAGAATGTGGTGGTTGTGTATCTCTTTTTTCTATCTCATATTTTCTTTTCCTTTCTTCTCTTCGTAGGCGGTGCAACAAGAGGAGGCCTTGAAGCGCGGCAGCCTGTGGCTTATTGAGTCACACTCTCTGAGTCGGGAGGTCAGCTGCTGGTGTGAATGAAAAGGTCCTGGATGACGGAGTCAGCTTTCATCACCGCGATCCAAGACACAAGGAAACAAGGCAAGAAAAATGAAAACAGAAGAGGGCGAAGAAGATGAACGTCGCGTTGTGTGATGAGGCTCGAAAGGTATTTTGAGACGCGAATCTCGAGTTGTCGAGGTGTAGAACCGCAATCGCAGTTTCACGTACGAGAAAGCATTTCACGTAGAAAGATCCCCGTCTCGCCCCCAGAAAAAAGATTCCAACGGCCAGTAGAGCCTCTTTACAACCCCGCCATGCCTCACTGCAATCTCTCGGGCGCAATAACAATCTGCATCCATCATAGAGTCATCAACAACATGACTGGACAGGCACGAGCCCATTGATGAACAAGCCTTATCGATATGTGCATCACGCGGTCATCCAGCATAAATTGCTGACACGAAGAAGTGCAAGGCTTCACCCCCCATCACCACCACCATTACGGCACAGACAGGTCTATTTATTTATTTATTGTCCCATCTCGAGGCACGTCTAAAGTCCCTTAGTTACACCCACTGAGACCGTGCTTCGGATACCTCTTTCCGTTTCGCCTACCTAGGTACATATGGTTGACCGATGAGAGGACAGAAAGAGGTGGGACAAGAATGCACGGTGAGGATGTGTGGACAAATGGTTCTACAGTGCTACAGTCTTGCCAACAAATAAATACACAGAGCGACACGTCGTGGATCTGCAAGGCCCTACTCGCAAGTACTGTACCTAGACGAGTCGCAGTCAGTGGGTGAGCACCGGCATGACATCCCATCCCTCGCTCTGTCACTCCCAACCCACTTCAAACCGGCACTTGACCTGTTTTTCTGCGGCGGCGCGAACTCCGTCTAGGATCAGATCGTTCTTATCCCCGCCTCCTCCAGATTTGTCGTCAATGCGAGTCTCGAATGACTATCCGTCCAATTAACAGCAAGATGCTTCTCCATTACGCTATCCATCTGTCTACTATTTTCCCCCGAGGTGTACAGTCCGGAGGCATTGCTCCAGCTTTTATAATTCTGTTCGCTTTTCTCGTTGTGCTTTCTTTTTTCATCGTCTTATTTTCTTCGCAAGGTAGACGCACCCCCTCTCTCGCCCTAGATTCCGAAAGACAGCCCATTCTCCCTGCCACCAGAACTGAACCTCAATCAAGATGAACCGCAGCAAGGAAGAAAGACCAGACGTTGGCACTCTGACTGGGGAAGATGTGGCAAAGCATAACTCCAGAGAATCATGCTGGGTGATCGTACATGGAAAGGCGTACGACGTAACAGACTTTTTACCTGGTCAGTATTCTTGGGGAGGTTTGTGTTTCAATTCACTGCTAACTGTCCACCTTCCAGAGCACCCTGGCGGTCCCAAGATCATACTCAAGTATGCTGGTAAAGATGCCACCGAAGAATATGAGCCCATCCACCCCCCAGATACACTTGACAAGTATCTGCCAAAAGAAAAACACTTGGGGCCTGTCAATATGGAGACTGTAGAGAAAGAGGTGAAAGAGGAGAGCCCTGAAGAAAAGGAAAGGCAAGAGCGGATCAAGAACATGCCCCCTCTAGAAGCCTGCTACAACCTCATGGACTTTGAGAGCGTCGCTAGGAGTGTAATGAAGAAGACCGCGTGGGCATACTACAGCTCCGGTGCAGATGACGAGATCACAATGCGAGAAAACCACTCTGCATTCCACAAGATCTGGTTCAGACCAAGGATATTGGTCGATGTGGAGAACGTGGACATCAGCACGACAATGCTCGGGACGAAGTGTGACATACCCTTCTATGTCACAGCTACCGCCCTTGGAAAACTAGGACACCCCGAGGGGGAAGTGGTTCTGACGAGAGGTGCGAAGAAACACAATGTCATTCAGATGATCCCTACCCTGGCGTCATGTAGTTTCGACGAGATCTGCGACGCCAAAGAGGGTGACCAGTGTCAATGGCTACAGTTATATGTCAACAAGGATCGAAGCATCACGAAAAAGATTGTCCAGCATGCCGAGTCTCGAGGTTGCAAGGGTCTCTTCATCACTGTCGATGCTCCTCAGTTGGGACGAAGAGAAAAAGACATGCGCAGCAAATTTGACGACACCGGTTCAAACGTCCAAAATACCAGTGGTGACAACGTCGACCGATCCCAAGGTGCCGCCAGAGCAATCTCCAGTTTCATCGATCCCAGCCTCAACTGGAAGGATATACCCTGGTTCTTGAGCATCACCAAAATGCCCATCATCCTCAAAGGTGTACAGAGGGTCGAGGACGTTCTGAAAGCCATCGAAGTCGGCGCACATGGCGTTGTCCTTTCCAACCACGGAGGTCGTCAGCTCGATACTGCACCTTCAGGCATCGAAGTTCTCGCCGAAGTCATGCCTGTTCTAAGAGAGCGTGGTCTCCAAGACAAGATTGAGATCTTCGTCGACGGCGGTGTTCGACGAGCGACCGACATCATCAAGGCCTTGTGTCTGGGAGCCAAGGGAGTTGGTATTGGTCGACCTTTCCTGTTCGCCATGTCCTCCTACGGTCTACCCGGAGTCGACAGAGCGATGCAGTTACTCAAAGACGAGATGGTGATGAATATGAGGTTGATTGGCGCATCCAAGGTCGAAGAATTGACCCCTGACTTGGTCGACACGCGCGGGTTGGCGACCCATACTGTTCCTGTGCCTAAGGACACGCTGGGTTTGCGATCCTACGACCCCCTGATCACCGCACATCAAATGATCAAATCAAAGCTTTAAATTTCCGTAAAACATTGTTTTGAGCGAGACTTTTTTTGGTTCGTGTTGGTCAGGCGTGTTTCTGTACATACCTAGCTAGTTTGCAAGAACTTAAGCTATCATGAGTAGAGGAAAAGACTTTCCTGGGTATACAGTTACATGTACGGACGGGATAGGTAAAATGGTACCATTTGGAGGATACGCTCCCTTGTGTATGTATGGCCTCGATGCCCCCGTACTCAGCAACGAGACTTTCAAATCAAACTTGGATGGTCTTCGCTTCGAATTTCCGTCATCCTTGACACCTCGAGCCTCGTAGTTTCTGCGATTGATTACCAGACTCAATCTACATGTATTTCGCCTTGTTCGTGGGGGTTTGGTACAAAAGCTTGCGTTGGATTGTCGTCGAGGTTTTGAAAGCATTTTCGTTCCGTCTTGCCGGGTATTATGTCTACTGTACCTGTAGACTCGTAACTCTTCTTATTCGGTTTTGAGAATGCACTCCACCGTTTTTTCCTTTTCGCTTGCAAAAAAGCCGACAACATCGATCTTCCAGAGAAAAAAAAAGAGAAATGTGCCTTGCCTGCAACATGACACTGAAGTGTCGGTCGAAAAAAAAACGGTAGGAGTAAGGGAACTTTCAGGATCGTTCACGCAGAAGTTTGGGCAGAAGCTACCCCAGTTTCATCGGCGACAACCTCGACGTTCTTTTCTCTTCCAGCACCATCATTGTCGTACCTTGGTTATACCTTGGTTGATCAAGTCCTTTCTTTTTTTAATAATGGATTTGAGACTTTCGATTGTGACCACGAGGGTTCGTTCTGGTCGGACCCAAGATACTCGCTAGCCAAGGTGTGGTTTCTCTCACCGATGGTCGTCTTTCAGCCAGAATCTTCATCGGTTTCAAGTCGTCGTCCGTGTCATCGGAGACGGCGGGATCGTCGTCGTCGTCATCGTCATCGGCGTCTTTTTCTTCTTCGTTTTGGACTTTGAGTTGCTGCTGCTGCTGCTTCTTACCCTTGTTTTTGTCTTGCTCCTTCTCCTCATCCTCCCAATCCTCCTCCAATGCCGCAATGCTTGGACTCTTCATGGCGAGGTCAGCCTGAGGGCCACTCTCCGTGCTCAAGAACCCAATTGGAAGGGTGAACCCTTGTTCCCCCAAAGTTTCGTTTGTGTCTGCGTCACATTTGTCTGAATCGGACTGTTTTATAAACAACTTTTCGTGTTTGTTTTTCAAGATGCCCCTTTTTTGAGGAGTTTGGCAACCACCCGCCTTGGTCGTGCCGCCTTTGGTGGTGGTGAGGAAATCCTGAGTCGAAAGAGAGCCGTTGTCCCGTGGGCTGCTTGAACGGTGAGAGATGGATGACCTCTGGTCGGACAGTCGACGTTGTCCCTGGTCCTGCTGCTGCTGCTGTTGGTGATGATGATTCGATTTGTGGGGTCTTCTTGCCATCATTCCGGCTCGAACGACAATCACTGGTATCTCTGGCTGTTGCCAACAACAAGTAGAAACGGAACCGGATAGCATCTTTTGAACACTCGACGAATTCCCGTCGCTTGCAGCCACGACGAGCGCAGTGGGTTCATAAAGATCAATCTGTACCGGGTACGTAGTTAGTGTCAATCCTTTTTATAATGTGGCAGAACGACTCCATTCTTAAGCTCACTCACTATTGATTGAACGACGATGGAGGAGCTCTTCCCAACTCCCACTATCTCGAGGACGATTTTGATGACCTTTCCACTCGTGTTCTTGTTGATCACACTCTCCAAGAGTTTCTCTGCTTCGATGCGATGGTGCCGGCCACGTTTCGAGCGGGAGGGCCAACCGGTCAAGATCGATTCCTTCTCAACCCCGTAGACACAGACGATCTCGTCGCCGTCGTCGACCAACTCTCCCAGAGCCCATCTCAGGACGAGATCAGAAGACTCGGTGCCATCCAAACCACAAAGGAAGACCCGACCCGGTCTGGCGGTGGTGGTAGCGGTGGCGATGTCGTAGTAACCACCATGTGCGAAACTGAGTGTGAACAGTTTAAATGGTGCATCTTCGGCGTCGAAAGTGTCAAATGATACACCACGTCTGTAAAGCGGTGATGATGGCAGGGTCGTAGGCGGCATTCCCCCTTTGTCGAGGTACGGGAAAGGATGGGAAACGAGGCGATCAAGTGCTCACACGTTTCCCTTTATTAGATACTTCGACATGTGTGTGGCGTGGGATGAGATGAGAGTCGAGACTGATGATCCACACGTCCTTATTTCCCAATGCTTGCATCTTATTGCTCCTTTCAGCATGCTTGAGGACCTGTAGTGACGACCACCATGCCAAGCTCACGAGCCAACACCAACAGAGGCAGGATAGCCCGCTGGAATTCGCGAGAGGGGGGTGGTGAGCTGATGTCAATCCAATTACGAGTGATGATTTTGGCGTAGTCTGGAGCTTGCCAAGGCAATCCCTTGCCCCTCCCATGTCGAGCGATGCTGTTCCGATTTGAAGCTTCAAGAAACTCGGTTGATTCGTTCGCTCAGCCTCAAAAAGGGGGCTGTGTTGTAGTCGAGTAAATTTGAGTGCACGTGCCTGGGAGGTGGAGGGAGGTAAGGCTCCCTTCATTGATATTCAGGACCGCCATTACCCTTGACGTTCTCACAGAGACAACACGAGTAGATGCTACAAACGTGTGTACAGGTGCAAGGATATCCTTACCTGGGGCCCCCTGTTAAGCGAGGAGCGATGAATTACAAGTATGTTAAAATGGTGGAGTGGAGTTGTAAGGTCGTTGAGGGGTTTGCTGTACTTTCGCACATGTCACTCGTAGACCTCGTCCATTCAGCGAACCGTAACTCGTCCTATACGGGGTATTCGTACTTGACTTTTAAGGCGACTCGCTAACAAGTACTGTAAGCTTGCCCCGCGACAAATACGAGATTTACAAAGTCTGAGCTTTGGTGGCCCGAATCCCGATCGAATGATCGTAGGACGTACTTTGTGTCTAGGCCCTCGTACTCGTTACCCGCATTTGTCTTTGCTGACTCACGATGGTGTCGACTTTACCGGCAATCTTACAATATGTGCCTTTGCTGAGTCGAGCTTAGTTAGCCGACTGTAATATTGAGCTTCTTCTTGTCGATCTAATGATCGAGTTTCCTCAGACAAGGTCCTTCAAGGGGCCCCAATTACTTCCCCGTGAGGTACATAGGTAGTAAGTCAAGGTAAGCAAAGCTGTATCAGCTCCCCTCGGAGGAACTTATCGTCATCAAGCAATGCCTTCCTCATTCGGAGCTGATGACATCCCTGCGAGCATCTCACTGTCCTCGACGACATTGCGGAGGTTCGCTGGAGACAAAGTTGATCCTTACGTTCGCTATGTGGCCTTCTTACTCCTCCGCGATCTGAAAATCGGTGTCGCAGGCCAGCGGAACATGAACAATGCTCTTAGCAACCTTCCGGTCCATATGTCCGTCGCACCGGCTGACAAGTTATCTCTCGGTTGGGGTCCTTCGCACGTCATCTACGACCGAGCTGTCCATGAGGACGAAGGATCCTACGATCATCTGGCTGTGATGCTTGCCTTGACCGAGACTTTCCACGAGACCTATGGGGCGTTGGTGCTGATGGAATTATCGGCAGCAGCAACAGCAGCAACTCCGGGCGAGGCAACCACACCTCATTTCGTTCAGTGGAAAGCCGCCTTACACGGGTGCAACGGCGCGCTTGCTTCGACGGATTTCGGGCTCCTTGTAGAAGATTACATCCAGCTGTATCCCTACAACATCATCAATGTGGATCACGTGGAATCTCTAATCCCGCCCAGAGTGGTCGCTAAAGCCATATCTGCCCTGCTTGAAGTTACGAGCGGGCGTCAGAAGCAGGCCACATTTACCGGCAGCGCAATCACTAGCTGGATAGGGGCAGTGGCCGAATGGCTCTGTGATCTGCCGCTTGCCGTGTATCAGACTGGTGGACAACAGTTGCGCAGAACACACGCAGATCAAGACCCTCAGATAACGTTGGTCTTTGTCAAGAACCCGGGACTCTCGGTTTCCTTCGAAAAGGGAGATTTGGATATATCTGGAGTTGCTGACTTGTCGCTCGTGGACAGAACTTACTCTTCGGCAGTGCACGCGACTCCGTTCGGAGGTCGAGTGGCATGGCAGTCACTTCTCCCAAAAGTGTTTGGCAAGAGTTTTCGTTATCTAGACCACGAAGAGTCAAAGGCATTCGCGACCATGATGGGAAGTGCTGCCAAAATGTTTGAGGGCCTCGCTCTCGGCAGAGGGCATGAAGAACACAATGAGCTCGTTTCAACCCAGAATCAGAACAACGACGCATCCTATGGTGCCGGACTAATCGTGACTTTGACCAATTGGCTCCCTGAACTTCGGCGCTTCGAAGGGCGGATGGAAAAACAGCTGAAGTTGTCCCATGAGGACGCGGCAGCGAATTATGTCGAACAACTGACACGGGTTAGGAAGGCCTGCCATTGTGGGATCTGCACTGCCAAAGAACACCTTGCAGATGGACAGGAAGGTGTGCCGCCGCCTCATGGCTATTGTCTCGCTGTACTGGTCGAAACCATTATCGCTCTCGGGTTATCCTTGTCCAGAATGACAGTGTCATCGCGATTGTATCCCACACGATCAGGAATCCAAAGCTTCTATCTTGGTCAAGTCTCGAAGCGACTGGAAGCCCGGGGCAAGCACTGGAAAGAACATTTCAAGATTGTGTATGGGAACGAGTGGAATGCGCCTGATGTCCGTCGTCTTCAAAATGCCATCCAGATCTTCACGGGTTCCAGGCCGACGAAGAACATCACCGAGAACCTTGTGGCCATCTCACACGAAGGGATCTGTGCGTACTTTGTGGCCATGGAGAAGGGGTATCCATCGGAAAAAGTCCACCAAGTGCAGTTGATCCGCGTCGTCAGTGGGAGCATCAACGTCGGCGAGAAGCTGTTTGACAGAGCGTGCCTTGGATCCCTCCCAAGAGCTGATTATGATGACCCGTGGGAGCAGCTGGAGTATGACCACTTGCCTAAGCCCTTGTTCTGCAAATGAGACGTACATTACGGAGTGACTACTCTAGAATAGTCATCGGCGTCGGAAGTATAGGAAGCTGGCAAATCTTGTTGATTCCTGTCGTTTGGAACACGGACGAAGGGCTTCAAGCCACAATGGGTAGGGTCAGCCAAGGTGGCCATGCGTTTTATTAGTATTTATTACGGAGTAGAAGTCGAGTGCGTTCCATTCGAGTGTGTCCCAGGGGAAAGTGGTGGATATTAGTAGTAAGTAGCTGTTGTTGGTTGTTTGTGGGTATGAAGCCCGGAGAAGACTCGGGCTCCAAAGAGGCTTAAGCGGGTTCTGTTTATAACGAGGGAAATAGGTGAAGTAAGCTGAATTAATTGGCCGTCAGAGAATCGTCTGATACTGGATCCCGCTGTGGCCCCTGTGATTCGCCCTGTACAGCTCCGCCCCTGGCCGGAGGAGGGCACAGGGAGGGGTACGCCCGCCAATCCAGACCCAGTGACAAAGCTCGCATGCTGTTCACATCGGCTCACAACGCGCTTCCTCTTTTGCTTTTTTCTGGAACTTGACATTCCTCGAGACGACAAAGTTGTTGGTCAATCCTTACCTCAGCGACAGCATCTCGAGATTCATTCTCTGGTCTGCTCCTGTGCAGCCTGGTAATTCTGGTGTGAGTGGATCATGGCGGCCTCAGCCTTGCTCAAAAGCCGGTGTCGACGAGCTTCATACCTAAATAAACTTGCAAAGGCAGAGGATCTTATCGACCTTTTCCCCCATGGCTCGTACATCGGCTGGTCAGGCTTTACAGGAGTAGGATATCCAAAGTGAGTAACTCCAGATCTCAAGCTGTGACTGTCGCACAGCTCTGACCCGGCTCGATAGGAAAGTCCCGACGGCCTTGGCCGACCATGTTGAGAAGAATGGACTCCAGGGGAAGCTCAAGTACAATCTCTTTGTGGGTGCTTCGTCCGGCGCAGAGACGGAGAACCGATGGGCAAGACTCAACATGATCGAACGACGAGCTCCTCACCAGGTCGGCAAGGAGATCGCCAAAGGTATCAACAACGGTAACATCAAATTTTTCGACAAGCATCTCAGTATGTTCCCTGTAGACTTGATGTACGGTTACTATACCATGCACAAGGAGAACAACAAACTGGATGTTGCAATCGTCGAGGCTTCTGCCATCACGGAGGACGGCGGCATCATTCCCGGCGCCAGTGTGGGAGCATCACCTGAGATTATACAGATGGCCGACAAGGTATCTTTGAATTGAGTAACTTGTCGAAACAGTTAGAAGGCGATCTGACGTTTTTCGAAGGTCATTATCGAAGTCAATACGGCTGCTCCCAGTTTCGAGGGCTTGCACGATATCACTATGACTGACTTGCCGCCACGAAGAAAGGTGAGTTTGCCGTGGATGTGGTTTTTTGTTTCCAGGCTGACGGGTTTCCAAGCCATACCTGATCATGGCGCCTGAGGATCGTATCGGTACACCACATATCCCCGTTGACCCAGAGCGGGTAGTCGCCATTGTCGAATCAGACTATCCCGATCAGACCAGCGAAAATGCGCCCGAGGACGACTGTTCGAGAGCCATTGCATCCAACCTCATCGAATTTCTCCAACACGAGGTCAAACATGGTCGATTGCCGCCCAACTTGCTTCCAATCCAGTCCGGTATTGGAAACATCGCGAATGCCGTGATTGGTGGATTGGCCAAGGGAGGTGCAAACTTCAAGAACCTCAAGGTGTGGACTGAAGTTTTGCAAGATTCATTCCTCGATCTGTTCGACAGTGGGAACCTGGACTTTGCGACAGCCACATCCATCCGATTCTCGCCGGGCGGTTTCAAGCGTTTCTACGATGGGGTAAGTCGCGCGTGCCCTCTCTTTCCCTCTCCCTTGCCATTATGGCCACTGACAGTTTCATCCAGTGGGAAGCATATCACACTAAGCTGCTGCTCAGATCTCAACAAGTTTCAAACTCACCTGAGATCATCCGACGATTGGGCGTCATCGGAATGAACACGCCAGTTGAAGTCGACATTTATGCCCATGCAAACAGCACATGCGTCATGGGATCTCGTATGCTCAACGGTCTCGGCGGCTCGGCCGATTTCTTGCGTTCTTCCAAGTACTCGATCATGCACACGCCCAGTGCGCGACCCACGAAGACCGACCCTACCGGTATCAGCTGTATCGTGCCGATGTGTACTCACGTCGATCAAACTGAGCACGACTTGGATGTTGTGGTTACCGAAGTCGTATGTTTTCCCCTGTCTCTTGTTCTCTTCTGTCCTCTCTGAGCACTCACATCATGGACAAAAACTAACTTGATTTTTCAATAACCAAACAGGGCCTGGCCGATGTTCGAGGACTGTCTCCACGAGAGAGAGCCCGAGTCATCATCAAGAACTGTGCACACCCAGACTATCGACCGATTTTGGAGGATTATTTCAACAAAGCAGAATTCGAGTGTTTAAGGAAAGGAATGGGTCACGAACCCCATCTACTCTTCCAGGCATTCGACATGCATAAAAACCTGGTTGAGAATGGCACCATGAAAATCAACGGATGGAAATGAGTACCACGAGGTCCCTCGAATGAAGGTCTCTGAGAGTATATGTATATACATCGATGGAAAGATGCAAGTGGGCTTAGGGGTACTTAGAAAGATTTGGGTGCATCATGTCTTTCGGATCTGAGTCAGTTGAATTATACTGAGTCAGCAGCAAATTTGCGCACAGTGTCATGTAAAACAATAGGAGTCGAATCCGACAGTGGGAAGGAATCATCCAGCCTAGGCTGAAGTTCAATCCATGTCGACTTCTTGAGAATCCCGTTCTCAATCTTGCCTTTGGTGCTCTTTTGTCAAGGACTATACAACTCCCTCTCATTACTTTGCTCCGTCCCTGATGCCCTGCCATCTGTCCTAGGCGAAGTGCACATTCGACGCTTGCCTAGATCTTTGTGTTCCAGAGACAAGTCGCAGATGGCGCACCCTGTTGATCGTTGTATTGTGCTCCTATCTCACGAGCTTTTGCACACTCACGGAATACCCAAAGTAGCAAGACCAAGGATAAGAGGGGAAAAGGTACCTACTGTATCGTACTGTTGTAATGCGTAGGTACGAGCAAGCGCCGGTCTCGGTCGGGCATCATGCCGTCGCCAAGTGGGCGCTATATACGGACTTCAAGCCCTCGATCGTTTGCCTCGTCCAGTACTAAATCTACGGGTACAGCACTTCATCGAAAGCGTGATGCTTGTCAACGTCAAGTTTGCCCCCCATTGCGTCCACTGAGGTGCAGATCCCCAGGGTCCCAACATCATTTCTCTCGCTTGATCCTTGCTGCAGTGTAACCATGTACGCAAAGACTCATTGTCCAACATCCACTTCCACCGTACACAACACCTTTGTATGGTTATCAGAGCCGACAGCCAACATCCCACTGCTTCGAAGTCCAATAGGATGCGTGAAGAATTTTCTATGACCTACGAACTAATGAAGAGCTAGCAGACGTTTGCTGCTTCGAACGAATCCGGGTGAGACAATTCTGTGTCATTTCCTCAATGCTCGCTTCCCTCAGTCGCTCTCAGACGGACAAAACTCGGCGCATCTGTGTAACATGTCCGATTCAACGTCCTATTGTCCGGAAAGATCGCAATAGAAGCTGTTGCCAGGAAGAAAGAACACTTCCAATCATCTATAAATCATGCTGAGGCGATATTGATCTTCTAGCTAGACGGGGGGGGGTGGGCCGAATGCCCCCGCGCGGAGACGTCTTCATCAATTAGCCAACATCCCATGCTCCGTACACCTTCTGGGAGTTCCAGCCAGACCAATGGCAGCACACAACGTGAAGAAAATTCCTCCCAAAGTGGTAGTCCGACGGCCATACGGAGGCAAGGATTGCAACGACGCTTCTATATAGTCATAGGCTATGACAATCATGCCTGCATTCAGCATACGTTTTTCGCCGGTCTATATGCCGATGGCGACTGGTGCGCCCATGGAGCTATCGGTAAAGCGATCGGCGACAAGAGGCCAGCGTGTGGCACGATTGAGGTAAGTTGAAGATCCTGGTGATATAAAACCTAGTACGCTGCTCTCGTTCCCCGGTAAGTTCACCTCCGCGTTCGAGCTTGATTTAGCCCGTGAGAGTTTTGTTGTACGTTAACCATGACTGCCACGAAACGGAAGTATCTAGGAGGCTCGGGCAATGCCTTGACCGTCTGGATCACGCTTGCCGCCTCGACTGTCCTCGTCTTCTATGGCTATGATCAGGTACGCTGAAGCGGAAGAAATGCCCTCTGGGCCATGAATTGCTAGCCAAAATGCTGACCGGGATTGCGCTCCTTCAGGGTGTCTTTGGAAACGTCCTCGTCGGTCAGAACTTCCTCGATCAAATGGGCAACCCGTCGGCAAAAGACCAAGGAACTATGACCAGTGTTTATAATTTGGGATGTTTCGGAGGCGCGTTATCCACGCTTTACACCGGCGACAAGCTTGGTCGTCCCAGGACGCTACTCCTGGGAAGTAGCATCATCGCCGTGGGTGCCATCATCCAGACGGCATGCTGGAGCATGGGGCAAATGGAGGCAGGAAGAGTCATTGCCGGCCTTGGAACAGGCATGAACACTGCCACAGCAGGCGTCTGGCAGGCTGAAACAAGCAAGTTCCACAGCCGTGGGAAACTAGTCATCATTCAGATGGCCAACTGCATCACCGGATTTTGCATTTCGAATTGGTTGACTCTGGGCTTTTCTTTCGCCCCCGGCAGCGTTGCCTGGCGTTTTCCATTGGCTTTTCAGTGCTGTAAGTCTTTTTCAACTCACCCAGTTCTGGCCTTCGTCCTGCCATTTCTCTCTGTCCTTCCCCCTCTCCTCAAGGGCTTTGGAATGCGAGACCAAACCGCTCACAACGAGATATCTAGTCTTCACTGCCTTAGTATGGATGATGTGCCCGTTTCTCCCGGACTCGCCCCGTCTGTTGATTCGGAAAGGCAGATATGATGAAGCACGTGAAGTTCTCGCAGCGCTCGAGGGCAATGGCGCCACTCCCGAGTCCGCCTCCGTCCGTACCCAGTTTAACATCATCAAAGACGTCCTCGACCGAGAAACCGCCCTCCAGTATACTTGGTGGCAGCTCCTCACTGGGCGAGGACCGTCTGGTGTTGTCAGAAGAATGATTCTGGGTGCTTGGATGCAAGCTATGAATCAAGTAAGTTGGTACTTGACTTCTTTTCCGGAACTCGAAGTACTCCTGGCTTGTATTAGAAAGAAGCCACTGGTTCATGGCATCAATCTCTGGATCTAAATTTCTAATGTTGACTTGTTCAGATTAGCGGCATCAATGTCACATCGTACTTCCAGACGTAAGTACCATGTTGGCCCTACATATCTCGAGTTCTAGGCTAATGGAGGATTGCAGTTACATTTTTATCCATGCCATCAATTTGAGCGAACTATTGTAAGTCCTTAGACCATGATTGGCATTCGCTCTCAGCGCAAGACTTGCCGTCTCTCAAGTAATTTCACAAAAAGTTCTCAACTAACCTCGTTATACAGAGCCCGCATTCTCGCAGCTGCCGGTTCTGTCGATTACTTGATCTTCAGCTTCCTGGCATGGTTCCTGATTGAGCGCTTCGGCCGTCGCCGCGTCATGATGGTATCGGCCTTTGCTTGCTCAGCATGCTGGACCACCATCAGCATCTCCCTCGGGCTTTCCGAGACCGGCAAAGCGAATGCCTACTCGATGGGCGCCCTCGCTACGACGGCGTTCTTCCTTTTTTTCGCTAGCTTCGGTTCAGGCGTCTTAGGAGTTCCCTGGCTCTATCCCACTGAGATCAATCACATCTCGTTCCGAGCCAAGGGAGCATCTCTCGCCATGAGCACGAACTGGATCATGAATTACATGGTGAGGCCGCCCACTCTCCAATCGATGCCACAAGCTCCTACCAAGGCAGAACCAGTTGTTGAAACAGGAAATGGATGGCTGACATTGGCATCTTTCGGTTGTCTCGAATCTAGGTCGCACAAGTCACACCGCCGGGAATCGCGAACCTGGGCTACCGTTTCTGGATCATCTGGGCCGTTCTCTGCGCCAGCTTCATCCCGACGACGTACCTTTTGTATCCGGAGACGGCGAACCGTACGCTCGAGGATATCGATCGGTATTTCGAAGAGCACAGAAACATCTTTGTGTTCAACGACAAGATGGCGACGCAGCTGAAGCGGCCAGAGGTGTGGGAGAAGATGGACGAGGAGATCGCGAAGCGGGCGGACGAGGAGAAGATCAAGAATGGCGAGGTCTTCGAGGAGCACGAAGTTACGGATGGCATGACCAAGGGAGAGGACGAGGTCGTGTACCTCGAAAAGTGAGGTGAATTGAGCGCTCAAATAGAGAAGCGGGTTGAGTCTCTTTGGATGCAGTGCTGTGACCGACCAGCTTGACCTCAGGCCCGATAGATTCGCAACGAGCACTCAATTTCTACTATACACACTATATAGAGGGAAGAGTTGCCGACAGCAAAATAGATTCAGACTTCTACACCAAAGAGCATGGTAGTCTCTACTACAATTTTGTGAACCAAGTTCGATGCCGTCCCTCTCTGCCTTAAGGATGCGGTTCCGGCCCTCTGAATCTGTCGTAAACATGCTCCGAAGGCAACAAGACCTAGAAGCAAACAGCCCATTGATACTGGCACACTCTCTTATGGAGCTACTGATGCCGCAGAGTCGGTGCATAACAGCCGGATTGTCCACGACACGAGGTGAGTGTCCATCGACCCCCCAAAGACCGGCTTCCTCTCGTCTACTCAAAAGTACCTTTGGTGTCCCCGGAGCACGCCCACCACCAATGCCGTCGCTACTGGTCCTCTTGTTATGCAGGTGCATGCAATTTTGCACTCATTGTCTGAGGTTTCGCAGTCAGGTCCGAGTGGTGTACCGAAGCTGCGCGATTGGAATCGGTTCAAGCAATTTTGCTGTTTATCACCCCCATCTTTCATCTTGGAACAATCGATGCCAACGGGAGGGGCGTTTGGGATCACGTGCTTTCCACTGCTAGAGCTATTGAGTGTCTTCTTCTCACCCTCGATAGACACAATCGTCATCACCACTTCCAGACCAGCACCAAGCATTGACGAGTCTGTGTAAGAATTGCAACAATGTCGTAACCCGTAGCGAGCGACAGAATCATTCGAGGGATTTTGAGCACATAGAATTGCCAAGATATGACGAGCACAGCTTTCAGCAAGAGAGTCAAGTCAATCGAGGGCGACCGTGGGACATCGTATGCGATTTGAGGAGGGTTGCAGGAAGTAGAAACCGGTGTAGGGGAGGGGAAGAGGGTCTAGAGGAAGGTCAGCACCGCATACAGGAGGGCAGCGATAAAAAGAGAGCTCTAGGCCGAAGCATGATTGAGCCAATGTGCGGCATTAGCAGGACTGTCAGCGCGCAGAATCATGGAAACGATAAGGAAGCGAGGATGGGAAAGGTGTACACAGTGGAGGAAGAATGAGAAAGCAGGAAAGCCAGTGTGTGGACATGCATGCATCAGCCCAAGTCCAAGTCTCGAAGACGGAAGAGCAAATATCGGCGAGACGCGCATCATCTGCAGCTGCTGCCCTCGTACCCCGCTCGACGAGACTGACTCTCACAGTACTCCGTACGAATTGGGCATCCCGATGGACCTTTTTGCCAGAGAACCATTGAGGTGGACGGGGAGAGTTCTTTAGTGCTTCGAGACGCAGTTCAGCCAAGGGCATGTTCCAAAAAGACATGTTCGATCAAGTTGTCAGTGTAGTGACAACTGGAAAAACAACCAGGAAAAGAGGCGCGTAGCAGGCGAACGGAGAACGGAGAAGAGGATGGAGGATTTTAAAGGAGGGAAAGGAAAACAAAGCACAGTGAAAATAATGAGAACGCGTGGAAGAGGAGCCCCCGGGCAGGACGAGTGAGGGTCAGAACGGTCTCCCAAGCCACTACTGTCCACACAACACAACGATCATCGTGGTCTGTACGGAATACGATTGGGAGGAGGAGTCCCCTGGAGTCCTTGTCCTAGCGGCGAGTGAGCCTTGTGCGTATGGAGGTATCTCCATACAGTAGGGCAGATACCTGGCAATTCCAGAGTTTGGCACTGAGTCAGAGTACCTTGTGCATCGGCCCGTACTCGTATTTCCTCGATGGCGATTAATCCCTCATCATGAAGGATCGAATATCTACTGTTTGTTGAAGATACCTTGGGTACCTATCTAGATAGGTAGGTAGGACCAAAGAATCAGGATTCAGGATTCAGGAATGAAACACTTGACAGTAGAATAATAACAACATTTTTTGTGCCCAGTGAATCTAGATGGCCGATGGCGTCGAGCATGGTACTCCGTCTTCTTCAATCTACGGAGTACTAGTAACAGTAACAAAGTTGGCTCTTCCTAGTGCTGCCCATCGAGAGGCGGCTACTGGCCCATCAAGAAAGAAAAGTCCCCTAACCCTGGGTACACCAAGCCCGTCACAGCCTAGCTCCAATATCTACCGAAGTCTGTGGTCCCCTAATCATGGCCTCTACTGGACACTCACCAGCCTTGGGGGCTCCTCCCAAGACGCGCACTTGTTCGCTGTTTTCACGGCCCTGGCTCAAAATTACCAGGCCTCCGTCTAGCACACCTTGGTGTGAAGCCCGGAATCAGTCGCCCAGCCGCGCCAGGCTCTGAATTCCAGGCAGCACTGCGAAAACGAAAAGTCCAACCCAACAGGGCAGAAACGCAGAGTTCGAAACCTCATAAAAGAGGCTCGTGCGGCTCAATGTTGCAATGATCCGCCACTTTCCCAATGGCAGGGGATGCTGCACTGTAATTATTCTTCAGACGAGAGGAAGAGTCAGTGCATGATGGTGAGCAGAAACCGGCCGTGCAGCCCCCCCGTCAGACACACAACCCGATCGTTTTTCCCTCCCAGCAACTTTGCACTTTCGCGGGCGCAGGCGCAGGCGCAAAAACACGCTCGCCCTTCAATCCGCTAAGCTAAGCACGATCCCCCCCTTCGTGGCTCGTTGGTGAGGGAAAGGCCCCTACACTGCTTCAAGTTTAGGCTGCACCTCTCGCTCTCCCTCTCTCGTCTCTCTTTGACTGTGCTCGTATGGATACCCGTTCTCTCTGTGTCCCTCCATCTCTTCCTTTCGCCATCCCATCCTCTCTTCCTTCCAGCAAGACACTTCCCATTCTCTCGACATTCTTCTCGACGCCATCTTTTCCTTTGTCACTCGCGGACCCTCTTCAAATCACTCTACTCGTCCTCTTGACTTCGATTCTCCTGTTCTTGCCTCCGACCGTCCCATCGATCTTTTCCGTCGCCGTGTCCCAACTCTGGTCACCAATTCTTCAACTCGACAAACACACCTTGTAATCGCCTGGAACGCCTCTCAAGTATCTCAAAACTCCTATAGAGACCTCATTGTACATCTCAGTGCCCTTTTTGACCCTTTGCGACACCTCCTATCCCGTCTGCGCCTAGGCGACCCTTCTTCCGATCCGTCAGGACACACTTTTGACCACTTCTCGAGGGTGAAAAGAATCCGAAAAAGGCGAGAGGGCGCTCCAAAGGCCACAGACGGCATCTCCTACTCGACGCGATACGTTCTACACTTGTTTTGGGCCCCTCGGTGCTGGGTGTGTCGATACTGCCCTAGCGATGCGCGATATGCGACATACGAGTTTATGACCTGAATCACTCCAAATCATCCTCAAAATCGATCCATGAGGACAAACCCTGCCAGATTATGACAGAGTCCTCCCTCCTCACCACGCATCCCGCAACGAACCATTATCCGGTCACCGCCGCTCCTTCCCTGGCCTCTCCCTTGCCAAATGGCTCTCTGTCCGACACCAATCTCCAAGAAGAGGAGGAATACACCATCAAATGCATATGCATATATGCAGACGATGATGGCAACACCGTCTACTGCCCCAAATGTGACACGTGGCAGCACATTGAGTGCTACTACCACGGCAAAAAGGTTCCAGAAGAGCATTTTTGTGCAGACTGCTTCCCCCGAGATCTTGACGCGAAGAAGGCCACCGACAGACAAAAGCGGCGCAGAGAAGCTCTCGACGGCGGTGACCGGAAGGTCAAGAGACCTAACACCAAAACCCAAAAGAAAAAGCACAAGGACAGCATCTCGGCGGCCGACCAGATCAACGGCTGGCACTCACTCGATCGCAATGATTCGGTCGGTAGCACAAAAGAAGGCCCTCCTGCGAAGAAGCCGAAAACAAACCATCGGACGACCGGTTCTGTCGTCTCCGTGAATGGTGAATCCAGGAAACGCGCAGCCTCTAATGTTCAGTCTTACCCGAGTCCTTCCAAATCCCCTCAAGACCTCTTCCGTTTTCCTGCCATTCCGACATACACCTCCGAATTCCTGGAACTCTACGACCGTGATCAAGGTAACACAAATGCACGAGACAACGAGCAAACGATCCAAGCGGCCAACAAGCTGTCCATGTGGCGAACCGAGCCTTCCTTAGTGGTGAGTGCTCCTGGACAGCAACCCACAGCGAAATCGCCCTTTGTACATCTCAATCATCCGTTGGACCAAAGTGCCTTGCCTCCTGTCACAGTCGAAACAATCTCGAAGAAGGACACCGAGTTCGAGGGCCGTTTTCCGACGTGGCGCTTCTTACGCCTTCAGTCCTCAGTAAAGAAGGACGAGATTGTAGGCGAAGTCCGCGGCCAAGTCGGCATGCTGGAGGAGTATTGTCAGCAGAAGTCATCATCGAATCGATGGCAGGAACTACGGCATCCGGATCCTTTTGTGTTTTTCCACCCTCACATGGACATCTACATCGATAGCAGGAAATCGGGGACGCAATTTCGCTACATCCGGAGGTCGTGTAAGCCCAACGTGACGCTCAAAACGTTTGTCTCTGACGACGATGAGACACATCACTGTTTTGTCGCCAGCAAAGACATCCCGGCCGGATCCGAACTGACCACGACTTGGTTTCTGGATCAGGGCATGTTTTCTGTGGATGCTGTTCAGAACGATTCGGAGCAAGCTCAAAGTCGACGCCTTGATTGGGTAAGCCGAGTTCTGGCCAACTTTGGTGATTGTGCCTGCGATTCGAACCAGCCTTGTCTACTCGCCAACTTTGACCGAAGACTCCCAGCCAAGTCAATCGACATTGGGGCGAAGGAGAAAGGAGGGCGGAAGAAGAAAAGTAAGAGCAAACAAGCCGTTTCGCCTTTGAGCACTGGACAGGCCACCAACAGTCGGGCAGGAAGTGAACCCAAATTACTCGACGATGAAGACCAGTTTGACCGACGCTCCACGTCCGAGTCGACTCCTAGTAATCCGCAAAGTCGAGATATTACTCCAGTCAATATTGCTGCTCTGGATGCCGATCCGGTTTTGGGCAATGGACTTACAGCTCGAGAATTGCGCAAGATTCAAATGGCGGAGCGAGCGTTTGCCCAAAAAGAGCAAGAAAAGAAAGATCAATCCGGGCAAGGACAATCACGCAAGAAGAAGAGGACCAGTGGCGGGTCGAATCTCAACACGCCTGGGGCTGCTTCGTCGAGACAACTGGGGCCCAATTCGCAACCTCCAACACCCAGCGGTCATCCCCTCAGCCGGTCTCATGACCAGGCGTTCGGATCTCCGCCGCCAGGTAAAGGTGCCTACAGACGTGCCAAGTCTTCGGATTCTGCAAGCAGAGGTGAAGTCAAGCCGGAACGACCTGTGTATGTTGATGCTGCTGTCCAGACACAGACCGAAGAATGTGAAATGGTGGCGCCGTCTCCCAAGCGCAGAAAGTTCTGCACTCCAACACAGCGCCTGCTGAAGAGATTGTTGCACGATCGAGCGAAACATAATCAACGATCTCGGTCACCAACATCGCCCTCCACTGCCTCTATGCCTGGCCCATCCGCATCCACGGGTGTTCCTGATGATGTCGAAATGAAGGACGTTGTAATGGCCAGCGAGATCACCTCGCCTCAGCAATCTCCAACCGATGTCAAGGTTAGTGGCAGTCCGGTTAATGTGGGAACGACAACATATCCTCTGCCTTCTCAAGCGGCTCACACGTTACCACCGCTCAAGTCTCCAGGCCCCCCTCGGCTGCATTTGTCTCCGCTGCCTCCAGTTCCAACTTTCTCCTCTATTGGCATGGGTGCTACGACGTCGACCAACACTGCCATGACTCCCGGGCCTGCGACAGTGGTGGCCCAGTCGCCTTCAGCATTGACATCTTCTAGCCCTTTTCCGATGACGCCCAGTGCTGTTGTTACCCCAAGCCCAGCTAGGAAAAAGCTGAGTTTAGGGGACTATCTGAGTCGACGAGCGGCCTCGACGCCTTCCGTGGAAAAGCTACAGTCGGAGGGAGGTATCCATCTTCCGGCCGAACAGATCAAGGAAGGTGAGCCAGGCAGTTCTTCGCCGGTTGCCGATCCAGCAAAGACCACTGAAGAAGTTGGGGTCAAGCAAGAAGGAGACGAGAAGGAATACAGTCCTCCAGAAGACGTGCCACCGGTTGGGGCAAAATCAGAACAAGCTCGAGATGACTGATGTCCCAAATCCACGACTTGGGTATCCTGCGATGAAGCTGGGCGTTAATTCGAGTTGCCATTTCCATGAATGAATAGACTACTTTGGACCTTTCACGAGGCTTGGGCACACAGGGTTGATGAGGCTAGAGTGGGGCTGGGGGAATGGGAAACAGAAGCATCTTGACGACAGATGCACAATACTGCTCGGGGGTTGTTTTACGTGTCGGCGTTGTGGGGATGGGATTTCACAGCATGTTACGGTTGTCAAGGCAGGATGGATATGGATCCAAGAAGATCCCGACTTCAGGCAGTCCTGGAGATTGGGCTTTTGTTATGTGTATATATTATTAGTGACCCTAGTGGCGACCGTTATGTGTCATTCTGCCACCGACGAGCTTTTCTTTTCCTTGGTGGTCAATATTTGTGTATCTTGTATGAGAGAGTGTATGAAGGAGAGAAGGAATGGAGCCGAAGAGCTGAAGTACAAGGAAGAGCTTGTTACAAGAGAAACAAAACAGCATGTCGGTTTGAGAAGAGCAATGAATAACAGAAAATCCATCTCCTCAAAAAGGCCTCTCGATGTATTGTAGTAGTAACTTTGTTGTTTTTCGTGTCTCCTGTTCGTGAGTGTTGATGTAGTTTGTACTACCTTGCGAGGAGCCCATCAATTTGCCAAGGATGAAATACGTGTGCCTGTTACTCCGTACTCTTGGATCTCCGGACTCCTAGCGACGAGCCTACATAGTAATTCCCGGGTACTTCGTATCTACCCATCCGAAATAAAGGTGTACAAGTACCTACTCTACACGGGACTCTTTCGGGTGCTTATGTGGGAGTACAGCGCCCAAACTCGAGGGCGCCACAACCGGCTTCCCAGGCCCGTGTATCCCGACTTGCCCCCCTCCTTTTGGTGTTGCTGTTTACCTATTAGTGCCTAGTTTGAACCGTCATCAGGGTTCCCTCTCTACCCCTCCTCGAGCCTCAGGAGATACGGGTAGCACAAAAGCTTCCCCTCCATCTTTTGACGGCAAACAGGTCCATATTTCTACCCACACAAAGCTGGCCCTGACGACGCCTAATGGGTCGCTCGGTGTTGCCATCGCTCAGATCCTTGCTCGTTTAGGGCTTCAACAATTTTTTGGCGATCTACAGATGACATCGTTTTCACTCACAAGCTGATTAAGGTGTCGAAGCACACACCGTACAGAGTGTCCGCGGTGATCTGTTCGCTCCATCGTCGTTGTGTCTTTGAAAGGGTTCCCTCTTCTCTTTCTGTTGTTTTCTTTCCCCCTTCGAGTCCATCTTTTTGCCCTACAGTACAAGAATCCTCCACACCAAAATACTTGTGGGATTTGCTTTCTCTGTGGTGAAACGTAGTTGGACAAAATGGCCTCAGCAACCATGCCCTTCCGCCCTGGGCCGAACAGTGGCATTCGCACTCCCATCCGACAGAACTCGGTCGATGACCGAAACGAGGTGCACATTCAGCAGAACCATTACATTGGCATTGATGTTGGTACCGGTAGTGCTCGGGCGTGCATCATCAATGAAAACGGTGACATTGTCGGCCTGTCCTCTGAGAACATTGGTCTATGGCAACCTCAGACGGGGTATTATGTACGCGGAAAAAAAAGGAAACCTCCAACGACTTGTTTGTGTGTATATCTAACGACCTTTTTGATGACAGGAACAATCCACCACCGACATCTGGCGATGTATCTGTACCTCTGTCCACCGCGCCGTCGCTCAGAACAACATCGACCCTCACTCCATCCGGGGCATCGGCTTCGACGCGACGTGCTCGCTCGCGGTATTCACCCACGACACGGATGAGCCCGTGTCGGTGACCGGTCCCAGTTTCGACCAGGCGATGAACGATCACAATGTGGTTCTGTGGCTGGACCATCGACCCGTCGAGGAGACCAAGAAGATCAACGCAACCAAGCACAACCTCCTACGCTACGTCGGCGGAACCATGAGTATCGAGATGGAAATCCCCAAGGTCCTCTGGCTCAAGAACAACATGCCCAAGGAGCTGTTTGACCGGTGCAAGTTCTATGACCTCACGGACGCACTGGAACATCTGGCGACCGGCAACGAAAAGAGAAGCTTCTGCTCCGTCGTGTGTAAACAGGGGTACGTGCCAGTTGGGGTGGACGGAAGTGTCAAGGGTTGGCAAGAGGACTTTTTGAAAGAGATTGGCCTTGAAGACCTTGCGGAAGATAACTTTAAGAGAATGGGTGGCGTCAACGGGGTGGTGAGCCTATTTACTTATCTCCTTTGTTTTGATTTTTTTTGCACTTACCTCGTCCCTGCTGGACACGTCCGTATTCGTGTTGAATACAACTTCACTCTTGGAATTCATGGCATGTAAACTGACATCTAGTTCTAGAATGGCGAGTACCTCTCCGCCGGCGAACTGGCAGGCTACCTCTGTGAACGTGCGGCCGCCGACTTGGGCTTGCCCGCAGGCATTGCTGTCGGTTCAGGCGTGATCGATGCCTATGCAGGCTGGATCGGCACCGTCGGCGCCAAAGTCAACCTTTCCGCCGACGAGCTCGACTCCTCGACCCCTGCCAACGACCAGTCTCAAGCATTCACCCGTCTCGCCGCGGTCGCCGGTACGTCGACGTGCCATCTCGTCATGTCCAAAGATCCGGTGTTCGTACCGGGCGTATGGGGACCGTACAGGGACAGCATCATCCCGAACTACTGGATGGCGGAAGGTGGACAATCTGCCACTGGAGAACTTCTCAAACACGTCTTGGAGACACACCCGGCCTACAACCAAGCCATTTCGATGGCGCAAGGTTCGTCGAGCAACGTCTACGACTTTTTGAACCAGCACCTGCTCGACCTCAAGGAGATGAGGAATGCGCCCAGCGTGAGCCACCTCGGCAAGCACTTCTTCTTCTACGGCGACCTGTTTGGGAACCGGAGTCCGATCGCCGACCCCACCATGGCTGGGTCGGTCGTGGGCTTGAGCAGCGACAAGAGCCTGGACGGGCTCGCGCTGTACTATTACGGCACGATGGAGTTCATCGCCCTGCAGACGTGGCAGATCATCACGGCCATGAACGAGGCCGGGCACAAGATCAGCAGCATCTTCATGAGTGGAAGTCAGTGCCAGAACGAGATCCTGATGGAGTTGATCGCCACGGCGTGCGACATGCCGGTGTTGATCCCGAGGTACGTCCACGCCGCCGTGTGTCACGGTGCGGCCATGTTGGGAGCGAAGGCCGCCAGCGCGGACCCCTACGGCCGCACCGAGGATCTCTGGAGCATCATGGACCGAATGAGTAAGCCTGGTAAGGTGGTCAGGCCCAGCAAGGACAAGAGCATCAAGAAGTTGTTGGACGTCAAATACAAGGTGTTTTTGGAGCAGTGTGAGAGACAGAGAGATTTCCGAAAGATGGTTGACGATGTGGTCGATGCCTCTTGAGGATATTTATGCATACTCAATGCAGGGAGGTAAAATTTGCAATGGTGCCTTGAAAATGACCGTGAATCTAGAGAAAACTTATGAATAAGGATATACAAAACATAGAAATAATACATCTCAACAACTACAACAGCTACCTACCTGACTGGAGTACTTTGGGGCAGTACGGACTAAGGCACCATGTATTCCGTACCGGCGGCATCTTGCCGTTCTATGACCGACGGCACGAGGATCTGGTGCCCTCCTCTCCATCTATATCACTTTTTTTTTTTCAAACCGTTGTCTACATCATTGGAGTCTTTTTGACACACGAGCAAACCATCTCCCCTCATCGCGCGGTTCTTCCCCTCACTTGTCTTAGTAAACGTGAGTGAGTGATACGGAGAGTACTACTGTACAAGTTGTTTATAGCCGACAACCGCAATCGTTTAGGTATCCATCCCAGCGTCCCTGAGTATATGAGTTTGTACTATTCCTTGAGCCTCGGGACTGAAAACTTTACGATTTTCACAGAGGAGGTGGGCAAAACTACACGTTCCTTTGCTAGACACTGAAAGAACGGTCGACGCACCTCACCACTCGCTCTCAGCGACACACTCACGGCCTACACACGTCACTTTTGTGTTTCCAAAACATGTCAGGGCCGCCAGTCCCATTTTCCTCTCTACCCCTCAACAAGGACGACTCTTCGACCCGCCTCAACGCCTGGGGCGCCTACGGTCCCGACGACGAACTGGGCTTCTTGAACCGTCAGACACCCGCCGTGGTCGCCGCCGCGGCGGATTCCGAGATCAAGACGGGGGTCCGGGTCCCCGTGGACGCCCCGCTCGACTTCCAAGGGGACACGCCCCTGTTCGGCCGCCAGGTGTTCAAGAAGGACGTCTACCAGAAACGTCCCCGCATCGTCCACGACGACACCTGGCACTTCAACACCCAGTCGTCGACCCAGTGGGACGGTCTGCGGCACTTTGGGTACCAAAAGGCCCAGAGGTTCTACAACGGCACCACGGTCGAGGACATCGCCGGGACCACCCCGAGAGGCCGAGCCAACCCCAACGTTTTGGGCATCCACGGCGCGGTCGAGCGTGGAGGGGTGATGGGCCGCGGCGTGCTCGTCGATTTTCGGGCCTGGGTGGACGAAGGTCCCGGGAAAGATATCGTGGGGACGAGCTTCGAAAACTTCCAAACCAGCGGCATCAAGTTTGAATGGATCCTCGAAACCCTCAAGTGGCAGGGCAACACTCAACCCCGGTTCGGCGACATCTTGATCGTCCGGAGTGGATTCTTCAAGGCCTACCGTCAACTCGTGGCGGACGGCGACGACGCAGAGATCCAGAGACTTGTCAAGATGAGTCCTCCGGGGTTGGGTGGTGTGGAACAGTCCGACCAGGTCTTGAAGTGGATCTGGGAACACTTCAGCGCCGTGGCGAGTGACCACCCGAGTTTCGAGAGGTGGCCCACGCCTTTCGACTGGAGCATGCACGAGGTCCTGTTGGCCGGTTGGGGTTGCAACATCGGAGAGTTGTTGGACCTGGAGAAACTCAGTCAGGAGTGCAAGAGGCAACAGAGGTGGACTTTCTTCCTGGCCAGTGTCCCTTGTTACGTCCCCGGAGGTGTGGCAAGTCCGGTCAACGGCGTCGCCATATTTTGAAAGTTCTGTGAGCGTACACGCGTGGGAGGAGAGCAGGGGGAGAGGGGGGGGGAAGGGAGTGACGGGAGTGAGGTAGGAGAAGTACATGTACGGGAGATGAAGGCGAAAGGCGAAAGGCGAAGATGAGTAAGAGACGAGGACGGCAGATTAAAGGATTAGGTATGATCAAGTGAAAGTGGAATGTATCTAGCCTTCACGATGATTTGTCTCTAGGATCATTCATGTGTCTTGTGTGTATATGTGTGTTTTCATTCCTCATTACGACCCACTGAGTAAGTACCGTAGCTACCCCTCCCTTCCCATACAAATACGGAGGATAGGAAGGAAGAAAAGAAAAGGAAACAAAAGGTATTATACATATTAATATCTCCGTATTGAGTTGCTCGGTAATTCCCAACTGAGACCTCCCGGTGATGACGATGTTCAATCCTTGATTTGACACCTATAACCCATGATGGATTAATCATTTTCCCTCGTAGATGAAATTATTTGATATGAGACCGGGCCACCAGACCCATCCGATGTCCACCAACACGCAGGTGTGGTTCTTGCCATGGGCTGAAATTGTCACATTTCCCAAAATGATGGGAGAGTGGCGATCGAGCTAAGCAAGCAATCATTCCCTTCGGGGTTGTTTTGTGTGAGAGCGATCACAACGGGTCTCTGCGTTCATTCATGCCATGAAGGGGGGGTTTTTTCCCTCGGGTTTTCATGGATCATGACCGTCACCCTCAGAGTCAATTGCTCAATCCTCAAAACTCCAGGGACCCTCATTCTCAAGACTCCGAATAAGCCGAAAGACTTTGTGATGGGTGGGATGTTTAGGCGTGAATACAATTTTCATTTTTCTGGTGCGTGCATGTGTTGCTGATATTTGGAAAAGATGATGACTGACCCGAGGGGAGGAAGAAGGAAGATATTGTAACAAGTTTCGAAATCTTTCTTCAACGGCGTCTCTCCACCCAATCCATCAACATTCTGTGTTTGTGATCTTCGTAGTTTTGATGGCAAAACAACGGTTTGTGACCTTTACGCAGGTGCGGATGATCTGGATGTTCAAAGGTCATGCCAAAGTTGCCGTCTTCCTGACCTCTGTACAGGTCGGCGGCCGGCGTGGCGGGACGTAGAGGTGACTCGCTCGGCGGAGGCGCGAGATGGATCCCCGTAGAGTCGACCGTCACCGGGCCCCTGCGTCTCTGTGGGCTGGACAACCGGTTGCGGATCTGTTCGGTCCATGCCTTGAGAGGTCTCGGTTTTCTCGACGAAGGAGACGGTGACCTGGCCCGTTCCGAGGACTTGGTTCTGGTGGCAGTGGCCATCGTCATTTCGTCGTCCAACAACGAGTCTGTCTGGGTGGTGTGGCAGACCATGTTTGACCTCGTCGCCGGCTGCTCGAGAGGAGCAGGACGATATGTTTCCGTCGGTTGAGTGCGAGTATCCCTCTCTCCTTCAAACGGGTACTCTACGGCTTCTTCTTCATCGACCGGGGCCGTATGTAGTCCCGGAGTACTGACTGTGATGGTAACGTCTACCATTTTCTTTTTGGGGGTTTTTTTTCCGAGAATTTGTTTTTGTTTGTTTGGTGTTGTACAGTGTTGGGGGTCTGTGTGAAATATTTTTGTAACAGTAGCAGTGTGCTACGGATGTTGATACATTTCTTTCTTGGGAATGAAACTAAAACGAAACAAGGTCCGGGGTTGAAAGGAACAGAGAATATATATACATACCGCGGATGTAGTGGTGGGAAAATTGTGGCGCGCGTACGGAGCACGGAATGCAAGGGAACCTGATTCTAAACCGACCGAGGAAGTTCCCTCCCTTTCCCACCCTTGGGTCACGGAATTCCCATGTCTCAGCATATAGTTGTGCACAAAAACAACACAGCCTCAGAACGTGCACGCGACCAATAACCATATTAGTATTACGTGGAGATTGATCGAAGCCCGGGGGGGAGTGTATTAACTCGAGCAAATAGTCTTTTTCATGACATGTACCGGGCTTCTTCCAACTTACAAGTCTGGGGAGGGGATTTGACGGGCAAACCAAAAAGTCAAACGAGGATTCCCATTGACCGCCGAGAATAGGAGATTTGGTGTGTGTATCGACATGGTGGTGCAACGAGCATATTGCCGTCTGAGTAGGAGAACTGCTGCATGAGGCCATTCAAGAGGATGTCCCGGGTAAGGGAGGGGCCATTTCAGGGTTCTGCGTTGCAACCATAACAACAGCATCAGATGATGGTATGTAGAGGAGAGTGGGTAATAAGAGTCGAAAGGGCTGGATCCAACAATGCCACTCGGTCAGTATTGGCTGCCCGAAATCAACTCGTTGTGAACATGATGGAAATCTGGGGTAAACCAAGCCCTTGTGCCACCCAGCACCCAACAGGGATTGTGAGAAATGGCGCAAGACGTGCGTTTGTACTCGTAATTCATCGGGAGGAGTCAGTCAGTCATGCATAGCCTGAGACTGATGATGGACAGGAACGAAAGAATCATCTCATCGGAGGTTGTTGAACAATTCCAAGGATGAGTGATTTCTACCGAAGGAGCCACATGTGGAGTGATTTCGATACAATACGATACCGTATAAAATACGAGCTTCAGCCAAAATCGCTCGTAGGAATTGAAACCAGACGTTACAAAGTCACCCCATTTGACATGTCAGGACAATTCCACCTAAACCCTCACAGTAAAAGATCGAGGTCAATCCATCCCTTTCGAGTCTTGTCATACCACTCCAAAAAGACAATTTTTTGTCCCTCTCTCTATCTCTCTAACCCTGCCATTGTCGTTGAGTGACCTGAGCGCGAAAACATGTCGTTACTCATAGAGACTCGGACCCACCAAAATTCTCTGGTAAGCAGATCGAAATGTAATCGGCAGACCAACCAGGCCCGATGTTCAATATAAAAACCATGATCGAATGTGGTAGGTTCTCGAGACAGGAATTCCTTTCATACATCCAACCATCATCAAAAAGGTACAAGTGAATATATTGGTAGTGTCCACCTTACCTCGCCTCCAATCTTGACTTTACAAACAACATCTCGAAGCACAACCCCTGAAAAACAACAACACAAACCATTTCCACCACAATGATTTCGGAAACCGCTCCAGTAAGCAATAGCTCGCCCCTCAAGTCCAAGTACCTTCCCGGCGATCTCTCGGCCACTGACGCACATCTACTAGGCTGTTCGAACCCACCAGCACGGTAACGAGGGCATATCGGGCGTCAAAGACAACGCCTTCATATCGTTCTACAACGACTGTGACGTGAGCGAACTCTTGTTCAAGGAGCCGGCCTTCAACCACGGGTACTTGCCTCTGGAACCAGAATCGCAACAACAGTCGACCGGGCAGTCCCGGCCCATCCCATTCAAGGCCACGAGGAGACCGACGGACCACATGAACACCGGGACCACACCCCCGACAACCATCACAGAGAAGAAGACAAACGTGGTGGACCCTTCGCCTTTGAAATCCTCCACGAAGGCCGGTGCAGAACAGAACCAAAAGAAATCCTACGAAAAGGAACGGAGACCCAGTTTCGTCGAGGTCTCCGTCCCCCACGTTCACCACGAAGAGCAGCACCACCCCCATCACCTTCACAGGCGACACTCGTCCGAAACCCACCTCCCCATGAGTTGGTGGCCAGAGGACGAGACTTGCGCCCAACACCTCTGGGTCGAACACACCGAGTGCGCCGAGGGGGACGACGTCTCCGCGGATGAAGAAGAGGATGCCATCGAGGAAGCCTTTTACGCCTCGTACGATTGAGAGATGCCTGACAAGGATCGAGTTGAAGTGATGAATCGATGAATTTTTTTGGGTCTTCTTTCCCACCTCGGTGGCCTCGGTGGCAGTGACGTCCGGACTTGGGAGCTACCGGATCAAGAGGTCACAATGGTTCCAGGAAGATTGAGAATGACATGTGACGATGAAATTGATGAACTTTTGGGAATACTGTGTACATATACTTGGCTTGTATTGAAGTTGAGAGGCGGAATCTTGACCCTATACCTCGAACCAGTTGAGGATAATCCACTATGATGATTCTTTCTTACATCTCCTCCTTCTCCATTTCTGACATTATTGACCCATTGCTTTGTTTTGCGCTCTTCATTGTCCCATAGGATTCTTGATAGCAGCCACCTTGGATAACTGGACATGAAGAATTCTCTACAAGTCTACTTTTTTAAACATCCGTTCTGAGGACCAATGTTTTGAGGACTCTGTCTCCCATGTCATGTGGTTTTATAGTATTATTGCATTATAAGTGGTTTCTCATATCCATAGACTATCATTCCAGTTTGCTGATAACGCTCACTACCTCCAATTACGTATTAATCGCCACCGTTAGATCAAAGGCGGCCGTACACTCCAAGTTGAAAACTGTGTTGAATTGCGTACATTCATGGATCAATCTCTCCTTGGCCCACGCATCGTACTCTTTTCCACTTAAGCCGCCGGTGCTCCCGTGGTGGAATCCCCATCATGGACGTTGACCGAAACGTGCCTCGAAAGAGCATCCCCGTGCACCAATTTTGGAACGATGATCTTCAACAGTCCAGCGTCCAATTTCGCGTGCGTTTCATCCCTATCGACGTCGACGGGGAAGTTGAAGGCACGCATGTAGTCGCCGATCAGTCTCTCGTGGACGGTCAGATGCAGCTCCAACTTGACCGGAGCTTCCTCCTTCTTATCCTCCTCTGCGCCATCGACGGGGGGCCTCTCCTCGCGCCCTTCCTCAGTCGGCGCTGCTGGTGCCGGTGGTTGTGTCGGCGTCGGCGTGGGCTCGAGGATACCCTCAGTGGCTGGGTCATAGACCATCTCCGCCTCTGGGATCTCCGGCCTGGTGATTTTGCTTGTCACGAGCAGGGTCCGCGTCGACGTCCAGCGCAGGTGAAGCTCGGACTTGTCCTTGATGCCGGGCAGTTCGACCTCGACGTAGAAGCTCTTCGGGGTCTCCCTCACGTCGGTCTTGGGCACGTGGACATCCTGGTCTTTGTCGTGGAAGATCCTGTGAGCCTTGTGCGCGAGGTACGGGATGGGTATGTGGTGCAGGTGGTGACCCTTTTCCGGGAAGGTGTGCGCCACGTGAGTGGTCGGGTAAGGGTCAATGTCTGGATAGGCGTAGAAGAACGACATTGGCATTGGCAATGATATGTAACCTTTTTCTCGTGTGTAAAGATATAGTAGTTTTTGATTCTTTTTTGATGTTGTTGTGTTTTGATCTTTGAGTCTCTCTCTCTCAATTGAATCCGGGGTATGGAGTCCTATTTGTTCTTCGAGTCTTCTGGACCGGCACTCTGCCACGCCCACTAAGGTCTTCCATCACGTCGACAGCTAGCAAATTTTCTTGTCTTGGTATCCGTGCCAGAAACGACGAGCACTTTCGTCACTAGGTCACGGGGACCATGTGTCGGTTTCAAGATCATGCGATGCACAAGAAACAAAAAAATCTGGAAGCTGGAGTCGGCAAGCGCCGTTGGGAGCGTGCGCACAGGTTGCATGAGGGTGGAGTGATATCAGGTCCCAAGGAAAAGCCCTAGCATACCCGGTCGATAATCTTCCGAGCAATAAGGGTCCAAGGGTCACGTTCTAGGCGTGGGCAGAGAAGGCTGGAGCCCCTGGAAAAGCGGGGACTTTGCACAGCCGGGCGCCGAAATGCCTCTTACCAGCAACACCCAATCCGAGGCCCCCAACATCATGCTCGCTAAGATGTTTCCCTCAGGCCAGTGCAGTCACCAGACGGTAATACATGGTTTCACTCGCGATTGTAGCTTGCGCGGCGATCCTACCCAACTTTGCTTATTGTTTGTCCTCATACAGAGTATATATTCCATGCCAGCAGGGATTGTTGGGATAGTCTACTTCTTCCATCACAAGCAAGCAAAGCAATAAAAAGCCATATCAACCACACATACCTTTCACTGAAGAGTTCGAGAAACTCAATCAACCCAAAGTCAATCGTTTATATCCCTTGCAACAACAAACAGTCAAATGTTGCGAACAACAATCCCGAGGTCGTGTATGACCAGAATCCGAACACCAGCATTCTGTCAATCATTCTCAACGGTGATGCCATTGAGAGCCGAAGGTGATACTGGTGCTGTTAGGTCAGGTGGTATTGCCGCAGGGTAAGTGGACGTCTAGACACAAAAACGCCAGCCAATACACACAAAACTAACACATCTTTCTCACACAGTGATTCATTCACAAGACGGGAACAATCCATGGAAAATGTATGGTTCAGACAACACGAGGTAGACAAGTGAGTTTATTTCGCACTGGCGCCTTGAGAGCACTGATATCTGACAATTTTGAAATAGTATTAGAAAAATGAGAGAAAAGCTACTGGCCCAGAAAAAACAGCTGGCCGATTTCGAACAACATCTAGACGAAATGGAAGAGGCGGCCAAATTACGGGCAACTCAAGAAGGGCAATGACTAGCCAAGAGCAGGCTGTAATGAACGACAAAAATACGGTATCCATGGCGTTTGGGAAAACATCTTCGACAATCTATCAATATCTTGGACCTGGGGGTCCCCATCAGGGCGTTTACGGGAGAACATCAACGAAGGTCTATTGACCATCCATTAGAGAAACGCAGAAAGACGCAGCAAATGACTACAAACATGAAGCAAGCGGGTAGCTCATTACAACTAACGGCCGTCTTCATACGGAGTACAATACATAATTCAGCTTCCTCCTCGTGTGGCATATACAGTTCCCACGAGTGGACGGTATTTATCAATATCGAATAATTTTTCGGCTTCAAGAACCATTACATTAAGGATAACTAAAACGTAGAATTCAAAATTGCTGATTTGGACTCTCTGTACCCAGCGTACGCTAGTTGATACCATTTGAACTGTTTTTTCTCGTTCCTTGTTTGCTTTGATCCCATACTGAATAGCTCGTAGAAGCATCGCCCGAAATCCGGGGAAAGCTCGCCCCAAACGCTCATGATGCTCACCCCATGACACCACATCATGTCAGATTCTGCTCTTGCCCAGCAATTCGCGACTTGAAAAATACAGTCATTTTTCCATCAAAGTCATCCAAGAAATCGCCAAGTGAACTATCAATGAAGGTGGCGTAATGATGCCCAAAAATCCGGGGAAATGGACAGTAAACGAGAAAGGAGCGTGGTGGATCCACCTCGTCTGTTATGTAACAATCACGCCACAAGTCGTGAGCTTTCCCATGCACGATTTTCGTTTTGGAAAAGAAAGAAAACTTATGACACCATCCGTGAAATCCCGCGTCAGAAGAGTCGTGAAGGCCTAGAAGGGGAACTTGTAAGTCCCTCGTGGAATGTCATTTGATGGAGGGGGGGTTCGTGTTTTGATGCTCGTACATATGCCGCATTGGCAAAAAAACCATGTGCCTTTTGGTGACAGTCACACTCTTCGCTCTGCCGGCAAACCCTGTCCCAAAATCCACCCAATGAGCCATTTGTTTGGCTGTTACCCATATTATAGGATCAGAGGAAACTGATGGAGCACTTCTTGTGGTCATGCCAGCCCTGCATGTGTCCGTTGGTGCACATCTCACCATCGGTTTTTTTTTAGTCTCATCAGACCACAAGCGGGAGATCAATGACCCCTTGAGGGGCGGACGCCTCGACAGACAATCACTAATGGTTCCGAGAGAGGGTCGAGGAGTTTCCCTGCCGGTGCTTTGACGTGCATGATTCGTTTCTCCATTGGGACAAGTTCGTTCCAAGGGTCACAAGGTAATAAGAACTCGAGCATGCCCTGTAGATGTTGAGACTGCTGTACGACAGACAGATCACGAGCAAGTCCTTGAACACGATAAAACTACCCTACACTTGTATACAAAATCACCCAAAACGACAAAACCACCATACTAAACAAAATAAATCAAACATCATGGCATCCGATAGCCTGTACCATATCCTGTTTTCGGTTTCCCACAGCCCCAAGGATGTGAATGAAGAGGTGGAAAAGTTGCGAGTGTGCGGCACCTTTACCGACCTGAAAGCCGCCAAGGCACAAGCACACAAGACCCTGTTCGAGGCAGGGTACGAACGGGAATGGTTCACCGAGTACGACACCCAACGGGAAGAGTTTGTCGAGCACAGCATCAAGAGAAGAACGGGTCTCTGCGTGTACGCGGTGGCTCCGGACAAGACCGTGTTCCGCATCAGCGTGGCGACCACGCCAAACGTCCAGGGCTTCAAGGCCATCGACGAAGACCACAAGATCCACTTCGACCTGTACCACGTCGTCCAGACGAACGTCGAGTACTCGGAGGATGACAGTGGACAGGCCAGGGACACCAACGTCGAAGGCTCCTTCAAGACCTACGAAGAGGCCAGGAAGTTTGCGAGCCAAGTTCTCCTCGCGCCCGAGGACGGCGTGACGAAAGAATCGTTCGAGGAGTACGCCGAAGCCGGTCAGGGAGAGAAGGACTGTGGGTTCGGCGAGAATGTCATTGTTCACGCCGTGGGGAAGAACGGCGAGAATATCTTGGTCAGTGTACTGAAGGGACAGGAGATGGAGTCGGTGAGGTTGGCCGAGGCGGCCATGAGAATTCGCTCGTTCAATTAGAAGTACTAGTACTGCGCAGGTTTGAAGGGTATCTACTATTTGCGCAGCAGGCAAAAAGGTATAGGAGGCTCACATCGTGTACATTATGGATAGGGATACCATTGTCTGGTTGTTTTCACAAACCGCTTCCTCCACGAACTGCCACTGTAGCCTTGCGGCGACCGAGTTACCACTCTGTAGAGATTACATGTACCCAGGTTCGGTATGGGGCTTCCCTGGTCACTGCTTGGGTAGGAATTCCGCATCGACCTTCAATATAGTGGTCGTAGTCGAGAAAATGAACTGAAGTTTGTCAGTCTCTCCGGATCTTCGGTGGAATGTTTTTCCAAACCGGCAACTTCCGGCCCCCCCAAGGCATTTTACTTGGCACATTTTTAACGCTCTTTTTGTCCATCTGATCTCGACGAACTTCTGCCTATCACAATAAAATCACACCACTTTCACATGCATCGCTCTACTGTATGTCGAGCGTTGCCCAGATGCCAGTGCAATATCCGGATCCTCGAAATGCTCCAAGAAATGTGGCTCGCGTCACAAGCTCCCGCTGACCCTTCCAGGCATTTCTCTCCGCAACCACGGACATGATCATCATACCATACTAGCCTTACCTGGGCGGTTTTGGCGGTAGGTCTCTACTGTTGCTGACTTTTCTTTCGTAGAATGTCCTGAAATCATAGAGTCCTCTTTTGAGGATATTTTATGACAGGATAAAACACCGTAGTCATACACACACACATCTATGGACCAAGACTTGCCGCGTGCAACAAATAACCTCCTTTCACGCCAAAGGGTTCAGCAATATCAACCAAAGTCATGTATATTCCGAGACAACAAATAGTGACGGGCACCGAGTCGCTGCTACTGACAGTGCCTTTGGTGGGTGACCAAACCTCCGAACCTTTGAGTTTCACGTTTGCATCGAGAGCCGCGCTACCATCCACCAACGCGACGACCGACAATGACAAAACGCCTCCAACGTACAGTGGGACAGCAACAGCATTTATTGCTGTGAGTGTTACTGTCCTCATATTCCTCGCCTTCACTGTGGCGTAAGTGAGAATGACAATCAAAATCTTGCTTTTTCCACAAGCATATCGACTGACAAACCAACTCCAAATAGATATGTGGTCTATCGCAAGGTTCACAACGCCGAGGACGATTCGGACGCCGAGTCATCGACATCAGACTCGGCCTGGCGGATCGAGACAGAATATGGCTCCCCCAGCAATACCATTGCCGCCAAACACCGCAGGAGGATCAAGAAGCTCGAGCAAGTGGCTCCCTCGCAAACATTGAGCCACTGGCGCTCCGACAAACAAGAACACCACGTCAAGACGTTCGCCACCATTTCAACGAAGCTCATCTGTGCCATTTGCCTGGACGTGATGCAGGACTCCGACACCATTCGGGAACTGCAATGTTGTCATGTCTACCACACGAACTGCTTGAATCTCTGGGTCGAACGTGGGCATCATGACTGTCCCTTGTGCAAGTACGATATCCTGGGAGCCCACCAGGATCCCCAAAAGGCACGCCCAGCCGACCACGCCGCGTCAGAAGGCGATTCGCAATCCGACCACCAGGATGGTCCGCGTGAACATCCTGCCGTGACGGCGTCGAGAGAGTTGGAAAGTCGGATACAACAAGCGAATGCGCCCGAAGCTACTGGTACCGCCGCCGCCGTCCCGTCATCAGCTGCCAACACTGATGTCGAGGCACAAGCCACGAGCCATAGCGAAAATGCCGGAGAGCCTACTGAGCGGCAAGTACCTTGAGATACACCTGCGGCCAGGAAAAAGCGAATGCATTGCGTTCCCGTGCAGATGAACTATGTCAAGGTTTTCAACCATGAGGAGCAAGAGCCTCATCCACGATCGTTTGAGATGATAGTGGCACATCCTATCCCAGACGGTCTACACGCATTCTCCCAGACCAAGTGCTGGAGGGAAACCTCGCGTCAATCTAGCACTTCCAGTCTCCGGTCGACGCTGTAGGGGCATTTGTCTGATGGACTAGAAGAATGAACAAGGTCAGACCTCACGCCACGGAGTTGGTGTGTTATGTTCCCTGAGAACCGAGACACACCCATCCTCATCCGCCCGCCATCCCCCCCCCAAAAAAGTCCACCGTCCTTGTGTCTCTCTATCGCCGAGGTTTGTCAACCCATAACAGTCCGACGAATTTTTGACGACGGCGGCGTCCCTCCTGGATCACACCCTCGACATCGCCAACAGTACGGCGCAAGCCCCTATCACCACTCCCGTTTGGACTGAGCAAGGTTTCTTTCCGGACAGAGTAGGTTCCCCACCGCTCATGGCCCCTTTTGCCTAGGAGAACGGTCAGCTCCCCTGCAAGTATGGAGAGGCACGCTTCAAAAGGACACGGATCAATATGGAAATCAATCTCTAACTACAGATATCAATATCAGTTAGATCATGTTCAATGTGAATTCAATGTTGAGAGTATCAGAGTTTCAAGTTTTGATTTATACGAGGCAAACTGATCGAGTATCAAACCACTCTGCATCTTTCTTCTGGCCTTTTTCTGTTTCCTGGCAAGACTCATCGAGTGACCCCCAATTATGCGTACAACGGAAGGAAAATAGAATAAACCCATCCTTTCCCCCCCCTTTTCAGTCTGTCGACCCTACCAACTTTGCATATGCCTTCTTCATGTTCATTGCCTTAACTTTCAAGAGATGAAAGCCCAATCCCAATAGATCCATCACCTCCCCAAGTCATCAATCCACCCCCTCACCTTTTTTGGAAACAATTATACTGATACAAGTACCCAGTTACCTCGGAAAAGGTAGGATGTGAAACTTTTTCTTCTTCTGTTGACAGTTTTTCCTAAAAAAAATCAAACGCCGTTCCCATGCAAAAAAAGGCTGTCTAATCTGTTTCGTCGATCGACTCGACAAAACCAAAACAATCAATTTGGAATCTGTTATTCTGTTGATCCATGCACCCTCCGCGGGGATTTTTTGGACATGCCGACTCTTCATGCCCTCATCCGATCGATCCACCGAGCGGGGGGTGATCATCGAGCTAGAATGAGCAAAATCAAGCATGACCATTGACACCATTGACACCATTGACCATCGGAGCCGGAACACCCGCCACGACACTGAACTGACCTCCTGCGCCTGCCCAGACCAACTTCTTGTCTCTCACGGCAGTATTGTCAATCATCGTAGCTGTCTCGACATCGTCATCGGTACCGAGACCGGTCTGGTAAGTCGTGCTGAAACCCCATGAGTAAGCCTTGCCGTTCTTGTCAATGGCAATGCAGTGATCCGAGGCAGCGCAAGCGAACACGGCGTGGATGTTGGGAATCTGGGTAGGAACGGTCAAGATACGGGGGTGCCCAGCCGAGTCACGAACGACGTCATCTTGAGGGAGTTCTGAGACTTTGAGACCAGTCTGACAACCGTCCAATCGTCCCCAGGTTAGAAGTTCGCCTCTGTCAGTGACAGCGACGGTGTGATGAGCGCCGCCTTGAATGCAGATGACTTTGCCCTTGCCGTGAAGGCTTTCGATGACGATGGGGTGATGGACATCAGAGCCGATGCTAGCTCCAGTCTCGTCAAATTCCTTGGGAATACCAGTCTGGCCAAAGTTGTTGAGACCCCAGGAGTAGACATCTCCGTTTGCTCTGATTGCGAACGAATTGTAGGAGCCAGCGCCAAGGTCAGTGATATTCTTGGGTAGACCGATAGGCATGGGGATCAAGCTGTTTGATGCTCTTCTTTCCAAAATACGACGACCAAGTTGGTCCTGTTGACCTGCTCCCCAACCATAAACAACACCATTTGATTGCAGAGCCAGAACGTGATTTGCGCCGGTGGCGAGTTTGGTGATCTTGCTGACTCCCTTGATCAACTTGGGGCGTGACTGCACGAGAGTCTGAGGGTCAAAACCAAAGATACCTTCGTTCGAGCGGAAAGTGCCCCAGCCGTAGACATCTCCCTCACTTGTAAGTGCAAAGGTTGCACTGTCGGTGCAAGCGACCTGAGTGAAGGTGATCCCGTGTGGAAGTGCCGACACATCGACTTCGCCAGGTGTAGATTCTTTGGGATTGATGGCAGTCTCAGAGCCACTGTCCGAATCACTGTCACTGTCATCATCGTTGTCGTCCATGTCTCGTAATCCACCTTCCCAAGTTGTATCTCGACCCAAGGCGCCTTGATCATTGACACCCCACGTATAGATCTTGCTGTCGTGTGTGAGAGCAGCAGTGTGCATTCCACCGACCGATAGAGCAACGACTCCAACATTTTCTGGTGCAAGATTGGGATTGTAACGCGGTCTCTTCACCTCGACCTGGCCTTTTGCACTTCCCAAGCCGAGCTCTCCAGAGGAACCCTCACCAAAAACAAAGACATTCAATTTCTCAGAAGGAGCATGATTGATCTGAGCCTTTGCTTTGGCCTTTGCGGTTGTGGTTTTCGCCGTGGCGATCTTCTTTTTTGGTGCCTCAGCGACCGGTGTGGCAGACTTGGCCTTCACTCTCTTCACTCCGTTGACTTTGGGCTCTTCCTCTACATCGTCCTCGGCCTTGCGTTTCTTGGAAGCCTTTGCAGGTGCCGCAACGGTCTTTGTAGTCTTGGGAGATGTCTTGTTGGCCGGTGCAGGTTTTTTGGGTGCCGCAGACTGTTTTGTCTTTGACTCTTTCATTGCTTTCTTGGGTGCTTCAGCCGCAGCTGACTTTCTAGCACGGGCGGAAGCCATGCCGGTGAGACGAGGGCGTCGAGATGAACTCGAGCTTGCGGCGAAGGAGGATCTCGTGTGAATTTAGATGGTGGCTTCAAAGGGAGGAGCGAATTGTTGTACAACGCAACAAGACGCTATGCTGGTGGTTTCGAAAGATGAACAGTGTCTGGTAAAAGACCGTTCACAAGCAAGATGATGGAAATATGAACAGCAGGACAAGATGATTAATGTTTAAGGCGATCAGATGCAGAGTATGTGAGCAAAAAAAGTTGTTGTTGTGATTGGACTCGACAAACGCGCTAATGAAGCATTCAACACATGACTAAGCACCGTTGTCTACACAAAGAAATGCGTGAATAGGAATGGCAGGGTGAATGGAATGTGAGGACGGCATACAGAAAGACGAACATTGGAAAGAGCGTGAATAAGAAATAAAAAGCTCAGAATAGTGAAGCAGAGCAGTCCAGTGACTATTGGGCTTGACTTTTTCCATTGTCATGAGCAACGTTGATAGTTGCCTCCAAGCAAGGACCAACTCGCCCCATACGTGAATGAGTAGCTGGGTACAGGTCCCACTGCCCGCTCTCCTTAACTTGAGCTCCCATGAGTCTTCCATGACACTGCTCAGCTAGCCTCGGTAGCATGAGCCGCTCATGGCCAGATCTTGCTAATCAAACTACCGGCTTCAGCTCCCTGTTGCCCTTTGCGCGAGGATTGGGTGCATTCTCATTCTCCTGAATGTAGAATCGGCGTAGCAACATGATGGCTTCTTTCCTGAAGATCCCTCCATAGCTCGGATAACCTTTCTCGAGACCCTTGTCTGAGTTGACAGCAAGCACGCTTCCATTTCCACCAAAACGATCATTTCCACAGCCGTAGTAGACACAGCGAATTCCGTACTGTCTCAAGGCCGAAGCACACATGATGCACGGTTCCACGGTGACATAGAGGTCGGTTTCCCTCAATTTACTTTGCGGGTATTTGGATAGGAATTCCGAGATGGCCAGAAATTCAGCATGGCGAGTACCGTTGAGAGATCGATTGGTATCGTTCATTCCTCGAGCGACGACCTCTCCTTTGAGGACCAGAACACATGCCACTGGGGTTTCTCCTCCTGCAAGAGCATCCTCGGCGACATTGATTGCTTGCCTCATGAAGCCTTGATGTTTCTCAAGATCTTTGAGGACTTCAGGATCGAGTTTGTCCTTGTCCTTGTCCTTGTTGTCTCCTTGATCGGTGCTTGACATGCTGTCTTCTGAGTCGGAGTCAAAGAGATAGTCTGGGAGGTTGTTGTGCTGGAGAGAAGGAAAGGAGGAGTCTCCAGGAAGATCCTGGAGGGAAGACATTACGATTACATGTTTGCTGCTTTGGAAAGAGGCAGTGACAACTGTTTGAGGGAAGTCGCGATGGCAAGAACAATTTGTACCGTTCCCCTCGGCTGACTTGCCCTGATATTTTGCTGTCACTCCAACCGTCACTGGCGGCATAGAAGTTCATCATTTATTCCGTGTTGTCTCTTCCACCTCACATCATTCTCACCACTCTAGTCTGATCTTGCGCAGCCTTCAAAGATGCGGACTCTTCGTGACCTGGTGCTGTTACTTGTCTTTGCATTCACTGCCCTGGCTGCCAGCACGACAGGGACCACCAGCGATGCATCAAAGCTACCCAAGTCAATTACCCTTTCATACGAAGTGATCGGGTCGTCTTCCGTCAAACCACTGGCTACTGTCTTTTACGATCCGAAATCTAAGAAGCATGCATTGTCATCGTGGACTCCTCCAAGCTTGGACTCTCTGAAATCAACTACTCCTGAATCTATTTCCGCGAAACTTCTCCGCATTCTCCTCCCAAATGGAAGTTCTACAGTCACTTCTTTGACCACATTCAGCGAGGACCTTCACCAAAAGATTGACCTTTGGATCTCTCCAACTGATGGTTCTGTCTTTTCGGCCGCGGTGTCAAGCCTCTCGCCACCCCCACTATCGCCAGAAGAAGAACGGTATAGGAAGAAGGTGGAAAGAGCAAAGGCAAAGGGAAGACCCATACCCGCACGACCTCCAGTACCGAATACAAAGAAAGCAAGAGAAGAAGCTGCAAAGCAATTGGCCATGTACGAGCCTATCAAGGTCAATCTGATCACCTCTGTGTCCGGCCCAGTCCCATCACTTGTCAGTCGAGCACCACCTCAAACCGATGCGGAAGGGCGAGAGGTCGTAGTAGAAGAACAACCAGAAAAGAACTTCTTCCAGAAGTACTGGTGGGTATTATTAATTGCTGTCATGCTTACCATGTCTGGGGGTGGAGGTGAAAAATAAGGCTTCAGTCCAGCTCTGCCACGTCTATCGTCACAAATCATATTCATATTTCTCGGTTCCAGCAGACGATGACAGCATCTGCTCCTTCACTGAATTATATCCTTGTCTATGGCTCTCCCTATTCCGTGCTGAGCCAAATGAAGATACGGATGTGGAGATGTCATCACTCCAAGTAGAGCAAGTTGTACTTAGCTGGAACCGAATCTGCGCAACAGAGTATCAACCACAACAGGCGAGACATATGGCGATGGCGTCATCGTCGTGCTGGAATTTTTTAGACTGTTCTGACAACTTCTCGCAAAGCTCGACAACCGAGTTGCGCCTACCAACCTGACACAAACGTCTTGACCTCATGTCGCGCAGCAGGCGACGATCTGCGTACGATTTCAAACTTTACACCACGACTTTGGACCTAATTTCTTCTCTTTAGACAAGGGATGAGAAACGACGATTTCAATAATGATTGTTGTACACCGCAATATGACGGGGCTTGCATGAATTGGTGTGAAAGTGATAATATCTCTCGCCGCAAATGGCGTTTATGGATAGATCAAGAGAGCCCTGCTCTTCCCAGATGCTTGTATATGATGGACTCCATTCTGATGAATATCGAAGCTGGCAATCATCCTGTCACTATCTAGTTACAATAGCTAGCGAGCGAAGAAGAAGAATACTGAGAAAGATCCCATACCTATATGATGCCCAAGAGCAATTCTTGAAGGCTCGACAACGCCTTGAAGGTACTACGCCAGGTCGATAATTTTCAATCAACATCTTTCGACGCCTGCCGTGTAGGAACAATCAGCATCCTAGTATAATCAATGAAATGATTGTCGTACTCCGTATTCTATTCCAATGGGTAGTACCAACCGACCCGATCCCTGAAAACAAGTACACGTAAGCTTTGACGAGGCTACGCTAATTACGAGTTTTACGTGCGCAGACTTGGAGCACAGAATTCTTTGTCACCGACATTCCATGATGGATGTTGGTTCAGGCATCTCGGGAACGAGCCATTGGTTTCAACGTAGACTCCACGATATCGAATATCCATACTCTTCTGGAGCAAGGTGTAATATTTGGACGCCGGTTCAATTGTCCAAGGTCTATGCGTTTGATCTTTGTCAAGCTTTTTGCAACCCGTCCCTGAACCAGGGTTTCTTCCGTGAAGATCTCCGGAATACGACGACAGCGTACTCGTATGATGACGGGGACTTGTACAAATAACCCGTCATCATGAATGTTAGAATCACACCATCTGATTGTATTTTCTCTCCGACAAGTCTTCCTTGTCACAGTGTTTAAACCGTGGGTCAAGAACTAATCAGACTGGCTACTCCGTATCGACATTGACGACACATTTCCCTTGCAGAAGGAATATTCACCTTTACTGGAGCAGCCAAAATGAGCGCTGCGCCCAAAGACAGCCATGACAGCGGTAGGGGCGGCGGGCAAGTCGTCGGTTCGGAACCATCGTACGCTCAATCTCAACTCGACAAATCGACGAGTCCTTGGTACGTGCCGAATATCGATAGACTTTTGATCCCAGAGGTGAGTTTTTCTGGCTTCAATCTTGGGACCGGGGGTTCTTCAGCATGTCCTTCCGATATATATTTGGAAAAAAGGGGGGGAGAAAAGGAGACCAAATGGTAGGAACACAACGTTCAAACGTTTGTTCTAGACTCAGAAACTACTACAAGAGTGTAGCGGTATTCCACCCGATGAACAATCCAAACATGTGCATGATATTGTAAAGTTCATCGTGTTTTCCCCCACATTCTGAGATGTTGACCCAAATCCTGACGGTACCGGTCAGCGTGACAAAGCATGGTCGATTCGTCACAATACCCATGTACGGGTCTCGGGGTGTTTTTGGATCCTTGTGTCCGCCACTCACCAGCTTACGGAGACATTCTCGCGACCCTCCGTTCTGGCGGTCTCTTTTCTCGGCATAGGATGCTTCATCGGTGCGGACATGAGACGACTCGTCTTCGACGGTGCACCTTCGACCGACGTGTACGGAATCGACATCGTCAGTCACTGGGACGTCGGGCACGACATGTTTAGAGACAGAGACAGATTCGACGCTCCATACATACAAGCCGATGTTTTGGCCTGCCGATGCTACCGCCACCACAAACTCAAAGCTGGCCACACTAAAAGGGACGGTCGACGTCATTCACATGTCCGCCGTGTTGCACCAGTGGCCGTGGGAAACTCAAGTCCAGGCGGCTCGTGTGGTCGTGTCGTTTTCGAAACCGGGCACGGTCGTCGTCGTCGGGTATCAGATTGGCAACGTGAATGCCGGGCTCGTATCTGACAGACCCGGCATCACAAGGTTCGACAGTGGAGGCACGACCCGGAGAGTGCGGCGAGGATGTGGGAAGAGGGAGGTCGACTGACAAACACCCAATGCATCACGAAAGCTCGTATGAAGACTTGGAAAGACACGGGTTGGGACGGGAAAGACATTGAATTCATGGACGATGGGGACATGGTTCTTGATTTTGTCGTTACCAGGGTTAGATGATGGAAGATTTTTTTGGATATGAAGAGGTATGTTTGTTGCTTGTCTCGAGAATTCATGTATGTATTTTTACATCTCGGGTATTTTCTCGGTTCTCTCTCTTTCTTCGCTCTGTCTCTTCCTCTGATGGCTGGCGGCCGGCCATGATGATACCACCACCATCATCATCACTCCTTGATTTGTTGTTTGTGAAAGAGACCTGGTTGTGGTCATAGGTATAGTCAGTCAGTCATAACCTATCCACAACCTTGGGAATTTTTGAAAATTATAAAGGAGTTTTCCAAACTTACCAGGAACTTCGGGCATCCAATTATCCCGTTTACTACAAAAGAATTCCCCCTTTGGTGGTAAATCAGTTGGTTGGTCAAGTGTGCCATAAAAGATATAAGTAAAATCTCCTGCGTTGGCCTGATCGTCACAAATAAAGTAAACAACGTCAGTCTCTGACCGTGAGAAGAGCGAGAAGAAGTACACGAGGTATACGGAGTAAAAAGATGAAACAGGGGTAAATGAAAGAGTATCAAACATACCCCACGTTCCAATATCGGGCTTCCACATTCCTTACAAAACTCACGATGCAACGTGGTCCCGCTACCATTGTCGGCCTCGTGGACCGTGATGAGTTCTTTACCTTGGACGACGGTCAAACTCTTTTCGGGGATTTTCGAGGTTATACCAAAAGGACCTCCCGTGAATTTCTGCGACGTTTTGGAACAAGTCAACCAAAAAAAAGTAATCGATAGGTACTCGGTATCATAGTACCCAGACTGGGTCAGTGCGTGAACGTGATACATACCTTGCAATTCTTACAGTGACAAATACTCGTCCTGGCCTTGCCCGCATCTTCCAATTCGATCTCGTACCTGATTTTGTTGCAATAACAACCACCGGGGAACTTCATGTCGACCAATCTCGTGGTTGAGAACGCTACCACCGATCCAATAAACTTGTCGATTCTGGCACTCGAAGATCGAGGAGATGGAGACGGCCTTGAAGAATGTAAGCTGATATCTCACGGCAGCTGTCCTCCTAAGAGCTGATATAGTGAACGCTGAAGTTGATGATGATGATGATGATGTCCCCAAAACGAGAGCAAGACTGTGCATGTCCTAATTTCTCCTCGTCTATGTTGTCATGGGATGATATCGTTTTGCTTCTTCGGCTCTAACGATATCTCAATCATCTTGAGTATGAGTACTCGTATTAAATGCGATCACATTTGCGACGTCAGATCCTCCCCCCTTGTCGTACTCTGTGTAATGCCATCGTCATTGCGTCCCAGAAAGGAAACACAATACGAATTTCGATTGGTCGATTCGATCGCAGTCGGTTTGTATTTCCGATTGGTCCAGACTTGTACTCCCTACCAAGTATCAAGAGCATCCTACTCCATACATGTACATACAGTACAGTATACCTGATGGAACGCAAGCAATGATTCTATGTTCAGATCTCATTGTCATCGGACTAATAGTCATTTGCGATGGCTTTCTTTTTGATGTACTCACAACATTCGCTCGTATCTCTATCAAGTAACAAAAATATCCCCCAGAGTGTACAAGGTCTCAGTACACTACCTTTGCAAGCACATGTAGTCTTGTGAGCATTCAATCTCTGTTCGCTCTGTGGTAGTTCATGATCCATGACCTCAAAGATGCTCTCACGATCCTCTGATAGCTTTTGCGAACGCTCAAAACATTCATGACGCTCACAGAGTGAACTTCTCCAGGTATTGCCGTGCTGCTTCGATGGCATCGTCGACCTTGCCCTGATCAGTACCAGTACCAATAGCAGTAGGTGCTTTTCCGCCAGCTTTGCCGCCGACAAGTTTCGACACTTCACTGGACCAGTCTGCAGAGGTAATTCCGGCTTTGACACCATCCTGTATTTCTTGTCAGCTTGATTCTTTTCTACTCGACCTCATTCGCCCTGTACTTACTGGACTGACAAAGCATCCATGAAACACCTTTCCATCAGGTTCGGATGCATCTGCAACGACAATGTAGACGCTCTTGTCTTTCAACTTGGTTTGCACATGTTTCACCACATCTGGCACAAGCTTGGGATTTCCGCCGACCGGTAACCTCAGAACGGCTGCCTTGGCGTGCTTGTTCTTCTCAAAGTACTCCGTGATTGTGTCGGTTGCTTTCTTCAGTTCCTCTTTCTGCATCTTCTTCTGTTGATCGAGAATCTCTTTGGCGACTTTGTTCATTCGCTCTCGGAGCTGAGATTTTTTGACGGCCGATATCGACAAGGTGTTGAGTTCAATTTGAAGGGCTTTCGCCTCTTGCTCTTTCTGAGCACCAAAAGGCATCTCTTCGAGTTTCTTCAGTCTCTCGGAAAATTCCTTGGCAACGCGCTGGACTTCATATGCGTCCTCACCCGTAACCGCAATGATACGTCGAATGCCCTTAGCGATACCACTCTCCTCAAGAATGACCAGATCCTTGATATCAGCAGTGGCCTTGACGTGTGTGCCACCACAGAACTCGATGCTGACAGTCTTCCATCGCTCATCTTTGACATTCTTCAGGATATCATCAACCTCTACACCGACAGAAACTACCCGTACGGGATCCGGGTAGGTCTCTCCAAACACTGCTCTGACGCCAGAGATCTCTCGTGCAACGACTAGAGGTACGTCCTTGGCATAGACAGGACAATTCTGTCGGATATACTCCGTGGAAAGATCTTCAACCTTTTGCAAGTCTGCGTCTGAAATGCCAGACTTGTGACTGAAATCGAACCGAAGTTTCTCTTGCGCGACAAGAGATCCTCTTTGATCAATACCGTCACCAAGAACTTCCCGCAGAGCAAAGTTGAGAATATGCGTGCCTGTGTGGTTGTTTCGGATAGGCCATCGTCTCAGCTCGTCATATTCACAGATGGCTTTATGTCCGACCGAGAAGTGGCCGTACTTCATATAGCCAGTATGTAATACATAACCAGCATACAGTTGCACATTTTCGACCTCGAGTTCGGCCTGGCCATCGATGACGATGCGACCAGTGTCGTATTCTTGACCACCTTGTTCGGCATAAAAGCATGTCTTGTCGAGGATGATACCAATCTGCTCGCCTTCGGGAATAGATTGCGTGTCAGGGTGGAATTTCTTTGCATGGTAAATTGCCTGAATGGTACCAGTGACGTTCTCGAGCCCGTATTTCGCACTGTCGTCCGTCTTCGTAACACCGGGCATCTTTTCGAGTTCGCCGAGGTCGTGAACATCCAGCTTAAGAAGATCTAGAGCAGCCTTTTTCTCGCCCTTGCTGGCTTCTTTCGCACGCAATCTCGCTGCCTCAAACTCGTTGTCGTCGATAGAAAGATTCCTCTCTTCTGCCATCAGTCGAGTGAGATCCACAGGGAAGCCAAAGGTGTCGTAAAGACGCCATACATCAGCACCGTGGAGACTCTTCAACCCCTGACCCTGACTCTTTTGAGCGTACGTCTCGAATTGCCGTTCTCCTCGATCGAGAGTTTTTGCGAATGACAATTCTTCCTCGTTGAGAATTTCTTTGACTTCGTCTTCCTTTGCGACGATTTCCTTGAACATGCCACCCATCTGTTCCACCAGACTCGGCACGAGCTTAGCAAAAAAGTCGCCAATTTCGACATTGAAGTATTTCCGGGCATATCGCGCACCACGACGTAATACACGTCGCACAACATAACCTCGCCCTTCGTTGTTGGGAATACCACCGTCGCTGATGGCGAAGGTCAGGGTGCGCACATGGTCGGCAACAACCCGATATGCAGTATCAATACCATCCTTGTCCTCTTCGCCAAACTTACCAGAATATGGCCTGGCGCCAGTGACTTCCTGAATCCGTGCGAATATCGGGGTGAAGACATCCGTGTCGTAATTTGACATCTTGTTCTGCAAGACACTAACCAATCTCTCAAAGCCCATACCCGTGTCGACATGCTTGTTCGGTAACGATCGCAAGCTCTTATCTGGCTCTCTATTGTATTGGATGAACACGTTGTTCCAGATTTCCAACACATTGGGGTCATCCTGGTTGACCAAGTGTGCTGCATTTCGTCCCCCGATTCGATCGTAGTGGATTTCCGAGCAGGGACCGCATGGGCCCTGCTCGCCCATTTCCCAGAAGTTGTCTTTCATGTTCCCGGGCAAAATGTGATCCTCGGCGACACCAACGCTCTTCCAAATCTCCTTCGCCTCAAGATCCGGTTCCAGTCCGCCAGCTTCGTCGCCTTCGAAGTACGTGACGTACAGTCTGTCGGGTTCAAGACCGAAGACCTGTGTGAGTAGCTCCCACGAATATGTGATAGCTTCCTTCTTGAAATAGTCACCAAAGGACCAGTTGCCCAACATCTCGAAGAAAGTGTGGTGGTAGCTGTCCTTGCCGACATCGTCGAGATCATTGTGCTTGCCGCCCGCACGTATGCATTTTTGAGAGTTGACCGCACGCTTGTATTGGCCCTCTTTGCTCGTAGGATCGACGGTACCGAGGAATATCGGCTTGAATTGGTTCATACCGGCATTTGTGAAAAGTAGGGTTGGATCCGATAGTGGTACTACAGGAGAAGATTTCACTGACCTGGGTCAACATCTGTGTGGACTTGAACTGGGAGACACTCACCAAATGTATGACCTCGATCCTCAAAATACTTGAGGAAGGTGTCTCTCACGACAGGAGCACTCCATTTGTGAGGCTTGTCTGCTGTCGTTGAAGCCATTCTGACTGTCGTGTGCCACTGCACTCGCCCCAGTGCAGGTGAGTATGGACGCCTGTAGTTTTGTCGACGAGGTCCTTCTGCGCGACACCGATTCGATATTTGGTCCGGTGTTGTCGGCGTAAGAGACCAAAGTAATCGAATAGACCTTGCAGGCGTGAGGATATGGAAATTGTGAGTCAATGGGGAATTTGTGTATCGAGGGGCAGAACTGATGATTGCAGCAGGCGAAGCAGCTGTGGCTCTCCAAATCGACATTCAACCTATTCGAGCACCTTCCAGCGAATCGACGACAACTGTTTTATCACTTGGATCCGCAGTCTGCCGTATCTTCTCTTCTCTTCATCAATCACCAAGGTAAGATTGTACAAGTACAGCCGCCGACCACCCAGTTCTTCGTGTCAATGCAACAAAGAGTAAGAAGAAAACAATTTCCTTAGGAGAGTCCTCGAAAGGAATTGGAGAAACAGCCCGTCTCGTCATTCGCAGTCAGCCCTCGTCGTATAGTACCAAGCCACCACCACCACCACCACCACCACCACCATCCTCCTCCGTAATAAACGAGGCCGCAACACTCTCTGCAGATAATACACTGATATACAGATCGACGGTTGTATGCGGCGTGAACAATGATGGCACAACATGCTACCGCGGCTCCTCCAGAATGGCTTACTGCAAATGAACATCGCAGTAACCTCGTCTCGACTCCAGGGAAGCGGAAAGCAGACGATGAACTCGAATCCCAATCCAATATATCCTCTCACTTTAAGAAACTCCGCCTAAACCAGAATCACACGTCGAAGCAGTCTATACTGGGGCAGCCTTTGTCCCCGTCTCAATCCGGACTTTCCTTCCGCCCTCATATAGCCAACACCGACGCCCGGCCTGCGCTTCCTGTACCGGTCGACGAGTCTCACTATACCTCCCAATTCAACGACCAGTACCCATCCTCGCCGCATCCTATGAGTGAATCGAAGTATGGTGAGAATACTCTTGATGGACAACATCAACCCTATTCTCATTTCGCAAATACACAAAAGCCACCGTCACTCTCGGACTCGGCATTCATGACCGACCGAAGCCCTCCACATCAGACGATTCTCAACGACCGACAAAGAGAGGAGGAGGAGGAAGAGTCGATGACGGTAGACGAGACTCCGAACCGCATTTTTATAACGAACCTGGCCTCTGAAATCGCCCAGATCGAGGCCGACGAGGCAGCCTCCAAGTACAGCGTTTTCCTTCCGGACATTGACAAGAAAGTGTCTGCTCTCCCAGCACACCTCCTCAACACCTACCACGACTCGTCTCGCCTCTCTTCGGTGTCTCCAACCATGGCGTCTCCGAGCACGGCACTGGTCCTGTATCGGGATCCGACCAGCATCACTGTACCCGAAGAGGAAGACGCCGTCCGGAAAGCCATCATAGCAGCACGGCGGAGAGCGAGGGAGAAATCAGCCGAGGACGAAAGAGATAGAGAACGAAGGGAACGACTACACATGGGAGGAGGCGACGGCGATATAGATCTGGACGACGACGCCATGACGGATCACTCGTCTCATCGTGATAGAGAAGAAGAGGATCTGGATGCGATGGATATTGAGTGATCTTGCTGCAGACGAGGAAAGAAGTTGGATCAAATACAGAGAGACGTTGACCGCTTTTGGCGTGTTGAACAGTTGGTACAGGCTATCAGTACCTGCGATACCCCCATATTTACATTATTACTTGAAGCGTTAGAAGCGAGTTGCATTTTTTGTCCAATACAATATCGAATTCATCTGATCATACATTTTCGGAAGTGGGTTGGTGAGAAGGTACAAAGCACCGATGCAGTGCGTGCGTGCGTGTGTTTCTGTTTGGGTGAACTGAAATGGACTCTGTACTTTTCTGGGGGCAAGAGTAGGTAGTCCTCCAGGCCTGTATCAGGTGGTAACCTAGTGCGCATGGCAGACGGTTTCCCTTATTCGTTCCACGTAGCCACACGCAGTACCATCCCTCTTGAGATTGGAGTCGAACCTCACGAACCACGTCAAGAGACCCGGCTTGAACGTCCTGGCTGGAAGACAATACTGCTTCATCTGGCCGGGACCTTCCAAATCAGGCACACCCGTATGCTTATGCTGGCAGTGCCGGGCGACAAGTGACCTTTCCACAACGTTGCTCGTGTTGTCGCGAGTAACCCAGTCAACCCCGCGTCGTGGTTGACGCTTTTTTGTGGCATGTTCCAAGGCAAAAAAGACCAGACTCCGAGTCCGGCTTGTCGCGCCTCCCCTTTTGAGGTTTATGTTTGCGTGTTCGTTTGCGTCATGCTGCTCATCCCGAGAGGCACGTGAAAGCAGTGTGGTCTTGGGATACCCATTCAACAAAATTGTCTGTCCCCTCGTCCATGTTCCTTTGTCCTCCGTCACCTTCTCTCCGGTTGTCCTTCATCTCCCAAATGACCCGGCACCACCCGTCATCACGGCAGCAGGGGGAGGTTGACTCGGTCCGCCTTGTGGCGGAGGAGGTCCAGAAGGTGGAGCGTACTGTCTATTTTGATCTGGATCGACCTTGTTTCCAGAGGGTGGTGCATATGCCGGGACGTAATCCGGTTCGTGGTAGGCTGTAGATGCCGGAATGTGTTAATAGTCACTATTTCCGATTGAAGTCCAAAATAAAATCAAAACAAACAATTTTGGAGTACATCTCGGAGGAGAGTAGCGTGTGCATCAAAAACTTACCAGGTGGTGGTGGACCATAAACACCCATTTGATATCCCTGTTGGCCGGGTCCGTAAGGGTGATACATTGGCCTCGGTGGCATCTGATAAACTCCCGTCTGCGCCGCGTATTGAGGGTACCTCTGTGCGAAGGCTAGTCTTTGAGTCCGAGGTACCAGCCATCGATGGTACGCCAACGGAGGTTGTCCTTTACTCATGCGACGACGGGCGTGTAAGTATCCCAGTAGGAAAAACAGAAAAAAGGCAACCAGAATCGCGGCTATGATGGCCCATTTGATCGCGTAGGCGGTCTAACAGATTACATTCAAACTTAGTCAAAACTTCGGTCCCCCAAAGAACAGTATTTCGCGTTCAAGATGACAAGAGTGGAAGCGTGGAAGTTGGAGGGAAAGATAAAAACACATACCGAACTGTACCACCAATATCCATTGTCGAAATTGTCGTCGTTGTTGTTGTTTGTGACTTGTCTAGAGACTACTCTTGAACCGTCCATGTTTTGCGTCTCTTTTCAACCCTTTAGACAAGAGGATATCGATCGTTTTTCGTACTCGAATAGGCTATGGGCCGGCAAGGTTCAAAGAAAGGACCGCAGAAAGGAGAGGGTGATGTTGTGGTTGTTGTAAAAGGTCGTCGATCAGGTGGTAACTCGTTTTGGTTTGTAGTAAAAGAGGTAGGACAGGTGAGTAGATATTTTAGGTGCACACACACTCTCTCTCTGCAACCCCGTATCGTTACCTCAAAGAGTGAACCGTGCTGTTTCGTTATCAGAAATAGATTGGTACAATAGGTGCTCTGTCATTCGGGAAAGTGACGTTTTCGCTTGGGTTCCCTTTTTCTGCACGGACGTTGGAGGTTAAAATAGTGGTGGGTAGGTGCTGGGTGGTGGCAGTGCAGTATTAATGAGGACGAGGGAATTCGAGGGTGAAATATGGATAGACAATAGAAGACTACTTTGGTACTCGTAGAGTACGTCAACGACTGGGAGACGTACGAGTACTTTTGCGACGTACTCGGTACGGAGGCAAGGTATCAAAGATGATCAAAACAAAAGTGGTTGATTGGTTCTCCGTACTCTCCGTATTTTCTTGATTGAATGGACACGAAGAGAAAGAAAAGTAATAATAATGATTGATGTACAGAGAGTACGAAAAAGACGCAACTCGAGAAAAGGAAGAAAGATTGATTTGTCCTCCCGCGGTCGTTTGAGTTGTTGGTACGGAGTACGTGGTGCAACTAGAAACAAGGACCACGTAACTCCGTACTCCGTGGAGGAAGAGGACGACGACGACGACGACGATCGACGCCACACAGAGTACGATTCTTGTGACTTGGAACCAAAACAACCCCAAACTTTGTCCGGATACCTAGTTTACGACTTCCCTGTACGAGTCATCAACTATTGCATCCCCATGCTCATTCTCATTGTCCTATTGTACTCTGTCATGACTACTCCTTGCAGAGTAAAACAACCTGAAAGCCAACCCCAACTGGATTTCTTCCTCGCTTCCAATCGAGTCAAACTCTGTGCCTGGTCGGTCAACAAGTGGACAGTGGCGCAGGCCAGTTCGAGACACATTTGCCGGGACTGAGACAAACGGCCGATCCTAGAAAGAACCCCCTCCCCCTCCCTCGTAAACTCGTAAGCTTCTCCGATGTAGAATGATGTTTGGGGGCTTGTTTCAGAGTCAATAATGATAATGACCGGTTCCTGGTCAACAAATCAATTACTCCGTACAGGTGTAACCTAATGAAACTTGCAACCAATGCGGGAGAGTACTGTTTGTACAACAAACAATTGAGACAATTCTTTCCGTCACCGATAATTGTAACACGCTTCTCGTGTCCGTCCTCCTACGAGATAACAGAGTGTCAGTACCCAATATGATGCCCCTACGCGACTCTCTTTTGCCACCTCGTCTCGCGAAATCACATGATGAGCCACCCTTACCACTACGACTCCTACTCGTACATCTATGTAGACACCGAGTCACATCCTACGGACCCAAAGGTGAAGATGAAAAATTGTTTAGATTCATAGTAGCCCAAAGTCAAGCAGGGACCGAGATTAGAACCAGGACCCAAAACGAACACCTTTTCCTGTCAACGCTCCGGAAAAATGCTAAGCTACCTAAAATGTAATACATCAATACACGATTTCCCCAAGTTTTCAATCGTCAGTCCGAGTCCTGAACCGAATCTTCAACCGTGGCATGTTTGCTTCTTGAATCTGTTGGAGCCGACGATGATGATGAGGATGCTTCTGCTTCTGCTTCTGCTTCTGCTTCTGCTTCTGCTTCTGCTGTGTTTTCACTCTCGTTTTGTCCACCGTTCATTTGAGCTGTTGTGCTTCCGGTGCCCTCGTCACCATTCACTCCGGTGTTAAATCCCCAGGCAGGTAACGGTTGTGATGGAAACACCGAACTGTGCTGTGAGTCGGCAGCAACAGTGTTTTCAGTGTTTGATCCATTCCTAATTTCCGTCTGTCCATTCAGAGGTGTTTGCTGCTGAGGAGGTGCAAAGCTTCCCCAGGTTGGCAGATTCAAACCTGATGCAGTTCCAAAGGGAGTGACGCCCGCCTGTTGGGGGGTCTGTACTGGGTTTTGCTGAGGATGCTCCTGTTCATAATCGTTCCCCTGACCACCATTCGCAGATTGATTGGACGCTTCTTCTTGACGAGCATTGGTCTGTGGAGTACCTGCTTGGTCTAAAGCTTGTAATCCTGGAAAGATTTGCCATGCTGATGGGGGAATTATGCCCCTATACTGCTGCGGCAGTTGTTCTACAGGAGGCATGTTTGTGGGATTGGGAGGGTTTGGTCGCGCTGCAAACACACCTGGAGCAGCCGGTCGTCCTCCGAGCCCTACTTCTACTGTTGGATGCAACGGCATCATAGACCAACCTTCTGGCAGCGTAAGGCCAGGAGGTAACCTATCGCTTCCGGCGGCAATCATGTCGTCTTCAGAACCAGGATCAAGTCTAACTGCACGTTGCAAATCAGGAGACCTGGGAACCGTACGGTTGCTGTTATTCGCATTGTTGCGTTCAGTTGTCGGTCTCCTCATGGCACGTAGCCTCGCCAACTCCGCCTGCATCAACCGAAGGACACTCAGCTCCGCACTGTTCTGAGCCAATTGCTCTGCTTCACGGAATACTTGCTGTTCCAGCTCATCAATACGAGCTTCGGTGCTTCTAGAATTGCCTGATTGACGTCTTCGCCGGGTTGGCAATCTGATTCCAACGCCTACTTGCCGTTGAGCAGTTGGGTCTGCATTGGCATTCCTATTACCGTTGGCTGGAGGCTGAGGGATGGCCCCTGCATCTGCAACTTGCTGCTGAATGTCTTGCATCGCGGGGAATCCTCGCATGACACCGACACCAATTCGCAGTGGGCCAAACTGGTAGACTCGTGGCACTGCTCTGTCATGCGGCTGAGCTTGACCACCGTTAGGTTGCGGAGCTCCGCCTTGCCCAGCACCTGTTCCACCAGCTTGGTTCGTGGATACCACGCTTGATCTGCAGGTCGGACATATCTGCTGTCTCTCAAGCCAACTTCTCAGGCAAGAAAAGTGCAAGATGTGGCCACAGGGTAATTTCTTTGGTCGCATCCTCTCAGCCACAGGATTTGGCCGTTGGCCTTCCTGTGCAGCAGGGGGTTGGTAAGGATGCATTTCTTCTCTGCATATTATGCAAACATCCTCTCGTCCAATTTCCTCGGCGGTGGCGTCTGGGTACCGAGCATTCATATCCCTCGTGGCTGTCCGGTATTTCACAAAGTCTGAGATTCGTTTCAAAAATGATCGCATGGTCAAAAAGACATCCCTGAGAATGTGTATCGGGAGGCCATAGAACACAAGAAGAATGAAGAAGAAGGCGAGATAGATGAGGAGCTTGTAGAAATCGGTGATGAGGTTGAGATAGAACATGTAGCGACCTTTATCTTCCCACCCTTCTACCTCAACTTCATTCTCGTCAACAGGTTGGCTGAGTGCTTCCCGCGTCACTTGCTCGAGTGTGAGCTGTGTGGGAGTAGGCGTCACAGCCGCCGCAGGGTCTGTCGGTGCGGCTTGTGGTGCTTGGGACTGTTGAAACTCTGACACCGCGGACTGGAGCCGGTCCTTCTTGATCTGTTCAATGCGTTGTCGCTTTTGTTCCCTCACAATGCCGATCTCGATCACGTTGATGGCATAGCGTACTGCCGTGCTGATGCTCATGATTGACAAGACGGCGAACTCGAAGCCAAACATGACCATCATATCCGGACGTGCCATCCTCATGACCTGTTTCACGATGTATTCCAGCATCGTCAAATCGAAAGCGACGCTCAGCCCCAGACTAAGAGCAAGCCGTGTGTGGAAAAGTCGTGGATTTCTAGGTGGTTGTTGCTCCAGCACTTCCACGCGACCCTCACCTATCCAGCCCCAAATCTTGCCAGTAAGAAGTGCGAAGAACATGGCCAAGAAAGACAGACCGATCTCGCCTCTGAATACGGTCATGGCCAAACATGTTTCCGTGACCGCGAACCATGCTTTCTCGTATAGTTGTTCCACTTCGATGGGTCGCAGGTTTCCATAGAGTAGTTTTTGGAGTCCAAGTAGGAACGTGCAAGCAATCACAAAGAGGAGGTTCGTCAGGATCATTAGATTAGCGGAGGACTGTGAGAGATAGACGGCGGCGGAATAGAAGTTGGGTCGCTGTGCCAGAGCTTTGAGAACAACACCGGCAGCCAGTGCGGCGGAGGTCTACTCATCGACAGTCAGTCAGACGCAGATCGGCAGAAAGAATATAGGATTTGATCTCACCCCAGCGTAGGCTGTCCATCTCATCCTCATGCGTACCGGCATGGTGGTTGTTTGTCGTGCAATGCGATCTCTGGTCTCAAGATGATTTATGGTTGCCGAATTACTGAGGCCATCGTTTGGCGTTAACCCTCTCCCCGTCGAAAGAGCGAGAAGAGTGAGCTAAAGTAGCAGATATCTAGTGTGATACAATCAAGACGGACGTAAAGATTTGGAGTCCCGCAGATGGATAGTGATGGTGATGTTGTTACGTGGCAAGGCTAAAGGTGTTCACATCGCATTTCTGTGATATTCCTCCGCAGACCAAGATGGGAAGTGGAAGCAGCCTCCAACTCCTGTGGCGTCACGCGCACGCCCGTAACACTAATTCCCGACCCTTGGTACAAGTAGCACAGCGATCAAACCAAAAAAGTACTGCGTACAGATACATACTAATTATACGAATGATTGTCCAAATTCATATGTACACGAAATACCCCCTTAGGAGGGGTGGAAAGATCTAATCGACCCGAGGACTACGCCTTCGCATGGCGTATTCAATTCCAAACAACCCATCGCGCTTACGCCATAGCTATATCAAAGGGTATCTCAATACCCGTGGTCTGTCTAACATCATACCAATGTTGCCCTGACGCCTTTCGGAAATGTTATGTACTGCGAAATGAGGAAACAAGGAAACAAATTTTAATACCCATCGCCTTCGCTCCATGGTCTCCCATCACTCTCGGCTCTGGTTTTGGCGTCGACACCCCTCTGAAGAGCCTCTAGGCGACGTTGTTCAAGATCAGCCTCGTACTCTTGAATTTCCACCTCTAGCTTTTCTTTTTTGCCGTATTCAGGCACTTTCAGCTCGCCAGCCTCGATCTCCAGAAGTTCGCCATCGTGTCTGTATTGTTCGATCTTGTCGGCCGCTTCCTGCCACGCCCTCAGCTCTGCCTCGGCTTGGTGTTTATGAAATCGGATTTCAAACCATTTCTCGTAGGTATCGTCGTTTTCAAAGCAAACCCCAAACCCGTCGCAATAACACGTCCGCTGATTTGGGCAAAAAGTGTTCTGATCTGTAAACATGACCTGCCACAGGTACTCGAAGATCCTTCCACTCATGGTATCGCGGTGCTCCGATCGTAACAGCCAATCTCGAAAGTGAGAATATGTTTCCTTGGGTAACTCTTGGATTTTATCTCGACTCAAGGCAAATTGCGAACAACAAGGTTGCGCCAGCACATTCGGGATCTCTTTGCCCGGGAACAATTCAGCCCACGCATCGGCCATGAGGGACTGTTCCAGTTTCTCCGAGTCAGGCTCGATTTGGCCAGGATGGATCCATTCTGGACAGCCGGGTGCCCAGTGGCACCGCATGTTCATGTACCCTTGACGTTGGACTCTCTCGCTGCTAAGACGCTTGATCATCTCGCCCGAGTCGAAGTTCAACAGGTCGTCATTGTGCCAGGCAAACTGGTGAGAGTGCATGAAGATGCTGACGTCCGGCAAGTTGTCGTAGAAGTCGATGATGTAGGTCAAATAGTTCATCACTTCGTGGCCCTTGTTCTTGGGTGGGTGCAACGGGGCTTTGGGGTCGTCCGCGACGTAAATCATCCTGTTGATGTGCGGGCCCAAATCGACCTCGTCGAGCCAACTCACGTTCTCCGCCTTCGTTCTAGCCATGACGAGGTTGCGCGTGAAAGTCTTCGAACCGGGAGGAGGACTCCCAAAAGTGGCGGACTCGGCAGGCGTGGACGGGGCATCGTCTTCTGGAGTATAAGATGGTTGATAATCTTCCGGTCGAGATCCTAGCTGGACGGGTTCCTGAACGGATTCACCATCCTCATCAAAATAATCTCCCAGCCCAACCACTTGCGGGACCTTGCTGCGTAGTGATCTGATGGTGATTGCAGAACTGGTCGTTCGATAATAAACCAACAAGCTAAGGATAGTTGCCAGCGCGATAAACACCGCAGCACGCTTCCCCTGGATCATGATCGAGGAATCTGTAGGGTATTGAAATCCGTAAGGAAATCATTCGATATCTCTAGTCGCAAGTTTCTCTATGTTTGGATTGCAGCAGTCCGTCGGGGCCTCTGAGACGCGGCGTTTGAGAACAACAACTTTTCGCGGCGTCGTTTGATAACGAATGGTGAATAAAGCGCTTTTGATCTGCTCCGTTTCCCAGGTCTTCAATCGCTGGTGCGCGCCGAACGCTGGATCTGTTGAGGGACAAAAATTCACGGCAAACGTCCGTGCCCAAAAAGAAAGAACTTCAAGCAGAAGATTGTTCTCATTCAGCCCTCAGGTTCCGTGTACCCTCGTGAAAGTGACAAGAAGCAAGGGAAAAACAAGATCAAAGACCGTGGTTGCTTCTTAAGCCTAGGATTCGTCCGCCAACGACTTGAATCCATCTTTATTTTTGGACTCGTCTTCACAACAAAGTGAATCCCTTGATCTACGTAAGCAGATGCATACAGCAGGCAACTCTGGGCACTGAGGCCCCACAGATCGTTGGTCGATGAAACAAGCCAGGCTGTGCCGACCGCGACCCTGTGGCCTGTGAGGATGACGAGTACAGCTTCTCGTTCGGTCGATTCGCTAGCCGGATCTCCAGCCTGAAGTCCCTATCATGCCTGTCAAGGGTGCCGGGAATCAGGGGACTGGCCCCGAGCGCCCTCCATGCTCTCAGGTACTCAGGCACAAGCTGTCACTTTTGCTGTCAACAAAACATACCAGCTCGTGAGCCTCAAGCCACAAAAACTTGAAGGCGGTGTCACCGGTAGGAAAAGTTATCCAGCTACTCGGTAAGGTACACAATTGGTATTTGTCTTGTGGTACTGTCCAAACCTCGATAACCTGCGCGTCCCTCCCCCCGCCGTACTTATACTCCGTGATAGCTTTTAATGGCTCTCTTAATCGTCGCTCGCACCTGTATTCGTCCATATTGGCCTGTAACTATTTCCCTTGAATACATGTCTTTCCCAAAAACTGTCCTGTGTCAAAATATCTACGTCAGAGAAAAAGCTGCACATCACCCTTAAAAGCATGTTATCCAATCCTCAAGCTCGTGAAGCTACCACTTCCGATACTTCCGCCACCATTGGCCTCATAATGATGGCCTTGTCCATTCTGCGACGAAGCGAATGTTCTCTGTCCATTCGCAGATAACCTTGAATCTCTCTCTGGTGTTGCTACTGATGGTGGTAGACGCCCAGCGGCAGTTGGCCATCTTTCAGTGCTGCTCTGTTCGTCATCAACAATCACCACCATCCACACCCCGATCTGATTCTGAAGACCAACAAGTGGCGTGCAGTGAATCCATTTGTTTTTCCCTTGTTCGTCGCCACGGCTAATCCACCGGACTTTCGCAGTTACGCCTCGACCTTCAGCGAACGCCACTGTAAGCTCTTCCAGAACGCGATTCGAGCCTCCGATCTTGTTCAGGAAGGGTGATTGCAATATACCCGGTAAACGCTGGGCGGGACTAGCAAAAATAATTCGAAGTGAAGGGTACGGTCTGACAAGAAGGTACTGCAGGAAGATCAGTGTTGATTTTTTGGCGGTAGAATGCATCTTGACTCACATTTTGATATACACCGCTGAGGCGTCCATTCACAGTTGCAGAGAGGGGTGCAACTGTGTTGGGATCTTTCAGTAACAGTCGAGGCTGCTGCGAGCTGGTGCTCTCAATGTCCTCTTCGGCGACTTCACGATGCATCTTTCCCCCGTGGCGTTTGATGATGTTCAACTCGCCTTGGTTCAACATCTCACTCAACTCCCGAAGCTCATCGTTCTTCTCGGGGTTTGGCTGTTCTGGCGCAGGCGGGTCTTCGCCCCGAGCCCGTAGGTCCATGAGTTTCTGCAAAGAGTCCATCTCCGAGCAATGCTTGACTAGTCCACTGACGTCTACCTGCGCTCCGATGTGATATCGGATGATCCCACGACTGTCCGCCAGCGGCGCGATCATGAGCAAGTTGACGAATGGTGAGCCATCACGGCGACTGGGAATTGTCAGTCAGCGCGCATATTCCCACACTGCGCATTTCGACTTACTAATTCAAAAAGACCTCCTGATGCTGTTTGCCCGCCTTGACCGCATCACGTAGTCTGCGAACGCTCTCCGGGTTGGTCCCGGGCCCTTGTAGAAACCTGCAATTCCGACCCAGAACATATCCCATGCCGTATTGCGTCGTCCGATTGAACTCGTCCGAAGCAAAAACGATAGGGTTATCTGGCCGCGAGGGGTCTGTCAAACAGAACACTTCGGCAAGTCCATCCGAAGCGTCTCTCAGATGCGGCGACAAAGCCCCCGTAATCCTGGCCGTGATACTGGCACTGACAATCTGTATGTACTGGTGCGTGACAAAAGCAGGCAACTCCTCCGTCACCAGCACATCGAAAGCCCGATGTGCTCTGTCTTCCAACGCCAGATTTATCGTAGGTTTGACCGGTTTTTGTGTAAAGTCGTGACCCTCCACGGGATCCAGGCCTTCGCAGATGGCATTGGCGTAGTGGATGGCTCTCAGGGATTTGAGGGAGTCGAGGTAGTGTACGAGGATCGGCACCGACTGCGGCCTGTGGGCGCCGAGGAAGGAGGTAAACTTGAGGAGTAGCGTCGGGTCTGCGAATATGACTTGCAGGTGGCTCCTGGAGAACAACGCCTGCGTCTGGTCTTCCAGCGAGAATGTGTCGGTTTGCTCTGCAGGCGGCGGAGACACCAGATTGAACGAGGCGGGATCGTCTTCGGTCACCAGATCATACGAATCGCCGTTGTCTAATTCCCCAATCGCTTGTAGTTTTGGCAACTCTTTTGTCGCAGTCTGTCCCGCCACGACGCCGTTCAATCTCGACGAAGCTACTGACGAAGACATTGCGTCTTCTGCGTCCTCGTCTTCTCGCTGTCGCAGGAGGGCATCGGTCGAGTAGTTTACAGGAGGGTCACTGGTCGTCGAGGAGACTGGACGCTGCTGCGACTGGTGCGAAGGAGGAGGAGGGTGTTCACTGGTGGCATTGTTATGATCGTGTAGAGAAGAAAGATCGAGTGACCCAGTTTCAGCCGTGGACATGGTCATCACGATTGGGGAGGTGGTTTTGTGGCTTTTATACGGTATCCGTACGGAAGTCGTCGTGTCAGTGGCTTTTGGGATCGACACACACACGGGCAAGACAGGGTGTAGTCGGGGAACGAATGAGGCTTTGGCGTTAGTCGCATCTGAATCGTTTTAGATGCAAAACCGGGGGGGAAGATTGGAACAGGAACAAGCCAGAGATCGGCGAATCCACCACCATGATATTATTGTACTTGTACTCCGTATATTGGATTCGTATCGAGAGTGACGGAGCCAGCTCAGATACTCCGTAGTGGGTGAGGATAATGGTTGGCTTCCGTAACTTCGGAAACGTCTCGATCCAAGATCAGGGCACTCTGTTTCTCAAGATGGAATGGAAAAGAACATCCAAAAAAAGCACCACGTCAATGATTGTTGCTAAGGCTGCGCCGCCATGCGCCCTCGGTAAGATACAAATGACCACATTGGAGCTCGATGGCGGGCGCCATTGCATGCAGGTACCAGCAACCATTGCTAGATTAGTGTCTCGAAGCTCGTACTGTACGGAGTACTGCCCTGTTCATTACCCTTGCGATGTTGGATGTCTTTGGATCTCTCCCGAGTTTCTCGTACTCCGTATACGAGTACGAGTAGAAACCGGAAATCTATCTGCCTGACCTTAAGGCAACCCAAAAAAGTCTCTTCGCGATCTGAACATGCATCTGGTCAAATACTGTAACAAAAAGTGGCAGTCATGATCGGCCAGGAATCGCCACATTTCGCGCCCATCAAATCCTCCACAACTGATTTTGACGTCACTTGAGCTTTACTTTTCTGGCCGTTATTACTCCTTACGCGACGACTGCGCGCGATACCCGTGTAGCAATCAGCCAACTACCCGTGAGGATGGTGTTGATGTTCTCGTACTACGCTTCACGGAGTTCTTAAGTGTCTATTCCTACTCGTACCTTTTCCATGTCAAATCCCAGAAATCATGTCTCTTGACATTGAAGCACAGCGTCTTCAAAATCTACAACAAAAGCAAAAATTGCTGGAAGAATTAGATTTACACTCACACAGCAGCACTACTAAACCAGTCAAATCAAGACCGGAGATCAAACCATCCTCGAAGAAGAAACGTCGTGACTTGAACCCGATCGTGAGAAGTCGTACGTCCGCCAGACTCGCAGCGACAACCAAAAAGGTATCTTCCTACAAGGAGGACATCGACGATGAGGACGATGTAAAACGATCCATCAAATCCAAGTCTAATTCTAGACCCAAAACATCACCAACCTCACTTCGTCGACAATCAAGTCCGTCAATACTCACCGAGTCACCATCTCCTCCTGGATCTACATACGCAGACCTACCAACTCTCTTGAACAAATACAATTCCTGGACTCCCCTGCCTCCTCCACCGACTCAATCACCAGACGGGACATATCACTTCCAATCCCATCCAACGTTCAAACCCAACAAATCTCCACTCTCGATCCTCCTAGAGGGTGCCTTTGGCGGTTCATATTTCGGTCCTTGGTATTGTCGCACCTTGCACCTGACCTTGGAGGGGGACCACATTCACACACTCCCACCTTCTTGGTTGGCCCAGTTAGACCCTCCGACCAAATACCTGATCTCTGGGTCATATGACGCCGGTCTGAACAAACACGGCGTATCTTGTGGTCAGACACTCACCGAATGGGAGTCGGCCGGTTGGATCAATTTCGACCATGACCCTCGGGGTTGGTTCGAATGGTACATTCGTTTTTTCCTCGGTAGACGACTCGACGACGGCGAAGACGAACGTCAGATAGGTCGTTGGTCACGTTGCGTCGGTCCCAAGGGACGTTGGAAACGTGTGTTGCTCAAAAAATACGTCCAGGCAGGTGTACGTAGTGTATTTGATGATGACGATACCGAGGAAGAAAACAGAGTCAGTCCTGTGATACATCAAACTTGTCATCATTGGGCTTATCAAGTTACACAAGAAGATCTGGATGAAGCATGGAGAGAATACGGTGGTGGTGGCCGTTGATTTGATCCACGATTAGATAGATGAATACAGATCATGAGGAGCTAGGTACGTGCAGAACGATTGTCCTTTTCATAATTGCAGAACGTCGGCGAGGCAAGTTCCTTTTGATACGAGTACTGCTGTATAGTGACGACCACGATGACAGACAATGATGATGACTAGTGTAAGCAAGAACAAAAATGCGACAGGCAAAAGAAAACGTCAAGGATCTCGTATTGACAATCATACTCTTCTATCGACCTTCTCGTCCCCTTTCTTTCTGTCAAAGAAAGTCCCATTTTCCGTTCCATTATACCCTCCATTAAACATACCAGCCTAGTCATCCCTCATCGCGTGCTCCCTCTTTGGTATTTTGTAGTTCTCAACCGAGGGTTAGAGGTGCACCCCTTGTTTTTTCTATTTTCTTTTTTGGTCGTGGTTCATCATGATAAAATTATCCGTCAAAATTGGTGGCCGTGGTACTTTTCTTCCCATTCACAACCAAAAAAAAGACGGTGTAGAAAACTAGGGCAAAAACAGAGTGGTCCTCCCATCATCCTCATTCATGACATTCCTTGCGGTCCCTGAATAGTGATTCCTTCCTTCCTTCCCATAGAGGCACATCACTTTCCCATCAAGTTCTGTTGTTTGTTTGTATTTTTGATGGCTCGCAGATGATATCGTCGACACGGACAAACAACAGTGTCCCCACACCATATATGAACCCAGGTTTTTAGGGTGGATGGTTGGGGATCAATGGTCGACGGCCAACGGTTCGTCATGCGCCAACCTGAATCGAACTCGTCGCAGGTGCCGTCACAGGTCTCTTCCTCACGGCATGCTGATCCAAAATCCTATCCCAAGTCAAGGTGTTGAAATGGATAGATGGCACCGACATTGCGTCGTTGAGTTGGTCGCGGTCGTGATCGTGATCGTGGTCGTGGTCGTGGTCGTGGTCGTGGTCGTGGTCGGAACTTCTCATCGTGCTCGGGCTGGTACTCGCGCCGTGGTGAGCCACAACTCTAATCATATCCGCAGATACCGGCGTGAGTGAAGACGTCCTCTTTCCTACGGTCGGTCTACCACCTTCGATATTGAGACTGTGCGTCGACCTCAGTATCTCCTGCAATGTGCAGATCGTGTCGTCCGCGGGCGTGGTGGGGGCGAGTTCGTCGCTGTCGCTGTCACGGCTACTCTTCTTCGACCAGTTGCTGTTCGCCGAGGCCGAGGATGATTCGCGAGACATTTCCGGTGGCGTTGAAGGCTCGTCTTCGAGGATGGGGACAGAAGCAGCACCTTGTTGAGCAGTGGGACTCTCGCCTGCGCTGGCGGCGTCGAGTTCGTGCACCTCGTGGCCGACCAGCTCTTGTGGTTCGGGGAACTCCTCCCTGATGAGATCATGATTCGCTTCTGGTTCAGCCGTAAGCTCAGATGCTACCATTTTTGTAGCCATGGTTTCCCGGTTGATCTCGTTCAAGCCATTGCCGTAGCCTTCGACGTAGATCTGGCAGAATGCCGGCCGTTTAATGGTTGGCATCGGCTCCGGTGTGGTGCGCGACCTTCTCGACATCAGTCTTCTCAAAGATGATGACCGCGAGCTTGGGGGAGTCTTGGTCATCATCCAAGGCGCCCCCGCCAAAGCTCCTTCAAGCTGGGCGGGAAGTGTACGTCGACGAGCCTTGAACGACCTCCCTCGCGAAATCATCTCCTCGATGACTGGTGAAGCAGAGGCGGATGTATTTGTGTGAGAATAGCTCTGGTCCGGCACCAACTCCACTTGGGAGACACTAGCGGTCATCGAGCGGAGCATGGGACGTTGTGCTCCTTGCCATGGTAGCTGCTTGGGAGGATGGCAACAGAGCGAGTAAGTCAACCCGCGCGTGTTACGGACCTGCTTTGGAGCATGCATCACGCCGTGAAACACTTGTAGAATTGCGTAGACAAGCATCCATCGCACTTTTCGCCCTTCTGTGATCGGGAGTCCCTCGAGGTCATCGTCAACAGTCTGTTGCTCATACTCAGAAAACTTCCTGACCACTTCGGAATTCATGACCAGCACATCCCTATTAGAAGCAGCAACCAAAGCTTGCTTGTCACGTTGTTTTCGAGCCTCCCTGTCGACCTTTCTCTTCTGTATCGGGTTCCAGGACTTTCTTCGCTGCGTCTTTGAGCGCTGGCTCGAGACGGACTCCAGCGCAGTTGGCATTAGTGGAAGCGGTTGCGCCAGAGGTTCAAAATCATGCTTTGCGTCAAATGCCTGGATGTTTTGTATCGTGCACATCCCTCCAGTCTTGCTGATGTCGGTCTCTTCCATACCTGGAGCGGAGTTCGGGTCAACCAGGTGCTGATAAAGGTTCTGGAAGTCACTGAATATCGCCGCATACACCGTTTGTTTGACCGAATCCTCTTCAAAGTCCGAAGGCGGCCATGAACCGTAACGCTCCACGTATATTTTCTTGAAGAAGGCGCGGGTCCTGTTCAAGTGGTCCTTTGCTGTCTGGGGCAGTCCCAGGAAGCTGTCAGAGATTTCGTCCTCAAAGAAGTCTACTAATGCTTCGTCCACATTCTGCAGACGAGTGTCCATTTCAGTTCTTGCGTGGCTGATGAGAGACTTGGCCCTCGAGCTGACCATCTGCGAACTCGTTAGTTTCGACCCTGAAGGATGGTGACCAGGTAGATACTAACCGCGTACTCGATACTCGAGCGTAGACCACGATGGCTCATACCCACACAATGGGAGAAGGCATCAACCCAGAGATCTTCAATCCTAAGGTTCTCGGCCAGATGAAGCGCTGCCAGGGAATGGTCGACACATTCCCTGAAGTCCAGATACCTCTGATTCTCGGCGTAAGATACAACTTCGAGCTTGTTCTGCGAGCTATCATCGGCGCGGTAGTCATCTATCCTCTTCTTCAGCTCGACCAGCGCTTTGCCCAGTGTCCTTCCAGCCAACGGTCGATTGTATAGCCATGCGAAGAAGTTCCTGGTAGTGACATGGTGATCAAATGTTTCCTCGAGTCCGGATCCATACGGTGCTGGGATATACAATTCGAGAAGCGACTGCTCGGGGTCACAACCTGGACAATTTGGTAGGACGCATTGGCTCGCCGCATGAATCGAGTTCCTGACTACACAACGCTCGACCAAAGACTCGAATCCCTTGACTCTGAGGAATGCCGTGTGTACCCGGAAAGCTGGTCCTCTGCTGGACTGGCCAGGTTCACGTAGATAGACCAGACAATCTCCTGTAGGCCAGCACAGCTCTGGTTCCTGGCCGACAAATGAGCACCACGCAACTGAAGATGGAATAGATACTTACATGAAAGACATTGATCCAGTCAGTCGTGATTCTCAATCGACCATCCCACCTTCTCAGCCCAGCTGATCGAATATCCTCAAAAGTCACTCGACCTGCAGCACGCCTCATGGTTTTTTACCTCCTCGGCAAGAACTGGTCAAGTAATGACTCTCGAGATTTGAAAGGATGTCGTAGCCGGCTGTCGGGGGGCAAATGTAGCTAGCTATGTTTCATGCCTGCACGAAGAAGGCTGGAATGGAAATGGGAGTGGATGGGAATTGGATATCCAGGAATGCAAAGACAGGACCGTGCTTTTTTCCTGTCGGTGAATGGGCAGGTTGCCTGGTATCTGTACAGGACACAGATGTCAAAAGGCAGCCCAGCTGTGAAAATGAACAGGGGGGGCCTCGACCCAAGTTATGAGGATTTCTGGCAACCGCGTGCGTGGGTTCAAGAGAAAAAAAGACGATCGATTGACAAGGGTCGAGGGGAGGGGGACAGCACTTCTTGGGTCAAGCCTTGGGTCGCAAGAAGCGGAGTAAACGTCAATCAACTCTCTGTCTCTATCTTCAGAGCTAGATGCGTTCCAACACCCAGGTTTGGTTGGACGAGGTGCGTCGTTCCCCTCTTACACGGTGGCTTGCTCTCGCATCTCGGGGGCCAGTGGGCAACGACAGAAGCGATGAGGAGGAGTGGTTTGAAAGAGGCTGGTCAAGTTTTAGGACAAGGACGTGCAGCGAGGCAAAAGGCTCGCCATGGCAGCAGCAAGTCAGGCAGGGCAGGGGCGTGAGGATCTCTAGCATGGGACTGCGTGGGAAAAATAATGGCGCTTGAAGTGTGCCAGGACGACGACGAACGATAGCAAGTGTGGATGTTTTCGAGGTCCGGTGGCACCCAGTAAGAAGGCGGGTGCCTGTCAACGACGAGGTCTGACGTGAAAGACTGACAGCACGGCGACAACAAGATGGCCTGTCAATCAATCAAGCACAGGGGATGGTTGATCCGTCATGCGTGCTTTTAGTGTCTGGATGGTCAATGCCCGAGATCGTCGCCCCGTCATCCAAAGTCCGGGCGGACGGTGTCGCAGATCCACCGCTTTTTGATGGTCCAGAGTCAAAAAAGTCCGATGACAAGGGGGAGGAGAAGGTGATGGGTGCGAGAGAATAGCAACCTCAAGGTCAGGCACCTAACACAAAGGGCCAACAAGGAATAGCCAAGGGGAGTTTTGGCTGCAAGGGAGAATTTTAAGAGGTCACACAAAGAAGCCACCGCCGTCGACCAGTCCGTGTACTACCACCCTCGATTTGATGAAAGCCACCCGAGCTACGGTGACTCGTAAAACTGTCCCGTACTGAGAGATGGGATGATGGAGATGGGCCACTGAAAGGGTGATGCCGGTGACGGGGTTTGATGGGTTGATGGACAGATCTTCCCTTGTCTCCATAGGGACGTACAGAGTACAGTATGTCTACCCACATTTTACTGCCGTAACTTCGGTTGCGATGCGAGAGCTTCACAGATACCAGGACAGGCTATGCAGGGAGCATGGATGGAGTATCTGCTCCGTACAGCTACGATCATCATTGCCCAGGCAAAATACGGAGTAGTTCACTTCTCTCGTACGGAATACTCGTAGTTAAATTGTGGCTGGCTCAAACTGACGCTGTTGCCCGCCTATCTCGACATCTCTCGTTCGCTTAACAGATGACGGTTACCAAGTCAGCCTCACTCAAGGGCCAACACATGCCTATCGCGCAGCTGCACCTACTCCTAAACTATCCCTTTCTCAAACCAGACACTGATCCATCATTGCCATTTTCAGTCGCTTTTCGCTTACGCCCATGCACTGCACCCATCTCATCAACCGAAGATCGACACCCTCAATCACCATTACTCGTACCCGGCGCCTTGTAATCTGAATTGTAGGCGTTGCGAAGAGACGAGAAGCCTCCTCATCCTCTTCACGCTATACCGGATCCTCTTCCTGAGACCTTTCGTGCTACCTGACCGCAAGATTCAATTACGCAATATTAGAATAATTCTTACAGGACTCCGGAGTCTTGGTTCAATCCACGATAACCGTACACGTTTCTCGTTTTCGTGTCAGATTGTAGGCGAAACGCGGTGCCAGCCAACTAAATAACTGGACCGACTGGTTGGGAAGGGAAGAAATCCTTCTAGCCAAGTAAAAATAATATCTTCGTATTTCATGTATTTTATCTGTAGACTGAATAAATAAATTGGCCATTATTGACGACATGGTCTCAAAATCTAAGACAAGGATCTAGAACTCCTTTGGTCGGGCGGAGGCTTTTGCTGTGCTGTGCCTCGCTTTTGCCTTTGCCCTACATTGCATTGCAATCCCAGACACCCATGACTGATGTTCTACGGGGGTACTTTTAACCCTCCACTTCGTAGTACTCGGACTTTTGAGGGGTAGGAGAGGCAAAAATGCAGCCCAAGGTTCAGCAAGCCACAAACGGATGATCTTCCCATGTCCGGGTCTAAGGATTTACAAATCCTCCACGAATACTCCGTACAGCGCGTGCATGATATTGGGAGCGTGCGGCGAAGACTGGGGCAGGGAAATATGCCCACCACAAACCTGATCACATTGATGTCGAAGATCCTGATCGTAGGTCGTCGGTCGGTCGGGTTGTACGTACCCCGTCCATACAAGCCTCCGAAAATCATGTCAACAATCAAGTACCACGCAGGGTCGATTGCATGTTTGAATGCAAGGGTCCGGAAGAGTAGAGCAGTGAACCGTTAGGCGTCAAAGAGCGGTAAGTGCCGGGAAGTGCTGGATGCTGAATTCCGTCCTCCGTGCCCGTGGTTTTTTGACGCCGATGTGTAGACCGCGTGCCTCAGATAACCCATGCGCTGGCAAATTTTTTGTCAAGAAATGATAAGAACAGCCGGACACCCCGTAGGTCTTGTAAGGCGTGGCGGCAAATGTGAGTCTCTACTGGTACCATCGTCGGAGGATATTATTATCAGAGTAGCACGGGGTGGGCCTCCTGAGTGTGATGAACCTGGCAGACACACGAATAACAAGCCTTAAGGTCTTGTGGCAAATCATCGATGATCTGTCTGGGTCGTCCTACACTCGGTCACTTCTGACATTAAGCACGTAGCCTTACACCCCAATGGTAGGGAGTGCTCTTTGCCCAGCACCAACACACCCAAATTGATACCTCGCTAAGCTACCTCTTGCAGCAAATAAGCCGACAATGGCGGAGAGCTTTTGGTGTAGATAGTCGTGAGCTTGAGGTTAGAGAATGGCCATCCCAGCGGCCTGGCTTTACAGGTAGCCAGGCATTGCAGATAGACTGGTGGCATATTGGCATAAGTCGCACTCGTGCAGGCATGGACTCACTCGTATAGCGAAGTATGCGGGATGTCGGCACCTATACGTGCTCATAATCTGAGATGTGCCGTTGAATCTCATTCTTGTTGCGTAAACTCATTAGACATCTAGGCCATCTTTTCGGGTAGAGAGAGCGCAGCTGATGAAGGGTCAAAAGTAATCGTCATCCATAGACAGGGTGAGGCCATACGACTCCAGCGAGTCTGAAAATCCCATCCACGGATTGAATATGAGCTGCATGCTGTTCTGTGCCTCGTCGCGGCTATGGTTGCCACGCTGGGTCGTGGGGTTCATTGTATCCTGCATTTGACCTGCCATCTCGGCCTGGGACAATAGGAATGGCGCATCGATCGTCTTCGTTCTCTGCGTCACTGTCCTTTGGGGACGTTGCTGGCCTTGCGCGGAAGGTGACCCTGATAGCGTATCATGGTCCAAGACTGGAGATGTCCCATGTATCGATAGTGTGGGTGGCATCGCGCCCAGTTGAAATTCGACGTTGGGACGAGCGCCACCGGACGTAGTCACGCCGTCATCGTCGTCGTCCTTGTCAAGGTTGGCTTGCCGGATTAAGCTGTGAATGGCAAGCTGTTGACGGATTCTCACTTGTGAAGCTTCATTGTCAGGGGGAGGAATCTCCATATGCTGTTGGAGTCGGTCGCTGTTTCCCGGCTGTGCAGCGCACGATTGTGTGATGAGAACATCAAGATCCGTGATCTAAAAAGTCAATATGTCAGCGGAAATGCTCCACGGACCATATTCATCCAGGAGAGACTGACAATAGGTTTCGCCATTGGAATATCTGCGAAGAACTTCTTGAGGATGGTCTGGCAGAGCCGTGCCATCTGTATTGCATCTGATTTCGAACTGTGTGTAGATTGATCGCTCCCTCCGATGAAAAGTATCAATCGTACACTGTGGTATGCGCAGATAGCCGTATCAAAGTCAACAACCTGAGCGGCGCAACCCTCGGAGAACTCGGTGAGAAGACGGACGATCGCCATAGCGTGTTGCAAACATAGAGATTGTCGCTCGTAGATCTCCTGTGGGTCGATTTCTTGCAACATGGATGGTGGTGCGGCTTCGTGATAGCCCGCTAAGAATGTCCGATAAAGGTCACAATACGCTTGGTGCCACGACAGATGCACCAAAAGTAGGCGCACGGGTTCGGTGGAATGAAGAAACAGGCCCGGAGAATAGTGATTAGAATCTCCTAAGCTCTGATAAAACTGTTGCAATTCATCTTCATATTGGCGAATGGTGTGCATCAGTTCAACAATCCCGATGCATGGTGGATTAAGTCTCCGAGTCAATCTTATCACAAGTCAGTATCCTTAGAGTACCATGATCTGGAGCGGTGGGGTTAAATCCCTACTTCATGATATCTTTTCGGATGAATCTGATGCGCATAGCCGCAGCAAGCAAGCTGAGCAGTTCGACAGAAGCTACAGAAGTTGACCGGAGTGGTGCTGTGACCGTTAAAGTGCCGTCTCGGAAAGCATGTTCAGGACACGGAAGCTGGATTTGAACCACCTCTTGGGGGCACGTTTCATACTCTCTCATTCCGACCGAGAACTGGCCATCGAGCAAGGCGCATGACCACATCAGCCTTCGACGCGTCTCTTGTGCGAGGAAATGGAGATCAGGCCTTTCCTGGCTGAGATGCAAAGCTACTGCAGCCCTTACCGTGAGTGGAGTTAGCATGAACGCCTTGGAAAAGCGGCCAGTATCGATCATGTATCGAATGATGAGTACCAAAGCCTGGAGTCGAGGTATAGAAGGGAGTTCAAGGTTATGCATCAAGTCATTCTCCGCCCATTCGCCCCACAAGGAAACCATTTCTGGGTAGTATGGCTGGAGTCTTAGGCGTTGGGCGGTGAGTGCACACAATGCCAGGATCAGGCAGGGCTGCACGGAGCCCTCCAGGTACCTTTTGACCAGAGACTTCTGGTGCAGAAACGCGTACTCGGGCAGCGGGTAGAGGTGGTCGAAGTAAGCCTCGATCAAAGTCATAACTGTGTGACAATCCGGCATGGCGGGCTGCCCGGAGTCCAGATTTTTCTCTGGCTCGAGATCGGGCTGGAGGCATGTTGCAGTAGATTCTTCTTCTGCATAATCATCCTGGGCAGACGATTGTACAGGAGGCGTCACTTCAGGCTTCTTCAGGCCAGTATAAGTGCAATGATACTTTCGTCGAACACAGTTTGCACATGCTGGAATCTCGCCCTGGCAGCGAATTTTCAATGACCTACAACGAGTGCATGCTAGAGCCACTCGCCTTTTCTCCAGCGGCACACTTAAAGACTGTTTCAGTCTTCTGTTCTTGGAGGTATCATCTGGCGAGCGTTGGAACGAACAATCAAATCTGAGCCGTTTGCAATTTGCGCAGAAGTCGGGCCGTCCATCGCATCGGACCTGGAATGAGCGTCAGTTGAGATGCAATCCATTCATACCAACACTTACCTTTCGGATCCTGCACTGGACACAGGTCTTCTTAGGAGTAGTGGAAGTGGCCGGCGAATTCACCATGAGTGGCGGCAGATCTTAGTCGGTGGCAAGACAGGTGAAGCACGGCCACAGTGCTGTAGTTACGGATGACAGGGGGCTGGCTGGTCGTGACAAGTGGTCGCTGGATGATGTATCCTGTCGTAGAAGTTGAGATATCGAAGTATGAACCATGGGAGCCTTTGTAGTTGAAAGAAGGATGTTCGACTTTGACGTTTCCATGACAAAACCATTGCCGGGAACGAAGTATGTTTGCCGAGTACGAATGCATTTACCATATTTCCCTGGCCTCGTCCATGCCCCACTCACCACCTCTGACATGGCTTGTAGCCATTTCAAGGTGGTCTAATGAACAAGAAGAAGGCTTAAATAAGGGCATCTTGGTCAGTTAACGGGTATAATCTTGCTGGGTCTTGCTTAGGCTATCATACTTTGGAGCCGCGTCTAGTATCATACACATATTCCAGAGAAGTACCTAGTCCTATGTCTACAACTAAATGACAACCAACACATCTGATTTACAACGCCACTTTGCTTGTTCCATTTGCAATTGGTGGCAGAGGCGGATGTACGGGCTCATCACCTATCTCAGCCATCTTGTCCTCCAGTAGCTTTGTCATTTTCCGAACCACGTCAGCGTACTTGGGATCATCATAGCAATTGAACAGCTCAAGAGGATCCTCTTGGCAGTCGAATAGTTCCCATTCCTTAGGCTGGCCGCCGGCGCGGGTGCCCTCGATCCCAAAGCCCTCATTGTACCAATAAATTAATTTATAACGCTGGTCGCGGACGCCATAGTGAGCATAAGCCTCGTGGATGATGTCGCGGTGCATCCAGTAGCGGTGGTAAGCGACTTGCTGCCAGTCTGTAGGGGTTGAACCTTGTAGTAGTGGCCGTACGCTCACGCCCTGCATATAGGTAGGTTGACGGACCCCAGCATAGTCCAACCACGTCGGGGCGAAGTCGACGTTACAGATGATGTCGTCGCATACCGTGCCCGGCTTGATCTCGCGCGGATACTTTATCAGGAAAGGCATTTGGAAACTTTCCTCGTACATGAAGCGTTTGTCAAACCAGCCATGTTCACCGAGAAAGAAGCCCTGGTCTGAGGTATAAATGACGATGGTGTTGTCTGTCAAGTTCTCCTCGTCAAGCCAGTCGAGCATGCGGCCTACGTTGTCGTCGATACTCTGTATCGTACGTAGATATCGCTGCATATATCGCTGAAACTTGAACTCGGTCAATTCGGCCTTTGACTTGAACGTGAAGACAGTGCCGTCATCTTTGTCGATGAGCTTGAGTTTGGAGACATCGTCAGGTGCGGGCACTTTTCTCTCTTTGAACCACCATTTTGGCAAGAGCTTGGTGCCGACACTGTCACCACCGTCCGGCTGCACTAGACCAAGGTCGTGATACGTCAGGTCCTCTTCGACGCGCATCTTGGCTACCTTTGCAGCCCGTGCCCGGTTCTTATAGTCGTCGGTGAAGGTATCTGGCAGGCGGACTGGGTCTTTGTAGAGATGTTTGTGCTTCTCGTCGCATTCCCACGACCTGTGGGGCGCTTTATGATGGCACATCAAAAAGAACGGCCGTCTTGAATCACGTTTCTTCATCCAGTCGATACTCTTATCTGTGATGATATCTGTGGCATAGCCCGGCTCAACCTCGATGCCGCTTGGCTCGATGAACTCGGGGTCATAATATTCACCCTGGCCAGGAACCACAGACCAGAAGTCGAATCCAGTCGGCTCATGATCTTCTCCTTCGCCCAAATGCCACTTACCTACCATGGCGGTTTGGTAGCCTCCAGTGCGCAGGTGTTTTGCCACGTTGGGGATATACTTGTTGATCTTGCTGTCCAGAGTCATCACTCCATTCACGTGGTTATGTGTCCCCGTGAGAATTGCAGCCCTCGATGGGGTGCAGATGGAGTTAGTGACATAGCAATGATTGAACTTCATTCCCTCGGTCGCCAACCGGTCCAGGTTGGGCGTGTGGTTGATCCCAGCGCCATAACAGCTGATTGACTTTGCCGCGTGGTCATCAGCCATGATGAAGATGATATTGGGCCGGTTGTCCATGGTGTCCGACGTTTGTTGCGAGGATTGCGAAAACGTCGAGTCCAGGTTATCGTTGATGAGCATCGTCCTCGATGTATTCAAGAGAAAGGTGCCAGTTGTAAACAGAACTCGTGCTTGTCCACATTATTTGACTTGAGATCATGGGGAGTTTTCTTGGGACAAACGTCAACGGGAGTCGGTGGTGGGTACGGCAATCGGTCGTCGGTGTCACACACACTCTCTCCACAACGGGGTGCCGTCTACAGAAAGTTGAACCCCTTCCAAGGCCCATGTTGCTGATTGCTCCACAAACAGACCCTAGAATGAGGCGAACACGCGAATAAACTCTTCCGAACCAAACGCGTATCATAAAGTCCCTGGAAGTGGAGAGCGCAACACCGAGGCTCGCGCGTCACATCTGCTGTATCGTAAGATGGAAGATCGCTCGTCGGGCCCGAGGCAGCGTAAGTCCCGACACTCGTAGACCAGACAGAATGTTCTGTGAAAAATAAATAACTGTTGAAGAATTTGGCGTAGGCACAATTCCTCGAAACAACCTGCTGCGTGCTTCAGAGTCGGCTGAAATATTCTATCGTGCCCTTGTTCAGAGATGTCTCGCAAGCCAAATTTCCTCATCGTTGTCGCAGATGACTTGGGATTCAGCGACACCTCTCCTTATGGGTCTGAAATTGCCACCCCAACCCTAGATCGCCTCGCGCGTGAGGGATTCACAATGACCGGCTTTCACACGGCATCTGCTTGTTCTCCTACTCGGTCGATGCTCTTCTCCGGAACAGACAACCACATAGCTGGGCTTGGTCAGATGGCTGAGTACATGCGCAGTCGACCTGAGCTATATAAAGATCGACCCGGATATGAGGGATACCTGAACTGGAGAGTCGCAGCTTTGAGTGAGATCTTGCAGGACGCTGGCTATTTGACAATCATGTCGGGAAAATGGTGAGTTGCAGGTGTATGAAATTTCTGCCGGTGACTCTTGATTAACGCCATGGACCAGGCATCTAGGTCTCAAGAAGGAACTGGCCCCATGTTCGCGAGGATTCAGCAAGGCATTCACTTACCTTGCAGGAGCTGGTAACCACTATAACAACGAACCCCAACTTGACGACACTGTGCCACATCTGCCATCCGTATGGGGCGACGGTCTCTGGATGGAAGGTGACAATTTCCTCGACCGTCACAAGGACTTGCCAAAGGATTTTTATTCCACCAAGTCCTTTACAGACAAATTTATCGATTACCTGGAAAACAGAAGCGAGAAGGAGCGGGAGCAACCCTTCTTCGGGTATTTGGCCTACACAGCACCCCATTGGCCGCTACAGGCCCCCAAGGACGAAATCGCAAAGTACCATGGCCGTTACAACGATGGACCCGAAGCTCTGCGTCTGAAGCGTTTGCACAGCTTGATCCAGAGAGGTCTAGTGCCGTCCGACGTCAAAGCGGCAGAAGTGGTTGGGAAGATGCCCAAGGAATGGGACGAAATGGACGACGCCGAAAGGGCGCAATCGGCACGACGCATGGAGACGTACGCGGCAATGGTCGACTTGATTGACCAAAATCTCGCTCGGGTGGTATCCCACCTCGAGGCTACCGGAGAACTGGACAACACTTTCATCCTGTTCATGTCCGACAATGGCGCTGAGGGCCAGCTCCTCGAGGCTCTCCCGATCATGCGGCAAAACCCCCTCGTGACGATCCAGAGATTCTACGACAACAGCACAGAAAACATAGGAAACGCCAATTCCTTTGTGTGGTACGGCCCCCGATGGGCGTGCGCCGCGACCGCGCCCAGCAGAGGGTACAAGGCTTGGACGACGGAGGGCGGTATCCGCTGTCCCTGCATCATCAGATACCCCAAACTTCAGAGGAGTGCAGGGGCCATCACCCACGAGTTCTGTACCGTCATGGATATCCTACCGACTCTGTTGGACCTCGCCGAGGTCCCTCACCCTGGGAAATCGTTCCGAGGAAGAGACGTCGTCCTCCCTCGAGGTAAATCGTGGGTCCCGTATCTATCCAATTCCGCAGACGCAGCGGTCATCCATGAGGAGGAATCCAGTATTACTGGCTGGGAGCTCTTTGGTCGAAGGGCAATACGCAAGGGGAACTGGAAGGCTGTGTTCATTCCCGCTCCCATGGGACCTGATGAATGGGAGCTTTTCAATTTGGAGGCCGACCTGGGGGAAACGACGAATCTGGCGAAGGACCAACCAAAGATCTTGGAGGAACTACTGGCTCGATATGATGAATACACTGAGGAGGCTGGATTGTACGACCCTGGTACCTTTGTTGGGCCTGCGAAATGATTTATGAGTACCCCCATCGAAGAAAAAGACCACCTTAATGCGTATGGATCTACGAAAGAACAAACCCAGAGAGTCTGAGAGATACCTACTAAAGGCATCATTGAAGTACGACTCGGCTCATACAGCGTGGACTACATGTGAGACGTCTTTTTGATGGTCCAAGTACCCCAGGTGAATAGGTATAGAACGGGTACTATAGTGTGGACTTCAAATGCCGTTCCGAGCGAGGGCGGATGTCGGTTGTGGATACAATTTTTCCTTATGATTACCTCCCACACTCAACCATCTAAAAACCCATGTGGCGTCGTTCCGTGCTCAGTGAACCAATAATAGAACGTTCTAAACCAACTTTCTTTTTCTCATCAAGGATACTCTCCTGCACAGTCAAGACATCCAATGTCGAGACCCTCTTCAAGGATTCAAGAGTATCACAAATATCACAAATATCAGCAGGTGTATGATGGCATCATCCTCCAAGAGTGAGTCTGGTAAGGTATTCGGCGATGCCACCCTAACGGAGGAAAATGTGACCCCAAAATACAAAGACATCGATGTTCCAGTGTCCGAACGGGTGGCCGATCTTTTGTCACGCATGACGTTGGAGGAGAAGGCCGGACAAATGTTCCACGACAAGGTGTTGATGTTCAACGATGCAAACGCCCAGGGGACCAAGAGGGTGATGCCAACGGCGGAAAGCAACATCAAGGACTTGAACATGAGCCATTTTAACCTTCTCGGACCCGTGACGGACGCCCGCGAGACGGCGAAATGGTATAACGATCTCCAATCTTTTGCTTTAACCAAGACGAGACTGGGGATTCCAATAACCATGTCCACGGATCCAAGAAACCACTTTGCCGAAAATATCGGAACCAGCTTCAACGCCGGTACACTGTCCCAGTGGACCGAGATGTTGGGACTTGCGGCTCTGCGCGATGAGAGACTGGTGGAAAAGTTTGGGGATATAGCTCGCCGAGAGTATGTGGCTTTGGGGATTCGTTGCGCCTTGTCACCACAAATCGACCTGGCCACGGAATACCGCTGGGCTCGCATCAATGGTGGGTTTGGAGAAGACGCCGACCTTTCCGGTAAACTGGTCCAGGCACTACTGCGAGGGTTTCAAAATAGTGCCGACGGGAGGATCGGCCGTGACAGCGTGAGCTGTGTCACGAAACATTTCCCCGGGGCAGGACCACAAAAGGACGGAGAGGACGCTCACTTTGTCTACGGCAAAGAACAAATCTACCCGGCCGACCAATTCGAGTACCACCTCCGTCCGTTCCGCAAGGCGATCGAGGCCGGCACTCGCCAGATCATGCCCTACTACAGCAAACCCGTGGGTCTGACGGGTGATGACTTCGGAGAGGAAGAGGTGGGTTTCGGATTCAACAAGGGCATCGTAACAAACCTCTTGCGGGAGGGGTTGGGGTACGAAGGCATCGTCCTGACAGACTGGGGTTTGATCACCGACGCGGTCATCCTGGGTCAGGACATGCCGGCACGGGCCTGGGGATGTGAGGAGCTCGGCGAACTAGAGAGGGTGGTCAAGATCCTCGATGCGGGATGCGACCAGTTTGGCGGCGAGTCGCGACCGGAGCTGGTGGTCGAGGCGGTCCAGAAGGGTCTCGTGGACGAGTCCCGCGTCGACCGATCCGTGGCAAAACTGTTGGCTGAGAAGTTTGAACTGGGCCTGTTTGACAACCCTTTTGTCGACGTCGACGCGGCGGCGCAGATCGTCGGCCATCCAGATTTCGTGCGCGAGGCCGACGCCTCCCAGCGCCGGAGCTACACGCTTCTCGTCAACGGTTGCCACGAGAGAGACGACGGTGCATACGTCCTACCGCTACGGTTGCCCGACTTGGCCGGAAAGAAGATTTACTTGGAGAATGTCGACCCGGGATCGTTCAAGGCAAGATGTTGTCAGTCGGCGGCTGTCCAGGTCGTCTCGACCCCGGCTGAGGCTGACATCGCCCTGATGCGTCTGATGTGTCCGTACGAGCCGAGGCCAGGAGGTTTCGAAGCCAGGTTCCACGCCGGATCGCTGGAATTCAACACGGGAGAAAAATCACGGCAGCGCGAGATATACAACCAAGTACCTGTCAGCATCGTCGACGTCCATCTCGACCGTCCGGCCGTCCTAAGCGATATCGCAACCCAAGCTTCGGCGCTCTTGGTCAGCTACGGAAGCAACACGGCGGCGTTCTTGGATGTCGTCTTTGGCCTGGACGGGTCTGGTCCCGAAGGGCGTCTGCCGTTCGATCTGCCGAGTTCCATGGCCGCCGTGGTTGAAAGTCCATCCGACGCACCGTACAGCACGAGGGATCCCCTATTTCGATTCGGCCATGGCTTACGCTATCGAGGGTGATGGTCGATAGGGGAGACAGATATAGTCAGTCAAAGGCAGTTCCAAAAGGCAGTACAGAGTGACAGTATACTCTATAACAGAATCTATGCATGCCATACAAAGTGGTAACGATGCTCATGTTACTTCCCAAGAGGATAACAATGACAAGGCTGATGCCTCCAATGATGGCACATCCGTCCACCGTCGTTAGATATATTGCAAGATACTGATGATATGCTGTATATAAAGTTTTGGCACCACGCCATCGAAGAGAGTGCACGTCCGACCAGGTACAGATAAACCTCTTTCGAGTCAAGAAGAGGACTACACCCTGTCTTTGTCGGAGAGCATCTCCACATGCTGTGGTTCGATTGCCTTCGAGTCCAGGACACCCATATCTTGCGCATGCTCCGGGTGTCTTTCCATCTCGGTGACCATGGCACCGATACTCTGTGGGTTGGAGCTTACCCAGCTCTTGAACTTCCTGAGGGGAACGCGTTCCTCGAACATCTCGTTGATCTCCTCCAGCGAGCGGCCCGTCAATTCTGGCAGGCAGAAATACCCCCAGACGATACCAAGCACGCCAAAGGCGCCGTAGATGAAGCCCACCTGGGCACCCAGGTCGGCGTGTTGCTTCTGAAAGAGGTATGGGTAGGTGTAGGTCACGAGAAAGTCGCACACGAAGCGGACAAAGTAGGTCACGAACGACGTTTTGTCTCGCAGACGCATGTGAGGGACCTCGGCTCCCGTCACGGCCGAAATGCTACCAAAGGACATGATGTAGAAGAACCCATAAGGGGCGGCGCAGCCGATGATGCCGTCCGCCCGCGTGCCGTTGACGTGGGTGCTTCCGAGCCCTCCTATGGTGAGGAGGAGTGCGGTCATGAGGGTGCCCGCCACGAGATAGATGGGCCGGCGGCCAACACTATCGACGCAGGAAAAGACCACAATCGGGCCAGCAACCGCAATGGAATTGGAGATCACAGTGTAGACGAACGGATCCAACCGGTTGAAGCTCTTCACGAAGAGAGTTCCGTACTGTGACACGAAGCTTTGGCCGGTCAATTGGTTGAAGGCACCGGTAAGGATGGCAATCATCGTCCGACGCTGGGCGGTTTATGTCAGCGCCTTCACCTTAAAAGAAGCAACCAGAAAGGGAGTAACGAAGAAGAAGAAACAGAATAACGGACACAAGGAGGAGGAGGGCTCGAGTCTTACCGTGTTGGAGCCTCTGACAAGATCAATCCACCGACCGTGGAGCTCATTGTCTCTCTCGATGGCCGCTTGGAGCAGAGTTGCTTCCCGTTCGGGGTCGTATCCTTCTGGAGTTCCGTTCAACGTAGTGAGCCACTTGACGGCGGCGGCCTTCTTGCCCCTGCGAACCAACCAACGAGGGCTCTCAGGAATCAGCCAGCAGAACACCAGGGTAAAGGCTGGAAAGGCATAGCAGGCAATCAAGGGGTCCTGCCAGGATGCATTCCCCGGATAAGTCTTGGTGGTGTTGGCGATGAGGGAGCAGATGAGACTTCCGAATACGTGGCTGAAAACATAGGTCACGACCATGGCACCCCTGACCTGTGGCGGCACGATCTCGGCAATGTACATGGGCGCGAGGAAATTGTCCCAACCCACCATGCACTGAACAATCATGCGGCCAGCCAGGATCTGTCCATAGGTCTTCGCGGTGAAGCTGACGCTAATGCCTGTGATTACCACAAACTGCATGGCGATGTAGGAGATGCGGCGGCCCAGTTTCTCTGCCACGAGATATCCGACAAAGGCTCCGACTACTTTGGCCGGAAGCCCCAACGAATTGAGGAGGGCCAGGTTTCTGGCCGAGTAGCTATACTTGTGGGTTTTGTGATTGTATGACCCGAATTGCTTTTGGAAACCTAGCACAGGTACAGTCAGAGTGGGCTCTGGCGAGAGGTAGATGGGGGCGACAGATACGTACTATCCATGGCTTGGGTGGTCGAGTAGACGGAATTGTCGAATCCAAAACTGAAGACGCTGACATTGATGACGAACAAGGCCACGAGGAGTCGCCAGTGTAGACTGCGCAGTTTGGCGAGATCTTTGAGCTGTGCCATGATCAATGAAGGTGAATGGGTAATGGAGGTAGGTATTGGAGGGGTTGAGCATCCAGCATCTGATGTCCCGAGGAGAGTGAAGTTATTATATCTCGCTGGACCCCGTAGGCATTCGTGGGGCCCCAGTTAACGAATTCCCTTCCCGCGTTTTGCTGTCTAGTGTCAGTCAATCACGATGGCGCGAAATTTCCATCAGATGGTCTCATTGCCGACTCCCGCCATACTGGGCCGGGAGTCGGCCAGATCGTACCTCTAGAGGAATGCTTCAGAAGGCATCCTGGACCGTTGCAAAGGCTGGCCAACCATTCCGTCCTTTCAGGTTCTGTAACTACCTTCCTTTGCGCCTATTCACCGGCGTACGTGGAATCGCACTGGCCAAAAGGGGGTCGTGAAGATCGGGAGTCGGTCGTGCTCGCCAAGTTCGCATCCCTGAGCAAGAGAACAAGCGAGCAAGCTGTGGAACAGGTTGACAGAACCATGAACTCATCAAAGACCCCATATCTGCTTCCCACATTCATAGTGTACGCCTGGCAAACGCAGACGGCAATCATGTCGGATACGTCCTTTTGGCCAAATATGACCAGAATGATACCCATGCTGCACACCGGAACCAATGTTGAAGGCGACTAAAGCCTACGATTGAGGAACGACAGAAATCCAGAGCGAGGATTCGTAGAGAGGTTGAGTCTCGTGCATCTTTTCTCTCTACTCCCCCACTGTTCAGTTCATACAGATGACTTAGACCCTTACCAGCAATTGGCTCGTGTTAGAAATGCTTCGTAGCCGGCACTCCTAGGGGCATCGAGTTCTGGTCATTAGAACTACATATTCGGAACGCGTCAGGGGGCTTGACCAGAGAAACCAGGGAGACTGAGGAGACCCCCGAGAGCAAGAAGCCGTCGTTCAAATAGAATTATCCTCCCTAATGGCAACGACGGCATGACCAGCAGAACAGGTGATACATGTTCAGGTCTGCCGTCTATTCGAAGCGAGAATGCCGTGCATTGTCAGGTTTAAACAAGAACCAGGTAAAAATAATGCATGAGGGAGAAGAGTTGCTCTGTCACTTAGTAAGGGCAAGTCTCCTACGATGTGCTTTCCGGGAGTAACCTCCAAGATCCCCTCTTTGCTGGGGGAGGAGGCTCTCGTTTACCGGTCCTCTGGTACTACAGATACCAACCTGCATCTATTCCCCCAGGTACTGTATCCTCGGGAAAGAAGTTTTTGATTCTATACATTCATTGAAGGTGAAATCCGTCCAAGTCCAAGATATCTCAAAAGCTTCTAAATAGCTCTCGACTCACCATGCCTTTCCTTTTTGGCCGACCTTAGCCAGCTCACTCTGGAACATCTCGTAGGCATCGAACATGCCAGTTTCCTGATAGTATGTCTCGTAATGTGCAATCATCTCCGCGAGTTTTTTGGGCTCCTTCTCCGCCAGATCATGCACCTCTCCCAAGTCCTCGCTTACGTGGTACAACTCCCACTTACCGGGACCCCGTGGTGGCGGAAGGAACAGAGCTTTCCACTCCCCTACTCGGACCGCTGCAATTCCAAGCTGTTCCCATCCGACAATGTCATTCTCGCCACTGTATATTGATACCGAGTCTGATTTGCTGGCCGACAACAACGGCAGCCAACTCTTCCCTCGGAGGGGAGCGACTTCGCGGCCACGGAAAGTGGGAGCCGGATGCTGAACCCCGGCAAGATCTAAAAATGTCGGTAAGAGGTCCATGACCGTGGTGAAGGTATTGTCGATAGTTCCAGCCCGTTGCTGTGGAATTCCACTGGGGTATCTCACAATACACGGACACCGAATACCTCCTTCTGTGGTGAAAGATTTTGCCGCTCGAGCTGGTGCAGTTGAAGCACCGGCCCATTGAGGTCCATACCAGACAAAAGAGTTATGATTGCCCATATTTTCGAAAGAATTATCATAATACTTCTCGATAACATCTTTCAACGTTGCGCCCGCAAGAATTGGAATGGCTTCCAGTATATTTCCCTCGGCTCCATTGTCAGACATGAAAGCAATAAGAGTGTTGTCAAGTTCGTCGGTCGACCTCAAATAGTCGATAACACGTCCAACGTTGACATCGATGAGGTCTACCATGGCGGCAAATATCTCCATGGCGCGGGAAGACTTGGCTTGTTCCTCCTTTGTGAATTCATCCCATGGCTTTGACCCTAGCGTGTGAAGTGGTGCAGGTTCGACGTCGTTGGGCACAATCGCCTTCTCTATCATGGATTTGAGTCGACGGTTGCGCAAGCCCATGGGACCGTCATCGTACCAGCCCTTGTATTTCTTGACTATTTCAGGAGGAGCCTGTAGGGGCCAGTGTGGAGCAGTGAACGCGAGGTAGCCAAAGAAGGGTTTTTCCTTTTCCTCATCCGTCCGTTCGCGCATGTATTTAAGGAAATAATCAGTGAAAGTATTAGAAGAGTAAAAATCCTTTGGCAGATCGGTCTCGCCGTCAATGAACTGGTCATTCTCCATCCAGAGACCTTTGTTACCTTTCAACAATGCGCGAGGCTTCTCGGTGGTGTCGTAAAGTTGAGGCTCGTGGTTGAAATGGTTACCTGCGCCTGGAAGCGTCGAAAGGACCTTGGTGAAGCCCCGGGAGCAGGGCGCGGTCTCTTTCGTCAAGCCAAGGTGCCACTTCCCCGACATGACGGTGTGATAGCCGTTGTCCTGAAGGATCTCGGGCATGGCTGCAACCCGGTAGTTGAGGTAGCCTTCGTAGCCAGGCTTGTCGGCAAAGATGTGAGGGAACCTCTTCATCCGTTCTGCCATGGCTCCAAGGCCGGCAATGTGAGCGTCTGTGCCGGAGAGAAGCATGGCCCTGGTCGGCGAGCATGATGCGGCCGTGTGGAAATCCGTCAGGCGCAAGCCCTCCATGGCTATCTTCATCAGGTTGGGCGTGTCTATCTCCCCCCCAAAGGGTGAGGTGTCGCTGAATCCCAAGTCATCGGCCACGATGACCAAAAAATTCGGTCTCTTTTGGGGTGCCATGTTGTGCGGCTGAAAATGATATCAGCACTGGTTTCTGGAATGTGCTTGGTATATGCTTAGCTACTGAGCCCTGCACCAACGGTACAGAATTTTAGGGTCTTGGTCGATACGCCATCCTCAGGTATATAAGCCGTCAGGTTATGATGCATCTGGAACTCGGGGACGGGAGTCGGCACGGGTGTCGCTCAACGCTGTCGGATGAGACCCCTTTTTTCCGGGGGTTGATCATTCGCAAGATCATGATGTGGGGGTGAAAGAATTGACCTGGAGCAACCTTTGCCCTGGTTCTGGCACTTTGATGAGTACCGGCTCACGGCTCACCATACGGAGATGGGGCAAGAGTGAGCGCCTTTTGCTTCTCTTGTTGTGCTTGAAGCTTTTCCGCAGACACTACAAAAAACCCCAGCACTCGGCTTCAGAGTCACACCTTACAAGCCTTTCACCTTGTCGTCCGCGTCCTATTTCTGTGGCCTCGTCGAGACTTTGTTTTATGCACAGTCATCGCAGAGTCGAGCAGTTGCATAGTGTGGAAGAACCTGTCGCCTGTTGACCACTCTTCCAAGATGGCCTTATCATACCCCAGCAAACCGCTACCCCTGGCGATACAGTCCAAGAACGGAGGCGACAAACCAAACTATGTCATCTTCATGCCAGATCAATTGAGATATGACTCTTTACACTGCACCGGGGAGGAAGGCAACATCATTCGGACACCCAACATCGACGCCTTCGCAGCCAGAGGGACTCTCTTCGCCAATTGTTTTGTGCAGGCGTCCGTATGTTCTCAATCACGGTGCAGCATGTTCACCGGTGCGTATCCGCATACCAGCGGTCATCGAAGTATGACCAACCTCATCAAACCGTGGGAGCCCAACGTCTTTCGCAGCCTCAAAGAGAATGGCTACCACGTCGCGTGCCTCGCTCCCCGAGGTGACACATTCGCTCCCTCGGTGACCGAGTTGAGCGTGGACGAGTATGGCTTTTTGGAAACGCCCGAATTCTCTCCCCGGTTCGCTGGAGGTAAGACTGCAAAGTCCGAGGCAGATGAGAGTATCTGGGGTCGACTCTTTTACAAGGGACTACGGAACGCCCACGAAGCGCTCGACTATGACGACGCTTGTGTCAAGTCGGCCCTGAAGTGGCTAGAATGTCCTCCGTCCGACAAACCGTGGTGCCTCTTCATGCCTCTGATATTCCCCCACTGTCCGTTCCAAGTGGAGGAGCCGTACTTCTCCATGTACGACCGTTCCAAGGTGGACCCGATCGCCCCCACAGAGGAAAAGACGGGCTATGAGCCTCTGTACATGCAAAAGATTCGTGCGCGGTACGGGACGTCAAGGGCGACGCCTGAAATCTGGGCCGAAATCAAAGCCACGTACTACGGGATGATCACCCGGCTGGACGACCAATTCGGCAAGCTAATCAGCAAGATCGATCGGCTAGGGTTATGGAAGGACACGGTGACCATGTTCTTCACGGACCACGGCGAGTACCTGGGCGACTACGGACTGATCGAGAAGTGGCCGTCCGGCTTGTCAGACACTCTCACACACGAGCCTCTGATTGTGGCCGGTGGAGGTCTGCCTGAAGGAAAGGTGTCGAACGTCATGGCCGAAATGGTCGACCTGGTGCCGACGGTGCTAGAAATGTCTGGGATAGGAGAACATTTCCCACACAGTGGTAAGAGTCTGGTTCCGGTGTTGACGCAAGGCGCCACCCAGCACAAGAGGTACGCGTTCACGGAGGGAGGATTCCTGATGAGCGAGGAACCTTTGCTCGAACAAGGTCCGTATCCTTACGACCTCAAGGGCGCTCTACAGCATGAGGACACCCGTATCGTCGGCAAGGCCGTCAGCATGCGGAACCACGAATGGACGTACATATACCGTCTGTACGAGCCGGCGGAACTTTACCACCGGACCAAGGACCCCAAGGAGATGCACAACGTGGCGGCCGAGCCCGAGTTCGCCCCAGTTGTGCAGATGATGCAAAGCGAGATGTTCAGGTGGATGGTTGGGGAATCGGACTTTTTGCCATGGAACCCGGACCCTCGTGTGCCGCCGTCGGTCGACCTCAAATCGCCCAAGGACCAGTGGGCTGAACGCGCGGCCAAGGCAGGAGGACATGCTTGAAAGCAGGTTTTGTCTGCGAACGTTTATGAGACCAAGGTCGGGTCCTCGCAAGTTGTCATTCTATTTGAAAAGAGTACCTGAACCATAGATGAGAACTCTTGACTAGGTAGTGATGCATCATTGCGTATACAAAAGAGCCCTTCCGAGATACGCTTTCGAAACCAAATCCGAATTGAATGTTCATGTGTCTATTTTACAGTGTAATATGATGGGGCGCAAATCCCAGATTCGCTGTCCCTTGTTATGTTACAGAACCCAAATATGTTACAAGTGTGCCTGTAGTGTGACCATCTTGTCAAGTTGAATCCACAGACGCAACCCTGTCTCTAACAATGTGATAGAAAGAGTGCCATCGCGCATCGAGTTTCTATTTTCCTTTTGATTTTGACAGAAGTGGTGGCCTGGGGAACAATGCGAGATCTCTCTCAACCTATTTTTAGATCTCTCCGATAAAACGACTTAGGTTTGGTAATACAAAGGGTTCGCCTCTGGGGAACGAGGAATCCCGTAGGTGGAGATAGGTATTCAAGAGAAAGGCCGAGTTCGTGTCGATGAACAACAAGAGACGGGCGAGAAAGCCGTCGAGACCCAAGCTGGCCAGGCCGCCGCCGCGTGCTTTCAACATCTCCTCCACGCCGCCCATGTGGCAGTGGTAGGAGTGTTCGTCTCCCCAGATGGCCTCGTAGCTGGCCATCTTGGCCGTGGCGGCGATGAGTTCGTCTCGCACCACCGCCGTGCCCGTTCCACCCTCGGACGACGACGCGGCGACGTGGGCGCCGATGCCGGCCAGGGCCCGCTGCTTGAGGAGTAGGATGGTCGGGGCGAACGCGACGTCTTCCCGTTGAGCCGCGTAGTGGGAAGCCGAAAACAACACGATCACCTGGAACAACAGGGGCGAGTGGATCACCATGGGGAACCACCGAGTCTTCAAAAGTGCCGTGTTACCGTCCCCGTCGACCTCGGGGATCGCCACCGCCAGGTGTTGGAGGTAATGTTGGAGGACGACGGGGACAAAAGGTTCGTGGTAAACCGGTGACTTTGACGCCGGAATCAGCGCCGCCGTTCCCGACAAAAAGGAAGAACTGGAAGGAGGAGTAGGATGAGGATGGCATCGGCGACGCGCTGCAGAACGACCCTTTTGTCGTCGAGCTCGAAAGTGTTGTGAAGATTCTGGTGTGGTGGTCGACTCTGTTGTCTCTAGTTCTGGCTCCGTCTCAACCTCTTCGACGGTTGTCTGTGTCGTGGTGACCTGAAAGGTCCAGTTGAGGGTGTGACGGTATCGTTTGCGTCTCTTTGCGGCCGCCTTGTGCGAAGAAGAAGGAGAGGACGATGACGACGACGTGTGTTTCTTGCTGTCATTGTTGCGGTCGTTGTTCTCCAGATTCCCGTCATCTCCGCCTCCTGAAGAACCTCCACCGGCTTTGGCGGCGTGAGACCTGACTTGTCGCCTTACGTGGGACGGTGGGAATCCATTGACCAGTGGAATGTTGACAAACTCCAAAATGGGACGAGTCATACTGTACTCGTAACGAACATGACTGGCATTGACCAAAAAAAAGATCACGGACGGTGACAGTAACAGTGATGGATGTGGTTTCTAGCTACAGTAGCACAGACGATCTTTTCTGTTGTTTCGTTTCACGGATGAAGTCATCTCTAGATCCGAAGATTCGCGAAAAGTGGCTTGAAGCCTTTGGTTACGTAAGTATCTCCCGGTCAAGACTTTTTTGTCTTGGCCCCTCGTCAGCAATATTTACCAGAGAATCTCGAATCGAGTTGATTTAAAAACAATTTTCCTTTCACATAAGGAGGAAAATCACAGAGTACATGGTATGTAAAACATGGATCGCATTCCCTCACAGAAAAATATCAACTAGAATGGTTCGAGGTCAGGCAAAATCACCAAGTGTTTCTCAAGGAGAATTGCCGCATATGCATCCAAAACCCCAACGAATATCGTCCATGCTAGAGTCGATGCCCCCGAACAACAGGGTTGAATCTAAAGGCTGGCTGAGAAATCCTGACAGGTTCATCGTCTCGTTGAGCACCTTTTCCTGCATGAATGATCAACCTCTTAACGGCTCGTGTATCCTCCGTTGGCAAAGAGGGTTTGGCCTATCATCGGAGTAATTCTAGGTTAGCAATTGATTTTCAATTTGCGCTACAAGATTCGAACACATATGGGAAAGATCAGGTTCGAGGGCGTTCAAACATACCATTGATCCATGCACCTTCTGTGCAAAGGAATTTGTAGATGGGCGCAATATCGGTCACAAGAGTCAATCGTCCATCGATGGCATTGGACTTGTGGAATGCCACTGCTTCGGGAGTTTCCTGGCCATAGAAGAAGGCTAGATATGGTGGTCAGAGGAAATGCCTTGGGAGTAGAAGTGGAAACGAATGGGAAATATGTCAAGGGTCTGGACAAAGGCGGGGGTTGGCTCAGGAATGGCTTACGAGTATCCTGTGTCGGTTGTTAGTTTTATATCGACCGAATTGACGGGAGCGGAAAGGAGAACACTAACCATGGGTCCAGGGGCCACAGCGTTGACGCTGATGCTCTTGGGCATCAACTCTTTACTCAAACCTTTGGTGAAATACTCAACCGGAGCTTTCGATCCCTGATAGCTCGAGTACAGCGGTGTGTAGGCGGCCAGCAGACTGGTGACCGTGTTGATGATCTTGCCACCTTGACTGACGCGTTTGGCGGCTTCTTGGGTGATGAAGAAGGCGGATTTGGAGTTGACGGCGAACATTTCGTCGTATTCCTTCTCCGAGATCTCGGCCAGAGGCTTCTTCAGCACTTTCCCGACGGTGTTGATGACGATGTCGACCTTGCCGCCAAAGTCCTTTTGTACGGCGTCGAAGAGCGCCGTGACGTTCGAGACTTTGGTGAGGTCGCCCTGATACGTCTTCACCTTGATGTTGCTGTGTTTGGACGACATCTGGTCCGCAAAGGATTCGGTTGCATCCTTGGACGATGCCGAGTTGTAGTGCAAGGCCAGATGGGCTCCTTCGGCGGCGAAGAGGCTCGCAATCGCGGCACCCAAGTTTTTCCCACCGCCCGTGATGAGGGTGACTTTACCGGAGAGAGACATTTTAGGATTTGAACGGAATTATGGCGAAAGATTAGTGGCGTGAATACCCGAGTTGAGGACCCGTACTGTAGGGAGAACTGTGTAAAGGGCTTGTCAAAGAATCTCGGGGACACTCTCCCCCAGTGACGGTGGACCGTCCATTTTTATATACGTTTGATCAGTCTCAGCAGCTCTCAATCGAGCCACACCGAAGAGATCTGCTCTTCTCTCATCGTTGTATCCGACGTCGTATTCAACTCCGTGCGTACAGCTGTGACGACGGGCCAGTGACGCTGGATGGCACCCAAGAAGCAACACTTCTTTTGGAGGGTCTAACCGAATGCGTATAATGCAGGTGGTCACTAGTCTGGTGCACCGACCGAGGGGGATCAACGAGGGTGGGCCCAACCCTGTTCTTCCCCACCAAACACCGTTCCTGGTTCCTTTTGCTGATAATACCAAGAGAAAGAATTCCCAGACTCCGAAAAGTCTGAGAAGCCAAAGGTAGGTTGAGCGTTGTAGGAGCTGTGGGAGGGAAACAGGAAACTCCTATCTCCGAGTACACCTGGAATTTGTCTTCTCACGTACGAGGCAACTCCGAAATTCGAGGATCTTCGAGGACCTGGAAATGCTGTGGCCACCTTCTGGTGACGTTCTATAGGTTGCAAGATGTACAAAGCATTGAGCACCAGGATAGTTCTGTATCGGGCCTTTTTTGACTGGTGGTATTTGTAGGCCTACTAGAAACTCCTGGAACAACGCGATGTCGGCGCTTCACGATATTTCACAACCAAGGAAGAGTTCAAAATAGCTTCTGCGCATCGGGCAAGAGCGTGATGCAATTCATTGTGCTTCATACACATACTGCAGGCCAGAGGTTTGTAAGCAGACCCTTTGGTAAAACTGTAGTTCTTTAATGCACGACAGATGCCTGCCGACCTGATACCTGCCATCTTCTAGTTTGTGGACCCTGGGTGGCCGCGCATCCATGGTCCAACTGGACTGAGAAGAAATTTCCCATGATTGTGTGATAGCCTGCCATGGGTATTCACATTTCGACCAGAACTCTGACCTCACTATCCATCCAGTCAACCACACCAGCATTTATCAAGGCAACCATCCACTCTCCATCGTTGAGAACTGTTACAAGGCCATCAGCCAGCCAGACTTGAACAACCGGGCGGCGATCTTTGCGTGTAACCCTGTTACCAGTAGCAGCCCTATATCTCCGGCTGACCTGGTCCATCAGTGTTGCTAAACTGGGTGCAGTCTCTGGTGTTAACTCAAAACGCGGAATCACTCGTCTACGAGCACCACCGGTGTTTGAGACCACGTTGACGTAGATGACGATCGTTTGCTTGAACGCTGTTCTCGGCTGAGAAGGACTCGTCGCTACAATTGCATCGTCGTTTGGGACTATCGATGACGGTTCGGCCACCTCCCAGGAGAGTGTTTCAGACCCAGTCACAGGCCTCGAAGTATCCTCCGAGGCAATAGGCGCTATGTTAGCCGGCTCCGGGGTTTGAGTGTCAGGCATTGCCACATCGATTTGAGAAATCGTACGCTCATTCTGTTCGCGGATTAACCGTGCTGTGGTCTGATACTGGGCTGGTCTTTGTCTCCTGTGTCTGGTAGCATACGTGTAAATGCGCTGCCGTTCGTTTGTGACCAATTTTCGTATCAAAGGCAGCATGTTCTTGATGATGGTCTCGCCATGCTCGGGCCAGATCAATGTCCGCGGCCGCTCAGCGTCTCCAGGTCCGAAGAATTTGTCGCCATTTCCATGTTCAGACAGGAAACTTTCCGCACATTTCCATAACCTCAGCCTTATATCTGCTGCTGTCCCAGAGGAAGACTTATGCCTAATTACTTCCATGCGCTCAGGATGGTCCTCGTCGAACAGGAATATCTTGGCAGCAACCTGCAGGCGTCGGAAATCTTCAGGTGCAAGATCCAAGGATTCGAAGACATTGGCCGACGAAGATTTGTGACTCCTGCTCTTGGAGGGTGGTTCACGAAAGAGGACCGAACCGGAATATCGACGGTTGAGGCTGTTGGGCTCGGCCGCAGGATCAGGAGCATCGCCTAGGGCCTCCGGAGGCAACATAGACTCATAGTGATTGTAGCTTTCATCATACTTAACATACACAACTCTTTCCGCGTGTTCATCCGCTGCAGCAGGTGCGGCTTGAACCAGTCCAGCAAGGTGAGCATCGTTCGGATAGGTCGAGTCCGTCATGGTGTTGGCCTTGGACCTCCAGTCCAGGCTACCAGGCCATGGGCCCGATCCAGAAGCAGTATTAGGTGCAAACACTTGTCCAGCGCGAGGCTGGAGATGTGTCGTGAGCCCAACTCCAAATGTTTGATGGGTTTGACGAGTCGTAGAAGATGGCGGTGAATTGTCCAAATTCGCCCAGACCGCGCTAAGAGAGAGCCAGCTTGAGCTAGTCCTAGTATGGTTAGAGGTCAGCCGATTGAAACAACCTCCGAAAGTCGATGACAACAGCAACAGTATCAGCGACAGCGAGATGATGCCTCTTTGCCATACACCTATTATAAATGATTGAGAGATTTACTTGAACTCGGCTCTTTGACCGTGCTAACGAGCCTGCCGTTATACTCTGTACCGAGCCGTACAAGCCCGCGACAACCGGCATCATGATGTTCGGGGCTACGAAGCTGCAGGTAGCTACGTATCTGCTGGGCGTCTGTCCATTCTCCATTGCGTTCCTGGTCTTCATGAACTCGGAAGTCTCATTCGTCATCACTGACCTAATCGGAAAAGATCGTGGAGTTGGCGATGCAGTCGGCACCCTGGGTTTTGCAGACGAATTGGTTGCCCTCGTTGCCTGCCCGTTATGGGGTGTCCTATCCGATCGCATGGGTTTGCGATTTGTGAGGCTTCTTGTCTAAAGCCTGGCGAGACCACATTGCTAATTTCCTCTAGGTATGTGTCGTCGGATATTTGATCATTTGCCTAGCTTTAGCGCTCTTCGTCCAGGCACGTAACGTCTACCCTCAGCTTCTTCTAGCTCGGCTGCTTTTTAGCCTAGGGGGTGCCGCGGCGTCGACAATGGTCACTGCTATTTTGCCTGCTGTTGCTGGCTCTCCGAACAAACCGACGGGCCAACTGAGACATTCCAGGGTGATACAGATCTTCGGCAACACTACTCATATCTCAAGTCCGTCGATTGCTTCCGAATCGACCATCACTCCGGAGCGCTTCCTCTCTCGCGCATCTCAGCGTCAGAACGGCCGTAACAAGTCCGAAGGAGACTCTCAACTGGCATCCTCTACTAGCAAGATTGCAGGATTTGTTGGTATGGGTGCAGGCACTGGTGCTCTGATCGCATTAGGCCTTTTCCTTCCTCTCCCAGCCAAGTTTCAATACGCTGGAGTAGGACAAAAGGCTGCACTGAAATACAGCTTCTATGTTGTTGCGGCTGTGGCGTTTGTGTTGGCCTTATGTTGCTTGTTTGGACTTGGCAATCTACAGACTCAAGTCGAAGCCAGTCAAGTCAAAGACAGTGATGATCAACAACGAAAGTCCAGACTACCCAGCATCAGCGACATCCGCCAGATGATGGAAAACTTCAAAGTGGCAATCATTGTTGGCTTTGAACGCTCAGAGATTGCCATTGGCTACCTTGGAGGTTTTGTGGCTCGCGCTTCCTCGGTCGCCATCTCACTCTTCATCCCCCTTTTGGTCAATGCTACCTTTCACAACTCGGGATTATGCAATGTTGATGGCAATGAACATGATCCCAATGGTCTTCCCGATATCAAGAAAAGATGTCCCCGTGCCTATGTTGTCGCCGCTGAGCTAACGGGTGTCTCACAAATGATAGCTCTGATATGCGCCCCTCTCTTCGGTTACTGGTGCGCCAGAGTATCTCGAAAGCAGATCCCGCTTCTGTTCGCTTCAATATCTGGTATCGTGGGCTACCCCCTTTTTGCCAATGTCTTTCATCCGCGAAACTCAACAGCTGCTGCCCTCTTCGTTGACTTTTTCGCGGTCAGCCTCATCGGAGTCAGTCAGATTGGAGCAATAGTTTGCAGCTTGGGAACCTTGAGCACAGGTGTACTCCTGGAAAACCCAAGAACGACAAAACGAACTTCCATCGTCGATGCAAACGGGGACAACACGGAAGCCAACGAAGGACAGCCGCTTCTACCCAGCGGTCGACAAAACAACAAAAGCTCGTCTTTGTCGACTCTTAAGGGCTCAGTTGCTGGCGTCTACTCCCTATACGGCGGCCTTGCAATCTTGATTTTAACCAAAGTGGGAGGCCTGCTGTTTGATAAAGTATCATTAACAGCTCCATTCTATATTATGGCTGCATTCAATGCAGTTCTCATGGTTGCTTGTTTGGTTCAGAGTCTGCTCGGCGTCAACTCCAACCATGTGTAGTTATCCAGGGCTTCTCTTATCGAACAGATTCAACACCGTCATTTTCCTGTACGTTGGGTGTGATCATCTATGATCGGAATAATCGGAATCACCGCCGTTCGGACTGCCTGAGAAACCTGACTGTTCTGACTTACCGTTCTCCGGTGTCAGCTATGCAAGGCTTACCTCGCTCATCTCAGCTCTCAGTGGTTGTTCTAGGTCAATACTGCCGTCACATCCGTCACACTTCATCTCAAAAGCAATTGCTGTCGCGAAAACAAGTCTAGATCCAGCCTAGCTGTTAGGACCGTGGCAGCTGCATGTACATGGCATGACCCTCCTATACCAGCCATGATGATATAGGGCTGCGACGAATTTGACGACTCTACACTCCGCGTCGTGGATCTATCATACAACATCTGATCTCGGCCGTTGACGCGGGTCAGATTTTGGCTGCACAACAGAAGTCTTACTTCACCAAGTGTCATCGCAGGCCCTGACCTGGGCATGTCCTTCGTACTATATGTCTAAGTAGCGTCCACCAACTTGGACTCATCCACATGAAACATATTCATCAACACATCTCTTCCACGCTCCACACTGAACCCGTCAATACGAGACTGGATGTCCTTTCGGGATTTGCGAACCTCACCAGCGATGGCCGACCATGGCATAGTTGTCGTCTTGTGTCTCTCATCTCCGAGAGTACCACTCACTTCTATATCCACAATTTTGCCATGTCTTTTTCTGAATACACCATTCACGATCACGGCATCTATATCGGCGGCCTCACTGAATCGCACAATCGCAGTTACCGGATCATGCTCTGCCGCCGCGAGCATACCTACGCTGTTGGCGGCGTCGAAGACGACCATGTCCGCCTTCTTCCCCGGCGATATACTGCCCACCACGCTTTCGAGCCCTAGACACCTCGCCCCGCGGATGGTCATGAGGTTGTACGCTTCCTCGGACGACCCAAGGACGTTTGCCCGTGGGAAGTTGAGCTGGCCGCCGTCACGTGGGGTGATGCGGTTGTTGTTCTCGAGCCGTGCGAGCTGAAGCAGTGAGCGGGCCTGTAGGACGATGCTGGAAGGGTTGTTGCTGTGGCAGTCCACTCCCAAAGAAGTGTTGGTCGGCTGTTGTTGTGTTTGTGCTCGGTTCTGGTTTCGATCTCTAAGTATCCCGTGCAGTCCGACGGGCCAACCCATGCCCATTTGCGCCTCAGTGTCAGGTGTGCTGGAGATGGGAGTCCCCGTTGAAGCGACTAGCGAGAGGTCTTTTTCCTCCACGCCATTGCAGTGCGACAATAACAAAAATGGTTGTTTCGCATCACCGGTTTCTGTGTACATCTCGGATGGTGGAAAAGGTGGTCGAAGAAGGTCATAGGAAGAAAAGAGCTGAATCATGGATTGAAAACCTTTGGGTACCGTGTCAGTTTTCATCACGTATCCGATATTTTTTGTGTGCTTTGCTTTTTTCTTCCTACCTTGAAGTGCATTTCGACCGACATGTGTCGTGACGATTCTGAGACCCTTGGACCCCAAGTCATTCAACAGTCCCAGTACCATATCCTTGGGTAGGAACCAGAGGTCGAATCCTAACCCGATTTCCACCGTCGCATTCTCATTTCGCTTCCCATTATGTTGTTCTATCAAGTCTCCGAGTTGAGACATTGCCCAATCCGGGAGAAGGTCATCGGTCGGCACACACTCGGTTTGATTCCACAGGGTCATCCTCATGGGAACCGAATAAGCAAAGATGGAACGGATGCCTGAGTCGGTGGTAGCCGAGATTGCTGCGTTTGCTAGAAAAAAAAACAGTAAGAGTCTCGTCAGTGATGGTGAGACCAAACCACACACGAAAAGGGAGGAGGAGGGAGGGGGGGAAGTGTTGAAAGCGTCGAAAAGACAGGAAAAAGGCAAGATACAAACGACGTACCATGTTCGGGGGTATACACCACGTGTGAATGATCTAGGACCAAGGTAGTTCCACAGTTGATGGCCTCTAGGCAACCAGCCAATTGCCCCCAATATACGTCTGAAGGTGTATAAGCGTAGGAAGTCATATTACCTAGACCCATGAAACGTCTTCAAAGTTAGCGAGTCAGGATTTGGACAAACAGACACCCGGCGAGTCGTCTCATCTTCGGTCCCTCTCCAGAAGCACCAAGGGAAAGAGAAGAGGCGAAAAGACGACGACGGTACGTTACCCGACACCATGTAAGCCACCAGACCCTCGTCGGCATGTCTCCCTTTCAATTGCGTCTGCCACAGGTGGTGGTGCGTGTCGACGAAACCAGGCGATACGATTTTCCCGCGACAATCCACCGTTTCCGTGTCGGCCTCGGAGGAGGGAGGCACCTGGATATCCTTGTCGATACGAGATATGATGTTTCCCACCACGAGGACGTCGGTGTCGTACAATGGAATCACACGGTCGTCCGGCGTGTGGGTCAGGACGATTCCACCTCGAAGGAGAATTGACTTCGATCTCGATCTCGATGTCATGATTCAAGAATGTTTTCTCGGCCAGGCGTCGTTGGTTGGGTGTAGAGAATATGTCAGTGCGAGGGGAGAAGATGGCAGACAAACACCGTGAAGATATATACATATATATACATCTTTGGCAACTACTCAACATCAACATCATATGATGAGAAATGTACTAGTATTTCAGACAAAGTCTCCGCATGGTCGGCTGAATAACATCCCCGGTCGGAGGTGAACAACAGGATGATGACCACATTGCCACGGAGACTTCTCTTACGACGGTCATCGGACTTAACGGTTCTTATAACGACCTCTCTATTGCCGATTACGAAGTTAGACCCAGGAAGTCGAGACAAGGAAGATGAGGTATTATTGAGGGGAATTCTCGAGGAGAGAAGACGATTACATGTTTACAATCAGCAATGGAATTAGTAGATATATGTCCTCCAGTCACTGGAATCCTGAAAGTAAGGGGGGATCACCATATCAGCCGGAACATTCCACCCGGAAAGCATTGTCCGAGATCATACAGAGTTCACTCCAAATATCATGCTTGAAGTAGTTGATGTTCTTCCCTTTATACGAGCAACCCAGAGCACGTCCGTGGGGCTAAATGTCCTAGTCAGCTGCTTTAATGCTGGAGTTGAAACCTTGTTACAATCTCATTCTGATTCCGATGTCGCTCGCGGATCGACTCTGGCGGTAATCATCTGGCATGCACCGTCGTATAGATCGGTCAATCTGGCTTCAGACCACAGAAAAGACCGTAGCATCTCCAGAGTTTCCGCTCGCCAGGAGTCAGGCCATCCGGCCTCATACTTGATCATCAGCAATCTCGCCAGAAGGTCGGCAAACCGGCTTCGTTCGGGGGTCTTGAAATCATTCACCAAGCCGACGAAGGAGGCCCAGATACATAGGTCGAGACACTGGAACCATCTGAACTGACCGGCTTGGAGGTCGATTGCTTCTCGTAGACGTACAATGACCCTCGTGACTATACCGAACAGATGTCCGGCGTAGAACAAGGCTGTGAGTCGCATCATGTTCATGGCCAGCACGACACACTCGTCAATACTTTTAGAGTCTTTTAGTTTGAATTCCAAGTGGATTCTTTTTATCGTACTCTGGTTCAGTAGTTGCATCAGAGCTTTGTATTCAGCAACAGATACACGTCCAGTCCGGGTGGCCTTGTCGTGACACACTAGGAGCAGGCGTAGAACCTTGACAGCGTCGAGAGTCTCTGGCCGCAAAACAGTAGCAAATGCTTCGGGGATCTTGAAGGACTCGTGCACCCTGAGTAGGGAAGGAGGAATACGCAGTGGTTCGGCATCAACCTCTTTGAACAGGACGTCCTCGGCCAAAAACTGGGCGGTAAGGAAATCCGCCCAGAGGATCAATTGTTGTATCGCGTTGCCACAGCCGAGCTTATGGAGACCACCTCGGGCGGTCACGATTGACCGAACCCCGGTCGCGTGACGTCTCAACGCTTCAGGCTGGGCGAACATTGTCGCGGTCGCCCACAACAACGTCGACGCCATGATGGCCTCGTCCGTGAGTGCACCACGTCCTTGACTGAGCAGTCGTTTCCGGAGAGATTGCAGGGCTTGTGCTTCGTAGTACAGATATTGATAGTCGGGAGCGTGGTTGGTCAGGACCTGAACACCTTTCCAGGCTGCGATGACACTGAGGCACAAGGTGGAGTTTGTCATGACGGGTATGATCATACTACCGCCTATGTCATTGACCGCCAGACCAGTCGGTAAGGGAAACGCTGTAGCCGAGCCGATTTTGGAATTGAGCACTGTGGTGGGCAAAATATGCGAGGATTCAGTGAGTGCGAACTTTCATTCTCTCAAAGAGTCAAAATGAAAGGTGGTGATGTAAGAAGTACAAAAGTGTTACATACGATTGTAGACAGCCTGGTGTAACTCTGGACGTTGGCCACCGGGGATAGGAAGTTCATGAAAACCATCCAGTCGGCCTGAATTGACTCCATGAGGTACCGACGATGGCAAAGCCCGAGTGAACGCGTAGGATTTAGTATATGCCAGGTCGTGACCTGGATTCTGCTGGTAGAGATCCTCAAGGTGCTTGGCTCTTGTTTTATCTAGGCTCTGCTTCGTCGCGTCAGCCGCCGCCGGTCGCGGAGGCTCTCGTGCTCGTGCCAGCACCCAAGCTCTATGGGACTTGAGACGACAGCGGCGGTGACAGAGTGCGCAAGGTGTGGTGATCTCGTCATTCTCGGTCGGCGGGCTCGGGTCAGGGGTAATGGGGAATAATCGTTGGTTTGAACCAGCTAAGTCCATGCAAAGAGTATGATCTGCAAAACGCTCTGGTATCCGTACATCGTCGGTGGATTCACACGAAACTCCTCTCGGGGAAGTACGGGATGTTGGCAAGAAATGCCAGATGTGGCAGACTGCTGGAGTAGTAAGAAATGGGAACGGCGGGGGGCCTCAAATGATTCATCCTTACCAGGCCAATGAGGCTGATGAGGCTGGACAAGGCTGGTGCCATAAGGCTACGCTAAGCTTGAATGATGCTTTTGAGTCCATTACTAGGGAGCCCTATCACCCTGTCTTGTCAGGATAAAGCTTTTGCAGGCATTGAAGGGATATAGATTACAAGATGGCAAATACCGTTGAACGAATGCTGGCGATGGATAAGCGTCAACTGACAAGTGACCAATTAAATGATGATTAAAATTATGCTGGTCGAAGATTCTTTCATCTCAATCGATCTATGAAGTCGACGATAATGCTCTTTTAGATAGTCTCAGCATATAGGTCATAGGTGTGACAACATGACACGGTCAACAAAGCTTTCCTTTCGAAGTCTGAGCTTCAAAATGTGCTGCCCAGCGAGACAAATGCTAACAGCAACAATAAGAACATGTGAGAAGGCGCGCAAGATTGGAGCAACGTATTTCGCCTGTCAAGCAGCAACAATAACGTGTGATGGGCCTCCAGCATACCAAGCGGGGTTGAGGAGCCCGAAAGTCAGACATGATGCATGGCTACAAGGACGTAAAAGCAGACATGGCCTGCTCATCCTTGCGGTGCTTCATTCCTAGAGATTGTTGAACGTGTTGTGCATTGCAGCCCCCCGTAGTTTCAAAGTCTCGAGATATTTTTTCTTGACTGTGGCATTCCCATATCTGTATGTCCCCATTCTTTCCATATACTCTGCAACTTGTTTCCAAGGGACTTTACTAACAAATTGTCCAATTGAGATTGCATCATGTTCTTGCAGCAAGGAAGAGGTGAGAGGGTCTGCTTTCGAGCATTGGGAGACCCCTTCAAACAGCAGTTCAATCTGCACAAAGCCAGTCAGAATCTATCACGCCCACAGGACTGTCAAGGGAACGTTACCTCTCGATCTCCCCACTCCGGTTTTCGGAGGCGGGCTTCCTTTGGTTTCGTGAGGGCTCTGTAGCGGCCACGCAATGTCGATTCAGCCTCACCGAATCCACCGACCTCTTTGATTTGTTTGTATGACATGCCTTGAGATTTAAGGCGGACTAGAAGGTCGTCCTTGGAGGTATCGCGTTGCGCACTTTTTGTTCCGACCTGTCTGCTTGTTGCTGATGTATGGGTCTCAGATCTTGTGGTTGATCTCACCATGTGGTTGTTAATGGGGACAGAGGGTTGGACCTCGGGCATCTCATAGCCACGAGCTTGCTCCTCCGTATACCATTGATGATGGACATCATCGGTGGGCTCAGGGTAAGAGGAATCTACCTGTTGAAGTTCTTGGTAAGAAGAGTCGTCCAACTCTGGCAACGGCGGGTATTCCAACATGCGAAAGTCCTCACGGAGCTGAGACTGTGGAAGGTACTGTTGAGTCGGCACACTGTCGCTTGACAGCTGTTGAAAGTAGGATTCTGGATAAAGAGATGAAGGATGGAAGTTAGAAGCTGGGAGCAACACTGAGTGCTGGGTGCTTGACTTGTCACTCAAATGATTTGCAGCGGATGCTGAAGGAGGTGCTGCTGTGGTAGTGCCCTCTGAAAAGATGTTTGGAGTAGGCATGCTGCCCAAAGAGCAAGTTTGGACATCAAACTGCGTATAATCGAGCCCATCAGGCGCATCTCCCTCCAGGTCAAGAGTTGGAAGTGTAGCATTCTCGTATTCTGGATACCTGAATGGGCTTTGATCTGTGCCTGCGTTGACTTCAAGAGTATGAAGGTAGGGATTGGCAGTACTAATTTGTCTGCTCAATGGTGCTGAAGTCGCATTCAGAGGTACCATTCCTACGCGAAGGATGTCGAGATCAGCTGAAGGAACAGGATTCCAATACCCTGCGTCATCTACTATGGACTGGTATTTGTTCGCAGGTGAGATCCTCGTAGTATTCTCACCGTTGTGGTCAAACACTCCGTTTCCAATCCCTGGTTGACAAGCCGAAGGTAAGGAAATCCCACCACTGCGCAGGATCCCTGTTTCGTCGAGTGTGTTAGAAGAAGACAACCAGTCTGGACGACAGAAACTAGCGTTGAGGAAAGAATCAGGAGCTGGCGAGATGGAGGAAGGCATGGTTTGCAGTGCTTTGACTGGTAGACCGCGCGCATTTCCGTACAAAGTGCGAAGTCTCGACCCTTCTTGAGGCTGAGAAGGACCGACTACATTCAGGTGACAGTAGCAGCATGTGTCATAGGATGCCGTTACAAAGCGTTCGGCGACTGTGGCATGGCTGTTAGTGAAGGGGTTGAACTCGGCTGAAGCTGATGAAATGCCGAAGGGGTGACTTGAGCCGTTACTTGGTGCGTACTCTCCTTCCGTGGACAAAAGATCAGACGGTTCCCGGGACATGACCATGTACATTGAACTGCTAGACACGGTTGAATACAGATATCGATCTAGCTGTGAATTATCGGAGCCGCCTAGTAACGGCTTCTTGGGCAAACCCTTCGTTTTCCTGCCGAGTCATGAAAACCTACAATCAGTGCTCGTCGGCGTCATGCAGTAGAGGTACATGGGCATCTTCGCCTTGCAAACAGCATAGTGCCCAAATTGTCGTTGTCGATCTGGCATTCCGAGAGGCTTCAGATGCGAACGTCTCGTCCGGAGACATCTGGCTTGAAGCAAACCCATGGATTCTGCTTTTGTGAGGTCGGTACCGGCGTATTCAGATGGTGGAAGGCAATGCCGCAGTCTGCGAAACATCAAATTCCCTGATTTGTAGTACGGTCTGCTACAATTCGTGGTGAATACTGAAGATTGGTTTGATAAACTATAAACTGTTAGCCTCGTTCAGTCCGTTCACATCAGTTCAAACAAAATCGGTTTGCCGGCCCAACGACTTCTTTCTGACGCCATTTTGCCTTGCAACCTTGCACAGAGCCGTCAAGCTGGCGCACATCTAAAAAGAACAGTAGGAACCCTCGCCATTTGGAAGCAGCTTCAGCGTATCATGGATACCTTTGCCGCGTCACTGGCACGGCCGAGGACAATAAATGTCATTCAAAGGCAGATATAGTCCGCAACGGTATTTTGTCTCCAAGATACCAGGAATAGAAACAGTCTGGGAAGAGCCCAGAAGTGTTTTTCTCAATTTTCCCCGATGAGTCTCTATTCTTTCCCATGTTTGGCACGACAACTCAAAGTCTCACGTTAGAAAAGCTCTTGAGCTGTCTGATTCAAGGCCGGATACTCAGGCGTTGGATGTATGATTCCATCAAACGTAAAGCCTTGCACCATGGTAGCAAACATCAGGGACTTTGTGTGACATCCGTTTTTAGACCTGAGGGTCATCCACCAGAATCAGTCTACCTGGCCTACTGACGCGGCCGCGCATAGCCCCCCTAGACAGGGGAGATAGGGAAGACTGGAATAGGGATTTGCTAAAGCCGCCCGCTCGACGGATATATGAGCAGAAGAATCAAAGGAGCGTTCGGCGATGGTCGCAGCTTCGGCCATTATGGTCATCAGTCAGTGATTTTTCGCAGTGGGGGCTGAGTTATACGGGATCTTGCAGCGGCCCGAGAACGGGTTTGGCATTTGACATGTCGGCCAAAGTCCAAACTGCCGACCTCATACCCTCGAGACTGGTCATGAAAACGTGGCAGGCGTGCGATGTGTAGCAGGCTAACATATCAGGTGTAAGGGCCGGGGGGAGAAACTGCGGCAGCGACAATGAGCAGACCTGACACGTTGGTTTCATATCCCTTGTTTGTGGTCGCCCTTATATGTTTGGCGGCACTTTGGGCAGCAAGTATTTGACTTGAGAGGTTGACTTAGAGTGAAATCATGGCTAAGCCTTGAAGAGTTGAAGCCGGTGGTGCAGATTGGAGCTTCGACCTCACCGTCGACCTTTGTCAATCTAGGCAGTGATCGCAGAACATGCCATGGCCACTGTACTGATCATGAAACCATCAGCTTGACATATAGAAGGTGAAGGCGAGTACATTATTGTTATGAGGAAGGAGTAGTTAATGTGAGTGAACACGAGTCCAAGAGAAGAAACGTCCGGAGTTTGATGTGTTGGGAGTTTCACATCCGCCGGAATTTACCCGACTTGGCTGGCGATTCGGGTGGATAATGCATGAATCTTCATGCTTCGTATCGCATCATTGATGGATGATGATGGAATGACACAGATGCCGGTAATATTGACGGCCAATACAGTATATCACTTGGGCCCTTCAATACGAAACAAGACAATAGCAGAAGCTCGCTGTACCAAGCCTAAAAGGTATGTATGTGATCAACTTCGCGCAACCACATGCCGTGCCAATCCATAGAATGGTCATACTAAGGTACTCGGTAGTTAGTGTGAAAAGCTTGGGCAACTTACTCAGTGCCTGTAACAGCTTCATATCATACGGCAGGGATAGGGAATGTGAGTATGCCTGAAGAAGATATGGGACTCGGTCTTGCGGAACGTCTACAGACCTTGGTATCGAGGAAGTTCCAACAGGCATATCACAACAAAGCTCTTCTTTTCTCAGACACAGCTCTACATGTACTTCGGATCAATCAGGGACCATCCGTGAGTAGAAACATCAGGCTCCGTACCTTGATGGCATGCTCACAAGCACTAGTTCCAGCTACGATACTGCCCGGCATTGGCCAACAAGCCCAAAGGTAATGAGAAAACGGAGCATCGGGGCCCAAGATTCGATCCGTTTGCGGATCCTTCATCAGACCTGCTCGTCACCAGCATACCAAGCCGTGACCCATCGCATATCCTAGTACTGAACAAGTTTCCTGTCATCCACAATCACTTCATCATCGCCACCAAGGACAACAAGCCCCAGACTGGTCTATTAGAACCAGCCGACCTCAGCATGACTTACGAATGTCTTCGGGCATGGCAGAACCATCAAGATCATAGCGACTCGCAGAGGCTATTCGCCTTCTTCAACTCTGGCGAGCATAGCGGTGCCAGCCAAGTCCATCGCCACCTACAATTCCTCTCGATGGAAGATATGTCAGGATCTGATTCGCAGGACTGGAAGCTCCTCATTGATCGTATGATAGTTCCAGCTCATCCCCAGCTTCCGCTCTTCCACGATCCGTCATGCCCATTTCTCCATTTCTCGACCCCGATAGAAGGGCAACCTTCGGCAGAGACCTTGTTCTCCAAGTACCACCTGCTCTTGAAAGCGGCACTCTCTGCTGGAAGTCAACCACATGAGCAGCTGAACGAGCATATCAATGTGGAAAGAGATGGAGAGACTACCTTCAGTTACAACCTGGCAATCACCACGGACAGAATGGCTATATGTCCGAGGAGCCACGAGGCTGTGGCTGTGCCAGGACTTGGCCAGGAAAGCTCTGTGGCTCTCAATGGAACCATACTTGCGGGCACATTGATGGTAAAGCACGAGCAGGAATGGAACACATTGCGTGAAAAACCTGAGCTTCTCGAAAACATGCTTGCCTCAGTCGGCTACAGCCCAGCAATTTGGGACTGATAAGTCCTGAAAAGTTCATGGCTGAGGAAATGCCAAGTCCCTCCTCGTGTTCCCTGAAGAAGTCACTTGAGACAGGCTTGGAGGTAGTTGGTGCAAGGAGTGAGCTTTTCAGCTCAAACTTCGAGGCATTTCTGGCGGACGCTCGTGTAGGGTCAACTTTGTATCGTGCCTACGAAGTGGCAGGCAATGACGAGCCAGGCGAGATCCAGAGGATCCGCAGTCAAGTACTTTTGACCATGCTCTCTTCGATGCACCAATGGTCAACAAGGTGTGTGAGAAGGTCAAGTGATGGTGTGACCCCCATTCAGGAGCCCGTATTCGTAATGAGAACAAGCGACGAAGTTGATAGTTGATTGACTGTTAAACACGAACATGCAGGCCAACATTTCAAAAGCAAAGGAAATGATTGGGGCCAAAAGACTCAAGGGGATTGATGCCAATGCTCGTACATGCAATTGTCCTAACAGCGAGGTCAAGGCGTTCATAGAAGGAAAATGTCATTACTTGACACTTCGAAGCTTCATTGGGAAGCCATCCCAAATTGTTTGTGGCTGTCGTTAACTCGGCGACGTTGGACCTTGTAGACCGATAGAATGCGATAGTCCTCCTGGCTGAAAACAAAGATTTGAATTGGGCAAAACGGCGCCTCTTCGCTCAAGTGGTGTGGTGCGAAGCAGCTCAAGACGTCTTGTTTTGAGCTTCGCTGTATTGGGAATGTGAGGCAGTGAGCAATCCTGAGAGGACCGGAGGGCCGTGCAAGGGCGCAGAAAGTCCAGACCGTATTCTTTTCGCTTCCAACGCAAGCCACAAGCGCCAGTGTTTCTGAAGCCAACAGTGTCTCTCGACTTCGGCGCACGTAGGACAGGGATGGCCTCAGCAGGCTTTAGCGACAAGTGCCCTAAACTTGATAGGTAGACACCACCACTCACCCAAGTCACCGGTTCCGCGATACGAGAAACGCCCGGCACCAGCCGCCCAAGTGCTTTTTCTAGGGGGGCAAGAGGGGCAGATGAGCACAGAGGAATTAGCAATCACAATCGGGTCCCCTCAAACACCACTCCGTATAGGGCTGCAGAAGGACGGGGCCAAAACACCTATCTAGCTGCTTGCACACGAGAAAATCGGAGGACTGGACCTTGTCGAATACGAGGTGCCAAACAGAAGACAGCGATCATTTTTCTGTCACTAATCACTCTGTACAGCTTGCGCCTTGAGCTTCAAGCAGCGAGGGCGTCTTGCCAGCCTCCTCGATATGGCACGCCTGAGGCTGCGCGAGTGTCCTGTTGACATACACCATTCTACGGCCGAATCGTGGTGCGCCATTCTGACAAGTCGACCAACGTGAACTTCCTCTTTGAGTTGAGCACATGGAGGGTCTGCAGACAAGCCGGTCCATGCTTGATCTGTCTCGCTAGTCAATCTCGAAGCAATTATTGAAGCCTGATCTTGTTGGAATTAAAACTCTTTTTATGGCAACGGCATCTTCCATCGACTGGGTTCATGGGTTACGAGAAGGGCACAGGCTCCCCGTTGAATCTTTCCGTATTGGCGTGACAAGAGTCTCGAGCACCACAGGTCGACAACCAAATGACCTTACCCCTCAAAGATAACGGAAGTTCCATGGCTGTCAACGACACATGGGGGTGTACGGAGTAGAGAAGCCTGCAATCAACAGCATGGGTTCAATGTGGCTGGATACAGTTGAGTGACACATGCATGCCCTGCAGCTCCCGGCGCTCTGGCCCCTTCCTTCCTTCTTTCCTTTGCTATCAGGACACGAGGCAGAATCATGTCTCTGGCATCGACACCGGCGGTCTGAACAGTAGGCTGGCAGGGTACCGCAGCAATGACATGGGCAGGTTTAGGGTACCGATTCCAGGAGTACAGGACGATTGGCTTGAGTGGATGTCGCCAGACCGCAACGTGGACTGGGCCCGAAAAGGCGAAAGCTTTTTGTAAACGATGATTGACCACATGCACCTAGACTTAAAACATTCAAAAAGCTTTACGTGAGTGCAGGGTGCATGATGCGCTTGCCAAGGGGTGTTTGTTAGTGCACCACCAAGTAATGAGATGAGATGCAATGAATTGCAGCGCCAAATGCCCCCCATTTCAGACGCCTAAGTCCAAGGGAGGCTAGGGGGGTTTTAGGGAGTCCGAGTGAACTAACTCGACTTGGTGGGAGGTTTAAGAGGTCAACGACAAAATTTTTCTCGTCTAGGCGCACGATCCCCAGAAAGTCTGGCACCAACGGCCACCAAGGGCTCGCGAAACCCCTCCAATATGCGCGACAAGGTGCCAACAGAAGCCGGGCACAAAACCACCCGATGTTTTTGAGCATCGTCGACGACGCGGCTGTCTCGCAGTCACAGCATCCGTGGAGACATGTATGAACGGTATCAACACTACTCATGCAGCCTTACAGTCCAGTAGTCAGCATACTCCGTCCCGTAGCTCTGACCGAGGAGATGCAACGTGGGTCGTGTCACAGTGCTCAAAATATCGTCGTGCTAGAGACCGAAGCCCGTGTGGGATTGGCGTGAAAAGCATGTTTCCCGCGAGATTTGGCTCAACGGTGACTGCCGAGAAGTGACGGTAAGCATGCATCGAGTGAAAGGAGCATAACGAACAGGGTGTAAGAAGTATGCAGAAAGAGTTAGTCACGAAGTCTTGGTGAGTAACGTCAGTCAGCAGCACCAGATCGGATCAGACACGGGATGCATGAGACTTGAACCGGAGGTGGTCCTTTTGCACACGGACGTTTACGAGGACTAAGCAAGCAGGGGGACCACCACCACCACCAAGTTGGCCTTCCGGATCTCAATTGAACAGGGTTACAGGCCTCCATCCGGAGACTGCATGCTCCAACTTTGTTTGAAGCCAAACAACCCCCATCCGAACCATTGGTGTCCCGGGCTAAACAGTGTTTGGCTACAATCTACTGAGCGAGGGGGGATCCCAGTGGTCGCCATCTCGATGGTTCATTTGACTTTCAACGCACCCGGGCAGACCATGCTTAGATGGGACGCCGCAGATGACCATTTACGACTATTGAACGACTGTGCTGATCGACAATCGAAGTGAAAGATAAAATTCACATGTCATGGGCATGGGCATGGGCATGGCTGACGAGGGAAGCTCATCCCCGGAGCATTCACCACATGTGTTGTCGCACCACCATGACTACAGTACCATCGGAGACGGTGAGCTTCTCGGGGATGAAACGAATCTCAGAGCGGATGAGTAGTTTCAAGTGTGACCTCACCATGATGTCGTCAGTCCACAGTAGCAAGAATGCGTGCAAAGTCGGTGACTGTGGAGGATGCTTCACCTCCTCACTAAGCCTGCTCAGCCACGAAGCGGTGAAAAAATAGACACAGCCAACACGAGAAATGTGGCTCACGCATGCTGAAACCAATGGGAGGGAGCCTCTGTTGGGCCTGCGCCTCAACCTCAGGTCCATGCTGGCGACGCCGAGGGAGCATGTCCAATGGCGAGCAGAGAAATACGAGTCAGAGTGGATTGGCCACGTTTTTCCTCCCCTGCTGGTGGGAGGGGAGGAGTCCTGGTTGACCGCATCTGCACGATGGCGCCAATCGTATCGGCCTCGCCTAGGGCAGGGCTACTAGCACGTCTTGAGCAAGTGTTCTGACTGACGCCAAAAGGACCAACCCGCAACAGAAGACTTGGTCGCTCGAACGGGCAGTCAGATCAAACCCTTCCTGGCCGGATCTACACCGTCACTGGTCAATGGTCGTCGGCGCCGTCTATTGTACAACAGCCCGGCACTGCTCCATCCACTCTTCCCAATGCAGCATCTCCAGCCTAACCCCTCCCTTGTCATCTCGTCATGGTTCCATTAGCCCTAATGTACTCGTACAATAAACACTGTGACGGGAGAACGGGGACTGACCTCCGCCCGTGGAACCTGGAGATTTGGGCTGTTGTGCTTGGACAATGCCTGTCCACATCAACCACCACCAGGGTTTGCTCACAAGCCTCTACCCAACACTGCAACTGCTACCTCGCCAGGATGCTCATGTGTAATAGAACCCGGTGACCGGGATATGAGAGGGTGGATGTGCACAGGTTGATACAGGATCAGAGAGAATCCGCGACAAGAACTCGTGCCTTGGGTCGACACATTATTGACTGCACGAGGCAGGTCTGTCCAACTCACACAACAAGGCATGTGAGTAAATGCTATGCCCGCCAATGCCGAAAGCCAGTGCAAACAATAATCACGAGAACTGGTTGTTTTTTGTGAGATCATTTTCCATCCGAAGCGCCAGGACGGTGCCGCTCTTGTTTGGAAGTCCAAGCCGACTGAGTGCGTGTATTTTAGGCCACCCCGAGTGCTAAGGTCGTTAGCACATGCATTAGCCGTCACTTTGGTCGTTGGCCTCTCCGTAATTTTGTTACAGCCACCGTCTCTGCCACAAGTGAAAAAAAATTACGGGACCCCTGTGCATCACCCATGCTACTATCCTGGTCCTGGAAAAGCATAGGGCTAGGTGGGACTCCTTCAGGAAGGCAGGGCCCCTGCTTTCGGCCTCGCTTCTGCGATACCCAGAGGACTATATCTCACGATTTCGCCCCCCTCCAAAGACCTCAGCCTGAGAGAGCAGAACTTTTGAAACTTCTCGAGCTACTGATAGTCGACCATCGCTGTCGACACTGTGATTTTCAGACTTCTTTCACAATCGCAACAACAAGACACGGTCTACCAACTCCCATCCCGCAACCACCCACCCTCCACAGACGCTTTCCCTCTCTGTCGCCAAAGAATCCTCATCGACATCTTTTCAGCAAGCCTCTCCTTCCAGGAAGCAAACACCCTTTGACTCCGTTATCAGTAGTCTTACCTCAAGCCTCGTTTGCAGGTGACCGCACGACCCTTCCTGGCCCCAAGTGAAACTACCACCTAAGGCTCTCTCGGCACTCCGAAGTCTGACAACACCGACGGAGAAGTATTTCACCAGAGGCATTCCCCCTCCAAACCCATGCAGTTGCTGCAGTGAGAGCGTATCATTCCATATCATGCTCGCTCTCGAGCACACGCGCCGCCAACAGTACGTGGACTTTGGTTTTAACCCCGAGCAAAGTACTATCCAAGCACCTTTCCCTGGTTTGGCCATGGACTCGTACGAGTCAGCCGACAACATGAATTTCAACTTCCACGCAATGCCCTATTCGTACTTTGAGAACCCCTCCATGTTTGCAACAGCACCACCATCTCTCAAGCACGAAATGTCCCAATTTCACGAAATGCCGCCTGCCCTGATCTCGTCCGGATCGGTCCCGTCGATCCCCAGTGCCTCCTCATCGACAGTTGGCTCGCCATATTCCGGACCATCCCACACCATCTCCAGCCAGGACAGCTTCGATCACCCAGGTGCAACTTATGGACTTGGTCTGATGCCAGCCATTGCCCACCACGATTCCTTTTCACAAGACCTGATGGGAGTCTCCATGGAAGCCGACTTTGCCTTGGAAAAACTATCGGATAGTTACGTGGGTGAGTGTGCAGATCTTTCCTCCTCTTCTCAGCGGCATCCTCCGACTATTCCACCCAGCCATGCCCCATTTGTACGTGACTCGTCCTGTCAACGAGCTTCTATCTCTTCTTGTCCCGAAGAGTTGTGTGTCAATACTGCGTTGGATCCACCGACTACAGCTTCCCGGAATTCGGCAAATGCCAACTCGCTTTTCCCTTGTGCCGGTCTTTCTTCCCCTGCCGCCGAGGCCAACCGATCGACACCAATCTTCAAGTCACCCACGACACCAGCTTCAGCATATGCAAGAAACCAGAAGACTGTCGCGTCTCCCACCAGTTCGCGTTCATTCTCATCGTCCCCCCGTCCATCGCCTGCCACTACTCATCCCTCTCAAGTGCTTGTGCACGACCCCACTGCAGTGCCACACCCCCAACCTGCAAGTCATTTTCAGTCCCATTTCTTTGCTCAGAGCAGTGGAAATTTCCTACCACCTCTCGAATCATCTTGTTCGTCTCTTCTGCTACGTCTTTCACATTTACCTTGATATTTCCTCTGTTTCCTTTCTTTCTTTCCACTGAGTCGATCACATCTCCATCATGTCAAGCAAGACACGAACTGACAGAACCCTGTTACAGATCCATCCTTAATTCATGCCTCTCGATCGTTTGGGGAGACGACCTTCCCTGAACAAGCACTCTTTCCACCTGCCATGAACACCTTCGCCAACACCTCTCCATCTGGGTCTCCCGCTCTGTCTCCTCAACCCTACGGCATCTTCCCTACCGCCCAATTCTCCGACCCCATCACAAACTCCAGCTACTACCAACAACACAGCATGCCCAGCCGAAGACCATCGCTCGCGTCATACGTTTCTGCGGGTTCGCATGCCAGCTCCACATCAGAGCCTAGTGAAGAAGGTGCCGAAAAGGGTCGATGCCCTCATCCTGATTGTGGCAAGATCTTCAAGGATCTCAAAGCTCACCTGTTGACCCATCAAACCGAGCGACCCGAGAAGTGCCCCATCGTCACTTGTGAGTACCATCACAAAGGCTTTGCGAGAAAGTACGACAAGAACCGACACACTTTGACCCATTACAAGGGCACGATGGTGTGCGGCTTCTGCCCCGGCTCTGGTTCCCCCGCGGAGAAGAGCTTCAATCGTGCAGATGTTTTTAAGCGACACTTGACTTCGGTCCACGGCGTCGAACAGACCGCTCCCAACAGTCGCAAGCGCAGTCCCACAACCAACCCTCCCAAGTTGTCAAGTTACTGTCAAGATGCCACGGGCAAGTGCTCGACCTGTTCCGCCACCTTTTCCAATGCTCAAGACTTCTATGAGCATCTTGATGACTGTGTGTTGCGTGTGGTTCAACAAGAAGAACCCAGCGAAGCCATCAACGCACAACATCTGGCCAGCATCACCGATGACAACAACGTCCAAGAGACCTTGGATCGTCACATGCTCAAGTCGGAAGATGCCCCGACCAACTTTGGTGCTGATGAGGACGATGACGAAGAGGATGACGACGAAGACGACGAAGACGACGATGAGGAGATTGATCCGTCTTTCAACAGCCGCTCTGGGCGGGGCGCCATCAAGTCAAAGACTGCCGGCTCATCCCGAGCTGTTATCGGCGGCGGCATCTCCAAGTCTTCCAAGTCATCAAAGAAGGGCATGACCTGGTCCAAGGGAGGGGTGTCTCTCCTCGGAAAGGGCCGCAAGAAGAGAAAGCACTACCCGCCATCGTGGGGTATGTCTGCCGACAAGATGCGAATGAAGAAGCGAGTTCTCTGCGTGTACGACGGTGAACGCCGCCTCTGGAAAGACGACATTATGCTGCACAACGAATTCGAAGTGCGCATGTCGCTTCCTGACGGCAAGAGTTACGTGACGGACCTCGATGTCGAGACTTTGAAGCGAGCAGAGGCATTCCACAATGCCAGTCAAGAGGAGAAAGGTCCTTGGTTGCCCGTGACCGAAGCGGACACTCAGACCTTTGACTTGAATGCTTTGATGGCCTGAACCTAGGCTTGATGTGATTCTTCTGAATTGATGGTGCGTTTTAGCGAAATTACGGATTGGGATAATGGGTATGACTTCAGCTGAGCTCGGATACGTCCTTGAGCATGATGACAGAGAGTTTCTCCTGTTTTGTTATCTTCTTAATGTCGGACTTGGAAGGCCTTTTTTGACGGTTACGTCGATGAATCAATGGAGCAGTCTCCGTTACTAAGTGGTTTGGTTGATCGCTACAAGGAAAGTCACAATCGAGGTGGAATGAGAGCCTCACAGTCGGTTGAGAGACATTTCTACTCCCGAAGCTCTCCTTGATGGAGTGAAAAGCTTGTGTATGATATAAGGCACTTTGGACAGTGAAGAGAGGAAGATACCTCGAGGCAGCATGAGAGCGCTGAGCGCCAAAATGTAATGCAGAGAAAATTTCATATTGCAGGCTGTTCTCATCGTGTGTTTGTCTTTTGTTTGTTTTAGGTCTCCACAGGCACATCCTAGGTGCGTTTCAGGCACCTTTTGAGGCACTTTTCAGGCACCGTTCAGGCATCATTCAGGCACCTTTGCCCGCTACGCTTAGGCGAGTCTAGGCTCAAATCTTTAACTACATCCAGGCCCTTAAATGCGCCAAGAGATGCGGAGATCCAAACAACGACATCATTTCATTGCCTGCGGTCCCTCAGCAGAGGATTCACCCTCATCGTGCAACAGTTCATCAACTTGACTTGTCTTGGTCTGCCCTCTCTCGCTCATCTCTTTCCCTCCACCCTAGATTCCTCGCGTGTCATTGTTTTGACCAACCTTCGATCGAGACTGCACGACCAAGAAGCTCTCAGCAGTGGAGATGGCTTCTGAGTGGCAGGCCGCCGATCAACCGACATATACAGTGCTGGTTCAAGGTAAATGGACATCGGCATCGGGGAATCTACAATGTTGACCACTTCTTAAGATGCTCCGAATTTCGATCTTCCCTCTTACATTGCGAACTACAAAGGTACGAAAGCAACCTGCAGGCCAACACCTTCGAGCCGCCAACTGACCTTGGTCCAGGTCGGACCGTCTTTCGCCGCCTCCACCTCATCGCGTCATGTTCAAGTGTGTTGGCGGAAGAGGCAGCCCGAATGGCGATGGCCGAAGCGAAGAAAGGTGCAGATGTCAGGAACTACAACGAGGCCGTGGCTTTATTGAAGAAGGTGTCCGGGGGTAAGAACGTGGACGGTTTCTTGGATCCAGTATGGGCTGCCCAGCAGGAGAAGAAAAACGCGGCAGAGTCTGCTCGGTTGGAGAATGAATTGAAAGGATACAAGAACAACTTGATCAAAGAGAGCATACGGGTGCGTTTTTGTCGCCGGTCTCGATTGCACCGGAACGTGACTGACACCGGACACTTGTAGATGGGGAATGAGGATCTCGGAACACATTACTACACGATCGGAGACCTCACCAATGCTGTCAAGGCATACTCTCGGATGCGAGATTACTGTACCACCGCCAGCCACATTGCCTCGACGGCGTTTCGGATCATTGCGGTGGCCATTGAACAGAAGAATTGGCTGGCCGTACAGTCTCAAGTGCACAAGATTCGCAACCTACAAATGAAGGCCGAAGATGCGAACCGAACCTTTCCGAAAATGCAAGCTGCCATGGGACTTCAACAAATGTCCATCGGCGAATATCGTGAGGCGGCGCTCAGTTTCCTCAACATCGACGCCAGTATCTCGGACACCTACAGCGAAGTCATCAGCAGCAACGACATTGCCGTTTACGGTGGACTTTGTGCCTTGGCATCCATGGACCGTCCCGACCTCCAGGCGAGAGTGCTGGAAAACCACAGTTTTCGAAACTTTCTCGAACTCGAACCTCACATTCGTCGAGCCATCAACTTTTTCTGTGCGACCAAATACAGCCAATGTTTGGAGATCCTGGAGTCATACCGGGCGGACTACCTGTTGGACATCTATCTGCAGCCTCTGGTATCTAACATCTACAAGAGGATCCGCACCAAAAGCATCACTCAGTATTCGGTCCCATTCAGCAAAGTCACGCTAGCCAGCATGGAGAAGATGTTTGGAGATCCTCCGTACCAGTCGACCTTCCTCGAAGAGATTGAAGGATTGATCAACGACGGCAAGTTGGATGCTCGCATTGATCTTGAGCACGGTACCTTGAACGCCGTTCACCATGACGCTCGGGCCGAAGCCCAGCAAGATGCGCTCGACACTGTGGAACGGTTCATCCGCGAGTCCCGAATGAAAATGATCAGGATGCACATGATCGATTCAGGACTTGAAGTCAAACCACCGTCGAAAAAGAAGGGGTGGGGCTCCGACCAGTCTGACGTCGTTAACTACGACGATTTTGGCGGCGGCGGCGGTGGTGGTGGTGGCGCGTCTTCAGGGAGTCTCGTTGGTGTCGGTGCAGGTGCTGGACTGGAATCTCGACGGAGTGGATAGAGTCTACCTCTGAAGAGAGCTAGATCGAGTGACGGGTCCACCTACGATGTCCATTGCGATGATCCAAGAACACCATGATTGACGACTCTGACGAATGATTGATAACAGCCTACCTTTGTGATAATAGAAATGGAGTCGAACTGGGAAAATTCCATTCCTAGAGGTGCAGATTAAAGACGGCACGAGGAGTCAGATTTTGACCACGGCGTCCCATGTGCCCTGTCTGTCATACTATGCCTGGGGGCTAGCCTGCGAGTGCGACGAGGCCTCCTTGTTTTTCTCTCCCTTGTTGATCGAGGCAACCAATTGAACCGAGGGTTGAAGGATAGTAGTCAATATCACAATGACAATGACAAAGACCAACGGACAAAAGTTGAACAAAGTTATTTAGTCGTGTAGACCTTGTGATGGGACGATGGAAGGTTTGAGGCGGGTGATTGAATGATGATAACATGTGAAGACCTATCCAAAGTACTTTTGAGATGCACATGGGTAACGTATACCTACCCAGGTACCTAGAGGTTTTCCACCAATATGGCACGGCCTCGATTGGGGGGGAGGGGGGAGGATGCTTGCGTGTACGGAGTATGTGCAGTAGATTCTGCGAACAGGGGGGCATGTTGGGCATGGGTAAGTAAGTACGAGTACGAGTACGAGTTATCACTCTACGTGAAGCAAAGGGAGCTGCAATTACTAAGTCTCATGCTGTTGTTTTGTGCTTCACTCGTCACTCGTGTCAGACTACCGTAGTGTAGATTGATATCAATCCACTTTGGGGGGGCGGTGGGAGGTTGTCAGTGTGAGAGAGTGTGTGTGCCGAATCTTGAGAGTTTTATTGGTTCAATACACAAGTTACAGCAGGTAGGTCGGGTAGGCACAAAACCAGCAAAGATCCATGGACAGAGAGACGACGACGACGACGGGGAAACCAAAAAGAAAGATAAGGCGGGAACCCAAAGGTACGGGTCGCTTACCCTTGTGATTGCCGTGATGAAAGTCGTATAGCGTTTACTCCGTCTTCTCCCCAGCTAGCCATTGCTTTTGGTCGTCGATCTTTTTTTGGACAAGGTTTACGGATACAAAAGTATTAGTTCGATCCCCCTGGAAAGTCGTAATAACAATCCCGGATCTTTGTACGGACGTATCGTAGCGACGAAAGGGCGAGGGGGCTAACAAGTCAAGAGCGTTTGTAGGGATGGATGGGTGGATTGGCCAGGTCCAAAAAAAGAAAACAATTGGACCGACTCGTTGGCGATCATGGGATGGTCGTAAAATGATCTTCGTAAAAGAAGGAGAAAACGAAGACCCTGTGCATTACTGCGTGGTGGGAAAGAAACAAGGACGAAAAAAAAGGGGAGGGTGGTGGTGGTGTGGATGGATGGATGGATGGATGGTTGGGTTGGAATTGATGATGCTGATGATGATGATGATGAATGTTGATCATGGAAACGACCGACGCTTGGACACTTTTTTCCTGTGCTGTCTTTTTTTCAAACGAGTTGTCAGTTTTCCAAGATTTCCAAGATTCGAAATGGGTTTCTTGATATTATAGTATGTATTTTGCAAATCGGTCCCGTGCGATTTTACGTACTGAAGGGGAGAGAAGAGGGTCCAACACACCTTTGAAAGGGGAATGGAGTATCAAAGGCACCAAACCGAAACAAAACAAAAACAAAGCCCACCTTGCTAAGATCTTTGCCTCTCTTATCTTCTCCTCCTACGGTAGAAGTATTTTGGGATTTGGTTGGTAGAGATGGAAGTAGTACTCCGTACTCCATATAGCTTGTACAACTACGGAGTAAGTCTGTAATAATACCTAGACAAGCTGAAATCTCGTCTCCCCTCGTGTCGTCTAGCAGCGCTCCACTACCTACAATACCTGAGTTTACAAATCTGTCTACTCCGTAGGTACAATACTTTTCCGTATTACCGAGTTTCGTTCATGGCACTACGGAAAGTGTTCATTTCGTACACGTACGTAAAAATTGGACTTACTCATCTACCCTGAGTCAGGTAAACTTACAGAGGTTGACTTCAAGGGGTCAACTACGCGTTGAATACTGTAAGGTGGTCAAGTACTTTGGACCACCCCCCTCCGTGTTTCTCCGTTCATCTCTTGAAGGAATAGAAACGTTAGCAAGTGGTTTCCCCGGACAACCTCCGTTCTTACAGTACCGTTGTAAAACAAAACTTTGATACCCAAAGGTACGGAGCAGAGAAGTACGATATCCAAGGGGGAAAAAAATAATAATGATAAAAAAAATACTTTGCAATCACAATCACAATCGCATTCGTATCTCATTATGGATAAAATGTTTTTGTTTGGAGTGGTTCGCTAGGGACTATTTACGAAATGCCCTACAGTATGTACAATACAAGACTTGTGGAGTTTTGCGGAATTGTATTTCATGTGTGCTCCGTACAGTACCGGGCGGAGTTTACAAGTACTGTACATAGGGAGTGGGTTGTATTGTTAATACGGAATACGAGTCAAGTGTGATCTGGGTTCCAAACAACCTCCACAACTACAATACCTACATTGTAGTCTTGGGACGGGGGGGTGGAAACAATCATTCAAAAACATACTGTATCGCGTCAAGGTGTACTCGGTACAGTAAGGTAACCAACTAATTACTTGTACTCCGTACATAGATTGTTGCCATTGTACTCCGTACCACCCATCGGTAGCGGAGAGAGGAAGAAGGCGCGCTTACGCCGCTTAGTTTGTACATACAGTACTCCGTACTCCCCCTAAAAGAAACAACTTGCATAAACTACAATGGGTGTTTGTTGTAGATTACAGTATCATCTACATACTCCGGTCGCACTCCGTACTCTCCCCGTATTGTATTGTCACTTGTAATAGACTTGTTAGTTTTTTTGGGACTTTGTACTCCGTACAGTCAAAAACAAAACAGATTGACCCCCAATGGGCCCTTTGGACCCGTTGGATCGTGGACAACTTGACTCACCAACGATCAACGGGTTTCAATACGAAAACACTACATACAAAAAAAAGAAATAATCCTTTGCGAATAAGTAATACGGAGTACAAATGTGGCCCACAAGGCGTACAGTATGCATACTCTCCACGCCTAAACATGCATGCTTACGATGAGAGGGGGGGGGATCACCACTCACGTCTCAATCGGGTTATTCTATGCCGTAGGGCTGACTAGTAGTATACACATTTACAACAACAACACACATAATGTATGCAGGGGCCGGGGGGGTGGTGTTTGTACGTGTGCGTCATCCATCCATACAGACACTACGACATTAACTATAGACCCCCGACGATGTGGTACCGGGGGGGGCCTTACATAACTCGGCGGAAGTCGATGGAATAGTAGAACAAATGCCATACTCGGTACAGCACCAAAAAAAGAAAGTACGGTGTAAACAGTCCGGAGTTATGAGTGCCATTATCACTTCAAGCGAATTATGCGAATACGACATCGGTAAGGATTTTTTTCAAGTGACCGTACCCAGTGACCAACGGTCAAGGAATTCGAACAAGGGAAAAATCTCTTTGGGAACCGACGCGATGGTTATTATTTGCATAGGACACGACACAACATGGCATTTAGTCCGGGAGGGGGGGGCCCAAAGAGGAAATAAAACAAATAAAAAAACTCGTCGTCTACACGGTACTGTAGAAAATTGTGTGAAAAGGAGGGGCGGAAGGGTGGTAAGGCTTTTACAATACATCGACCACAAATATTCGGTTTTCCATCAAGTTTCCACCTTTTGTCACATAGTGGTTTGTCCGTAATACGGAGTCCGGAGTACAACCTGCATGGTGGTTATTTTTAAACAATTTCAGCTACGTCGATGACCTTCGAGCGGTCAAAGAAAGACCGAAAGTAAGCCAAACAACCGTCCGAGGGATTCATTCACCGAGGTGCAGAGATGAATGTCGACCAACGATGCATGCTGAGTAGAAGATGACAAGGGTATCATCGTAGGGCTGCATTCATGCAGGGAAAATGACAAGGGTGGTCGTCGTAGGGCTGTAATCACTACCCGGTCACTGGTCGGCCCGGACAGGGAAGCCGTGGTTTTATTTGCTCTGCAGAGTAAGCGCTATGTGTTGGCGTGGGATATTTAGAACAACTATACTGTCCTATGAGGATGATGATAATATATACAGCCTTGTTCGAAGCTCAGCGAGAGCCTTGTCTGGTTGTTTTCTGGAAAGGAGAAACCGAATAGGAGTGTAGATACACGATAATCCTGCCAAGGTAGGCGCAAGACAAAGAGTTGAGTTGAGTAAAACTGAAGTAGAAACATGTCATCAATCCATCTCATCGTCAAAGTCGACATCTTCAACGTTACCCTCGATATTGAGCAGACGCATTTGTTTATCACGCGGCGAGCCCAGGGTAGTTTGTTGCTGTTCGTCTGCAGCAGCTCTTGTCGCTGTTCTGATCTTCTTCGCCTCGGCCCTCAGAAATGCTAGGACTTCCAAATGTCCTGATCTTTCTGCCCACATGGCAGGTGTCAGTTTCATAAAGTCTCTCGTGAATACATCCATGCCGTACTCGCCCACTAGTAGTCTAACGGTTTGGATATCATTTTGATGAGCGGCGACATGCAAGGCCGTCATTCCACGGTCGTTCCTATCGTTGGGGTCCGCGCCAGCTTCGATCAACCGTCGGACCACAGCGGCAGAATGACTGGATGCAGCCTTGTGCATGGCCGTTTGTCTTGTTTGTGTGCGGGACTTGACATCTGCCCCGTGGTTGAGACAGACATCGACCAATTCCAAGTTACCCAATGAAGCAGCAATATGGATAGGTCGCCAGCCGTGGTAGCCCACAGATTCAATTGAAGCGCCGCTCTCGAGAAGAAAATCGACAATAGCACGTTGCTTCTCTTGTAGGCTGACATGGAGTGGAGGCTGGCCATCCTCGTCACACTGATACAAGGCATCAGGGTTGTTTGTGAGGTGTATCCGGACAGCCTCGAGGTCGCCTCGCTCGATAGCACTCGTGAGTATATTTGCATCACTTGGTTCAGTCCCCAATAGAGCCCATTCCTCAGCTCGAAGGTATTTGTGGATGTCGTAATGAGCTGTGAAGAAAGCGACGGTTCGTGGTGTTGAGCCTTTCCGGTCTTGTACGAAGATTTGCTCGCGTTTCAACTGAGATCCAAACTCTAGCAGGACTCTGGTGGTGCTCATGCTGCCTGAACGAACGGCTAGATGGATCGGAATGTTTCCTCTCAAGTCGGCAGCAAGCACATCTCCGTGATGCTGGAGGAAGAATGAGACAGTATCAGTATGTCCACCACGTGCTGCACGATGAAGTGGAGTCCATGCTTCGTGGCCTTTGTGCCACATGTTGCCTCCGTTTTCAAGCAAGTATCTGACGACCTCTGTATAGCCTCCAGTAGCGGCGTAGTCGAGGGGACATAGCCCGTCTCTGTCTTGAATATCGACTAGCCCACCAGCAAGAACCAAAAGTCGGACAAGTGACAGATGCCCTCGGCGGGCTGCGAGATGAAGAGCTGTCATGCCAGAGTTGTCCTGAGCGGCTACTAGAGCACCAGCTTGGAGTAGTGCAGTGACAATATCAACGTTTCCCTGTTCTGCAGCTTTGTGTAAAGGTGTTAATCCTCGGGGTCCAGGTGTATCGAGTTGCGTGTGATTGAACTTGAGTAGAAGCTTCACCATGGAAAGTCGACCGTATGAGACTGCGAGATACAAAGGAGTTGCTGACCCATAGTTTCTGTCTAGTAAATTTGCACCGTAACCAATCAAGATTTCTGCTACACGGTCATGGCCTTGCAGAGCTGCTTCATGAAGTGGAGTGCTCCCATACATGTTGCGAGCATCAAGACAAAGATTGAGCTTGTTCTCGTTGATGAGGATCTCAAGAAGTTCTGCGAGCCCAAACGAGGCAACCAGAGATATACCTGCACCACCAGAAGATGCCCAGACCCAGGCCTTTTCTTTCCATTTGCGAAATTCGGCACTATAACGATCGCGAATCCGAGCAATTGCGATGAGTGCTAGACTGTCGTTGAGAACACCAATGGCTTGGGCCCGAAATTGTTCCACCGGGGCAGCACCAGCATGAAATCCCCATTCCGTTGCGGCATAATCTAGAAATGGCAGGTCATCGATTGCTTGGTGGAATTCATTCCTGTTTTTGAATGGAAGGTGCTTTGTAAAATCAAGAATGAGAAATTTCAGACATGTCTTCGTGATGATCAGACTCGCGTCGTCAAACAAGCCATGATCATGTTCACGAAGGTACTCCTCAAGAGAATGATGTACCAACCGTATGATGAAGCTTTCCCTGTCAACTTCGACTAGCCCACAGCAACAGTCGACAATCGTTCGTACAGGAGACATATTCTCTAGGTCCATATTGTCGTCATCTGGTTGCATTGCCATTGCTTGTTGCAATTCGATAGCTCGAAGCGGTCTCCTTGCATGCGATATCCACATAAGTACTTTGAACGCAAGTTCTTTCTTTGCAAGGGGTAGATTCGTTATTCTTTGAATTGTTGACTGAAACGCTTCTGTCAGATTTGTAGATAGATGGGTCAAAGACCTCCGAACAGCAGCCTTGGTGACTTGATCGAGTATTGTGCGGATCTGCAATGCAGGAAGAAGGAACATGCCATTGGCCATTTGGCATAATGTTTCTAAGATCTGCTCCTTTAGGTTATCATCCAAAATGTCGGCCATGTCTGGACGTTCCTCAATTGCTCGTGCAAGGAACAGTCGAAGATCATGCGAGTGTGCTATGATATCCACGACCACAGGACTAGCAAACCTCATTGTGTTGTTGAGGACATGCGGCCGAGCAAGTGCCAGAATTTTGGCTCTGCCAGAATCTCGTAAAGCATCCAGGACCTCAAAAAGACCAGTGCGTTGGCTATGAATGTCAGCCTCATCGAGTGCGTCTATTACAACAAAGCATTGTGTATAAGTCGCCGCCACTCGTCGCAAAATGGACAACAAGTCATGAAACCACGTTTGATCTTTCACATCGTTTCGAGTACGCTGATAGAATTCTGCGACTGCAGAAGGAACCGTATTGCCATTCATAGACAGTTGGCGCAATAGTGTTCGTGCTAGATTGATGGGAGTCTGGGACTGTTGATCCGAGAAATCGTAGTAATAATATGCAACAGCGACATTCGGATCCTTGAATGTTGAGCGCAGATGGTCGACAATCAACGAGCAGAGGATGGATTTTCCGGCACCTGGTCCACCAACGCAAAGCAGATCATGTTCCGCGGTGTCAGCCTGTAGCCATGCGAGATAGTCTCGGTTTTGCAAGAACCAGACTCCTGTCCCTTTCGACCTTCTCAGTTGCAGATCTCGATGCTTATGCAACCATGATACTGGCGCGAGCCAATCCAAAATATCAGTAGTACGCCTCTCCTGCTCTCTGAGCTCTGCCATTCGTGCCGCATGGGTCAATTCGTTCACGTCGAGGGCTGTATTGGTGAGCATCGGAATCAGGGCAATGATCTCTTGGATCTGAGCTGCTCGTTTTGCTGCTTCTTCGTTCGAAAGACCCATCTGGGCCGATAGCTCACTGATCTTTCTTGACACACCGAGCATCTCCTGTAAGCCTTTGGCCGCGTCCTCCGAAGTTCTGGCGAGGAGGTCGCAGCCCTCGACTGTGACGGCGAAGTGGAAGGTCTGTCCATAGCGTCGGAGGTTGTCGATCAAGTGGTTGACTTCCCTCTGTTCAAAGGGCCATTTGAGCTTGTCAATAGCTCGAGACACCTTACCGCCCTCCAGAGGTTTCAATTTCTCGCCAATTCGTTCTATTCTGTCGCGACAGTCGCTGATGGCTTTCTGGAGGACCGAGTTGTTGTCGAACGACCTGCCTTTGGCCCTCTCACTTGTCAAGAACTCTCGCAGACTGCCGAGGACCTCGCTTAAGAGAAGCAATTCTTCGTGCAATTCCCGGATATTCTTCGAGCGATCTTTGATCGAAGTAACATAAACTGCTATCGCACCACTAACCTGCAAGGCCAGGGTGATGAGGCCAGCAATACCACTGGCGACGGAGACACCGTCCATGATGGTGGAAGGACAGCGTTCAAAGACATTGAAGTTATGATGGCCATCATGTACGCCAAAGCTGCACCATCAAAGATTTATAATGTGGCCAGCAATTTGGGAAAGAATGATCCAAGTAGATGTGAAACGTAAGCGGCCATCACCCGCAATTAAAGGCAGCGGGGGCTAAATCTAATTAAAGCTTAAGGGCTCGGGGGGGCCGGCCTGTGGCATTCTGCTCAAGGGGGATAATTGGGCACGACGGGCCTAGAGGGACGCCCCCGGGTTCATTAGACGCCACTTAAAAGCTGGTGAGGGACGCGCCCCTGCCATATTTCCCGTGCCGCTGGTGCCGCTTTTATTGACACATTCCAGGAACAGCATCCTTGCTTCATGATCAAACAAATCTGCCACATAGAAATGTCATTCCGTTTCGAAACCCACCGATTCACACATCGACCTCAAGCAGTTTGTTACCGTGGCCTTTATTGGCGACAATGAGGGACGGAATCGCACCTTCAGTCGAAGAGAAATGAAACCCAACCCTGGCATCAATTCCAGCACGTTTGCCGGGATAAAACATCGCATCTGGAGTCTTCCGACTGCTCTGGTACTGCTCTGGGTGGTCGTCTTGTTATGGGGTGAAAGATTCACCTACGGGAACAGCGTCAAGCGATGTCTCTGGCAGCAGTGGGAATCATGGGTAAGTTACGCATTACCAGCCAGCACAGGTTGTCCATTCATTGCTAACACACGATAACTCAGCCAACTCACGCTCAACCGCACCACGTTCTCCTTGTTGCTGATCCCCAGCTCGTCGATCCACATACCTATCCAGACCGACCATGGCCTCTCTCGGACCTGACTGTCGCGTACACCGATCGCTACCTGCGTCGCTCGTATCGACACTTGCAAGACAAGTTGCGACCCGACGCGACTCTTTTCCTCGGGGATCTCTTCGACGGCGGACGAGAATGGGGGACGGTCGACTCGTCTTCTCCGGAGGAGCGGTACAAGAAATACGGCACGTCCTTCTGGATGAAAGAGTACATGCGCTTCTCCGACATGTTTTTGCGCTCGTGGTACAAAGGACGACTCGCGAGCCGGGCCGAACCTGAAGGCCGTCGCATCCTTGCTTCCTTGCCAGGGAACCACGATCTAGGCTTTGCCGCGGGCATCCAACAGCCTGTCAAAGAGCGCTTCGACGCATACTTTGGCCCGATGAACCGCATCGACATCATTGGAAACCATTCCTTCGTACACCTCGACACCGTTTCCCTGAGCGCAATGGACCAAATCGACCCCGAGACAGGCAGTTCGGGAGCCGGCGACGGCAGCGCGGCAGCCACAGCATCCAGCAAGATCTGGACGCCCGTCGAGGAGTTCCTCCAAAACGCCAAAAACACCCGTGACAAAGCCATCCGCCATGCCTGCGAAACTCGATTCAACTGGCCAGCTTCAGGCCATCGCGACCTGTTGGATCCCAACGTTCGTTCCGCCGCAGACACATCAGAAGACCCCAATCCACGCCAGCCCCGTCCCAAAGTATCATCATCTCAGTTTCCAACGATCCTTCTCTCCCACGTTCCCCTCTTCCGCTCCGGCACGACCTCCTGCGGGCCCAACCGCGAACGAGGCACGTCCATCCCCTTGTCAGCAGGATACCAGTACCAAAACGTCCTCACGCCCTTGATCTCCCAAGACATTGTCAAGCACCTGACGGCCGAAGAGATCACCATGATCTACTCCGGCGACGACCACGACTACTGCGAAATCGAGCACAGCGAGTTTACGGGCCGCATTCGCGAAATCACCGTGAAGAGCATGTCCTGGGCCATGGGCATTCGTTTGCCTGCTGTACAGCTCGTCAGTCTATGGAATCCCGTGGCCCAAGACGCCGTCTTTCCCAATTCTGGCGACGACAACGACGACACCACCGGCCGACAAGCCACGCCGCGAGACACGGTCCAGAACCACCTCTGTCTCCTCCCCGACCAGCTGGGCGTGTTTATCCGGTACGCCCAGATGCTGGGTCTGACCGTGCTCGTCCTCATGGTCCGCACGTTGCTACACGGTCGTGGCCGCGGCGCGACGGCACAGAGTGACCAGAAATCGGAGCCCTTGTTGCCCATCGCCCGCGACGTCGACCCCGCCGGGGTCCAGTCGTGCTCGTCCGTACGCAAGGATGACGAGAACGTGGCCACGCGGAAGATGGGGTCGTACGCTCACGGCGGACGTTCCAGATCGTCGTCACCTTGGAAAAAACCACGCTTCATGAAAGATGGTGATGATGACGACGAGGATGACTGGGGCATGCCACAGTCGAAAAGGAGGTTGCGGCCTCATCTCAATCGTCCAGGAAAGCTCCGGTTCTTTGGAAAGTCAATGCGGCAGGTCGCGTGGCCAGTGATACTGTTTTATATCTGGTTGATATGGACGGGTTAGAGTTTTGTGATAGCAACTTTAGAAGCCCAGCAAGAGATTACTAAGGTAGTCGAATGAACATTCTGATGACACCAAAAGGAGCCTTTCTCAAAAAGTCCTTGATTAAGCCGAGGAAAACTAAACAAACTGCTTGCCTTTGAGCCCAGCCTGTCCTATGGACGATTAAGTACTTTGCCGCAACACGGAATCACCGCCCTCTTTTTTTGGATTGTAATGTACACGCTGACCAGAATATCATGGTTCGACATCATTTCTTGCCGTTTTGGCCGCCACTCTTTCCATCTGACGGACAGCACATTTTGTTGTTAGCACAATCGTTGCCGCACTCAAGGAGGCATGTCGGTCCTTCACTGTTCACACTTGCAGCGTTGCTACTCGTTGCATTTTGCGAGGGATTCAGCTGACTGCCCAATGTCGCCGCATCAGCAGGTGGTGACGTAAACTCGGGCTGAATAGTTGAGCTGTGGATGCCGTAGCCATGCAGACAACCTCGAATTTCGCGGGCAAGATGCATGTAACTAGCAGAACCTGACCCGTGAACTTCACAGTCAACCTTGACATGCAAGCTGGCAACAAGTTTGGTGTCACTTAGCTGCCACACATGGAGATGGTGAGCCGAAATGACTCTCGGGAGTGATTCAATGTCGGAAGTGATTTCGTCGATCGATATGCCCACTGGTACCGCCTGCAGTAGGATCCGGCTGGCTGCCTTGCAAAGAGGGATAGCGCTGTAGAGGATAATGACGGTGATGACAAGTGAAATACCAGGGTCAAAGTAGTACCGGGCCGGGAAGGTGGTGAGCCAGATGATCAAGGCAGAAGCGATCACACCAATGTTGCCAAGCGCGTCACCCAAGACATGAAGGAAAACACCTCGCATGTTCAAATCTCCGTGGGAATGACCATGACCACCATGGCCATGGCCTTTGTGAGACTCTCCCTGAGGCTTGTTATGCAAATGCTCAGCATGGTTATAGTCCATACTATGTCGTCTGCCGATGCTGCCATAGCCTTGACTGCCTTTCGACGGGGTTGTCCCAGCTTTCCCAAAGATCTGTGAACGTTCGGTGGGTACATCTTCGTCTTCCAGTAAGGCTTCACCTTCCTCTGAAGATTCATCCGATCGCTCCTCGAGCCGAGCAGCCTGGATGATTTCCTGTCGAAAAGAAGCTGGATGAACGTGGATATTATCCACTGAACCGAAGCCTCGTCCAAGCGACCCTGAGGTCCTACGCCGATGTCGACCGTGAATCTCGCCATTGCCTAGTGACCTGCGGTGTGGTGTGTCTGACGATTGACCTGAAATGGTTGTGTTCTCTTCGTCCGAGGATGTAAAGTTTCGTGCATCGGGCCCTTTGTAACCAGCGACTTTTACTTGAGGAAGGACATCTTCAATATTGCCACTTTCGTCGGCGACGGCCTCGGTTTCCGCGTCGTGACTGTGAACATGTCCGTGACCTTCTTCCGCATCTTTGACCGCATCCCCGTGTTCTTGGCTTCCGTGGCTATGACCGTGATCGTGAAAGAGGAGAAGACCGAAAATATTGGAGGCCAGGCCGAGGCAGCCAACAATCAGAACGAGCATTGGGTTGGAGACGACTTGAGGTTCCACAAATCGTTGGATGGCTTCGAGGAAGATCGAGAGACACAAGGCAACTAGAAAAACACCGTTGACCAGAGCACCCAGTGTCTCTGCTCGCTGCCAGCCGTAGGTGAACATTTTGGAACTTCCAGTGTTCGCAACACGGACTGCCCAGAGCCCAACACACAATGACAAAACATCATTCAACATATGAAACGAATCTGCCACCAGGGCTAGTGAATGGACGGTATAGCCTGGGAAGTTGGGGGTTAGTTTTGCAGACGCATGTCGGGGAAGGAATGGCACTCACCAACGACGAGCTCCACCAGGAAGAACGCAGAATCGATCCCCAGCAGTATGCCAATTCTCTGGCTCTTTGTCAAACCCATGGCTGAGCGAGCCCGGGATTGAATGGCCGACCGGGGCGCGCAGCACTCGTTGAGAGTTGTAGTCGACGAGGCAAAGGGGGACGGGGGCGTTGACGAGAACGCTCTGTGTGGGCTGAAATATGCAAGCGTTGGTTTCTGAACGGACTCAAGGGGAGTGTGTGGAGATGAGGAAGAATGAAAGGAAGAGATGTGGCTATTGTTGGAAGATGTCGATGGCTGCGATCCAACTGAAGATGGAGAGGAGACGGAGGGGATCGCCGCCGATGAGTGAATAAGAGTGCTGTGGCGAGATGACGGAAGGTGTTCGTGGTGTTTCTCGATTACGAGGACTCGAAAGGCATGTGGTGGTGGGAGTGATGGTGGTGGCTGCCGCTATAAGGCACCTAAGTTAGCACTGCCATTGCGCCCCCGACATCGCTCTCTCGACAGGCGGGGCTGGGCCTACCAGGGGGACTTGCGTTGCGCCTGGACTGCACACTATTTGTTCAGCCCGATCCCTGGAAGCATCTTGTGATTCGCCCATTGAAGCCTCCGACGAGGCTGATAAAGCTCGATCGGCTTCACTAATGAACTCTGCCATCATAAAGTGATTCGTTGGTTGCAACCTCGGGCAGAATATCTTTAAGGTCCTCAGTTCTGTTTCGTATGCACCCTCAACCACTGATAAGGACTATTTCTCCGATGCAACAAGTCCTTTGAAGGATCAGATTCGCCGTCTGCTCACTCTTCTATATGCTATCGTGATCTAGCGCTATTGTTTCCTCCAAGAAAGATCTGGGGGACTGTGCAGGAGGCCCTTTATTGCACAAATGCCGGTACCCTCCCCGTACCTACCGCTTGTCTTACTACTCTCATATTAACAATGACGGCAAACATCTACCCGTGTGTCATTGCACCTGGATCACCACTTCACGTCGGGTGTCAATGTCGGATCCCGCGCTGTGCCAGCCGTACCTGATAGATTTGTCAATGCTGTCTGTTCCAGGTCTGATATGAATTTGGATTGTGCTTCATGACTTTCCACCACCGGCAGAAGGGAGCTCTTTGGCAAACCACTACCTTGCAGGCTTTCCGAGAGCTTTGGACTGCGCTCCTAGACCGCACTTTCCTCTCATGATCTTATTGGAAGTCGACTCGCTTGTCATGGTGTTTCTTTCCGTCTTTCGCAGACTCTCAACGACCTGCGAGGACCTTGAGGGCCAAAAGTGTCAGCTCAGGTATCTAGGTTTGTTTGTTTCAATGTCCAACGACGTTCTGCATTGGCTTCCAAGTAGCGACCAGAATCATCCGATACAAAAACATATTTCCTTCTTCAAACATGAGACTCCTTTTTCGAATATTTCCCCCTCAAAATATCGTCGAGACAAAGACAACCCTCGAAGCCTTCAATGGCCCCGGCCACGACGATGCTGAATTATACTCCTCTACAGCGACAACTCTAGAAATTTCTGACGATTTTGAAAGTCCAACAACGAAAGAGAAGGTGCTTGATGATGTGACTTGTTTGACGGGAAACTTCCAAATACACAGGCTCCTCTGGGCTCGGTACATTTCGATCGATGCTCCCTTGACTCAACGACTCAGTCACCTTTGTACGAGTGTTATACCTGACCGTTCTAGTATTCGTATGACGTGGCTGATCCGAAGCAGCAAATGAGCAGACCTTCCTCGCCTGGTTCTCCCTGGCCAATGCCATGTCTTCCCTCGGCATCGTGATTGCACAAATCTCCAGCATGGAGAACGCTCTCGAAGCTGAACCCAAGCCCACGACCATGCGCCGCGCTTTGGGAAAACCTCAGGCTTGTATTTGTCAACTATCTGCCATTCTCATCCTGCTGATCGGGGCATGGCGCTTCCTGGAACACCAGAATGATATCCTGCGGGGTCTTACCAAGTTTTGCTTTGGCGGAGTATACCTCACTGGTATTGTGGTCTTGCTGGCACGTCTTGTTGACTCAATTACCGTTTCTCTGTGTATGTTCGGCTGATGATCTGTTCCACAGTGTTTAGTTTCATTCTTTCTACTTCTGGTCACCGTTCTGGATGGTTCTTGAAGACCATTGAGGAGGAAGTTTCGCTGCCGTTGCTACGGAAGTACATAGCGAGTGAACGGTCATCCGCTTAATCCTCGCTTTGGGGTGGAGTTGTCGAGATTCGTGAGGTTGAGGAGTATCGCGAGGAAGCCGTATTGGCGGACCTAACAGAAAGGACAAAAAGTCCTTTCCTGAGAATTATGGAAACGTTTCAAGCATACCTAGAACGCATTCACGACGTGGCTCGTAATCATACTGCACATCAAAAAGCTCTAATCACCGTCGTGCCTAAGAAGTGTCCTAGCAATCATTTCTATCCAATGAATTCATAGTCTGAGCATTTTCACTTTCAAGAGCCACTGTTCTAGAAAGGCCAACGCATTCCAGATCCTCTCATACACTCGCCGCTTTCTCATGATGACTGAAGTGCCAGGCGAATAACCCACAGCTCGAGACTGGAGATTTTCGGTCCCTAAGTAGTCGGCCAAGCCAATCCTAGAAGAAACCTCGTGCTTCATCACCACCCATCTACCCCTGTGTGTATGTCATGCAGTGAGGCCTCAACGCCAGTCCAGGAAGGTTAAGAAAACAGGTCATGTACAGAGAAAAGTACAACTCCCGTCTCTCTTACCAAAAACCTTTCTCCCTGCTAACCACCAGACTCGATCCAGAGGATGGGCCTCCACCCATAGGGCGAAGAGGACCGACATGACTGGCGCTGTCGTCCGGGAAGACGGTCGAGGTTCCGATGTCCTCCTCGCCGTCCTCGACGACTGGGACTTCTGCACCGCCCATGCCGAGACGATACTTTGAGCCGTCGGGTCTGAGAAACACCTGTGCGACTTCGTTTATCCGGATGCCATGCACCGGCTCCTCCCAGCTTCGTCCGCCAGGTCCAAGGTGCGCCGCTGGCATTGCAGAGCCCCACCCAGAACCTCTCCCGCTATGTGCGTTTCCTCGCAGTGTCATAGGCGCAAGTGCCGTTTTCGTCGACTGGGCGCTGCGGTGTCCCAAGCCGACGTTACTTAGGCGTGTGGGAGGTATCGTCGCCACAATGTCTTGCTTCTGCTTCGCGTCTTGGATGTCCAGCTGCATCAGCGTCCCAACATTGCGCGTACCGACGAAATCCATCTTGCTAACCATGTGTGTTGCAACGTCCAGCATGGCACGGATCACAGACTTTTCAAGGATACTTTTGCCTGTGCTTTCTGAGGGTGTGAATTCACCAATCTCGAGATCCTCATTGCCCTTGAGGGCAGCTGTGACCTGTTTATGGACGATCGAGAGCTCGTAATGGATGCGGCCTTCCTTCGCGATGGTCTCGTATTCATCTTGTGCTGCCTCATAACCTTGCCACAGGTTTCTGTCTTCTGGATGGCACTTGAAGAGGAGGCTCTTAGACTCAACAACTTTAAGCTGAACATCCTGACAGTCACGTAAATTGCAGTCATGATAGCTGACGCGACGGACGATTAAATTTTTGATTTTGATCTCGTGGTCTGTCGGCTGGCGAAAGACAATGATCAGCTTCTGTTTGCTGGGGAGAACGTACAGAGACTGAACGAAAGAGTCGACACTGTTAGTGAGCGTTTCAGGTGGATCGGGCCAAATCAGATGACCAGAGAGGGTTGCTGCACAGTCCCAGATTGATTCGGGAACATGCATGTTGACAGTCCCGACAGTGATTTGGCCCTTTCTGAGTTCATAGTTGCCGCCCTGGTCGACTACGATCAGAAAGTCTTCGTTGAACCTATTCTGGCAGGAAAATTCATATGTGACAGTAGTAGGCCCTGGATCTTGGCTCCAGAGTCTGTTACTGTCACCCTTATTCGGGTTCCTAAAGCGAAGAACCCCGTCAACGTCTTCGCCGTTTGTGGTTAGAATTTTGGTAAAGGTTGCTGATGACAGATGGACGCCATTTGGCGGGTCGAAGAGTGAGTTCCAGCCAGAGATGTCGTATAGTTTTTGATCTTGGATATGGGGCCCGGACGACGCAATGACTTGACCAAAGCCAATATCAAAGTTCAGCCGGCCATTGAAAGCTCTAGCAGCTTCAAACGAAGATTGTAGCAACTTAATGAGCTTACTGCATTGCTCTTCTTTCGCTTTTGCATTGAGAATTTCGGGATGTGCCTGAGCCACAACAGAATTCTTTTCTCCCGCAATCCGCCGGCGTTTCCATTTGCTCATCTCATCTGACTGCTCCGTCGGCGATGGCTTCGGCAACTGGCTAATAGGCTGAGAGCCATATGCTTCCCGCATCGCTTTCGCGAGTCGTGCCTGTCTTTCGGCCTTAGTCTCCTGTTGAGTTGACGTTTTGCCAGGATTTTTGCCTTGCTGGCGCATCGTAGAGTGTGTTGGAGGTACCCTGTCGTCGGCTTCTTTTTTGTTCGCAACCTCTTGCCTGTTTGAGTGCTCTTTCTGCTTCTGGCTGGCTTCAATGGCTGCTAAAGCAAGTGCGATGCTGTTCTGCTTCAGTCTGGTTTGGTCAGGCAGCGGAATCGAAGCCACTCTGTACTCAGAACCCTCTTCACTGAAACGAATTCCTGTCCTTGTGGAAACACGGCTGCTGAAAGATTGAGTTTCACTTAGATCAATGAGTTTCTCAGTGGGCATGTGTGTGGCAGTAGGCTCCAATGGGTCATCCATGATATTTCGTATCCCGACTTGATCCCAATATGAAGCTGGTCGCTCCAGTGGCACAAAAGACTCAAAGCCGGGAGGGACACGATGGTAACCCCGGGCCGAAGGGCCTGAAGCGAGTTCAACCAGGTGTCCCTGACCCCGGCCACGACCCCTGCCTCTTGGACGATCCTGACCAGCTCTGGACGCAGTATGAATTTGGGCCCCGACAATGCCAGCGTAATTACCGCGTCCGCGCCGATGACTTGCTTCGAGTGGCAATGTTCTGGCTTCAGGGTTGTGACTGTCGTTGTCGCTCCACATTCCGCTCCGACTGCTCCGACTGCGACCCCTACCACGAGACGAATTGCCCCGTATCCCACCACGAACGGTAGCATCAATATTGAAGCCTCGTTGTCCATGGGAAAGTGTAGTAGGTCGTCTATAAGCATTGCTATCGAATTTTGGTCTCGGGGTGGTCGAGATATCAGGCATCTCAGGCGTTAGAGGCGGTCTAAAGGGTGTAGGTCTGCTATGATCTGGTGTCCTGGATCGTTGTAATGTGGTATCTGCACCATCTTCTGGGACAACATGGATAGATGGTGACGATACGCTGGACTTAGATCCACATGGTCGAGGGAGAGCATTAGAACTAGGTAGCGTCCATGATGCAACGGGGTGTGGCTCATCAACAATAGCGGCTTGCTCTATAGCTTCCACCTCAAGTATCTCGGGGTCCCTACTTGAACGTGGGCGGAGAACAGATTGAGTTTGGCAGTCCTGACTATGCACTGGCGTCGATGTTGCAGATAGATATGGAGATTTATTGGACACAGATCTTGGGCTGCTCTTTCTGATAAAGCTCTCTGTATCCTCCAGCAGGTGTTTGTCTGCATTCTTCTCTGCATGTGCAATGGTCGACGGTTTCGCTGGAGACGATTCGTCTTCTTCATCATCCGAGTCCGCCACAAGAACTCTTCGGCGACCTGTTGGTTGTATAGGCTTGGTCGGAGATTCTGTTCTAGGCAGACTGTCTTTTTTGACGGTCTGTGCGATACTTGACGGTTTCGCTGAGAGCATCTCGTCTTCCTCATCATCTGAGTCCACCAGGAGAAGTCTTCGTCGACCTACTGGTTGTGTAGGCTCCGTCGGGGATTCTGTTTTAGGCGGACTATCCTTCTTGCTGGCCTGTGCGATGGTCGTCGGTTTCACCCTGGATGTTTCATCTTCCTCATCATCCGAATCCGCCACAAGAAGTCTCCGGCGGCCCGTTGGTTGTGAAGACTCGATCGGGGCTTCAGGAGCAACCTCAGGATCTGCACCGCAGACAATTTTGTTGCTCCACATCTCAATTCTTGCGTCCTTCGAATCTCGCTTCAACTTTTTCTGATCGCTCCCTAATTTTGAGCCGGCTTTTGAAGGAATAACAGGCTCGAGATTCCTCGGATTACCAAAGCTTTCGAAGACAAAGTCATTCCATAAACTTGAGGCCTGGAGCTTGGTGTCATTTCTGGCTTGGCCGAGAGAAAACTTCTCTGGCTTTTCCATCACGCCATGTTCCAAATTATGTGTCCGCAATTCCCCAATCACCATCCTGGTCAGGTCTCGTTCGCCTTTGTTTACTATGATTCGGTGGTATGAGGGGTGACCGGGTTGTATGTGCACATACTCAATTCGAGCCTCTCTTTGAGTCGGATTCCAGATGAGGAGATCTGCCGCAGCCCTGAGTGGTTGCTTCGCCTGCTGGTGTTTGATGATTTCCTTTGCGTGTCAGTTTTATCCCTGCAGAGTAAATAGGCACGTACTAGCAGCGGCTCAAGTCTTTGCAGCTTCTCAAGAGCTATACTAAACTGGCCGTGAAACAGCCTACACCGCTGTTCCGCCTCTTCGAAATAGATAGAGGTCCCGGTCAGATTCGTGATCTGCTGCGCATACAGATGAGGTAGGATTTTTATATCTCCGTTGCGTGGTGTCCAAAAAGCCGTAAGGTGCTGCAGGCTCTCCAAGGCGTCTTGACCATCTGAATCGACGTCTGGCAGCCAATCCCCCAGCGGGCCATCCTGCGACCTGGTGTCCCGGATGTAGTCGTCAGTAACAGTACCTTCCAGCGGTTTCACACGTTCCTCTTCGTCGAATGCCAAGCCCCGAGACTCATAAGCTGTCACGTAATTGGACACTTGGTGTAGGATTGTCAAGAGAGTTCTATCATCGCCTGGATCGACCTCTGTAGAGAAGGTCTTTGGGAGCAGTTAGCACAGTTCATATCATTTTCAAGGTTCACCGGCAAATAAACTGACTTGTGTATCTGCTCCAAACGTAACGAACGGCGCGCTTTTCGGATCCAAGGAGGATTGCCTAAGCCAAAATGAGATGAAATCATCACGCATAGGAGGAGCGCACTCACATAAGGTTGCGGATAACCTCATCGGACTGTATCACTGTCAGTATGGGCCAGCTAGCTGGAAATTTTCACTCACTCCCAATTGTGTAAACTCGTACGTTGAGGCCACGAAGATTTTCTTCTTCTCTTCGATCGTCATCTTGACGATCGGCACTGCGCCGGGGCTGGATCCCAGGTCCTGCGGCAAAAGTGTTATGGCCCGTGACGCATCAACCCATGGGGCTATCGAATACGAGTCAAGCCATGTAAAGCGCAGGTCAATGGAGATGGAAGAAAGTTGTAGAAAGATTTTAAGGAATCCGATGTAGGAGAGGAAGTATCGAAATATCTGTGGTTGTCGTTGTCGGCATGGATCAATTTAAGGCCGTGAGGGGCGCCTCAGCCTTGCGTGCCTGCCGCTTGCCATTGAAGGTTGTGGGATTTCTTCACCAGGACCGGAGTGAGGTACGCGACATGGACATGAAAGAGAAACAATCATCTTCACAATAAAGGTATTACACATTTTGCTATATGCATGCCCCTAGAAAGTGAGGCGTGGAATTGATCTTGCAAGCCCACATGGGGTGTGATATTCACTTCTTTTGAATTGACATGCAGTTGTGGAGGAATATGCCTGAATTTGTGTACCTTTGCGGCCATTCAATTGGAGTTTCTTCACTCAACTCGATCTCGTGCCTCGTACAGTGGGTCGGATATGGGCTGAGAAAATTGGCCACGATGGGCGGAAGAAGTATAATTATGCAGTAAGTGCCTACGTCTATTCTTGCGGCATTTTGCCCTTTAGCCATACACAGTATTTGGTCATCGCGTCGTATATTTCATCATCCATTCAGCTCAAAGTTCAACGTGACATCAAGGTGCCTTCTCGACCTCGGCGTGATCTCAAAGGAGCTCAACGCAGGGTAAGATCCTTCATTTGGACACCTTGGTTGAATCTTTTCGCCGATGCTTGATCAATTTGGTTGGACTCCTCCTACCAGACTTTTCGCTGCGCTGATCCGAGACTTCACTGTGACCGTTAACTGGGTGACTCTGTTGTGAGGCCAAAGCACTCTGTCCATGGTTCACCACGTCCTCGACTTTCATCACCCAGCGCATTCGACCTGTAACCTCGGTCATCTCGTCTACTTTTTGTGTGATGGCAGCATCGTTACTGCCCGCTTTTGCCTTGAGTTCGGTAATTGCAGTATCGATTTGGTCTCGGTATGTTTTGAAGTTTGTAGTGAGCCTCCTGGTAAGATCTTCCAAGGTTGATATTGTCTGCCGCTGCTGCTCTGCCACGATCTCTAGCTTTTTCTGCTTCTCTGCATCATCCTCAGTGCGGCGAAGCAGGTTGTTGAATTGAGCTCGGATCTTATCCAGGCCACCTTGATGTCGGTCGTAGTCCATCTTCCGGCACGCTACAATCGTTTCGTATTCAGCTTCCCTTTGGGCAGCGAGAGCCTTGGCCTGGCTGGCTTCGTTCCTCCATATCTCCTCGCTTTCTGCGGCTGCAGCTGCCTGGGATTGTGCGTGAGCTGTCTTGGCCTTCTCTTTCGTGAGCTCGTCCTGTAGGTCTCTGACCTGCCTTTCTCTTCTCTTTAATTGTCGGTCGTGGGCTTCGTGAGTTTGCTCGTAAATGCTATTCCGATCTTGGAGTGATTGGTTTCGCGCTGCAAGCGTCTCCTTGGATTTCTCGGCCTCCTCATGACGCATCTTCAACACTTGCTTCTCCCGGCGTAATTTATCGATGTCTCCTTGTAGCCGCTCGATCACTCTGCCCGACTTTCCAGTTCCTGCATGACCAATAGCCGATGACCAAGGGGTCGCGTCCGAAGAAGAGGAGGAATTGTCTGAGTTTGACACGACTGACAAGGTGTTAGAAGAGTTGTTATTGGAGCCTCAAGATGGAATACCTGAACGCATAACGGATGCACTGACGACCCTGCTTGTAGCTGGTCGAGTAGCATCTTGGTGATTCTGCTCCTTAAGCATGCCATCGACTTCGGACATGGCGTTTTCGACTTGGGCATTAGAAGATGCAGTTAACGAGGGCTCTGCGATAGCCACTGTGTCAGTAAGACTCGACATATCGACAACGAGTACCTCGGGCGAATTTCAGGTGAGAAGCGCGTACCAGAGCGGGTAAAGAGCTCCTGAGCCGCGAGTGAAATCAACGGCGTGGGTGAGTCTCTGGAAACGCGAGATTTCCTCCTCATGACACGTTCCTTTGAGATGATGCGATAGATCTGACTGGATCCACGCTGGGATGCGGCCTGAACTTGGATGTGGTATAGGGCGGTTGCGATACAGAGTTTGTGCAGGTGCTAATGAAAGTGTGAACCATCTGGCTCATTCCGCGTGAGAATAGTTATAATAGAACTGTCTTGTACAGCGACAGGAACAATGAAGACACCAGGGACGTGTAGATATCCTATAACAGACTGAGATGATGGCATTATTTGTTTGATTTGGGCGCGCCGTGGTGGAGATCTGGAGTGCACAGGGTAAGCAGGCAACGGCCAGGGCCCGGGAAATCATTCTGAGGCTAATTGATGCAATTGGAGTCGTTGGAAGAAATGGACGATTGACAGCCCCGATCGAATGGGTGACATGGGTAAACACAATCCACTTCCGGGCTTCCCTTGGGTGGCTCGGAGGCTTCCGAGGGTCCTCTCAGGCACCCAACAGACAAAGCTTTCAGGGACAAACGGCGCTAATGCCAGGGGCACCCGCGCCACCAAATGTCAAATATTTTAAGCATGACGCACGTTCAATTTCTTGGATCTCTTCCAATTGCCATTCGAGACATTGCACTTTTACATATAAGTATGCATTAAACACTATCCGTACCTGAGGGATCAAGTACTGGTATTTTCCAAGCCACCATGTACGCTAGATTGAGATTCTCGATTTCCTCTTATGCACCAGCGTGGGTATCCTGACAACGCCTTGCTTTGAATGCGAATCAAATTATTCCTTCTGCCCGTCTAGCTCAAGCACACGACCGCAGCGAAGATGCCCATGACCATAGCCGCCGAGCTTCCAAGCTGCGCAACTCCGGCGGCATTTGAATCTGGAGCACTCGTCGTTGCAGCGGCCGTTGGCGACGAGGAAGATGTTGAGGTCATGTCGCCGAATGTTACAGATCCTGATGATGTCTCGGTGGTTGTAGATGGCAGGCTGGCGGTGCGCGAAATCGTGGCAGAGCTGTGACTATGTTAGCCGCTGTGAACGCTGTAGTGTGGTCGAACTATCTACCTGAACGTGGTGTTCCTTGGAATGGCAGATCCTGTTCCTTGCGAAGCTCCAGAATTTGTTGATGTAATACTGGCAGTCGAGTTCCCCGAGGCCGACGCAGTGGTTGACGCGGTAGAGCTCGTAAGGGAAAATTGGCCGCTGTAATTGATATCGTTCTGACCCTGAGTGATCTGCAAAGCATAGTCGTTGGCAGTCTTGAGGTCTTTCTGCACAGTCCAAACGAAGAAATCCTCGGAGATGCCATCTGCCAGCGTCTGCACAGTCTTCAGGTCATCTGGGTCTCCTTCGCGGAGAGTGATGGTGACAGGCGTATCGTCACCACCACCCCAGGTGATGTTGTACGATTCACCAGCGACAACAACAGCCGGGACATGGGTGAATGCAATTTTGGTCTGTGCCAGGGCGTACGAGTAGAGCGACGCTCCTAGCAGGAGGGCTTTTGGGAAGAACATATTGGCTGGTTTGGCCGCGCGTTCGAGGCTTTCTGCGGATAGAAGTAGTTGTTCGAACGTCAAGAACACAGGCAAAATGGCAGGATGTCTGGAATGTACCAAAATGTGATGGTTTGGCTAAAGTCAAAACAGAGTAACGCGGCTTTGATGAATATGCCTGCTGAAGAGGAAGAGAAAGCTGGGCACTTTGAATACGCGCAGGACAGGTTCAATGTCCTCCAGGATAACCCTGTCATACGATGAAACTCTGGACCATTCACTGTCAAGCTAATAGAAGCTCGTATTATGATACTCCAGAATCTTGTCTCGGAATTGAGAACCTGAGAAATGAGGCTGCAATTCACAACCAATAGCATGTCGAAAGAAAGTACAACCTTGCCTGATTCAGCTAGCAAGTTCTGAAAAAGTAGCATCCAATTTCAGCCTCGTCCAGGTCCAAACACCTCAAGATTGTGGACGACTCTCATTAGTTATCCAGGTCGTCGCTGCGATAATTCTGATATCGTCCCAATCGAATGGTTGCCTAGCAGCCAGTCCATCCTCCAGAAACACTCCTATTGTATCCTATTGCCCGACCCAATGTCGTGCTGGACGCTGAAAAGATCATCTTTCAGACTGTTTCTGTAGCGCATTAAACTGGCTGTGACCCCATATTTGGCCGCGAAGCCCCGCATGGCTTGCCATTAGTCGCAGATCGCTGCCACTGGACGGCTCCATATTGAGGAAATCTGTCATCGGCATCTGTTGGAATCACAGATCGGCTGTAGACAGAAATGGAGAGGCCCGAGACTGCTTCTAATGGAACCTCGTCCCCTGTCGCGGTCCGGGCTCGCCAGTTCAAAGCCTTCTGTAGTAGTGGTATCACTGACTCGGGTGACAAGTCTTTCAGAACGCCTCGCATAACACCGGCAGCCAAAATGTGCGTCAGTGAGACTTCGCTCCCAACTTGTCCCTCAGGAGCCCCGCCTGGGTGAATCAGAGAAACATTGGCATGGCCGAACTGTGCATATGATCCTATTAGATTTTTGGCTGTTGGTCGCAAGGTAACGTCGGTTGGCGGGTCACCGATGAAGAAGTCGATGCAGTAGCTAGTATCCAAAGCGAATCGATCAACCAGTACAGCGATAGACCATTGCGTCTCGAGATTATTGACGTTCAGATCCCGTACCATGTCAAGGTCGACATTGCCAAAGGCATCGGCAACATTGGCTGATCTCTGCTTCGTCGCCCTACTAATGCGGCTGTGCGTGATATTCGTGCGAGGATTGTACTGGGTATTGATGAGACGCCGTAAATTGCTGGCCAGCTCAGCTTGAGTCTTGTTCCAGTCTTCCAGTCCAGGGTAGCCGTACCCAAAAGTCCTAATGCTACGGACGCCGTCGGTGGTGAACATAGTACTGCCCGCATCAGAGTGGAAAGGGGCCAATGCTTGTTATGTTAGTTTATGAATCCGCGCACCTTGTGACGGCACTCACCAGTGGAGCCAGAATCAATAAAACCTTTCGCTTCGTAGTATGAGCCGAACATGTTCACGGTAGGGACGATGTAACTAGTGGGATTGAGAATCTGCCACATGGCAACAAGGCGATCAACATTGACGTGGTGCAACCAGAACACAGGGTCAAAGCCTGCTGTTTCGGGAAACTCCATATGTCCATACCCCCCAACACTGTTGTGGATGCTGTTGTGGATGGCCTCGATATTGTTCAAGATGCCTGGATTGCCACCCGGATTGTTGCAAGAAAAAAGAGTGTAATCCGAGATCGTTGTGAACAACTGATATGTAAGAGAAAGCAGCCTGAGATGATACATTTAGCGTTGTGTCCACGACCAGATTCTTCCTCTTACCCTGGAGCTTGTGCTCTCAATGACGCAGTCGCCGCAGTTTGATTGCTTTGTTCCGTAGCATCATCATACCATCTAACGGTGGTTCCGAATTTTGCCAACTAGAAATCTATTAGTGCAAGCATTTCTCGTTCGGCATGAATGCGTACAGGATGTGAAGGCGGGAAGCCATTTCCTGCAGCGTTGGACTGGAAGTTATAACTGAAGAGCGGGTTTTCGACAGTCTGCAATCCTTCCGGTGTGTTCACAGTGATCTCGGGTTGAGTGACCACGTCTGGCAGAGCAGGATGCAATGCCCAATCCCAATACGGAAAACGCAAATTGAAGGCGGCTTGTTGGTATTGGTCGCGTTGTTCTTCTGGGAAGATGTCTGCAATTTCTTGCGCGTAGGTCCAGATGATTTGCTATCCACGATAAGCTCCCATTCAACAAGTATTCATGCAGACCGAACCTCGAAGAGTGCTACATAGGGCCGATGCCACATGGGAAATGGAACAGCGCTGTGTAGACAAAATCCAGCATATTGGCCTGTGCCCAACACGCCATCCCAAGGGACCTGAGGGTAACCATGAATGCCTGCTTGTTATGAGCCTTGGTAGCATATGGGCAGCCGAATATTCCAAACCTGAGATCTGGAAGTATGAAAGAGGTTCCGACTGGTTTGCAGCCTGGAAAGCCATCATGGACAGGATCAACAAATGGAAAGCAGGGCCAGAATTGGCGAATTCGTGGATTTCATAACGAAGTGGCCGCGCCCCAGTGGTTGAGTTCACACCACCCAACGCACCAGTCACTTTGAAGCCATGTAATCCAGGTGAAAGAGACAAGAAGAGCAGGAAGAGGAACAAGAAGAGTATCTTGGGGCTGGGTAAGACCGACATGTTGCCGATACTTTGGTGAAGGGTTATCGTGACGACGTGGTGGTGGAGAGGGAGAATCTTGACAGCAGAAGAATTTCCTCAGAGGTAAAATGAGAATTGAATCATAGACCGCGCTTCGCAATCTGGTCGTTTGACCATCAAAAGACAATGCCCATTTCGCACGCCCCTTGAGAAACCCGGGGACATCCCGTCGCGTTGGTGCTGGAGGGTCGGACAACTGCATCGAGTCGTGCACATTTGTAAAAGGTGATGGACAGGAGATGAGTCCATGTGACAGCGAAACGCTTCTGAAGACACCACCTTTGTTTCTGTGAATCTAGCTGAGGCTTCGTCTGGACCCAGTATAACACAGCATCTAGATCTTACAGTGTCCGTCATGGAGCATGCAGCCGTATCTCTGCACGTGTTTGAGATAATGATTAGCGCATTCTATTTCCAGTCGGCAGATTGCTTTAGGTAGGGAGCAGTCCACGGAAGTTCACCGAGGGATATGCTCCTGGTCCCTTCCGTTGTACGGCACGAATTGCAGTTACACAGGACAAGCTGCCTTGCCGGCCAGAAAAAGCTTGACGTAGAGATGGGGATGTCAAGGAGCCAGACCAAGGGCACCCGGTCATAAGAGATTCTTGACATCCTGGTGTAGGACAAAGCTGGCAGGATCTAGAATTGATAAGGAGCATCGTACAATGGGAAACAAATATCTAGCTAGAGACAGTGAGATTGAACAAGTTGGAACAGGCACAAACCAGACACTTACGTATCTTTAGTGCTCCCGGCAAGGCCGGAATGAGGACTTTTTGTTTATCCGAAGCTGCCGCCTAAAATATTATCTTTCTACATGAAGCCGCAGTCAAATATCCTACACGATACGAAATATCCCCTGCACCTTTGACCCCTTGTGTTATTGCAGACTCTGGTAGTGTGCAAGTCATCTAAACCTAATACCCTGCCATTGTTATATCCTCAACCCTCGCAGCCACAGCCATGGTTGAATATGTGCCCCCGCCACAAGATCTCTCCCAGCTGAACGCCGTCCAGAAGTACATGCAGAAGGGTCATCTGGACAGGGAAGACTACATTTGGCTGTTCATCATTGTTCTCGCATATTTCACAGCAAGGCCATATATACAGAAGTTCTTCAAATGGTGGATGGGCAGTGAAGACCAGAAAGAGGGCGAGGAGGTCATGACCGAATACTTCCAGTCCAAGGCCAAGGTCGGGCCGAACGCTATTCGAGGAACAGAATCTGAAGAGCCAAGCCTGATCCCAGAGAACGCTGGCGATGCCAACGCCTCAGGCAGCAATATAGACCAGAAGGGTGGCGTGGTAAACAGGAAGGCCAAAGGGAAATCTGGAGAAGAACAACTGTTAGATTGGGACGATGAACCAGCCAGACAGCCTACAGCAGGAGACAAGAACGATGTCGTTGCATGGATGGATAAGTGGACGAATGACACAGAATAGTATTCGACTCCTCATGGGATGTTCTCACATTTCTGAGGGCACAACAATCTGACCACCTTCATCGTCACCTATTCGATGCAACAATGTCGAGGATTGGGAGAAGACGCATCTCTATGCAGTACATACGGTTGGAAGCTCTACAACGGCTGGCTGCAATAGCTTCATGCTTCTGCTAACGGCATCGACAAGTGTTCATATCCTACTCACCATGCCACTTGCTGACGATGAATTATCAAAGAGACCAAATACCAGCAACCAAATATGGTAAACAGCGCTACGAAGATGCTTTACGGAGGATGAAACCTTGTAAAAACAGTACTGAAGGCATTGATACAGTATGCTCGAATATGAGCACGAAACCAAGCGTCTGCTTAATATGGCATTGCGCTGAAGAACGCATACACTCCGTACGAGTACCAGCCAAGTGGTTGGTGGAGAGAACACTGTACAGGGAACGGGACTACACCTTATCAACAAATGAACAAGTATGATAGACCACGTATTATTATTATCCCAGACCGGTCCTTTCTCTGAGCATTTTCATGGATCCTGAACGAATTCTCATCATAGTCGCCGTAGGCCCTCACTAGACTTGTAAGGCTGTTTCGCAAGGCTGAAACTGGCATGACGAAGCTTAACGCCGACAAATGGCATGCAGGGGTTTGTCTTGGCGGGAGATTGATTTGGAGACGTTGCAACTCGAACTGCGCCTACGTATACGAAATGCTCGCGAGGTGCTTGACATCAATGAACTGACCACACTCTTGTCCTTTACGTCTTGTTTTCGTTCTTTTTCTGGCCATCATGGCCGTTAGTACTGCCTTGGATCCTTTCCTTCGTGGAAGCATGAGTAAAAATACGAGGGGCCTACTTCGAATCATCATACTCCTCACTATTGCGGGTGCCGCAGTGTCCGCTCGTCTATTCAGTGTTATACGTATGTATCGACATGCCTTTCTTTGAGAGTAAGCCTATACTAACCTCTGATAGGGTTTGAGAGTATAATTCACGAATGTGAGTACGATAAGTGATGCTTCTACTACACAAAGAGCCCCAATCGCAATGTCCGCAGCTGCGCGCCCAAACCAACTGACCCTCTTCACAGTCGATCCCTGGTTCAACTTTCGTGCGACGAAATATCTGGTAGCCAATGGTTTCTACAAGTTCTGGGATTGGTTTGATGATCGTGGGTAAAGATCGAATGCTTGAAGAGCTTGGTGTATTGACAGAACGCAGGAACATGGCATCCCCTCGGTCGAGTTACAGGAGGCACCCTATACCCTGGTCTCATGGTAACTTCTGGTGTCATCTATCACCTCCTTCGTCTCTTGTCAATTCCCGTCGATATTCGGAACATCTGTGTCCTGCTGGCGCCTGGGTTCTCCGGTTTCACAGCTCTGGCAATGTATCTCTTGACGTCTGAGATGTCCTCTTCCCCGTCTGCAGGGCTTTTGGCTGCAGCATTCATGGGCATCAGTCCTGGCTACATCTCGAGATCTGTTGCTGGCAGCTACGACAATGAAGCTATAGCCATCTTCCTCTTGGTCTTCACCTTTTTTCTCTGGATCAAAGCCGTCAAGAATGGTTCAATCATGTGGGGAGCATTGGCTGCTCTTTTCTATGGATACATGGTGTCAGCGTGGGGCGGATACGTCTTCATCACGAACCTGATACCTCTGCATGCTTTTACCCTGATTCTGATGGGACGTTACAGTTCAAGATTGTACATCAGCTATACAACTTGGTACGCTCTTGGAACGTTGGCCAGCATGCAAGTGCCCTTCGTCGGGTTCTTGCCTATCAGAAGCAGTGACCATATGGCGGCCTTGGGAATTTTTGGTCTTCTGCAGCTTGTCGCATTCTTCAACTTTCTCCGGGACCAGCTTCCTGGAAAGCAATTCCAGACCCTCCTTGTCGCGCTAGGCGGAGCAATTTTCGGAATCATGTTTGTCGGCTTGATTGCATTGACCCTTTCGGGCACTATTGCACCTTGGAGTGGACGATTCTACTCCCTGTGGGACACCGGTTACGCTAAGATCCACATTCCTATCATTGCATCGGTGTCGGAGCATCAACCTACAGCTTGGCCGGCCTTCTTTTTTGATCTCAATATGCTCATCTGGCTATTTCCCGCAGGTGTTTACATGTGCTTCCGCAATCTCAAGGATGAGCATGTATTCGTTGTTCTTTACGCTGTCCTGGCGAGCTACTTCGCTGGTGTGATGGTCCGTTTGATGCTCACCCTGACACCCGTTGTTTGCTGCGCTGCGGCTCTCGCCATCTCACACATCCTCGACACTTATCTTTACATCCCAAGTCCCGTGGATGAGTCCAATGAACCCAGCAATGGCTCTGTGAAGGGCAGCAAGATCAGCGCCAACCCATCATTACGGTCGATCCGGAACCCCTTGATCGGAATTTACTCACTCGCCTCAAAATCTCTCATTACATCGATGTTCACGGGATTCCTCCTTCTCTTCGTTGCTCATTGCACCTGGGTTACATCGAATGCTTATTCTTCTCCTTCTGTTGTCTTGGCTTCAAGGCTGCCAGATGGATCCCAGCATATCATCGATGATTATAGAGAAGCATACTATTGGCTTCGACAGAATACTCCCAAGGATGCAAAGATCATGTCATGGTGGGATTATGGTTATCAAATTGGAGGAATGGCCGACCGTCCGACATTAGTTGATAATAATACGTGGAACAATACTCATATCGCCACTGTGGGCAAGGCGATGAGTTCGAGAGAAGAAGTCAGTTATCCTATTCTCCGCCAGCACGATGTCGACTATGTCTTGGTTGTCTTTGGTGGTCTGCTTGGTTACAGCGGAGATGATATCAACAAATTCCTCTGGATGGTCAGAATTGCGGAAGGTATCTGGCCGGAAGAAGTGAGGGAACGTGACTTTTTTACTGCGAGGGGTGAATACAGGGTCGACGATGAGGCAACTCCAACCATGAGAAATTCACTCATGTTCGTGTCCATCTCTAGCTTTATTGTTTGCACATTTACTAACCTGACCTTAGGTACAAGATGTCTTACTACAACTACAACCAGCTTTTCCCTGCTGGCCAAGCTCAAGATCGCGTCAGAGGGTCACCTTTACCTGCACAAGGTCCGGAGTTAAGCACCTTGGAAGAGGCATTTACCAGTGAGAACTGGATTATTCGCATTTACAAGGTCAAGGACTTGGACAATGTCGGGCGTGACCACCAAAGTGCGGTTGCCTTTGACAAGGGCCACAAGAAGAAGAGAAAGGCCGGATCCAAGAAAGGTGTAAGAGTGTTGAGGGAAGATTAAAAGCAATGAGATCAGATTATGGTCTATCAAGAAAAAAATGGTTCTACAGCTAGGAAGTTCTTCCTACACTAATAGCTTCTGGTGCCATGTTATGAATATTAGACATACGGAGAAATGATTCTCCAAAAGTTGGGCAATTCTATGTACAAGTTATATACCGATCATATCGGGAAAAGAGATAGGACAATTGTGAACAGTCATCTATAAAGCGACATCCCGTATGCTCGAGTATTGTCATTGATTTTTGAGTGATGATCGCCTTGATGAAAAAGGTCCTGGTGACAGTCCTTTAGAGCATTCAGCCTTGTCTGTTGAAAGCGAAATTCAGTAGCATTATATGGGATTTTTGAGACTTTTACAACAATGAATGCCTACTCCTTGATGGTGGTCGAAGTTCACCAGCAGGTTGCCGGCACTGTCTCTGGTCAAAGCTAATGCCGGAGAGCTTCATACCTGTCCATTTCGTTCGATACTAGTCGTACAATTGGGAATTTTCAACCCTTTCTTTGTTTGCCTTTTGTCTTCTTGGAGGGGGGACCGGAACATTTACTTCATGGCGAGGAGGCCCACGCCTCTCCTCGCAACGTCGACCGCACTCCGCAGCTGCTGTTCTTCCACGTCGGTCCACTTGACGCTCAGTTCGTCCCACTTCTTGACCTTGAACTCCTTGCGGTACTGCGCGTGGAGCTGCTGCAGGCGCAGGACGGGCCGCATGTCGTTCGTGCCGCTGTACGTGACCAACAGGGTCCGCGGAGGCAGGGCGGCGTACAGGGTCAAAAGACGTGACAGTGTTCGCGAGGCCGTTTGGCGCAAGGTCTCGGGGGACTCGGCCGTTTCTGGAGCAGTGGCGGTCGTAGAATTTGCTTGAGACGCGGCGACTGATCCAGAAGAAGCAGGTGGCTGTGCCGCTGGAGGGTTGTTCCAACCTCTCAGTGCCTCGAGTTCGCGTAGGCGACCCCAGACAAAGTCCACTCCTCCTGCAGGGATGCTTTGGCCTGTCGGTGTTGGTTGGCCCTTCACAACACCATCCTGTGGAGTGTTCTTGGCTTCCTTCGGATCCTCATTCCCATCGTTGGGCATGGGAGCATCTCCATGCGTGGCACGAATGATGCCCTGGAGAACCTCCTCGTCATCGACACAAGCAATCTTGTACGTCGCCTCCTTGCCAAAGCCCCTCTCGGGAGTTCCGTACTCGACGATCGCCGTCTCTCTGTGCTTGTTGGACCCGTCGATTCGCGTACAGCGCGAGATTCTCTTGAAGATACTCTCACCATTCGCGTCGAGGGTGCCCCAGCGAGGACCCTTTTCGCACTTCAGTTTGACCAAGTCGAGCACGGCTCTCGCATCCTCCACGCTGTCGTGGCCATTGGCGCCTTGTTTCTGAATCTCACGTTTGAGATATCGATTCGCGAGGAATTTGAGAGACGACCGCAGCGGCAGACCTCGCGGGTGCGGGTATATTATGCTCGTGTCCACGATGAAGGGGTGCGTGAGCTTCAGAGCATTCAGGTCCGATTCGAGGCTGTGGCCCAGAAGGATCGAATCTGGGCCCAGGATGGATAGGAGGCGCTTCTGGATGTCTGACAGGGTTGTGGTGACGTCGGCCAGGTGGGATTCTGTGATGCCGGAATATTGTGTAAAGTAGTTCTTGATGGGGAGATCGGGTTTGACGTACGAGTCCAACACCGTAGAGCCGGACCAGTCCATGAGAGAGATGCGAGCGAGCGAGGACTTGTCGTCTGTGGTGAGGACCATTTCACAGTCTAGGGCGTAAGGTTTGAGGCCTTGAGTCAGAGGGTCGTGCGATGAGATGTGGGTGCGGCGGCGGGAATGAGGTGCAGGAGGTGAGGACATGTTGTTAGTTCGAGGTGAGGTGATCGGATCGGGGGTAGACTTGACGACGGACGTGTCGACCCAGCCGTGAGATAACGACTGGAAAGTAGCCTCGCGTCGGGCGGCTTCCAGGGCTGCATCTTGAGGATTTGTGAAGGCCGCAGGATGAACTGGGTATTCTGCTTCTCGGAGCTCATCGGAGGTATGGATAAAGTGGGATATCGGCGTACGTGTATGCTGTGGAGATTTCTCTACATGTTTGTTCTTGGAGTTGGCGCTGCCGGAGGGAGGGACTGGTGCGATGAGCATCCCTTGCAGAGGGGAGTGAACTCTGTTCGACTTTGAGTCGCCAGGGGCTTTGATTTCAATTACGTGTTCAACAAGGCGGCCAAGGAGGGACTCTGGGTTTGTTGCCGATGCCGATGCCGATGCCCTCACAGCCTCTGACATGTCTGGCGGAGATTTGATGTCAGGCGTTGTCGGCGAGTCAGGAACGTTGTCTTCGGCGGACACGGCATTCGTATCGAGATCTTTGGGTATGGCCTGTTCGTAAAGAGATATTGCAGACTCGAGGATTTCTGGGTCTTCAAGCGTCACCCGGTCAAGGCCAGGGATCATCAAAACAACGATTTTGTTAATCTGTTTAGCATTGTTGACGGCCAGCCAAGTTGGTGCGATTCCATCGGCAAGAACGTAAAGAGCCAGCTCCTGTAGAGCCTTGAGCTGAACCCGAGCAGGTTTGGTATCCAGAAAGTTGATGCTGGGGTAGATCGTTGGATCTTCTCGAAGTCTGCGCCGTTTCTTCTTTCGTGATGATTTTGACTCTGCGACTGACCAGCCTTCGTCGTCGACCTGGTTCTCGCCACCGCGAGCATCTGCGGCAACATCGAGTTTGCGGCGCTGAGATAAACCGTTGCTGTGAATCTCATTCATGTTTGGTGTCTCCGTCACAGAATTCGCTACCTGGAATGGTTGTCCTGTGGATGTGGGAACCTTGACAGTGGGTTCAACATGTCCAGATGATGAGACGAACCCAGCATCGGTCGCACTTCTTTTACTGCCGACCATCATGTTGCTGTGCTGTTTGCAAGTTATGCTACACCATCTTTCGTCAATCTAAGCCGTCATCCGCGGACTGGCTCTTGGTGACGGAGTTATCAAACAAACAAATCTCAAATCTGGATCTAGGACAAGGGGCGGAAATTCTTGGCGAATATCAATCACGTGTAATTCTCCGCCGTTCGATGAGACATCCTCCTCCCTGCCTCTCACCACACACTAGCGAAATGCTGCGACAGCGGGATGGTCGAGCTACGATTACGTGGAAGTGTCGTATCCTGCCTTGGTAAAGCCTTGTTGGGCCCATCGTCTTCAAAGTCGCTGGGTAAGCGTCCTGGTCGAAGCACATGAATGGGTCACATCACGCAGGCATCCTCTTCTCAAACGGGCGCTCGGAACGAGGAAGAGTGACAGAACCCATATATCGCAACATTTGCCGTGTTCCGGATTGGTTGATGTACAATACGTTACTAAAGCAGACCTAATTGGCCTTATTGCAACCCGAGACTCGAGGCTGGACGCCTAAAGATGAGAATTTCTTACTTGGCCTGATGGGCACTTCGTCCCCGTAATGACATGGCTAAAGCTGCGACTGAGAAGGGGTATAAGTATTATGCGTCCTCCTATATCCCTCAGACACGAATAGCTACTTTCCGCGACTACAGCTTCGAGCTTGCTTTGGACCACTGACTTCGAACCAAGCCCACTCCATCGAAGGTGCAGTATGCCTTCTTTTGTACCTTTGAGTTGGACTTCCTGTGTCCTCTTGGCCACTGCTTCCCTGGTGGCATATACTCTTATTCTGACCATTCACCGGCTCTTCTTCCACCCACTTCGCAAGTTTCCAGGTCCAGTCCTTGCAGCGGCAACATACTGGTATGAGTTCTATCATGATCTGATTGCCCGGCCGTTTCCCGGACAAGGAGTGTATAATATCGAGCGTCTACATCAGAGATACGGTACAGCCAACACCCATGATCAATCCCTGTCAAATTTTTTCTCCCACCCCAAGCTCACGCTGAAACTGATGCGGATCAGGTCCGATTGTACGCATCAGCCCCGATGAGCTCTCCGTCAGTGACCCAGACTGGTTCGATGTGCTCTATAAATCTGGCCGCCGTAACAAATGGCCAAGAACTCGAAAGCCAACGGCAGTCCAGGTAGCATTGCCTCGACTGTTCCTTACCAACTGCACCGGGCCCGACGGGCGCCTCTTGGGCCGTTTTTCAGCAAGCGTGGCATCGACAACCTCGAAATCATCATACGCCAAAAGGTTGACCAGCTGACCCACGGCATTGAGGAGGGATACATGAACAGAGGGAGGATCCTGCCTGTCGGTGTGGCATTCACGGCTCTCACCCTGGACGTGATCAGTGATTATTGCTTCGGGCAAAGCTGGAGGTGCCTGTCCGCAGAGGACTTTGCTCCTGAATGGAAGCGGGTCATGACGAGCTTGTTCGAGCCGGTGCCCATTGTCAAGCAGTTTCCCATCCTGGTCAGGATCATGGAAGCGCTTCCGCTCAAGGTGATTCAGAGGTTGGATCCGGATATGGCGCTTTTCCACGGAGGAAAGCGTGAGGTTCAGAAACAAGTCGAGAGAGTCATCGCCGAATATGAAGATCGGGGTACTGGTGGTGGCGGTCTCGCAAAGTCGAGCGTTGGCCGCGAGACAAAAACGGATCCTGACGAGCAAGCCCCAGCACGAACGATTTTTCACACCGTCATGGATAGCTCTCTCCCAGCTGAAGAGAAGACGGTACCGAGGATCACGGACGAGGCGTACGTCATGGTTGTCGCAGGAGGCGAAACCACCGCTAAGACACTGACGAATATCATGTTCCATTTACTGACGAACCCGGAATGGCTTGGACGGGTGCGCGACGAGCTTGACAGTGTGATGCCGGATAGAAATGTGCTGCCTCACTATGGAGTCATTGAACAGCTCCCGTGCCTAGGTGCGTGCATCAAAGAGACGCTGCGTATCAGTGCGCCCGTGACGAACCGAGTACAAGTCCTAGATGCGGAGCATGAGCTCGTGTACAACGACTGGGTGATCCCAAAGGAGACTCCCATGAGCATGAGTGTAGTTTCCATCCACATGGACCCGCAGATTTTCAAGAATCCCTACAAGTTTGATCCCAGCAGATTCTTAGGCGAACAGGCCAAGGTGAGCAACGCATACTATATGCCATTTCATCGAGGATTTAGGAATTGTCTGGGCATGAAGTAAGTTGTGGCCGATATGGTTAATGCTCTCCTCCCGAAACTAAAATTCTTTCAGCCTCGCATACGCGGAAATATATCTCGGTACTGCGGCCATGTTGAGACGTTTTGACCTCGAATTATTCGATACCGTGAGAGAAAGGGATGTCGACACTGTCAGAGACTGCTTTGTGGGCATGCCGGTGCCTGGGTCGAAGGGGGTTCAGTTGAGAGTGGTTGGGAACCGAGCCTGACCAGGGTGACGATGTATAAAATAAGATAACCTGTCAAATCTCAAATTCAGTCGTACACCGTACGCACTTTGTTTCTCTTCTGGCAACGACTGATAATCCCTTAAAAAAAATAGAAATTGCCTAAACTATCATTGCCTCTTGCGTTTGTTGCCACCGGCGGCTTTGAAAGTGGCTCCTCGTCGGCTGCTGCGTGTGTCAGGTCGCTTTTTATGCTTCTTCTTCTTCGTGAGGGCGAATTTCGATGCACTGCTGGCACGATGGCCTTCAAAGACAAAGCCTGATTTCTTCTGATCACCTCCAAGGCTCTTCCTTTTGTCAAGATAGGAACCACCCTTCCTATTCGCCTGGTCCTTCTCATGCGGCTTGACTCGTGTTGATTTTGACGGCTTCATCTTCTTCGCTCTCATAACTCGCAATTTCCTGGGGAGCATGGGCGGAAATCTCTTGTCATTCATTAGCAGGGCAGCTTCGACGCTATTTTCGCTTTCGAACTGTACGTAAGCGAACCCTTTGCTGACTCGCGTTTCCTGGTCTCTTACTACTCGGACACTTTCCACCTTGCCGACTTTACCAAAAGTTCGCCACAGCCCTTCTTCGGCGTCTGCTGGTTCTTTGGCCCTAGGTCGACGTGGTTGATCATCATTCTGATCCGGTATAGCGTTCTCTTGGTTTACGAAAGTCAAATTGCCGATGAAGACGCATCTCCTGTGATCTGTGGTGGATGGCTGACCGAGATAATCGGCCCTGAGATGTCGGTCTAGGACAATAGTACCGTTAAGCTTTTTCGCGACTCGCTTTGCCGCAGTTTCTGTTGTAAAGACAGCATAGGCATTAGTATTAACGGTTGTCTCGTCCATCAACTCTTTCTTAGCGAAGGTGGCTTTCTTTGGACCAGAACCACTAGCATAAGCAGTTGACCTGAACCTTACAGACTCAAGCCTTTCTGGGGTTTCGCCATCTCTCGTTTCCTTAAGCGCAGACTGTAGATGCTTCTCTAGAGTTCGTCGTGCAACCTTGGATTTGATAGCCTCTGTTGAAACATTTCCCAGGAAGACAGTCCTGCTGATTCGACTTTCATCGTCCGACTTCTGCGTCAGTGTCTCGTGTCGCGGTATTTCTTTCGGCACAGGTGCCGTGTCCTCGTCTGAGATATCTTCGAGGTCGGAATGTAGTGAGTCTTGGTCGCCGGAACTTTGGTCATCATTGTCGTTCTGTCGCGGCTTCTTCTGCTGACGTTCTTTTTCTTCCTCGCGCTCAAGACGTTCAAAGTACTTTTCCTCGAGGTCGTCTGCATCTTTTGCACGCTTCCGTTTCCGAGGTCGTTCGTCGCTGCTGGAAATTTGTATCGAGGTATCCTCTTTCGTCTCAGCGCCGGTGGCTCCAACTTTTTTGACGTCGTCGCCGTCGATGCCAGACGAGATATCATCGTTGACAACGGGTTCTAGCGCAGGCAGCGGAAGTCTCTTGGGTATTTTAACAGGACCGGACTAGAAACAAGTCAGCTAGAAGTGTGCGCACATAGGCTACAAACGTACACTGGCAGCAAATAACGAGGCCAAAGCAGGATCGACCGAGTCGACTTTTGCTGCGAATGGTGCACTAGGAGCCGCCCGCTGTCCCTGTTTCTCTTTTTTTGATTTCGCCATGGTGAAAACGAGATTTCAGTGAATCCAGTCCAGCCACTTCGTCACTGCGGTCGAGGTATAACCTGTAGTTGTAGCTACTGGAATTTCATTACCACATTTTGAACTGAGGGTACAAAAAATTATGGTGGAGAAAACCTGGCTGGGGATAAGGCTGCCACTAGCGATTAAAGCCGGCACTAACCGTACAGTGCGAAGTAACTCTCTGTATGGGAGAAACACGGCGCCCATGACGCTTTTTGCGCCTGCGCAGTGACTTGGGGGCTTCCATCCTTCTTTCTCCACGTCGCCAACACGCTTTCAACAATCCTCTACGCCCTTCACTTGCTATCTTTGAGGTCTTGAGCTGCTATCGCTCTTTCATTTGACCACCTAGTTCTCCTTGTGACTTACACTCCACACGACTTTGGACCTTACAACCCTACTCGAGATTCCCTCCTTGCCCCGCGAGTTCTCTCCGTACAATCCTTTCTCAACCACGCTAAGTAACGTCGAAGGGGAGCTGCGAAGAGAAACTTGTTCCTTGCCGTCCAGCTATAGCATTGGACTTCTCGAAGTTGAATGCAATAGTAAAATCACGTCTGCCGGGTTCAAAATCACATCTTGACCGCACTGTGCGTCTGAGCTTGAACGGTTGCGCCCGACCGAGAAGAAAACGTCAAAACCATGCGACTATAGCCATATCCAAATTCAATATCCTCGAATACGCCTTTCCGCAAGATTCAGCGGGCGAAGTCCTAGGAAAGCGTGTTTTTCACCTTTGGCAGTGTGTCGTTGACGCATGGCTAATTAGCCCAAGCTACTCGAATCGTATCCGCACATCTTCCAACACTCGCGCGACATCCCTCCAAAGTCCACAAGGCCCATCATGGACTCCGCCGCTGATTCCCTACTTGCGCTTTCAAACACGGCCGCTGCCATAGCCGCTAATGATGAGCCCCTCTCGGATGACGACCGCTCTAGCAGTCTCAGCGAATTAGATGACAATCTAGAAGATGTTGAAGAGGAGGAAATGGAAGCACAAAGACCAGGCGATGTAGATTCCGAGGCTGAGACCGAGCGTTTGCAGGTCACTCCTGACGGAGTGGTCAAAAAGAAACCTTTCGAGGTTAGCCCCAGCAAGCTAGTCCAGAGAGAAGATGTTGATATGAGACCGGAGATCGAAAGCTTGACCGGCAGTCCTGTCTCGTCTCCAATCTCGTCTCATGCCGATTCCGATCTCGATGGCGAGCTGAGCGATGCACCGGAAGCCGAAGATGAAGTTGATCAAGAGCCTGAGGCAGCCACGGGGAACTCGCCCAACAAACGAAAGAGACAGGAGAGCGAGTCAGATCCCGAAGAGGCTCCTCGGTCACAAAGACGTAGGACTGGCTCGCTGGAAAGCGGGCAGGAGAAATCCGAGGCCGAAAGTGAACATGAAGATAGCCACAGACCAAGTCGGGAACGCACAAACGACCCCGAGGTTGAAATCCAGGGCAATGAGGTCGAAGAAGCTGAAGAGCCCGAGGAAGAGTCAAAAGAAACCGAGAAGCTCGAATCGAGTGAAGATAACAAAGAAAAGCCCCGGAGCCGGTCCCGAAGAAAGGCAAAGGGGGATATAATAGAGGAGCCACAAGCCGAGGAAGAAGATGAAGCAGAAGGAGCTGAGGAGAGTGAGGCCGTGGACGAGAACGATGCCGAGGCAGCAGCCAAGAGCGAAGAGGAACAAGCGAGAAGAATGGCTGCCATGGAGGCGTTAACATCATTAGAGAAACACTTTGCGGCTCTACGAGATCGCTTATATGATGAGAAGATTGCAGCCATCAACCATGAGTTAGCGCTGCTCCAAGAATTGCGACCGGCACACCCTGAACTACTGCGACAAGTGGAAGCGGTGCAGAAATACCGGGACGAGAAGTTCGAGGTTGAACAGAAGCTTTTGGTGTACAAGGTCGGTGCGCTGAAGAACAAGGCTGTTGCAGACCGAAGTCAGATCCACAGCCAGTATTTCCAGACTGTCCGAGACATTCGAGAACGATACCTAGAACGAATTAGCGAGCACTTCTATCGAATTCAACGGGACAGATTCAAGGCAGATTCAACAGTGCCAAATTTTACCATTCCTTTCCCTGAGAAACGGTCTCAACAAATTATTCAACAGACAGCATACAACAAGGAGGTGTCGATATTATCAGGTGTTGCCAAATACGTGGGCTTCCCTGCAGCCCCAGAACTGGCCTCTTCCGCGCAGAAAGACATTCAAGATGACATGGCAAAAATGGGTGTAAGCAGAACTATTCTCATGACACTGCATTGACTAAACATTCTCAGATATCCGCGTCCCAGATTCAACCCATCAGAGCCACGCGACCAGTACAAAGTACAGCTGCGGCACAAATATCTGCACCTCAGGCAGAAGAACAATTTCTAGAGCAAACACCGTGGGCCAACCCACAACATCCAATCCACCGACTCAGTCGACAGAATTCAAATCGATCCCCGACCAACGAGTTCCTCACGCCAGCGCATCAGCAACGCACGACAGAAGCGGCCCAGCCACATGGGTCCGCTTCTACCATCGCTGATCCATCGGCACAGATCTCGTCCGCCATCAATACGCCGAATGATGGACCGAGTAGTGCCACCCAGGTAGATCATCCAGCAGGGTCCACCTCGAATTACAACTATCAGCTACATTCCGCCTCACCCCTCGACACACGCGACATGCAAACAAAAGACTCGCTCAGAGATATCGGGTCGTCGCCTCTAAACTCTAGGGCGCAAGTGCTGTCGCCTCGAACGGGTACAGCTCGACTCGATGTGAGAAGGTCGGGAGTAGGAAATGACTCGCCATTCAAGTCCAAAGATGCAGGAGCAACAGCTATAACGGCTGGGTCGGGTTTTGGGGGAACAGGGAGATTCCGGGTCTAATTTTGTTATTGAGCGAATCACTACGCCAGCTTTGTGGCTTTACGAAAGACGATAGAAAGTGGAGGAAATCGAATTCGAATTGAACTTGGAGGATAGCAGGACTATAATTGAAATAATGGTTTATGTACATTCCTGTGATGATGGTGGATGAAATGATGGCTTTGTGCTATGTTCATAATCACAACCACAGTCACAAGGCCATTGTTGAACGAAACTTGTACGATATAAATCTTGCTCAGTCAAATGCTATATGTCCTCCTGGTAACTTGACTACCTCCTTCATCTCAGCTAGTCTATGATTCCTGGATATTGTTCTCCCCCTCCTTCTCAAGGCCATTGTCATTTTCTCTGGCTTATCATCAATCGTTATTTTTTCTTTCTGTGGGATCAAGTTAGGTCAGAAATATATATACAAGTGCCTATTCTCGTATTGAAACAATGCCTGTCTGCAAGAGTGGCGTGCTGTTGTAGTTGTGGTGCGCTCCTCACAGTGTCTCCTGACGTTGTATAGATACAATTTCAACATACATATTTGTGCCACCATATTTCTGTATTCGTGTCCGGTTCCATCTTCGCTCTTATGAGAACTATTGTGGTTCTGTCTCGGTGTCGGAAGTTTCCCTCAAGGGATTCGAATGGTGTTGGGAAACTTATGTTTGGGTAGTAGCTTGAGTGATTGAGCGGAGTATCTCTCTCATCTTTCGTCTTTCATCTTCTTCTGCTTCTTCTCCAAAATGGGGTACTGCACCGCAAGCGCTCTCCCGGTTACAAAGGCGAGTCGTCTGGCAATGGTGACGGCGACAGCGACAGAGGTGATGGTGATGGTGGGACCTTTCACGATCTCATTCCATTTGCTTGCGCCGTGGGTGTCTTTGGGGATTGTTTCGCAGCAGGGGCGTCTGGAACGATCACGTCGTCGAACGAATCTTGACCGACGGCGTGGAGGGTGAATGCGACTTTTGGGCAAGTAGTTGTGTTAGCAATCCGCTCATCGGTGTTTCCCTTTGACATATAAGAGAGACATGAAGAGAAAGCATGTATACAGGTGTATGTGTAGACCGTAAATTTTTGACTTACAAACTCCAATTGCGAATCCAAAGATGGCTACTCCCGTGACCATGTTTTTGAACAAGTACGGACGTCTTGCTCGGTTGAGCGCGGCTCCAGTACGGTAGTCGGGGTGGTAATATGAGGATCTCTTGAGACTGTGTGAGAGAGAAATAACACATCAGTGTTCAAAGTTCGTCTTTAGGTACCTCGAGAACGATTCATGACCGGGCGGCGGTGTGTGAAGATCGAAAAGAAAGGTAAACTTACATGCCCCGTTGGAGGGGGAGGGTGGGATACATCGCGGAAGAGCTGGAGGAGGGACTGCTAGAAGTGTCGACAGTAGATGGGGTTTGGTGTTGAAGGTCTAAGACTCGATGGGACTGAAGAAGTTGGGCGGTATTGTGGTAGCAGGTGTAGGTTGAAGTCGAGGTCAATGGTTTGTTTGTTCCGGAGAATTGTAACTGTAGGTTGGAGATCGCAGAAACAGAAGTTCGTGGAGTTGCGTGATTTTCCGCGCTAGTTTTTATCCACAGCTTTACAACAGGGATAGCAAGAATAGATAAACAATATTTTTCTAGACTGCAATCTTTCACATTCGAAAATGCTACATAACCAGCTACATCCCGCTTAAGGTCCACCTTCATCGTCATCATCATCAAGAAGAGAATGCCCCAAATTGTCTCAAGATCTGCCTCAATATCAACCAATATATACCATTTCAGTAGATATCCAAGTCATTCAAATCCATCTCGAATCTCCAAGAATCTCTGATATCGGCCTCGCGTCCAGCGTCGAGCCCTCTTGCCCCAAATGATCATGGGCAGCGTGGTCATCAAGAAGACAAACGCTAAAACACCAATCGCAATGAAAGTGTTCTGCACGCCACTGGCTTTAATCCAGTCCGAGGCAGTAAAAGTAAAGATCAAAGCGATGGAGTTGTTGATGGTCGCCACACCCACCATGCCTTCCAACACCATCTCAGGATAGGCGTCCATGAGATACGCCATGCTCAAATCACCAGCGCAGCCCCAACCAAACCCGATGAATCCAAGGCCGACATAAGGCGCCGGCCAGGCCCATCCGTGAGCTGTGCCTATACCGAAGAGCCAGAGGCCAACAGGGAAAATGCAGGCGGTAGGGAATAGTAGCCACAACCGTTGCTCAGCTTCCATGATACCGCCGTTGCGTTTGGCCATCCACATCACAAACTTGTCACTGGCCCATCCACCGTAGAAACAGCCAATGACTGCTCCGATCAAGCAGGGAATGTTCATGTTTCCGTCTGCAGCGTCAGAATAGTTCCAGGGCGGTTTGAACCATTCGTCTTCCGATACAGTCAAGTAGAACGTGAGCCACGCATCTTGGGCCCCCCATTGTAACCCCGAGTACCACACGGCGGGAAAGCCAAAAACCCCGAGAATGTGCCATAGACGCTGGAAGTATTGCTTGAAGCCGGTGCCTTTGAGGTTAGGTGCAGGCGTGATTATCCGATGCCGTTCCCAATAAGACTTTGGTCTATCATCTGCGCCATTGGAATGCTCCAAACTGGAAGGAGTTTGGTCGGAACTGGCAGCATTCTTTTCCTTGCTTGGTTCTGCCTGATTCTCTCCAGAGTTGTCGCTCGCGGTTCTGTTGACTCCATCAATTAGGTACCGCTCTCCTCCGTTGATCAAGTATTTGGGTCGTTGAAAGGCGGTTTCTTCCAAGCCGAAGAGAAAGACGATGAATGTTGCACCCGAAAAGATGGCCCCAAAATAGCCAATCCACCGCCAACCCAGGTTGCCGTCGGCGATGTAGCTTGCAATCAGCGGGCCGAGGTACGTTCCGACACTCGTTGCTAGGACGTATACACCGAGAACTGAACCACGTTGGTGCTGGAACCACAGGTCCATCAGCGACAATTGGACAGTTGCTTCACACACTGACTCAGATGCGCCGACAAACAACTGATTCCAGACGGCATCGCTGGTAGTCTGCCCTCTGGCAAACCAGATGCCACCAATCAAGCCAAACAACATGCAGATGAGATAGAGAATCCGACGGCCGTACAGGTAGACCAGAGGAGACGACAAAAGACACCAGTATCCAATGGCGGCGAAAAGGATACCAGCGCCTGTGTTGAAGGAGGCATAGCTGATGCCCAATTCCAAGTTCTCGTTGTTTTGCGCTGCACCTGCATCGTTGGAGGTCGCCGCTGTCAGCGCCGTGACAAAGCAGACCAGGACACTGTGCCAAATCTTTCGTGGTAGAGACCAATGAAGAGGATCATTCGGCGAGTCGGTTGGCTGAGGCACAAGCACAATGTCGCCATGCTTCTTTAGGCCTGTCCCTTCAGTGACGAGCGGGTGGCCATGCTCGTCATAGAGCCGAAGAGTGCCTGGAATGAGTTCCTCCATAGAAGTGATGCCGGCGGACGAGGTATTCACGACGAGGAAGTCCAGGAGCGGAAAACAACATACAACATTGGGATTATTTCAAAGTCAGCGGGGTGGCAGTTATACATGAAGAGGCTAAGCGAAGCTGTGGTGGCCATTATTGCTAAGGTCGCATTTTGCTACACCTTATCGTGTGGGCACTACTCCGTACAGCAGGGATATCAGAGCATTTTTCGGCATGGGGGAAGTTGTCACGTTCGCAACATGACGGCAGAGGCTTCTTAGTGGACCTCCCAACCCCAGGCTTATCAGTAGTGGCGAGCAGAAAAGTAATGTATATCCGTAGTCAGAGTAAGCGAAATCCCGTGGCTGCTTTGCCCCAGCTTCAGGGCATTGGCCGACACGAGGAATCGGTATCTACGGCAATCCTGGTCGTCTGTAGTTCCCGCAAAGGTACCTAGTACTGTACCAAGTCAAATGGAGTCCGGAGTACTTATTACGCGTACACATGTTCCTCATCTCCCTGTGCACCCGTAGTGCGAAGACAATCTGATGCGATAACCACAGTCTGGTCCGGGAGATCGGATCCTAACCAAGCATCGGGCCCCAGTTGCTTGACCTTGGTGCTTATTAGGTGCCTAACGGTGATTGGAAACACGCCCATTTCCGCGGCCGATAGCGCTAAGTCTGCCCCTAGAGACACACGTTCCAGGCTCTGATAAGCAGGTTTTGGGGCGATCGTTTCTCCCACTTCCCCCCACGCGTCTAGCTTCCCTATCCGGCTTAGTGTCTCTGGTCCATGCCATTCTCCCCCCTTCACTATGCCTTCACACCCTTTCCGTCCATCATTCTTCCTCTTTCCTTCTTCATCCTCAATCAGACTATTAGTCGTGTTCGTCCTCCAAAGGATAATCCATCCCTTAGCCCCATTGCCACCTTCAAGCCTTGCTCTGCCACGTTGGCATTACTGACCCAAAACCCTTGTCCATACGCGAATGTCGACTTGCCAACTCAGAATGGCACAGCATTTCCATATCGGCCACCTTTCGGCCCACAAACCCAAGGAGACATCTAGTCCTTCGACCATCCTGCAACTCGCTACCCGGCTGCTGCCTGCGCCTGGGCATGCCGGCCTCAAAGAGTTGGAGGGTGGTCGAAACCCGAAAGAACCTGTGGCTCCATTGCTGCAGGATAGTGTTGTGAGTGAAGAGAAGTGGGAGGCAAACCATCCACCACCGGATGGGCTCCCCAAGCAAAAGAAAGTCATCGTAGTCGGTGCCGGTATATCTGGCCTTCGTGCTGCATCCGTCTTGAGAGCTCATGGTATCCAAGTCGTTGTGCTCGAGGCCCGCCCTGATCGCATCGGCGGACGTATCTATACGAGCAGGAAATCAGGACATACCCCAAGAGACATTGGTAATTATTGCCTCGAGCAATACTGACAATCGCCGTAGGCGTTTGACATGATGTCGTTAAGAGCGCTCATTGTTTACCCACGACCATTGCGGATTGTTTTCCGTGTCGCTGGCCTTTTACTCACACTGCTTATAGGTGCCGCCTGGATGCACGAAACTGCAAACAACAAGCTGGTTCGTCTCATAGGCCAGCTCAACATTGAGCATTACTATGACGACGGAACGCCTTTGTACCTCACCAAAGATGGACGTCTCGGCTCTCAATTCAAAGCCAAAAAGGTGGCCGACGAATTTGCCGACTATTGTACCTGGTACTATGAGGAGAACCCTGACGCTGCTGACAAACCTGCCCTCGACTTCATCAAAGAATGGCTTGAGAATCATCCCTTGGTGACCGAGGACGAACGTCTCTGGGCTCCGCAAGCTGCTCGTGAAGTCGAGGCTTGGATTGGGACCAGTCTCGAACAGGCCTCTTCGAAACACCTTGCCTATTTCGCAACTGAAAGAAACCTCTACATGAAAGGAGGGTACGATAGAATTATTGACTGGGCTGCTACCAGTCTCCGTGATTCCGACATTATCCGACTCGGTCACAAAGTCACCAAGATCGATTGGACTGACAACGAAAACGAAGATTGTAAAGTGCATGTCACCACTCCTGACGGCAAATCCTCGACGTTTGTTGCCGATGCCGTCGTCTGTACGCTCCCTCTGGGCGTACTCAAGAATAATTTGGTTGAACTTAATCCTCCAATGCCTCAGAATCTTTCATCCGGCCTCGACAAACTTGGATATGGAGCTCTTGGAAAGATCTTCGTCGAATTCGAGTCGGTCTTCTGGCCCAAGGACAACGATCAATTCATTTACTATCCTGAGCCGAACGAAGAAGTGGATGAAAATTCCATTCTTTCCTACATGACCGTCACCAGCAACAACTGGATTATGGGCGGTAGCAAAGAACTGTCCGTTCAAATCGTCGAGCCGCTCACTCAACGCATCGAAGCTATGACTTCCGAGGCAGAGGTTTACGCATTTTTCGAACCACTTTTCAAACTACTTCGTACCGAACCTTACAAGAAGCTTCCTCCAGTCGTGAGTCTGGAAACGACACACTGGACTCAGGATCCTTTTGCCGGGTTTGGTACCTATACAGCAGACAAGACGGGTGATGACCCCGAAGTTTGGTTCAGTGCAATGGATAGCAACAAGGGCAGCAAGCTGCAATTCGCCGGAGAACATTGCGCGCGGACTGGAAATGGATGTGTGCATGGTGCATTTGCTACTGGCGAAACTGCGGCCGTCAACCTTTTGGCTTCTTTTGGAATCCCCCACAACGGTGGAGATCTTTTCAGTAGAAGACCGTCAAGGAAGACAACACCACCTAGACATTGATCGACTTACAGGCACTGGAAGGCTTCCTTTGTCTGCCAGTTGAGAATGTCTGGGGAGGTAGCACTTTCTTGAGTTGGCTGATGGCTGACCTTGAAGTGTTGGGCTGAAATATGTCGGGCACAGATTGTTATTCTTGCTTTTTGTCTTTGGTCTTGTTTCTGTTTGACTTACACTCGTTAAGATTTGAATTGTTCGTTTGGTCATCAGACAGATAGAGTCGTTGAGGCACCAATTGTCTCCGATCTTGTTTGTATACCGTATGCATGTCGTTGCAGACTAGGTCAATTTGCTACCATAGTTTCTAGTTTTATAGGCAATCATCAATGCAATCTTTTAAAAATCATTCGTGCTCCTTTTGCATTTTCCTAGCTTTCCTACTGAGTTCGGATGGTGAGGTCATGTGTTTTTGAAATCCGAAACTTGGGCCAGAGGCATCAAATGAAAGTCGGCGTCTCGACATCTCTCCTCGACCATCCTCTCGGCCAGGGCGATGTTGGCTTCCGGGAACCCTTCGTCGCGCAGACTCTGGTAGTACGCCGCGACCAGGTCCTTGCCGACCTGCCCGAGGTCGTAAACCACTCCCGGGTTGGGTGACGGTCGAATGACCCAGACCAATGTCAATGGGGGGTCATCCGGTTCCAAACCAGGTTGGACGTGTGCACTCAAGATCTGTCGAATTTCGTCGTCGTCGTCGTCTCCTTTTCCCTCGACTTCACCTTTCGGCCGACGTCTGAGCAACACCACCGCCACACCTCCCGTCGACGTGTGGATCTTTGATCGTTCCAGGGCGTAAGAACGAGATGAGGCGTCGACGCCGTGGTCGGGAGGTTCTGTTTCAAAAAGCGTAAAAGGGACGTGTGTGGTGTGATTCTGTGGGTGGACTCGGGTTCTGCTGTTGCTGTCGATCCCAGACCCCGTGGGTATAATATCATTGGGTGCTCGTACGACCAGTGATTTTGCCGGTGGGAATGAGAGAATGGTGGACGCATCGGCCGCAGCTACGGCCAGGACGAACGTGTGTAAAACTTCCGACATGTCTTGTCGTCTCGAAGAGGGTCGGATGTAGATGTATTGGAGGTAAGGTACGGCGAGTGCAGGAGGTGAACCACCGGTGGTCGTGCTCGTCGAATCAAGCCCGTCGGCTCTGGTCGTATAATCGTCACGAACAGGAAGAGGAAGAACACTGAACTGTGCAGCTCCTATGGCTTTGCCTTCTCTATCGCGTAAACCGACGATGCGATACGGTGCGAGTCCCGTGCGAGTGTTTGCCGCTTGGGCAGCGAGTCGGGCGACTATCAAATCCGAGTTCTCTCGCTCGGGGCGCTTTGGGAAACTGGAAATGTACAGGTCGTCGTAGAGAGTTGCAAAATCCGTCGACGAGACGAGTTCGATCAACCCCAGGTTGGGAAGGGCCGTCTGTTGGAGGCGAGAGAGCGGCGTGCGGCACAACGAGTCGACGTCGATCGGGTTGGGTGTGGACGAGAGGTGAGAAGCCAAGGACGGCGAGAGGTATGGTGTGAAGATTGACGGCGTGCTGGACGGCTCAGGGCCATCTTTGGACATGGTGGTTGTAGAGAGGATTTGTCGTTCGGTTTGTATCATTGTAGCACTCCAAAGTGTAAGAAGCTAGCGTATGTGTAATGGCGTTGTGGTATATAGAATTTTTGCTTGTCTACCGATACATTGCGGTGAGCAGAGTGCTTGTTTGTCAAATTGGTGAGGGACCTTTTTCCAAGACTATAGTCGTCACTTTAGAAAGTAGTGATGTATCATTTTCAGGAAAGAAAAAGGATAAACGTATGGAGTACTACTATTGTGGTCGTCCTCGAGTACCTGATATGTCGACATTTGGAAGCGCGATGATCTAGACCCATGACGGAAGTTTGATGCGGTTGGCGACGCTAACTCGTAGTTTAGATTATGGAGTTGGTTATGGAGTACATGAGAAGACAAAAGAATATAAATATAATACTTGGCTACTTCCTTCCGACACCATTTATCGATACGACATCAAGTTGTTTTCAGACTTTCAGTTCGGTGAATACTCATTGCTCAACATTCAACACATCATCGTAGGCGTTAATGAGCTGAACGCGACACCTTCCTGCCTTGCACATACTAAGTATATATTCACCCAAGTGATCCACCCTCGTACTCTACAGTACATATATTTAAACCGGTCAATTTTGTTGCAACAAAGAACAGCCTTGATGGCCCACTAGTTAGACTCACCACGTCGCAATGCGTCTTTGGCCTAATTGGTTTGGAGGTTGGGCTTATCCTTGGAAACCGGCTGCTTAGTGGGATTAAACTGGGAGTCTCAGCGGTTTCCATGACTACTGTAGTATCTCTGGTCATAAAGAGGTATGAAGGTGGTCATAGTCGGGATAAGTAATAGAAGAGCCGGGGGGTTCGAACGTCCAAACTTTTTGTTCCTCAAAATATATGTTTTTGTTTCTTCTTTCTGAGGACGGGGAGGGCGGTGAGTGAAGGTGGTGAAGACAGAACTTGATACGGCAAACTAGATCACGAGGTAGCCTCAAACGGTGGTTCCCTTCCGCTATCTCATCCTTCATTCAGCGGATGAGGATAGCCAGCGACCACTATTGTCGCGAGGTAGCGTAGAAAAAACGATCGCCGGCTTGTGTGCATGGCCAGGAGGATGCGGATTATGTTGCGCTTAGCTCCTGCTGGGGTGGCTACACCTACTGCAGGACTCTCGGCTCAAGTGTCTTCAGGGAAGCAGTGGATTTGACGAGAGCCTTGAAAGTTTGATATCTGTGGACCGATGCACTGTGAATCGTCCAGGACGACAAGAGTGACTGGAAACGAGGAGCAGCAAGACTGTCCGACATATACTACTATAACACCGTTTGTCGATTCGCTGTCACATCCTCCAAATGCCCTCTAGAAGGATTCTTCCAACCAAAACCGATGACATCTCCGTGCCCGTCCCACATCTACAGTACACCGACCGTAAAGACAATGCTACTTCTCATTCGCCAATCGATTTACTCCCTCACCGCAGGAACTCCCTTGTACCACCTAAGGAAGAGCACCACATCGCTTACCAACCCTGGCTAAAAAATCCCGAGATATTCAGTCACTGCCAGCTAGCCTATGACAGCGACCGGCTCGCGGCTTTGGCGGGACTCATCACAACAAAACAGATGGACGAATACAAAGGCGTCAGGAACTTGTTCGGACTTTGGGAGCGCGACCTACACGTTGAACTTTGCTGGGTGGCCAACATCTTCGCTGGTACTGGTGTTTTCAAGGGCCTCACGTTCCTGCAACATCTTGCTCTGCCGTCATGGACATGAATGGCTTACGAAGGACCCATCAGCTTCGTTGAGGACCGGCGATCAAAGCGCGACGAACGAAAGGTCCAGGCCCGACCAGTCAGGGCGTTTGAGCTGCTCGAAACCCCAGTGCCGGACATGATGACGTCTCTTCCTCTGTCGAGTCCGGCGTCGGTGTCGACCTCGCTCCGGCCGGTGCATGCGATATCCAACCTGCCGAAAGATTTCTCAAGCCACCAGAACCGCGAAGACTTGGCCGGGGACTCGCCTTTTCGATTCGATCCCAAAACTCGAACGAGCTGACCCAAGCACGACCATTTTATGATGAATCGGGTTTCTGTGTTGGAGATATATCGCTCAGTGACCCATCGGAAAGCACAAGTCGGCTCTACTGTGGCCATCTTTCGGTGCTGCGGGATGTTGACCATAGCAGGCTCAATGAGATGGGTGAGAATGGCGACGCTCCGGTGGCATATCCGGACTACATCTTATCGTACGCTTTGGTGTTGAGACGGGTTGCAATGGGAGTGGAGGGTAATACGTACCGCCGGGTTGGACTAGTCCAGCTTGATTATCTGTGGTTGAAGGAAGCTCCAAAGACGGTGGTCAAGCTGGTTTGAATTGTTCCCGCTCCCAGGTGATGGTGGTTGGGGTTGAGTTGCCAGCCCTGGAACGGAGGGCTGTTATAGCCCTCATTCTAGTCTTCAGTGTCGGTACCTGTCCAGGTAACCCTGGTAAACCCAGTCAAAAAGCACTCTACTACTGAATTGATAGGGGTAAGCCGTGCGATGATGAAGTATCATATTACGACGATATAATTTGTGATCACGTGTCATGCATATTATATAAGCAAAGCTTTCCTATGTCAGCCAGTGCCCTTGAGCCTCCGATTTGTTCACGTAGAAAACTCGGGACAGATTGAGGCGCCATTTTCCCATTGTAATTGAGAAGCCTCGGTGCACCGAAAAGCGTGGTCAAAGCAAGGACAGTAATAAGAAACTACTTTAGAGTGCTAAGAAAGCCGTCGAGGACGATCCGCCATCTGTACTCTCCCTCCTACGCACATGCTTCGATCTTCTGTCGCGAGATTTAAACCTGCTCCCTTCAGCCGTAACAAGAGCTTGACTTGCATCCAGCAGCGTCTATCGTCATTTCACCGCCAATCGTCACTGCAGCAAACACCCCGCGCCGCCCTGGCTCCCTCCACGCAGACGCAAAAATCTACTCCCTCTCCTCCTCTCCGTTCCTCCTCCGCCATCATAGCTTCCCAACGTTCTGAAGCGATATCGAGGCATCTTTCGACCGCTCCGTCTTCTTCTCCCAAACGCACAATGTCGTACAGCAAACAGCCCTCAGAGTTCCAGCCCCGAAAGGTTGGCGCTCTGCACACCGGGGACTTCAGATGCTACATTGAGGACAAGACTGGTACTCCTGTCTCACCGTTCCATGACATTCCTCTGTATGCCAACGAGCAGCAAACCGTTCTGAACATGGTTGTCGAGATTCCACGATGGTCCAATGCTAAGCTGGAGGTTCGTGCTCTGATTTTTCAAGTTCCGTTCGCCCGCCACGTGGTCACTAACAACTTGATAGATCTCGAAAGATGAGTTCCTGTATGCGGCGAAGCCTTCCTACTCTGTCTAGACGCCGATGCTGACCTCCCCGCAGGAATCCTATCAAGCAGGATGTCAAGAAGGGCAAGCTGCGATTCGTTCGCAACTGCTTTCCTCACAAGGGCTATCTCTGGAACTATGGTGCTTTCCCAAGAGTGGGTGAACATTCGAGAAGGACATATACAGGACACTCACAATGTACAGACCTGGGAAGACCCCAATGTCGTCCACCCTGAGACCAAGGCCAAGGGCGACAATGACCCGCTCGATGTTTGCGAGATTGGTGAGCTTGTTGGCTTCACTGGGCAGATCAAGCAAGTCAAGGTCTTGGGTGTCATGGCACTCTTGGACGAGGAAGAGACTGACTGGAAGATCATTGTCATTGATGTAAGTGGCATTTCCTACCTCTCACCGCCACTTTCGACTCACTGAATCATAGATCCACGACCCACTGGCTCCCAAGTTGAATGACATTGAAGATGTCGAGCGTCACCTGCCTGGCCTTCTCCGGGCCACCAACGAGTGGTTCCGTATCTACAAGATCCCAGACGGAAAGCCGGAGAATCAATTCGCTTTCAGCGGTGAATGCAAGAACAAGAAGTACGCCGAGGAGATCATCCGTGAGTGTAGCGATGCGTGGGACCGACTCGTCACTGGAAAGCAACAACCAGGAGGCATCAACTTGGCCAATGTTACAAATCAAGCCTCTCCAGACCGCGTCGACGCCAGCCAGCTTTCCAGAGTCCCACCTGGACAAGATCTTCCTCCTGCGCCGATCGATGGCAGCGTTGACAAGTGGTTCTTCATTTCCGGTGCGGCTGTTTGAGCAAGATACTGATCATATCAAACATTGGCTGATTGCGTTCAGGTGCTGGAGCTGTGTCCACAGATTACATCAAGTGAGCGGTTTAGGGGGGAGCAACTACACAATTAGACAAAAGTGCACCTATGTAGCTAGAATCGAAAGAGATGTTTCTCGCATCAGACAAAATTGGCCTTTTGAACTTCGTCCTGCGGACGGTGATTATGCGAATCCAGTCTTGCTTTCTGATGTGCTTTTTCCCCCCTACATTCATTCGTTGCGAAGAATCCATCGGGTATTAGCTATACTATGTCCTCAATTTTCTAGAGGCATTTTGTGCGCATCTCCACGTCCTTGATCTCTTCTCGCAGAGGGTCCAGTCTTGTTATATTCTATCTAAGACATCAAGTAGATATCCTCTTTACAATTCATCACCTTCTGGATGTCGGACCCATCGATGCATTCCGAAAACAGCAGACTCCGGAGGTGTGCCTTGACGGCAGCCAACAATATGGTGGCATGGTCGATCCGGAAGACCCGGCGTTGGCCCGCAGTGTGACCTGGCAGGTGTTTCAACAGTTCTCCTTGGTCAACGACAAAGACGTGTTTCACCCCAAAGGGGCCCGACACGGTGACATTGCCAGTGTCGAGGTTGAACACGGTTTCCACATCCGAGGGCTTTGCGATTTTGTCGAGGTGCCGGGTCGATTGGTATATCAGATCGCGATACTCCTGGTTGGTCAGGACCAGTACACCGACCATCAGCGGTATTTCAGGGACCTCATGCTGCAGTGAGGCGAGAGCTTCATCGAGCTCGTACAGTTCTGGGACCGCAAACTTGCCATTCAAGGCTTTGTCGACGGCGGCGAGGAAGGCCGCGGAGTTTCCAGACTCCATACTAATGATGCCCGGGTCCTTCTTCAGACGGAGCAAAAGTCTGACGCAGCTCGGGCCTGCTTCGCTCAGCATGACGCCTATGAGGCTCTTGCGGTCTCCTTTGCTTAGAACGTAATTCAGAGGACTCCACGGCATGGTTAGAAGGGCGAAAGCAAACAGTCGGGCGGACTCTCGCTTGAGGAAGGCCAAATCCCACTCAGTCAGCTCCGAAGGGTTGGTCCGAGTTCGTGAAGACTGCCCAGGTTCATCGGTGTAGACACGGACGTAAGGCTCTGCTGGGGGCACAAAGGTCATACCGGCCAGCTCAAGTAGCTTTTGTTGCACGTCCGGGGTCGACTCCATTGGGTGAAGAACATCAACCTGCATTGGAGCAGATTCGACCCGCAGGGGGGGTGTTTCCCGCTTCCAGCTCCACCGCCTGTAGCCCAAACAAGGCGATCTTCAATTTCTCAAGTACCTTGTCTGCTTTTTGTTGTGTTTCGCTGCCATATGTTGTCCAAGTGAGTGACCGTTTAGGACCTGGAGACAGCAGCACATGGTCTGATTCACTTGAACTATCACCGTCTCCAGCCTCTTGGTGATGATCGTACTCGCCAATAATACAGCAAATATGGTTCCCAGATGGAAGAGAGAGAAACCCATGCATAAGAAGTAACATCGACAGCCGTGATAGCTTGTCTTTCGGAATATGACTCTCACAGGCTTCCAAGCTTCGAATGAATTCCACTCTCCCAGTAAGCTCAGAACTGTAACTCGACCGCTTTTCAAAAGACAATGTTCCTGTCATGCCATGAAGCGACACGTTATAGTTATCCAGTGAACTCCGGGAAAATGTCTGCGCGAGAGTGAGACGGATTGACGGTCGGCGTTGTCCCAATGAATGAGAACTTTTCTTCGACTTCTTCTCCCGGTAGCGTCCCAGGACGAGAAAGTTGAACAAGTAAGACCGATGTACGGGCAGGACGAAAGAGTCTTCGTACATAGTGCTTTCTTTTGTACATTTCATCTTCAGACCGTAAACTTGAAGACAAGCGCCGAACTGGACCCAGGTTGCTGGAGACTCTGGACATACCTTTAACCTAGAGAGGTCAAAATCTCCCCATTCTTCGTCGGTGAAGTTTCTGGGAACAGCCGTATTGGGCATCCGTAGAACTCGGAAGAACCTGATGCCAGGCCAGAAGGGAACGCCGTCGGACAGATATCCATTGTTTCTGCGTCCTATCGCGGCCAGAGCCTTATGGCGTTTCGTGAGGCTGGCTCGCCACACCAATATCGGTCCTATGATCGTTATGAGGGCCATCAAGGCAATTCCAGCACCTACCCACGTCCCAGCAAGGCTGGCGACGTCGGTGCTTCTTGACATTGGAACGTAGTTGTCAGGTGAGTTAGTATAAGTGACTTTTTCTGCAAGAGTACCACCAAGGAAAGTAATGAGTACTGAGTTCTTGAAAAAGGTATATACCCAGACGAGGGAGAAAAAGAGATCCTTGGCCATGTCCTATGGACCAAAGTACACCAAGGAGGCAGACGATTCATCATGGGAGTCTGCCTTGTACTTTTGGCGTCTGGGGACCAATTGGTGCCACGTGGACGAGGCGGTAAAAAAAAGTACAGCCTTTTCATTCCAGCTGAGCATGTCTATCAGGATCTCACAACGATAGGAGTCTCATTGACGGAAATAACCAACACGAGGAACTAGAACTAGATGGGCGAACTGCGCGAGTAGTACGTGTGCGAGCGAAGACAGTGCCTTTGCTCTCGCGCTAAGCCCAATTGGGTAACGACGTCGAGTGCGTACCAACGTCTTTCTGGTCAAGTGCATATTGTTTGACTAAAATCTCTGTTGACTGATCAGGCTGGAACTGCCAACGCTTTTATTGTCGTTGTCCCTCCTCCCTGGATACAACAGGAACTCGGTAATCAACGACCTTGGCGGCACCAGCAAATGGTCGATACTGCTCTGAGCTCTCTTGGCAACGCTTTCTCAAGATGATCTGCTCAAGACGATCTGCTCACGACTCACACGACTTGCTCTTTTCTTACTCTCTTCTCGTCTTTCTCCTCACGCTCTTACGCACCTCATGATATCGCGAAGCGCTATCTCTTTCTGTCAATATATCTTGGCACGGATAGACGGTGAAAGGAATTCATCCTCTCTGCTGTTTCTAGCTTGTCCCTCTCTCACACAACATACATAAATCTGCTGAGGCAGATCTCACTGACGTGACAGACTAACGTCTAGGTATAAGTAACTTGAGCCTTAGGGTGCTCTTCAAGATTATCATCACCTGAGGTGACCTAAAAAGGTACAGTGAGACGACGACTAACGTCTTGACAGGTGACACTTTTAGCACCTCCTGTTCTGGCATTGTCGACTCGGTCTGTATCTGGTTGACGATGGCTCCACCAAGACCCTTTGCAGTATTGGTGACTGAAATATCAGAAAAACCGAAATACCAAGAATGAACTGTCTACCCATGGTCGGATGGCTAGCGCGGCGAGGAAGGTAGGTGGCCACCCGCGTTGCTATACAACTGGTACACAAACACTTCCTGTGCCTACGTCCTCTGCCCCTTGCCAGATTTCAATCTCGCTTGTGCCAGCGACAGGTTTGTGTCTGTGAGAATAGCCCTGGAGATGTCGTCCCGGTGTCTTTGCTCCCAATCGACAAGGTCTATATAACATGCAGCAAGAGCATTGCGCTACTGCTGGCCGTCTTCTTGATGACTCTTTATTCCAGGTAGGGTTATCGCTCAGGCTTGTTTTCTCACCCTAAGTCATTCATTCATACACAATGCGTAGCTCCATCGTTACCTTGCTTTTGGTGCTCGGCAATGGAGTCCTTTCCAGTGGCGTCCATCATTCGAAGCCGTTGGCGACAGTTACTCCCTGTCCCGAGGCACCATCCCGAATCGCACCACCAATTATCACCGTTACCAGTCAGTATCAGCCCATATCCACCTGTGAGGAGCGAACTGCGTGCTTCAGGCGACTGTGCAAAACGGAGTACTCCTACCACACCTACGAATACGTCTCGACGGTTATTCCTTGCTTGGACACATCAACCACCGTCACTCGTACAGAACAATCGGTGTTGATATCCCGTTCGTCAAGTACCATTACCAACACTCACGTCAAGACCAAAGTCCATCATGGCCACACCACCACCACCACAGCGACTGCTCGCACGACCGTGCTTAAAGAATGGAGTGCCGTGTACAAGGACATTGGTCCTCTAGCAATTGCAGGCTACAAGGGCAGCGGCCTTTGCGACACCTGTGAAGGTCACAATGGCGAGAAGAAACAAGAGGTTGAGGCAATCGAGTGTACCCATCGTCCTCGCGGTCCTACGGTCTGCGAGAAACACGCCGAGATTTGGATCTATCAGCCAGCACCGTCGACAACCACCAAGGCTGTTGCAATCTGCTCCTCTCGAGCCGTCGCCTCCTCCGCGGGCACTTTCACCTTTGCATTTCCCCAACGAGAACCACCAGCCACCATCCACGTCCCGGCAAGAACAATCATACTTACAATTGGGGGCCGTCACCCTGGTGCGGTGACCACTACCACTACCACCGTCACCGAAACCGTCACCACTGTACCTGGGCGAGTCTGGACCGTTTTCGTGACACGAAGTTGTCTCCGCCCAACGACTTTCACTTTCGACGTGACGGTCACCAAAACCATCACCTATACTGTTCCTCCTTGGGTGTTACCCGGTCCAACGTGAGTATTGATGGCGGCCACCCATGGTGTCTCGAAGCTGACGTGCTCATGTCTTCCAGGGTTACCTCAATTCCTGTCCCCAGCGGCTGGCAGGATTGGACCATCCCTTCCACTACCCCAACCCAACGGAGCAGCGTGACAACCTCAACGTACGTGCAGTCCACATCGATGTCGTCGGCCTCATCTTCAGCCGGTTCTACTACAAGTGCCCTCTACCACGCCCGCTTCCACCAGTGGCCCGATTTCAGGGAGTACCTCTATAACAACAACAACAACAACGACAACTACTACTACTACTACTACTACTCCTCCTCCTACTACTACTACTACACGGCCAGTCTCCACGACATCTGTTTCGGGGTCCTCTGTCAGTTCAACATCATCCGTTTCGCCATCAGGGTCCTCTGTCATCAGTTCAACATCCTCCGTTTCGCCACCAGTGTCCACATCCTCTTCAACTCTAGGCTCCTCGTCAACACGCTCCACGTTGTCTTCGGTAACTGCAACGACAACGTCAGAAAGTACTTCCACAACCACTCTCCGGAGTTCGTCGGCGTCGGAGACTTCCACGCAGAGCTCTTCTATGACGAGCGTGCAGAGCACATCGAGTGCCTCTTCGACTATTTCCAGTGAGCCCGGCTCTTCTAGTTCTCTGGCCACCCCTTCTACTACGACTACCTCCATGAGCGAGAGCTCTGTAACAACAACTAGCCCATCCCTGACCACCTCATCAAGTTCTCTGACCACCTCATCAAGTTCTCTGACCACCTCATCAAGTCCCCTGCCGAGCGACTTTTTGATAGAGATCACTGTTGCGTCACCAGGGCGGCGCAATCGGCGGGATCCAGTCACCTACTTCCTGGGATTCGATCAGTCTGACGTCGGGATCGTAGTCGAAGGCCAAACCCTGGCAGCTCACTTTTTCTCGAGTGGTAATGGCGAGCCATTGCTATCTGACAACAAGTACGTTGGCACTGAGACTGACGCTTCGACCTCGCCCTTGATCCGCTCCCCCTCAAGGCCGGAAGGATTTGACTCATTCTCCTTCACCAATGGCGGCTCAGTTCTCGTAGCAGGGTCGGCTGGATTTTGTCTCATCGACGGTGCGGTTGCTGTCTTGGTGCCTGGTGCCCAATGTGCCGTTCCAATTACTCTCACTAGTACTGGTAGGTGGAGATACCAACCACTCAGAACCTTCTACTGACGCTGCTTAGCAATTGTGCCCACGACGTCGACCTCGACAGCTGCGAGCAGCACGTCTTCTCCGGCGAGTGTCACCACTGTTTCGAGCACTACAACATTCAGCACTGCCGAGACGTCTCAGTCCTCCCTCACTACTACAACTTCGAGTATGACGACTGGCGCTTCAACCACTGTCCCCGAGTCTACGACTAGTACTTCAACCGCCACTGTCAACACGTCTACGCACACGACTACTGCCTCTATGACTTCACAGCCTAGCACTAGTGCAGAGACGACGACTTCAAGTCAGACGAGGACCACCATTCAATCTACAACGACAGCGGAAGCAACGACCTCTACCGCATCCACGGCATCTCAGTCTACATCATCTGCGCAGTCCTCTACTACGATACAATCCTCAACCACCACTCTCCCTCCCAGCTCGCCGTCTTCCTCGACTAACATAATCACCACCACCCAGGGATCATCGACCACGTCTAGCGTCACGCAGCCGACCACGACTACTCAGTCTACAACAACAGCCGTCGTAACCACTGTCACAACAACCACTGTCACTACTCAGCCGACAACAGTGATGAGTACTGCCTCGACAACACCTACTACCTCTGTCGCACCAAGTACCAGCACTCAAACTACCGCGTCTACTCCGTCCACGGCTTCCACGTACTTGACAACGAGTTCTCAGCCTACCACTTCTACCCCTTCCACGACCTCTCTGGCTTCCACAACTTCTACCCCTTCCACGACTTCTACCCCTTCCACGACTTCCACGACTTCTACCACTTCTACCCCTTCCACGACTTC